CCAAGTTAATCCACTAAGTATACGGTATTTGGCCACTTTAATCAAGGAAGTATCATATTAACTGCCACTTATTTTGTCCTCGGCGAGGGTGGATAATGTTTTTAACAACTCACAGGTAAGTGCTTGCTTTGCTTGGCTGACTTTGTCTCCCCAAATAAAGCTGTAGATTGACAATACATTCTAGCGTGATATCACTACTATCTCAGGAGCCTTGAACACAAGAAAAAAGAACCGACATAAATGAAGCATGTAAACGAAGAAAAGAAAGATAGCGGATCAGCTTAGCAAGATTTTCAACTGCCAGCCCAGAAACGGCACTTCAATACGATAACGATAGGCACGGAGTACCTGAGATGATCTACAACAGCCCAGGGTACTAGTGGCGGGTAATACCCAGAGTACACTTACGCGTACAGCTCCGGGGTCCACGTAAGATTAGCGCTTGGCTCGCTTTCGTACAGAGTATCCTAATTGGGACTAGTGCAGTTTGCAGTTACCGGTAGCACATCAAAGCCCTTTTTAGGTTCATGCCTTGCACGATTCAATGTATGGACATCTTTGAACACATATGATTCATGATTAACCATGGCTTGTTTCGTGGATCAGCCCCATTCGAAGGCTTGACACCCGACACTGAGGATGTTCTGGTGGTTCGTACCCAATGAATCATGAAATAATGGTTTCTTACGCATCCCATAAGCCGCGGTGGCAGGATCACTTCTTTGTTCATCGCCTACGATCTCACCAACTGGATATCCTGCGAGGATGATCTGATTCGTCATCTCGCGGGCGGTGAACAAGTGATACAGCCGCCACAGCGGACGGGATGCTGACGGGATACATACCTATTCTCTACGTCCAGACCACACCAGGTCTCCATCTTTATCAACTTTCTTTTTCTACTGTTGTACGCTTGCTTCCCTGTCTTTGGAATCTTCGATATTAGCAGGTCTAATCATTCGGCAATGCAGAACGAGAATGAGCTTCTTGATCAGGGCCCTCAATCAAGACATTCATGGAGGCTCTCACATATTTTAATTGAAGAGAATACAGGCATAAGAGGCACGTTAAAACATAAGACTTAGTTCACTGCTAACTTAAATTTACAGCTGATGGCCGAGTGGACGTTGACGTTAATAAACGGCTAGCAAATACATTGTCACGATTGCTTCCACCTCCACCAAGAATTGAAACCTCAGTTCCTGCTCCTCAGCATTCTCAGAGATCATCATGGAGTGTCAAGCTCAACATCGTTATTCAAGTCGTAGGAAGCCGCGGTGATGTCCAGCCATTTATTGCTTTGGGCAATGCGCTCCAAAAATATGGTCACCGGGTGCGCCTTGCAACCCATAATGTCTTCAAAGACTTTGCCACGAAATCTAATCTAGAGTTCTTTCCCATTGGTGGTGATCCAGCAGAATTAATGGCCTACATGGTGAAAAACCCAGGACTAATTCCAAGTACCAAAAGTTTACGAGACGGCGAAATTCAACGCAAACGGATTATGGTCGGCGAAATGCTGGAGGGTTGCTGGAAATCTTGCATTATGCCAGATCCTCAAACGGACAAGCCCTTTGTGGCGGATGCTATTATTGCTAATCCACCGAGTTTTGCCCATGTCCACTGCGCACAAGCTCTCGGAGTACCTGTACACTTGATGTTCACCATGCCTTGGAGCAGTACGAAATCGTTTCCACATCCATTGACCAACCTAAAATACTCTAACACTGATCCCAAGCTGGGCAACTATCTTTCTTACGGCATTGTAGATTTTCTGACTTGGCAAGGGTAGGGTGACAGCATCGTAACTGTAGAGATGGTGCTAATTGAAGATAGCATAGGGTCGACTGTGAATAAGTGGAGGGTCGAGACGCTGGATTTGGAGCCTGTCTCAGTTAGCGATGGTCCATTCCTTCTCGATACATTAAAAGTGCCCTTCACATATTGCTGGTCACCTTCTCTGATCCCAAAACCACTTGATTGGCCTTCGCATATAGGTACGTGAGAAGGTTATCATGCCGTTATTGGCCGAAGCAAACTTTCGCTAACACATTCAGATGTTTGCGGATTCTTTTTTCGTGATCCTCCATCTTACACACCATCTCCCGAACTCCGAGACTTCCTCGCGGCTGGTCCAGCACCTGTATACATCGGTTTTGGGAGTATCGTGATCGAACGACCAGAAGAAATGACAGCCATACTTCTGGCAGCCATCAAGATCACTAGTGTCCGCGCAATAATTTCCAAGGGTTGGAGTGAGCTCGGCGGAGAAGAGCTTCCAAACGTCCTGTATCTTGGTGACTGCCCTCATGAGTGGTTATTTCAGCAGGTTAAGGCTGTCGTTCATCACGGAGGTGCTGGCACAACTGCGTGTGGCTTATACAATGGAAAACCTACCACGATTGTGCCATTCTTTGGAGAGTGAGTGCTTGCATAAACGCGAGCTTTTTCCTTATGCTAACATTAAGTACAGTCAACCATTCTGGGGTGCCATGGTTCACGCAGCTGGCGCTGGCCCAGCCCCAATTAATCACAAGGCCCTCAATTCCAAAATACTAGCAGAGGCGATCGAGTACTGTCTCACGCCGGAAGCTCTTGCGGCTGCAAGAGCGCTGTCGGAGAAAATGATTAACGAATCTGGCGTTGAGGCAGCAGTGAAATCTTTTCACGCCAATCTACCTCTGCAAAGTCTGCAGTGCGATTTGATACCCGACCGGCCTGCTGCTTGGACATACAAGAATGGCGGGAATGTTTTAAAATTGTCTAAACTCGCCATCGCGGTTTTATCCTCACACACGAAGCTTTCCTCAAAAAACATAACTTCGTTCGTACCTCTCCTCGGCTGAGACCCACATATCTGGAGCTGATTTTCAACCAGGCACGAATCAAGACCAATCTATATTCAGACTACCCGGTGGGAACCCATCACCGCAATATCATCTGCGTCTCTTGCAACAGTAGGTGACCTGGCTAATAATGCCGTTGGTGTCTTTGTCAAACCGTACGAAGAATACAAAAAGCGACGCCCAGAAGATTCTAAGCATACTTCCCTTGCTGAGCAAAACTTACCCTCATCGTCTACAAGCTCCGAAGAACAGTTAGCCACCGTCAAATGCGAGGAAAGTGAATCTTTGCATGGCAAAGCGGTAAATAACCAGAAAGCAAAGAAGGAGGGCTCAGGGACAGCAGGAGCCATGATTAGAGCTTCAGCGACTGGCTTCGGTAACGTTCTGTTCGGCTTGTCTAAGGGGGCATTGGTCGATATTCCCGTCGCGGCAGCAGATGGAATGCGCTCCGTGCCACAAATGTACAACCACCAGGCCGCAGCAGATTATGGCAAGGTAACTGATTGGAAAAGCGGGACCACTGTGGCAGGAAAGACATTTGCACACGGCATGTATGAAGGATTCACAGACATCTTCAAAGAGACATACAAAGGCAAGCAGAAAGAGGGAGCGGCAGGAGTGGCAAAGGGTCTTGGCAAAGGCCTGGTCAGCATGACTATGAAGACCAGTGCTGGTGCGGTGGGCTTGGTTGCGTATCCGGCACAAGGCATATGCAAGAGTATCTATACAGCAGTCAAGAGCACGACAAGAAAGAGGATTGAGGACGCGAAGACGGCTGAGGGAAATTGGTTGATTAAAAGGGAGGTCGGGAATAACTTGGATCAGGCGTTGCTGTGCGCTGAATTTAAGAATTCCATGAAAGGTTGACAGGAGGAACAGGAAATACCAAAAAAGGAATGCTGGAATAACTGGCAAATCCTTTTGTTTTGCTTTTATTTAACATTGAAGCATCAAATGGGAAAATACTGAGCCAACGTGTAAGTATTTAGTTAACGACATGATCACGACGTGCTGCGAGATTTGTTTCTTATTTATAAATTTGTTATTCTAACTACGCGTGTAGAGATATTCTAATAACCGGTGGACTCTCATGATCTTGCATGAATTCTCCATTGATTGCTCTTTGCATTACATAACGTTCTGATTGCCTTTTGAGGCTTCGTCGAGTTTGGTCATATCCACCGCCAAATCCAACGAATCCACAGCCGTCAACGTAGTAGCCAGAGAATCCAGATCCGAGTCTTTCGGCTTAAGATGATCAACTTTCTCCTCGGAATCTCTGTTTCCAAGTTTGTCAAGGTCTTCTTTATCATCAACCATCGCCATCTCACTTCCATCTGGCACCTGGGTAAAAACCCCTTGCGCCTCCGCTTCTAAGTCTCCCTTCTTAGTTCCTCTCGTTACTCGTCTTGCGGTACAGCAGAACGCGATGCCACTGACAAAAGTCACGAACCAAAGGAGAGCATTTATAGCATCTAACCATACCGCCGCTTTCATCCGCGATACACTCAGTGTCTCAAAGCCCTCCGCAGAATCTGTCCCACCACCAATGTATACAGTGGCAAAGACACCAAACTGCGCGATCCAAAGGATGAAGACGAAAAAGTCCCAGGCACACCATGCTACACGTTTTACGGTGACGAAGCAGTGGACTGCGCAGGTGATAATTGAGAGTGCGGATACGACTTCAGCGAATACCCAGGCACTGTTGGCGCGGGATTTGGTGGCGGTGGAATGGGCGAGGTCGACGCCGTAGAGAGCGGCTATGATGACTGCAAACTACATATGATTAATCGATACTCTTGGGGGTTGTGTTGGGGGAAAGGAGTTGTTCCTTACCACGAATTGTAGAGTCCGTAAAGCAGCACGCATGAATAGCCCTGTGCTCCCTCCTGTGTGCCAGTACTCAGTCGACATGATCTCCAGCGCTCGATTTGCCGTATATTTATTATATTAACACTACTTTTTCGGACTTTCTGTCTCGTAAATAGCTGAGGTTAAGCGAACGAAATTTGACTTGTTTTTCGAATTGAATGTTTTGAAGAGAATAAGGCAAAGGCTTCTAATTGAAATAAGAAATGAAAGAGGTCGAAAGGTTTGAAATCGGAAATTTACTTTGCGCTATAAAATGTATTTTCGTACTCCTAAACCAGGGACTGTATCGAGTAATGTTGATGCTTAAGTGGTGGTGGGGTGCTAACGCCAATTAGGAAATCTGCAAACGAATACGAACCAAACCAATCATGATGAACTCCACTAACGCTAAGACCCCTGACTCGACCTGAAACTATTGGATGCTCAGCCCTATGTTTCCACTAACCATATTCGGCTATTCTCGTTTTCGTACAGAATGGCTTAAAGGAGACATCCACGCTCATCCCTCAAAAAACAAGAACGAAAACGAAAACGCCCACATCTGTTATTACTGTGCCTGAGATCTATACCGCAAATAGACAGCTTTCTACCGACATCTGCGTCACTTCAACATGAGCTAATGGCTCGAAGAGCCCATCATAAGTCACGTGGAGGATGCGTTACCTGCAAACAAAGACGAGTCAAAGTAATAAGCACTCATTCTCCCTCACATGGTTCTTTTCATTGAGTCGACTATGAATTTCCTTCACTTCTTACGTCGGTCACTGATTCTTTCTTGTTTCTCTAAACAGTGCGACGAAGAGAAGCCCAAGTGCTCAAAATGTGTCTCACGTGGGATTGACAAATGCATCTACCAAACTCCACAACCGGTAAAACTGAAATGGATAGACGAAAAGTCCCAATCTGTACCGCAACCAACATCGTCGCGAGGGTCCAGCGCTCTTCCACCTGCGTATACACCGAGATCCCAAGATCAGGAGCGGGAAGTGTCGACCCTCGATCTTGAAAGTGCGAACTTGGTTATCCACTGGATTAGGAACACTGTTTACACTGTCAATGCAGCATCCAACACGGCGGCCTTGCAAACTTGCCAAACAGTGATCCTTGATCTAGCGATCCAACATCCATTCCTCCTTCATGGACTTCTCGCCCTCTCTGCACTACATCGTGCAGACACTGACGCCGAACCCGAGAAGGACATCAAACTCGCCACCGCACACCACACCCGCGGACTTGCTATCTTCCATAGTGTCCTGAGCGACATTACCGTTGATAACTACCCACCCAGCATAGCCTTTTCTAGTTTGACCGTTATGTTTGCGCTTGGAATCTCCAAGCCCAAAGACCCTGCCCACGCCGAGCCGCAGCTATTGGATGATCTGATTCAAGCTTTTCGACTGATGAGTGGAGGTCGTAATGTGGTAGAGGTGGCTGGCGAACTTCGAGGCAGCTCAATTTGGAAAGAAGACCTACGAGAGAATATCAATATTCTCCAACCAGACGTTGCAGAGGCGCTCAATGTGTTACATTCTGTAAATACCGGAACAAACATCGATATCTATAAGAATGCCATATCCTGTTTACGGAGGATGTTTGAAAAGCTTGAGGGAAGTGAAGTGGATAATTCGGCGGTATGTATGGGATGGGGAAATGAGATGTCGGAGGAGTTTTTACAACTGGCGAAGGAGCGAGAGAACATGGCTCTTCTAATAATTTCATATTATTGTGTTGTCCTGCACCGAGTACCGCAAATATGGTGGTTAGCGGGTTGGGGTAGGGGTCTTTTCGGCGTCGTTTCAAGAGAAATCGATCCTGCTTTCCAGTATGCGCTGGTGTGGCCGAGATCTGTTATTGAGGGTGGAGTTTAGAGTGGTTAAGATTTAAATACTTGATGGATTCAGCGTTAAGCATACGTCGACCAGAAAATAATACATGGTATTTATGATACACCTGCGGAATTCAATAGAGACATTGTTTTGCTTTTAAATATGTTAGAATGCTACGTTATAACAACGAATGAAAGAGGCGGATGCCATCTATTCGTCAATTTTGATACTGCAGGCCTAATCTCTCAGTCCCAAAGGGAAATTTCCAAAAAAGAAAAAGATTTTCAAGAGGTTGATACCCGAGGTTGTGGAAGGAACTGGTTTGATTAAATAAGGGCTGTCATTGCCGAGTTACCTTAAATCTTTCTCTTCTTTGACAATTTGTGGGATCCGGCTTTGCTGAGCCTTTGTTCAAAGATGTGGTGAGTCGTTCGTAGAGATACTTGTCGAGCCCTTGGTTAAATTTAAAGAGTAGATCTTCCGCTGTAGGACTGTGCGATTGCAAATGCCGGTCTAAGATAATACACCAAGTCCGTGTCTGTAGCAGAGATCAAATACTCGAACACCAGAGGTGACCATGTTATACTTGGACTTTTTTGACAGCGATATATATAGTACGGCACCGTTGCGATCTGTGACATGCTTCAAGGCGTCGACTCGCTTGACTATAATTCCATGTTGCGGCATCATGAGCACCAGGCAGATTCATGTGAACAAGTAGTGTCGAGCCAGGGTACGATTCCATCCAGTTTGCTGTTTTACTTTGGTTCTTCAAACTGACATACTCGCTAAGTATTGCGGCCGCATCGTGGAGGACTTTTTGAAGAGCGAATTGCGAAACACTTGGACGTGTAGAGATTGGAGCAGCTGATTTGAATCAAGCTCGAGAGTAGAACGACAAATGAAGTTGAGTACATGTTGAACGAGATCTGGAGCAGCAGCCGACTTGATGATAAATGTTGTCGTGGGTGTCGCCAGGAAAAAGTGTACTTAACAAGTAGTCCAAACTCTTGACTGAAGCCTTATGAAGGCTGTTCAGTCAATATCTCACTTGTTTACATCGAAGCGTGCGCTTTTTCAAACTTACTATTTGGTCGACATGTTGCAAGAGGAGAATTCAACTTCGGAAGTGACCGATTGGGTCGGCGCTTCACCCACGTGCGTTAAAAGTGGGTGTTCAACCCCCTAAATATCGCTAAGATGACTTCGGCTAAGCTAGCTGGTAGTCGAAAGACGAATGAAAATAACAAAGACCATCTTTCAATTCCAATCGCTTCTTTTGTTTGTCCAATCTTCGTGGGGATAAGAAGGATACGCCGACTGATCTTCCGACGTTTCAACTGAATTAGCATCGTAAATTGTCGAGAAATCGTTAAGATGATCCGCGTCAAAGGTATTCATGTAAGTTTCTCAACCATCCTCTTGCCATCCATCCATAGAGCCAAACGAAGAAGGTGGCGCAGCCTGTGTGGGTATTGTAGCTGTAGTCATCAGGTCCGATTGCAGATCAAGTGTTCCTGCGGTAACATCCCCTGCCACTGGCTGGAAACCGAAATTCTCTACTGAACTACCGATAGGAGGAGACAAGTGGCCCCTTTGGGCGATTGGCTCACTTGAAGATGGTTGAAATCCTATTTCATTACCACTATCAACATTTGAACTTTCCGGTGTTTCAAACCGCGAATCATACATCCTCCCTTCACTTTCTCGTTCTGGGCTTCTTGAAGACGAAGAGCTATCTGAGAGCCAGTCTCGAAATAGGTTGTTGATGCCTTCAGCGATGGATCTACGCATAATATCCCGACGCTGTTCTTCAGTGATATCGCAGTTTAGCCAAGCGGGGTCGGACTCCATCACTTCCGTTATTGTGATAGGGGCTTGCCGCGCACAATATTGATGAAAGTGTCGCACTCGTATAGCAAGATCACTGTCCACATAGACCGAGCTAGGTCTCTTGAGTCCTGGGAATAGCACTTCCCAAATTCTATACCATTGATCTTCTACACTGGTATTTGACTTCGACTTCTTGTGTAGTTCATTGCGCTGTTCGTGTGAAACCCAGCTTCCTAAGATACGTTTTCTTGGAGCGCAATTTCCTCCGAAAACATGCGATTGCAAACTCTCCTCATTCGGGGAAGTAATTGATTGGCACCGCTGGCAATAGAATTTAGGCGTGTGCTTTCTACAGAGATGTAATTTGACGTCCCGAATCCTTTTCAATTCAAATCCACTACATGCACTATGTGTGGTTGCGTCCTTCTTCCAATAAGGACACGCGAATGTTTTCTGGTCCTGCGCGTCTAAACTAAAGTTTCCTCTCTTCAGGCGTGGCGGTCGGGAATCGTCTTCACCTGTGCCATCTTCGTCATCACGTGTCAACTTCCTTTTTTGACCAGATGACAAAGCGCTCCTACTATGAGCAGACGTGGTTGTTTTGAAAGCCGGAACAGTGTTTTGCTCTTTATTACCTGGAGATGATTGGTTCTGGGCGCAAGTCCAAAACTCAGCATATAGTTGATCAGCGACTTTATTGACCGTTGAATGTAACATTCCTTCGCACTCATTTGTCTCGAAATTGTCTGAACAGTCAGATATCGAAAACATGTCAGAGTCCAATGAATCTTCCGGAGAGCTCATTTTCAGGGAAGCCTGGGAATTTTCTGATAAGAAGCAAGGGTTGTTTTGGCATGTTTCCCAGCTTTCCGAATCTACTGGGTAAAAGGCAGGTGACCCGATTTCTATGGTGGCAGTACTTCGCGTAGTGTTTTGGCTCCTCGAAGAAAGTTGTTTTTTTAAATCGGAATCACCTAGTGCTGAGATATTACTCAGCGTGTCCTGGTTGAGAGTCATTAGCTCTTGATTGAGAGTCATTATCTCTTGATCAAGAGTCATTCCCTCTTGAATGAGACCCGTTAACTCTTGAATGAGTGTCATTAGCTGTTATCAAAACTTGGGCTGTGAGGGTTTCACACACTTTCCCTTGCGTCATGAAAGATATCCCCTTCTGTAGCGCTATATGTAGGCAAAGAGGGAAGATCATCTGTTGAAGATGAGTTGACTGGCTTGCTGCGTGATAGAATGAAAGATGATTTAATTCCTGGGGCTGAGGTAAGAGGGTGAGAGTGATCGTAGGAGGAAGGTGCATGACCATCTGTTGGGATCAATGCTTGGTGTTCAGACTCCTTTTCAAACCTCTCTTGATCTTTCTGCACCTCGACTACATCGCCGGCCGATCTTTGATTCAGTTGAACCGAGTTCTTGGGAGTGGCGTTTCCAGTACTCTCATGTCGTTTGCGCATGTGTACTGGTGGTTCTTTTCGACGGGCCAAAGGGCCTGGATGAATCACTCGGGCATCGTGGATCGTCTCATGTATGAGTTGCTCATGAATTCTGAGATCTAGCTCTAGGGTGTAACCCAGTCCGCGCACTGAACAGTGATAACGGAGCATCTTAATACTCGTCGTTATAGCTATTTATCGCCGTTCTGGTGACTAGAGCCAAATGATTAACTCTTGGAATGTATGGAAAGGTCAGTGAGGAGTTCAATTTACTACTCACCTCGGGTCCGAGTCGGTCGTGATTATATACACAACTTGGAATCCGCTGTGGAATTTGCGCTCTTGGAAAGAACATAGAAATGGCCTATCAGTCTGGAGTTTTTCAGTGCTGAGAGTGGAAATATGGTAGAAGCTTTAACGAGGTTTCCCTGAATGACGAGGAAAGAGGTAGAACAATGCGACGGATGTATCGCAAGCACGATGTCGGATGCGATTATGGAATTCTCATCAGCAACGCAAGCAGAACAGATCTAGGTCAAATTGAGTTCAGGACTTGACAGGAAGACAAGCCCTGCGACGATGCGTTCGTGAGGATTTGAGATCGAGGCTCTCCAAGTCAATGGGGCGGAATTGCAGAACTAGGCGCCGATGAAAGCACACTGTGCTTTTCAATGTGATTGGTGCAGAATGTCCACATCTAGGCAATTTGTAGACAGCCAATAGGATCAAAAGGCACCAGCGTGGTGATGCTTCATCCTCAACATCTGTGTTTTGGCACCATATTGTGTTCAAAGGTTTGCGCTTAGTTCAATTGTGGTAATGTCGAAATGAATAAGATTTTCCGGAATCAGAGTTGTGCTCTGAAGCAGCGAGTATCTAAGCACTATGGTCGATCTATGGGAGAATTGTATAAGTATCGCTCCATGAGATGTTGGAGTAAACATCTGTTTGTTCTGCTAAACAAACGACGAACCAAGGCAAGAATAATTCCAAAGCTTTAATCATGTCGACAAGATCTGATCCCCTAAATGTCGATCGCGAAAATCCTGGGAGGTAAGCGAATCGCCGATTTACCAGTCCTCATGCATCCAAAACCTCTTTTGGACCTTTGACTAACATCAGAATAGTGTCGAAAACAAAAATGACACCCCAATGCTCAACGACTACCTCGCTGCTCCTCCGACTATCACCGAGAAACTTTCGATTTCATCGCAGTCCAATAGCGCTAATAATTTAGTCGAGGACAAAGCCAACGAATCTAAGGAGTTTGTTGCCAAATGGCAGGCTTCATGGGAGAAGAAATCGTGATTTAGAGTTAGGCGTTGCATTCAGGCGGTGGTGATCGCCTAGAACCTGCACTTACCCACTGTTGAGAAGGCTAAGACCTGAGGGTTCTATTTCTTGGATACAAACAGTGAAATGAGACGAGGGGCCTAACATCCAATTCTTGAATGAATGCACATGAATTGAACTCAGCACTAGCGCTTTTGGGGTCATAGCCCTGTATTCAAGTATGGTATTTAGGAATGTTTCGTGCATGATATACGAGATCACACTATTTGACCTCTTACTTGAAGATCGACATATCAAAAGCATTAGCCATAGTGATATATCCATCAACATTAGGATGCAAATGATCACCCCCATCATACTTATTCGCCAACTGCCTATATTCAAGTTAGCATCTATTTCTCAACACCCCTTTTCAAAGAACAAAAATCAAAACTTACGCAACATTCCCCGGATTCCCCACCGCCGCCGCAAAATCCACGACCTTATCAAACGCGCCCCCCGAATTCAAAATCCACTTATTAACCTTAACCCTCGTCTTCTCGCGCTCAGGGTTACTATAGCTCTGGCCGCTGCCGCCGAAGGGCGTGATGGTGGCGCCGATGGTGATAAGCCCGGCTTTGTGGGCGTCGCTGGTGATTTGTTTGAATGCGGAGATGAGACGGTCGCCGATGGAGGATTGGGTTGAGGCGTCGGTTGAGGAACCGCCGATCTGTGATGGGGTTAGAAATGGGAAGGGAAGGGAGGAGAGGGGAAATGGGGAAGGTGGATGGGGGATGGAATAGGAGGGTGGAAGGAGAATGGTAGGATACAGGGAAAAGATTAGAAGGAAGAGGAAAGAAAAAGTATTACGCACGTCATTTACGCCTTCGAAGATCATGAGGTATTTCACGCCTTGTTGTGTGATGCCATCGCGTGTGTAGCGGCTTAGAAGCGTCGGTCCCAAACCGCCAGAAAGAACAGCATTGCCTCCCGCTGCTTGATTAACCACACCTACATTAGTGATACCAGCTGCTGGCATTCTCGCCAACAACATATCCGGCCATCTATTCCCATCAGCCCCACAAAATCCACAACCCAAGCAAAGAATAACATACCTATTATTCCCATCATCCGTACTCCCCCTCCCATCCGTAATCGAATCCCCAAGAATCACCAACGCCGAAGTATTACTCGGCACCCACGCCTCGACCGCACTAACAAAATACCAATGCTTAGTACTCGCCCCCGTCACATCCGTCTCATTAACCTTATTCCCACTCGCCATCCAACTCGTCGTGCGACTCCCAGGGTGTCCCGTGATACTCGTGCCACTCTGGCCATTCTTCAGATACAGCGACACGGAAAGCGTGCTTTGGGCAGCGATGTGGTAGAAATCCAGGGGGTCGGTGTAGGCGGTTTTGCCCTTTGGGATGGTGATGGAAGGGGAGCCGTTGGAGAAGGTGAGGGGTTTGAGGGTTTCGATGTGGATGTTGTTGACGCCGGCTTTGTCGGTGCGCGGGAGGGCGAGGGAGGCGGCGGTGATGGTTAGGTCGGTGCCGCCGAAGGTGTTGGAGATTTGGAGGCGGACGCGGTCGAAGGCGAGGGACATGTGGAGGGTTTGGCGGAGGGTGGCGTCGTTGAAGACTGCGTTGCCGGATTTCTAGAAAGGTTAGTATGGAGTATTTTCGATCATAAAAGTTAATCGATATGAGACTTACAAAGGGTGATGGAGGAAGATTATCGGGCTCAACTAATTGAGGCATTGAAGTCCATGATGTGACCCAGTGATTAGTATCTTGACGAGTCGATAGAGGAATTGCATTTGCGCCTACTGAAGTGCACAATGCACCGAAGGCAGCAGCCAGCGACAGCAATTGAGTAACAGAAATCATCATGAACCAAATATACAATACAATAACCTCAATTCAAAGCCAAGAAAAGGAGTAGCCAGGTACCCGGGAATTGAACCACATTTATACCACAGATGCAATGTGGGACAAGCTTCATCGCATGATCAAGCAAAAACTGGACTTACTGAACGGAGTCAAGTACCCATATTGGAAGTGCTCCCGGCTGCTGGTAATAAGTAGTACATTGTTAAATGCTCGTTCCTGTACAGTGACGATCCATATATTCCCTCAGCCTAATTACAATATAAACAGCCTGTACCCCGTATCCAGCCTCTTTGCCAAGCCAATCAGTTCAACATTTGTAACAAACAGCTATGTAAGCCAAAGCAATTCTTTTACAGTGATTTTCGTTATTCATTAGCAGTATTGATCTAGACATCGAATATACGTCAATTGTACTCTTAAGCTCACCGCGGCTGAGAAAATTTGTAGCCAGTGATGTAGGGGTCTTTTTTCTTGGGGGTAGCTTTGCCATAGCCTGGTTTTGGCCGCTGAGATTGTGATGGTTGTGAGCTCCTCGGGATACTGTTTTTCATGTTGAGATTGATCTTCGTGTCGCGTTGAATTTTTGCCCTCGACTCGTTAAGAAGGCGAGTTTCCTCGTCTATGGATTTGACTGAGCTGTCCGAGTCCGAGTCCGAGTCGGGCATAGCAGGTTTCGCTTTCTTCGTGCTTGTTGTCTGTGAAAGCGGTGGAATCGATTTCGAAGGTGCACGCTCCTTTTCACTTTCTTCCGACGACGAAGATGATGAATCGTCACTCTCATCTTGAGACGTTTCTTGCTCGAATTGCTCATTTAGTGTTTTGGGAGCTGCACGAGCTCCTGTAACACTACTTCGAGTCGATGACGGAACCCTCGGCTGTGAGGCATGAAGTTGCTTTAAACTAGCTCCGAACTTCATTGCGGGCGGGGGCCGAGATGATTGAACCATACTCGAGGTAGGAGGGTATTTGATCGAACTCGAAACTACACTTGGTCGTGCTTCATACACGTCAGAAGTCAGCTGCTGTGCTAGTTCGTCTTGAGTGTCCCCACTGTCTCTTTTGGTGTAATCCTTACTTCTGTTTTCATCCGAGCTGGTAGTGGGCTTTTTTGGGAGCTGCTTATGTTGTGGTAACTGGGGACTCGACTCAGGGACATGCTTTTCTTCGTCATCCTCACTTGACGAGCTCTCGGCGTTGTTTGCATCTTCTGCTTGTGTGGTTGCGACTTCAGTGGGTGCATCTACCATTTCCTCATCAGATGACTGATCTGCATCCTTTTCTTCTTCAGATTCAGAGTCTAAGTGCTCAACCTGAGCGTCAGGCATATCATCTTCCTGAGCTTCTGGCCCCTTGGAGCTATTATCAGATATAACGGATGCTGCTCGTTTCGGCCTTCCTCCGTGGGCTGTCCGTGGATGCTGACTAAATATTATGGGCGACCTACTTGCCTCGCGTATAGACGATGCATTGCTTGTGTGGTCTACTTCTTCCTCCTCAGGCTCCTCCTCCTCCTCGTCGTCGCCATTTGCCGCTTTAGTCAACTCTGCCGAAGACTTCTTCACACTAGGGGATCGGCTCAGCCGTTCAGCTCGGGCTGCCAATTTTTCAGGTGTGACTACAGCTGGAATGTCCTCTTCGGATTCATCATCGGATGAGTCCTCACCCGGAACGACTGTTTCAGGCAACTCTTCAGTAATTGTTGGTTTCAAGGTTTCTTGAAAAATGTTAGTATTTCGTTCTATCTTTTGCAGACGCTTTCCATGAGGCTGAGTTTGAAGTTGTGATCGATTTCAAAATCAGAGAAAAAAGTAACTTACTTAACTCGTCCGAAGCGTCAGCCTTTGGCTCACTCTCAACTTTTGGCTCGTCTTCTTCATCATCACCCGACTCCGAGCCAGATTCAGATCCAGCTTCCGACTCTGACTCTGACTCTGACTCTGACTCCGAGTCTGATGATATGTTCACCGTCTGCTTGTCGTTAGTGGGAGCAGCAGGCTCTTTCGAATTGGCGCTAGCCTTCGGAATTGCTGGAGCTGACGTGGGTGTTCCCTTGACAGGTGGCTTCGTAGGTTGGAGGGAAGCTTTTGCATCGAGTGCTGGAGATGGCGTCTTCTTTGGCGGGACAACCGGGGTAGCGCTTCTTTCCTTGAAAAGTCCAACGCGCGGTGGAGGGATGGGTGAGTGTGACTGTTTTTGAGGGGGAACGATTTCTGTGCACGGTTAGTTTCAATATTGATACACGGGCAATAGACTCACTAGTGATTTGCGGATTCCGTTTACGAGTAGAAGAGGCTGAAGGTGTAGCATTGTCTGATTTAGGAGTGACTGAGTTTTGAGAGCTGGAATTTGGGACCTTGAGTGGGGCAACAGGCTTTGTCGGAGTATCCGATTTTGTATCTGAAGCAAAAGAGATTCGTCTGTCTTTGGGTTTTGGGAGGGGCATTTGGGCTTCAATTCCAGTTCCAGCAGATGTTGGGATCGGAGACTTAATTTCCCGAGATGGTGAGCTAGACGGAAGGATAGCACCGCCCTTGAGAGAAGATTTTCTAGTGCTCGGAATGAATGCTGTAGAAGACGAAGCTCTGTGCCGACCCGGCGTGCCTGATGTTGACCTTTTAATTTGATTTCGCGACTCTTGCGGCAAAACCACTTGAGGAGAGGCAGATTTCATGCTATTACTTCGCGATGCAGCGGATTTCTTTGGAAGAGCAGGGCTCTCGCTTTCACGAGCTCGCTTAGCGTTTTCACTTTTCAATCTCTCTTGTTCGACGCGCTCCTTTTCAGCATTCTCCTTCTCAAGTCTTTCCTGCTCAGCTTTTGCATCCAAATTTTTCTTCTCTCTAGCTTCTCTTTCTTGCTGCTGCTTGAGTATGTTCTCTTTCTCAATTCTTTCCTGTTCGGCTTTTTGTTCCCGGTCCTTCTTTTCCTTCGCTTCTCTCGCTTGCTGCTGTTTGAGAATCCTCTCGTTTTCCATACGTTCTCGTTCCTCGGCTTCCTGCTTCTGACGCGCCTCAAGCTCCTCTCGTTCCTTCTTCAGACGGTTAACCTCCACAAACTTAGCTTGCTCTGCCTGCGCCCTTCGAAGGTCCTCAACCTCGAGTCTTTCCAATTCTTCTCTCTCCGCTCTCTCTTCCTCAGCAATTCTCGTGGCTTCAGCAGCTTTCTTTTCCTTCTCTTCTTTTCTTCTTTGCTCCGCTGCTTGAGCTGCCAATGTCTTCGCCCTCTTAACATCGGCAGCTTCTTGGCGCTCCTTGTCAGAACGAACTTTGCTCCGTGGCGTTAAAGGCAATTCTCCAGGTGACCCGACAGAGCCTTGGCCTCCAGAGCCCGAAGCACGTCGAGGCACGCTTGGGGGTGTATTGAGCTTACCCTTGACAAAGCTCAGACCCGGAAGGCCATTCTTCGGACTCTGTCGCATCTTCAATCCAGCTTTCTTCGAGTTTAAGATTGTTGCTATCGCTTCATCGTTGTCTGACGGGACAACGTCATATATACTTTGATCATGAACGTGCAGAGGGCTCTTCTTACTGCTACTTGCCGCAGGCTTGGCTGCTGAGTTCTCAGCTGAACCCAGATGAGCATTATTCACGGACTCAGAGCGTTTTCTGGCTGTTCCATTGACTGTGGCACCGTTGGAAGTGGCATTGGCAGTAGCTACCTGTTCAAACAGAGGACTGGTAGCCGCAGTTGATACTGATGTCCCCCGTTGAGTCGCCCGTGCAATATGATAACTGGCACTTTTCGATCGTGGAGGATTTGAAACTGCCGATTGCCCTCGTACAGCCGTTTCACCTTGTTGTACTCTGCTTTCGTTTGGTGGTTCGACATTGGATGGTCTATTCGTTTGACGAGTCGCAGACTGTCGCTTCCGAGCCTCAGTTTGACTAGGAACAAGGGGGCGCACTTCTGGAGGAGAGGGGGATGGTGACGGTGTCCCAGGAACTTCAAAATGGCTGTTATTTCTCATGGTTCGTGGTATAGGAGGGTTCCTGTCGCTGCTGTCTAGATCGACAGAGTCCTGGGAGCTGGGTATGATGTTTGTTCCTCGGATGTGTCCAACTGGGACCTTGTTCTCCGCTGCCAGTATTGCACTTTCTCGGGACGGGAGGGGTTGGTCTGGATCGGGTGCTGCAACCTTCTGTCTCTTTTTCGACCTTGGTGCACTCGCAGGACTTGCGCTTCTTCGTGCAACGCTTGACTCTCTCGCTCGTTTGCCTAGTTTCGACTTATTCAGATCGAGGGAATGATTGTATCGCAAAGCTGAAGTCGGGGGAACAGAATCGCGAATGGTAGGATGGGTGGCAGCTTGAATGATACGGATCGTCGCAGTGTTTGTAAAAAGATTGCCCACTATCTCACTGCCTGTGATATCAAATCCCTCTTCATCCTGGCACTTCTTGATATTGAGTGGGCTGGCACAAATATATGTTAGCCAGAACCACATCGGGAGTACAATGGCACATACTCTCCATAATTGATTTCATGAATGCGCGAAGCTTCTTCGCAAAACTCCCACACCGTTGCGTCTGGTTTAGTCACCACTCTGAATAGTCGAACAGGTCGATCTGAAGTCGTAAGCACGGTGGGCGAGAACAGTTGTACTCTCAGCGAATAAGCTGGTAGCTGAGGGGGCAGCATGGTCGCCATTGTGATATAGTTTAGCAAGACACGGCTATATTGAAGCTGGTGAAGAGTTTCATAAGTGCATTGGGCAAAATTACTCGTAAGGTCTATCGTGGCAAAGCATTGATATGTAGATGATCAGATCAATCGACGGGGCGGGAAAGGCGAAGCTTTGGAAAGTTGAGATCACGTCTAAGGTCGCGTCGCGAACTTTAACTTTTGTCCCCACCAGCATTGACTTTTCTCGGCTATTTTGATTGACACTGGTGGGGTTGCGAGGTACCTTTCGTACGATAAGCAGACGAAACGCGGTACCTAGGTATTTCTTCTATCAAACTAACGAAGTATATTATTCGTATGTCAATTGTCTCTAGATAATCAGACTACTTTGAGCGTATTTAGATAAACGAAAGTTCCGACATATATAATCGCCTAGTGAATACCTTCTCGCGTTGCCGGATCTTGTATTTCTCCTTGTCCATCAATGCTCTTCTCTCACCTTCCAGTAGAATTATATTGGAGTCAATTAAGAATGCTGTATTCAGATTAGTTTTCAGTGATTGTTTTCCGCTTCATTAAACCTTCGATATACTATTCAGGTCGAAAACACCAATCGCGCCAGAACGAGTCCAAAGTTCTCTTTCCCTTGAGGAGTACTTATCGAGCAGATCTGTGCCAGACAAATCATCCAGCCACTATTCCAACAACTTATATCCTATGCCCAGACACCATTTAAGTCCAACATAACACCAAACCCAAATATACATCTCCTAACCCAAACTCCACATTACCCATCCAAATCATAACCCCTCCCCATCCTACTCAAACCCAACTCCTCACCAACCCCCAAAGCCATCCAACACCCACCGCAATCCCCCCTAGACAACCCATCCCCAGCGCCAACAATCCAACAGCAACACTATTTCTCAACCGAAACGCATCATCCATCTCCGCCTTCATCATATGTCTCTGTTTACTATGCCAATACCACTTCTCCCCCTCCTCTTTCCCCTCATTTTCCCCCTTCCGCTTCCCCTTCGCATCTGGACTCCTCACCCTCTCATACGGATTCTCCTTCTCCTTAAACACCAGGCCGTGGAGGAAATTCCGTATACGACAGAGTGTGCTAGGCGGAGAAGAGGAGCGCAAGGCGGTGTTATGGGAGTCGACAAGGGCGAGCGAGACGAGGAAGGTTATGAATGTTAGGGGGGCTATGAGGAGCTTTGTTTAGTTAGAGAGGAGGGATTGTGAAAGGGGAATGGGAAGGGGACTAACTCTTGAGACGGCGCTTTCTTTGGGGGATTCTGGTGGTAAAGGGTTCTTTAGGGCTGATCGCGGGGAAGTTGGTCTGGAGGCCATTGTGGATTATGTCGCATGTATCTTTGGTATTGATGAATTCTCACGTTGGAGAAGAATCGTAGAGCAGTTGGATAAAGGGTAACATGTCCTTAGTACAGAGGGGAACTGTGGTTATAATTAAAATTATCGGATAGCTTCGGATAGCTTTGAAGGTGTGAGTGCAGGGGTCACGTCATTGTCTCAGGTACGAGCCACGAAGATTTGACAGTTGGGCTCGTCAAACAGAGGCAAAAGGGTTATTAAGTTCATTACCGACTCTTGAACTTCCTCAGTTGGAGAGCCTGAAAGACTTTTCTAGTTCATTGATCATCGTGTCGAATAGAATAGGCTGGATGCCATGCTGCGCACCCATCGTATTCAGCGTATTCATCAGCTATTTCAAGCCTTGCAAGGTTCCAAGGTTGAAAAGCAGGGGCCATGACGATCAATTGGCCAGACCCCTCCTCCCCCTTTCACCTGTAGCCGACGTTCACCAGTGGCTCTCCTATGGATTTACGATTTCCATTGTCTTATTTTTATTTCTGTCTTCATTATTTGAGCTGGACGAACTTTTGATCTAGCAGGGTATCTCCAACATCAGCAAGTTTATCCAGTTCTGCTGTTGGCAATGTTCAAAACTAGGATATCTGTTGCTCCAACTTCTGTTAATTCATCCATCACGGTAGCAATCTTCTTCTTTTCTACCATGGAACTGACTGCCACCCAGCCTTCCTCTTCAAGAGCATTAATGGTTGGTGCTCGCTTTCCTGGGGTGATTTTGGCAGCTTCCTGTAGCTTCTTGCGCTCCACGTTGTACTGGCAAAGAACATATTTTTGGGCGGCTGACAGAATTAGCATATATGGAACGTAAGCCATCAACTCGCACTTACTGATTACACCTCTAATTCTCGACGCAATAAGATCGACCAGCTGTGGATTCGAGGGAGCTTTCGACTTGATCAATACTGCGATACTCGAGTGAACCGTATCAATTGCTTTCAGCCCAGCCGCTTTCATAGTCTCGCCCGATTCTAGCCCAGATTTAGCAGCATTACAGCGAAGGGATGTTGCTCTTCTTCTTACCCACGAGATCGACAATTCCATCTGCGACACCAAGCGCGCAAGCCGCCTCTACACTTCCACTCAATTCGATTATTTTGGTCTTGAGCTTTCGCTGCGTTGCTCCAGCATCTCCATCGGCCTCCTTTTCTAAATTCAGAAAGTACTCCTCTGCCAGATGAACGAAACTTGTTCCGATATTTTTGCCAATTAAATCCGATGGTTTGGCGTATGGTCCTTTCTCCGGAACCTGAACTTGTAATTTGCAAGCACCAAATGCCAAGTCCATTACCTCTTCACATCCTTGATGGGTATCTTCTTCGGTCGGTGTGCTGTTTCCTGACTCTGCCCGTTCTCTTCTTAGTTGCCCCACACCAGTCTCATGCTCTGCTACAGTATCCCGTCCAGTAATACCAATATCAACTCGGCCCTCGCCTACGAAAGTAGGAATGTCGGCGGCGGGTAGGAAAACGAGCGCGATTGGGAAATTCTTGACGAGTGCAATGTCAAGCCGGTTTTCTCTTCGAAACTGTATATCAGCACCTTCGAGTAGGTTCAGTGCTGCTTGTAACAGCCTTCCCTCTGCACATAAATGTCAGATCCGAACGGTAATTGGATGTTTTGTTGACTCACTCTTAGGGACTGCAAACAGCAACCTCCCCTCTAAGCTTTTTGGATTGTTAGCCAAAAGTTCAACATCAGGTAGATTTAATCCTAGTAAAGGCATTTTTACAAGAATTTGAATTGCTTACTGATTTACAAGATCCATTGCGCAACTCTTATGGGTGCGCCCTCTTGGTTATACACTTCGTTGACGCCCAACTTAAACAACACAAAGAACTCCGACTGCGGGGCAGTTTTTTTCCAAAGCACCTGAGTCGCTGAAATTGATATACAGTATTTAGGCAGATGTAGCACCGCAGCTCAAGTGCAAAGTCGTACAGGTGGTGAAACACTGTGGACAAACCGAATCCAAGCACGAGTGAAGATATGCGACTTTCAATTGGAAAGCAAGAACTGTGATGTGTATGCGAAAGTCCACATTCGGCAGACCACAGAGAGTGAGGGAGACTGGCACCCCACCTTCCTCATTCGGAGCGGGACCTCTATTTTTCCGCTGCAGTCACCATGGGCAGCTGCCCAGATGGTCCAAGCGCCCATCACTAAATTTTAGCGAGTGCCAGAATTCCCACAATCCCAAATTTCGTGACCGAATCTTAATATCGTCGTCGACAGCAAAACTACACATCCATCAACCCGACAATCCACGCGCATCTTCATTAGTCAGTACCTGTCGAGACACCTTATTTCAACAAGTCGCTAACATCTTCAGATCGCAAATATGGATTCCTCAAAGGTCCCCGTCAAGCTTGTCAAGGTCACCCGTGTTTTGGGCCGAACTGGTATGTTACGCATGGAAGGAATAGCGAAACGAGCGATTGTGAGCGGTTCTGATGGGTTATAGGTTCCCGTGGAGGTGTCACTCAAGTCAGAGTCGAGTTCATGGACGATACCACCAGAAGCATTATCCGCAACGTCAAGGGCCCAGGTACGAACCTCCACTCCACCAGGACGAACCAGCACGAGTCGGAATATTTGAGGGCTCAATGCGATGGAATTTGGAATGAGTGGCATACTAACTGTTAAAATAGTCCGTGAGGATGACATTCTCTGCCTGCTGGAGTCCGAACGTGAAGCTAGACGATTAAGATAATTCGGTTGGGAAGTTGGGTGTGGGGAAAATGGGAATTTCATTGACTGGTGTCTGCATACAATTTGCTACGGGATCGGGCGTGTACTTTGAGATACTCAATTGAGGGAAGGCAATCTTCGAAGCCGAAAATACACCAGTTCTTCACCAAGCAAATCGCACTGGATCTGACCGATCGACGTGAACGTGACGTACAACGAGTGAGTGGTGGTTCTGGGAGGGATGAGCATTTATTTTCGACAGAAAGCACGATGGGCCAACCGCCACTCAAACATGTCCATTTTCATCGAATCGAAAAAGAGGCCTCTGGAAACATCTCCAGATGTGGCCCTTACGGTGGCAATACTGCAATAAGTGCCTGGTTTCCTTCTAGGACCATAACCTGAAATCCCTGCATTAATCGAGAGCTTTGAGCTCTTATTTTTGTATTGCACATCCATGCCATCTACATTATTTCCCGTTGGTTTTTTCATTCTTGGGTTGGCAACAAACCAATCTGGCAGGCCACAGGTTCGTCCATTACCGGACGGTGGCTTCAATCACAGGACCGGTTGTGGCCGTAAAGTGACAATCTTCATTAGATTCTCGGTTTATGACCGTCTTTTGTGGATATCTCTGTCCAAATGCGACACTGGGAGAAATGCCGCTTGGAACCTATCACATTAGATTTTAAGCCAGTTGCCATCAGCAAGTGCTCAAAGGTTTCTGTCTTGAAATTTGAATGTATAAAAGTCGTTCTTATTATGTAACTATGAATGAAAAAGTGTTTGCTCAACGTATTGAGCACATATTTTCCCAAGACTCCATTCGCCAGCACCATCTAAATCCCAATTGCCTGAATTACTTGTTTCTGTGCCCGTCTCTTTTCAGCGGATCCTCGCGTTGATCGCATTTCCTCTCATCTCTCTGCTGTTGGTTCCCCTGGGAACCCAATTCGTACACTCAACAAGATTCTCCTGGTGGACACCCATTCTCATCATCTTTTCCATCGCGTTGGTAAACATGAAGTCGAATCTGGCCTTGTTGTTGATCATTTTCGCCATCTCCGGTCCGACTTTTGGGTGTTGAGCGAGGTTGGTATCGCTCGTGAAGGGTGTCATGCCTGGACATGGCTTGAAGACTTCAGAGTAATATGTAGTATCCCATATTCCTGGGGTGGTATCTTGAGCAGCTCCAACAGTAATTTTCGATGTCCCGAAAGCTTTGGACACCGAATGTGCCCCCATCAATCCAGCCAATTCCGTCTCGTTAATTCCCTTCTTCAGGAACAACTGATAGTTCGTCTCGCCGTCAGCGAAAGGGCTCGGCAATGCGCCACGCTGCGAACCCGTCATGCTATCGTTTCTTCCAACATATGTCTTGATTCTAGGACCTCCGGGACATGAGACAATTGCAACACTGGCGCTGACGGCGATGAGATCTGCAACAGATACACTGGGATAAGCGATTTTCAGTCCTTTGACCTTGACGGACCAATCTGCGAGTCCGGTGTTTTCGATGCGGTCAGCGAATTCATCGGCGTTGACGAGCGACCCGTCACAACCGCCGCTGTAGCCCTGGTCTTCCGACCAGGTTGCACAATCGTGGAATGCTCCCTATTAAGGCAGTCAGTATCTAGTTCTATGTCCTGTTGTACACTGTGTAACTTACGCGGATAGCCGCTCGTGCGTCATCAGTACATTGTCTATCAGCTCCAATAAACCTCTTGCTCAGATCTGCGATGATTGTTTGCCAGATTTCTGGACACTGTCCTGCTGGTGTACTTGGCTGAGGCACTGGAGGAGCATTTGTCTGTGCTGGTTGTGTCCAAGATGGATGAGCGTGATCTGGTGGTCCAGTTGGATGCCACTCGGTATTTGGGCGGGGAAATGGTCGACAATCACCCTCTGGCGTTCCAGGCATTCCAGGACGGTTCCATTTTCGATTCTGTTCTTGATTCTGCTTATCCGACGGACGCCTGACGAAATCTGGAGCTGCTCTGATCATGTTCACACTTGCTTCACCCAACTTTGCAAGCGACATTGCTTCGACTAAGGATACCGCCACCACTATCATAGTAAAGACTGAAGAACCCATCTTGAAAAGGGTTTGAGAAAATTGGGAGATAATGAAAGGAATTGAAAGCGAACGGTATCTCACGTGTCGTAAAGAGAGGCTGGGAACAAAAAGTATCCACTGGGGGCGATACAGGTCTATATATCTCGAAAGCTCGACCTCGCATTGCTAGTTTAGAACTCAATTCCAACGGTCAACCCTCGCCTCACATACTTGCTAACCCGATCTTGCCGTTTCTCAATCCGTGCCAGCCGTAACGGTTTCTCTAGAAACATAACCTCTCAATATCGCATCCAAATCACCGGAACATACATGCCACTACAACGCTCGAAGCAAGCATGATCGTCCCAGGGAAATTGGGAATCCTCTCACACAAGCAACTAATACGAGCACTAACCCCAATTCGAGCGAATGAAAACGAGCTTCGAAATTGAGATAATCATGATGCAACAGCATGCTGTACGCTTGTAGCGTTGTGAAGTCAAAAGAGCGGACTTCCGCTGACATAACTGTTGGCTGATTACCGCATTGGGATATATGTTTTGGTTAGGACGTACAGTGATCGGAGGTGGCTAAAAGCTTGTTTTCTTTAGTTCTCTTTTCCGAGGTTCCGTGGTGTTGGTGCAGCGATGGATTTGTTGGTTAATTTCCAGTGTTAGAGTTTGTGGAACAAACTCAAAGAGCTCGTTTTCGTGCTGATATTAGAAGTAAGTTTGCGTGTAGCACATTGTGACTGTGTTTAGAAAAGTAGATATGATTGGATATATTTGACTTTAATGTATGTTGGTCGTACCGTAGGTTTGAGTTCTACACCTAAGTGGGAAAAGTTGGTCTACAGCCCTATGAGACAGAGGTGCATAGACTTGACGCTCGCTTTGCAACAACAACTGCAGCTGGAATAAACACTCCTAATTCATAAGATCATCTCATAATAATTTAACTCGCCATCCAAATATCCTGCACACAGCCGCCAGACTTGAGAAATCTAACACGAGATAGTCTCACCTAGGCAAACAATATCTCCGACACCAATCTCGCAAATCCCGAAACCCAACACTTTCCCAAGAACCAAGAAGAAATTACCGAAAATCCAACAATTCTCCGTCGCCGTCTTATCCATTACCTGCTCACAAGCACCTGGCATTATAACATTTCCCATCATGAAGTCATGATAGAACTTGGTAAGTTGAGGTTCTCATAACACTAACACCTTCGGCCAATCCCGAGCGCCGAAAAATCAAGCTTAATGCTGGTTTCGGGCCAAGCCATATCTCCTCGGTTTTGCACAGTTTCAAGTGTCTCGCTAAGCAATTAGGGGAAAAGTCAATCTGACAATCGTCCTCTCACAGGTGTTTTGACATCACGTACTTTGTTGTGCCTTGGATGCGGGAGGTTTAAATTCTTGAAATTGTGAGAGGGAATTGAAATTGGCATGATTAACTAGATGGAGAATTGACGCGCGATTGGCCGGTTTGGTGGGTTGCGCGATGGTATATCCTGTGAGTGTGCAGATTGTCGAAGGCAATTTTGGAAGATCGAAAGCTTGATCTGAAACGATCTTAAAGTCTCGCCACATTCTTGTCTTTCGTAAAACCCCTTACATCTAAGGTCTACCGTGTTCGCCCAGCTACCCACCAACTATTGATCTTGTCTTTTGATATCAATCTATTGCCTCAGCGCAGGCACGGAGTCTCCTCCCAATTCCAACGACCGAAACCACCACACCATCCGCCGAATCCTCCATTTTCAGACCCCAACACCCGTAGATTCTCACCCAGAAACAACCGTGGTTGGCAATATCTCACGTTCCACGGACGTCCTGACACGTTGGTTTGCAGCTCCCATGTGGGGTGTTCTTCCCCTCGCTTCAGCCGCATCATGCACAAGTGCTTGCCGCTAGCGAACCACGAGCTTTCCATGTATTTTACCATTCCAACGGGTTGTAAAACAAATACTCGTATAAATGTGGGAGAGGCTTGCCGTGTTCTTACTTGCATGAACTGGCGAAGGGGGGTGCGAGAAACTGGTGCCTGAAGCTGAGGATTCGCGATTGAGTTTGAGGGTGTGGAAGGAATGTCTTGTGATTTTTTATACTTTTCATGCGTTTTTTGAGAGTGATTAAAGACAGAATGTTGGTTTGACTGAGATGCGAGGGCTGGTGGCTTGCAAGCCAATGCATCTCAAAACATGGTCGCGAAGTGAAGGGTGCATCTGCACCTACCAGTTGGACATGACTGCATAATTGCCTCTTTAGGATTGTACCTAGACTTGTTCGCAGAGGCGTTTTTTGCGTTCTAAGCGAGCACACGCCGCTTCGTCTTAGTGTTCCAAGTCACTGGGTGTGAAATATTGAATAATCGGTGCACTGGACAAGAAGTCTAAGATGTTAGATGCTCCGACTTGGCATAACGTCTTCCGAATAAGACACCCCGACGTGGCTGTCGGACGGGACATCTTGGAATCGGGCTTGGACCGAGTCTTATATCTTGAGGCTTGCCAGGTAAGCCACACGCTTTGGCGTTCAAGCCTGGAAACCCGATGGCATGTCAAAGAGATATAATCACGCTGGAATCTAAGCCATGGTCTGATGAAATGAAGTTGAAAGTTGAAAGTCTGTGAGTAAATGAATTGATTAGATGACAGAGCGCCAACATGTGAGACAATAGAAGCAGGCCCAACTCCACTGATAGCAATTTGAGACAAGAGTTTGTCAAAGAAAATACTCAAATAGCTCCCAACGACCGTCTTTTCCCTGACAACAGCATTTGATTCGGATACCGTTCATGCTGTCGTTGTTTTTGGCTTATCTTCAATTTTGGTGGTAGCTGAAGTCGTTTTCGGCGGATCATCACTCTTGGTACTTGTCGCTAAAGTGGTCGGTACTGTAGTCGATGTGACTGGCTTACTAGTCTTTGGTCCCCCATTCTTGTAGTAATCTTTCAGGGCTTGCTCGATAACAAGACCATCAGGGTAAGCATCGAGATTTTGGAAATACGGAAGCAGTACATTTTGAATCTGTCCGAGGTCGGTCGGTCCTGTGATTGGCTTTGCTCGGAAAAGCGGTGCCATTGGGTCAATGAAGTTGATTGTGTCAGGATAGCCGAAAGTTGTCAAGTCGACTTTGGACACGTTGAATGCAGCCATCATATCGTGATCTTCATGTACGAGGTTATGACAGTGGAACATGTAAACACCAGACCAGGGAGCAAAGTTTGCCATCACCTCAACTTCCTCTGTTACATGTTAGTGACCTCCAATCCATGTAGGTGCAAAGAGATATCATACCATTTGTGCCTAGATATACGACATCTTTCAGGGACGCCGCCTCATAAGGTGTGACACCTTGTCGGCCCGACCCGACTCGGGAAACAACTTGGAAGTCGATCAGATGAATATGAATTGGATGACTCCAGCCTTATTTTCAATTAGCATGATTGTACTAGCTTATGAAATATATTCAGACTCACCTCCACTTTTATTTGTCAAACGCCATCTCTGTACTTTACCCTGAGGTGGAAACGCGACCACGCGATTCGCAATATCTTCAAATCCGATCCCGTTGATAAGCCATTGGCCATTCTTTCTTTCAAAAGTGAAGGCTTGATCGACTTGCGATCGTGGATCTGGCATGTTGAGGTCACTCAAGTGGCTAGGAATGGCTCCATTGTTGACAGTCGAAGTAACATCGTTCCCAACCACAAATCGAAGCACACGATCAGTGGCAGGATAATCTTCAACATAACAAAGATTTAGCGCAGGTACTGAAAATCCAAAAAAAAACTATAGGCAACTGACTGAAAACTCGCTATAAACATGCGAATGAAGGATTTGTGTAGTCAATTCCACGCTTGTAAGTGTACTCACCTGGATTTGTTTGAAAGTCTCTCGAGTTCATTAAGGTGAGATTTTTGCCCTTGTATTGATCGAAATCTATCACAATTTCATATCTCTCAGCCATTGCAATGACAAGATTTGTGGTCGGAACACTTCACGGTGTTAGTGGACTCCTAGAACACGGGAAGGAAAAGCTCACGGATGATCAGTGTAGCCCGCATCAGCTCCCACAACAGTGAAGGTTAGAGGAACCTTTGGTTTTGAGTCTTCAACGAGATAAAGACTGAAAGTCCTTGAGATGGAAGCATCCAGAAGGCGAAACTTGTATTTGCGTGGCTCTACTTTTAGATAAGGCCAAGGCTGTGCGTTGACGGTTATGACATCTCCGTATAGACTGACTCTCTCATCTTCAGGTGATTTGAGCTTTCCACTGGCAAGAAATTGCTTGCCGGCTAGCATCAAAGGTATATCGTATTTGCCAGTAGGGAGCCCAAGTCGATCTGATACAGCTTGATCTTCAAGAATGTAGAAGCCAGCTTGACCAAAATATGCGTTGACAGCAGTTATACCGAGTGCATGATCATGATACCATAAAGTTCGAACTGGTTGTGCGTTGGGATAGTAGTAGTCTTTGTATTCTCCTGGTTCAGTAACATCTTCAGCCCAGCCATCAAATGGTGTTCGAGAGTATGATCCATGGAGATGTATAGATGAGTTGCGATCATAATTGTTGACAAACCGGACGACAGCTTCCCTACCCTTTGTCATACGAAGTGTCGGTCCTGGTGCTATACCATTGTAACCAACATATGTAGTTGTATTCAATCCAGGATAGGTTTGACTTTCGAAGGCATGTATGTTTATCTCATAGAAATCTATCGACTTTCCGGTTGTTGTATTGGTGTAAGATGTGGACGGCGGGAGATCTGGAGGAATAGGTAGTTCAACTTGAAAAATGGGTTTGTATCTATTGAAATGTCAGTTTTATCTCCCAAACACCCAGTCCTCCTCGATTTTGTGACCAGCAAAACTCAATGTGGCGTTTTGAAAATTGCTGAGTTTGGACGTGAATGAATGATCAGTGTGACGCATGATACGCGTTAGCAGTCGCATCTCGGCTCCAAATTCGAAAGAAAAGGGAGCCGAAGAACTCAAAAAAGCAGATCTTCAATTTATCCGCCGTTGGAATGATGTAGGACAACATACTCTGGAGAAACCCATGGATCAATGCCAGCCTTGGCCGCGTGCAAAAATGCTGCAGCCACAAGAATTACGCAATGGAAATACATGGTACTGGGTAATTGAATGCGGAACTTTAAAGTGCCCAGGCGATCTAAAGAAATTGCCAAGTTGCTTGACTACCGCCATGTCTTATATATCCCAAGTAAAGCAAATCATCGAGTTCTGACTACTGTCCGAATCGCTTTCTTTCGACTGTCCAGATATCATGACCTCCAAGCAAAGAACAGGCAGACCACTCGAAAACGAACAAAAAAGCCATCTTTCTGTGGAAAACTGAGACAAACGCGATCCTCCTGGTGCTCCGATAACAAAACATTAGCAGCATGGCGAAAGAGACGGACAATCAGCTGATTCAGTGACACATGTTAAGTCAGACATAATCACACCGTATGAGCATCGAGTGTAGGAAGCTCATGAGCGCCAACAGTCTTCCATGAATACAATATTACGACTCAATTGGTAACACAAACAAAGCCTTTGAGCTGCTGTGGAGGCCTGAAAAAGCGCCTCAGAATATGCCGGCCTGATTTCCTTCAAAAGCGCACCAATAGCCTCATAAGGAATCATCTTTCCGCATGCTTGAGGACTTCCTCTAATAGAATCAGCGGAGAGAATAAGACCGATCAAGCATATGCTGGCGGAAGGCGAGGGCTTGGGGCTGACTCTGTGTCTCACTAGAGCATTCACTCATCTCGTAAATGATGTAAAATTATTGGGACATAGTATGCGTATTGAAAGAGTTGTAATAAGAGCATTGGCTAGCCGTAAGGTAGTGTTGTTGTACATGTTGTTGCTGGCAAACAGGAAGACGTCAAGGTTTCTCGCTTCTATAATCGGCGTGTTATCGGATCCCGGAGCAGACATCGGAGACTTCCGGAGGCGGATAAACAAAACAGCGACCTCTTCTTTCTCTCGGCGATCAATTGCAAAGTGGTTTCCTCACCAATTCAACGTTTCTCATCAACTCATGTTCACCATCTGTTCCATCTGTTCAGACAAAAATTTACGGACTGTTCCCGTATGATGTTTCCTATTATTCCATAAGATTGAGTGTATACGAAGTGGCTGCCGCACACATGCTGGACCCTGCCTTTGCCATGCTGTTTGCAGGATGGTGACAGCAGTTGTACGACCCTCCAAAGGCAGGTCCTTGACGGTCTGAACAGGGACTCAAACCTGGCCGAATGGAATCACTACATACAAGCTAATGAGTCCTCAGCTGAGTGCGTAAGTTGTACACATTCATTGAAGTATCATGTGAACTGATTGCTTGTGTTAGGCGCTGATCTCTCACTGGAGCAACTTCCGAGCCCCAAAATTGGTTGTGTAATACGCCTGTGGTTAGTTATTTGAGAGCATGTATTATTGACGTTCTTATAAAGTTATCATGTCTTTATTGCTACATTGGAGGTCGCCGGGACGCCAGGAATCGTAACTTCACAATCCGTTTTAATTGGAACGTGCAGTTTACGTCCATGAAGATCTGCTATTTTCTAACTGATTTTGGCGTTGAAATTGACCTCTATATACTCGAACCCACGGTACTGGAAAGGCTGCAGAGCTTTGGTCACTGAAGTGCATGGCCCGTTCTCCAGTGCCACTTCAAGGACCAAACTCGGGCAGTAGGCAAAAGGATTGAGTCACAGCTGAATTGCGACAATCCTTCAAGTCTCCCAGTTCGATCCCCGATTGCGTTTTCCATTCTATCCCCGTCATAGACAAGTTAGTGTCGCCCGAGGCAGGATTTGTGAGAAGTCAAATGAGCATTACAATCTTGCCTCGGCCTGGGGGTGTTCTGAGGTTAAATTCAACCCTAGTCACATCCTCTTCAAAACTCAATTGCCCATAGGCCTAAGAAACATTATGATGATAGCCGCTTACCATATCCTACAATGCGGGTAGCCTTATCGCTCTTACTTTTCTCTTCCTACCACAAGATACCCAATTGACAGTGGGGGAGCGTGATACGTTCCTCATTTCTTCAACCATGAAAACTTTTCAATGGTATCCCTACGGATGGCTGGTACATTCTATAGGCTGTGCAAACTTGAGAGAATGCATTGCTGGATGTTCTCTTGACTTTACCCATCCACTCAATGATTCTGAAATCTTCGGCGACTACTTTGTGGGGTCATTCATTGAAATATCAGCATACAAGTTATGCTCTGATAGGCGATACATAGGAAAAGTCCCTCAAACCTGAGGTAGTCTTTTCATTTCCTAACCGAGTCAAAACTAACGACTTCTAGGGCATTCAAAGAATTCTACACACACTTCCAAGAAACTCATCGCTATCCCAAGGTCGTTCTAGATATGGTAATCAGACGGGATATCCAACAATCGATCGCGTCTTCTCGGAGTCAATAACCCTATTAATCGATGGTGCACCACATCAATCTATATCGGCGAGAGTGGGGAGACGACTGCAACTTTCAGTCATGTCCCTGTTAATCTCAGCCCGTACCCAGACAGCAGTTTGGATTGAAGTATATCCATGTACAGCCACACTCAGCCCAGATATGTTCGACTCATGTCGGTCCACGTCGCAGATCTCTTCTGGATTCTGCGATTTTACCTGGTGGCCTATCAAGGTGAAGGTCCGGTATCGCACAGCCACCCACCCACACGATGAACATCGAACGCCCTATCAAAGAGGTTCGGGTATAATGTCGAGTTCTGCACCTATATTCGCCAGTCTAACGGCGTTTAGCATAGCTCTTTCTTTACTAGCTCGACCGATATCTGCAATTCGATTTGGGATAAGATCGTATGATCCAGCCCATTCGCTTAAACTCCCCGAGGCATTGGGCATACTGATATTGCGTTATAATCTGGGTCAAGACTATATCACGCTTAACATCAGTTGCTAATGCCGTTGCAAACCTGCTACTTCCATCACACCCACTAGTTACATTGTGGTGGTAATATGCCTGTCACTCCTTAACCCCCACAAAGTCATTTTCTAGACGGCTGTTCTTGTGACTGCAAGTGCCGTACCAGATACACTCTCTTGCTATTTCTGCAAGAGTTGGCTCAAATGTTTTTGCTAAGGGAAGATTGAGAGCGTCATCAATCCTGGGCGAGCAGGCTTCAATGTCTCGCCTAGACCACAAATCCTGGGAGCTTATGATCACACGCGACTACTCATCTCTAGATCCTCTAGCTGTCAAGTGAAGCGATAAGTCTAGTGTATTTGCTGCTTTTGTTTTGCGTATCACATGGATCCTCCAAGCTACAACAAACAGAGAACTTGTCCGTAGCTTAGAAACATACGATTGACTCATCAATGTTACTTCTAGCCTTGCTTTATTTCTTCCCCATCCTGCAACACTCTTATGGCTGCTAAGTGTGTGCATTTGATTACAATTTCAATCCGCCTTGCAGGTGCACCTGCGGCGAGGGCTTGCAACTCTTCACGAGCACTGCATGTACTTTCACGGCAAACAACCAACGAGCAATGTTCAAGTATCTCCGTACTGTGAGTAAGAACGCCTTAGATTGGTAGCAGGCAACAGCGTTGAACTCGTTTGCCGAACTAATTCTGCGCCAAGGCATTGTGGCTTTCCTGCCCCTGTTGTTTGCAGCCTTCCCGAATGGTTTGTTCATGTTAGCTGAATACGGGATGATGCACCTCTAACCCAAACAATACATTTGCAGCAACATATTCCGATTCCACGGACCCCACAATGATGGTTCATATTTCACGTGGGTCCCGAATCCTCGGATGTTTATCCATAGAACTTGCTAGCCTGTCCTGTCTTCAGACTGTATAGTTGTGGCTGACTATAGACGGTGGCTTGCGTGGGCAATTTCCTTTTCTCATAGCAAGCCTTTCTGCCGTGTGAGACAGTAGTTGACCCTCTACTTTGCATCAAATGACCGTCGTGTTTTAATTTGGTTGATCCAACTCTTACTGTTATTCGACCCGCTTCAATGTAACACATGTTCTCTTGAAGCCCGAGGGTGTAGTAATCTTGTTGCGACGGTTCCTAAAAGGTCTTCTCGTCCGCTTATCATTATCGTGTGTACCCCTCCGATTGATAGAGTCAGATAATAAGGGATTCGTTAATCCTTCTTATCCCGCTCTACCAACAAACGTTGTACTTCGTGACCGGATTGATTCTCGGTCGATCCTGGCTAATGCAGGTGTTCCGCTGCTGATTCGTTGATGACCCTGCATCGAGGCGGCTCACTGCAGCACCCCCAGCATGTTCAGGCCGCTGAACTCGAAATCAATACTTGATGACGGCAAGGAACTTGGAACAGACTTCCGCCCGTCGTCGTAAACCTCATCAACATACGAGCCTCTGAGCTTTCTCGAAAGTCTGGGGATCATGTCTCACTAAACGTTATTCCCGCTGTCTGCCGACTCAACCTTAAATGTGTTTACTGGGCGGAGTTGTAGCTGTCATCAAGATCATATCCCGCTGCTCACTTCTTTTGATAAGCCGAACAATTCGATTGCCGAGGAGCATAAGCTCTATTGCAAATTTTAACAAACAATCTTTCATACTTGTTACGTCTGATTTACAGCGCTCTGGTGTCCTTCATTAATCTTAGCGAACTCAATGATGCTGCTTGCCGACTTCGCTACCATGGAAAACGACATGCACCTTTCGGCCATCGATTTCGCACACCGCAACAAAAATGGCTTCAAATTGTGCCGTGCGTGCTTGGCGAAGCATGACAGGCTCTTTACAAGCCTGGAACTTTCAACTCGCACTTTCGTATGCCAAAATAAGCTCTTACAGCACCCAGTGCGAGTGATGCAGCCGCTGAGCTTTGTACATGCAACCACTACGGTATGGATATCCCACCAAATCCTGTTCTGAGTTTGGGTCTAGTCCGTTTTAGCCATACGGTAGCGAAGGAAAGTTGGGCTATTCTTTGCCACGTTTTTGGCATGGTTTCCACGGAAGCTTGCCTGCAGCAAAAAGAGATCCAACGAGATGCGGACGTGCTCAGGCACGACGGCTTGCCAAGCTAGTCAAGCTCCTAGAGGGGCTTCGGATCCCTCGGGGAGATATTCCACAGTTTGTAACATAACCTGTACACTGCCTTAGCTGCTATCAGCAGCCTCAAATTTTGCATGTTTCATTTCAACCTCTAGAATGGAGCCAATATACAATCCGGATTACTTTTCGCTTTCAGAAGGGAAGATTCACGAACCTCAAGAATGGAGTGTAAGTATTGTTCTTCATATCCTACTCGCCTCAGACTAACGGGCCTTTAAAGCACGACTGGGCGCCTTTAACTTCGCCCTGGGAATCAAGAACTCCACCAGAGCTACCACTTGCTATTTGGCAGTATACAACCGCTGCTCTGAACCAACAGAACCGCATTGAAGTAAATTCTATGAATGATTTACCATTTGCATCCTATCAGTTATCATCGCCCACATCTTCAATACTTCCTAGTCCAAATGATGCGCTATTTTCCCACCACGTAGCTTCATTACCTTCACCAGTAGTACGCCAGTCGCCCAATATGAACAGTGGCGAGCGAAAGCGACCACGAAGTGAGAATAGCATCGAAGACGAAGATGATGACTCAGGTGGCGAATCTTGGGATCACAGTCCAGCCCAGCCTTCAACGAGTCGAAAATCATTGAAAAACTCTAACAGCCAACGGGCGACATCTACGAGTGATGAAGCATCGATCAGAAATGCAAAACGAACACATACTGTCGTTGAGAAGAACTACAGGGAGAGGTTGAATGATAAGATCGCCGATTTAGCCGTCTATCTGTTCGAGACAAGTTCAGATGGTAAGTCTTTTTATCCAAATTACCCCGCATCGAACTCTGCGTCAAACTAGTCTAAATTAGCTGCATTACTCGGTAATTTATTTCAACGACATTGCATTGATGTTGATCTTTTGATTTATGTTGTGGAACCTGCGATATTATGCGTGGTTCGGCATTAGTGTTCACTTTGGAAGCTAGCTTACCGGATCTCAACCACACCCATTAATTTTCAGGCTCTTGATTTTTTTGTTAAATAAGAGCTCTGTCCTGCGTTCTTTTCATTTCGCGTTTCGCATCGTCGCGGTAATATCAATTGGAGATCTTTACTAACAACCTCCCTTTTAGCTCGTGCCAAACCATCCAAGTCGCTCGTCATGACCCGCGCAAAAGAACGTCTAAAACAACTCGAGACCAGGAACAAGAGCCTGGAGAACGAGGTCGTCAAGCTACGGCAGCAAATCGCCATCTTGGATCACATCGTTAGCGAGAAAAAGGATAAAGAAAAGAATACGGACACTTGAGTGATGAGATCCATGGAGGTAATTTAACTTTCGGGGCGTTGACCATGTGCATGGGCGTGGCTGTGGATACATCTCTTGGGGCTTTTACGGGTCGGGCTTTTGTTTTAAATTCTGGGTCTGGCGTGTATTTAATTGGGCATGCAGGCGTGCGGATATGCTTTCGGGATCACCACACATACTTTACATACACTCATTCATTTATGGACCTTGATCTATCTAATTTTGTGGCGACTTTTGACGTTTCCTGTATGTGGCCCCTGTATATGGTGGGGTACTAGTGTCGATGTAAAATATTGTTCACCATATGATCGATTTCGTATGACAATCTCCTCATTGATGAGCTGAACTTATTTGATTTATATCGTGCGAGCATGAGAGATGTATTATGGATATCGCTCCATGCGTCTCACGCATGATCAGCTCATAGGTGTATTCTGCTTGATATGTCTCATCTGAACCTCCCTTCGCCTTGCTCCCGCCAGAACAAAACTTTTCACATACTTTAGTGAGCTCAAGTCTCATATATTGGAGATAAAACTGTAGGATCGAGTAACCCTACATATAAATACTAGCTTAGCAACGGTGAACGCTCTCCTGGCCTTCGATACACTGTAGCAAAGCACTCTTTTCTCAAACAGCCGCTTGAGTGGGTTATATAGAGACAAGGCAGCCATTACCCAGCGATGTCCAGTGATGTAGGGTGTAAGTCCAAGCTCAGCAATCTTGAACATACCCCTAGCCCCTCAATTAGCCGCCCCGACGCTTGTTTTCCTCGAATATTCGCTTGACTGGATTATACAGAGATAACACAGCTATATCTGGCAATCCTGCGTGTGAATTCAAGCCCAACTACGTTGGACTTACTCCTAGCCCCCTCAATTGACCGCGGAACGCTCTCCGTCCTCGAATAACCGCTATGCACTCGGCTTAACCCCGTCTGGTGTGAATTTCGACTATGTGAGAAGATTAATGATGTAATACTGAGACAGTTGCCTATATGAAAACAGGCCTAGCTTACTGTGGCTCTCTCCGTGTGCTGTGGCATATGTGAATGTGTTCAAGAAGACTCTGAGGACAGGTAGATCAACATCCGGTCCACGACAAGCGTATCAATGGCTGGAATCCGCGTAATATAAGGTTCAATATGGTAGAGCTATATTGTACGAGTTGAAATACCTCAAATTGGAACTATCTTCGAACTCTCATATCGTAGATTTGTCCGATATCTCGACAATATGCTGCTGTCGAGGGAATGAGATACTGATAATTTGGTGGCTTTTGCAAGACTAGTGCGGTGGGGAACGTTGTGGATGCCATTGTTATGTCGTGAATTTGAAAAGTGATCGGCATATGTTAGGTTTTCATGGTGATATGATATCCGGATAGGAGGCTTCCGAGAGCACAATATGTAGTTACTACAAACATACAACCATCACGGAGAACATGAATTTTTCTCGTATCAGGATAGCAAGCAAAGTATTGTAGAACGATGAGAATCCTGTAGTATTGTGCTCTGTTCAATGATGTCTGAAGCAATTGTAGTTTTACGGAAACTTCCGCCTGCTATTGTCGGACTGTATTTCGCAGGCGGACGGCCATCATCGACTCAATCGAGGATATATATCTTTTTGAACGTTCCTAGGTGAAGTCTCCTGCTATATCATGATGATTATCGGCCCATTGCTCCATTCCTTCACCCAATTCCATCCAAAATTTGCTCAGTGGTTTTATGTGGGCCCTATGTCTTCCAATTATGTTGCGAGACTTGTCGCGAGACGTGTGTTCAAGCCCTGGCGGACTTTCTGCCATTCACTCCTACCCACGATGGCGCTGATAAGACTCGGACAATGCTTTGAAGCGGCCTTATTCCATGCTAGATTGGGTGAAATCATTCCAATTTGCTAGCGCGAAAAATTCCACACAGAAAAGGCATAAATTCAACTTGATTTCCACATACTTCGACCTCAAAACATCGATCCATCGATAGTCATCATCTACTTCGACCAGACATGTCAGCCGCAGTATCTCAACCCGAACAAGCTGGAGGCCTTGGTGGTCCACTTGGTGATCCGCCAAAAGGTCCTCCAAAGCGCAAGCTTCCCACTGATCGAGCTGATACACCAATTGAGGAGAAGAAGCCGAGAAAGCAGAGAAAGAAGGCGGGCAAGACTGGTGGATATTGGGAGGAGATGGAGGAGGCTCTGCTCATGGAGTAAGTCATTACCTTCTTGCATTGTTGAATCTGCGAACGCAGATGAAAACAAGAGTAGCCTTTTCGAAACCCGAACGCAAGACGCGTAGGACAGCACTGTCCCAAATGATGGCTAACAGAGCGACTTAGGCAGTATCCCCTCACCAAAATCGGAATGGGAGTTGCCAGCCAATCGTCGGAAGGCATCAAAATGGCTGAAGCAGCTGAGAACATGCTCAGATTAAACCAAGAGAGACGTCTTGGATACCCGCGCCCCTATACCGGTGCTGGCATCAACCAACATCTCAAGTCCCACGAAGATATGCTGCTTGACAAATGGGGAAGTGATGGCGTCCGCGCAAGGGAGTTCATCGATAGCTTTTTGAGAAATCGAGCACGTCAACAACCTGCAGACGCTGCTCAACCTCTCGTTACTACAGTTCAACCTGTAGTTGCTGCCGCTCAGTCTGTCGTTGCTGCCGCTCAAGCTCTCATTACTGCAGCTCAACCTTCTCTGACTTCTAGTCAACGCCTTGTCCCTCTCACTCTACCACCTCACAACACTGATCTGCAGCCTGGCGAATATGGTTATGTACCAGTTCGGTATCATGGAATCAATTGCGAGGGAAAGTCCAAAGAGGAAATCTTGGTAAGCACCCCAGCCTTGAACTCATGGTGTTTTCTCTATGCTCGATACTTCTGAAACCAGACTTTTGCCAACAATGCTAACTTCAAATCTTCGCTGTAGGCCGAAGTCACTGAGCTTGCTCCACGACCCGGCGAACCACTCGATTGGGACATGGTAGACCTCGAATATGAACACTACCCGTAACCACGTCTTCGAGCCCTCCGAGCTCTTCGACAAAGTCAAATTACTCTAACTGGAGCATCGACAGGACAAGGACAACTCCCAATGTGGACTCCCCGAGCGCAATCTTCTAACCGCAGGCGGGGTACCCAGACTCCTCTTCAAATTCGTCCTCAGACTCGTACGCAAGCTCCACGATGGAATTCGGTCAACCGGCCTGAACGATTCGAGTCACCGTCTGAAGACGAACGAGATTCTGATGACCCGCATGGTATCTACCACGCTTGATCTTGGAACACACATAGTCTTGGGGCTTTTGTAGCTTAACACGTTTCCATCGTACATTTTGGCACGTCCTTATATTCTCTTGGATCTTGGGTGTGGAATCTGGCTGGCAGATAACACCGTCGACAAGCATGTTACGGGTCCTTTTTTTTTCTTTCAGACAATAGTGGAGTACTTGAGGGGAGCATTTTTGGGCGTTGAGATACCCTATGATTTTGCATAGACATGGTGTTTGGATAGATATTGCTTTTAGGCATGGTTTGGCTGAGTTTTTAGACATAGCAAAAGTGTAGCGTAGGAAATGTAGAATCTCTACTCCATCTAAGATTCTTTGATGAAGTGATGAAGTGTAATCATTTGAAATCTATTTGTAAAATAGATTGCTGATGAAGCGAGAGAAAATAATGACGAAAAGGTAAGATTCAACTAGTAAGGAGGCAAAATTAATTGAAACCGATTGAGTAATTTGTTTGAGGATAACAAACTTATAGACTATCCATCAGCGCAACAAAAAGCTTTAACCATGTTGTTTTACATTACTTGGTAAAGAGTTTCCTCACATGAACATAATGAATGGACGATGGAAGATTGTTTTCGCAACATAAGCAAACCTTCGCAACATAAGCAAACAGAAAAGAAAATTCGAAAGAAAAATTTGATGCAAAGATTTATTGAGGCCATCATTCATCACCTGGCAGAGGACTTGCTTTTACTGATAACAGTTAGGCAAAAAGAGAACTCTCATGAAAGGAGAAAGTAGCTGAAGATCGGAAGACAAATTCAACGCAAACTTCTACGAGGGTATCATGCATCAGCTGGCAAAGAATTTTCTTGAGCTGATTACAATTAAGCAAAAGCGCCTTGGCGTCGAATTGAGCACCCAACAAAGATCGAAAGACAAGATCAAGGCAATGATCTTATCTCCCATTCATGCATCCCGTAGTAAAGAACTTTCTTCACCAATCACAATGCTCAGAACTTGCATCGTCATCAAACAAGCAAACGACAACCATCAAAAGAGAAAACATCAACAAATGCGAAATAAAGAATTTTGAGCGCAGAACTAGCAAAGTGATCTGACACATTCAACGCTCACCTCCCAGGCACTGCCCAGGAAACTGAGGTCCTCCAAAATCCCCAACTCAGCTCTCTCGCATCGCTTACGCGCCACGGGTTACAACATGAAGTAAACTCACATCTCTTTCATCCAGCAACCCCCAAGCAACAACACCACACAAATGAAGTTGTATTTTGATGTCAGGTGTTCATCCCAAACCCCCAGAATGACAAAGTGGGGCCCAGGAGGTCCAAATAAGCTCCTCGGTTAAAATAAAGCCCAATCTATTGATCTTTCTCCACTGTTACCCGAGGTTTCCCCTATTAATAGACTTCCTGTGATATCATGGGGTTCATGGTTCACAGATGGGAACTTGGGGGTTGTTTGGACTGCTGGGGTTGGTTATAAAGGATGATTTTTGATTTTATGGTTGTTTTGATAAGGGAGCGGACAAGGCAGGTGTTTGGCGAAATATGGGGTGGTGTGGGGGTTGAGTGGAATTTTGGGTGAGGAGAGAAGGGAGAGAAGGATTGGCAGGAATTAGGGGGGGTTTGGGAAGGTACATTTTGTCAATAAGTGGTCGGGTGTTGAGAGGGAGATGAGATTGGGGGGGACAGTCGAACCGAATTTCTTCTCAGTCAATAGACAGCCAAGTTTGTGGCTTCGAAGATATTTCTAGAATAGTTTCAAGAGCACAGAGGTGTTGTAAATAAAATAAAACCAAGCTTATCATGGAAGATATAGGTCGGTTGGGTAAATATTAATTTCGTGACGCGGGGTCCACAATCTCGTATCATAAATCAACAGAACCATCAATTTTCTAAACTGCTTTCTAAGTGCACTTCCAAGTCAGCAAGAGTAGAATAAACATAGGGAGCAAGAGATGATGGCGGAAAACAGCAATTGGGTAAATATTAGTTCGGTGATGCGGTTTCCATATGATGAATAAATGAACCCATCAACAATTCAAAATGCCGTTTAAGTACTTTTCGAGAACACAGAAATGGCGAAATAATAGAAGAATACAAGGGAAACCTTAGATTGGGCAAACAATTATTGATTTATCGGAAGATCTGGATTTAGTTGCAGTTGACCAACAAACATTCTCGATAAAAAGTCCTGTGTATGTAACGTTTCTAGAGGATAGAGCGATAGAGTCACTTCAACGCAAGCGCACGAGACCATGAAAAAGTCAAATAATTATTCATAGAACATGAACTTAAGTAAATATATTTTATTCAATTGTGATATCCAAAATCGCCAAATCCAAAACCCGCTGCAAAAACACTAATCAAGAAAAGCATCTACCACATTTGAGATTACAACCTGTGCAACTCAGTATCGGTCAAATTTAATACCCGCCATTCAAAAGCGCACCCAACTCCTCCCACCTATCCGAAATACTCTTACCGTGCCGGCCTAGGGGCGATCCTACAGGCGAGTCTCGGTCTGTCAACCATAAAGTTAGCGGGTCTAGTGGGAAGCAACTCGCCATCAGTGCTCGAGTCGGAGGAATAAGACGGCTTACCAATATGCGATTTTGTCGCGAGGAATTTGTGACCGGTCTGCTTGAGACAAGATCTGGCATTCTTGATGTCGCGCTCGTCATATTCGGTGCCGCCGTTCTCTAGGCTGTGGATGTATCGTGCGTACTGAGTATAGTCCGGTGGACCGAGGGGTTTGCCGTCGGGACCGTAGGTCATGCCGTGGTTTATGGGTTCGCCGAAGGGGCCGTATTGGACGGAGTTGCTTTCATCGGACGAGGAGGAGGAGGCGGGTGTATCGGTCATTTCGGAGTCCTCGTCTGTGGTTTCGGTGTAAGAGGCATCTGACTCCGTTTCCTTGGACCTTCGACCGCGATATTGAAGGATAGCATCGGCTTCTTCTTCATCAGTGCTATCACAAATCAAATTCGGATCCTCAATAGTCTCATCATCATCATCTGGAATGCCGTCCACAAACCTCTCAGGCATATTCTGCATCTTATTCTGTGTCTGAGCTGACGGCTTATCCGACATCGACATCATCATCAGAATATTCGCAGCCTCGAAATCATCTCTGCCAGCGAAAACCGCAGCTAACTCGCCATCCTCGCCCCAGAACTGCAACATCTCATCGCGATGCTTGTTGAATTGCATGCGTACCATAGAGCCGTTGAAGCGTTCCCTGAGAGGCAGTCGACGGTTGACGATGTTTTTGTTCATAACGAGCGCCATGGAGTTCCAGGTCATGCCGACATTTTTGACGCGACCGGCTACTTTGCTGTGTGGGTATTGCTCCATGAGGAGCGCTTCTTCCATTCGTTTCCAAGGCATTCTGGACATATGGATGATATGAACGAAAGAAGGATGATGGTATGTGCGGGGGAGAAATATAGGGATTGGTGATCACTGTTTTGGGGATGGTGTTGACTGTCCGGTGTTCAGTGTTTTGAAGTACTGAAAAGTAGGTGTTGTTTTGCTACACTATGGGAATAATGATAGCTGTTTCGGTTGTGGTATGTTATTGTAAGTTGTGGTAATTTCAGGATGAAGAGTAGTCGATGTAAGAATCAGGCGAAAATATTTTGATTTGGAAAGAATACAATCTGGCAAAATTGTTGATATGAAATTGAACTTGTGACTGTCCAGGCTTGGCTAGAAACCAAAACACCCCTGACTGTGGCCAACAGTACACTCACTGGTAACAGGGTTGCTGTGGGAGATACCTTTCATTTACTTACCCGAAAGTGTATCAGTGAATCACAAAATGTCCGTATCTTTAAACGCTTATTGGGAAAGCTCATCTCTGTATTTGGGAGTCGTTCCTGCCTTCAATTTTGACCGACGACCTGCTAAACGAAACTTTCTTCTGAACTTCCTCTTTGAATGTGAGAAGACGAGACGTCCATTTCATCCGGAGAAGGAGCATTAGAGCGATGATCAAGTTGTAACCCGTATTCCAACTCCTCGCTTAACCTTTCACCAACCTTCTCAGACGCCTCAGCATGACCATTTCCGTCCAAATGCTCATCATCTGAGTTACTTGTAGAATAAACAACAACAGAATCATAGCTTCGACCATAATGTTCACTATCATACGTCCCCTGTATAATTCCATCGATCATAGCCTCATACTCCTCCTCCTGCTCCTTGAATATCCTGGCATCCTCGCGCGTGGCGCCAGATCCCTGATTTCGTCCCTCCTGACTGGTATCAAAGGTACCATTTGTAAGTTTATCGATCATAGCCTCATACGCCAACTCGTTCTCGTGATACTGTTTCGTGTCGAGAACAGTTTGCACGAGTTTGATGTCCTCGGCTTCGAGGGTTCCACTTCCGCTGTCGTCGACGGCGATATCTAAATTCATGTAATCCGCCTGATCTAGTTCTTCTGCCGCTGTTTCGTAGGCGGTGGAAAATTCACTGTCAGGGTACAGAATTCCAATATGACGATGGCCGTAAAGTTTTATCTCAGCTTGTGCGCATAACAAGGCGTGGTGAAGAGTGCCCATGAACTCTGTGTCATTGTTTGGGTATGCGACTTCCAATTTGCTTTCGGGAGACATGATTTTAACTTACTGTGGTAGGTAGAATGTGTGCTTTTGGTAGGAAAGTTGCTCATTAGGTCAGTTACGGAGTTCGTGATGCTATTTAATTACTTGTCTTCAGGAATGTGACCATCTTGTTCATTACTAGAACAATAGTCTTGTCAATTCGGTTCTTTGTAAAATTCATTATGTGGTGAAAACAATGAAAACAAGTGAATGGTCTTTGTTAAACGCGTTAGACAAAAGAATTGCTCAAAGCGAGATATTAATCTAGACTACCTGGGAAAAAGCCGCCTCGAAAAAAGATACCACTATCTCATGGCCAAAGTCATTTGAGAGTCATCTTGACCATGGGCACACAGCATCTTCTCATAAAATGCTGCCTCCTGGAATAAGCCAAAGTATTTCAGTAAATCCGGAAGATCGAACTCCTTAGGTGTGTGATCAATATTCAAATACAAGAAATAACGAAATCCGAATTTGTTTCGACTGTTGAGAGCACAAGCTTCTTTTACGAGTCCATGGCAGGTCGAAATCCAATGGCACACTCTTTCTGGATCCAACGTCATTTGGTGTTGTCGGGATTCCATCGTTTTCTTGATTGGGTGCGCCGTTGCGCTTTGTGAGAGCTGGCGCAGATTAAGGGCCGGGCGATCGTGATCGTGAGTTCCTGAAATGCCGATGGTTCCTTTGTACAACCTGTCGATACCATTCGCACCGTCGTCACCCTCCTCTTCTTTGACGTTTAGAATCCACTCGAGTCCACCTCTTGCTTCGTTACGCTGCATTGAGTCCACGCCACTGATATTTGAGTTTGTATTGATATAGATATTTGAATTTGTACGAAGTGATGCAGAATGGTTGTTGCTTATTCTTGATGTTGGCTGGATAGATTGTAGTTGTGGTTCAAAGGTCCAGTAGAGAGCGGTAAATGCTTGGACTTCATCAAAAGTGAAGCCTTTGACACCATTTCCAATGTGCACATGTAGAGCGCATGAAGAATCAATCTTAATCTTATTCGTCAGAAGCAGTAGGTAGCACACATACTGGACCTGATCTAGAGCAGCCTCCGAAAAGAAGAATGGTGGACTGACAATCTCAACCCCGTGATGAGTAATTGGCTTATGCTCGGCAGCCTTTTGATTGATGGTAGTGTCGCTTTTTACGTACCAGGCTGCGGGATTCTTTGCTTCGAATGTCTTCGTCAGATATGCGTTTCCTAGCTTTTCCCTCTGGAGCGAAGGTTGAAATTCGGCCGGAATTCCTGCTTCATTTAGCAGAAGCGCGAATGATTTCCGCACTTCTGCGTCTGTTTCGTCGCTTGCGTCGCTACTAAACTTTGCCAAACGCGGAAAAGCAAATTCAAATTCTACCCCGAAGGTGAGAGGACTCCCAGAGTTTGCGGTAGTGTCATTAGAGTCTAAAACCCGAGGTTTTGTTGCAGGATTGTATAGAACATGGTCACTTTTTGTTAGCTCGAAAGCTTCCTTACTAAACAGCCTCAGTACCGTCTGCAAATCCAAAGGACTTTCTGTATTTTTTGAGGATGCCATGATCGCGAAGTGTATAAAGGTGGAGTGAATTTAGTGGGGGTACGGACAGACAGCAAAAGAACCATGAGATAGGAGATTCTTAAATACAGGGAAGAACAGTGACAACAAAAAAACGCGTGGTGAAAGATATTGTTTTTGACTCAGAGTATGAATAGCAACAATAGTGAATGACTATACTGTTATGGATACGGAAGCATAGTGGGGAAAAAGCCCTTCTCATCTGACATACACCAAAAGAACTGAGAAGGAATCTGAGTAACTATTGTAAAAAGTTCGGTAGCAAATACAGCCATGAAACACCCAGTATACATCGCAACTGGATACGGTCATAAGTCCAGTCAACATATGTCTGTATGAATCAGTACATAATGCTTCGTGAATAACAAAGGATAGGTAGGTGTATGCGGTTGATGGTCGTGCTAGTCACAAGACCTGACATCCAGAACATATGATGAGCTCTGTTGCAACATTTGCACACTAATCGAAGGACAGTGTCATTTCCGACGTGACGACATGTTTGTGAACTTCATTGAGATTTGGGGCCACTTGGTAGGTATGGAAACGACTTCTTCCAGGAAAACAATATATGTCAGAGGCCTAGAAGTAAAAGTAGGACTGGTAAATGTCATAATATTGATGTTCATTTCACAACGTACCTCGTCCCAGCTAAGCAAATGCCGATTTCTCGTTTCCCCAATTGCTGCATCCTCTTTCCTCGTCGTCATCATCATCACTCTTCTTCATCGTCCTCTCCCCGTCGCCAAACAAATCCTTGAAGAATTTGTCATAACCCAGCCAGAGGGCATTGAAAACAAGACCTAACAAACTAGCAAGCCAATCAGGGATCCTACCATCTTCATCTGCCAACGTCTTACCGAGCCCGAAAAGAGCCATGATTATTGGAAACCAGACAGCTAGGATAAGTGCTTGTCCAATTTTCTGCTTCTTTGTCGTGATTGTGTATGGGCGGATGTTGTATAGGAACGCTAGGTATTCCGAAGGAAGAGAGTGCTCCTCAGCACCATCGGTGATAAGCTTAAGATACCGTGCTGATGGCTGAGCATAGGAGGGATCTGGACGCTGTATATGGCCGTTCGTAGTCACCACATTGCGACTCTCCTTGCCATCTTCAGGTTCTTGACGAGGCTGTAATAGCGTATGCGCGTTGAATGGAGTTCCGCTGGGATGCGGATCAACAATCGTCCCTCCAGCCGCGAGAGTGTAACATGGCACGATAACGTCTTGGTAGCTTGCTCCACCACCCTCAGTAGCAATTATTGTCCTGAAATCCTCAGGTGTGACCTCGTATACAACTCCAATCAAGCCTTTATGCCATCTATCCTTGTGGTATTCGCCATGCTTTGGCACATCGTTCGCCGGATCTCGAAGTTTCGTGTTTGCGAAGCAGGGCTCGGTATATGGTACACCAGATAGGTCGAATGTCAACGAGAGACTTGGTACATGGGCATTGACTGCTGATAGGGGTACAATTCCTCTTGCGCCTTTGAAGGTCTCTGCCGAAAGATTGGATCCGTAGGCTAGGTACAGAATTGTCTTCGCTGATGAGGCCGCCAGACGCTCTGGTGTTGTACGAGGAATACTATGAAGGGGTGTTGCAGGATTTTTGGAGGCAGACGCAGTTTTGCTAAGTTTGCAGATGGCTGTGAAAGCTTTCCTGCCATAGCAGGTACGTTCTGATTCGGTAGATTGCATTACTCAGGTATGGGCAGGAGATGAAATGGCACGGAATTGGTTGATAAGGAAAAGATGGATAAAGACAACGATTATATATCAATAAATTGGTCAACTTAAGTAAGGTAATGAATATCAATACTGATTAATGATACAAGTAACCGTCTGTTTACAAGCAGACTGGATAGCGCATGTCGTGAAGCTACCGATGACAAATTCGGTGTCGTTCGGGGACATCGAAATCCCGACTCCGTCCTTCACGGATGATCCGTCGAAGGTCCGGAGCCGCAAGCGCACCACCCCCTTCAAACCACAGCAGCAATAATATGCTCCACCATCGTTAGGTAACCGCAAGCCCTTGTCTCTAGGTAGTGGAGAAGAATTTCTGGTCTTACACAAGACATCGTAGCCTTGCGCATCGACTGAGGTACGAGACGAAGCTGATGATGTTACCGATTGGATCGAGGTAGTCTCACATGCCTTGCAGAAGATCCGCCCTTGGTTCTACCTAGCACAACTGCAGTTTAGACCAGCAAATCACCAGAGTCCTTCAACATCACAAAATGTCCCTCGTATCCGGTCCTGGCCGTGCCGGTACAACTGGTCTTCCTGAGGAGTTACGACTTGTGATAGAACCCCATGTGAAGTACATTCAGAGTCTTGATTCGGTATGTACCCCGCGACCAAGGGCATCCATATCTCACTGACTGACGGTAGCGAAGAGATGAACTAGAATACTGGCTTACAGAGCATCTGCGTTTGAACGGTTTATACTGGGGCCTTACCGCGCTACATCTTCTCGGTCGCCCAGATGCTCTACCCCGCCAAGAGACAATCGATTTCGTCCTGAGTTGTCAGAGCGATAATGGGGGGTTCGGAGCTGCCCCCGGACATGATGCGCATCTACTATCCACCTGCAGTGCGATACAAATATTGGTCATGGTAAACGCCATCGACGAGCTGGAAAAGAAGGGTAAAGGGGAAGGCGGAGGGAAAATGGGCGTTGCAAATTGTATACAACCATGCCCGGTGCTGGTAGTACATACGCTAACACCAAACCAGATATTGCAGCTTTACAGAATCGTGATACAGGAACCTTTGCAGGTGATGAATGGGGAGAAGAAGATACTCGTTTTCTGTACACAGGGCTCAATGGATTATCATTACTACACCTGATGGATCTAGTCGACGTGGACCTCGCGGTACAATACATCATGTCCTGCGCGAATTTCGATGGAGGCTATGGAGTCAGCCCTGGTGCCGAATCGCATTCTGGTCAGATATTTGCCTGTCTCGCGGCACTGAGTATCGCCAAGCGTCTCGATGTTGTAAATGTGGATAAGCTTGGCAGGTGGTTGAGCGAGAGGCAGGTCGAGGCCGGGGGTTTGAACGGGCGCCCGGAGAAGTTAGAGGATGTATGTTATAGTTGGTGGGTTGCCAGTAGTTTGACCATGATTGGAAAGCTACACTGGATAGATGGCAGCAAGTTGACGCAATTTATATTGAAGTGCCAGGTAGGTTTCCCTACGATACTGGTAATCTGCTTGCTGAGATGTATAGGATCCGGAAAATGGTGGTATTGCCGATCGACCTGGTGATATGGTTGATGTATTTCATACTGTTTTCGGTCTGGCTGGCCTATCACTGCTCGGGCATCCAGATCTTGAAGAAGTTGATGCAACGTAGTAGGTATTTGACATTTGCGAAGCAGAAGAAGGTACTAACTGCCTATAGTTGCATGCCAAAACGAATCATAGAACGAGTACTTGGATAAGTCCGATCTTTGCAGACAAATAACAAAAATGCTTCACTATCGCTGAACTGTTGTGTTTCCTTGTTGCGTTGTCACTCCATTGAATCAGATCACTTCAAGTCCTTTGTGTATTATTGTGCCATTGGATGGAATACCTCCTGCTATCTAATACCCTGCGACCTAATTATACCATGGTTGAAGGATACAACGAAGGAGAATAACAACCCCAACTCCTAGATTTGAGAGAAAGTGATTCTTCACCATGGATCGCCTTCTCAAAAGTCTGGGAGACATTTGGTTCGCTGCTATGCTGATAGATGCCCGATTTGAGCAGTAAACTGGTTGATTACTAGGCAATACTTCTAAGGGCAATATCAGAGCAAAGAGCAAGCTGTGTACTAGTTCTGATGTTGGTGCATTTCTCAATTAGTTCTTGTTATTTATCTTGGTCTCCTGTCTTTCTTTGGATTATTTTTTGACTGTCAATCGGCGCGCCACACGTGACTCTAGACAATAGGACTTCATTTTCCAATGTTGACATAGAAGACAAGTTTGAATTTCCGGTATAGAATAATCTCAAGGTAAAGACTTCATCTCAATCATCATCCTGACTCTCATGACGCACGTGGGTTGGGCTGGTCAGGACGCATCTTCGTTCCTTCCTCACGGGTACTCGTGGTTCCACTAGCGCGGCGGCTTAACCTCACCTTCTCCCTCAGTTCTTTCCCTCTTCACTTATGCCTTTCCTACCTTATTTTAGTAAGGCAGAGATTGGTGGAGTCTTCAGCTTCCGGTCTTCGAATATTCCTCTCCAGAATCTCGTGGTTTCGCAGATTTATCTTGCAAAGCAATTGCCGTGAGCAACTTGCCAGGCTTGCTTCATTCTGCACAATCTTGGGTTCTTCTCGCTCGCTGTACATTGAAATGCAATTAGTAAGTTACAATTGATCACTTGTTAGCACAGAGAAGTGACGATCGACTGGTTGACTGACAATTGAGTAGCAGCTGCGACGAGCATTGCACATCGGTCAACAACAGTAAACATTGCAAACGATATTGCGTGCTAGAAGCAGGGACGAGGCAGCCCATCGACAACGGTAGTTACTCAACCACACCGGTTCTTGATACACTGGAAGGTTAGCACCTGGATCAACGATACAGTAAGACTCACACACCATTTCTCTTTCATTTTCCAGACGAAGCTCCAATTGATCAAGTGGCATCCGTCACTCCATCCGAAAAATGATTGCCGCATTTCACTTCACGGAATGGACCTCTAAGGCTGGAATTTCAGGCAGACTTACGCCGGCCCTTGATGAAGTACAAAACGGAATTTCAGAACAAGGGACTTCTGCCATAATTTCCAATTTGTCTCCGGTACACCAATTACACATTCGTGGACCCCTAGCAATACGCATCATTCGGTCATTCTGCATAGCCCACACTCTCGTGTTGAGTCCAGGACCCTTTTTCATTTATCGATAAGTCAAGTGCAAATTGCTAACCCCTCTACAGCGTAGGTTGTGCGAATATGCCACCCAAGGCGAAGGCGGCGAAGCCAGCCAAAAAACGCGAGACGATCCCATTGATATGCACTCTCTGCCCCAAACATCCGACCTTTTCAGACACGTCACACTTGCTTACTCACATTTCGTCCAAATCGCATCTGGCTGCTCGGTTCAAGCTTCAAATCCGTTCTCAATCAGAACAAGAAGCAAGGGATACACTGGATGACTTTGATGCTTGGTATCGGAACAATAATCTGGATGTTCTGCTTTCTGATCGACTTGCTGTCAAGGAGCAAAAGAAGGCAGCTAAGGATAGGAAGAACGATGAAAACAGGGGGTTGGTTCCGGTATGATCGCGGCAAATTTCTTTTCGTTAAAGACTAAACCTAACAATGGCATTTATAGATAAAGCGGGCCCCAGCGAAGAAGAAAGAACTTGCGAAAAAGGAGGAGGAATTGGAAGACGATAGCTCCGTTCTTCAGAAAACACCTGCTTATCGTGCCCCAGTTCCCCGGATGGCACTCTGGGAAACACATCGAGATGGTGAAAGAGTAGGAACACCGACGAGGGAAGGTTGGCAGTCTGCGTCTATCTTTGAGACACCTACGGCCGCTAGTCGTGTTCTAGATGACGATAAATCGGAAACAGTTGTCGACGAGGGCAGCATGCTTGACCCCAGGTAATTCTACGTCGCTCTTCTAACTCTCTACCCAAGCAAGTCGTTAATAGATACTAGGCTCGTAACACCGTACAAGGACCCTGTTGATGAAGCCGATGAAGGCAAGTCCACCGATAGTGCTACCAGGCTCAAAGGCATTTTTTGGCCTGGAATGGACCTTTTTGACTCTGCAACTCCAGGAATGAAAAAGAAGAGAAACCAGAAGAAAGAAAGCCGCGTTATGGACACGATGATGGCCTTCTCAGCCGATGTTGAACCAAATGAAGTCAGCTATTTTGCCGATGGAAATTTCAGAGCATCACGGGACATGTTTGGGCCACTTTCTTCTGTCGAGACTAGCCCGGTAAGTCACAGTTGTTAATCGCGAGGCCTCCTTCTTTTGTCTTGTTGAACTGGTTTTCATTTCTTATTGACTCTCGAGCAAGCCAATGTTGCGGTGGATGTGCAGCCTCAATTGAACCTTTGGCTAATTGATACAGGTTTCCCAGAAGGCACCGTCGCCCAAAAAGCGTAGAACACGAAAACCTGCTATGGTTGATTTGAGCGTCAACGCCCCCCGTCTTCGTGCCCCTAGACGGACAAAAACGACTTTAATGCCAAGTCCGTCCAAGAAAGTACCTGCTGCATCAGCCACCCTCAGTCACGATCATTTTAACGCAGCGAATTTCCTTAAGCCTGGGCCCACGCTCAATCCACTCTCTTCTGGCTTCGGAAATGCTTTCAAGCCAACACCCGAAGAAGAGGCAGAGTTCAAATTGACAATTGGAAACATGAAGACTAAGTTTCCATTCTCCATTTATCAAGATTGTTTGCCAGAGGAGAGTCCAGGTGCGGTTTACAGCTATTACTCCTGAGGCTTTTACTAAAACTTAGGACAGATCGAATACAGACCTCTCTCGGAGATCATAGGTATGCGATCTGGTGTGATATGTCTTTCTTGGCTGAGCGCTTATTTTACAGTAGATTCGACTTTTCATTAAACCATGACGTGCATCTTTCCCACCATGGCCTGCCTGCAAACTTCCATAACGATCCACTACCATCAAGCTTGACTTCGCCTACACCAATACCCAGGATGACGACCAGCGGGATCCGGATCTCTGGGAAAGAGAACGGCAAGCCTGAACCTTCGAACGGCCTTCATACACATCGAGCAGCGCCTTTGTCTACACACCTTTTTTCCAATCAACTGTTCTACGGTGCTTCTTTCAATCCGTTGTACAATCACTCCTATGCTTCACTAGGTTTAAGCAGTTATGGTGATCCTCAGTTCAACTTCAAAGATACATTGAAGTCTCCTGGATTTTCATCAAGTTTCAGTGGAGACTTCAGGCCAACCGCTATTGTGACCCAGAATATGGAGGCTCACTCAAAGATCACAGCTACAAGCGAAACTGAGGATGCTCGACCGCATTCCAATTCCGACAATGACATGCATTTTAACATGTAATTTTGAATTCAGCAATGGAGTTCGCCAAAACGGTAGCCATGCTATGCGGGCGCATTCATATTGACATACGGTGTTCAAGGGGGAATCAGCCGGGCGTTCCATCATTTTATTAACTTGCGCTTGCTCATCTTATCCTCTTTGCTTCGCTTTACTTACGACTTACGAACATTTCACGAGGGCGGGGATATCACGAGACATGATTATAGGCTAGGATGGCTATATGCTTAACACTGCTCTAATTAGATTTATTACACTTATCATAGTTGCTCTATACCAAGGATCAATTGATCCAGATGGTCGGCGTCATTCTCTAATACATTACCAATCATCTTTGATAAACCCGACAGCTTCTTTTGCCTGACCTCCATCTCCAACTCATGTGACTTGAGTGCAGCAGTGTCCAGTACTGGTTTAGGAATTTTCGCCAGTCTCGCCACGTTCAGTCCATATGAACGATGTGCAACACCTTCTCCAACTTCATACAAGAACGTTATCTCCTCATCTCCATCATCAGTGTCACCATTTGTTACATCTCTAATAACATTCGCACCTTTCCTCTCCGCCGTAAATTTCATATGCACATTCTTCAACTCCCCATTCTCCTCAAATCCCTTGGCCACCGCAGCAAGCGTCTGATAATGCGTGATAAACAAACACAAACACTTCGTCTCCCTAACCACATAATCCAACACCGCACTCGCGATCGCCACGCCATCATGTGTGCTCGTCCCCCGTCCTAACTCATCTAATATCACCAATGACCGACTCGTCGCTGCTTTGAGTATTGACGCGGTCTCGGATAACTCGACCATGAAGGTCGATTGCGCGGTGAAGATTGAATCGAAGGCGCCCATGCGCGTGTATATCCCGTCCAACAACCCTAAGGTAGCGGAGGTTGCCGGCACGTAGGAGCCGATTTGGGCGAGGATTTGGATTAGGGCGACCTGGCGGACGTAGGAGGATTTGCCGCCCATGTTTGGGCCTGTGATGAGCAGTGCGCGGGTTTCGGCGGTAGAGAGGGATGTGGAGTTCGGGATGTAGGATGTTGGCAGTAGTTGCTCGACCATGGGGTGGCGGCCGTCGACGACGTCGATCTGCGTGGTGTTTGTGAAGGTCGGTTTGCAGTAGCCTGGGAGAGCGGCGGTGGTTGCGAGGGAGAGAAGACAGTCCAGCAGGGCGAGGGAGGTGATGGTGTCGCGGATGGGGGCGTAGTGGGTGCTTATTTCTGCGAGGAGGGCCGCGAAGGCGCTGTCACAGGCGGCGCTGAGGGATTCTTTGTGTTGGTCGCGTTCGCGGAGCATGGTGATTACTTCGGGGGTGTGGAAGCGGGAGAGTTTCTTCGTGCCGGAGATCTTGGCCCAGGAGGCGGGCACGTTTTTGAGGTCGGTGTTGGAGACTTCGATGAGGTATTCGATGCCGGCGACCGAGACGTAGTCGACTGGTTTGGGCTTTTTGATCTTGGAGGCTGCGATGGCGCGATGGGTGTCGAGGTCGTGTTCGACGGCGGCGATGCCCATTTTGTGATTACCTATCTCGTCGGTCTCGAACTCTTCGCGGAAGAAGGCGTACTTGTCGTCTTTACGGGCGGCTTCGGCGTTGAGTTTGTCGAGGATAAAAATGATTGTTTCGTTTATAGATGGGAGGGATGCTATTGCTGTGTTGATAAGAGAGGATTTGAAACCTGCGTCGGATGGTGTTTTGACGGTCATGAATTCGGTAGATATCTTTTGGAGGGTTTGGAGGGCTGTTAGTAGTTCTGGTCTCGTGCATTTTCCATAGTAGATTCTGATTAAACTTCGTTCAAGATCGATCTTGGTGTTTCGAAGAAGAGAGCGAAGACGATCGACTTTTGGTGTCTGTGATCCGTCCAGCAGCTCTTCAACGGCGGACACTCTCTCTTCGAGTCGTTCTTTATCGAGCAGTGGCCTGCCCACCCAATTTCGCAGCAGCCTTTGCCCAAAGCGTGTTTGGGTTTTGTCCAACGTCCAGAACAGACTACCTTTCTCGGTATAGTCAGTTTGATTGTGGTAAATCTCCAAGCTAGTAAGAGTATTTCCATTCAACAGCATATGTGAGCGAGCACTGAACGATTGGAAGTACTTTGTCAAATCGAAAACATGCTCAAGTCCATATTCTGTCATATGGGTTATCATGGCTGACAAGCAGATAGTGACTTCTTCTGGCAACTTCAAGACTTTGTCGAGCAGTGTTTGTTCTCGTACATTGCCTGTACTCTGAGAGTTCTTCAGCTTGTCCGCGTAAAACTGGGTTACATGAGAGTGGGCTTCTGCCGCCATAGTCTTCTTTCTTGGCATACGCTCTATTCGAATTCGATCTCCAAACAGATTTGTATTTCCGCCAGAAAGATGCTGTATTAGTTTATCAGATGCTTTGGTGAGCTCTCCGACGATGAGAAATTCGCATGGTGCAATATGAAGTAAGCGTGTCTCAATCTCGCCCCTCATAAAGCCATCCTCAAACGTGTCGTAAATGATATTCCCGGTATTTGGCTGGACGGCAAGAATACCCACATCAACCTTTTCGTCTGTTCCCCAACCCTTCGCCTTGGACTCTGTGATACATAACAGGTAGCCTGTCGACGGAGCGCCACCAGATGGAGCGTCTGCCGGCTGTTCCAGACCATCAATATCCTCAATATAAGTACCTTTGGTCCAGACGTTTGTGAGCTTTCTAACGAATGGCGTATTCCGGTTATCGCCCGCCTTTTTCAACGCCGCTGTCTCGATTTGCCGAACAACTCCAACCTTATATCCGGCTGACACAAGTCTTTTTGCATGAACAGGTAACCTGTGGGTTGGAATACTAGCTGAAGCAAATCGATCAAGATGCGCCTCCGAGGGGTGCTCATCGAACCTGAACTTTCCAGGTATACACACGATACTCAGCTCCTTTGCAGCATTCCGAGCATCTTCGCCAAAGAATTTGAACTTGTAACCCACTTCCACAATCAAAAGTGTATCCATATGTTTCCGTTTGATATCAAGGAATTGAATCTCCATGGGCGTCAATTTCCCGGTCTTAGCTCCCTTCTTCTTCGTCTTTGCCGGCGCTGGTTCTTCATCCTCATCCTCCCCGTCTCCCTCATCTAGAGCTTCAGTCTCTTCGCTAATTTCCCAATTCCTCTTCTTAATTCTCGCGATACTGTCCGGATGACCCAATTTCTTCACAAACTTCTTATGTAGCTCCTCCTTTCTAGCTTTGGTTTCGGCGTCATCTACCTCTTCATCTTGCGGCGGTTCGTTTGTCGCAGATGACGAAGGATCTTTGTACACATATTTGGAGGTTCGCGGAGAGAGTTTGGTCCTTTTGGTGATTGATTTCCCGGACGCAACTCCAGGGAAGAATGAACTGACTTCCTCATCGTCCACCGTCTTCGCTCGTTTACTTGGTGGTTCCTGCGATTCCTCTGTTAAGGCGCGTTTGGAAGAGCCATTGTTGATAGATGTTGAAGCCGTTTCTGCCTCCTCGTCTGTTTCGGCGTCGTAGATGTTTTCCTTCTCGTTGGATTTGGCCGGCGCAGGTGGCGGCGCCTGGGATGCTTGCGAATTGCCACGCCCGTTCACAGTTCTCTGAGTAAAGAAATTGGAAATTGACTGTTGCTTCTTCTGAGACGGAGCTGATTTCTTCATGTTTGAAGCTCATTGAGTTTACATTTGATCTCTGGGGTAGTTTAACCATCGGTGGGAGACGCGACGACGGACGCGTATCGCGATCGTCATCACGTGATTACGTCATTGTCAAAACTCAGAGTGAGAGACGACCGTCGTTAATCAACTTGACAATAGAACATAAGTTCCGACAATTATGTTGACGTTAGAAACTCTTAATTCCTCAGAATTTTGCATTATCACATTTGCTCCAGCCAATATGAGACCAATGTTCCTTACTCCCGAGACCGAGTATGGACGTTGAAAACGAAGTAGCACCACCCATTAAAAGCTGGTATGGTGGGAGCATATAGAATAGTTTTCATTGAGTTGCTACCGGATTCAAGGCGTTCCAAGTCAGAGAGTGGACATTTCGGCAAGACCTCAAAGCTTAAATGAAATGGTTGAGTCCAAAGTTAACAAGTGTAGGCTCACGGCGGAAGCTTGAGCAGATCGCTGCAAAATATGGAGTTCACCTACGAACACTTGAAGATTCCATTTTCATTTTCATTTCAAGAATTGCTATACTGCTGTTCGATCGCACAGCTGCTACTCATCTTATGCTTACAAGACAAAACTCGTTTTCTATCACAGTCCGCTTGTTTTGTACATAACAAGTTGCGGGCTAGATTCGTCTTGAAATATCGCTGAGTCCGGTCTTATAATGGCATGAGGGTGATGTGATGAAGTGGATGGAAGGTTTGGGCACAATTACATCAAAACAGACACGCAATCGTTTTCACGGTTCATGCAGAGTAGATTGCCGTCCACAGGATCTTCTTGAGGGAAAATTCAGATAGTATGTGGAATGAATAAAACTGAGTGGACGGCTTGGACATTATTGTTAGTGAGAAAAAGATGAAGGGCAAGTACACTGATCTTTGACTGCTGTTATTCCACCACATTGTCTCGAGCTTACTTTAAAGGCATTTTAGTCACGGGTATACACTTGCGAATGAACATCGGGAGTATTCAAGCGTGGTTCCACAAACCGGGTTTCCAACAGAACTCTATTGTTCTTAAGCACGAATTATTAAAATCCGGGTAGAAGGTATGTGGTGTCACTAAACGTAGACCACATAGCTGAACCTTACCGAGCCGCCTCTCCACTTGCAATCCCCGGGCCCACGTTTCTAGCACGTCGTTCCTGCATTTTCCACGCGGAATCTTACATACTAGTCTCCTAGAAATAGAACCCAAACTATCAAAATTCATAATTCCAGCACCAACTTGCAGATCCAAGTCATTCTGCGGCTGAGACAACCCGGGTTCAACATTCCGGTTCGGAACCCGAGATATGTCGCTCCCCGAGATGCAGTCTATATAAAATGAATCTAATCGCACTGCATAATTGCTTTATAAGTTCTGAGATAAGTTGGTTACTCTGCATCAAATTCGCGCACATCTACGGAGGTCGTTCTGTTGTGCCCCCTTTATCCTCGCTTAAATGAGGCTCCTTATCATCGTCTGCTACTTAGCAGGCCTGATAACAGCGCAAGCAACAGCCGCAATCCCAGATCTATTTACATGTATAAATAAAGTCTTTGCTTCGACGGGGGATGCGTCGAAAAGACTTATTACGCCGGCAAATGAGTTGTATACGGATGCCAGGACGGGGGAGAAGATAAAGTAAGTCCTCATTTTCAATACCCTTCAAAACAACAAAAATAAGAAGTAAAATTAACCTCATCAGTGACGAGAACTACCCAATAGCAATAGCCTATGCCTTTACCACCGCCGAAGTCCCCGCCCTTCTCAACTGTGCTACCAGATCTCGCGTCAAACCCACCATCCGCGCCGGCGGCCACCACTTCGAAGCATACTCGTCCCTCAATGGCACCCTCGTAATCGACATTGCGCACTTGAACTCCGTATCCGTCTCCTCAGACCGCAAAACCGCAGTTGTAGGCGCCGGAACCCGTCTCGGAGGTCTCTACGTCGCCTTGGACGCATACAACACCACCTGGACGGGCGGGATATGTCCGACTGTGGGCGTGGCCGGGTATATCGCTGCTGGGGGTTTTAATATGCAGATGCGATCCATGGGAATGGCGGTGGAGCGGGTACGCAGTATTAAAGCGGTGTTGGCGAGTGGTGAGGTCGTTACTGCGAGTAAGGACAGTCATTCGGATTTGTTTTGGGCGATGTTGGGGGGTGGTGGCGGGACTTATGCCGTTGCGCTGGAGTTTACATTGGTGTTGACACCGTTGCCGAATTCGGCGATGTTGTATTTGAATTGTGAGTACTGCCGAGTTGATCATCAGGGCGATGCTAATGGATGGTGCGTAGGGAAGAATTACAAAGATGATACGGCGTATCAGATTGCGAAGAAGTTCTTGGAGTGGGCTCCAAAAGCCGATCCAGCTTTCACATCGTCGATTTTCATTTATAAAGATCAAGTCGAGGTGACTGGATGGTATCTCGGGAAAACCCAAGCACAACTGCAGACCCTGATTGATTCCTCCGGATTCCAAAGCATCTCCCCAAAAAACTTGAACCAGTCAATCGTTTCAGGAAACTGCAACACCGACGCCTCCCGCGTCTTCGGAGTCCAAGGCGGAATCTTCGAATGTCAGCCCACCTCCCCATTCATCACATTCGCCTTGAACGCAGCTCCCGATCCATTTACACCAATCCCAGGCTTCCCACAATACCAATACAACGAAACGACCTCCGCGCCAACTGTCTGGACGGCACCAGCGTGGAATCGTCTGAAGCGCAAAAGCAAGTCCTTCATCATCCAAAAAGACAACCTCATGAAAGCAGCGGCGATCAAAGAGGTGGTGAAGCGCATCCAGTCGATTGACACCGATAGTGGTATCACCGCTGAATGGCACGCCTGGAATATCTCCGGGACTGCTTCGCAGGATACGGCGTTTGCGTGGAGGCAGAAGGCGTATGCGCATATGGAGTTCACGGTCAGAGGGAGTGATGATGCTGCTATTGAGGCCACCAGGACGAAGTGGATGAATGATTTGGAGGGGTATTTGAGACCGCAACTTGGGTATGTATTCCTCCTTCTTGATCGACCGTGCAAATTGCTAATGATCGATACAGAGCCGCTTCATACACTGGATATGCAGACTCGAAGATCTCTTCAAACCCGTTCAAATCGTACTTTGGTGACAATGTCTGCCGACTGGTTCGTGTCAAGAGGGCTTATGACCCGACGAATGTGTTTACGAACCCTTTGGCCATTCCGCCATCGGTTCCTAAAGGAGTGTCTTGTTGATAGTTCGGGATCCATAGAAGTGAACATATAATCACTTTTTACATATTTTGCGCAGTGTTGCCGAAGTTTGGTCTAGGACATGGTGCGTAGCCTGTACTCTCCGTGAGTTGGCGGAAGTTTCAATAATGTGCGCCACCCGCCCAACAATTCTCGCTAAAACTAGCGACTCGATTATGGCCACCTGTAGTCCAAATAAGCCTTCCCAATTTGTCTGAGGAACGTAGTTTCGTCGCATAATTAGGCTCGGTGTCATTAAGTCGGGAATGGCGTTTGATCTGTACCGCTTCAGATATGTATCCGACATGACATTGAAGAATTGAGTTGAGTAAAGGATAATGAGTTTTTGAGTGGTGATATGCGATACCTAATGTCTATTATGTCATCCTGTGAGAACTGCTCCTCGTGACTCTGTGTGATGGTACACTCGAAGGTTCGAACCTCGAGATTTGGATGGTAACCCGCTCCTTGCCTCAAATGCATGATCTAGCGTGCTGACACGTTCTCGACATAATTGAATCATGTCGGAGCACATGACCCATGAGGTTCATTGCTATGGTTAGGACTTGAGCTGAGCGTTACATCCGTACTTGGCTCCAAATTTTCAAACTTATCGCTGTCCTGATAATTAAACAAACACATCTCAATACTATCCCTCAACTTCGTAGTCTTGTAGCCGCTCTCCACCCCCTGCGCTCTCGCCACCTCGTGCCAAAAGCTGGAAAACACAGGTGTTCGGTACAGCTCAAGCCAAAGCAAGTCTCTCAACGCAACAGCAAGCTCGTCTCCGCCTTTGAGCCCGGATGCGTCGCATGCATCAGCCAGATGTTTGGCAAACCATTGCCGATCGGCAGTCTTGGACGTGGCAAGCCCACCAATCATCAGAATCCAGAGCATCATCTCTGGATATTGGAATTCAAGAGTTCGGATGTCGAGTCTTTCTAGGCAATTGCGAATTCGTGTACAGACTAGGAGAAGAATGGGTACACCGCATGTTTGATCTCGGAGAAACATGATGATATGCAAGGTCAGCGCATTTGAAAAGAGGTACAATATCGCTGTAGAGAAATCCTTCTCAGAATAGTTCTCCGAAAGGGTGATGAGCAAAGTCTTTCGTTCGAGATAATTCAAAACATCACTGTAAGATTCGTGAATCTGTCGGTCTAGATTGCCCACCGTGACAGCTTCCTTGATCAGGGAAACGGTCCGAATAGTCCAATAAGTATCAATCATCTCCTCTGAAAGTACCGTTAAATTTGTCAAGTTTTTCAGCTTGTTCTTGTAACGGATGGCTGTTGAGTTGTGTTCCGGGCGCTGAATGACTGGAGGAATGGCACTCCAGATGTCAAAATCAAAACGAGGCATTTCGTTCAATACTATGGAAGTTATGTTGTCAATCCTGTGCAGTCGTTTAGCAACAATCAATCACTACCTCAAGGTCATTCTTACCAGATAGAGAGAATTCGAGGAAAGCCAGTCAGGTTTTGGATGCCCCCTCGGGTATCGATCATAGCCTCAAGTCCTACGAGATGCATTCTGGCTGCTGCAGGTGTCGCACTCAAACTCTAGAGACTGTGAGCTCGACCCGCTTATGATAGTACTAAAACATACCTCAAGTGAGATTAGACATCCCACAGCCATGAGTGTAGCATCAGACACAGGTCCACTAGACTCGGAAAGACGCTGATTTAACAAAGCTATGGTTTGAGTCTTATAATAGAAAGTGATTTTATCAGAGATGAACAGCTCTCCGCGAATGACCGACCGGCTCATAGCTGCAATGAAAAGTGTAGCCTGCATAAGAACTGGATCCTGAAATGCAGTTGGAAGCCATTGGTCTCTCGGCTGCAATGCTGTATAGGTGTGACGAAATACTTGATCGTCTATCAGATAGAGTCTCGATTAGCGCTAGACCGATACTAGTAGTAAATACAAGAGCTTGGAAGTGGTAGGTACCGAGCTAGTAATAGGCTGAAGGGTCGTTTCAGGGAACTTACAGTAGAAGACAAGTGCATGTGTTTGATTTTTCAGTCGAGCAGCTGTTGTATTGAAAGGGTCAAATGGCTCAGAACCTAATGGGAGCCTTTGAATACTCTCTAAGATTTTGAGAATTCTCGTTGTGGGTGGTTCAGTCTCATATGAAACCTCTCCCGGCTCATTTTGCTGTTTCTGTTTGACAGGACGAGAAGCTTCTGTTCTTACTTGCTTTCGTCGCGCGTGGGACCGTATAAGGTTACGGATTGAACCTTCTGGACGACGCGTACCGGACTCCGGGATAAATTGTAGATCCTTCGAGCGTCAATACCACACAGATCAATGCCAGTGGGGATCTTAGCAGTCTGAGCTTCTTACCTGACGCGGAGCTTTATTCACTTGTCAGTAACCACGAATTCTAAATCGATTCTGTGGGGGTTAACTCGTACAATTCAAATTTTGGACAACTTCTGTCCACTGACAGTTGTTCTCCCCTTTGCGATGTTGTCTAGGTTTCGATTTTCTGGGGACTGAAAGTTTGCGGCGCTCCCCGTGAGACTCTTCATTGATATTCTCCGTGATATCATCTTGTGGCTGGGCATTGGCCGAATTCATCGGTGTTGTTCGTGCTCCTGTACTCGGTGGGGGAATCCAAGAAATTACCGACGTACCGGGTTGTCAAAAAATTGCTGTAAAGAATTGCCTATGATATCTTCGTTGGTCACAACATCGTCTTGATTGCCATTTCTGGAGAATAAGCGGTGTCTATGCATGCTCACAGAAGCCTTGACCACTTTTTCGAACTCGAAATACATCAGAAGTTGTGATAGGTTGATTATTGCTGACAGCGCATGTACAGGTTGATCTTCCGACCGCTGTACCTGGCTTTGTAATCCACGACGGTTAAATCCCGATGGGATTGTTACCTTAAAAGTTGACCCCGATGTCTTGAAAGCCATATTTCCAAGGCGCACCGGAGTCCCGACAACGGAAAACCTCCAAGCTCTCTTGCTTCCATGCAATCAGCACTCTCTACATCCGGTACTTATTTCGAAGAGGAGTGTGTTAGCCTATTCAACTCCGATCGGATATGGCATAAAGCCGCGGAAGCCGAGCTGCGTGATTACTTCGTAGTGCTTACGAAAGATTCGTGGAAGATGGGTTTAGCGAGCCATGCGAGCCGTATGGAAGCACTCTTCCCCAGATGTCGGGGGACGGAATACGGATATCGCTTTAAGGGCGCACCGATGGCGGCCACAAGATGCATTCTGACTGCAGATAAAGTGATTATGACGTTTGGTAGGCCCTGAATTTGTCCATTTTTGGCGAGTGGAGGCTGAAAATACTCACCGGCGTTTGACCGTGTCAACATCCTCGGAGTTGTTCGGAAAGTTCAAGACGAGATCGCAATGATAAAGGTTGTATTATTTCCATTGTGAAGGCACTTCTGCTTCTACTAGTCTCAATTATTCAGAACCTCTAACATTCATCAGACAAGGTCTTATTTAGTTGAAGTTTAATTTTTCCTGCAACATTGACTGCCAAGCTATAGTTGTCGATGGACTTCCAAGGAGCAAACTTCAGTCCAGAACAAATGGACTCTACGCCAATCATGCAATCATATGGGACAGTCGGACAGTGGACAGATTTCTCGCTTTATGAAAATGAAACAACTTTTGTTAACAGCGGGGAGTCTTTCAAACCCATCCTATCTGCTGAGACATTTCCTGTAAGTGACCAACTTAACATGAGGTAAAAGAAGTAAAGCGCAACAGGCTGACGGTTTGGCAGTTTGAAACGTTGACTTCAACATATCATTCAAGTCCATCTCTCTCGCCTGCTTCCTCGATGGAAATGTCATTTGATGACTTCTATTCGAATCCCACATATGACTCCCCGTCAATGAAAGAGCAAAGCCCTCCGCTGCCAGATAATCTGTACTCAATACCCGCATTCTACGAACCAGAAAATACAAATACGAAAATCAAACAAGAAAGTAACGTCATCAATGTGACCTCAAATCCAGAACCCACACCCACAAAGGGTTCAAAAAGAAGAGCAAACTCGAAGGGTTCAAGACCTAAAGCACCAGCTTCGCCATCAGCGATCGAACGACGCAGACAACAAAATAGAGCTAGTCAAATGGCTTTCAGAGAACGAACGAAGAAACTTGTGGAAGATCTGAGGAAGCAGCTCCTCGCGAGTGAGACGGAACGATTGAGGCTGAAGGGACTGCTGGAAAGAGTACTCGCACCTGGCATGCAAGGAGGACGCTATCTGTGAAGCAACATTTGGTTTGATCGGGTGTACTACCATCCATTTTATGGCTTTTGTGTTTAGCTGGTATCTTGGATTTAGCGGGAGTCTGGTGTTCATGTTGGAGGGAGTAAAGGAGCATTCTACGCGTGGACTCACTTGTGCCACGCTTGCAGATGCTGTTCCCAGTAAAATAGAGAGAACATAATGTAATGATGAAATGAAAACAAAACATCAATCAAAATTAAAACGCATTGTAAATCATGATCTACCGTGCAGATGCAGGGCGGACAAGGATAGAAGCCTAAGTGACTGACTTTGACGAGCGGTACACTGACAGCTGCAATTGTCAACAAAGTGTACGCTGCACAGAAACACAAAACCTTTTGTAACATTTATACAATATTGTTGAAATGATGAAGTTTAAAGTGAGTGCGTTTTGGAATTAGCAAAAACAACGAAACTAAATGTTGACGTCACTAGGTCTAGCGCTTCGCCTACGGGGTTTGCTGTTTGTAGCATTTCTCCAGCTGTCCAGCGACTGTCTCACTTTGCTAGTGATATTGTCATACATTTCGCCCGCCACTCGAACGGCTCCGCTCGTACAAATCTGCCACGCAATGGACACCCAAAGCGATTTCGTTTGTGGAATCTATCTTCGTCGTTCGAATCCGTGATCTTCTGAAGGAGTCTTCTTCTCAAACCCTAGCTAACGCCTCGCCAACCATGCCTTCCGCGCAACTCTTTCCTCATCTCTCGTCGACGGGCGCTCCGCCACTATACTACGATGTGCGCGCTGCATATATCAAATACTTCCACGATCGCGTCAAGGAGGGTTCTGTGCGACCGCTCGTTCCTCACTATCACCTCGGTGGCATGTTTCTGCTCCTCGCATACCTCTCGATTCCGCATACCACGCGACCATGGCTATATAAGGCACGATGGGTAGTTTTGGCTATAATAACGTGGCATTCATGGAAGACCGCGTGGGAGACGAGTAGTCAGAGTGCTGGTGTGGCTTTGGTTGCCAGTTTGGTGTCGGCTTGGTCGTGGGTGATGGGCTGCGTATGGCTGGTGTTCTGTCGACCACAGTTTGAGGCGAAGCGTGTGGAGAAGAGAATTATACGAGCGCCAGCGACTGAGAAGAAGGAATCAGAGGAGCAGAATATTTCGAATGCAGATTTTGCATCTGAGGCGGACGGCGTAGGGCATGAAATATCATCAAACGTAGCCGCTGGCAACCAAGCAAACGGGATATCAACAATCAAGCATCGAAGTAAAAAGCTCCACCGTCAGAATGGACACTCAGATCCAGAAGTAAAGGGTGAAGTATACGAGAACACCGTTGTGTCCAGCAAAGAGTATTTCTGGCAGACGTATCCCGATACTTTTGGTGAACGACTGAACTGGGCGACCGATTTATTGGTCAACTTTCGAGGACCAGGCTGGAATTGGGCTATTCCAACTCTTCCATCCCCTCCAATTTCTATCACTGAGCAAGTTGGTGAGTTCGACAAGGAATCGGCGCGTACAGCAATCTCCACCACCGGTGTCCGACGATTCGACACACGGGAAGAAGTATTCCGCTTCTATGTTCCTAGATTCATTGCATACTATTTTATCGCCGATTTCATCAAGGTTCTTATGATGAAAGACCCTTACTTTCTTTTTGGCCCTACTACGTATGCCTTGCCGCCTTACCTTGCGAGTCTATCTCCAGTATCGCTGCTGCTTTTCAGGGAGACTCTCAGTGGTGCAGGTATTGTCATTCTAATCGAGATGGCTTTCCAGCAGGCTCCTCTCGGATTTTGTCTCTTCTTAGGGCCTCGTGTCCTAGGGCAACGGGCCGACCCATGGTACTATGCTACCTCTTGGGGCTCCTTTTCAAACATTCTTGATAAAGGCCTAGCCGGTCTTTGGGGCAGATGGTGGCATCAAACGTTTCGCTTTTGCTTTTCCGCTCCCACCCAATTCTTTATTCGCAATAACTATGTATCAGCACACTCGAAATATGCTAAACTTGTCGGTGGTCTCTTTGCCTTTGGCATATCTGGCTTGCTTCACTCTGCAGGCTCTGTTTCGCAGATCGCTCATACAAAGCCACTGAATAGCATGTTGTTCTTCATGATGCAAGCACTAGGCATCTCCCTTCAGACTACCTTTTGTGGAGTTTTTAAGTCCTCAATTGCATCTCTGCCGAAGACTATGAGGCGGACGGGCAACTTCGCATTTGTCATGACCTGGCTCCTAAGCACTGGCTGGTTACTGGCAGATGATTTCGCTAGGGGCGGAGTATGGCTCGTTGAACCCCTTCCTATCAGTCCTCTGAGGGGGTTAGGCTTTGGCGTTGAGGGAGATAGCTGGTGGGCTTGGTCAGAAATGGGATCCGGATGGTATTCCGGCAATCATTGGTGGGAGAGCGGGTTGGCATTATTTTGAGCTTGGAATGACTCTTTGAAGCCGCATCATCTACGACAATAGATGCTTGTTTTTTTATGGTTTGGAGTCTAACCTATTTCAGTAATTGACGCTGTAGTTTCTTTCGGGCCAGTAGGGCCGAAGGTTACCTCCCCTAAGAGAATGGGGCAGTATGGCTAAAACACACCAACGGCATCGCCTTCACTACTATGGCGTACCTTTTCGCTTGGAGTTTGGTTCAGCTGTTCGATTGCGGTCGATCTCATACTTTTGTCGCTTATTCGCCACTCTTCAGATTTGCACCTTAAACCGTGCAACAAACAGTTTGTTAGTATTTTGTGAGGGGAACACTACTATCCTACATCGTCCGAAGTGATTGGGAATCACCGCTTGCAACGTTGAAACCTATGTGTTACCTCCTTGCTGATTTAGGGTATCTCACATTCAGATTGACGGAGAGTGTTGAGTATTACTAAACCATTAAATGGCCTCGGCTCATGCAGCTTATCCGCCAATCCATGGCTTATCCGCTGTCAAAGGTTGACAGCTATTCCAACCATGGTCCAGAACAATATCCGGTGATGCTGGGCGTGGTGTTATTGGCTAGTTGAGAGCGACCTCGGCAGGGCTGAGGGGGATGTGGGCCCATCAATGGCGGGCGATCGCCCTGGTGGCTTTACAGATAGCCTCAACCAACGCCATACCCAACAACGACAATTCATGCAGTACCACAACGAAAACGACATCTTCGACCTCGCACTCTTGTGGCCAAAAATACCATATTCCTTCTTTCTTACATCGCAAAATTCACAACTACAACGAAATATTCAACTATGATTGTTATCCCGGCCAGATCTGACCTCAACAATAGACCAACGTCTCGCTGACTCCATGGAAGATCATTACGCCGTCTTGGGAGTTCCACGAACAGCGTCTATTTCCATCATCAGAGAGTCATACAGGAGACTTGCACTGCGTTTTCATCCGGACAAAAATAAGAATTCAAATGCGACGTCAGAGTTTCAACGCATTGTGAGAGCTTGGGAAGTGTTGCAGGATGAAGAGAAGAGAGCGAATTACGATGGAGGATTTGGATGGTCTTCAAACCGCAGTAGCGAACAGAATTATGATGAATTTTTGAGATCCTGGAAAAGTCGAGAGGATGCAAATCCTGAGCCTAAAAATTGGTCTTATGCAGGAGAGGATGGTCTTCACAATGATCGATTACTGCGTCGTGAAAAAAGTCGAGCATGGAAAGAACTCGTAAAGCAAGAGTATTTATCGCGGTTGGAGACTTGGGCCAGCACAAGAAAGCGATTAGTCCCTCTAGTGTTGGCTTGTCGCGACTCAATTGCATTGCGGGAGTCGCAGTTCAATGTTCTTTCCAATATGGGCAACTGCGAAGCCATAATCCAATTTCAAAAGGCAGTCGAATTATCAAAATCGACAGGTACAGTCGTGGAAGATTCAGCCCTCATCATCTCCAAGCTGGTCTCCGCGAGAGAAAAGTTCATGGCTAGATTATCCCACGAGCTATCCGACGTGAAAATTCAACGCGACCAACTCCTCCTCCAGTTAGAAGAGAATCAACGCACTTTTGAATACCAGGAAATCGACTCGCAACAGCTTCATGTCCAAGAAGCATTGCAAATCCTTGGACCACGAGATCTATCAGCCTCGTTGCTGATTGACGTCGATCCACGTCTTCGCGCGATCAATCGATGGGAATCACTCGCCAAAATTGGTAGTCCTCGAAATTTTTCTAGTCCTTCTGTGGATTTGTCGGAAGGGCCTTGGCATAGTCAGCTTGAGTGGGAGCGTATGACGGGCGAACTGAAGTGTTCGAGGTGTGATAAGTTGGATTTTCATGTCATTCCCGAATGTGGACCGGCAAGGTGCCCGACTTGCGGGGTGGTGGTTTGCAATGAATGCCACCGCGATTTGTGGCTGTTGAGGCAGTATGATGAATGGATTATGAGTTCGGTGGATGGGGATGAAGAGTGCTTTTTCAATCTGGATGTTTGAGGGCCTGGACTTACAAGCACTGGATGCATCATTACGGTGGGCAAGGAATAACATGGAACGGTCATCGTACAATAAATGTACTCGAAAAGAGTTGTCATTACTAGATACGAATTGACACTTCTGGTTGCGAAGAAATTGTGAATTCAATTCCTGTGAACGGTGTCCAACGAGGATCGGGTCTTCCACTCACGAAAGGTGTGCACGATAGCATCTCGTCGATAGGCACAACACTGGAAAAAGTTTCGAAATCAGAACAAGACACTGCCCGAAATTCAAGCTCTCAAGCTCTATCTCTTCTGGCGGATCATATGCGCGGAACTTTTGGGCGTACTCAAGTCCCAAGTTGTGCAACCAAAAACAAAGAGCAATACCTTGAACCATCACGGTCAATCTGGTGGAGCAGTCTCAAAATACAGAAGCTGCGACTAAAAAAAGTTTTACGAGACTTCATATCTTGAACCAAAGGATTTCTTCAGGGGCGAACACGACTGGAATACTACTGGCTTAAGTTAGCAAGGAGACTTGGTTGGCAGAGTCACGATGCTTAGTCTTCCTGCACAATGATGAACGCATCACTCGAACATTCGATAGGACTTGCCATCTCAAAATCGTAAGGAATCTCCAGCGCGGTTTAGCAAAGAAATGTTGCTCGCATTACTAAATTTGATGGAGGCCAAAAAGTGGCAGTATATAAATAATCACGTGATTGGCTTCGATGTGGCTTTAATATCCTCAATCATTTTCCCTATTCCATCGTGTGCACTGATTTGAACGTGGGAACAAAGAGTTGCAACCAAATTTTACGCAGGTGAGTGTGAAGAATGTCCTTTACCGTTTTCAGAATGTCGAAATTTTCTTTGTTTCAAAAACTCAATTTCATGGTAAAGAAATGCGAAAAGTCAAGACTGTAGCAATAAGTACACTTACATCACTTATACCTGCCTTGAAATTCCACAGAAATAATGTCAGACGATCAATTGAAGACTAAGGCGGGTGTCGAGAGGGAGCAGCCCAACACTTCTGTTTCTCCAACTCATCATGCTCCTCCTCCACCACCCCCGCCACGACACTCTCGGAGACCGGCTTCTGGGGAGACTCGCTCAGATGTAAATGCTCGACCCAGCCCCAAGTTTTCACATCATCGACCTCCGCCTCCTCCGCCGAGAAGTCCAAGAAAGCAGCACTCATTGGACGCCCCCTCCTCAACCAAGAAACAATCTTCATCGCCAGCCAAGTCACCACTCAAGCAACATTCATTTCCGCTCCAGACCGACTCGGATCACTCCACCACTTCGGAACCTTCTCAGAAAGTGACACCAGTTAAACCACCCTCCACGCCAACAAAACATCATCTTCCACTTGTGTATGGCATCTTACACGGCGAAACACCACTATTCCACCAAATCACAGCGGACAAGAATACTGATACTATTCTCCCAATCCGTCCGAGGTCCAAAAGCATCTCATCTCCAGCCGCTAAACCGTTCACGGCAAGCCCTTTGAACTCGCCTACATCCGGCAAGCCTCAAGACCGAGAGCGGTTTCCCCTCATTAGAAGTATTGCTCGAGGCGAGAAGCCAATAATTCACAAGGTTCAAGCTGAAATCGCCAAGCATCGTGTGCAGAAAACGCATGAGGCACATGAGAGAACGCCGATAGTGGATGATGAGGATTGGGGTGTTGGTGAGGGCCGTGGGTTTGATGTCGAGGAGATGGTTAGGGAGGACGGGAAGATGATGGAGGAGACGGAAGAGAAAGTTATGATTGCAAAGAGAATTGCGGGATTGACTGAAAGTTATGATGTCGAGAGCAGTGGGAGTGGGAAGATGGTTTTTGCGACCGAGATCGAAGACAAGAAGGAGAACATGAAGAATTCGAAAGAGGATTCCGGTGTGAGGAGAAGGAGTGCTAATATCCGACACGGGGAGCTGCCTCCTTTGTTCACAAATACGGGAAATAAAGCCATCGGAACGAAAGTCATGGGGGAGAAAAGTCCAACTTATTTGACTCCGACTACTTACTCACCATTTCCGGATAGGATTAAGGAGACGACGTTTGTGGCTACCAGACGCCATTCGAAACAAGCTTCATTGGATACGATCGATGGGATGATGAGTTCGAAGAGCTCGGGCAAACGACGTATCTCCATCGACAACGAAAATCCTATGACGCCCGATGATGCGTTGGTGAAGCCAAAGAAATTTGTCTCGTATGTTAAGATTGAGGAGTCTCCAATTGAGTCCCCGAGTACAAAAACGCATGGAAGATCTGGCACGTATCGTCGACATGTTGCTTCACACTCGGGTACGGCGAAATCACCACTTGATGGCTCGCAAAAGATTGAAGATATTCTGCCTGATCTTGCAACACCACACTTGGAGTCAAGTCATGAAAGACCAGCTTCTTCGTCGCCTGCTAAGCCCACGAGAAGTGCAGCTTCCACAGCAATCAGACACACATCCACTTCGGATTCCTCCAGATCAACAACCGGTATCACAGCACCCACCGATGCCATTACCCCTCATATCCCTATACAATTCCACGAAAATCCAATCAATCCACGAGACCTCCAATCTCCCGACCCCCTCTCCCTCACAGAAGACCCCTCCATCTCACAAATACTCTCCTTCTTCCCTCTCCCACCCCAGCCCACATCTCCAAACGCAACAACTCCTCCAATAGCCATCCCCCAAAAGGTTCGTCTCCGCAACGCCCGTCTCTGACTCGTCTAACCGACTTTTCAGACCCCCTTGGTGCCCTCCACACCCTTAGCCGTAAGCTCCCTCCCCTTTCCCCCTATCAATCCTCTCTAACACACTTCGGACTTAGCACGAACAAAAATTCAACACCTACACCACCTTTTTCCTCGCAGCCGACACTTTCATAACGTGGAACTCGGCTACTAACGCCGGACTCTTGGACGACACGGACGACTCAGCCCTCCTCTTCGACGAGAAATTCAGGGACGCGTTTATTGCTGACGTCCCGCTCGCCGAACCACCCTGTTTCGACCTCCCGTCCCCAATATCAAGACAGGACGACACAGCCATCCTCTTCGCCGACGACGCGGAGCATGAGATCTGCGCTATGTTCTGCGCGGCTAGCAAACTAGTTACCGATGTCATCACGGCAGCAGGGAAACGGTTTGTTGCAGAGGAGATAGAGAAGTTGGGTGATGAGGTGTTAGCCTGTATGGAGCAAATTTGCGGGGGAGTGGAGGAGGTTCCGAGTGGGGAGATGCGGGTTTTGGTGAGGAGGATGTTTGGATTTATGGAGGTTGATGAGGTGGTGAGGACGGGGCAGGTTGGGGTTAATACGCTGCTGTTTTTGCTTGGGGTAGTGTTTGGGATTGGGGTTTGGTGGGCGGGGAGGGGGTTTGAGGTGTGGTTTTGGGGGGTGTGGGAGGGCGTTTGGTAGTTTGAATGTTTTGGTTTATTGTGGAATGTCGAGTAAATTTGTTGCAAACCAGATACCACGGAACCATACTTGATATGATAAGGAGATTTGATGTACCTTGGATACTAGTGACTGGAAATACTTTACTGTTTGTAGCTGGGGATAAGAACTTAATGTGGCGTCTGTAGACAGCGGATTTTCCTACAAATCAGATTCTGGTTCTGACAGTTCATATCGTTAAGCAGACCAGTTATTGAAATTTGTTTTGACATCTTTATGTAACGCCAGCAAAACCCAAGGGACGAGGCATTGAGGATTTTCACTCCTATTCTCTTTCGACCATAAACGCTTACCTTTTGTGGGGAAAAGGAATCGCTTGTAGAACTCTTAGAAAGATTTATTGGATGATTTCTCATCCCATTGACTGACTACGAAACCAGCTACGTCTGTCTCTCCATCACGGTAGAATCGCTTGCATACAATTTCACACTCGTTCATTTCTTCATGGTCAACGCCTAGAATTTTGATGCCCATCCACAATTCGGCCAAGATATGAAAGTTTTATTTTCTCGAATTTTCTCAATAGTTGGTACCTATGGATTCAATCTCTCGGAATAAATAAATCCAAAAATGTGACAGTCTGCTACGAACAACATCCACATGCACGTGTAGAGTATATATATGAGTGGAGTCTCACTACGTGATATATAGTCTGGTGGCTGGAGTATTAAGCGAGGATTGAGCATGAAGATGCTGCGCCATCGGCTCACTTCTGAGTCATGCGGCTTGGTTAATTGAGTACATATACGGGAACTTATTCGTGTGAAAGAAGAAATACTCACTTAACTGATTGCTTCTCAAGATAAAAAAGAAATTTGATGTTTGGTCGATCCGTTGACATATTGTGGATAGGTTAGGTTACCGAATTATATCAGTGGTTGGCTATAAGGAAGTAAGTCGCTTCCAAAACACTGACAGATTATTTCAGGTGAGCAGCCATTACTGACATCAGTAGCTTTCCAAAAAGGTCTTGCAATTATGGCGTCAATTATTCTTGAAGGGATCGAGCCGCGTGCTCTCTCGAAACCTCAGAAATACCTCGCAAATTTACCTCGTGAGATCGTTCATCTAATATTGAAAGATGTAGACATCATCAAGGTCCTCAACATTTTATCGTACAATCACGGATATCTCAATAGTTGTATCGTCACATCGACAAAATTTGGGCCGCTCACGATTCCCTATGAGCCTGACTCAAATGACGGACAATGGATCAAAGACCTCGCAAACACAACAAAACTCTACATACTTCATCTCGAGATATGTGTTATCCGAAAGAGAGCGATCCAAGGTCCGAATTCACTCACTCAATTGCCGCTGTTGCTGAGAGAGCATTACGATGCGTGGAAGGCGGACATGCACACGGACCTACGTAAAAGACTTGCAGACCAAATCCACGAAACGGCGATGCTAGACGAGTATGAGAAATCGGTTTATCTTTCCCACACGACGAAACCCTTTCCAGACCAGGAAGAAGGTCGGTCGATGGATTTGGATATCCTCTCTGCCCGGTGGAGATGGATTAAAGAGACTTGGATCTCCATGGGAAAGGCGAAATGTCGCCAATTGAACATGGCAGCGGATATTTTGTCAGAAATGCCGGGAAGAGTTGCTTTGAAGAAGCCCTTAGACCCTTCCCAGACTCCTCCTTCGAGCGCTGATCATATCGTGCGACTGTTGCGCGGGAAGGGAAAGCGATATGCGGAATCGCATATACCGCCACACAGGAGGAGGCCTAAGTGCGTGGCAGGCGCTGAACTGATTGAGCTGGTACCATACGACCGATATCTGAGAATCTTTTTGGGAGCACTGGAAAAGTATCCTCCTAGTGCGAAGCAACTGGAAGCTGATTTTGATAAACTTTCGTTGGATAATGGTGCCGATACTCCATGTGTGTATCCACAGAGTATCATGGATGATCTCGAAATAGCGGTCAAGGGCTTGAGATATGTTTATAATCGTGATCCGGACATCAGAATCCCTCGGATTCAGTGGAATTCCTTCGAACATGCGCGAAGGTCGAATCCTACTTTTGCTGTCGGCCATTCTCATCACCTCACCAACTCAAGTCCATGTCCTTGGTGTGTCGCCATGCATGCTGCCTATGATGACAGAGAATATGAGTGGTTAAGGGCGTTCTTGAAGGTGGTGTGGTGGATGGAGCAGAATCTTGACATTCCTGATGATTTTGAGGTTGTGGAAAGCGAGGAGTTTCTCTCTGTATGAGACTCGAGAGCGCTTGGATTTAGAGCGAAGTCCGATGCATATTGGCGAAGATAGTTAGAAAAACAAACTCTGCCAAAGCCCAATTACCCCGAGTCTGCCTCGCTTAGCTGTCGCCACCAAGTGACTACCTGCAGATTGGCCGTCTTCTCAGCCTTACTTTATTTTCTCAATGATCATCCTGTCTGTTTCTCGTCCCTACATGGGCTTCTGATAATTCATGGCGTCGCCCTGTATGCCCAACATATGATTTTCTGTAGCAGTACACTCTGCGAAACAGTTTCTGTCTCCTTAAGCGTTGGGCGAAGCGAGAAGCAGGCGGTGCACATGAAAGGCGCGATCGTGGATATCCGTCCCTGTCAACAACTCTAATTACTGCTATCATGGAATCACTTGCAGCAGCTGGTGGTGTAATTGCAGTAGTCTCGCTAGCTGGGCAAGTTGTGCAAGGCTGCATTCACCTTCGTGATGTTTTCGATGGTGCGAGATCCGCACCAAAGGACATACGATCTTTGGCGACCGAACTGAAGATCATCAAAGATGTTGTGGAAGCCACTACGAACTTGGATCAGCATCCAGAAGTCTTGGACTTCTGCAACGAAAAGATCGTGAAGTTGCGTAAAATTGTCGATAAGTACGGTGTCGCGGATGATGGCACTGACAAGAGAAGATGGGGATCAAGATTGGCAATGGCGCTGAATTCGGATAAGATTCAAAAACATCTCAATTCATTGAGGGAAGCTAAGCGTCATCTTGAACAAATTCAGAACGTGTAAGTCAGAGTCAAGACATTCAAACCAGGTCGATTCTAAGTGCTGTATAGTTCGGCCCATTCTCATCATCTTATCAAGACAATTGAGGTATTCGATACAGTCCACGAAATACAGTCTTCTCAGAATGACTCTGTCCAAATCCTCAATCGTGCGGAGAATAAATTAAATAGCGTTGATGCAACAACTAAACAGACGCATGAAGCCCTTGTGAGGTTTGCAAAAGACGTCGGTGAGAGGCAATCAGAGGGCGCAACAGTGAAGGATGTGCATAATATCATGCAAATGGTACGAAGTGTTGAGACAATGATACAAAACCAACTCTTGCAAGATCAGATTCGCAACTCGCACCAACTCAATTCCATTTCGACAATACGTGCCATGTCTGAGCTCCCACCAACCGATCTAGAGTCGAGCAGTGCGGTAGGCCGAATACGAAATCAGACATCAACAGCAGGTTTCGAACAGGTAGCCGAAGACCATAGTTCAGATAATTCGAACAGCCAGCTTCAGAGAGTGAACCAGCTCGTCGACATCGCCATAAAAGTCCGGTATAAGCAGGGCAAACCCATCGTCGGAGTCATAGCCACAAAGGACCAAGATTTTGAAGTGGCTGATTTCGAAACAAAAAGATGTATGGTAAAGCTGCTACAAGATCTTCGTCTCTTGACCTGGCTTTTCACACACAACAACAATCTTGAAAGAGATTTCCAACGAAGGACTAGTAGTCCCCAGTCACTATTTATATACGAGGATGATCTCACATCAACCTGGAATTGGTGGAAGATAGGTGAGTCAGTAGGTGCTAGTAGTTTGGGTTCAATGTCGACGGACAAGAGTTATAAAGAAGAAAGTAACGAATATCTCACTGTGATTCTCACAACTCTTACCACAACTTTTAGCACAACTCTTTCCACAACTCTTACCAGATATCTAGATCTGTTAGGACACAAGTGGAACACTAAGTCACTACCGGCTTTCTATCCTCAGTATCCTCGTGAAGTGCCGTTTTCTAGAATTGAGAGACAATGCGCCATGATTCTATATCTTCTTGACCTATGGTTGTATTGTAACGAATATAACGATTAAAATTTGTTATTTATCGTAAGATGGTCGTTAAATGGAAGGTTCCTCTCTTTAAGTAAATTATAGCTGAATTAAGTAGTTACACTAGCAACACCAACGCATCATAGTAGGCTGACCAGAACTCCCAATTCAGAAAAAAGTTAAAAACTTCGCTGAAAAAATTTACTCTTAGAAAATTATTGTTTTTAACTAATGGAAATAATAGCTCTCTATGTTGTTTGTGCCTATAACATAACATTTAATCACTTCTCGATACTCTAATGAGATAACACAAATATTTATTTATCTCGGACGCTTTTTGGCCTAAAACAGCTGAATTTCGGGTGTACAAAATTTTCCTAACCATGGTATTAACCTTATTGCTTGGAGTATCAGCGATCGAAACGTCGCAAAATAATTCAAGAAATAATGAAATTCTACAGAATCTACAAAAGAAAATTAATTGCCATTATTTGACAGACGAGAATTGAGGTCCTGAAAGAGGCAGTGAGTCGAGTTTTGAAACACATGAAATCAACAGTCCTGAAAGAGGCAATCAAGTGAGTTCTGAAACAAAAGAAAATGATAGCCCTGAGACAGGTAGTCAAGTGATTTGCAGGCGCGATAAACATCTGTTTTGAGAGCCCTAGTAACTCCCGCTTTACTTTACGCTATACTCCTCTCAAAAGAACTGGAAGCACCAATCCCAAATCCAAGCTCACCCCATCTTACCCTCCTTCCTCTCCCTCGCCTCCGCCCTCCGTACTCTCCTCTGTTCCCTCTGCCCCGCCCTATATACCCTCTGCCTCTCATTCTCCAGCCTCCTCTCCTCAACCGTCATATCTCTGCGTCTGCTCTTCTTCCTCTCGCTCACCCGTTCTCTTTCCTCGTCCGTCGCCAGCCTCCAATCTTCCCTCCTCTTTTCATTCACCGCCTCCCTCTCCTCAGCCGTCATCCTCGCCCTTTTTTCCTTCACCCTCTCATAGTCCTCCATCCTCCTGACCTCTTCCCTCAGCCACTCCTCAGCCGTCATCGTCGCCTTTCTTTCCCTGTCCTCAGCCGTCATCCTCGCCCTTCTCTCCAGTATCCTCTCGATGTCCCTTGTTCTCCTCTCCTCCTCCCTCATTCTTTCATTCTCTCTTTCCCTCTCCTCACCCGTCATCCTCGCTCGCCGTTCCCTTTGCATCCGCACCAAAGTCTCCAAATTCAAATCCCTGTATCTTTGGTCGATGGAAAGGGATACGAATATACGTCGTTGTCTGAGGTATTCCTCCCATTCGTCGTCGTTAGAGAAGTCTTCGCGGCGTTTGAGGGGAGGAAGTGGTGAGGGGGGTAGTAGAGACGTGGGTGTCGTAGATGAAAAGGTGTGATGGATGGGGAGGGGAGGAGGCGGGCAAGAGATAGTGCGTGGAACTGTTGTGGATGGGGTAGAGTGACTCTCGGGCATTGAGAGGACTGGTAGGGTCGGTTTGCTGGCTTTGGCGTGGGCTTGAATCGAGGAGATAAGGTGATCTTCGGGTGTACTGTCACTTGTCGGGTCTGATATGGAAGAGGTCGTGCTTTTCGCATAGGCATTTACAGCTGATAAGAGATACTCTTCAGCTGTATCAACTTCAATGGGTTGAGGTAGAGGAAGCTTTCGTCGCTCATCCCGAGCTTTTGTGGAAGATTTGACATGGTCGATTGTAGAGATACTTTCGTCCGGAGCCATGATACTGTTTCTCAGCTGTGGTAGAAATATTTTGTCTGAATCAACATCATCATCGTCGTCCCTAGGCTGTCTCGAGAACTTTGGATGGTCCTCAACCAGATTGTCGTCCAATTCGGCAAGAGCGACCGACAAGTCATGTCGAGCAGGCGTGAGGCAAGAGCCAACTGCATCACTTTGCGTCGATTGAGCGGTTACAACACTTCCTGCTTGATCATAGGCATCTGTGAAAACCGATGAGATACTTTCTACAATTATGTTCTAGTTCGGGATGTTGTCAGCTAAATCACCATTGAATAGAGGGGGATTGTTTTTCCTCACCACCAACCGCTTGAGGATGTTGCGTAGAACAATTGACACGCTCTTCCGCTGTAGCTCGCTCCAAGCCTACGTCAGCAGACCTTCTACGCCAGTCTTCAAATCGATTCCAGTGATCCGCTAGACTGCCTGGTATAAATCTTTCTTTCTCGACCTCCTGTTCGACTTCCACCATCCCTCCAACTCCCTGTCCCATTCCTCCAACTGCCTCCACCTCTATACGTCCCTCCCCCACCTCCCTACCTCCCTCTTCCACAGCACCCCCTAAACCACCCACCCTCGCTTTCTTAACAACCAAACCAAACTCCCCCGTCGCCTCCCCATCCTCCGGATAAAAATCAAAGATAAATTGCTCTTCATCTTCCTTAAGAACGTAATTCTTGCTATCACGATGGCGTTTCGGCATCGAAACGACTACACTGAAGAGTACCCAACATGGGGACGTGCGAGATATAAAAGGAGGGAGAGATCAGTATGAAAGGGTTCTTTGAAAGGAGAATAGTGCTTTTGAGAGGAGATGAGACAAAGGTGGTTGTTGTGGAGAGGATTGTGAGTGATGGACAAAGGAAGGACTGAGACGAGACATAACTCACTTGATGACTGAGGTTTTATCTGTAGATTTGGTTAGTTTCATCTGTGGGAGATTATCTTGATGGATTTTTGATGGTACTCATACCTACCAGTTTGAAAGAGTAATTTGAATTTGAGACCTGACTCGAATTTTGATAGACTCATCTTGGACCCCAACACAAATCGAGGCGGCTTCTCAAATACATATATTTTTAACGATATTCTCGTACATGCTCACTGTCAGTTCCGTACCGCTTAAGAACCTCCAAATACACACTATAGTACACCCATTCCCATCAAACTAAATTCTCATCCTCAATGCTCCCCTCTGAAGCTCTCCCAAAACCCCGTTGCCAGCCAACGCCCACTTCTCCGCAACACTCCTCTCGTCAACCGTCTGTCTCAATACCCCACTCTTAGCCCAATACTCCATCAGCCCCCTCGCCTCATCCTTACTCGTACCACTCAACTTCATAACGTGAACATCCTTCAACGACGCCTCAACTCGTTCGTCGTAATTCTTTTCAAAGGGTTGACGTTCGGTTTGTGGTGATTCTTGTTGCTTTTCCAGCGCTTGTGTGATGGCTAGATTCATGGAGAGGGAGATGGGGTGGTGACTTCGTGAGGTGGCGCCTATGACGGCACCGCCGTTCTTCATGGTTTGGGACCCGGAGAGAAAGTCTGTGAAGTGTTTGATGAGCGCGAGATCGTGGGAGTGGATTAATTCGTTGTTGGTGTTGCGGTATTGACTGTCTCGCATTATGTAACTCAGACCGTCTAGCGTGAGAAGAATAGGTGGTCGACCTGATTGATTCAATTCAGACCATAGAGCTTGGAAGAGAGGGAATGCAATGTCGGAATCTCGGACTCCGAGTTCACACAGGCGGCCGAGAGTGGTGCCTTTTGGGATCTCGATTGGAAGGTTATGCGGTTGTGTCATCTTGATGGTGTCTAGGATAGGATTGGCTTTCGCTATTTTTTCGAGCCACTCGGCAGTATATGTTGGTTGCATCCAGACAGAGGGATTCGAATTAGGAATGGCAGCGTAGTCATTTACAGCGTTGACCAATTCTTGTGCTGCGAGTATTGTCAGATATTGATTTCTTATGTGTTGGGAATAACATACCCTCAGGAAAATGAAGCACAACCCATCCTCTTGCAACAGCTACAGCTTGTGCGTGTAACAGCATCATACTTTTTCCACTACCCTTACTTCCCTCAATGACATATCTCAGGGTACTCTTCTCATCCTCAGCAGAAACCAAAGCTCTCGTCAACTCGACCGATTCCTGTCTAATCAACAACCCAGGTTTATTGAACAAACCCCAACCCTGTGTTGGTTTGAAGGCATCAATTGCCCGCAAAGCATCCACCGTCTCCCCAGGCAATACAACAACATTACCAACCAAGGACTTCTTTTCCTCTCCCCCCTCCAGCATATCCGCAACCAAATCCTTATTGAACTCCTGCATGCCCGGAACCGCAAGCGCATTTGTATTGCTCAGCACAATCCTCTTCCTCATCGCTTTTCGTTCTCCAGAGGCCGGTGGCCTCCCCGTAGTCTTTTGTGCTCCCTTTTTCTTAATCCTAAGATTTTGTTTGACTCCCGCTGGTGCTGCTTTCTTAAAAGGCTTAGGTCCTCCAACCAATTTTGAACTGGTGGAAGAAAATGGCTTTGACGACACAATTGAGGATATTCGGGAGCTGGAGGTCGCGCAAGGCCTCGCGAGACACTTCCAGCAATTGATTGAGGTCGCCATCTTGACGACGTGCTGGCAATTAGGACGCCAAATCGTAAGTCTTGATGTTGTGAAGACCCGTGGACATCGAGAAAACCATCTCGGAGCGGATAAACTAGTTCCGCAGACCCGCAATTACTGTCCAGGGTCTACCAAAAAGTTGAAGATTCTCCAAACAATTTTTGCGATAAGCTTCATCTATCAATCAACACTCCGAACAATAATACAATGCCTTCTACCACTCTTGAGGCCGGCGAGACGAAGAAGCCTCTTCCGGTAACTGTTAATAAACCAACACCATATACCTTCGATCTTGGCCTTCTTCTTGCGACCGACCCAAACCCACTCGTTCTCACAAGCAAAGCAAACCTCGAAGATGACCTCGCAGCTACAGCAAGAGACGGTGCGCAAGCCTTGTTAAATCAATTGCTATCAACATGTCCAGTAGCAAGCACACCCAACGGCGTCCTCCTCTCATTACCAGCAATAGAGACATCATTACCCCGCGAAAAGGTACTGCCCCTCTTCATCCCATCCAAGCTCTAACTAACACATTCAGCCACTTCCTCCACCAAAAGCTCAAACCACATGGCAGAAATTTGCCGCAAAGAAAGGCATCAAGCCTAAGACTGCGGAAGAAAAGAAAAAGATGGTTTACGATGAGGCGACTGGGGAATGGGTCCCCAAATGGGGATACAAAGGAAAGAATAAGGCTGGAGAGAATGATTGGATCGTTGAGGTTGATCCGAAGGCGGAGAGGGAACGAAAGGAGGGTACGGAGAGACAGGGAGATGGAAGGAGGGAGAGGAAAGAGAAGGTTAGGAGGAATGAGAGGATGCAGAGGGCTAATGAGAGGAAGGGGAGGAAGAATGGTAGTGGAAAATGAGAGGCTTGAAAGAGAGCATTGTTTGGTGGAATTGGCGTTTTGGGATGGTTGTGTTTGGCGTTTGGTGGAAAATGGTCTGTGTTTGAGAAGTCGTATGACAGAAAGTCGCTGTCCCGGGTCATATATACTGCAGGTAGCAGGTGGTAGGCAGGGTCGAAAGGAGGAAATACGCCACTTGCAAATATATACGATCTCTACTTATGGAGCTTCATTATGTTCAAATCCAAAGTATCCCCAACCTAGCAGGATTAAGCCAACCACCAGAATGATCTAGTATGATAAGAGCTATGTCATTGGCGGAGATTATACTGACCTTGGCACAACACAACTTGATATCCAAACCCATCTTTTTAACCCCAGACACAAGCAACACCCAGTCATGTCCGCGTATGTACGCAAATGTCGAAGAGCAACATTGCCTATTTCTTACACGGCCACCTTCTTATACTATGACAAACACACCTTGAAGCTAAATTTATTGGCACCCGTAATACTTATATCCTAAGGTAAAGACAGGTTCGTACTACTCTGTTAGTAAGTCACGACACTTAAATGGAAACTGGAATACTACGAAATTATCTAGGGATGATTATCTCTTTCCTTTATTAAGTGTCTTTTAATGCTATCAAACTTTCAGTTGAGTGAATGGAACGGGTTTGAACTGCATATCCTGGTCTAACTTTATCTCGTATTACTCTTGTTAATCCGGATTCAGACGATGTTTCACTGAGAGTTCCCGGTTAGGAGAAGCGAAGATCAGAACTCAAAGCAGTTCGGATGAAGTAGCGATTGTCCAGCTATCCCTTCTCATCTGGGAGATGATTGCGAAAGAAATGACCGAACTCTGAAGTCCTCACAATTCTTGCACCCTTGAACCTTATCGATAGCAATTGTGCCAAGTCTCCTCAAGATGCAACAGCCAAGCACTCCTAGAATTGGTTAGGTCTAGTCATGTGATTAAATGCCGAGGTTAGAGTTCAACTAGGCGCTTAGATATTCTTCACCCCTTTTCGATGTTTATTTGAATTACTTTATTTTCAAAGAAGTTTGACAACCTAGCCTCGTAACAACATCTATGTACCTACGTACTCCGTATCCAACTCGGGTGTGGCGGTTGGTTGGACCAGGTAAATCCCCCTCGGCCCAACACGTTCTAAGTCAGGTACATAGTGCTGGTCCATGCGCTGAAGAGGAACCCGTCTGGTCAGGAACAGGCAAGAGCATGAACAGAACCACGTTTCCACGTTCCTAGAAACATATGAGAGGTGACTAGTAGGATGAAAGGAAATGACTAGATGAACTGCCTCAAGTATCTCCACTTTCTCGTTGCAAATATAGATGGTCCTTTTAATAGTCTTTTAATCAAGATGATCCTTTTCAGATAGACACGGAGGGGACTTCTACACGTTTCAGGACTCCTTCTTCACCGCCAAGCAATCCCGGGAATGGTCCAAAAGCCACGAAGCTCGTCTGCCGCGACGCTTCATCCATGGATTGGTGATGCTCGTACAACTCTAACCGTCTATCCAACATACAGTCAACCTACACCACAAACGCTCGACCTTGCGACAAAGACATCTGCAGTCAGCACGCATGCAGTACGCTTCATAGCTGCCGCGCATTGCCATCTCTGAGTTTATTGTCAGCGTTCACCGTTGACAATCATTATCACTTTGTACGGCAAAAGTCGAAACATCACATCCTCAACCTGCAGTCCTTGCCCTCCCGCCGCATCCTCACCTCCTGCTTCAACACCCCCCCAGTCCACCAGCACCAGCACCCTCCACCTCGTCAGTCAAATCGACCTGCGACCGGCGACTGCGACAGAAGAATACACTGACCCTTCGGCCAAACCTCGTCGTGACATCCCCCTCAGTTCCTGCGCAACCCTCAACCCGCAAATCTCACCGCTGCAAAGCCTTTGCCCCGCGACTACACCTTCCACCGCACGCGCCGTCGCATCCCTCCCTCTGCGGCTCTGACTTGCTCACCATTGTGATACCTGAAGGCTGTGCGCTTTTCAAAACAAAGAGGATTCCTGCGCCAGTGTGCGCGACGGCAAGGGGCTACCTACCTACGACGCCAGCGAGCGAGCGAACACCGCCAAAGCAATAGCTCAGGGGCACGATCAACTATGGCTAGAAAATCCCATCCACAGCCGCTGACCCTCACCGATCCGAGACTGGTAGGCGACCAAGATTTTCTGAATAACCCACGATCTCCACTGAGTCCGACGTCTCCCAAATCTCCAAGATCTCCATTCCGCTTCAGCACAAAGAAAGCACAAGCTGAGGGCGAGCAGCCGCCTATGCAGTCCTCCGATTCACAACGCACACGAAATACGCTACCCCCCACTCAGAATTCCGTATCGCTTCCCTCTTTAGATTCATTCACAAGCGCCCAGCCGTCGGACAGAGTGGAGGCCGATAAAGAACAAAGACCAGCCAGAAGCGGCTTCTTTTCTAATTATAAAGCGTCAAAAAGCTCGAGTCGCTTACAGGCAAACCAAGACGGAAGCAGACAGGACGACAACATGTCCAAAGACGCAGAACGTCCCAAGGTTTCATCACAAGAAACTTCCAGAAGTGGTACGGTCTTTTGTCTGGTGCGTTTTTGGAAGTACATGCTAATTATAAATCTTTATCAGACCGTAGTACAGACCGGTCGACCAAGAGAAAACCTGTCGGTGGAGGCCCGTCGCGATCCGAGGTATCCATTGACTCAACGAGCGACGCGGGGACTCCGTCTTCCTCAAATGTGAATAAGAAGAGTAAACCCAAAGCATTTGGTCTGCTGTCACGAACACGATCAATCCGCGACGAGAATAGTCCACGAGAACCTTCTCCCACCGACAAACTTCAACCACCACAACAACCCGAGCGGAATCACCAACACGCATACAGCGAGTCAATAAAGACTGCACCATTACGGTCGGATAACGATCGGACATTTCGGGACATGATGGGTTCAAGTGTTCGTCAACATTCGGAGGATAGACAGACCTCACGAGCGCGAGACGCTTCGAGGGAGAAGGCACCCAGAGAGCCAAGTAAACTCCAGCCATCGTTGATGAGGGATACATCCAAGGAGAATAAAATTCCGACCTTCTCTTCCGCCCCGCAGGAGAAAAGTGGACATGGATTTTTGAACAACCTTAGAAGTTCGGCCACGAAAGGCGCGGGAGCCATACACAAAGGACTTTTTGGCAAGGGAGGACGAAGTGGTAGCACGAATGAAAAGGAGCAGCCGGTCGATGATGAACATTATGAGTTGAAGGTTATCAACAAACCACTGGTCGAGCAGACACGACTTACACGGATATCGAAAAGATTGGAGGACTCCAGGGATAAGACGGAATTCTGGATGCCGGCGTTTCCCTGGCGGGCGATTGATTACTTGAACTACAAAGGAAGTGATGTTGAAGGATTGTACAGAGTGCCTGGGAGTGGACCTCAGATCAAGAAATGGCAGAGGAGATTTGATGAGGGTAGGTCTCTTTTCAGGAATACTGAGACATTGCTAACGTCGCAGAAATGGACATTGATTTATTCGAACAAGACGATTTGTACGACATTAATATTATCGGCTCGATGTTGAAAGCATGGCTTCGTGAATTGCCAGACGAACTGTTTCCAAAATCTGCTCAGGATCGAATCGCGCGAGAATGCGTCGGCTCCGAAAAGGTACCTCAACAATTGGTTGACGAATTATCCAACCTATCTCCATTCAATTATTATCTTCTATTCGCCATCACCTGCCATCTCTCGCTCCTCCTCGCCCATTCGGCAAAGAACAAGATGGATTTCAGAAACCTGTGTATTTGTTTTCAACCCTGTATGAAGATTGATGCATTCTGTTTCAAGTTTCTTGTCTGCGACTGGAGAGATTGTTGGAAAGGCTGTAAAACAGAAACCCAGTACACGGAGCAGGAGTACATGCTCTTTGACATGGCTCAAGTGCCACCACCACCAGGCAGTCGAGAAGGTCAAAGCAGCACTGCGGTCGAAAGTCACGACGAACGAAATGTTTCTAGCTCCGACAGCAGTAAACCATCGAGCGTCAGTATCGACAACCAAGGCCAGCGAAAGGGCTCGGCATCTACACAACCGAAGAAATCGGCCATTGGTCAGAGTCATGGTGGTGGGAGTATGAGTACGGTTAATACTACTCTCACGGTCCAAGATAGGACGCCGCCGAAGAGGAGTGCGGAGATGAGACCGCTGAGTCCGATTAAACCATTGAGTCCTATCGGACTTTGAGGGGTTGTGACTGGCATTTTTTGCTCACCCAAATTTATTAAAGGCATCAGATGGTCGAGGATATACCACGGCGGTGGTCTGTTTATCCTTTGTGATGCCGACGATGCGTCAATGGCCCGAAATCGACGAGACAGGGAAAGGTTCGGCCATCGATTAACTCACTATATCATCCTCACCAACCACTAATATCGATCCATCGACACAGCCAACCTATATATCCACGACCGCTCTCTCAATATCACCCTCCACACACCCGCCCACCTACCTCAACCTCGATCGTTCTTTCATGTACCCCTCGAGTCTGAGAATTTATCTGTTTTGTTGAATACCCCATGCGCGTTCTTGTTTATTTTTCTTCTCTCATTTGATTTTTTTCCCCAGTTGAATGATGGTGGCTGGATGGCTTTTTTGAGGGATGGATGTCTTTCAGGGGTTGAAATTGTGGAATTGTCATTTTGCATTGTTTGCGTGGTTAGGCGGCGGAGGGACGGTTGAGGGATGGAGTTTAATGGGTGGGATGGTGAAGATGGAGCGGAAGAGAAGAAGGTTGGAAAGAAGGCCTTTGGTTTATGGGGCGTGTATGTGATGAAGGGAGAGGGTCGCGCTAGGAAGAATGGATGGAGGGGCCAAGGGCCATTTGTATGATTGTGAGAGTACGATGCATGAAGCGAGAGAAAAGATTAAGGGGAGGAGAAGTGTGTAAGATATTTTACGAATAATTAATGAAATGGAGCGTTGAAGTCGTAAAGTCGTCAGTAGCTAAGTGTACATCCTCTTTTATATCCCTATAGTGTTACACCACGTCGCTAGCTAAAACTATTTAGTCCAGTCTATAGCGAATCTATTCAACAAGGTGCGTAAATCCCGACCCAAATTCTCTTGATCTGTACACTAAATTGTGTCCCATTTCTCCTGCCAGCTACATAGAAAGTTCAGGAAATACCCATGCAGCACGAACTGGAAACGACTCAAAGTATTTCTGCCACTCGACTTTGCACTCGGCGCAAATTTCAACACCACCAAACTGATAAGAGACCTTAGTGCCATAGGAAGCACGATATTTACATTGATTGCACGTCCCGTCGCCACCCTCTTCTAGCATCTTTGCCATCCCGGGAAACATGAGCTCACCTTCTCGTGCAATGGCCGCCTGATACCGCTCAAACTCCTGTCGATGGATCTTAGTCTCATCGAGTCGGTGCCAAAGTTTGAAGTTCTGGCGCGCCCGATCAATAACATCTTCCGTCTCAGCTCGGCCAATCGTCAAATCATCTTCTACAAAGCAGTATCGTCGCATGGTCATATGTAGCGGGCCACCAAAATGCCTCACGAAGTTGACCACGCCTTGCAGCCCCGGCTTCCTGGCCCAACACACATCCAGCGCCCACAGAGTGTCGCGATGGAGCTTGAATGCCTTCCTGCGCAGCTCGGCCGGCATATAAGCAAACGTGCTATTCGTCTCACCCTCGGATCGATGCTTGAAGAACGCAACGGCGTCATACATGCAGCAGCTCATCTCGGCCAAGATCTCGAACTGTTCCTCGGTAAACCAGATATCATTCAGTCCATTGCACGCCAGCCCAGCCGCAAGAGTCAACCTGCCCCCTCCATCGCAGTCGCGCAGGCGAAACCAATTCCTTGGAGATTGTGGCAGCGTGTTGACGTACCGCCGGAACAGCTCCCCTGACCTCCTCTCGCCAGACTTATCCGCGGTGAACAAGAGGAACGCGCGAAACTCCCGACCCATGAGATCTCCTGCTTCTCCTGGTGTGCCCGCGAATACGGTATAAACGAGATCGTCCAGATTGTACCCCAAGACGTCGCTGCCAGCCATTACATCCACGAGGTCGCCACGGAATTCCGCGACCACAGCCACCACGATCATTCTTAGGAACGCAACGTAGCGAGGCCAGTCCGTGTAGGTGGGTATGACAACGCGCGTGTACTCCCATGCTGTCCCGAAGATCTCGGCTTTGACGCGTTCCGGGAGTCCCAGATCTTGTAGATCGTTGGCGAGTTCTCGTGGGTATTGCCAGATCTCTTTGTCGCCTTGCGAATTCTTTTCGATTGGCATTTGCGTGGCAGGCATTTGTGGTTCGACTGTCGGTGGATTTTCCTTTGGATTTTGAGTCTTGGAAGCTGTTTCTGTGGTCTCCATTTTGGATGTGATGTTCTCTCAACTAGGATATGTTATTTTGGTTTGGAAAGACAGGTGATCTCGAAGCGGAGATGAAATGTTTTGCTCAGAAATGCTGGGTTCTTGCGCTTTAGCTGATGGTTAAGTCGATGAAATGAGGATTAAACAAAGACGAACGATCTGGGGAAACATCAGGGCAGCCACTGTCAGCTTAGGCGGATCTTTTGCTGCTGATATACTTCAATCAGATAGGTATAGGGTTTGCGCTAGTAGTTTACAGTTCATCAGTCCAGGAGAGTGCAAATGAGATCTTCTTGTGTCAGCTCTCGGCAACTAGGCGAGAGGACGAATGTGTTCTAAGAAGGTTTGCATTGCCTCATTTCGACAAGGTGAGTCCCGGTCTCGCTTCGGACGACGACAACATCTTGTCCCAAGAGAGTTAAGCGAGATGGACCGGAAAGTTCCCAAGAGGTTGGACAATTGAGTTCTGACAACCCCGTTCTGACCATGATACTAAGGAAGACCGAAGACCAGATGCCGAGAAATTAAACTCCTTCAATACTATGTTTTACAATATCTAAGATCTCAGATTTTAATATCTGACGACTCAGCGAGCCACGTCCCCTCAAATTTAGGTTTTCGCCGATCGCTGGAAACCTAATCAACGCAGCCCCTGACTTCTCCTGTCATAGTCGCGAGTCGGTATTCGAGCTAGTATCAGCTCAATACTTAAATCCCCCTTTTAAATTGAGATGTGAACCTCCTTCTTTTGTTCCATTGTTTGATGGGGAAATACCGCAAAATTATAGGGATGAAGCCGAAAAACACCTCACGGGACTATACGTCATTCCAGACATGGTGTCAGCACCGTGATAAGCAAATCACTATGTACTACGCTTTAGCAGAATAAACGAGTCGCCTATAATATAAACGAGTCGTCTACTACTAGGTTATTTCCGTCCCGGTTACGATAGTGATTTACTTGTGTCAAAATATCTAAAAAGAAATAAGTAAGTAGAAAACAACACCCGTAAGCTATAGGCTCTAAAATCGATCGATTTGAGAAAAGTTTTTGTATAGACACTTCTAGTCGATAATTCGTGCTATTCGGTGTCTACGATATCTACTACCCCCTCCGGTACCCCTTTATCGAGCCAAAAAGCTTTAGCGAGACACGCTCGCTTAATATAACACGGTGGCATTACGGTCTACAGTTGCTGTCACGGTGATTCGCTTATTGCTATAGCGACACTGTGTTACAGATCCCTTTTGGGCCTGTAAGGTATCTATTTTGCGCCTTGTATCACCTCCGTAGCGTAGATCTTAAGCGAGAGAATTTGACCCGCCCCCCTGAAGTAAGCGAGTTCGCAGTGTGTACTAAAACCAGAGTTTGTTCGATGAGTCTTGAGGCTACTACATTACGGGTTATTACTGCCTCTTCTTCGATGCAAAATACCTACCTAGATACTTACTATTAATAAGTCACTTCATTGGTCATACGTGGATGTGGATGCTGATTGAGAGATGAGGGTTGGGGTGAGGGAGTTGCAGGTTTGAGCGATTTGGAGTCGTGTTTCGATGTTCTGTGTGTATATGGTGGGAAAGATAGGACTTTATGAAGCAATGAGTACATGGGTTATTAAGTCCAATTCAGTTGTTCTTTTACGTACGTTTTAAAGAGGAGAGCTTTTGTCGTTGTCATCCTGCCATTATTTTCCAATCCATCACCTCTGAAAGACAAGAAACACCCTTCTTAATTTTATCTCCCACAACCTTTTCCTTTGATGGGCAAAAGTTGCGTGTAAAAATCGCATTATGACCATCTTGGACGTCCACCGTGGAAGCCATACTTCTAAAACAAACAGAGTGGCCCGAGACAATTGAACAGAAGATTGCTTTTCTTTGTTGTTGATAATCAAAACGTCAAACAATTTTACAAACTTGTCTTCCTTCACATCTAATTGAATTATTTTATAGAGACTCATTGCTTTTCCAACACTAAGTAGACACAGAATACTATAGTTAATTCTGTTAATCTACTATGTATCCACCAACCGCCATTATGTTCGACTTGCAGAATCAGCTAGCAGGCACTAATCTAGGGGAAGATTTATTTCTAGGCGCAGATCAAAATAATGACATTCTTACTCCTAGAGAAGACTTCGGTTATGGTTTCGGCGAGGATATCAACGGAAATGCTGTGCCTATTAGAGGACCGCCACTACAGAAGATAAGTACGTCTGACAGAATAATACCTGGAAGCTTGGCTGATCACTATGATAGGCAGCCAAATTGCCCTATGATGCAGCCTCCACACTCGCAAAGTGATTCTCCAAAGGAGCATTTTCCGAACGAAATCGGAATTACTGAAGACGAATCTGGGCAACGTAAGGTATTGCCAAGCATAGAAAATCCAGGTAAACCGCCAAACGCCGAACCATTTGACCTTGTGGCGATAGGGAAGACAGCCCAGCAATATTTCTCACCCCTGGTAAATGCACAGCCGGAAATATCCAAACCCAAACAAACAGCTGGAACTGTCAGGAGAATCCCAGAAAATGGAGGCTCGCAGTTTGCAAAATATCTAGTCCCACCGCTAAGTCCTGTCAAAACACCTAAAGATTTCAAAGGTAACGAAAAGGCTTACTGGCTATATCATGATACCAGAAAGAAGCTGCTTGCGCGAAGGCGGAGAAAAATTCGGGCAATAGAAAAGACGGAAGATTTGAAACGCAAACGCCAGAGGGAGGAGGATGAAATGATGAGTGGGTTCCGTTGGCTCGGTGGTGACTCACACATGGAAAGTTCTGGGCTGCCGGGGCCAAATTCGGACAACACAACATCTGATGAAAAAACCGAAAATGGTGGTAATCACGAGAGAAAAATCGAGCCACCGTCACCACTAGGTCCTGTGAGGTCGAAGGATAGCTTCGATGACGAACAAGCTTTCAAAGAATACCAGAGAGAACGAAATATCAAGCGGATTCGAATCTGGAAGAGTAAGAATGCTGAATACAACAAGATGTACAGTAATTCATATTACCGGCACCGCCGGCAGAGAAGGAAGGGTGAAGACTGCGTCACAAGTCTGCCTGATATTGATTCCTATAGGAAGAATGGTCAGGATGGCTATACCACGGGTGTAAGTGTCGAAGGCGTTACTGATGAACATTCAGATTCAAGTATGAATTTAGCTGGTCTACAAGATCAGAGAATCGGAGATGAGCGGGTGCTTTACAATGTTTATCCTCCATTACCGAGTAGTGGTGGAGCAAATTATTCTGAGATGACGACGACCTCAACGGACGTCCAGAGTCACGGCACAAAAGAATAACAGCCTTTTACAATCCGTAACCGTCTTGGGCCCGCAGTCAGTATGAGATGAAAAAGTCAGTGTTAAAGAGAAGACTTGCCTTAAGGTTTCAAAGTTATTCTAGGAAGCGACCAGAATAAGGAGAATAATCAATACGTATTGGCGAATTTATGCGTATCACTGCCTTCAACTCCTGAGTCCTCTTATGTGTCCAAGCACCAATAAATATATATATACATGACCTAATTTCTACCACTATATACTATAATTGTGATAATTCAAACAAGTTGATTGCCGAGAGCTGTTCGAATAAAGACTCTCATAGAACTTAGTAAACAATATTCAATCATTTTCAATGCCCAACTCAAATCTCGTTGTCCAAAACTACATATTGATATTATGTTTACCTTTTACCGTTTACCAGATTTTGAGAAAACCACAACCCAAACTTCCAAACATATAGCTGCTTAGCTACCTTCAAGCCTGTAGCCTTTTAATTCGTACACCCAGCTACTTGCTACGCCAAGAACCTTTAGTATGTTTAAATGATCTGTTTTAATTTTATTTAGCAATGATAATCCAAATAAGCTCAATAGTACAAAGACCTTTACAATTCTTTGAGGAGAGGCTCAAACAAATATCGTTTAAACAAAATGTTTTGTCCCCCCGTTCTTTCATTAAACACACCATAGAGTTATGTACCTGTTTATTTATTCAGTATTTCAAAAAGCCTTAAAAGCTGCTTTAAATTCACCTCATAAATAAGAAAGGCTTTTGTATTTCTATTGTAGTTTTGATCTAGTAAACCAAAAACTACTAATCCAACAATTCAGGATATGACATACCAGCAAGACTGGCTGTTAGCAGCGGGTCCCAACACCACCGAAACCTGGGTTTCCATGCCAGATATGTGTCAACAACCCCAGCAACGGGAAGGTGACCTCGGTTATGGGTTTGGCCAGGATATTCATGGAAACGTTGTAGCAATTCGTGGACCACCACTACTAAATGTGAGTAGGTTCTGACAGAGTGATACCCGGAAGCTTAGCGGACCATTTCGAAATGTCACAAAATTCTTTTGAATTTGCAGCAACTCCAGCTCAGCCATACTGCTACGGCCCCGTCAGTATACAGCCAGACGCTGCCAAAAGCGAAGAAAAGATTGAAACCATCGAAAGCACTACAGAGTACGAGAAATTGCAATTACTCCTAGCTCCAATACCTCCCTTGAGTCCGCTCAAAAAGCGGAAATCTTCCAATGACGAAACGAGTTACCAGCGGTGTCGAGAAACCAGGGAGACGCGGAGATTGCGGAGGGCAAGAAAGATCAAGCTTAGAGAGTCGGCACAGAAAGCGATCCACGAATTCCAGCGGTATGACAACAGTATAGAGAGTGATTCTGATCAATTGAGTGTCGGGTCAAATATGGAAAGCGGCAAACTATTTGAAACCCCCACTGAACATAGCTTGTCAGCGAAGGCGATCCAGAAACAAGCGAGGGAACAGCATCCGCCATCACCACCAAGCCCGGTCAAGCGCCGACGTATGTTCGGAGATGACGAAAAGGCTTTCAGGGAGTACACTAAGAACCGACGGGCCAAGTACCGCGTGTTCTGGAGGGCAGCAAATCGGGCATATGTCAATGCGTACATGAAGTCATACAGTCACCGCGCAAGGGAGATTCAGAAAGGTAATCCCTGCCCGCCTAGTTTGCTTACTATGGATGAGCATAGAAAGAGTCTTGAGAGTCCAGATGCCCGGAGTCTTAGTGGAGAAGGGCTGACTGATAACAAACCTACCACTAAGACGGGTTTAGCAGAAGCAAATAGCTTCTCGGGGGAAGGTCAGTATTTATATATGGAAGACCAGTACATTTACAGTACTTACCCAGCCTTCGAAAATAAATATCTCGCAACTGATTCTTATGTCCCGATGGTCCCAATGGAAGTACAAAATCCTGGCACTTATGGAGAGAATTTTTACAGCCCTTACACATCCTTCCCCTACGATGTAAATTACACGAGCGGGAACTGGCTGTAGATTGATAAACTCGTTTTGATGTTCAGACTCTTATTTTAAAAATCAAATCGCAAAAGAAACCAATATTATAAGCTATGAGATGACCCAGATCGAGAAATAAAACTGTGACCGCTAGAACTTTTCATTCTGACTACTAACGAAAGCTGATTGCGTTTTAAGGCAGTGCAAAGTTTGATTCAAATTTCACTCAACAAATTACATAATCACTGGATTACAATATGGTAACCTTACTCAACGTAGTAGCTTGATCTTACTTGGTGAGGATCCTGGTGTAGGCCAAGAAGAGTTGTATCTATTTTTAAACTGAATCTAATGAAAAAGAAAATTTGATCCCCAAGTTATGATTTTCGATCATTTGGTCATTTCGAAATCTTTAAATCAATAAATTAACTACTTGATACAACAGGCACATTACAAACGACGCATTTAACAAATAATTATGCCAAGACTTGTAGACTTCCCTTGTCTGTTTTCTTGTTTTGTATCATCTTATGTAACTCTTTATTCCCTTGTTGTTATCCTATCCGAGCCTTTAATAAAATCACATTGTTCAGGGCGAACTGTTTTGTGGCCAGAACTATAATATGGCAAGGCATCGTACCTTTGCTATTCATCAATTTAGAGCTCGTCTCGCTGTGATCAGTAGTACTCTCCGATCCGGAAATGTTTAAATCCTCAAAAACTACGGTTGGTGATTCAACCAACAACAGTGATAGTACGTTGTATCACATCGCCCATGAAGATTCTTGCAAAATTCCCAGTCGTCACCGGCCGGAGCACATGCCGCTGACAGAGATCAAGGGTAAAACTCAAAATTTTACATCAGCATGTGCAACTAAATGCACCGAAGAACTCCCAATTAGCCCATTCCGCAAAAGAAAACAATTTGACAACGACGATGCATTCAAAGAGTACAAAAAACTCCGCCAGCTCAAGCAGGCCAGGCTTCGCCGCCGATTCCGTCAAAATCAGAACACGAATCAATTCCCACGAATCTTAACAAGTCCAGCCAAGATACGCAAAGACTTTGGGAGCGATGAGTTTGCGTATAAAGAATACAGACGAAAGCGCCAAAATACTCAACGGCGGCTTTGGAGACGACATAGTAAGTCGGCATCAAAGAGAAGTGATGCAGAGGATGTGGCGTTTAAGTCGGCTCAGTTTAAGCAAAGGGCTGAGATAAAGAAGGTGGCGTTGATGAGGGTGAATGAGCAAACTGGAGGGGCGATGACGATGAGAAGGAGGAAGGCGAGGGCGGAATTTGAGAATCATGAGCAGTGGAAGGCTTATCAGAAAGCTAGGAATGCGGAAACTAGGAGGCTTCGGCAGGCACAGAAATGGGAGGAGAGGAAGAGGACGAGAGAGGTGAAGATGGAGAAAGTTAGGTATTCACAGAGCAATCATCTTACCTTCTTTCGGGAGATGAAGTTAATGGATTATGAAAGCGAGGAACAGCTTGGTCAAATGGCACGTGAGTTGACGACCATGTTGTTGGCGCCCCTGCATTCCGAGTTCTGAGGTTTTGATTGATGTTGCTCTTGTCTAGGCAAACGACGCTTTCCACTCGAGTTTTATGCTTTGTCCCAAATTGCAACAATTCTTTTTCTTTCTCTATAACTTCCCAACTTTTCTTTTTCTATAGTTCTCTTTGATTCTCTCATCCAGCTTCCCAACAAAATCTAAGAAGCTTAAATCTACAATATCCAATATCCACTATGCAATCCCTTAAAATGACTCCCTTAATTATTCCCCATCTAAATGCAAATTGCAATTTATCAGTCAATGTTTTCGAACAATTTCGGAATCTTGTTTAAAGCAAAAAGTTTCTGCAACCCGGCCATCGATCGATTCTTTATGAAACGCTCAGTGCCAACCTACTTCCGATTTCCCGTGCTAAGCTTTGCACAATACTACACATTACATCTGTCGAAATGTATTAATGTTTTTACCTATGTCTCAACATTTTGTCGCTTTTATGTTATTTCTAGCTTACGATTCTTAAGCTTTCATTTCTAATCTTTCTAGTTTTCTCCATCTACTCAACTAATTTCCACTAAACTATTCCTTTGACTCTTTTATTCGTTGTTAAAACCCATAATTTCTTTTCTCGTCCTGCGTACGAAGCGATTCATGCTTTCCGCTCGATGGCACACTCATCCTTTCTCCACTTTCTTCTCCCAGGTGGAACCAGGTTTATCATATTCGTTGGTTGATTTCTTATCGAACATTTCTGCCAACTCTGAAACAGATCTTGCCCCTTTCCGCGGAGAACCAGATCTGTTCGACGATTTCTCTCTCCTAGAGCTTGCACCACTTGATCCGACCTCCATACCCAAACTCGATGGTGAAAATTTTGCCAATGTGCCTCCAGGCAAACCAGAACCCCTTTCTCTACTGGAAGTCGCATAACCAGATCCGTCATCTAAATTTTTGTTCGACCCCACTACAACTGTAATCGAGGATCCGTCGAGGGTTGTTGAGGTGTGCAAAGACATGCCAGCTGGAGACGCCGCTAAAGTTGGTATCAATGGGGGATTATTGGAAACAGTGACATGGTCTGGCAACTCTTTAATAGGCGATATTAATGGCGGCGTAGTATTAGAGAGTGATGATTCCGAGTCTCGTGGGTATATACTCAAGTCTGTCTGTCGGGGGCAGCGGGGCAAAGACATCGAAAACGGAGAAGATTGTGATGAATCTGACGCTGACGGAGTACTGGTAGCTCTGGATTTTTGATACTCAAAAGGCGGACACCCCTCCAGAGCGGGTTTATGGCAAGATCTTGCAGGACTGGGTGAGCGAGATTCGGCATGTGGAGTGCGACTTGAATTTTCGTTGAAGATTGATGTTGAAGATGATGAATTACTGGGGTTGCGTGCTTGGTATAGAAATGTCTGGTTTGGGTCTGACATATTGACGAAGTTGTAAGTGTGGAGGGATATTCCTTCAACGTCTTTATAATATCGAGAACGCGAAAGTTCAAACATACCTCCAAGAACCTTTGTCTTATCAACTGCTTCCATTATATACTCACAAAACGTAAATAATCAGAATGACTACTATATTACTAAACGAATAGCCAAACTACGACTGACAAACAGAAACCTCGGTATCACAATCAGGGCATGACTGAAACTTCGTTGTAAGCAAACGATGTCTTAAATGAAGGACAGATAATCCTACAAATTCCTTAGCACCACTTCGTAAGTCCACCTACATTAAGTTTACGTCACAGCCAGAACAACTGAGATCCAAAAGCTATCATACATCATGATCAGAACAACAGCATATCACCCCACTCTTTCATTATGGTGGAAACAATATTCCATCCCAGAAATTCGGTTAATCAACTTTTTATCATAACAAAGAAATCACCTTGAGCTTTGGCCGTGAAACAGCAAAACAACTTCCCTGTTTCCACTAAACAGCTATGTACTATACCATTGTTCGTCACCTCCTTTGTCACCAAGTTTCTATATGATCATGACATTCGACCTAATTCCATCAACCCATCAACCACGAGGCTAATTGGCTCTCAATTCATTCAAATCAAAATTTAAAAACACCAACCTTGTGTGTTCTCAATTAGCAGAATTCAAAATGACACCAAAATCTGCACGTTCGAAGAGATCTCGATCCCAAAAGTCAAGAACTACCAGCCCATCTACCCAAACTCCTCGCGCAGGAATCCGAAAATCGCGAAGCATAAGCCCGGCGACGAAACGACGCCCGAAGTCTCAGAAGGAAAAGATTGAAACACTGTTCGCTCGCGGTTTGGATCAAGATGTTTTCGTGACGGTTACTCCTGGTAAGTCGGCTCTCTTTCCAGGCTTTGATTATTTGAAGAATCCTGGAGAGTTGAACTATGATGACTCTGAGGATGCCTATACTAACTCATCTAGTTCTTTTACATCATGCCAAAAGTCTTTGACCAAGTCGATGAGTGATCTTTCAATCTCGACTCATCCCGGTCTTCATAAGATGCGCACTTCTCACGCCCGAAAGCTCTCGGAGCAGCCAGGGTTAAAAGAAGCGTATAATAAGAGACTTGCTGAGCTACGACTGAGGGTTAGGAAGATAGGACAAGAGCTCTCTGAGAGACGCAGCGCTGCTGATTGTCAGAAGCAGCAAGCGAGTTTACTGGACTGGAGCAGAGTCAGAGTGGATAGACCCCAATCTTGCTGGGACGAGATGGATTGGGAAGGCGATGGAAAGTGGGAGGGTGAGGCTGATTGGCTAGCTTGGGAACAGGAGCATCTTGTGATTACCTGACTTTGTGTTTTAACATAGGTTTCAAAATTGCTTAAAGATTTGTCGTTGCTTAGGTCTCCTGACATTTGCTTCTGCCGCTTAAATATCTCAAAAAAGAAAAACCACAAAAAGCGCTATAAAACCCCAGCTAACAAAATAAACATGTTTCAAGTATCAAAGAAAAAAGAGGTGTATTCTATACGGAGCTGTCTCATAGAATGCACTAGTATACCTAACTAATATTTCCTGTGAATGCCATAAGCGAGCTCTTAATAATTGTATTTTCACCTCATCATTTGAGCATGATAAATTTAATCATAGTCATATAAACTCATGAGCAATCTTTAGTGACGTTACCTTTCATGAAAGGCCAGACTTCTACGGCAAGGCTGTATCGAATCTCCGTGAAAATCTTGCAAGGTAAAGTCTCTCTCCCATCTATCGTTCCAACGTGCTCGATAATCATAGCAATTCTAAGCAGTAGAGCAGCACTGGGATGACCTTCGTTACGGCATCTTACAATTCTCTCAAGCGGATCTAGACATTGTTTTGTGAATACTGAGGGATATAGTAACACGCGTCATGCATTCCTCGCTATGAAGTGCATGTTGTGATGAGGATTAGTTTCTATCATTAAGTAGAAGAACATCATCCAGCTGCTCAAGAGTCAAGACAGATTTACAGGGAGAATGCTAATGACTATTGACAACTACCTTGATTAAGTTAGACTTTACATGAATTTCACGTACAAGTTACGATTTAAGGTTCTATCGTGTGAGCTGCCAGTTGTGAATTAAGAGTAACTGTTGCAAAAACAAAATTTCTTCTATCTGCTACTTCATTTTGATTTGACATTCAAACAAAAGTACTTCATATTTCGTGTTTCTTACGACTCAACCGCTCTCAGGCAAACTTGATAGCCAGAGCTCCGGCCAATACTTCGAAAGATCCGAATACCTCGTGTATTGACCTTCATCGTCCACAGAATCCAGTGCTTCAATAGGAAACAGCCAAAAGCCAAATGCAGGTCTAACAGCGCGCTCTAAATCCTCGCCCTTATACTTTTCGCTTTGAGCGCCCACTTCTAATTTCTGTTCGGCGTACACTCTTTCTTGTTCGGCATCCAGAGTGCCATTCCAATAGTTGTCTTCTTTTTGCATAAATCTCCTTGCCGTCTCTCTTCCCAAGATTCTAAGACGGTCATCTGGTTTGAATCCAAAGCTCCATTTGTACTCGATGCCGAGGGACGTTGCAGACAACCCCCATTTCCCCAATATGTTGGTCCATAGTCGAAAGGGTCTCCTATGGTCATCGCCGTGAGTCATAACATCCTTCAAATCCTCGCCGATAGCACGTGGATCACGCGGTACACTATCAAAACTTGGGACCCTAGTTTCAATAGGAATAGAGCGATTGTATTGAGTGATAGCAAGTAGGAATTGTCCCCCACCTTGGGCGAATTGGCGGGAATGAAGACAGCCATTGGTGAAGAAAAAAACCTGATGGAGATTCTTGATTGTGTCGGTAAAGACTTCTTTTAAATGTGCATCGAGATCGGCCGTTGAACAATCCATGAGTTGTAGATCGTTGCCAGACAGATCGTTGCCATAAAATATCAAATTGCGAAGGCCGGTATGACTGGGGTCGTAAACGGTGTTGAAGAGATAAAGGAAAGGGAACAGGGTGTGCTTTACCGACCATTTTGCGGTGAGTCGGAGAAAGTCGTGCTCTGGGTTGAAATATAGTTGACCAGGCTTTAGAGGGAGCTTGTCGTCAACGCTTCCAATGCGGAACCAGCAGGGTATCCGAACTCGGTAAAAGAATAATGCAGCTACCCTTGCTTCTTGATTAACTCGGAATAACTTGCTCATGCTTTGTTGCCCCTCGGTAACAGCGAAGAAACGTTGATTGTCGGTCGAGGTTGGGATGTCTGGTATATCCTTAGGTGGCGTTTTGTCTAGATCATGCAGACTCATGTGAAAGATTCGCGAACGTTGCATGGAATGATGCCATATCTTGTTCCGAAGCTCCCTAGGGAGTTGAGGGAAAAGATAAAAGGACTTGGTTTCAGTACTTCGATTTTGGAGAAGCGTAAAAGGCTGTAAATGAAGTGGAGTAGAAGAGGTCATTTTGCGACTTAATTTAACTGTGGGTGGAAGATTTTCTGAAGGTGAGAAGTACACAGCTTTTGTGGTAACGGATGAGAACGGCTGGGGAAGGAGACATATAAAAGTTGGTTGAAATCTCTCTCACTCACTCAGTGCCGGATCAAGCATTACAGCTTCACCAATCGCAAGGTACGTGTCCGAAGATTGGAATGCCTCCTGTCGCGTAGCTTTCATTCCGAAGGGTGGGCTTGTATGCAAGGAGTATAACGGCATTCCTGACTAGCACCGATCCAAATCTCGAAACAATCCAGACTCCGAACTTTACTTTTATCTACTACAGTAAAACTCCGCCACAAGGATGTGGGGCGGAACGACTAAATATTAAGGATACACGAGGTATTCTTAAGGTAGGGTATTACTAATTAAGAGTATATCCTAAAGTATAAAGATATTTCGGTAAAATAAGCGATACTTATAGGATCTTTTAGGTAATTCTCTAAAACCGACGATATTATACTATTCTTTTAAGGATTTCTCTATTCGGAATTACTTCAGGGAGCGAAGATATAAAGAATATCCTAGGTTATAGATTTATCCTTAATTTACTACTAAAATCGGTCGGGAAGTAAGATAAGATCCTTACAAAACAGGTATTCGTAAGGTAGATATCTTTATATAACAGTTTTATTATATTAATAAATATACTTTTAAAGCTTATATTTATTCGAGGATAGATACTAGAGTACTATATTAGTATATATCTATACTTTTATCTATATCTAGATACTTAAATATTAAGAAGTAATAGAAAGGGCGATAAGTTAAGTTCAAGTATAATTAGTATAATTTCTCGAGAGAAACTCTCTAAAGTCCTAGTAGGTTTTTGCGAGAAGTTAAGTTTATCTCGATCTACTCTTTCTAGTATTAAAAAACAGTTATCTCTGTAGATATTAGATAAAGTAGATAAAGTTAATTTTTCTATATAATATTATTTACTTTAAAATAAGTTAAGAATAAAAGATATTATTAATAATTAGTATAAATAAAAGCTTATAGTAAAGAAGTTTATTATTATAATAGTTAGAAATACTAATCTATAGACTATAATTTATAGTATAGACTACTTTTTCTTAAATATATTTACAAATTTTATAGTACTAATTATAGTAAAAGAGTACTTAAATTAATTAATAATTATTAAAGCTAGAGTAAGCTTGTAACGAAGAGGGAAAAATATAGTATTTATAGACAGCTCTACTGACTCCTCTCTAGAACGAAAAGAATACTATTTTGCCTAATATAAGCATAAAAGTAACACAATCACATGTGATATAGTATTGGAGAAATAACGCATCAGAATGAAACCCCAAGACACAAAAGATATAACCAACCCCAAATATTCGACTTCACACTAATTTGGATTCAAACAAATCCCCCTGTTCCACCAGCAGCAGAAACTTCACCATCGCTAGAAATCTGCATAGAAGTAGGAGGATTCATGGGGTGTGACTTGACTTTGCAAGATCGCCCAGTAAGGCTCACCACTGCTGCTTTTGTTGTGCGTATTCTCTTGGTGCTAAAGTCTTGGTCTTGCTGAATCGATGTCAATACCGTGGTATCACGGACGCTGATTTGAGTACCGATAGCAGTGGTCATCGGGACCGAAATCCAGCCTTGCATATTCAACAGCCCCTCGGCCCTAACAGGTGCCGCAAACGGGGCCCATTGGTCCTCTAAAACCAAGTGTAGAAGCCAGCGAGTGTTTGCGTGAGGGTTCGTGGGTGGTGCATTACCCTGAATGACGATGCCGATACATGTTGCCAGATTTTGCGTGCACAGGCCGTGTCCTGATGCTTTACCGAATCCCCCCACAGCCACCTTATCGCCCATAGAGCCAGCTGGAATTGTACGAGTATTGAGTATACGGCCTGTTCTGTTAGTCGCTGCACAAATATTCTTCAATTTGACCCAGGATGAGTTGGGTGCTTCGATATCTTATAATAGTCCAGTGCCACTAACGCGTATCTCTTTCTTTGCCGCGGTCTTCTTGGTACTAGACTCTTTAGCCTGGGGAGCTTGTGGCCTCTTAGAGCTCTTCGGTTTCTTCGTCCCACTAGTGTTTTTCTCAAAAGAACTATCTTCAAAGTCTCTTTTATCAATGCCATCTTTCTTATTGTCGTTAACTTCATTGTGTTCATTCTCTGTTATCTTAAGTTCAGCTCGTAGATCCTTCGTATACCATTAAAGAAACAACAAGTTGAGAAATAATTATGTTTAAAACAGATTTGCAATAAACATCAAAGACGTTTGAGCCTTCCACCTTTGAAATTCCAAAAGTCAGAGATTTAGAGTTAAGTCCGCAAAATTTCTCTTACAAAGGTTGTCGACAATGGAAGGTAGATCATTAGTGATATTGTTTATGTGGCGGGCCGTTACATATTCGGCAGCGAAACAGAATGGCAGCAGAGAAAGTAAAAGTGCTTTTTCGAAATAAAACACTCGTGAAGAAGGAAAAGATTGATAGTAATGGAATGAATTTAATTTATTTCCTATCTTTCATCTACGCCAACTTGAATTTCTTTTCTTTTCAAGCGTTGCTATAAATCCTAGAGTCTTTGTAAATATTTGCTTTCACTTAGATAAAGCTTAGTTTGGAATCAAACGATCATTATTTTTGCTACAGTCTTGATCAATCGCTGCTTGTTAGCAATCGAACTTGAACCGAAAATCTCTCTATTGTGTGAACTACTGTGAAGCAAATTTATTACTCCATAGAAGATGCTTTGGTTGTTTGCATTGACGTGTCGTAGGCAAGTCAAATTATTTCAAGAGTTACATAACTCCTGTTGGTCTAATCACTTGCTTCAAATTACGCTTTTACGACAATGAAAATTTTTAGTTGCAAAAAGCTCATTATGAGTCTAAATCCATTCTATCGCATGATGACACAACTCCTTAGTACAGGCCTAGCACAACAAATTCAAAATAGGAATCAACAATTTACTAGTCATAGACAGTACTGTACGGTCTTTACACTTGTGGTGGACTTTACTGCACTTTGAACTTTCGCTCTGGGTAATCTGAACGAGCACATTAAAGTGCTAAGCAATCTAGAGCGACTTTAGACGTCCTGCCAAATACTGATAACAGCATCTGTAACTATTATCGTCCCATCTTCGTGTAACTCTTGCTTGTGTCTTAGACAGCACATTGGTGGTTACAGTTGGCTTACTATTTATAGTAGCATATTTGTTCGTTACAGTTGGTATAGTCTTGTAATGTCCTGTTATGCTAGCTATTTTCAGCATTACTTCCTTCGAGTTGTGGCAACAGTATAACGAGTTCTTCTAACTCAAAATCGCCCCTTGGGAATAAGAGGTGAAACCGACATGTTTTTCGTGTAACACCTTGGATACACCATATTCCCAAAACCGCGGGAATCAGACATCGTAAATCGCTGGTTAAAAAGAGCATCCGCCGTATAGAATCATTAATTACCATGTATAGTAGAAGACCATAAACCCCTGGGTCTCATCAAATACAGAATACCCTGGATGCAGTATACTTAGAAGGGTTTAAGGAGCACTTGATGACTTTTGAAGGCCCTGATATTTTCCTTTCATCAGAACGTTTCGCAAATCCACCAAGGACTTCCAATAATGGGACCCCTTTTCTGCCATCAAGTAATAAAGTGGTCTGACGTTCAAGGATCAAAAAGTCACCAAGATAAATATTTGGGTTGTATGCCGTAGGAGTTACGGCTCACTTGACAGAACTGAGCCCCTCTACAGAGGCATGTTTGGAGGCGCCCACGAAACTTCTTTTGTGACTCGTCTTGGCTCCTGAATGAGCATTTTATTTTTGACAGTCCAGCCGGCCCGTACACATGGCCGAATCCTGTATCCTGTCGAGATCATTCTGTAACCGTATCTCCCAGCGCATCTAGTGTCTTGCGCTGCTCTGTTTTTTAATATGCAGATGAGGTGTGACCCAACAAAGCTTATGAGCGTGATAGCGCCGAGGCCTGTAGCAATCGAAGTCGTGATGACGGCAGCGATACCGGTTGAACCTCATGGTTTTGGCACTTAGCCGTGATATATCGAGAATGTCGAAGACTTTCTATTACTGCTACCTTGGTACACATGTAGTGATACTCTGCTGAAATGTTCTACTGCTAATCTCATCTGACGAGCTTCTTTTAATTGTCAGCGAAAATGGTACGTGGCATTTTCGAACTGACATATTAGCGCCAAAGGGTTATTTTGGAAAAGAAGATTTGAGAAATAGTCGGAAGGTGATTCTCTGGAAAGAGGATTGGACTGATGTGCACTCATATTTGGGCGACTAGATGAGTTCATGGCCATAGAGCATCTTCACTACTCTAAATAATGACAACGCTCTTGTGCGAATCAGGCCTGGTTCAACCATCGTCCCCACTCCGAGCTCCCGCATACCATTATTTGAAGACTTGCAAAACAGGACACACGAATATTTAGTAAGAAGTTGGCTAGGCCTACTGAGGAGTGTCTTCAATATCAAGGCAAATGCAATCCACTGGGTTAGACCTTAATCAATAAGTAACGAAGAATTGATCTTGTGTCTTTAGCGTTTGTCGAAAATGCATAAGTCCTCAGAGAGGCTGCAAATATGCAAAACCTAACCCCCTATGTCCCTACTATTTGGCACGAATCTACTTTTCTTGCAGGTTTCACGCACGTTACATCATAGAATACTAATAAGCTAAATTTCATTGCACGATGTCTCAATGAGTTGATCATTTACAAAGGATTCGAGGAATGATTAGCAACACAATATCGCGAATGAAAACAACCACTCTCTATGTTTTGGATTTTCATTGTGAGCTGCCAGTAAAGTAAGAGATCCCACTCATTGCTAGACTGCTTTCATTTGTTGCCACGGATTCTGAGAAGCACCGCCGAGTGTATGATCTCCTGTATCAATATCTCGAATCTGCCTGTCTCTCAAATAAGTTCTTTCTCGCTAAGCTCAGGTAACCCAGCCCATTTCAGAAGGTGATTCATGTTTGATAGAAATTTGACCTTCACGTTATCACTGTTGTGTAATGGAGTGTTTAGGAAGTCCTGCCATTCAGAAGGGGCTAGTTTCATGCCAGAGCTCATTACCGGATGTTGAAAGTCTAAGCCTGACGCAATGACGGTAAAGGTTTGTCTGAGACGATTGTTTCTGAACTCCTCCTTTACCGCAACGGCTGAGTTTACACCATAACAACGGGAAGCATCTCTAGCCAGTAGCCGCTGGAGGTGGAAGGAGACAGCGGTACAAGACCAAGCGATATCTTCTCCCGCTTTCGTAGGCATTCTGATACAAGCAAGCAGGTTTTGAAGCGTAGATATTTTCGCGCTGAGATGAATAGGCGGAACCTGCGCCGGCTCGATGATGTAGCGAATCTTGAGGCAGATTTTGAGACACTCTGCGAAATTACCGTTTGCGTAGAGTAGTGGCAGCGTACTTTGGTAAAGGAAAAGCATTGACGGAGAACTCCATCCGTGACCCTCCTTTTGGAATTCTTTAATCATATCTTGGATGTTTACCATGAGTGTCGATGATAACTTTGGTTTCGAGATATCGAGATTTTTCAACTTCATTAAGTAAATTTTGAGAGATGGTGTTGACTTCAATGGCCCCTAAATACAGAGATCGCAGTGACATATGGTGTTGACAAATTCTTGATTGGACGGTTTTTGTTGAGCATAGCGTGAGAAGCCCGTAAGGTGTGAAACACTCAACTCTTCGGCAGAACCTATGTCTCTAAGGGAACGAAGTTCGAGTGCGTTTTTTCTAAATACAATCCAAGAGTTTGGGTTGCATGAGTGCGCAATCTTCGATGTGAAAGGCTCTAGTGTGACACCCACTTCCAAGACAGCAGGCATTTGCGGCAAAAAAGCATCATGGTCTCTCACGAGTGCCGTCGCCATACGTCTTTGATTTTGATGCATCTGCATTGTGATTAGGCAAGTGAGAACAATGTGAAGGTTGGTTTTACCATGCAAAAAAGATCCAGGATCTCCTCCTGTCCTAAAGTTGAAATTTTCATGACAGTAAAGTTTTCGGCGTAAGCAGTCGCAATGCGGCGAAAGCTAGGTTCAGAAATCAAAGCGTCTTTCCCGGTGGATAGACAGGTGACTTCCTTCCATTCTTCCTCATTTAACATCTTGTTTTCTCGCAGTTTCAGAAGACGAAGCAAGAACCGTCCTTCTCGATTGAATAGAATTGCCCTAGCCGCTTCTCCAACGCCCTTAATAGTACTAAGAGCTGCGCACTCAAATCTGTGATATTCCTTCCATGCGTTCTTTTGGCATGACTAAATCTGCTTAGTATGTTTTCAATGTCTGGTGAGATATATTGCAAGATATACCTTGCTGCAATAGCTGTACACCTTGCATGATCCGCATCGTTTAAGAGTGAGCAAATCATCATCAATATAAGGACCCTTGGCAGCCTTGGTATCTGGGGGGTACGTATGTTGCGAACTAATAGAGGATGCTTTTACCGCGAAACAATGATCGCATGTGTTTGAAAGAGCGGACTCGTCATCGTTAACCTGTCCAACCGTTAACATAGTGTCAAATGGAAGAAAGAACGTTTTGAAGCTTACAATGTTGAGCAAGGGCTTCTTGACTTTAAAGATGAGGTCTGCTTCTTTTACGGCTGCTTGAACGAAAATGCCAACATCGTTGGACTTGATTGAGGAGTCTTTAACCACGAGAGGCACCTTTGTATCGACACGGAACGGAATTTGCACACGCTCATCCATATTCGGAGAACCCGTTGTTTCAGGAACCATGGTGCAAGTATTGAAAATGCTAAACGTGCATGCGATCTGACTTGCGGTTCAGTTCTGTGGTTGAAGAGCTTGAGATAGCGATTTATTCTCTCCCGATCTAGTATGAAGGAAGAAAGGAAGACGTCGCTGCAACGGATTGGAGATAGTAGTATCGAGAGAGACCAATCTGAAAGCTCAAGAAAGTTATGCCATGAGCATGCGAGTCTTGTAAGTGGATGTAAATATTAGAAAGAAGGAGGGAAGAAGACGTCAACACTGTTTTGATAACAATACCAGGGGAGCAACAAACGACGCTAACTTTTGAGCACAGGTGAGTACGCCCCACTATCATAGAAGAATGCCTGTGATCGCTTACACATGTACTTCGGTTCTTTTTCCTCTCGCGGAAGGAACATAACCTAGAGTCCTTCATTTTCATCCTCGTTCCTTCGTTCTCACATCGTCCGATTTACTCCGAATAACGGTTCCGGGGGGAAAATGGCAGGAAGCTAAGATCTGGCGGGATTCATGTACGAGCCTACGACGTAGATATGGCTCGGGCAAATAATCTAATTATTCATGCCATCAAATGCTCTGACCCAAAATCGCTTCAATGCGTTGTAGAACTTTATCTGAATACGAGCTAGAACAGGATAATAAAGTGCATTGATATTACTGACGGTTACCTAGATCACCTTTCAGCCCCACTTTAGTAGGCATCGTCTGTTTGTGACAGTTGTTGTTGAGCGTTTGCAAACCCTTAGCAAACGCCTTGGAGGTTACGAACACTAGAACATTTTCCACACAGGAGCGTCGTGATATCATAGAATTTCACTGTTTGACGAACAATCAAAGCAAATCTTCACTTGCCATCTTCCTAAATTTTCTATTGCTATACTTAAATTTGTTTCTCCAACCACTTCGTCATCTATTCTTTTGATCTACCTACTCGGTCCGTTCATGCTATCATTCAGATGTTCCAATCAAAGATAGTACTATGCTTGCGGCGTGAGTGTATCTCTTCCCCCGGATGAAACCAGTGATACTTTCTCTGTTTGATTTGACCCATCTATCTCATTGTTCAAATCCTTCGACTTTCGATCGTATTCTTCTTGCAACGTACGCGAGTTCATGCTCTTCGAGACATTGTCTCCCACTGTCTCGATATCATTGTAAGCAACCCTCAGTCTGTTGTCCGCATCTGTTTCAATTTCTTCCGCTTCTTCTACCCGTTGCAGAGCGGAGGCCATCCCTCTCGGTGAAGGTCTTGGCGCATCGTAGCTATCTAGTAAATCCTCACTGCTCAAATTTTCACTCGTAGGACTCCCCTCTACTCGCGTATTCAACTCTTGCCGGTGTGCAGCCAAGTTCTCTAGATCCGGACAGTCGTGTGGGCGCAATGAAACCGGAAATCCCACCGAAGGGGGTATAGTAGGACTAGACAACAAAAAATCAGGAGAAAAGAAGCGATCAGGGGATTCAGGCCGTGACGAGACCGGCTGTTGCCGGTCACCTGGTTTTTGTGGTTGACTACTAGGCGTTTTGTTTAAGCCAGACATTTGACTGTATTCTAAGCTGAGAAGTACTCTAGGAAACCGATAAAATAATGGAGCAAGAGGTATTTTCTTCTTACTTTGAATGATGAAATTACGGTCAGATAACTGAACTGTTTTATACCTCAAGATTGTGACTAGGTTATGAATGACTACTTCAAGCTCCCGAGCAGTTTGTCGAGTCTTATTCTTAGAGAGACCGAAATTGAAAGTACCGTCATAGTATGGCAGGAACTAGGTCACAAATCAATAACATCCACTGGTGATACCAAACAATGGCATGAGAAGCGACTTACCCTTAAGCACGATCGAGCTTAGATTCGACTTTATCATGGCGTATGTGATGGTCATGTGCGTTCAGTTGGCAAAACTGAACTTGGAAAACTATTTGATTCGCTTTTAATCTGACTATTGCGTTTTATGGCCGAATCAAGTTGTGCATGCAGTCCTTGATGACTATAGTGATGAGAGAGACACAGAATTAGGATTGACTCCAGAATGAAAGTTTGTTTTTGTCAGATTTGGCGATAAATTACACACTGTCTCAAATGAAGTACACAAGCAACATGCAGCACAATGGCCTCTAATAGCAAAATATAGGTATATTTACAATATTAAAGAAGTTAAAATTGATAAATGCACCTCAAAAATCATTGTCATAAAGAAAATAGTGTACTCGTTTGTTTTTAATCAAAGATTTTGACTGGGGCTCAAATAGCCGCGATGTTATTGGCGGTGATAAGAGGCTTGTGTTGGTTACACGGATTTGCTAATCACCATGCAGACGCATGCTGCGTCTTCAGCTGCTGCGGCCTAATCCGAAATCATCTGAAGAATAAATTGATCCTTGGGACATATAGCATTTCAAGTCAATCGTCTGCGCCACCTCATAGTGCTCGTTGTTCACCCATCTCCCTCGAGTAGATCTCTCAAAGAGGATGAAACATTGAGACATGGATCCGTTAACAGCAATCAGTTTAGCTTCGGCAATAGTACAATTCATTGACTTTAGCAGCAAATTAGTCAGTGGTGCACGAGAGATATATGTTTCGGCATCTGGCGATACAGAAGAAAATAGAAGTGTAGAGGTAATCACGACCGAGATGAAAGCACTTAGCTTAAGACTCTCGCCGACCAGCTCTTCACGAAGTGAGGATGAGAAGAGTTTATCTCGATTGGCAGCCGAATGTGAGATTGTCTCCGGACAAATTCTGGAACTTTTAAACAAGATTAAGCCGAAAGACTCAACTTCTAGACGGCAAAGTGTCTGGGCTGCATTCAAGAACAAGCTACAAGAGAGAGAGAAGGCGGAATTAGAGACCAGACTACATAATTGCCGCAGCCAGCTTGGGTTGCAGCTTAATTTCTTGATGAGGTTCTGTTGTCTATTTGTTGATAGGACATGCTCAGTATTAACAGATCTCATAGTTCTGAGACAAGACACAAGCTTGATTCTCTAATAAGCTCAGCTGAAGGCGACACTGCTACCCTTGGAATACTTCAAAGCGACATCGAACAGCTTACCCGAGGGGTTACTGTGACTTCTATTAGTCCAGAAACCCAAACTCAAATCAAAGAGGCCTTGGACCTTTCAGGTCGAGCTTACGAAACAGCCGCACAGCAGCGTATTCTTCGCAGTCTGTCTTTCGTGGACATGTATGGAAGATTCGAGGCTGTTGACATAGCTCATTACAAGACGTTCGAATGGATTTTTGAAGACAAGCCTGAACACACAAAGAATGATTACAATTTCTCCCATCGCGAAACATTCTTACATTGGTTGTCAGCTGGAACGGGGATCTTCCACATTTCGGGGAAACTGGGATCCGGGAAATCGACTTTGATGAAGTTTCTTTGCAGTCACGAGCGTACTAGTGTGGAACTAGAAAAGTGGGCTGGTACGTTGTATACTTACTAGATCTCGTCATCAATGTGTACTAACTAGATCTGATAAGGTGACAGAAAGCTCGTATTTGCAAAGTTTTTCTTCTGGAAACCTGGTACGACATTGCAGAGGTCCCTCGGTGGTCTGTTTCGATCACTCCTTCATGATACCCTCGAAACACACCCCGAGCTTATACCTGCAGTACTACCAGACCAATGGGCTCGGTTGAAATCTACTCCATGGCACATACAAACAGACCTTCATCTCAGCAACGAAGATATTCGGGTAGCATTTTCTCGACTTATCAAACATCGGAATTTATACAGGAATCACTGTTTCTGCTTCTTCATCGACGGCTTGGATGAGTTTGAGGAACCTTTCAAGGACTCTAAAGACATGATCAACCTGCTCATCAGCTGGACTGAGGTCGCTCCGGAGGATGTCAAGATCTGTGTTTCAAGTAGGGAGTACAATGCCTTCCAAGACTCCTTCTCGGATGAGAGGAGGCTCTGCCTTCAAGATCTCACAAGGGACGACATGGAACGTTACATCCGAGATAGATTATCTGATATGAGGACAAAAGACAAAGCTAGTATAGAGCCGTTCGCGAAAGCGGTCGCCAGAAAGGCAAACGGTATCTTCCTTTGGACCACATTGGTAGTAAAGTCCCTTCGTGAACGGCTGGGAGATGGTTATGAGCTTGATTTCCTTGAGCAAGAACTTGACTCTATTCCTGAAGAGCTCGAGCATCTCTTCAAATATCTTCTCAGGTCGATTGCAAAGCCGGCCCGTAAAAGCGCTTATCGGACGTTTGCCATGGTCATGGAGGCGAGAACCTGGGAGCTCGAAATTTCTCTGGCCTCGTATTATTTCTTCAACCACTACGAGACTGACAAAGAATTCGCTATGCAACCGTCCTTCAGAATTGCTAGACCGAAAGAACAATCTGAGGCTGCCCGACGCGACATGGCACGCAAAAGGCTCAACGGATGCTGCAGAGGGTTACTTGAACTGAGTACACATCAGGGGCATTTTACTATCGTCTTTACTCATCGATCTGTTCCTGAATTCCTTGAGAGTCCAGAAACCATAATCCAAATGGGCCTTTACCTGAGGAACTTCAGTCCTATAGATGCGATTTCTCAGCTGTTTCTTGCAGAAGTGTTGATGGCAGATTCCGCTTCTATGAATATAGGATCGCTGAGTATTCGCACCTACTCGGTTCTTCGTATGCTCCATCAAAGCAAAGCGGATTGGGCGCCATATCACTTCAGAGATACTTGTCTTCATACTGCAGTTCTTGAGTTACAGGGAAAAGATACAAAAGACCCCTCACTTGGTTACGGAAGAATTATCGTGAAACCCGATTCGTATTTCACATCTATAGCAGGTGATTATGACGAGAGTGCTGTTGTATCGCCTCTCCATATTTCGGCTTTCCTCGGTGATTATGACTACATCGCTTGGAAACTCGGTTGTGATTCGACTATTATCGAAACCGATTTGAAGAAGTACCTGTTGATCAGATGGATCATGCATGGTGCAGTGTATGTTGGCAATATTGGTTGCTTCAAACTCCTGGGTTTATTCCTAAGCCGAGGCTTGCTGCCTCAGACTGTTCTACACACTCAAATCCTGATTCCAGGTTATGATGGAGATGTGGAGCTGACCTTCTGGCAATCCTTTATTCTCGTTTCAGCATTGGAATACATCCCGATGCATGACATGCGCTCTTTCAAGTGGCATGCTCGTATTTCTGGTTTTGGTGGAGAATATCACCAAAACTTTGGAGAAATAATCGAGAAATTTCTGCGGCTTGGAGCGGATCTGGACCTCTGGATGTGGGTTCCAGATGATTCTCGCGCTTTAATATCAGCTGGTAGTTGCGCCAATGTTCAGTACGATCACGTACGTGCCAGTAAAAGTGAAGTAACCTTGGGAATAGAGCGGAAGAAGATTGTGTTAGAAGCACAAATTAGCAGATCAACATATGAGTTGATCAACAGTAAAGATGGGCGTATTTCATTGAGAGATTTGATAGTTTTTTGGAAATTAGAAAATACGGAGATTCTTCTTCAATTGATCGACAAAAAGATGGAGCAGCAAGAGCATACATCGGGAGATAAGATTGGGGTAAAAAGAACTTTGCAAGTGGCTTTGCTATGAACCCCGAAGAGGGATACGCTATTTTCTGGAAATAATTGACAAAATATCTGATATTGTGCCAAGTTAAACCACTCAATATACGTGTTTTGTCAAAATAATCGAAGAAATATCTTTTTTCGAATGCCACTTTTCTTGTCCACCGAGAGACAGACATCCATGCATTTAAGTAGCACTACAGAGAACAAAGTAAAATGACGATAATGAGACAGTGAGGGATACTACTAACAAGTTAATATGAGTAGAGAAGAGTTCAAGCGTGAGTGAAGAATGGAATAAGTTTAAGCGTCTAAGGACGCTCCCAGTCGGGCAATTTGGAAAAGTTATATTTGCCGATAACGATTGACGAAATATCATTCTTTCTTCAACAATTCTAAGACATTATTCTATACCGACAGTCATTCATTTCGTATGCCACGAATGTGGTAAGAGAGCAAGTCTGTCTCAGGCATAACTAGGCCAAAAATGCAGTTCATCACACCGCTTGTGATTTCTAACTTACATATTAGATTAGACGACTTATTGATAGCTATATAAGTGCTAAGAAGAGTTTAGATTAACTTTCTCACATGCATTAACATAATATAACACCCCTAGAGCCGGATGTACAAATACCAACTACCTAATCTTACTAGGTGTGCTGTAAATAATCCGCTTCCGATTCCGCTAAGTTACCAGTGACTTTGATAACTTATCCTGAGCTCTTTTATAATGTTGATAAATAAATATATGATACGTGCTCGTTACAAAGACACCATGTGGAGGGGTGGGCATTTTCGTTTAGTGCGAAGTCACTCTAGTGCGCTGCAAAACTGAGTGGACACTCTACGAATGTGATAATGTTTAGATAACAAATTCCCAACACCCCGCCTTCAGTAACTGCGATTACCCTTATCAGTTGACGAAATACAGGTACTATTTACAAAAATACATAGAATGACTGTATTTTCTTTATGGCGAGTACCGCCATTGTGCCATAGGGAGGTGTCCTATCAGACTTGCAACTAATGAGAATGAAAGAAGATAAAAATTTTGATTCTAAATACTGTAAGAAGTGTCGACCGATGTTGACTTTTGACCATACACAAATACCTAAAAGCTTTTTAATGGATTCTCCAACTCTCAAACCACAACTACTTCCTCTACAGACTCTCAACAACCTACCCCTCCTTCTCCAAAAGCTCCCTCACAACCCTCTCAACCTCCCCCTCAAACCCACCCTCGCTAAACTCAGGCTTCCAACCCAAAATCCGACGTGCGCGATCCCCTTTAATCCTAGAGCTACACACATAATCTATCAACAAAAGTTCGTTGACATCATGCCTGAGAAAACGGAGTCCACTTACTTCGACCCCAAAACACTCTCCGCCAACCTCTCATCCCCCTTATAAAACGCATCCGCAACTTCCTTCATTTCCACAGTCTTGACATCGGTGTTCTCAAAAACACCGAGGTTGTGTCCCACAACCCCGATTTGCTCAGCGATGCTCTTCCAACTTCTGGAGCCGCTTTCGGCGTAGTAGTAGCCTTCTTTGCCGCACTTGAGGGTTGATGAGGTGTTGATTATAGCGGTGACGAGGAGATGGTAAAGAGTGCAGAGATCGTTGATGTGGATGATGCTCCATATCTAGTTTCCTAATAAGTCCACGGTATTGAATAGGATGGGGAGGACGTACACCTGAACCTTCACCCAACGTCACAGCGGTCTTGTGTTTCAACGCTAGATCGACGTACATACTCACCTGTCCAAAACCCTTCGTAAAAAACCCAATACCCTCACCATCTATTGCACATCAGCCCCCACACACTCCGCGCAGAACTCGAACTCACAGATAAGCGGCGGAATCACGATATACGTCCTCACACCAACTTCCTCACCGAAAGCAACAACAATCTGATTAACATCCCTCACACCACTCCACGGCTCGTCATAAGATCGTTCGAGCGTATACACATCCTCGTCGATATCAGAGTGGATACTAGTGTCGACGCGGGAGCCGGTGATGGGCCAGTCTGCTACCATACTTGCGCCTGCTGTCTGTTGGAATCAGTAAAGCAAACGAATGATTAGCGGGAAGGTGGTGAGTACATGTACATAACTCGTAGAATTTCCAGTTACTTTCTGACGTTCAGCAAGACCGCGAAGACATGCTTTCGCGGCACCGGCGTGTCGAGCATCTGCTGCTGCTATGACGACTATATCATAGACTTGTTAGAGATGATTGCTCTCAAACCATCCCTCGGATTAATGTAAACAAATAACGCAAAAAGACACGCACTATCACACCCCCTCGCCTCCCCAAAAATCGCTTCCTCATCGTCCAACCCCTCAAACACACTCGCCTTAACACCCTCCCCCCTCAGAACCTCCGCCTGTGACTCTTTGCGCACGAGCGCCGAGATGTTATATCCCTTTGATTTGAGTAGTGTGGTGAGTATTGAACCGCCACTATAAGGTGGTTAAAGTGGGGGTTACGGTGTATTATAGAGGGGGTAGTACATGTAACCCGATGCTCCTAGAAGGAGGATATTCGATGCCATTGTCGTGAATTTCTGTTAGTTACGAGTTGGAAACGGAATATACTTTACAAATATGAAAAATTTCAGAGCGAGACTATGTGTATAGCAAGAGATATGAATTGATGGATGGATGTTGTCCGGCTGACTCACGCCGCTCGGTTAACTTTCTCGTTTTAGGAGGTGATCATCGAAATGTATGAATAAATACTTCGTACATGGCCGTTTTTTTGTAGGCTTGGCCGTCAGAGCGTACTCTAGAAGGTTCTTCATTCTAGCCAATAAGCTATTTATGCCAGAACTACCGCTTTTACACCTATTTTGACAACTTTTTGTATTATGGATTCACAAGACTCGATGTTCCTAATTCTAACGCCTAAAACACTACAACGAAAACAGCTCTCTCGCGACGACCGGCTTAGAGTAGAGACTCTATACTTCGACGCTGGCTTTATACAAGCTCAAATCGCCTTACAGCTTAATATTACCCCTCGCCAGGTCGGATACGCTCTATACCACCGATTAACCCCTCAAAAGCGCCTTCGAGGTAGAAGGCCCTTTTTAAATACTCCTTAACGAAAGCGCCTTATCGAATAGGTTACCTCGTCCGCAAAGAATCGCCGTACACAATAGGAAGATATCCCTTCGATCCTAGGTTAGGAGTGTAGTGAAAAGGCTATTAGAGCGGCTTTTAAGAAGGAAGGCTTTGTACGAAGATAGGCGCGTAGGAAACCACCGCTTTCGCAAAAGTATAAAGACGATCGATTAGCCTAGGCTTGGGAGCACGTCTTTTGGACAGAAGAGTAGTAGTTCTCGGTTCTTTAGTCGGACGAAACCTGGGTAAATCCAGGAAGATATATAAGAACCTAGGTAACTCGAAAGATTGGCCCAGAAGAGGTTTACTACGAAGATTGTATCGAAGACCGTTACTAAAGAAAGATAGGGTAGATGTTTTAGGGGTCAATTTTAGGCAAATACGGGAGGCATAGAGGACTCTTTTAGGAGAAGGACTAGGAGACGATAAACGAGGGTTCTTATTCTGGTATTATCGTACCTATCGTCTAAGAGATTATTCAGCAATACCTAGAGCTCTCTTTTTAACAGGATAATACTAAAGGGCATGCCTCTACCTTTACTACCTCTATTTTCGAGGCAATTGGGATTAAGCCTATCTTTTGGCCAGCTAACTCTCCTGACCTTAATCCAATTAAGACAATTTAGGACCAAATGAAGGATTATATCCAAGAAAAGTACCCAGATGTTTATAGGTCATATAAAAGACTAAGAGAAGCTGTCCAAGAAGCCTGGGAATCGATTACAGAAGCAACTATTAAGGATCTAATTAGAGGTATAAGTAATCGATGTATTGAGGTTATCGTGGCAAATGGTGGCCATATAAATTACTAGGGTAGTGATTAAAAGCGGCAATTTACAAGCATTTTGGTACACAGACGTGATTTCTACACTAATTGGGCCATGTACGAAGTATAAATACAAACTATTGATTCTTTTCCTTCTACTTTATATTTTACGATATTTGGCTCCCCTCTGTATTAATCGAAATCTAATCATAAAGGAATGTAAAATAGACAGAGAATTACCAGGATTACAGACAAAAGATCCTACAGATGAAACAAGGGAGCGGGAGTAGTGTCTAGAATTCTGAGTAAAGCCTACTTTTATTTAGATGACGAATTTAATGTTAACAAACTCGTCTAGAGCATTCTTATATCACCATCTTCGACACCCCCAACCCCCAACCCCTAAAATCCAAAAACAGGCCAGCCTCCTTTTTGAACACCGAGAAGCCCGCACATCCAAAAACAAACCAATATATTCATCTAAAACCACTCCCATCCCCATCTCTACCCCCAATTCATAATAACCCTCCCCTTCTTCCCCGCATTCCCCTTCCCCTTCCTCTTCCCCTCCACCCCCACCTCACCCTCTCCCCCTCCCTCCCCACCCGTTTCTCCCTCAGCACTCCCACTCCCCTGCGCCCCCCAACTAAACGACGAACTCGCCTCCTGACCCCTCCGCACCATCCCACTGCCATACCCAAAAATCGTACTCTGAGGTTTCTTTGCCGGCGGCAGCGCGGGAAACATGTCGCCCCCAGCGGCTCCCTTGGTATTGCCTCTCGGCGCAGCTCGACTAGCGGGTCGACTCGTCGGCGCGGAGCTAGGCGCCGAGGAACTACTCGCAACCCAGGGGACGGTACTCACTGTTCCCTTGCCGGTGCGACTGGCTGAGCCGGCGGGTGGAGGGAGCGAGGGGTATGGTTGTGCGGATGGTACGACGGAGGAGGAGGGAGTAGAGGTGCCGCCCCACGATCTAGTTTGCGAGACTGAGGAGCGGGAGGATTGGGCGGTTGAAGATTTGAGCTTGAGGACTCTGGTGGATTTACTCGAGGAACTAGGTCCAGAACTCGAAGCCGCATTTGATGTTTTATTGGCCCAACCAAGTGGGATGGAAGAGCTATTAGGATTACTGGTTACTGGCAAGGAAGGGTAATCTTCGTTAATAGCTCGCCAGTCATTCCACGCTGTGCGAAGGGCGTCTGATTTCGCCTTATCTTCATAGAGATCTGCGACTTCGCGGATGAGGGTGCCCAGGGCGGACGAGGTTGTGTCTGAGAAGAGGGCGAAGAAGGATTCGATGAGGGCGGTTGCGGTGATGGCGCTTGTTTTGAAGTAGGAGATGGAGTTGCGGAATTGGGAAAGTTTGGTAGGGTCATTTTGAAGCATTGTGCTTGCGCGTTCGATTACCACTCTATGTCGAAGAGCGCGCGCTTGTTCTGCTGAGGAGGTAGCGGGGGCTGATAAGTCGATGTTTGCGAGGCTTTGTGAGGCAGCTTCTACATTCGGTGAAGGTCGGACTGTTTGGCTGGGTGGCTCTGGTCCAGCTCTTGATTGTGCGGGTGTTGGGCCTGCGGTTAATGAGCCGCCGAATGTTCTTGGTGTTACTGATTGAGCACTTTGAATCGCCATTTGCCTCTGAAATGCCTGCTCATCTCTTCTCAGAGGCTGAGCCGAGCTCGCAGGTATGGGCTCAGCATTTGGATCTCTCCCTCTTCCACGTCCTCGTCCATCCCTTTCCGCTCTTTGTTCCCTCTGACTCCCACCACCTCGTCTCTCATGTACATATGGAGCTCGATATTCAAACCCAGCCATATCCACAACCCTAGCATCTCTCCTGACATCTTTCGACAGAGAATTCCCATGAACCTCCAACTGATGAGCTTTAAAATCCATCTCCGTATCAAACACCACAAACTTCTGCTCCTGACACTCCCTCTCCAAACACGGAAAATGTTCTTTCCGGAAATGCGCCGACAACGCTTCGAAATTCTGATAATAAGAAGGTTGCGACCCCTCCCTCCGATCACAGAGAAAACAACGTTCATGTTTATCCCTACAATGCACATAAAGTTCATCCTCCCCATAAAATCTCTCCCCACAAAACCGGCACAGAGGATGTCCCTTGAACCCACTCTGGTCAATCGCACCAGGATTATCATCACCCTTCTTCATATGCTTCTGCAATTCCGAATCCGTAAAGAGCTCATGTTCGTGCGTAAACACTTTCTTATGTCTCGAACATAAATCGCAAATCTTCTTTCCGTGTTCCTGCTTGACATGACGATGTAGATCCGGCCATCCCTGACAGAAGCGATCACAACTGGGATCTGGACAATTATATCGGAGTAACAAAACTGTGTCATCCATAATATCACTGCTTTCATATCGAATGCCAATGTTCTCGTGTACACTGGCAATATCCTGCTCGGTGAAATCTTCGTATCGTTTCGTCGCATCGTCTGTAAATATCACATAGGGCGCTGCTGTCTAATCACTATGTCAGCCATTATCTCAATCCAAACATATAACCATCCCCTCCTCCCCCTTCCTCTCAACGAAGAAAGAAAATACATACCCTACAATGCGCACAATCCTTAGTCTTATACAGCGCCCTCATCCTCAACGCACAAATATGGCACGTCCGATGATTACACGGCGCCACAGAATTATGTTCCACCTCGCTGGCGCAAATAAAGCAGACCTCCGCTTCCACCTCTTCTCCTCCCCCCTCTCCTCCCGTATTCTCTTTCCCAGTCCTCGCGAGCTCAGCATCCGCCCTCGCCTTCCCAGCAGCAGCAAGCTTAGCCCTCTGTCCCTCATCCAACACCGCCGTCCCCCTCCCCCTCGACCCCCCTCTCCCTCCCCGGGGCATCCCATACGAGTTCAGCGGATGTGGTCCTTGTGCATCACCTCTCCCACGACCTCTGCCTCGTCCCCTTCCCCTTCCTCTGCCGCGGCCGTTGGGCTCTGTACTCTCCATCTCGTTGGGAATTGTGATGTCCGCAGATTAATCACTCGAAATGTGTGAGGCTGAATGACTGTTTGAAGCTCAGAATCGTCGTTGTCGCAACTGTCAATTCCCTGGATTCGTCTGTTGACGTTTATTTTTCCCACAGCAGCTCGGCTCAACGTCGATGGTGGGGCAAACGTGCTTTGCAAGCGAGCGCGTCAGAGATTCGAATCCGACCCCGCGGAAGGCTGCATGTGGAGGCTGAATAATGAGTCTTTTTCTTCGAGAATGTGGGAGAATGCATGATCGTTATTGGTAGAATGATACGGTAGGGAGTCAGCTATTATTTTATGACTCCTGATTATCTGATTGGTATATCTGACAAGTTGCACTGGTAAGCACTCTAGTGGCGAATTTATTGAATACTGTAACTTTTTCGCTAATCAACAACTCCATCCCTTCGTTACGAACCCCGCCTCCAATGTCAATAAATGGCTATGCGTGAATAGCTAATAAAAACTACACTATCTTATCCATCCATGCTGTACCATGCAGAAAAGTCATCAATCACATAAAACTCCTGCAACCGAGAGCATCATCCCATATTCCAACGCATAACTCCTGAATCATCCTGTCCAATTTGTGAGGTACCTGCTCTTGAAGATCGTTCCACGTGATATCAAAGGCAGTTCTGAGAAGACGTCTCAGCCAGTTTCATAAGGGCCTGCTCACGCAGCAACATCTTCCTCGGTGTCGTCTGGATAAAGTTGTTTACCTAGTAGTTTGTTCATGGTGAACATATGTACCTTATCTTGCTTGAATACCGAGTAGAGACGGTCGTCGCAAAGAATCTGTCGTTTGTCGCCCGGATCCTGGAGATTGTTGGCTTTTATATACACCCAAAGCTGTTTTACGACTTGCGGTCTCGACAACTGTAATGGCTTATGTTAGTCTGCTTTACCACTAATTTAAGATTAAATTAATTACCTTTGGCTCGCCCACGAGTTCCGCCAGCGGTGTCGACAGAATATACAATTTCTGCGCAAAATTAGTCCCAGTCGCCCAAAACCAAATCACAGACTCACATGAAACCCTCCCTTCTTAGGCTTCTCCTTCACCTCACCATTCTCATCCAACTCAATATCACTATCATCCTCCGCCTTAACCTTCTTCTCGCTCTTCTTCCTTGGCGCCTTCTTTCTCGGCGTAGCTTTCTTCGTTGCGCCCCCTCTCGTCGGCCGCGCTTTCAGATTCTCTTGCGCCTGGAGCTTCGCCGCTAGTTTCGCATCATCCAACTCTTTCGCCGCACGCTTAACCTTCTTCTTCGGCCTTTCTTCTTCCTCTTCTGACTCTACTTTGCTTACGGAAGATGGTGTGGGGATATCTGGGGATACACTCGCGGAGTTGGAGGGTGTGGGTTCTGTCTTTACACTGTCGGAGTGTCCGTTTGTGCCAGGGCCGGATTGTTGGGCATGATCGAATCGTTCGTGTATTAACGCTGCTACAGCTTTCTGAAGTTCAATGTTAGCTATGTATTGCTGCCTATGCGCTCGGGGGCCTACCCTCTTGTCATCCAAATTCAAATCAAGTTTCGCAGCAAGCTCCTTTCGAATGGTCTTCGCAGACACTGTGTCGAGGTTACTGTGCGCGAGAATACCGTCGATAATCGCAGAGAACTGCGCAGTCTCTGATGGGAGTACTGTATACTTGTAAGTCTTGGTTGCAAACGAGCGCACAATGCGCCTAAGCAAAGGCGAAGAGTTCGGCTACTGACATGGAGTGGACATCTCGGCCGCGAGGTTTTGAGAAGAGTTGGGTGGTCAGAAACTTTGAGTTGTCTTCTGGAATTGTAGTAAGTGCTAGGAACATTCGATTATGCTGGAGCTATGGAAGCTTGAGCGTACCAGGGTTGAGCAGCAAGCAATGGTGAGCGAGTGACTGGGGTAATAAGTGACGTCTTTTGTAGAGATGAAAATGCAGCGTTCACTAGTCGTAGGAATTGCGCTTGAGTCCAGATACCTTGAACACAGAAATAAAGGATACCGGTTTGCTGTTGATTTGTTGCGAATTGCATTTGCCAAAGGTGTCAATTGTTACTAGGATCTGTCCGCGTGAGGCTGGGAGGCTAAATCTAGACCAGATGCGGGTGCGGGTGCGGGCCAGACTGATTCGGCATGTTTCGGAGCCGCAGCGCCGGCAGCTAAACTCCACGGGCCTAAGAGTGGGCTTAAAGGACCTGGCAAACCCAGCGATGTACCACCAGTACCATAATAAATATTAAACGAGTAGCCGCTCGGGTCTCAAGATGCAGATGGTATAAAGGATAACGATGAATAGATAAGTAGTTTCAGAGAACTCCACATATGGAACGACCGAAGAGGGGAACCCTACAATGAATCAGGTGGGCTGGTCGGATGGACCGGCCCGATTTTGTAACCGTCATTTCCTGATCTCGAACCGAATGTCATGAACGACCTCCAAAGCTAACAGATTTATATATTTAAAGAATACGGCGACTTCAAAACATTACTTTTCCCCCAGAAATGCAGCAATCATCTTGCAAATCCGTTCCATGTCTTCTTCACAGACACCACTACCGGCTGCATGACCCCAAATCGTTTCCAGTATCTCAAGTTTCCCGAATTTGAGATGCTTCAATTCGATCGCAGAGTCCTCAGGCCTAGTCAAATAACAATATCAGTAAATGGTAACACTGCAGCTTAATCTGGACTTAAAGACTTACGAAAAATAGGAATCCGTTCTCGAGGCTATCACCAAGACCCTTCCCGTAATATCCTCCAGAGCCTTCAAATAACTCCCATCGTCTCTCAACGCACCCACATCTCCAAGCTGCCACATTCTCACCAGAGCTAGGAGATCCGCGGCATTCCAGTCCCTAAACGCATTGTTATACTCTTCGATGAACTCGGGAAGCGTTTCATGTCCTAGTATGGTTCTGAATGACTCGTCCTTGAACCACGCTGAACTAGTCGACCAAGCACAAGTCACCTTCCCATAGCCATGTGGTCCCGTTCCGTTCAGCCCAGCTTTGTCCATTGTATCGACGGCACTGCCGCCCATCGTAGCGGCGATGCCGTCAAGTAACATATGATTAAAAGGACTTGTCCGCGCTGAACCACAAATCACCACAGCGCTCTTGACAAACCCAGGACGCATACACATCCAATAGTAAGCTTGCTGGCCGCCCATGCCATACCCTACGACAGCTTCAAGATCTTGGATGTTAAAGTGCTTGGTAAGGAGTTCGTAAGATGCGCTCACGCAGTCCTGGTAGACTGGCTGTGGAAAGTCGAGGGTGTTGGATGGACTCGATGACTCGCCATTGCCGAGAGTCGCAACGACAATCACATGGTAATCTCTTAGTGCATTTAATGTATAGTTGTAAGTGGTGTTGATGTGGCTATGCTCAGGTGTCGGGATGCAGACCACTCTTCGAAGTGCCGAGTTGAAAGAACGATAAGCAATGCGTACAGGAAGCCTGCGACCGGTGTTGAAGAGGAATGATGGAATATCATAGTGTTGGACTCCTGTTGGATCATAATCCTCGGGGATGTTCATTGTTGTAATACGACTGAATTATTGTCAAGAATGCTACTTCTTGAAAAAGCACTATTTCATCTGCGACAATCGCATTAAAGACAGGTGAAGGAGAACCAAAGAGAGCTAAACTTAAAGCGGACGTACTTTGATATAATCTGATTCGCCAATTTGATCACAACTCCAGTATGATTGGCCACTTTGAGAGCGAGATGGCTATCATCGGCCAGTATCACAAGATGATGCTTCGAAGTCGTTCTATTTTTGCGAATGAAAAGAGACACTTCTACTCTACCGCAACTTCAAAACAGTCCAGCACGGCAATTATCACAACCTTCCGCCATCTCCATTGATCTTCTCACTTCCCCCCCTCAATCTCAACACCATTCGAAAACCCTCTATACTCCTCCTCTCCAATCCCCGCCAACTTCGAACTCCCAACCTTCCCCTTTAACCCATAAAGCTCCTGAAAACTCATAATCAGTGGCCGCCACTTATCCGGATCAACCCTATTCCCCGCTCCCACCATTCTGATGTCCTCATGAACATGCGTTCTCAGCACCTTAACCTCCAACGCAATAAACCCCTTTGTATCCGCGTCCCGCATCATCTCATACACACCCACGAGCTCTGCCTCCATCTGCGCCGGACACTCCATGATCCTAGCCGGTCTGACCAGCTCCGAGGCCAGCGGTGTCAAGTTTGCATGTCCGAACTTATCATGCACATACTCATACCCATTCATCCTTTTGAAATACTTATATCCCTCATCTGGCTGCGCAGTGAGGATCTCTGCGGAGCCGGTGGTGCGAGCAAGTGCGTTCACGGAGCCGGCCATGCTGTCAGATGCGAGATTGAGCACGCATTGCTTGGTGCGCAGGAGGTTGATGGTGGTGTGGGAAATGGCACCTAGCCCGAGCATGCAACGGTTTCCGAGCCACCAGGCGGAGGACATAGGGGCGATGTTGAATGTTTGGTCGGGGTTTTCGGTGGTGATAAGGACGACGGGGGTGCCCCAGTAGAAGATTGCTGGGGAGATGGTTTGGTGGTTTGGCGTGGGGGAGGTGGTCGATGTCATGGTGTTGGTTTGCTGAGGAGCTGGGGTTGAGGAGATGACGGGGGATGAATGAAGTTGGGTAGGATCATAGGATGATGAGAGGTAGAGAGGCGAGAGAAGGTTGTTGATTGAAGATGAATGAGAGGAGGACAAAGTATCTATCTATTTATACTTGATCACTGTCTATGCTTATACATTTATTCTCTTTAGACAACAAAACTCGGCGATTGCCAGTCCAGTCACAAGGCAACTCGAGTAATGGTTCCAATCAGACAAAGCACTTAAGATCAACTCATCAACTCAATCGACAAGTTCATTGGCCACTTCAACAACAATGCAGAGATTTCCATGCAATGTCGGAAGAAATATATGAAAACGACTGATAGAGAAAAGTTTTGCGAGCATCCCATTGGTTACTTTGATAGCATTAACCCAAGAAATGTTCCCTTGAGTCACAGGAAGACGGCTCAATCATCAGCTTACCAGTATCCAAGGATAGCAGCCCAAATGACTACGGATAGGCAACAGAAGAATACAAAAGACGGTGAGGTCTATGTGTGACTGATAGGTTCATGAAGTGCTTGAGCTCATAGTTGAAATTCATCTAGTGATAAATATCAGATTCTGCGGGGTTCTCATTCTGTCCGTAGCATTAATTTCATTTATTCTTAAGGAAGCTTGAACACTCTATTATTATATCGACATATTTTCGAATGCCTCACCACGCAGGCTTATAGAAAAATGACCCTCCTTTTAAAGACTACTCGGTAAACGCCTCCACACTAACATATCATCTCAACCCCTTTCCTTCATACTACCCATCCTCCATCCTCCAGTAACCACGAACACTCTGTACCTTCTCCCAAAATCAAATCCATACAAAACTTCTGAAATCAGAGTCTAGACCTCCTAATCCCCTCCTCAAACCACAAACCCATCCCACCAACACCCACGATCAACCAAATACCCTTTCTCATCAAACACCACTCCCTCCTTCCCCAGCAACTCTCTTTTCATGCCAACATTCATCCCCGACGGCACATCCTGAGCCTCGCCTTTAAATCCCCCTATCGCCTATCCAAAGGAAAACCATTAGTATCTAACCCTCTCCCCTCCCTTCTTCTATACCCCCTCCTGAAAACGACGCCAGATCAGAGGAATAACTCACACCATCAGCGCAAATAACCCGATGACACGGCACCCGCGGCGCGTACGGATTCCGTTTCAACGCTCCACCCACGGCTCTAGGCGAGGAACTCAGGGCTGCGGAGAGAGCGGCGTACGAGGAGACTTTCCCGAGGGGGATTTGCAGGAGGAGAGCGTAGACTTTCTAGGAGAGGTTGGTAAGTTACTAAGTGTTTTGGGGGGATGAGGGGAGATGGACTTCTTGGTAAGGTGTTACTGGCATGGCTTCTCAAATTTTAGAGAATTTAATTTTAAAGAATGAAATTTTGCAAAGACAGAGAGAAATGTGTAACAGGGAAATTTAAAATGAGTGAGTGAAATGTGTATTTTCCAGAGCAGGTTTATACGATAACTACATTCTCCTAGTAGAGCACGCTCATTGGTCACTTCCAGAGCAACAATGCTGAGTCAGAACTAGTTCTCGCTTGTCATTCGTGAATTCCATCACAACGGAGGTGAGCAAGAAAGATTCTTTGATTTCGCTTCATCTATGCTCTTTCATGTGATCTGGTATACAGTAGGACTTTATCACAACATGAGCTTAGATCCAGAACCTCACTTCTTCAGAATTAGAAACCCCGTATCCCCAACTACCTCTCCCCCTTCCACACCTATGTCCCATCCCCTCCCACCCCCCCTCCTTCAGCACACCCACCTCCCGCCACGCCGCCCTCCTCACCCGCAACCCCCTCGCCACATCCTCATTCACCTACGCCGTAACAACAACCCGCATCTACTGCCGCCCAGACTGCCCATCGCGCCTCGCCCGACGCTCCAACATCCTCTTCTACGACACCGCTTCCCTCGCCGAGCGAGCCGGCTACCGTGCATGTTTGCGCTGTCGTCCTGAGATAGCTGATGGTCAGTAACTCCCCTCTTCGCGAGGACGAAGCTGATTTAATCTAGGCGTAGAGCACAATTCACAAACCCTAGCAGTGTCGAAAGCGAAGAAGCTGCTGGGAGAAGAGGAGAGGAGGTGGACGGTGAAGGCGTTGGCGAAGGAGGTGGGGATGACGGAGAGTCATTTCTGTAGGGTGTTTAAGAGGGGGACTGGGATGCGTGTTAGTGAGTATAGGGTTTTTATTAAGGAGGTAGGTAGTAGAGATGCGGCGGCGAGAAGTGAGGAGAGTGAGGTGGTCGGTGCTGAGCTGGCTTTGGATGAGGATGTGAATGCAGGTGAGAAAGATGCCGACACGACGTTTGATTTTGCGGGGTACGAGGTTGGGGTTGGGTTAGATATGACGCCAAGTTTGGATGTATCAGTGGAACAAAGTGAGGGAGACTGTTTTGAGTTTCTGGATTTTGAAGTGGAGACGGAGACTTTGGGAAACATAGTCTGAATTCTTAGGACGATACAGATTGTTAAAAAATAAGACGAGAATAGAAGTGGATAACAATATAAATACACACATATAAAAATATCAAACTATCCAAAACCTATCCAACTCTCAAACCCATGCAAATACCCAATAAACTACTTCAATGCCTCGCAGGTGTATAATACTCCCTAAACCGATCCGTATCATCCCACTTCAAGTAATGCACCAAACTCCAGCAATTAAGCAACAGATTCGGAAACTTGGTCGTCCAATAGTTGAGATACCCTTCCGGAAGCGGCCCTACCTCTTTCTTTAACTTATCACTCATATCTTCGTAGTGATTCTTCTTGTTCCGCAAAGCTCGTAGTAGATCTAGGAGTCTTGACCCGGTGTATTTCCGCTGCTTACCCATCGAGTCGACGAATTCACGACCAAGGGATTTGAGGAAGTCGCCGTTGGTAGTCTCCGCTGCGTAGCTTTCCAGCTCGACCAAAGCTGCGGTGGGCGGGTCTCGCTTCTCCTTTTCAAAATGGTCAGACACGTCGCACAAGAAATTGAGACGCTTTTTGGGTGACCAGAAGAATGGATGAGCCATGACCTCACGTGCGCTTGGGCGTGCTTGAGGAATTTTATTAAGCATGGCGCGAATAAGATTATCAGCTTCCATGCCATAATCTCCATACACCGAAAGTCGATTGAGGTCGAATTTGTCTTTTCGAATATTGACCTCCCTCATATATTTATCACCACAATCGAATGGGTGAGAACCTTTAGTGAGAACGTAAAAGAAGACCAATCCAAGAGAGAATATATCAATGGCGCGAGTAGCGCGACGATTGGACATGAGCTCTGAGCTCAAGAGCGGTCCGGAGTTCCCATCCGTGCTTGCGTCAACCATAGATAAGCCTTCTTTCGCGTCGTCATCTTGGAGAAGTTCAGGGGCCCGCCATCCAGAGGTTCCGGCAGCATGTGCTGTGGTTGCACGGAATGACGATTGCTCCCCATCCAATTTCTTACACAGTCCAAAATCAGATACAAGAAGTCGCGGCGCCCCGTTCTTGTCCATCTTGTCCATGGCAACAAGAATGTTCTGGGGCTTGAGATCCCGATGAACGATACGAAGTTTGTGTAAATGTTGAAGGCCATTTGTGATTTGGTATAAAACGCCAGGCAAGTCTCGCTCACCTCCTTGAGCAAGATCGCGATGAAGATTTGGCTTTTCAATAACATCAGCCAATGATGCAGGACACAACTCAAGCGCAATGTAGAGGAAATCGCCAGCTTGTTCCTGTGCGTAGTATCGGATGACTAGTTATGTTAGCGTTGTAGATATGATCCATGGCATATTTCTTACCATTAGGATGATCGTCACTTTCTCTCAAAAGCTTAGTCTCTTGAGAGGCAATGTCAAAGAATTGTATCAACATCCGTTTTACCGCTACATCACGCCCATCAAACTTTCCGCGAAACACCAGTGTACCGTTACTTCCATTACCGATACGTTGTTCCGTGTCGCATTCAAGAGCTCCGATACGGAGAATTGGTCCAGATACCTCTGATGGGTCGTTTGGCACAGTATGAATATCTGGTTCAAGTTTCGTCTGCTGGCCCATTGTTTGTGCTTTGCGAACAGCGTCGTCAACTGTGGGCTCTGGTTTCCGTGCAGTGTCATCTTGAGAGACCTCCAAAATCTGAGAAGCCTCGGGGGAAGGATTCTTGTTTCCCTTTCTATGCTTAACACCGCCACGACGTCCTCGGTGGGCCTTCTTTTCCTTCTTCTTTTCAGGTGATGCGGGAAGCAACTCATCAGTCGATGGAGGTGCTACCAGAGCTACGATATCTTTCTCGATATTTACCTGTGGCGCTGGAGCTTGGGCGTCTTGCTTGTCCGGCTTGATATCATCAACTACTACCTCGACCGTAGGTACATCAACTGAATCGACTTTGGCCACTGGTACAGTCTCGGCAATCTGCTCTGCAGTGTCTTTGAGGAACGATGGAATCTGTTTCTCCTCTAAAAGGCGACCGGCATTAAGTTGTACATATTGCTTTATCTGAGCTTTATAGGTGATTATCAGAATGAAAGCGATAGCCATCCATATAGGATTCGTGATGAAGTCCAGGACGTATTGAAGTAGCCTGTTTGGGAAAGACTGCAATTTCTGCATCACTGATGGCGGACGAGCCAACTGAATTGTATGATCTTGAAGATTAGCATCCACAGGTGTATCAATCGCCGATGGTGGTGAGATAGTAAGCAATTGCTCTTGGGTGGTTTGTCCCTCGATTGAATGTAGGCCAACAAGGGCTTCGGACAGTCGCGCATTATTCATAATGTCCCAAGTATGCCGGTGTCTTCTGTACTCTTGGTTCATACACTGAGCTTGTCTAGGCTTCTGAAGATCAACAAGAGGGTACGATTTTCCAGACATGGCGTACCAGCTACCATCTTCCGTGTGATTAAGAAAGATACTTCCAGCTCGCTCTTCGGCTGTCTTCTGGTCCATATCTGGAGGTAGAGGTTGAGGCAAGATCATCAGGGGAGGGTTGCTGTTTTCGAGCGTGTAATGACGACCGACGTCAAAGACCCTAACAACCGGAGAATCAAATTTCTCGCGGAACAAAGGCCTTGGAGTCTCATTTGGTGTTTCGTGATGGAAACCGATGACCAGACCATCGTGCTGAGCATATACGTATTTTTGGTCTTTTGTCTGATGATATTGTCGGGATAAATCATGATCGAAACTGTTTGGCGTCCATTCAAAGAATCGAAGGGTCGCGATTTGATGACCGTCTTTTGCTCCTTGTATTCCCACAGTGTATTCGGTCCTTCCTATCGTCAAAACCTGATTCGAATTGCATTCATCACTCGGGAAGCCTGTGTTCTTGCAATTTCCCTTCCCAGCTTCTTGATTTACGTAAGCTCCTGTTGGACTGAAATGACCGATGACAATTCCAGTTTCCGCATCGACAGTCATCATAGTCGTCTTCTTTTCTCCAGTATACATGACAGGTGGGTCCTCCGTCCAATGCGGTGACATGACCTCTACCAATTTCTTCATCGTGAGACCCGTATTGACCAGACCCGGCGATGGACCACCCGGTTGGTATATGTAAATACTGCCATCTCTGCTCGGCTCGATCGCCCAAAGGTAATTATCAATGGGTATGGTTTCGAAGTCTTCCTCAACGGAGGAGCGATTGCGCCGATAATAAGTCGTCTGGACCATTGGTTCCAATCCACCTAGCTTCAAATCCCATTTCTTCACGCCCTTCTTCCTCTCCCGGGCGTGTAATGTTCCATCGACGGTCGCCAGAAGCACAAAGTCTTCTACATCCCAATCCTTCAAATTCCGCGCATCGTGCGGCGGGGAGAGCCCAACACTACTGGTGTTGGGCCTCTTGACGGATGGTGCTGCAACGGCGGAGCCCGCCGGAGCCAAAGTTGCGATGGCGCTCGCATCGTTTTGAATATCACGGTTGTTTACACTGATCGTGTTCTTTCGTCGTTGTACAATGAGAGGTGTCTCGATCAATGATGATCGTTTGGTCGCCTCGGCCGTATGTAAGGGGTTGGCTTCGAGGCTCTCGTGAGGTGACTCTTGTCGCTGCCGGACTCCAGAGCCTGGCCGTTGCTGCTGCTGAGCGCTGACCAACCATGGTAGAAACAGTACGGCTGCTGCGAGAAGAAAGATGTTGTTCACGACATGGCCTTCTCCTGGGGGCCGCCGTCGCGGCATCTTGCAGTCTTCAACGTTGGCTGATGGTGTGTGGACGTCGCCAAGGGCGAGGTCTTGCGTGTGATAATTACTCTACAGCGCGAGGGTGAACATAGAGAATGCCCGCAATTTCCAAAAAAAAATGTCGGTGATGATTTGTGTGAGTTGCGATGAATGAATGGAGAGAAATCCTCTCCTCGTACGAGGTGTGGAGGAAGCGTGATTTTGTCGAGGTCTGAGCTGGCGTGCCTGTTTTACGGGAAGAGACGCTAGGCCAGATACCCGCCACTAAAGATATGCGGACGGAGCACCCCGCAGAAAATAGATACAGTACTGTATAAAAAAAAGTTTATGAGAAGGCTGGAGCAAAAAGATTAATTAAAAAGACGAAAACTCGTAATCACCTTCAATTGATGGGAAGATGAAACAACTTTCTCAACCAACATACGACGCGGTGATCCATTTACTCAGTCTAACCATTGTGGGCAAAGGTGTAAGATATGATTACTGTGCGACCCCCTTCCAACGGCTTCGCTTTCGCATCCATCTGTGGGCAAAGTAAGCTGAGCCCTTTTCTGGTGCCTCAAATCAATCCAGCAACGCGACATGCATTATGATTTGTTACGTCGTGCCACGATCCCGATGATGTGCTTTACTTCCGTCCGCCCTATGCTTACGGTCTATCTTGTGTCTCATTGCACAACATGTACTAAACTCAGCTTTGCCCATAGCATATCTTGCAGGTGAAAGATGTTTGCTTTAGAAGATGCTATGGATCACGGAATTCATTTCACCAGTCGAGGATAACTGGGGACTAATACTGCGCGTTTGTTGAAGCCCAGAATAGTAAGACTACAATGGGTCATAATCACTTGGTGTTGCTGATGTGGTGAGAAGACGTGGACCCCCAACAATCCTTCGGCAGTCTCACGGCACAAGCGACGACTAAGGGGTGGCTATGAGCGCCTCACGGTGAACAGAATAAGTGACATTCGAAACATGATGTTCATTTAATCGAGTCGACGGAAAGTCGGATATATGTGTATTGTTTTCAGGAAATAAGATATTTAGATAACTTGGGAGGTTGATATCTGGGTTAAAATAGTTGTCTAATCTTGAATGTAACTCAGACGATGAATTGCAGTTGTCCTCTACGAGCGCGGCAAAGCCTCGCCATTCCTACTGCACATCACTTATAAATATGGTATATTTCAACCTTCACAGTGGGTCTGGTCTTACGGGGTAATGTGGAGATCACCGAAGATTTTATGAATGTCGGTGGAAACATGGTTCGTCATGTTCTAAGAAAAGCAAATTTATGTGGTCAGCCCACGAACTTTCACCTGAACGATAACACAAAACAAAAACAGGATGTTAATATTCATCCCACTCATTATTGACGCTGCAACATGATCTAATGGTATGGTACAAATTCCCCAAATATTCGCTTTTCATTTCATTATACAGTACGCCTTTTCTCATTAACTCCTTTACCTCTCCCGTCGTCGTGGTGCGCTGCGGATAATGTTGTCTACTCTCAGTAAAAGCTGATTGCAAATTAGTAACAGTTCAGTGGGATGGCTGTGGAAAGGCAAGCTTACCTCTGCTGCCTCGGAGGCAGATGACACCACCGCCTTCTTGAGCTTATAACTTTCAATAACACCCAGCTCGCGCATATCGGTGATGCCACCCCCTGGTGTCAACAAATCCAGTCCGTATGTAGTCATACCATCGTAGATAGCAGTTCGTAATTTAGCTACAAGCTCACTAGAGTCATAACCTGCGTTGTCGGCGAGAATTGTTGGCAGCTGGCGAAGAGCAACGGCGAAGGAGGTGACAGCAATTTGTTTCTTTCCATCAACCTTTAGGGCAGCTCCTTCGACGGCCTTGGCCATCAACATCTCAGCACAACCTCCTCCTAGTGTCGTTCTTGGCTCCTTGACTGTCTGAGAGAGGACGGCCAGAGCGTCATGTAATGATCGTTCAGCTTCGTCAAGAAGTTGTTCTGTGGCTCCTCTCAACACTATGGTGCATGCCTGTCCAGCAGCGACACCAGAAAACTTGATTAAAGTATCCTCGCCAATGATAACCTCTTCAATGAGGTCACAGTGCCCAAGTTGCACTTGATCTGGGTGGTCGAAAGTGGAAGTGATTTCTCCTCCAGTGACCAAGGCCAATCGCTCAATACCATCAAAGTCAGCGTGCTCAATAGACATGATTCCGGCATCAGAGAACAGTTGTTCTGGCCAGTTGTAGATTAACTGCCTGTTGATAAAGCAGTTGATTCCGTGGGCCTTTATCTTTTCCACCTTTGCCTTCATCTTGTCCTTTTCTGCCTTCTCCAGCTCAGCAAGCTTCCCTGTAGATCCAACCTTTACTCTAGCTCCAAAGATTTTGATCTTGTCGGTGTCCATCGATGTATTTGCAACCAAGATCTTGGCCTTCTCTAGTCGTTTTGGTTGGTTGACACCAATCTTTTTGTCCAGAATAAATCCTTCATCGAGATACGAATCGCTGAGTTTTCCACCCGCCTTCTTGATAATTTGGATATGGCTCAGATCCGAAGAACCTTTCATTCTCAGCACCGCATCGACTGCAAGCTCGGCGAAGTGATCTCTATCCTGAGACAGAATCTTAGAACTCAGTGTCGTCCTCGCGATGGCTAACAAATCTTTTTTGAATGCCTCTGGGCTACTGCTGTGATCCACCGCAGATTTCTCCAAAGCTGCCAGAGCTGCATGACTTGCTATCCTGTAACCCTCGATGATAGTCTGCGGGTGTATCTTTTTGTCGACTAGCTTCTCAGCTTCCCGTAACAGCTCTGCGGCCAGAACTGTGACCGACGTGGTTCCATCTCCAACCTCATCATCCTGAACTTTAGAAATGTTTACCAGGACCTTGGCTGCTGCATTATCCAGAGCTATCGATTTTAAGATTGTCGCGCCATCGTTCGTGACTAGAATTTCACCAGTCGAAGCTGATTGTAAAATCTTATCCATACCCTTTGGACCTAAGGTAGACTTGACTGCAGCTGGTTAGTATCATGATCGTTTATGCTGCAGGCTACAGTACCTAAATCTCCAACCGCAATAGCTCCTACGAATGCGGAGAGACGAGCATTTTCTCCCTTTTCTTCTGTCGTTCCATCATCAAAGATCTGGGTTGGGTTGAAAGATGCCATGTTGAAAGGTACTGTGGGAAGTTCAGACGGTATAACGCAGCTGTTCGTGAGACGCGTTATTCTAGGTATTTTTCTGCCGGCGCAACAGCCCGGGAGAACCTCGGCGATCAGGTTTAGTTTTTGGCGAGCACACAATCTTTGGGGCCTCAAACTTTGACCACGACCGTCAACTTAACCCAGCCATTTACGCAAATTTGGCGTCTTCTTGAACAGTAATTGCCTCTCGAACCAAAGCGCAATATCTGAAATACCTCGGGCGCTACTTCAATACTGGGAAACTCCAAAGTCGCACACAAAAGCGGCATTCGCAACACAGGTGGGGTAGAAGTTGAAAAATAAAACTCAACATTAGAACTTCCAGCGACAGTGCACATACAGTACTCCGTTGCTTGTTTTATTCCCAAAACCGCAATCATGGCGCCCAGTTTCGATCATTTACCAGACCCAGAGGAGGAGGATTACGATGAGGATGAGGAACTTGATTTCTCCGATCTACGAGACCGCTTCGAAGTCCAACTTGAGCAAGGATTAGACACATTTGTGGTTATCGATGGTCTACCAGTAGTCACAGAGGAAACAAGACCGAAGTTGATCAAGTTCTTGTTGAGAAAATTGAACGCTGTAGGCACGACTAAGGACGATTCTATACACATGCCAATCGGGGATGATGGCAAATCGCACCAGTAGGCATCCACTCCAGGAATTTATCATGTCCGTACTGATTGTGTACAGATTCGCATTCGTTGAATATACAACTCCTGCTGAGGCTGTCGCCGCTTGCAAGGCTCTAGACCAAGTTCAGCTCGACAAGAAGCATCAACTGCGAGTCAACAAACTTACCGACATTGACCGATTTGGCAAAGAAGGGCGCATCGATGAACACTACACCCCTCCTAAAATTGATGAGTTCACCGAGAAGGAGCATTTGAAGGCATTCATTGCGGATCCAAGCGGACGAGGCAGAGATCAGTTTGTCATGTACAAGGACGACCGGGTACAAGTTATGTGGAATAACGAGAAAGATCCCCCAGAGACCATCGTAGATCGAGCACACTGGACCGAATCTTTTGTACAATGGTCGCCACAAGGTACATATTTGACCTCGATGCATCAGCAGGGTGTTCAACTGTGGGGAGGAGCATCTTGGACTAGACAAAAGAGATTCGCACATCCATTCGTCAATTTGGTAGACTTTTCGCCTGGAGAGAAGTATCTTACCACCTGGTCAAATCGCCCGATTTCAATTCCCGAGGAAGGGCATCCAGCGCTGACTGTCGAAGACGATGGCAAGAATTATGTTATCTGGGACATTGAGACCGGAAAGGCGCTCCGTTCTTTCGCCAATATCGAACTCCCAAGTAACTCCACCGACGAGATGGGCCAGCCCATCAAGAGAAAGATCACTTGGCCAGCTTTCAAGTGGTCTGCTGATGACCAGTATGTTGCTCGATTAACACAAGGCACATCTATCTCCGTTTACGAACTGCCAAAAATGGGACTTCTTGATAAAACCACAATCAAAATCGAAGGCGTCATGGATTTCGACTGGGCTCCTGCAACACCTCGCCGAGAAGGTGTTAAAACCTACGAGCAACTTTTCTGCTATTGGACCCCTGAAATTGGTAGCAACCCCGCCAAGGTTGGTCTGATGAGTATTCCTTCAAAAGAAGTCGTTAGAACACTCAACCTCTTCAGTGTGACTGATGCTAAACTTCACTGGCAATCCGATGCATCATATCTATGCGTAAAGGTTGACCGACACTCCAAGTCAAAGAAGTCTCTTGCAACAAGTTTGGAAATTTTCCGTGTCAAAGAGAAGGGTGTACCAGTTGAGGTTGTTGACTCGATCAAGGATACCGTCATTAACTTCGCGTGGGAACCGAAGGGTGACAGATTTGTTATCATCACAACAGCGGAAGTTGTCGCGCCATCTGCTGTACCCCCAAAGACTTCGGTTAGCTTCTACTGCCCAGAGAAGGTCAAGGGTAATGGTGTCGGAAACTTCAAGCACATCAGAACATACGACAAAAAGAATAGCAATGCCATCTACTGGTCACCAAAGGGTCGCTTTGTCATTGTCGCCACTGTTCACTCACAACAAAGTTTCGACATGGATTTCTACGACATGGACTTTGAGGGAGAGAAGGCCGAGAATGAGAAGGACTTGACCGCGAACCTGCAACTCATGGCTACTGCTGACCATTACGGTGTCACTGATATTGACTGGGATCCAACTGGAAGATATGTCGCTACTAGTGCCAGTATCTGGAAACACACCGTAAGTCCATCCTATCCTCAATTTATATGTTACTTACAATTAACCCATGACAGATGGAAAATGGTTACCACTTGTACGACTTCAAGGGTGAACAACTCCGTGAAGAGCCGGTCGAGAAGTTCAAGCAATGGCTCTGGCGCCCACGTCCAGCCACCCTCCTCAGCAAGGAAGAACAAAAGACCATCCGCAAGAACCTCCGTGAATACAGCAAAGTCTTTGACCAAGAAGATGCTGATCGTGGTGCATCTGCTGATCTCGCCGTCGTCGAGGAGAGACGCAGACTCTTGGACGAATGGCTCGCCTGGAGATCGAGAGTCGAACAGGATGTCCGTGAAGAACGTGAAGCTAGAGGCTTACCTGCGGATCCTATCGCCGGCCTCATCAAAGAAACTGATGAGAGCGAGAACCAAGTCATCGAGGAGATCGTTGAGGAGATTGTCGAGGAGACGGAGGAGATTATGCCTTGATTGATAGATCTATAATGTAGGATGATCTTTCTGTAGTCTTGATTGCTCTTCTATCTTCAGGTAGCATCTGGTTTCGAGAAATTGGCGATTTCATGATGGCTATGTTTACATGATTTCTTTGCCCTTGGTGTGAAATGCATTCCATGATAAAAAGTCTTGATGATGGATGTTGGGGCGGTAAATAAGATTTCAAAGTGCCTTGAAAATTTAGAGATTTTGAAGATTGTGATCATACTATTAGATTGTGTGTTGTGTTTTCAATGTGGTGATCAAGGCAATGTGCATTTTGTCACAGGGTCTAGCACGTGACATATCATCAATTGCAACCCTTTTTCACGCTTCAACTTAGACTGACATTGATATGTTGAATTGTGGATTAAGAATCTGGGTGGATGTAGAATTTATTCGTCAACTATACCTACTCAATGATCAAGGAAACTCGGCATACATTTATATCTTGGATTTACAGAGGTACACAATTTGAAGAGCTTTTAACACTGATGTAGAAACTGTCAACTGATTTTTCTATGTGATCGATATGTTCAGCAGCTGATTTTGTATATCCATGATATTGTGGCCTGTGCAGGCTAGAATATCCAACTAATCATCTGCCACTGAAATACCCACTCCAAGCCACTACCTCGTCGTAGTTTTTCCAGTTGTGAGTAGATCCTCGACGTTCCCTTCCACCCGTTCCCGCTTCCATTCTTCCGCCTGCTGTTTCTGATGTCTCACCAGCTGACGTTCCTGCCTCCGTGACTTTAGCCTCTATCGGTGGCGACTTAGCACATTCTCGTTTGATTCCGAATTCTAGCTCGTTCAGATGGTTGCAGAATACTGGTTCGCTTCCGGGTTTAGCTGCCGCACAGGTTGTGGGTGTGGTGGGTGGGTCTGACATTTTGATGTGAGGTTAGTATGTTGCTTGTTTAGACACTTGAGTTACTTGATTTGGTTTAGTAAGATGGTTGAAAGAATAGTGAGGGAAGCGTGGATAGGGTGGGGTTTTTTGTGTTTAAATGGTTGTTCTTGTGGGGGTGTGAACAGGATGGATGATTGGTAAATAGAAGACTTGTTAATGAGAGTTATGCGAACAGTATAATTGGAAGTCAATAATTCTGGGGGTGAGTACTGTTCTAGAATGGACGTGGTGGTTTTCTTTATTGTGATTAAGGGGTGGAGGTGATTAAGCGAGGGTGTGAAGGCTCGCAGTTGTTTAGAATTAAATTATTTAGTATACTCACAGCACGAATAAGATTAAACAGTAAGAATTTGTGCTATTGTAATATATGATTCTAATAATAATAATCTAAAATAACTTTTAATAATAAACGCTGTGATAGATAACGGCTTGAAATTCCCAGGTAGCAGCGTGGGTTTACTCCCGAATGTCAAATAGAAGGTTCAGCCATCGACCAAAGATCCATAGACTCCAACTACCGGTATATTTCTGCCCACGAATCTTTCTATTAATCATTACGGCGGTGATAGAAAGGATGCGGCAGGCCGTGGTTTCGTCGGTGTGCTTCGCGGTAAAAGGGATGATGGTATGTGGCTGAGTTTCGTGGTTGAAATATTCGTGAATGAATAATCAATCTTTCGTTCTTGGGTTATCGGATAAAAGCTGATAAAAATGAGAAGAATGGTTGTTAAAGCATAACCATTCTCCATCTCCCAACCAAAACGTCTGGACCTCGATCCAGAGACTATCAATTCTGTGGGCTCAATTTGAAATCGGTGATTGTTGGCCGATGGCAGATAGCTAAGAGAATCTCGCTTCTGAGATGATAGAAGAAAGATTGATGTAAACCAACACGATCCGTTGTGGAAGCGTCGTCATCCCTCATCTCCTACCTGAACCATACCAGCCATTAATCCAGAACCAGTTCATCAGGGTTAACACCTGCAGACGGTTGATCAAACAGCTTAATCCTCTCCTTAACACCTAACTTCATGCCATTACCACCTGGGCCACTGCGAGACGTTCCAGTGTTTTGTGGACTATGTTTTCTTGGTGGTGTAGTCCGGAGCAATTTCTTCTGTACTACAGCTTCCTCGCTTAGCTTTCGCATGGACTGCTGGAGAGGAGAAATTTCGTTTTCGAGTGGTGAGGTTTGGCCGTCTGTGCCAAATGGTGTTTTGCTGCCGTTAAGTTCGTCTTTGGGCGGTGCCGGGGTTCTGGGGGGAGAGTGGTTGAGTTTGTGGGAGTAATCGAGGGGAGAGGGGTTGGGTGCGTAGATACTTGTTGCGAGACCTTTGAGGGGCTTGAGGTTTGTGTTGTTGGATTGCAAGGGTAGAGGATGAGCTGGTTTTGCTGTACTTTCTTCGTCAGAAATAGAAAGTAGCGGTATCTCAGTAGTTGCGTTTTGATCGTTAACTTCATCCGCCCACGACGAATTCGCAAGAATGTTCGCTAAAGAGCTTGCAAGATCGATATTCTTGGTTTCAACACCATACCCAGTCGTCCTAATATCCTTCAACGAATAATCCTCTGCGACCTTCTTCTCGAAATCCTGCCCTCCAAAAGTCGTTCCATCCACAAAGCCACCCCTCGGAAACAACGGCTTTCTCGCCTCAACCTCAAGAGCCAATTCCTCAACAGGTCCAGCACAAGGATCTGCGTCAGACCTAATCTCCAGCCCTCTAAACGGTGCCCAGTTATACAACTTCCCTCTCGCCATCCCCGCATCCGACACGCTCGCGAACTCTAAATGCATAGTGCGATCTTCGTCTAACCACATCTCTGTCGGCGGAGTAGCGCATTGCCGGAACGTGGTAGATGAGAGACTGGTCTCGAAGAATGAGATGGAGATTTGTGGAAAGTACGGGATGGCGATGCAGCGTGTGTGGGAGAGGTTGAAGATTGCGTTGGTTAGACCGAAGTTGAGGGGGTAGGAGGGGGTGGGGAGGAGAATGATTTCGGCTTGGAGTTTTGTGTCGTCTTCGCCGAAGTAAATCGGGTTTTCTTTGACGTACGAAATATACTGGGCTGCTGATGTTTCGTATACGAAGCGAACTAGAGCTGACATTTTGCCTGTAAGTGGTTTGGTGTCGAGGAGGATTGCAGAAACGATTTTGCCGCCTCGAACTCGGTTAAGGATATCTCTGAGCTCGATATTGTGAGGTAAGTTGCCAATCAAAACCGTCTCTTGATGTTTGTTCTCTGGTTGGGCTGGCACGAATTGAATTCCATGCTTGAAGAAGTCAACAGAAACACGCCTATCTCTGTCACCTGCCATCAATCGCTGAGTTACAAGCGCACTGGTCTTTTCCTCACGAGACTCCCATATGTTGCCGCTGGCAATTTTGTCTCGAAAGAATGGTGGAGGTCGTCCCTCAATGGCTTGGGTGTCTTTAAGAGAGTCATAATCGCCCCCAGTGACCGCTTGTGCGGCATCAAAACCAGTCTTCAGAACTGTTGGTGCAGGAAAGTTCATGAATCGATGCAAAGCTCTTGCGTTCTGACCATTCCCCAATTCCTTTGGTAAAGGATTGTAGCTCTTCTTCTCGTCTTCCGAAGGAAGACTGCGTGCTGGACTAGCTGCGACTTGCAGCTTTCCACTATCCTCAATCACGACTTTAGCAACCTTGTTCTCATCAACATAATGCTTATCGATGAGATCAAAGCTCTCCTCCAACGAGAACATCCCTACATTTGTAGCCTTGGTAGGACGATGTCGATTGTTTACCCAAGTTTGCAAGTCCCGTATGTAGGTTTCTAATTGCTCAGTGGTTTCGCAGCCTCCATGAAAGACGCCTTCTTCGATATACTCGTTGGTGAGGTCTTGATGAAAATCTTTGAACGAGTCTTCTAGAGAGTCTTCTTGCTGGTACTCCTCATAATCAGAGACAGATTGCTGATACTTTTCTTCATGAACGACAATTTGAGTTTGCTCTTTCGGAGTGGTAGGGTTGATAACTTCATTTCCCTCTTGAATTTTATGAAGCTCAGGGACCGCTTCTTTGGGAGTAGTAATCAACCGATACTCCTCTGTTCCAAAAACGCGGCGATCAAAGTCCAACTCAGCAGCAAGACGTTTCTCTCGTTCCTGTCCTCGAAGAATTCGATTTTCCCGGCGAAGAACATCCACTTCCATCTCCAATTTCATGATTTTCTTACCCGCCTGCATATCTCCCCCGATCGTGAGTTCTCCTCCATTCGTCTCACCCGCTTTCACAAGCATTCCTTCTTGAGTAGCAGCTGGAGTCAACAATGCGTTGGTCAAGGCTGGAAAGCGAGACCCAAGAGCTCGGAAGAAAATGGCCATTCCCTTTGCTTGGTCTTCCGCTTCTTGCGTTTTGTGCTTCAAGTCATTTTCAAGCACCGCAATATTGATTCGTAATTGAACATTTTCTTCGTCCTTGTCTGCCATATAGCCCCCGGATCCGGAATCTCCAACCACATTTTGACCATGGCCTGCGGCGTTTGATTCATGCTTGACATTTGGTGGATTCCACTTTGGCGGACTCTTCGTTGGTGTTAAGTAGTTGCTGATGTGATATTGTTGTCCATAAAATGTATTATGAACATGTTGACTTGGTGAACCACCATTCTTTGGGCTGAAGCGAGATATCGGCAGACCGTGATGACAATGATGATCAGGTAATGTGGGATGGTCCACATCTCTCACACAGACAGGGCTGGCAGGCGCATAATCGTAATTAGGACCGCTTTCAATTGTCCTTCACACATCTTTGGCAGACTCGGGGCTGTTTTTGGCCAGTGCGGGACTTTTCGGTACATATGTTGGACTAACATCATTTTCAACTGTGCTGGCTCTCGGATTGGGAAGGTTATTCCCGTGTTGTCCTTTCGATGCATATTTCTTGGCAGGAGAATTTCTAGAACCACGGGCAAAATCATGGATCGGAATGTTTTGCTTGCTAAATTGCTCAGCTTTGCGTTCGACATCATCGTTATTCCTCTCTGGCGTCTTTGGAAACTTGAAAGAGCCGTCCAAACTTGGCTTCTCGACATGAGTTGCTGGTGATTTGCGGACAGGATCTTCAATAGGGATTGCGGCACTATCCTCTTCAAAAAATGCTTCAATGACATTTTTGGTTCCCAATCTTGCTGGATTTTTGGGATTTGGTTGTGGAACATTGAGCAACCCCGGAATAATATTTTCTGGAACGAGTTTTGTTGCATTCACCGATCTATGATTTGTGGCTTGAATGGTTGTGGGTTTGTCTTCATGGCGAGTTGATACCGTAGAAGAGTCCAGCTCTTGATTTTGCTGAGTATCACTTCTCATATTCGCTACTTCACCTTCGATATTTTTGGTGTATAAAATGTTGGGATTGAGTAATGTTGCATTGGCGTGTTTGATTTGGCGGAGAGGACTTTTGGCTGGAATAGGGTATCCAGCGGAGGTATCGATCAGCTTGTGATGTGCGTTGTTAGTAGACATAATAGTGAGTAATGATGGAGATGAAGTTGTAGTATTATGACGATAAGAACTGGGGTGCTTCCGAATATCAGTGAGACCAGTCCACTGTGAAATAATCTTCTGTTGACTGTGCTCTTCCACTGAGCTAGTAATAGCAACTCCGCCAGAAGCGTTGGACTTTTCCTTCTTGGTCCTGGGATAGGTGTGGTAAATTGGTATTTCTGTGGCAGGCACCAAAACAGCTTTTGTTTCCTTCACCGGTGATGAAAACAAGATCGGTTTTGAAAGTGAACCATTACGATGTAGAGAGGAGTTTCGTCGTGGTGTTGGAAGAGATAGAGGTGCTGGGGTTAATATACGCTTTAAGCGAGTGATCGAGTCTCTGGAGGAAGAAGTGATTTTAGGAGGTAATGGTCGACTGGAATTTTGCTTGGGAGAAGATGAAGGTTCAGAAGGAGTGAGGTGTGGTTTCACTAAAAGTAATCGTTCATCTTCTGATGAGTCGGTTGTCCACTCAATTTCGTCCGGATGTGGGAGTCTAGTGAAGGTTGGGTCTGGAGATGGTAGTTGAGTTGGCTGGTGAGGAAGTTGAACTTGTCCAAGATATTCTTGGTGAGGAACTGGTTCCAGTGAATGTTCAGCCATCATTGGACTACTGTGATCAAAAGCTGAAAACTTCATGTCTTGATCGGTGAAGGTCAACTTTCTAGGCACAAAGTTCGTTATCGGTGACCGTCTCCTCGCGGCTTTTGGAGTTGGTGGTTGTGTAGGACTTGGTGGTGGCGGAGGCGTGACCACAGATGCTAAACTTGAAATCTGTAGTTTTGGCGTCATGGGTGGTTGCGAGTGCGGTTGCTCTTGAGTCTCTCTATCTGGGTGTAGGTCTTGGAAGCTGGGACATCCCGGGATATGATGTGGTTGTCTAATTGTCATGTTGATAGTTGCGAAATACTAATAGTAAAACAGAACGAATTTTCAGGATTGAATTCCATGGGTTGTTAGGAAAGATAGCTTGCTGGACAGATATGTATGAAGTTTGACTTTTGAAAGTGAGGATACTAGGAAGTTGTGCTAAGCGAAGTGGACTTCCGAATTGGGTTTTCTATCACCAAAGACGGGATACTGATACATTTTCGCTTATTTGATAAGGAAAGGAGAAGGATGAAAGAGAAGATACCTAGTTTCCACATAGTAATTATTCACAAGCTCTACATAAACTCAACAAGTCTTCTGATTTACCAGCTAGTTTACTAAACCACAAAATCTCAGGGTACGAATAGCTAAGAGAAAAGGGTTACATTTGAAAGGCTCAAATGAAGCTGGAACAGAATGTAATAGCTTGCTTTTCTGTGAAAAGATCAGTTGAGGGTAAAATTGGTGAATATAAATATTAAACCCGAACAGTGACATACCTTGTCAATCCAAGTCCATTCCGCATCTAGCCCAGGCAACAAGCATCATGTTGTACTACATCACCATCACTTTTCACAGCATAGTCGACAGCATTCTAACCAAAAAATACCCAACTTAATATCCCGAACACCAAATGCGGTTAAACGAAATCCAGTTCTCAATATACAACGACTGAAAAAATACTTCGCCAATAACTTCAGCTACAGAATATGAAAAATCACAAATTCTTTGAGTCGAAGAGAACCAAATGTTTTGAAAAACTCGAGCAAGCATAGCTCATTTGTGCAAACACGCAAATCTTGAAATATTGATGAAAGATTCATGTTTGCAGTCTAATTACTCATGAGATTTGTCATTTTTTGAATAACAAAGAAATAAGACTCCAAAATATAAGAAATCGTACTGACGGTCTTTCGTATATATACTCAAACCCGCAAAATACTTTGGTAAAACATAATCGCCCCCCACAAAATTAAGACCATGACTCTCTCCATTCAGCTGAAACAATCATCCACCAATCCTCCCCATAAACCCCCCTCCCCTACCGACCCTCATACTTCCCCCTCACCACCAGAAAATGTCCCACACTACCACCCTCAACACCAACAAACCGCTCCCACCCCTCCCCCCAACCGCCTTGATTTTCCAAGCCACCCGCGCCCTTCCACCTTCTCCAGGTCCACCACCAAATAGACCCCTGCCACGACGTCCGATCGATAAACACATACCGAACAAGATTCAAACAAAACCTGCAATGAGTGAAAGGAGTTTAGTAGATCCAAGAAGTGTCTGGGAACGGTATCAAAAGGGATTAGAGATGATGGTGTAGATTTGATGAGGTTAGATGTCACGAAAAGACAATGAAAATGAAGACGAGAAAGTTGACCACATATCTAAATTGCTAAATGTATATACATAAATGTAAAACGAATGTACCTCCCCTTGCCCGCAAAAACCCCGATTTTGAAACCCATGTCCTGAAACGAATGTAAGAAGCAAAAAATCCAAATCCAAATGTGCCGTAGCAAAACCCCAAAGTTGAAAAATGTGGAAATGAGTGTGAGAAATGTAATTGTGAAGCTGAAAATGTGGTGTGGTATGAAAGTGGTAAACCCCAAAGTTGAATGTAAATGAATGAGTGTGTAGAAGTAGAATGTATCTTGTAGTGCCGTGCTTGTTAGCGAATGTTGTTGTTGGTGTGCTGGAAGTGAGTGTGTTTTGAGCAAGTGAATGTTTGTCGAAATCCAAGCGAGTGTTATTGTTGTCCGTGTTCTCCAAAATGAATGTCCTTTCCTCTTGTCTTCAACTAAATGAATGTTCTTTCTTCCATCTCCCCAAAATGAATGTCCACTCCCCAAAAATGAAAACCAAAACGCCATGCCCAGAACTCCCGTTGAGCGCCATATACACCTGAAAACACCAATCTACGCCCTGAAAATGCCAAACCCGGATTCAAGCACTCAACATCTCTCTCCTCGAATACCACCAAAGCGTCCCTTGATAATACCCAAGTTCCCATCGTCCGAACCAAAGCGTCCCTTGTGTCGTCCGAATCGAAGAGGTGATGTTGATTCATTGATTCATGCCAAAAACGCCGTTGTATGCCGAAAGATAAAACCTCGAAACCTGAAAATGCCCGTTGAATGAATGTCCAAACCCAAAATCCCCGAAACTCCTTTGAATGCCGAAAATTCAAACCCAGAATGAATGCCCGAAATGAATGTCCAATCCCGAAAAACAGAACTAAAACCCTGAAAATGCAAAAAGCAAAGCCCGAAATGACAGTGTTGCGCCAGAACCGAAACAGAAAAGCCATGCCGAAATGAATGTAGAGAAGAATGTAAATGTCGAACCGAAACCCGAAGAAAAAACCATGCCATGCCAAATTGCGCCGAACCCTTCTACCAGAACACCGATATATGCAAAAGAACGTGTTGTTGTCGACCATATCCTAACTCCTTTCCCAAAATCAAATCTCTCCGTTTGAAAACTCCGAAACTATGCATCCAAGAAACTCCCTATGAAATGACCGTGTCGAAAAAAAAGGTACCAAAATAAGAACCAAATTCAAAAGTCTTGTCAAGTTTCCAAATCAAAGATAATTCGCAACCTTCCCTCTAGCAGCCGCAGCATGCCCCAACACCGCGCGCTTAGCAACATTCCCAAACATGTTCACGCTCTCGTCGCGCTTGACGACGGGGACGTAGGGTGCTTCTTGCATTGGAGAGCGGGTGTTTGCGCGGGGAGAGGGCGTGGCGCCTTGGGATGCACGGGGGATGGGGGCGGCGAGGGAGGTGCCGGCGATGGCGAGGGTGAGGAGGGTGAGGATTGGGAATTGCATTTTGATTGTGTTTGGGTTGGTGAGTTGTGTTGTTGTGTGAAAGAGAAGATACCTGATGGTAGAATGTGGAGTAGATGAGTGTGAGTGTGAGTGAGTGAGTGAGTGGATAAGAACAGGTGGTAATTGAGAGGGATATATACATCTCCCCTCACTACCTTTGAGGTCAACAGGAAGATGCCGCTTGTTGGTCTAGATGCGAAGCCTCGAAGGAGACTAAACTCATGACTTGGTATAGGAACTTGAGGAACTCAAGCGATTGCGGCTTATAGGATCAATTACCTTTTGTCGCGATGAACTGGAAATAGAAAGGTCATGGTGAGCGGTAAGAGGAGATGTGGTTGGATGATTTCCCTCGCTTAGTTAAGCGAGGGGATGCGGCGGGGGGTGGGTTTTTACGAAATATAGAGGCTGAAGAGCGGTTGGATGGGGAGGAGATGTGGGTTGGGCGGTTGAGTGTTGGATTGGAGAGCGTTTGGGTGAAGCGGTTGTCGTGTTTGTGAGTTTGGAGAGGTTTATGGTTGTTGATGTGGTGGTGTTTGGTGGAAGTATTGTTGAATCTCCCATCAGGAATCATCAACTCCAAAACCCATGAACAATACGAAATTATTTTCAAGACGCACTAAAAACAAAATTACCCAAAAGCTTGTCTAACTTATTCTTTACGTTCGCACGCACAATTAACCCGCCCAAAAATTCAACACAGGATTTTTGACGCTCCATTCCAACATAAGAAGCCACTCCGCAGCCAAATCTCACAGTCACGACACCCCACCTGTGCCAGCTCCTCTTTCACCAAATCAAATCCAATTCTCAATTCTGTATCCTACAATCCACTCAGATCCAATGAATCTTTTCGTTATGTATTGAGTCGTATCAATGACTGAGGAAAGCGGCTCACTCGCTCATTAGTCCGCACACTGGTGGTAACAACTGGGTAGGGATCATTATTATCGTGCAAGTGCAAGAAGGAACAAGTAGATCAAACATCGCGACTAAATCTATACATATAATATTTATCGACCTGTTTTAGAACTTAGAAGTCCATAATAGTAGAAACTGTTCCCAGAAAGAATCTCATGACATCTCGTCCACCACTCAAATGAAGTTGCAACAATCCCACTAAAAAGCCACCCAACTAGATCAACGCAGTATCAACTATTCCGTGACATAAACCAACACTTCCCAACTCTATAACAGAAATCAACCGCTCGCTACGAGAATTTGAAACATAAACCTAAAGAAAACACGTGAACGTACCAAAATCCAAAGAATCCTACAAAACAGCCCCCAGCCCCATCCCCATCCAACTCCCACTCCACCAAAAATCCAAGCACTTCTAAGCCTACAACCCACGTGCGATGATTTACATACATGACAAAAAACTCTCTTCCCTATTGTGACAAGTACTTTCCAATTCCTCTGAACCTCCAAAAGAATCAAATTCCATAAGATTTTTTTAATTCTCTCTCGCTTCAAATCATGACTTGAAGAACAGTTTTTTTCTTAATTGTCCTTCTCAACCACCACTACCTCGCAACAACTCAGATCGAGCTCGTTGTAACTCCCTGAATTTCCTCCACCCAACCAGACCACATTCTACCTCTCACACATCTCATATGAGAAGCACACTGAACTATCCTTGATGACCCCATAATCAAATACCCCAAGAGCCGTGCGAAACTTCCAATTTCGTAGTTCCCATTAGCACGACACAGCTATGTTCATCTCATCCCCAATTAAAACACGATTCTAATTTCTCCTGTTTCGAAATATCATGTCACGAGCACCTCCCCTAGATGCTAAAACAGAACCTCCATTCACTCTATTTCTCTACTCCTTACGGCCTATAATATTGTCTAAGGGTTCCTTTACCCTGGAGAGAAAGGAAAAGGTTCGTGAATAATTTTTATCTTCTTTTCAGAAGATCAATGGGTATCAAACTATTGGTCCGCCGAATTACACCCACGAAAACTAAGGGCTTACCCTTTTTAAGCGTGCGAACTAGTGCGGCACTTTAGTTGGCTGTTTAATTTTCAATACTACAAGAGTATGTCCGTTGTCTTCAAGAAAAAAAGGCCTGCTTGGAAAATGAGTTTCCACTTATCCAACCCATACAACATTCCCAAAAAGTGCAGTGCTTCAATGAACATTATGTTTAATTTCTACTCCCCCATCCCACTCGCTAGCACCTGAAAAAAGTACAAGAGCCCTCCGGCAAAGAGCATTCCATTTCCCCACCAAGAAAACGCCATTTTCCCCTTACAAAAATGAAAAAAAGTGATACAATAACAAATAAGAAAATCGACTCGTGGTAAAGAACGTCGCTCATCACCTCCTCTTTTGACCCTCATCAGTCCTCCGATCCCCTATCCCTAAACCTCTAAAATCTCATATCAGCTAATCTAACTCCTCCCCTTCCTCAAAAACCCCCTCACACCCCCCTTCTCCGGGTCTTTCAACCCCTCTCCCCCAGTACTAGACTCCGTACTTCTCATCTCCTTCGCATGTCCTCCCGCTCCCATGCCAACACCAGGTCCATAAACCCTCTGCAAGCCCCCCGCCATATGATGTTCGGGGCCTGCAGGCGCCCACGGGATAGCCGGGGGACGAAGCTCGTATTGGCGTTCCCTTTTGCGGAGGTAGGCGCGTCGCCAGATGCAGGCGCCGATCCAACCGCCGACGATGGCGACGATGAGGATGATGAGCATGACGACGTATTGCCAGTGGGTTGAGAACCTGGGTTTGTTAGTTGAGCTCCAGACTTGAAGGGGGAGATGTTATGGAGGAGGTGTAAGGAGGTGAGTGAGTATGTTTGAGATGTAGAGGACTAGAGTTGAGATGAAATAAATCTTACCAAGACCCATGAACCACAACCCCATTCCCAGTATTAATCGTATTCCCCTCCCCCACCGTCGTCGTCCCCGTATTCGTCGGCGTGCTTCCTCCCGCCGTACTCGTAGCCCCGGGCACACCCGCCGCTGTTGTCGTCCCCGTCCCAGTCCCCGCATTACTAGGACAAAAACTCTTATACCAATCCGCAATCTTCTGCTGGTCCGCGGCCACCGTACAGCTAGCCGCGCCACAAATCGTACTTGCGGCCGTCGCTCCGCCGGTAGAGAGAGAGGCTAATCGCGCATCACCACAGAAACAGGCTTGTGTTGTGCAGCCGCCTTGTACGTCGTAGAGAGGTCCGCATTGAGATGCGCAGGCTGGGAGAACGGAGGTGAAGGGCACGAGGGCGCCGTCGGCGGCTTGTTGGGCGGTGATTAGGGTTGTGAGGAGGAGGATGGCGGTGGTGAGGGTGGTTTGAAGGGTATGCATTTTGGCGGTCGTGTATGGAGTTGGTGATTTGGAGTTGATGGGATTGTCGCAAGGTGTAATTGATGGAATGTGGTTTCGTATCAGCTGGAGTGTTTTTCGCAGTCTATCGTGTTCGCTGCTTGTGTCGTAATCGCAATATCCCAATCCGTAGGCAGGTATCTAACGCGTCGATCGTGATGCCGAATCTATCCCTTTCCCATCCAATTCATCCCTTTCAACGTGTAACTCTCCTATCGTCCTCTCCAATAATACTTCCTGCTTCTCGTCGTCAATCCGAATCGTCCGTTTATTCCCTTTCCCTCTTCTTCCGAATCGTCCGTCAAATCCTTCTTCTTTCCCTTAAACGTTCTCGTCACCCTCAAATCGCCGTAATACTCTCACAAAACTCAAACGAATGTCCCTATCTTCTCTCTACAAAAGCGCTCCTCGTAAAAGACTGACCGAACGAAGAAGAAAACCGAATGCGTGCGTTGTTGATGAATTGTTGTCGTGTTCAAAGTCAGGTCATCCGCAAAGCCACGGATGATGGGAGGTGGTCATGCACCCCTGCGAGGAGGAGAGGAGGCACAAGAATTTAGCGTGTCTGGGCGTGGTGAGCGTAATTTGGTGGGATGCGGACTGACGAATGCCTGATTTTGTTTTGCTTGGAGAATATTCAACAGTTGATAGTTGTTACCTACTTTTCTATTCCCATTTAATTTTCTTTTAAACAATTACCAGTCGTCCGTATCTCATCTCATATTCTTCCATCCATCCTTCCCCACCAAACCCGTCAACCCATCCAAAAACCCCTAAAAACCATCCCCTCTAAAAACGTTCCCTCCCGCTAAAATCGCTCCCTCACCCCGCTAACCTCGCGCCCGCCCGTCGCTCAGCCCGCCAAGCCCAAGCCATAAGCAGAAAAGCTCGTTCCTGCGTAATCAAATCTTATTTTAGGCGTGTTTGCATGTGGAAATGTATCTTTGGTGAAGATTTAATTTTTTGACGGGAGCGGAATGGGCAAAGGAGGAAGAGATAGATAAGAAGGTCGGGTGATATAGGATATAAGTACTGAGTATCTAGGCAGGTAGGTAGACTGGTGTGCTCTAAGAAGAAGATGAAATCTTCCGACATTGTAACATGGTAAGACAAGATGACGAAAATACGTCCGAAGGAATGGATATTACGCACGATTCCAGTTTCATAAGTCTCGCCTCGATTTTTAGAAACACTACTTTTGGCACCTCTACTTATTGTTCTTTCTAGAAAATAACGTAAAATGATGACCATCCCAGTTTACCCCCGCACTTATCCGTTCGTTCTAGCTAAAAACGCATTCCGGTAAGAAGCGTAAGATTAGTAGACAAAGTAATTATTTATCGCATGTGAGATTAAAGGTAGGCGTAAGATACAAGAAGCAAGCTGAAGACGTATTACATAGATACACAGCATCAAGATCCATTTCTACAAACGGAATAAAAATAACCGCTTCTATTAAAGGAATATCACGAAACGAAGCGACTTCACGAGTTTTTATTTTTGCTGGTAAAATCCGGCTTGTATTTTCGAACTACGTAGATGATTATTTTGCGCCCTGATGTGAGCGTGAGATATTGAGGAAAAGGTGATGATACCCACGGGTGTGTAGTATGAAAATGCCATTCTCACAACGTGGGACCTTGAGTTCTGAGCTAGGCAATGGGTTCATGTTGCAAGTATTATATGATGTAAGTTCCTAAGTTAAGATCTCTACAGATAGATATAATATAACATCTTATCCAGCAAAACCCCTGATGAGAGCTCGTTGATATACACTCCCTACCACATACAAACCTCTATTAAAGCGTATAGAAGAAGTCAGGTCTTTGGTCTCCAAGGCGTTCTGCCTCCTGATACGTCATCCCCTGCACCCACGCATCCCTCTCCCCGGCCCTCCTCTTCTTATTCTCCCTCGCCAACATAGTTCTCAACACCAGACTACCTCCCAAAAGACACACAATCATATACGCCATAACCGTCGAATGACCACTCACATACGGGCTCTTCTGATAAATATTACTACTCACAATCCCATTCAGATTGCCCCATCCGATAACAAAACCGAGGACAACACCGCGTTTGTACGTCCCTTCGATGTTGTTGGAGACCCAGGAGATGGTGTTCGAAATACACGGGTATATACCGAGCGCGCCGATAAACGTGCCCGCGTACTTGACGTGCGGGTCGTCGGAGGCGAGAAGCATTGCGAAGCCAGCGATACCGAGGAAGGAGACGACGATGTTGCAGAGACCGCGCTGGCGGGTGCGGTCGGCGATATAACCTACAGCGATGGTGCCACAGGCTGCGAGAGCGTAGGGCGGGACACTGAGGAGTTGTGCGCGGGTGGAGGTATATCCCATCTGTGTGATGATACTCGGGAGGAAAAGACTAAACGCGTAGAGCGGCATGTCACAGCCCATGTAGATGACCATGCCGAGCCACATCTTGTAGTCCTTTACGGCCATCCAGACGTATTTCATTTTGAACTCTTCGTGTTCGGCGGAGGACTGCTGGTCCATTTTCAGGCGGCGGATGACGCGTGCGCGGTCGACGGGCGTGAGGAAGGTGGCTTCGTCGGGGAAGTCGTGGACCATCCAGATGGAGGCGATGCCGAACAGGACGGTTAGTAGACCTTCGAGGATGAAAATCCAGGCCCAGCCGGGTTTGCCGCCGATTCCTTTCATTTTGTTGATTGCGGCTGCGAGTACTGATAATCTGTTAGCGAAGATATAAGTGAGGAAGGTGATAAGCGCTTACAACCACCAAAAGAACCTGAGACTGCGGCTGCTGAGAAGAATATCGATGCGCGGATACCGAATTCAGATCTTTTGTACCAGCATGATAGGTAGTAATTAATACCTGGAAATAATCCAGCTTCCGCCAGACCAAGAAACCACTATAACCCGTTAACACCCATTCGCTAAACTCAAGACTTCATAGCATACCCTCGCAGCCATCAACCCCGACCAATTATGCACAAACCCCATGAAAGTCATACAAATCCCCCATAAAACCCTATTCTTATCAGCACCATCCTCACCCACTTATCAGAACTGCAACTTACATAATTAGCGGTATAAACACCGACGGTCTCAACCTCTTCAGCAAAATATTCGTAAGCGGTTCAAACACCGAGTACGAGACGAAGAAAATCGATAACACAGCATTATACTGGCCCGTCGACATATTACTCAAATCTTTCTGGAGGCCAGCGATCTTGGCATTGCCGATGTTGGTGCGGTCAAGGAAGGAGAGGAGGTAGAGGATGCAGAGCCAGGGGATGAGCGTGAGGTCGAGTTTCCAGAGGAGTTTGCGGTCCTAGAAATACTGTTAGGATAGTCTAGAAGTAAGAAGGGGGAATCACAATTGCAGCTCTCTCCTCGGCGCTCATATGCGCATCGGGATCTGGTGGGAGGCCATGGATGTCTAGAGATGGGTTTTCGAGGTTCTCGGGATGAGCTTTCTCGTTGCTGCTGCGGGAGATATCGGTTTTGACGTCTTCTTGCGACATGGTGAGGGTTATATATGAAGATATCTATCATACATCGACCTCAGATTGATATCGCAAAGGGCGCAGATATTTTCTGAAGCTTGCGAAAAGTGCGAGAAACACAAACTTATACACTGACGTCGTCCACCCATCTGACCGCGGCAAGAAACCCGCAGGCCCTGGACCACTTGTTACCATTCTTTGCACGACGATTCGTGCAGAGAGAGAGATCTGCGGTGTTTGTGTTGTTTATGTTAAGTCCGACGTGCTTCCCCGCAGTGTCGTCTCCCGCGTATGTCCCACTTAACTCGCCAACCCCGCAGATTAAGCTGTGAGTACCGGGCCGGATTGGTGGATTTGCTACGAGTTCGCGTTCGGGCAAGTGTACCGGTACTTGCTTAATCGATATAAGGTTAGACTGGAGACACTTGGATGATTAAGTGCGATTAAATAAACATCATGCGATTATGTGGTGTGTTACTTTAGCTTGGCGGACAGTTGATAACATGTGTTTGTCATCTATAACGTTAGGAGTCCATCCCAGATAGATTTCGAGATAGATGTTAAGAGTGCTAGATATGATACTTTATAGGTATATAGAAGTATGAAAAGACAAGCCTCAAAGCCAAAAAGTCTTGAGAATTCAAGCTTTCCCACGCACATGTTAGTGGAATGCTGAGTACTCTGGACAATTTAGTCACATCATACAGCTATAAGTGATGTCTCACTATTATTATCAACGATCTGGAAATGCCGATTTAAATTGTAAAGTAAATCTAGATCAGAAAGAATGTTGTCCCGATTTGAAAGGTCACGTGGCGGCTGGGATATCTACACACAAGATAGATACGTTTAATACATAAGGGCTGCTCCAGCCTAGAAGTGCCGATGTAAACTGTAGACTGCTCACTTTGTCTCAACATCTGCTCGCTCCGTTTTCGTAGGACAAGATACCGGTAAGACACCAGTAAGACCTTTGTTTGAGATTCTTCGTACAATTCCTAGTCTACCTAGGTACCCACATACCTTGAAAGTAGTCAGTATCGGCGTGAGTTCGTATGGTCCGTCTGAACAAATAAGGATCTGAACCTGGCTTATGGCACAGGACGACCAGAACTTTCAAAGAGGGGAGTACCCATTCCATATTTTCTCAATCTCCGGGTGAAATTTCGCAAAGGCATGGCGCAGTTGTGGCATGGCGCAGTTATGCTCCATTGTCGAAGTTGTCCAGGAATTCTATCTGTGAGTTTACATGAGGCATCTTAAAGTCACGCCAATAAATGGGCCATTTCTCTCGACACTACGAAGCTAGCACGGCATGAACGAAGGTCCAGGTCCTCTTCGTCTTGACGTGATCTCTGCCTGCAATTGCTTCAAGTCCATCTCTAGAACAAGCGGAATCACGATCTCGACTGTACCAGCCTCCGAGTTACCAGTTATGAATAGCCATAGGCTCATCATCATATTTTCTAGTCGGGACAGCCGTCTAGATTGCGCTGATGGCCAATGTTTTTGATGATGGAGGTCAGTGGAACGGATCTCGACGCGTCATAACTTTCGATCTGGAAGGGCATAGTTTGATATGTGAGGAGATTCGATCATTCCACACAATGTTGGTATCTTTTGCGCTGCTTCATTACCGCATGCTGGGGAAAGATTTGAGTACCAAAGTTTTGAAGCTCAAGGTTGATACTTCGCAGGCTGTCGATTGGCGAAGGCCCGTTACCACCTTCTAGAAGACCACGGTTCTGGGCACGACCATCCGATTCATCGCTACTAGAAGAATCCGAAGAGGGAGTGGAAGCAGGAGCAGGTCTAGAATCGTAACCATAAATATGATCGGAATCTGACTCATAATCTTCATCCGTATCCGTATCAGCTTCAAAAAGTTCCCAATCACGACGCCGTTCCTGAGGGTGAAACCAGTTCTGGGGCATCGCCCCAACCGCACACCCCACCAAGTCATCAACTTCAGAATACTTCGATGGGCAAGTCTGTGATCGCTCTCTCTTAGGAATTTCGAGCACCATGCAGAGCGTGGTAGAGTTTGGATAGCCATGAAGCCGTGTCTTAGAAAACGGCTTAAAAACGTTTACCCAATCCCGAAGGTCATTGATCTCATCAAGATCTTCTTTGATGGTGATGCCGGTTCCGGTTAGAAAGACAGGTCGTCTCTCGCCGACTGGCGAATCATCACCTTGCTTTCTAAGCATTTCGTCTAGAATTGATTTCGGGGACAACCACCTCTTACCAAGACCACCAAATGTCATACCGAACATGAAACAAAGAGATGACTTGTCAGGAGCCTTACTGTCATCGTCTAGACCATTCTTTCCATATTGGCAAAAGTTGCAGGTCTTGTTAAAGCTTTCGGATAATTCAGGTGATGCCATGTCCTGGAGACAAGGATTTGATTGTCGGCAGACATAAAAGAGAGCAATAAATCGATTTCTTCCGACCGCATCGTGATCTTTCTTGAACATGTATATTTCTCTGGCATCGAAGAAGAAGGAGTTTGTTGACAGATTTTCCAGGAAAGTCATCAGTATGGCTAGGTCATTCGTTTGGAAATTAAATGCAAGAGGGTTAATAAAGACTTTCTGTAAATGAGCATTGTACCTAGCCGGTAATGCTTGGTGTTCCATGAGCTGTAAGCAGCACAATCTCAGAAAGTTTTCCAGCACTCGCTGACGCACTTTCATTGACTCAAACGGGGAGTATGCTGATGCGTCATTGCCAAACATTCCCCTGACCAGATCAAAGTGTTCAAAGACATGATTTTGAACATAATCTTCCAGAAATCTGTTCCTAGGACGATTCCACGGCATGCTGAAGAATTCTAGTGTGTCTGATAATAATACTGGACCGCTGAGCTTCGGCCTCATTGTCACTGAGTCGAATTCCGTACTGAGAAGTGCCTTGAAACAGGTCGATGTAAGTTGCTTATGACCATAGACAATGAATGTTTCTCGCGATGAGTATTGCAGAAGAGTAAGGCCTTTGGGTCCAAGAAAAAATTCACGAACGGATTCATGAATAATCTGAACTCTGGTAGTACCTTTTGCACGGGCAACCTCGAATAGGCCCCCTGACACATAGCCAATTCTCTTTTCCAAGCGATCGCAAGCATCCCCAACCAATTCTAGCTCGCGCAAGCGGCCTACTTTGCTAGTAGATTGCAATGTCATAGCTGTAAAAAATTCTTCGATCGTTAAAGGGCGAAACGCGCAAAATATATATTGCGCCATACGAGCTAAATCCTGCCATCTTGCTGTGGAATCTTCTTCATTTTTGAATATATCGTCGAATAAGTCGTCAAGTTTAGGAGGAATTGAATTCAACAGCCGCCTCAATTCCACATCATCTTTCCCTTGATCGATAGCCTTAAGGAGTCTCTTCGTAACCAAAACTGCCCATAGAAAGACCCCATTTGCACTGGAGATTAGATCTTCCATGATTGGCAAAAGCGAGGCATGGATCCCGGCCTGCATCTCTTTCTCAACGTAGCGTCTAATGTCCCGATCGTTTTCCTTATCCAATCGAAGTTCAAGCCCATGTTGCGACTTTAAGCTTATGTGAGGGTAATATCGACTGCTCCAGCAGACTTTCAGCATGGCTCCAGAAACCTGAGCATTCGTCATAGAAGACTCAAACCTTCTGATCGCCGATCTGACCTCGTCATCTTCGCACTCATCTAACGCATCAATCATAATCTCAATATTATTTGGTTGCGTTTTACCAATGATCGAATGAACAGCGTCTGCTAATTCAGTCATCTGCCACGATATGTTGGAGTTTTGGGTGCAGAACTCCTTGTCGATAAACGCGGGGATGAATTCGCACATAACCAGGGGTATGCATCTCAGTAAGCCATAAAACAGTGTCTTATAAAGGCCAATAGGTGTTTTCTCGATCGCAGAACCACGAGCGTTGAAGAAGAAGCTGAGATGGATCGTGGATAGGGAACTTGAAGTAGTCTTTGGGTTTTCTGCTCTTTGCTCCTGTTCAAGTATCCGTTTTTTGTGTAGACTCTTCATCAAAGTCGATTTGCCTGACCCCGGTTTCCCTTTAATCCAGAGCAGTGTGTTTATTTGAGACTCCCATTGCCGAAACTTTGGATTGTTGTATATCCACTTACACGTATTCTGAGTCGGTCCCTCAATGTTTGCCTCTCTAGCACCCATTTCTGAAAATGACAACGACGTTAAACATCGGGCTACTGCACTACTGTATGTGCTTTTCACCTCAGTCTCGTGTTGACGTAGTTGCTCTTCCACCTGTGTAAGAGCAATAATCAATATACCATAATCTAAGTCCATGTTACGCAGAGACTGAGACATGGCTCTGCAGTGGGCAATTTGCTTCACACTTTCTTCCAGTCGCAAGGCTTTAACACACTTCAAAGCAGCGGCTTGAGCTCGTTCGTCATTTGGGAGGCCAAATAACGCCGACGGCAATGTAGGGTCTTTTGGATCATCTGTATTAGATGCCTTGTGAATTGCATGCTGCACCATCTGGTCAAGATCCATGACGCCCTGTGAGCCCGCAGCTGAATCCGAGAGTCCTGTATTCGCACGGCGACGTTTGTGAGCTGTAATTCTGTGCACCTTCGACTTTTCACTTCCCCGATCCGTCGGAGCTGTGGTTGATAGTCTCAAATTGCTTTGGAATCCCTTAGCTGGATGAACTTGGTTGTACTGGTAGTGTGGTGGCTGAATACCTGATTTCCGACTCCCACCTTATCAATTCTCCCAACACACTTGTAAAGCCGGTCTCGTCGGCGGAGCTGAACTTGACCATATTGCGGTGGTTGGCATGAATGCTGATTGGATTATAACCTGCAAAAGTGGCAGAGTTTTTCTCCACAACCTTTCCGAATCCCAGTAGTGGTAACTCTTCAAAGAAACATGTCACTTCCAGCCGCCGAGGCTGTAAGTCCCGAATCATGGAGAGGAATCTGACTTGAAGACTCTCAAGAAGCTGATCATCGGTTTCGAGGATCTTGAGCAAAGATTTGTTGGTGCTCTTGACAATTCCCAGGGCTGACGCAGGTATCTTTGCCCAATCCGCCATCCAACTCCCAGTATGAGGGGTACCCATAAATATGACAGCCTTTGTATTGGTAAACACATCCTTCAAATGGTGTTCTGGGTTGTTTCGCGAAGCCAAAATAGCTTCTTTGCACACCAAACCGCCCAAGCTGTGTGCCACGAAAATGATCGGACGAGATAAGGCTTTATTAATCGCCCTATTGGTCGTGATATGGTTGAGCAAATTGGTAGCATGATCGAGCAATCGATTCGATGATGCAACAGATTTGGGAACAATATATGCATCATAGCCCCAGGTAAGAATTCGCGCTCTTTCGAGTGTCGGAGGCAGAAGGCTCTGAGGCCAAGGTACAGTCTGACCATCAGCAGTCCATGTGCTCTCCCGATTTCCTGTGAGCCCATGGACGAAGCATATGTCTACCGAAGCGTCTGTACAGTCACGCAAGGTCTTGACACCGTCAGGAAAGGTAACACGCGGCAAGTGATCCTCAGGAGAATAGCCCTCGCTACTCGGTATCTGGGACTCGGATTCAGGCTGGCGCGTCGACCTTCTGAAGGGATTCGGGAGCTTGAATGTACGACTCATCGCGTTCTGATTCTATGTACTAAACAAGATTTGGACGAAGAACGAGGAGAACTTCCATCGGATGGAGAGAAGAAGGCTAATCAGTGAAAAGAAGGCTTCCTTGAATACACCGAGCTGAGTTGCAGATCAAGGCTGTCGAGTTCGCAGGATCCATGAACGGCACGGGACGAACCTCGCATGTTGGTACTCTACCTAAAGAGCATGCCCAAGGTGCTGAAGCGACCTGTTGCAACACCTCGATTTCTGAGGCTGATGCCATTTCACCATATTTCTGTTCATTCCTCTGTCCGATTAAAAGATTAAAGAGACATACTGCACAAACCCTTAGATAAAAGCCTCCTCGTTGACTGAGAGAGCGAAGATCCCCCCTCCCTTTTCTTTTTTTTGACATGTCGCGAGCTTCGAGAGCGCCCCAGCACTTCCTAAACAGGAACGCCACCAAAACTTGCTTCTGGAGTCAGCCCTCTCCCGTTTGCTGCCATTTGCTCTGTCGGGTTGGGTAATGAACCCGCGACATTCGACAGAGCGAACATCTTCCGTTGTTGAAAGCAAGTACTTCGTGGTAGTGGTAAGCATAAATCTGCGAAACAGAATGGAGTTGTCAGTTCCGAAATGCTTCTGCTGCTAGGGCACGTGATAGAAACAAGCCCGTCACGTGCCTTTCATCGTTAGACCAGGCATGTGATTTGGTTGTCAGCCGCATCCGGCACCGATTGAAATCACCCTGAATCCCTGGCCGGCAAAGCTTAGAATCCTTTGACAGTTGGACTAGCAAGGTTTGCTAGTAAACTCTTACTTACGTGCATTGAGAAATCCATTTATTCATGACGTTAAGCTTACCGATTGAGGATAAGCATAAAGAACAACCGCATTCCCTTCGCTCCTGAAGTCTTAAATTAGACAGCTGAATTACGAGCCTCTTGTACGCCCGCTGAAAGCGCCTTCCAACGTCCCAACCAACAATGACCCCTAGCCGATAAGCAGCCCAGCAGGGGCGCCAACGAGCGAGCGACCTTCCAAGTTCCCACCCCTAATTTCTCTTTTCGATAACACTTCTTTCTCCCTTTTTATTTCATCATCACACTCATTCAACCTCTTCTTGCATCCCGCGATGGCGAGACCACGCTCATTCTTCATCGTGCCCGTCGTCTGCGCACTGCTCCTCCTCCTCACCAGTCTCTGGTACCACAACCGCAACAGCGACTCCCCCACCAACTTCTTGGGCGTGCTGCGACCCGCCATCCTCGCACCTCCCTTCATCAGCACCAAAGAAGGCTTTCCCATCCGCGACAAAGTAGCTGTCATCGTCGAGACTCGTCCGACCAGAAACCTTCTCCCGATCATTCTGCATTTCGCGAGCGTCTTGGGTCCCGAATGGCCCATCATATTCCTCACGCGCGAGTCGGTCATCAATACCCTTCAAGCCCACGCACAAGGCTCCCATCCTTTCAAGCGCATAGTTAAGAGCGGTCAGGTCAAGATTATCGAGTTACCCAGCGACCCTCCGTTGTTGGAATACGAAGGGGTGAGCCATTTCCTCGCGTCGGAATGGTTTTGGAACCTGATGAACCCGGCGAAACACATGTTATTATTCCAAGTCGACAGTATGATATGCGCCAACAGCGGGCGAAAGGTCGAAGACTTCTTTGAATGGGATTTCGTTGGTGCGGCGCATCCGTTCTGGAAGGGTGCATTCAACGGCGGTTTGGCGCTGCGAAATGTGTCGCTTTCGCAAGAGGTGGTTAGGAGATACAATATTTCTGATGACGTTAATGAGAAGGGGAATGGACTTGGAATGTTTGAGGACGCGTGGTTCTGGGATAAAATGAAGGACATGGGTGGACATTTCCCAAGTCCCGAGAAGGCGGGGGAGTTTGCGGTTGATTATATTTGGTCTGAGCGTCCCTTGGGATTTCACGGCATCAACAAGAACGAACAGGTTGCGCGCGCGGAGCAGATTTACGAATACTGTCCTGAAGCGATGTTGGCTGCTTCCGGGGCGGAAGTCAAGTTGAATGACGAGGAATTGAAGATTTATACGCCGGTCCCGGATGGACCTACGGAGGGTGGGAGAAGGTTGGATTTTGTTTGATGCCGGAATACCCCTTAGAACATTGTTGGTCCAATTTTTCGCGATTGATGGTTTGGTGGAGTTTGGGAAAATGAGGGGAATCGGTGTGAGGAGTTCTTTTTATAATACAAGGAGGCGAGTTCCCGGAGCTCACAGCGGATTGTATATCTAGGTCGACGAATAATTTCGATAGCCAGGAACAGGCAAAAAAAATGAAACATATTTTATCATACTCATGGCTACATCTATGACTTTGTTTTCTTTGTTCGCTCGAAACGAGCGCCCTTGATCAAGATTGGAAACACCCTCTGCCGCTTGTCTCGTCTCACAAAATACCCTATTCGATCTTAGCACAGAACTTGAAAACAGGAAGTAGAGGAAAGAAAATTGAGAACGACATAAGCACTTGTAAAGCAAGTGTTAGTTCTTCGTACCATTGTCCCTGTCTAGTAAGCACAGCGCTGGAAACGAGAAATCATTAAATTGCAATAGGAGTAGGTGAGAGTGTGGCCAGATGAATTCTTCTCTTAATATACTGATGTCTAATCTGATTTTCTAAGAGACGAACGAAACAGGACTAAAATGATTCTACTCCGTAAAGAAATCAGTCAATGAGTGGTGGTATTAACGCATGCTATATCCACACCTCCGATTAAGGCTTAATCTAGTGACGAATTATAATCGCACGTCGATCAACTCCACTACCAAAGACTGTATGTAAGAAAATCGGGCAATGAACACGACAGACTTTGATGACAAGGCTTGTGTCACGATGGTATAAATCAACATGTCGTCCCTCATCATCCATTCTTATATCCGTCCGTAATCTTCAAATTCAACTCAAAACTCCCATCTCTCTTGAAAACATCAAAAGCCTCACCACAATGACCACCCCACCACCAACTCTCAAACGCGTATGCATCGTCGGTAAGTCTCTCACCTTCTAATCTCCAAAAACCGTTCCAATGTTTGATTCCCATAGGCGCCGGTCCCTCCGGTCTCATCGCCGCCAAAACCCTCACCCGCAACCACCCAGGCGTCTTCCACGTGACCATCTTCGAAGCCCTCGACCGCATCGGCGGGCTCTGGCCGCTCTCCAAGTCCGACGATGGCCTCGTCAATCCAGATATGTGTACGAACCAAAGCCGTCATACCGTTACGTTCGCCGGCTTAGCATGGCCGGAAAACACGCCGTTGTTCCCGAAAGCGTGGCAGGTTGGCGGGTATCTTGAACGGTATAGGGAGATGTATGGGGGTTATGAGGTTAGATTGGGGACGAGGGTTGTGAAAGCGGAATTCAAGGAGGGGAAGTGGAGGGTGGAGACGAGTGGGAAGGAGGAGGGGAAGTGGGAGTTTGAGTATTTGGTTGTTGCGACGGGGTTTTTTGGACGCCCGAGGGTTCCTAGGATTGATGGGTTTGAGGGGAAGGTGGTGCATAGTTCGCAGGTTAGGGTTGTGAGGGAGTTGGTTGATGGTGAGGGGACTGGAAAGAAGATTGTAGTTGTGGGAGGTCAGATGAGTGGTGTTGAGATTGCGGCGAGTATTGCGGGACAGATATCTTCGGAGGAGAATTCGCCTGGGGAGGGGTTTTTGAAAGATGCGGAAAAGTATGTTGTTACGAATGTGGTGCAGACTCCGGTTTGGATTATGCCATTGTTTCTACCTAAGGAGCCGTGGGTTACTACGCCCAATGGTGAAAAGGTAAAATATATTAAAGCAATGCTTGATTTCTCTATTGTTGTTTAGTCGCTAACTGATGTTCAGATACAAAACCCAGCAACTCCATTTCTACCATGTGATCTTGTCACATATAATCTAACGTTCAAACCACCCGGAAAATTACAAAATACAAGTGGCCATATATCTGAGGAAGCTGCTGTAAAGACACATGGTTTTCTTGAGGGTTATATCGGCACTGATCAGACGGAGTTTGGTTCTAATCTCTCTATGACTGGCGATGTACGTACCGCTGTACCATATCTTGCAGCTAGTGATACCTACTCCGAATTCGTTCGTTCAGGTAAGATTCAAACCGTGCGAGGCAAGGTATTGGATGGCGCTGCTGGCAAAAAGGCGGTTACTGTTGTTGATGAGAGTGATGAAGCTGCTGGCCCAAAGTCTGTTGAAATCGACGACGTGGCAGCGGTGGTCTTCGCTACTGGTTTTGAAGCTTCACCATCGCTGGATTTCCTACCAAAGGAACTCCTCGAAACGCTTCAATTTGATCCGAAAAACGCCGCTTTTCCTCTCGCTCTAGATGTTCATTCAACAGTTAACTGGAACATACCTTCTCTCGGATTCGTTGGTTTCTACCGAAGTCCCTACTGGGGAGTAATGGAAATGCAAGCGCGGTATCTGGGTGCACTCTGGACCGGAGACCCAAAAGCACTACAAGCACTATCCACAGACACCGGAGTAGAATCCATCCTCAAACTACGGAACGACCCTCGAAGAGCCAATTTTCCAATGGGAGACTACGCATACCTAATGGAATCCTTCGCCGAGATCCTCGACATCAAAAGATCAGGCGACAAACCAGGTGAACGAACCGGTGGTGTTTTCGGCCCACGCTACCTCCCCTCCACCACCCCCGAATCCGAAAAACAGGAAGCCGACAAGACTCTCGCAATGATCACAAAATCAATGCAAGATTGCGAATCTGGAAAATACGTAGCACGTGCCGCCTTTCGCGCTATGCAAGGCGATTGGAAACTCAACCGCACGATCACAAGTCGCATCGCCTCCTACCCCTCCGGCACACTCACCGGCCAAGCCTACTTCAACCCACGAGCGCCGACAGATGCATTAGCAGATCTCGAATACTTGTACTTAGAAAACGGCGAATTCAGCGCCGATAACGGATTCAATTTCACAGCTAAGCGCACCTACGTGCATCGCTACACCGAGACCACCGACACCCTTTCCGTCTGGTTCACCAAACCCGACCAAAAAACCGTTGACTATTTCTTTCACTCCCTCCAATTTATCCCTCCCCCCGAAGCAAAAGAAAGGGGGAAAGCGCCGTGGAAAGCAAATTCGAGTCACCTGTGTATCGAAGATTTGTATGATGTGGAATATGAGTTTTGGTTCTGTGGTGCGACGCTGGTGATGTGGAGTATGGAGTATACGGTCAGGGGACCGGCGAAGGATTATACTATTAGGAGTGTGTATAGACGTTGACGTGTTTTGTTGTATATGGATGGGGTCTCGATGTTGAGGATCGCGTGATTTAAGCGAGGGGAGGGGCGGGGGGGATGACTGCGGTTGAATTTACGTTAGAGGATTTATGGATCTATATGTTGGTTTGTCATGCACCTTTTTACATGTGTTGTGCATCCTGGTGTTGGACCCCCGCTGTTCTACAGTCATGCTCGAGTGCGCGAGGTGAGATGAGTTGGTCTGACGATTTATGTGTTGGAAATATATCACACACCCTTATCCATCGTGTTAGTTTCATTCTTTAACCAACATATGGTCGCTCTTAAGTGACCAAGCCTTCCTTTCTTTCGCTCATTTTTGTTGGATTCCGAGTACGAGCTCGTACAGCAAGCAATTTCAATCATTTATGTAGGGGGGGTTGTTTGGAAGTATATCACAGGCCTGCGATCATCCTGTTGGTTTTATTCTTTAACCAACATTTGCGATCGCTGCTGGGTTGTTGAGATGGAAACCGATATCTGTGATCACTTCTTTGGCCGCTTTTTAGGTCTTCGGTACGAGCTTTCACCATGAGTGTGCTGTTGTAACGCCACTATGCTGATTGTGGTGGTGTATATGTGCCAAGGTCGATCCTGAATATTTGATCTACAGCAGCAACACACACTTTTAATATTTCTCATACACTCTTTCAACACACTCATTTTCAAAGGCTGAGTACGCAGGACGTCTCAAAACACCCATTTCAACCCATCAATACAATTTACACACAGTCTCTCAATCGAGAAAGCAAGCTGTCTTGAAATCACTCATATTCGACCACCCAACCACGCATTCCATCTCGTCACTTTACCATCTCACCACACCTGCTACCGTTCTCCTCCATCACTTGTTTTCAAGATGCGCGCTTCCATGTTCTACATTTTGAGTTTTACCGCAGTCGCTCTCGCAGCCCCACCCATCGCAGTGATAAACACAGAACTCCATTTCATACCTGGTACATCGCTCAACACCCGCGCGCTTGAAGTGAGGGAAATGCAGAGGAGGATCGCGAGTCCGGCGGATATTTATTTTAGGATGGGCGAGAGGGATGCGAGCCAGGTATCGCAGATGGGGGAGAGGAAATGATCATGGAAGGGAGAGAGGGCGGATACAGAGAGGAGAGGGGAGAAAGAGGGGGAATAAGTGAAAAAAAGGGCGGCGAGATGGTTGGAGAAATTTCAAGCGTGGTAGCGTGATAATGGGGGATGTAGAGAAGGGAAATTCGGTCAAGAAAAGACGGAGGTACGAGAACAGAGATATTGATCAGTGAGATGGTGGGAAGGAGATGGGGGAAATGGATAGGGAAGGCAGGACAAGCTTGAGTTGGTGGTGGGCCGGGGGATGGTGGGATTGTGATGGGTGTTAGAGGAGAAGAGGGTTTTAATGGGAGGGGTGGGAGGGGTTTGTTGATGTCGATGTAGTTTGGCATTTGTGGTTTTCGGTGTTTGGTGGTTTGTTGGGCTGGGGTGTGTTGGGTTGGGAGAAGGGAGCAAACAAACGAGCTAGGGGAAGGGGGAGAGAGAAGAATTTATGGTAATGTGCTGGAAATTGGTGGTTTACATTGTGATGTAATCTTGAAACATTTCACTTCACTTTATGATTGTGAGTAAATTCTCTCGGCATATGAGAATAACTGATTTTGTGAGTGTGTTGGTACAGATATTCATGTTTTCGAGAGTTGATTGTTGCTTGCTCAGAGAGTTGACTCATGAGTCTTAGGAAACATCAAATAAGAGATTCTTTTGTCGCAATGCTGGAGCTACCCCAAATATCACATCTTGAAAACCCTCTTTGTTGGGTGAGAATTATAGAGAGCCCGCGATGAAGCGACTCCAAATGCACCAAAGCTCAGCGGTAATGTAACTGTCAAGTGCAACAGTTTTAATTTTAGTTATACTCTAGTACTATTGTAAGAGCTCAAAATCCTCCAGGTAAAACTAATAATTCTGAGCGTCAAAAATAAGAATCCGTTTTTATGAGTGCCACTTGTACCAAAGAAATTTCATAGCGAATACAAGTACAGGAGTTTAACACCATATCGAAATTTGGGTATGAATGTCCTTACCTTCAAGTAGAATCACATAAATGCATATACTTATAACGCGTAAAGAAAAAGCATGTATCCAGAAATTTTTCACAGTATAAAAGTCTGTACAATTTTTCTCAAAGATATTAACAAAGAGAAGATGAGAATACCATCGAATGAAAGTCGCGGAAAAAGACGATCAAGGGGGAGAATATGCTTTGAGGCATTGGGAATCAGGAATGAGAAGAAAGACATCATCTACAAAATTTTGGATATGCTTGAATAACTTATCTGCCCTCATCTACAATATAAGACAGCATGAAACTCGTGGCTGAAGCATATTTACCTCTTTCGTCTGCTTCTAACTTCAGAGTTTGAATGCAAAAGCGATAGCTTCCTCTAAAACAAAGTTAATCCATCAAAAGAGTCAAAATGCTGAACCCAACATCAGCAACACTCTTTCTCATTTTCGCACTCGCGAATCTTACCCCCTCCCTCGCGGCCGCGGTACCATGCTCCACATACCAACAAAGTATAATGAACCTTCACCAAAATCAACATACGACGTATCCCTCCAGACCAACAAGCAGTGCCAAAGTTGCAGTCACGGAAAAAGATGTAGTTTCAACTACAACATCGACCAGGTTTCGGACGATGGTGGCGACAAATCACTCTACATATACCAGTCCCACACGTACAGCTTCCAAGCATACAAGTTTTTCACATACCAGTCCAGCAAAATCAACGAAAACGCAAACTCATCTGAGCAATCATATAAGCTTTCACGCTTCTAGGGGTGCAGTTCGACGAGCCCAAAAGTTTGGAGATAGAAGTAAGATGACGAGACATGCACTATCGCTGACTGAAGGAGTCGCGGTCTCATCAGCTATACTTGCTTCATCTCTCACGGCCCGATCTAAAATCGCACGAGCTTTCAGAAGTAGCACGACTTTAGTCGTCGAACCGATCCAGACTTCCCAAGCAAAAGATACTTCAACGCCCACTCAACTATACTCGACGACCGGCACCGTTGGACCAAAACTTGCAAGATCGTTCGGAACTAGCACAGGGTTAGGCGTAGATTCGACTACCACTCCGGTGGCAGCAAAAATTACAAGAGGGCCGAGGAATAGGAAGTATAATACTAGTCAGAGTATTGAGGTTGGGAGTAAAAGTAAGGGTGCGAATCCGAGGAAGGATGGGTTTAAGACTGTGAGGGTGAGGGGGAGTTGTGATGTTGATTTGGTGGGGTGAGACTGGAGTTATTGTAGCGAGCGAGTAGTTTGATGAGGTGAAAATGAATGGATGAAAGGAATTTGATAAAAATGGAAATATGTATTTTGCTCATGAGTGGTGGAAAGAGGATCGCGAAGGATTCATTCATGAGAGATTTGTATGGACATTGCCTGTGTTGGTTGAGAAGTGTTGAATAAGCAGGGAGGAAATAGACTGGTGCAACCTGAGAAGTAGACGTTGTGAGCGGAGGGTGGTGATTTATGGTGAGATAAATGATGAGTATGACTGGAGGATTCAGCGACAGGATTCATAGATGATTTTCCTGTATTCAACCACCAGGTGGCAGAACAACTTGGTTTGTCCAATTGGTTTAAACATGTGGCTTTGTCACCATGTTCGTGAGTAACAGTTCTTTGTCAAAGAAGTTTGTTTCCATCCCAGTATTTTGAGTCAAACACCAACACTCCTGAAGATATTCATATATTTGATTTTTAACCACCCAGCTATTTTCTTTTTGCTTTTCTTTGTTTTCAACGATCCACGCAGTGAGTAGTATGTCCCTTTTCAAAGAATGTCCATTCCAACACAGTTGCAGTCTGTTACTCACCGGGTCCTGGAAAGGATTCGGAAATGTCATTACCAAAGCGAAAAGGGAGGGTAGAGAGGAACTCTGCCTAGGAAATCGAGTGAAGAGTTTCTTATCGCGAGGTCAAGGATAATAAGCGTTTTTCGCACCAAAAGACGTCTTACTGATAGTTGTTCCAGTAGAATCGAGAGGAATGTACATGCTATTATGAAACATGTCTTTATGGGCTTTTCGATTTCGTTCGCTCGCTTATTGTTGACAATGGCGAATGCCATAATTGGTGAGTAACTAACTACGCTTCGTTTGGGGCAACAGTCCCAATCAATCATGTTGGACTTGATCATAGTGGTTTCAAATGGGACAGCATGAATCGGATATCGCGATAAGCAGGGAATAGAAAAGTATAAAGGTCTGGGCTGCTTCCTTCTATCCAGCTTTCACACCACAACTCTTTTGCAGTATTTTGACAAGCATATCCAGCAACCACATATCAACAAGAACGACACTTCATCAGGCACTATTCCAAGTCGCAAACACACCTGCCGGTCAAGTGATAAGCAACATGAAAATGCAACAACTCGGGGCCATGCTACTTGCGGCCTCCAGTGCGCTCGCAGCACCTCACGACGAGCCACTCTCGGTCCTCGTAACTCCGACTTCTACTTTCTCTCCCACAGTAGTGAACACTTATCCTGCAACTTCATTGCTCGAAGAAAGCACACAAGCAAAGGTACAAAAACCATCATGGACTATCGCGTATACCCCCGATTGTATTGACAAGCCAACTCAGGAAGCAATGCATGCAACCACCACTCACATAGTTGTCACTCCTACCGCAGCTGTAGCGCCTACGCCCATGCCTGAAGCAAAGAATGCGGATTGTCGACGACAAGCATCTGATAATCCGCCACGCGAGCAAGTAAAAGATACGAGTCCCCTGATAGAAGCTCTTTCATCTTCACACCGGCTTCCAAGACGACGGCCAATGCGCAGACACAGATCGCATATGCATATGGCCCGCAGCCCGCCAAATTCCGGAGAAACAGACCCTCTGAACCAAGGCAGTACTCGAGATACTACGCGTATACTATCAGGACGACAGCCTTCGCACCCACATGGATCGCATACGCATATGGCGCACGGCCCTGCAAATTCCGGACCAAACCCTACGCATCAAGGCACTACTCGAGATGAAAACGTTGCTGACAAAACAACTTATGAGAAGCTTGCTAGGTGGTTGCATCCTAGCAAGTGCTATTTCTCTCATTGTAAAGGAACGAGATCAGAGATTGATCACGCTGAGGAAAAGTGATACGACACTGGCCAGGTCTGAAGATGGCACGATATTGCGCAAGCAGAAGTGTTGGTGGTTTTCTGCTATGGTGATGAGAAGTGCGATGAAAGTAGAGGTTGGCTGGAAATTAAGGCTAGGATAGGAATCATAATGGTGTGGTCGGGGTGTAGAGTAAGAAGTGATAGGAGAGGTACACATTCCCGTAATGTACCGGGGTTTTTGGACTATAGATTTTAGCATTTGGACAGGATACAAAGAGTACGTAGTCCGAATACATACTGCAAGAGAACTATGATAACTTTTAACGTGATCCCCATGGTGTTTGTCCTTCATCAAGACTACTTCCCCGCTTACTGCAGTGATAAATATTGTTCAGACAGTCCAGTTCTCAGTATCAAAGACATCAACTTGGCCTGAAGTATATTTCATTGTCGTCACCTCTTCCGAGCTCACCACATTGAATCCCATCTTTACTCTTAATCGCAATCTTAGGGAGCTTCCATTGCGGATGTCTGTTAGCAACCAAGTTAAGTGTGTCGCGATAACAGCTCAACATCACATCGCGTACGCGATAACAGACCAACACGACATCGCGTTTATCACTCAAGTGGCCATCAAGGTCATAAAAGATCAACTCCTCCAGACCAGCAAACCGACGAATTTCGTCCCAGATAAATGTGCTTCTGGTGTAGTTGTCTTCTGTGACCCCAATTGACAAGCGTTCTACCTTGTCGCAATCATCCGCTCCTGTCCATCTCCCATAGAGGAACGCACCGAGGGTGTAGTTAATTGGTGGGTCTCTTGCATCACCTTCAAAGACGAGAGTGTCTTGAGAAAAGTCGAAATATATCATCGCTTCGTGGTGGTGATTGCGAGTTCCAAAGCATGGTTTGTGAGGAAATCTTTTCTGAGCCTCCGCTCGTGACTCTTGGCATACGTGGAAAGCAGCAGGAACGGGTTCAGAACTGGTGTAGGGCCAGACCCGTGGATCATTCATTTCCTCGATGGTGTCGGGTAGGCCTTTGTAACGTATTCGTACATTTCGAGGGCCCGGCGCGGTGAATGCCCAGATTTTGAGACGGAGCTCTGTAGGAAGGTCTAGGAATTTTGTGAATGTTGGAGGAGATGCTGGGGACGATGCGACTTCCATTGTGATAGCGTTGTGGCGTAAGCAGAGGAGAATGTAAATCCGATGAGAATAATCTGATTATGTTGTAAGAGTTAGGAAGTGTTGAGTTTAAAGGCAACAGATCGAGTTCTGACGTCGTAACCCGTGCACGAACAGGACCCACATCGCCCCTGACTCGCTTAGCACCCAACTAACCCCCCCCCCAAGAAGCCACGGTCTGGACCTGAACTTTGCAAGTAAGACACGATCTTACTATAAAATATGAAGTTTCAGAAACGACTCTCGAAATAATATGCACTTTTCTGAATTACGGATTGAAGCATCAATATCCACAACCATTGAACATGCATTCCTCTTTTTCCCAGATTCTTTTCGTCGTCAAAATCCTGAGTATTGTGGTTTATGGACAATTTCTCTCTCCCTTTAAAGCATTTCTACGTAACAATAGCGTGGGATCCTCTTTTCTCTAACATACGTTTGCGTTAGGATGAAAACACTTCTTTTTTAGTAAACGCTAGACTGGAGTCAGAGCAGGTGCAACCATGATAAAGTCTTCAGAATTTGCGAACTCTCTTTCCATCTTTCCGTTTTTCCATCGGTGAAACTTCAGAAGTTTATGCAAAAATAATTATCCTACTCCAATCAATTCTTTTATACGACTGAAGTTCTTCCCTCATTCCATTGCATTTCAACCCAACACCTTTTCGCGAATATCCAACACGAGCTTAATCGAACACTATAGCTCTCTAACCACAACATCATGCCATCACCAAAGACTACCGCACCTATGAAAGCCCAAGCATCGATCAACCTACCACATGATGAAACGGACACAACCAGCGAAGCACAGCTTCCTACCGAAGCCGAGAATACGCTCGTACTGTTCAGCGAGCTTCCATATGATCTCACGCACGAAGGATCGCAAGCGACGACCTCTCACAAAGTCTCGAAAGCAGCAACCTCTTTCACATGTTTTGGCAGGCTCGCCGTAGAGCTACGTCTAGCCATCTGGAAAAACACACTCGAACCCAGAAACGTTGAACCTTGGACAAAATATTGCTATACGGGATATTACAGTACAAGGACACCATTACCCAGCATCTTGCTGGTGTGCAGGGAGTCTCGCTCATTTGCTCTACCTTTTTATCCACTATGCTTTGGCTCGGCGTGGGCTGAACCGAGAATTCGATTTAACATGGCTCTCGATACTCTCTACGTTGGAGATAGCTTGGACATTCCTGGCTTCTTCTCTACTCTGTCTCCAGAAGGTTTAAGCAAAATTCGCTCTTTTGCTATAGACTCGACCACCCTGAGGATATTTGGTCCATCTCGGTACTCAGAGAACAGCGGGGTACTGCGCTTGCTCAAAGCAATGTCTAATTTGGAGGAACTGATCATTGTGTACGATATGGAGATTAACGTTTGCTTCAGAGGAAAGAGGTGTGAGGCTGTGCCGGATCTTATCTTTCGTAACGACGTACCAGATGGTGGTTATAGGCAGTTGAAGAGAACCATGCAAGCACTTTACGAGGTGGAAAATTGGGATTGGGCGGACTTAAAAAGTTATAAAGTACGACGGGTTTATGGGTCAAAAGAATGTCGTTGTAAAAATATGGACTCGTACCGTGGGCTAAATGCAGAAGAAACAGAGACATTGCCAGATGGGGAATCAGATGGATTAGAAAGTTCAGCCGGTGAGGATAGAGAAGATGTAGAAGAATTGGCCAGTATCGATACGGACGTTGCAGAAGAGGTGGAAAGCTTGGCCAGTAGCGACACAGACGCTATACCAGATGTGGAAACCTTCCCCGTCAGCGATCCCGACGATACAGAAGACGTGGAAAGCTTGGCCAGTAACGACATAGATGATACGCGAAGTTGGGTAACAGCTCGTGAGGATTCCCGTTTGTTGTCCGACTTTCCCGAGGATACGAAGAACACGGAAACTTCGACCAGCGGTGATACGGAGAACGGAGGTAAATCAACAGACCGGTGTACCGAGTTGGAAAGTCTCAGACAGCTTTGTCTGGCGATGTGTGAAGAGTATAGGAAGAGATGATTGTTGATTAACATATTATCTTGGTGAAGAATGCTGTCAAAAGTATCGAAACCTCCAGTAGCTTGAAATTAAAATTGGGGTCTCCTAAATCTCCACCGCATTTTTAATAAATCTAAATCGTCATACGAAAAAAAGCCGATTCCGTATATAAACTTGACGAGAATAATATTACAATAATAAAGTAAGTGAACAGTAGTTAGTTTAGCCTCTTGCTAACCTTAAAATAATAGAACGAAAATAGGAAAAGCGAGTAGTTCTGTAAGAAGACGCTTTTTTGTTTTAGATTTTACCTTGTAAAGACTTCTTTATTTACTAACAATAATCACGTTAATTATATATTGAAAGTATAATAGAAAAGTATCTCAGACAAAGTAAAATAAGTAATAACTTTTCTAATTCGTATATAAAATTCAGATTAGAGTAAAATACATCGAGGACATTAGGGAAATTATGCGACAATTTAGAATTATCAAAAATGCGATTTAGATTTAGCGGAGCCCTTAAAATTTGGTGAGTTAGCACTCTTTCAATTTTACGTTACGCCCGACACAAACTGTGATAAACTAACGAACTTCTTTGATTAGGTATGGATCGAAGTTTTGACCACAGGAATCTTTTGACAGGAAGAGAGCTCTAGTTGGACTGGTGTTGAGTGCTGGTATAATTTCGACGACGGTAATCCTGCGTTTGTCAGATTGGATCGTTACGTTGTGGATGATGGATTTGTTGTTAGGTAGGTAGATCTTTTCTTCAGGATTCGGAAAGGTCTGGTACCTAGGTAGGTAGGTACTTATCGATGCCCGTGTTGTTCCGTCTGTGTTCTGTCGAAAGTAGTGTCTTTGGGGACAGTTATTTGATAGGATGGCCAGATATACACAATGTAATCGTGGTGATTTTATGATAATCTGCGCTTCGTTGGTGGTTCTGCTGGTTTGACGACAACGACTGTTGTCGCAATCTTTTTAAGTGCATCGGAGTTGTCTTCGGCGATGAAGTCCGATGCTCCGGCTCGAAGCGAGCAACCTTACCTGAATAGGCATGGTGTCTGCCAGGTTAGTCTCTAACCTCAAGGCAATGCAACCTTTCTTATCATTATCTGTGGTTCACTCACAAAAGTCAAACAGTCAAACAGTGTCCTCGAAACAATTTTGATCTATCAGTCGATAACGACCCCGACGTTCTATACTGAAGCCCTAATTAAACGAAGCTAATATCCTCCATCGATTGGACCCCTTTCTCACGTCGAAACTGAAGCAAATCTTCATACCACCAAAAGAGTGTTTCATTACTGGGGAAACTGCTTGAGTTTGAGTACCTAGATTTTCTATTACATATTTATTAGGAGCTTGGTTCGGCTCCACCATCGAATTCAAGAATGGTCGACTCATGGAGTACGGCATCTACTTCTTCAGCGGACTCAGCACTGCCGGTTCAAGATGCCCAAACACTCACTTCACTTAATCTCTTGAGGGAATTACCACTCGAGTTTCCGGAATGGGATCTTTCAACCGTTCTGACCACAAAGATTAATTCTACTTTTACATGTTTCTCGAGGCTTCCATTAGAGTTGCGTTTAGCAATATGGGAAAAAACTGTTCAGCCCCGTATAGTGTTAATCGAAGAAGATACATCCGGCGACAGAAACACCGCATTTAGATCGCGTACGAGTTTGCCTGTTGCTCTTTCGGCTTGTAAAGAGTCACGCAACGCAACGCTGCCCTCTTACCCACTGTGTTTTGGCTCTGTATGGTATCCACCGACAATAAGGTTCAATCTATCCCTCGACACTCTTTTCATTGCACAGCCAGGCGATCTTTCCAAACTTTTTGGTATCATGAGAGACAAAGAGTTAGATAGCATCCGTCATATTGCTTTCAGTGGGCAACATGCATTATTCTTGGATGCACCATCATACAGGCAAGGGTTTCAGCGCGCTTTTAAGTCTCTTTCCAGCTTGAGAGAACTACTCATTGTTTACTTCATACATGACCATGACGAACAATACTGTCAAGCGTTGTCTGGCACCAGAATCTATGACGACTTACCGAAGGATGAATATATACACAATAGAGGAACGCTTTTGCGCCGGTTTAAAGAAGATGACTGGGAGTTTGCCATGTCGGAGGCTTATAGTTGCCGACGCGTTTATGGAAAAGGGTCATGTGATTGTGCCTATGGTGGCGGGCTGAGGGCGGCAAACCAGAGCATCACCGATTCTGTGATCAGCGATGATGATATGGTCGATAATATGGTTGATGGTATGATCGCTGATATGGAGGATGATATGCAGGCTTACGGACCGATATATTCCCATGATTGGACAAGCAACTATTTGTTGCAATTGGCTTATGATGGGGACGATGGCGATGATTATGGATTCTAGGATTGGTCTTATTCAATATCCAACAAGAGTCTAAATCTTACACTCGTGATAGGGTTGTTTAGACAGGTTTCTTCACAATATAGTTAGGACTTCTCGACGAGGTCTGAATGTTTATAGAGATGAATAAACACAGAACTGGAATGAACTATGTACACCTAGTGATGCTTTCGAACTCGGCTTTGACTAAATAGTTCTGGGGATCCATGGCATCTTCTTACTGTTTGTCACATACGGTGTCGACTCGAGTAATTAATGGAAGAGTCTATTCATGTTCAAAGGGTGGTTTCACGTTGAAACATATTCTCCACGTGGAACTCTTGAAATGGTAACTAATGCTCCGAAAAGTCAATCTCTCAATTAGATTAGATAGATCTGCGAACTAGCAACATCAGCAGTTTTCGGCTCTAGCAAGCCTTAAACTTGACTAATACACATCAAATAAAAGTAACTTATTAAAATATATTCCAAACGCCAAAGAGCGTTCGTTGTTCATGATCTCGGCATCGGCGTTCAGCCAAGCCTTCATTTGTCCGAATGCTCCGCTCCAAAGCCGATCGACCTTAACCCAATTTAGGTTAGGCGTCTCTATGCTGGATACAGAGACAACCAATTTTGACCGTTCACTACACGTCGATACAACAATTTCGAAATTCCGCGTCGCGGCAAGAAACACCTCCAAAAAAAATCAAACGGCGAGCAATCGAGTTTTGGAGCCGTATTTGGCAAGTTGACGCGTGGTCAACCATCAAGTACATCATCTCCCAAGGCACCCTCAACAACGGACCAACGAGAGAAGTTGTTGACGTGACCAAAAAATTTTGCAATACGGAAAACACTTCAAAAATTTGCCGATTGCTTCCAGGAATTGGGCAAACTTACGCGTAATCGGCCATCAAGTACCACCATCTCCAACCGCACCCTCAACCACAGACTAACGAGATTTCCTTCATCAGCAGGCCAACGAACAGTTCAGGAAGCGGATATCACGATCTCGCGTGTCAAAGAGGCGCGTTTGAAAAATGTCGACTCCGGACGCGATACACAGGGTGCCCGTTCCGAACGCGGTATCAAGTACGAATGACGCTCCCAGCTTCACGTCTTTCAACAAGCTGCCAGTGGAATTGCGGCTAGCGGTTTGGAAATTGACGTTCCAGCCTCGTCTTGTCAATATTCAATACCAAAAATGTAAAGACACGAGCTTTACTTCCCCGGCGCGTATTCCAAGCGCTCTCAAGGTCTGCAAAGAATCACGTACCTTCGCACTACCCTTTTATCCTCTGAGCTTTGGCTCTGTCTGGCACCCACCGATGGTACGTTTCAATTCTGCTATTGATACACTGTATTTCAGAGCCGGTCACTTCTTATCTCACTTATTTGGTATCATGACCGCGGCAGAAAGAAACGCTCTCAAATATATTGCAGTAGACTCCGGGACTATGTTTGATCTCCGTCCTTACAGGGAGCCGGGGTTTGAACGAGTACTCAAAACTATGCCCGGCCTGAAAGAGCTTATAGTTGTCCACGATATCAAGTCCTTTGAACGCAGGCAGTGTCGTTCGGCTTCGTGTACAGTTCTCCTCAACCAAATCCCAAGTAGACTCGCTCAACAACCTGACAACATGCTCCTCTCAGAAGAGATAGATGAACAACATTGGGACTTGGCTCTTTCGGGGTCTTACATGTTCCCACGGGTGTATGGAATGATAGACTGCCGTTGCAAGAACAAGAAGGTAATATACGAGGATTTCGATTACGAACCAGATTTAGGTTATGATGAATCTGGTTACGAACCATATGACCCCGAATGTGGTGGCTGGGCCGAGGAGTCTCGAAGCCTCTTTACAATTGCCTATGATGATTATTCTCTCTAAATGGCGAGGCTTATCCCAGCCGTCTCTTCTGTCGCAATTTCTAAAGCAACCATGTGGAATCCCCCGAGATGTAGGGTACGCCCCTAAGACTGGGTCGAGCTGGATAAAGAGGGAGTCATATATAAGAGGACAACTTGTATCTCTGATTTTCGATTAAACTAGTTGCGCAGGGCATTCGAAATCTTCTACAATTTGTAAGATAGTTGGTTTCCTGGTCCATTGGGAAAAAATCAATGGAAATGTCTCTCCAAAACAAAATCCCAATAAAAAGCAATTCCCAACCCGCATCTCCACGCACATTCGTTACACCCTTCCATCCCGGCTGAATGTCATTTATCAGAAACATAACCTCGCTCGTTACATTCTCGACACGGGATATCCCAATAATACGGCCACTCATTCGTCCGGAGCATTGTTTCATCTTCGCATGGCGAATGCTACATGGTAATGCGAATTGCAACAAATGTCCGCTTTGGGTTTCACCTGCCTTCTGTATCGGAGATTTGGGTCATCGGTTGATAATGCGATAATTTTCGATTTGCAACAAAGTTTCGTTTTGTGCTCTTTGGGATGAGGAAGTGTGAGGGTGCGATGAGCGCTGTCGTTGGATGAAGGTTTACTTAAAGGGGAAAGGTTGGTAGGATGTTAAGAAGGTGGGTCCATCACGTGAGCTGACTGCTACTTCTGGAGACTCCTTTCCTGCGACATAACAAGCCAGCCATCGACAATGACAGATGCGACATTCTCCATACCACCATCGAAATCGCATCAATGGACTTGATTATTGACACAAGGAGACGTTTGAGGATGTAGCCAATGTTCAACCGCCATAAAACGCGTCAAGAATGCTTTTCCTATCTCCCTCAACAATGAGGAAAGAAGACCCCTCCAAAAAAGATCTACGAACTATCACAAGGTTCAAACCCTCACAATCAGTCCAGTGGTTCTCACATGGGCATCTTCTTCTTCTCAATCGATATGAACGACATCGCTGTTATCACGTGACAGATTTTCGGCTCAACGGTCGAAAGTATGCCATTCTAATAATAAGCCAGGTTAATCGGCATACTCCAGGTCACGAAAGCTTATTTAGCTGATTACTGAGTGAGAATCTACCGGGGATCAATGCTCTCTCTGTCATCCACAATAAATTCACCAAGATACCTACCTACCTAGGTATATTGGCGCATGAGCGGGTCTTAAATCGCCTATTCCGGTAATGACTTCAGCTCGATCAAATATATAATTCGGAGAATTACAGCCACGACTTCAAAAGTCAGGTTGCACTTCAATCCTCTCTATAGGCACACCGAATTCCCTATCCGGACTCAACGTCAACTACTTTTGCGATTTGCAACAAATTCTGCACCATTCAATCATCCAAACCAATCGGGCTACTAGCGGCTTCGAGCATTGCACTGCAGTGTATACTTTCCCGTTCAAGTTACTTTGACAGCCGCGTTGAGCCCTCGATGATTGGGCGATATTGCAGAATACGAACTGCATGTAACCGTCAGCCAAAGCTAGAACGGCTGGTGCTACCAGCCGTGAAAAGAACGGTTAGTTCAGTCAGCGTCAGAATTTCTATTAAATCGTTTGATAAACTACTGGCTTTGTTGGAAAGTTCTTCAATCTAGCAATCTTCCGAAAGAAACCCGCACTGCTAGGTGAAATGTGTGCTGAGTTGCACACGGGGAACGAACGAGCACCGAAGCGAAGCATATGCATCACACCTCGTATCGGCACTTCAACGAAAGTTTCAATGGAGTTGAACGAAAAGGTTGAGTATCTGTACCACATCCACTTACAGAAAGAAAGTTACAGTAGCATCTTGCCGCACTTTCACACATTTCAGTCACAACGCCATGCAAGACCAATTCCACATGAGTCTCAAAAATAGCACGATACAGATTGGAATCATTTGCTAGTCATTTGATTCGATTTCTCAGACATTGCCGCCACGTCCCAAGCCTTTCAGACTTCAAGCCACCAACTGTCCACTTTCGGACCATGCAAAAACGAAAGCCATCTACCGAAGCTTGGACCGCTCTACTCCATTTCTGCCAAACTCGGAATTGCAACCTTAAGCCGTTGTAGTAGTAGTGGTAGTAGCTGATCTTCGTGTAGTCGACACGGATAATGTGCTTCCAGTTGTTGTTACAGAGCTGCACGTTGGACGGCAAGTTGGTGCCACGGGTTCGCAGTAATCGCTATGTCCCAGACCGCCGTCGATACACTTGTTGCAGCATGTCTGGATGAATCTTATCTCGCCAGTATCGCTGAGACATTCGAAAAGCGAGTAGAGATAGACGTTGACAGCCGAGCACTTTGGCATTGCGGAATCGATCCTCTCTCTGTTACCTCCTGTGATGTTGTCGTTAGTCATGGCTCTGCGAGTCTTAAAGAAAGATGGCTACCAAGTGCGATGAGAGTTGCCCCGCAATAGTAGAGACCTCTGGTACAGTTGATCGCTGTCGCAAGTTCTGCGTTCAGGAAAAGGGTAGCGACTGCAACAGTGGAGGAGAGCCGCATGGTGGACGGTAACGCAGGATGCGAGGATCATTTATGTGTCTTTGAAAGTTCGAATCTTCACAGTTCACTAAGGTTCTCGAGAAAGTTCATTGAAGAGAAACAGGGAGATATAAATATACCAGCTATGGAAGAACCTGCATTACAGGTCTGGAGTAGAGCGTTATCAAAAGCCCAAGTCCTGCAGCTCGTTCGAGATGGCTGAATATCTTAGAGGGAAAAATATCGTATGAACTTTCGGATGCTGTTACAAGTATCGGAACGACAGCACTGGCGTGCATTGTGGCTTTGCTTCTGTCGAGTCATTGTGGTGATAACATAACGCAGGTCAACGCCTCTTATTGCTTTGCATATGGCCCGGAGTGTGCTTGGCATGTCCCGGGTAATGAAAGAATACCATTGGAAGTGGTGTCGTATCCCAATTATTGTGGACCAGTTATATTCCTAGAGGGCGGAGGCGTTACTCCATAGTACAACTTACTGGGTGCTACTAGCTCTTCTCCAGAAGACATTGTTCTGATTTATATCAGCCAATGAACGATCGATAATAAATCCTCGCCAATTGTACTCGAAGTAGTGCTCGAACTACCTCTGAACTTTTTGCTTCTGCATCGTATGAATAGTGCGAAAAATTTCACCACGAAAATTGTTTGGCATGATAAGAAGCAAAATATATTGTAAACCAAAACCATCGAGTTTTTAACCGTTACTAGTGATTTCAAGCAGATCGTAACTCACTTTTGCATCTAGTTGCGTTCGAACACTAGCGTCACATAGAAAAGGTTCATCCGTTCCTTAATCAAACATCAAACCAGCGCAAAGTTAACAATATTTTCTTTTCCAGTCAACTCAGCATTCATCTCCAACCCTGAGATTAAGTTCACTTCGCAGGGTCTTTTCCGAGACTGTGTACTCATGCACATCACTACGGCTACAACCCCACTATCACTCCCAGTTGAACACCGCCTATCATTTGACACTCGACAGTAACCTTTCAATTATGCTGTGCTTCATAAGCCTCATGACTGGTTGTTGTACAGAATTATTTACCCCACCTTTGATCTCTAGAAGCTAAGTGAACATAGGTTCATAATCTCCAGACGTTCGGGATTCAACTGCGCTCAGTCTAGGAATCCTCGCTCACTACTACAGACATGGTCGAAGAGGCTAAGTCAGACGACTTTCACAATGCAATTCGCGAACTTCGCCTTGCCGTGGAAAGACTCGAAGCTAGGATAGGTGCGGACCGAGGGCCCAGTATTCACAAAGCGGAGAAGAATCTGTATTATGGTAAGTTGAGATACCTATGAAACACACGGGCCCTTCTCACTTATCTCACTTGTTAGGCTCGGCCATAAATAGTATAGTAAAGCACACAAAAAGACCATATCGAAGATGTAGGAAGCCGGCTGGAAATGACAATCTGTTGCTTACAACGGTGCCAAAACAGTTAAATTTTCAGAGGAAGACTTTACTGCCTGGTACTCTCAACTCAGAATTATACCATACAACTTCGAAGCCTTTATTCCCCAGGATAATCGCTTAGATCTCTCCTTTCTTTGCGAGTCATTAATCAAGCCCGACAGCAATTGGCTTGCGAGTGGGTGTCGATATATTATAGTCGACTACATTATAGGCTCCATTATCGATATTCGTAACGATAAACGCTGTGCTTATGGAGAGGAGTCTTTTGAGCGTTGGGTGAATGATGAACCCAGAGTCCGTAAAGATCTTTTGTATTTTCACCGCATCCAAAGGGAACTCCCCGATCCAAAGCGAATATCGAGTGTTGAAATCTGGACAAAACTAGGATGAGATGGAAGGAGTCCTGTAAAATGATAGGCAAAAGATGAAGCACTGGCAGTTTTGGGTGTACTCTCAGCGATTCCACTTTGCAGCTATTTGAGCACTATTACAGCGTTTTAGTGAACAATTTCGCTGGTTCTGACTGTTGCCTGCAAGATATGAAAATCAAATGAGGAGGCCAAGGTCACAAGAGGTGCAAGAAGAGATAGGTGGTGTATCTTCTTGACTGATAATGAGTGGATATTACGCATACTTCACTTAATCTTCTGTCTTTTGATATGGTTCTTCCTAGAAATTATTCAATAGAATGTGGCATCATCCTCTAAAACCTCACACCTTAAATTTCCCCAAACCCAACAAGCGACTTCCAACCCACCCACCCCATTCCCTCGTAAAACTCATCCACAAGCACACAACACCCGACCCTGTGCATCCGCATCCCCAAACACCCTCATGACCAAAACCAAACACTGTCATTCGAGCTCCTTCTTGCGACGTGCAACAGAAAGCTACCTTCATAAAACTTGACCAACCGGAATGCAGCCTGTCGGCTCGTAATAGTGGAGTCGCACGAGGTCACAAGGCGAATGCAAGATGATGTGCAGAGAACCCTCATGGCGCAGCGATATGCAACAAATTCGGTTGGCCAATTAGAGGAGGGTCAATTAAACGTGACTTTCACTTCGTAATTGACTTTTGAGTTGTGCGCAGAATTGATTGAATTTGTGTTAGAGTATGTAGAGTAATTTATGATCGACATTGGAATTGTAATAGTTGACTAAGAAGGTAGGCTGTCAGTGAGCTTGCCGATCCCAAGGTGTATATGAGTCTTAGTTGAGTTCGATAGACGATCCCTTATTCGCGAGAATCTCATAGCAGTTCAGCGTAATCATGCATTTTAATTAACCCCTCCAGCCGTAGTCGCAGAGGGAATAACTCTAGGTTCTTTTCATACAAGATATCACTGTAATGATACGCAAGACATGAATTTCTTGTAGGTAACCTTCGATTACGAGCTCTGTCCGAATATTTGTTGAAGGTGTAAGGATATTACTGATTTATTAGCAATACGAAATCGATTTGTTACAAGAACCACTTACCGAAACCCTGCCTATGTCGAGCTCAGATCAAACGAGTATAACAGCCGACCAACCTCCCCGATCTTGAGCGCCATCTTCCTCGACAATAAGCTCGCCATCCATAACACCATGAACATAAGAATCACCAATCAGCTGGAATTTCTGTGTCTTTGCCATGATTCTCTCTCTGCATGCTCTCAAAACATATGGCACGGTGACACCACCGAGGATGTAAATCTCGTCTCCTATCTCTGTGCAGCTCGGTACCAGACCCATAAAACCAGTATCTGTCACCGCAAATCTTCGCTGTCTTGATACGGTTAGAGTCTGTGTTTTGAAGAGACCGGCTGGAGTCGTGAAACGTAAGTCCCTGTCGCCTGTCGTTATTTGAGCGATAGCTTCTGCGTAAGCCTTCTTAGGATCAAGTATTGGGCTTGTATTATGAGTTGCATTTCCCTCGGCATAGGTATCGTCTGCTAGTAAAGTTCTGGCCAGTGCATCATCGACATCAGGATAACTCAGCCTTCCTTCGGTGGCTCGTAGTTTAGAAACAAGCTCCACAATCTCGTTGTGCCATTTCAACCATTGTTTTTGGGGGTATGTTTCAATTCTCTCCACTTCAGTCTCATGATCGCCATCAAGATCGCAGTTCGATGTAAGATATAAGGTTTTTCCAACCAGAAGCGAGCGAGATGCCAACATGTTCCTCTCGGCACCACCATCTCCAAATGACTGCAACATAGGAACACTCTTACCCGCACAACTGTATGGCTGCTCGCGGATAGTGGCAAAAACAACTGGCCCTTCGGTTGATAAAGACGTCCAGTCTGGTGCCCATGATGGAAGATGGCCAGACAAAACTCGTCGATGCAAACCAGCATATGATAAAATGGAAGCCTGCTCTGAGGTGAACATATAAGACTGTAACACATGAACAGTAAAACGATGGAATAACATCTCCGGCGAAACAGTGTAGTCAGGTCGAAAAGTCGCAAATCTTCCCGGAAAGAGACCAAGCAGGGCTATGACTTTATCCCGCGGATTGGAAACCTCACAGTCTCGTGTTCGCCATAGCAGCTGTAGTGGCTTGAGACGTTTGAGTTTGTAGTCCATACCAATAAGAACGAGTCTGTAGAAATTGGCTAAACCCAGCTGTGCGGCAAGACTGATCCGTGCTGACCAGTTGATGCTCTGTGGTTGATTTGACTGAAATTCAAAGGCATGAACCAACGACTCCCACTCAAAATTGAACCGTCCATATCGGCAACGGACATCTCGAGCAAGCGTTACTTCCTGAATTGTCCATGTTCGTTTCAACCAAGACGATGTGAACAGTTGACGAAGGATGCCCCATTCTTGGCCTTCGAGCGAAGGTAGCAAGTCGTGTCGAGAGATGTAATCTCTTATTTCGACTCCGTCTTTGAGGTGTTCCTTCAAGATATTGCTAGCAATCTTGAGACGATACAGGAGATCATACGCAAAATAAAACTGTAATGTTGTGTTGCCAAAGTCCACAAAGACCACCTCCGCAGTCTGGTAGATCTTTCTCATCTGCAATATCTGGCCGACCAATTCTTCAGAATCTTTCTGATTGATGCAGATAGCGTCAACCCAAAGGTAGTGAGGTTTCTCCAATTTGTCTTGTCGATGTCGTTTGAGACAGTTGTGTAATGACTCGTTGATTTGTAATTTCTTCCCTTCAGAAATCAAAAAGTGATCAAAAACAGGTTTTCCCCAATGGTATGATAATGCTGCATATTTCGGCATCTCGGGGTGACCAAATTTGACAGTCATTAGATCGATCACAATAGGATCTGAGTGAAATACAGCACTCTGTACATGAATCAAGCGGATCTCGCCTGCTTCGGAGTCAATTGCGGAATACTCGAGAGCTGCCGTTGGGATCTCGATGGGATGTTCTTGCTGAAGCGGAAGGTTCATTTTTGGTCGGTCTGTACGAAGTTTGTATTGTGTATTACCGATTGAAATTGGTGAGAAGACCACTGATGGGCCAGAACAAGAACCATCACATTGCTCATGTACTGGACAGGTTATGAGTGAGACCGAAAGCGCAATCATCTGGGAAGCAATATTGACAGCGTCTCGAATTTGGGGAAGCTCCAGCTTCGATGTTTCATCCTCGTTGTTATCGGAGGCAAGCGCCTCCAATCCTTGACTCTCAATCGAACCTAACTGTGTTTCGGCTGATACCGTATTGGGTACAGATGGTGTTGGGTTTGGGACATGTTCATGACGATCACTCAACATAGCGATTGAGTTTGTATCTGTCCCTTCTTTAGAACTCATGATGAAGGATGGTCTTAATGGGTTTGAGATATCCCTCTAACGATGCCGTGGAATTGTCGTGCTGGTGACATGTTGTCGCACATAAAGTTCAGCTGAGGCTGAGCTAAGCTAGACTAGTGCGCTTGGAATTAAGCATCGAGATATACGGTATCTGATTGGATCAGAGAACGTCTTTGCATGATCAAAGCAAAACCTGTGTTCGTCAGATATATTCGCAGCGAAGCTTTAGTCATTTCGTCTACGGTAAACTCCACAACTCCAAACCGTCTTGTCAACTACATAAATGCCAGGAATTCCGAATTTGTATTGCTGAATTTGCTAAAAATAAAACTGATGGACGTGATCTTCTGTTTGTTGGTCGCATCGATGCAGATCATGGGGCAGAGAATAGCATCAAATCGTTTTTTGCCATCAAACCCGAAAAGTGTTTGCACAAGACGAGTGTCAGTGACTTCTTATTGTCTTCTCTCGCAAACTATGAGCGAAAATTGTTATCGTTAAAAGATATTCGGCAGTCGAATAGCACGTAGAGCCTGATAGTGGCGGAACACGTTAATCGGGCTCATTTTTGTTGTCGGCGGAACTGGCGTGAGTGAAATCGAGTGATTTTGCATCTTACTGAGATGAATTAGATCTTGCGGGGATGGTGAGGTAAAATTTACTGATACAGACACGTAACTTAAGGCATCCAGCTATCTTACCTGAAGACTGACTTCCTTTCGGCCGCCGCCGTGCTTGGTATCCAGTACCCAGATAGTCAAATGTCAGATACTGGCAGAGATCAACCCACAAAACAGCTGTCTTGCGAACAACTACCTTGTTCTCGTATATCTTTCCTCTTGTTGGTCCTCTCGTTTCCAGGTTCAGACACTCGCGCGGCCGACCAATAAGTGGTTGTGACTCGTGTTGAACCATCAACGTAAACTCGGATGACTTCAAACTACAAGCTCAAGGAAGGCTGTGTAAGTAATTCCCCTGACCTCGTTTCAATCGCGTCAGCATGGCGCTTACATTGACAAGGAGACGGCTTTAGTCGGAGGGTGTTTTTGAGGCACAGGCGCTGTTGGGTAAGCGCACGCGGATGTCTCTTGGGATATCGCTTGTTCGGATGCAAGGTGATGTGCTCGTAAAGTCATTGTGCCATGGGAAAGCGCGCGATTTTGCGCGACGGATATGGAGATTCGGTCAAGATCATGCTCGGTCAATTACGGATAGCTGTTGGATAAGCTGAGAATGGTTCAGAATGACTTCTTGAGCCGACTTCGTTGCCGAGGGTTTTTTGAGTATATATACTACTGTGCTCAAATGCTCTATCAGTTTTCTGATTCAAACCCTTTGAGCTTCAATCGTCTCACCTTAATACCACACAAATATTTACTAGTCCGTTAATTGCCAACCCAAATCAACAAGCTCACCACATCATGGCAGAGGCTCACCATCAAAAGATAATGAAGGCCGTCAAGTGGGACAAGGAAAACCGTTCGGTCAAAGTCGAGAAGGTCAAGGTGCCCAAAATTCAGCACCCTCTCGATGCAATCGTGCGCATCACTAGTGCTGCTATTTGTAAGTCCACAGCATCAAAAGCTCCCGTAATACCATCAAACCTTGATCTAACAAAACGTAGGCGGAACCGACTTGCACACGACAAGAGGTCGAATTGAAATGGACGACCACTTGACATTTGGCCATGAATCTATGGGAATCATTGACCAAATCGGAGACGATGTTTCCTCTGTCAAGGTTGGAGACAGAGTCGTGATTTCTGGGCTTGCCAACAAAATTGGTCCGAATGGGTCCTCTATTTTGTACGGAACCTTTGGCACCGGGGACTATGGTGTGGCAGAAACCGCGAGTCAGGAGGACGGTGGCCAGGCAGAGTTTATGCAAGTTCCTTACGCTGATGATAATCTCTTCCCGGTGCCAGCCGGAAAAGGAAGTGAACTCGATTATTTGCTCTTGGCAGACATATTTCCAACTGCTTGGTTTGCTTTGGAGCGTGCTGAACAAGTCATTGGCGATACTGTTGTCGTGTTTGGCGCCGGTAAGCCATGATCCACGATGAATTATTGAGCGTAACTAATTATTAATAGGCCCTGTTGGACTTTTGTGTGCATACTCTGCTTTTCTCCGAGGTGCCGTTCGAGTTTACAGTGTAGATAATGTCCCGGAGAGATTGGCAAAAGCAAAAAGTATCGGTGCAATTCCTATCAATTTCAGTCACGGACCAGCCGATGAACAAATCCTCAAACTTGAACCTCAAGGTGTTGACAGATGCTGCGACTGTGTTGGGTTTGAATGTCTTAATGAAAAGGGCGAGAATGTGGAGAATACAGTGATCAACTGGGCTGTCAATGTGACGAGACTTTATGGAGGAATCGGCCAGATCGGTGTATATGTGCCTAAAGACATAGGTAAGTGAGTAGGAAAATTATTTGAACTTACGCTAACCAGAATTAGGTGCAAAGGATCCAGCAACCATGAAAGGCATTCTACCATTTCCAGTAGGGCTGATGTGGGTGAAAGGAATCTCCCTCAAAGGCGGTGCAGTGCAGCTCAGACTGTATCAAGACGTTCTCTTGAAGTTGATCCAAAGCGGAAAGGCAAAGCCAAGCTTCGTCTTCACGAACAAATTCAACATTGACGACGCGGTCAAGGCATACGATGACTTTGGCAATCGTAAGCTGATCAAGGCTGTCTTTCAGTTCCCATCGAAGGAGCACAGTGAAGCGGAGGCTGAGAACTAGTCGACTACGGAGCTCAACAGATCATGCCCTTGCACATATAACAAGATGTATAGGGACGTATTAGGAACTGGGACTGGGTACCTTTTTAGGGGTTTGATAGTTAACAATAAATGTCGTTTTCCATGTATGGGTCCATTGGTTCACGTTCTCCGCGAAAATCGGACGTTAGCATAGATTTATGAGGGTACGACTTCAAATAGATCGTAAGATCAGGTCTAACTACACCTTGTTTTGTTTTGTCAATTCCAAAGTCGAAATTCTCAATCGAAAGAGGGAGGAAAACACTAATGTGTGGAAGTACTCTTGATAGCAAACATAACACCCAAACGGGCCAAGGGAACATCGTTTGTCCTTCGTCTCGACAAGAAAATCTTATTCCACGAGATGAGATGTGTAGTTGATAGAAACTTGAAGTAGAAGCGAGATAATCATCTCTCCACACCAAATGTGGGGCTTCTCCCTGACAATATTATAATGCGACTGACTCTTCGAGCTTGTAGACCGGCTGAGGTATAGTTATTCTTAGTTAAACACGGGTAATTTCACAGCCTACTTTAACTATACTCCTAACTATAACCATAAGCTAGTACTACTATTAAAAAGGCTATAAATAAGATATTTACTAATTAGATTTTTAATAGAATTAATAAATAGGATCTAGAATCCGATTAAGTAGCGTAACATTCATTTAGTATTTTTGGTTTAGAGGGTATTGGGTAGTGATTAGAGCCAGTAGATTTTCACTAAACGGTTCACGAACTCTTCATAAAGTCATGAACAAAGACTTATACTATACTATTTTTGAGTTCGAAGACTAGCTATAGTTCGCACCTCTTTAGTTTGAGAGGTTATTGAAGAATTCGTGCACTAGTGCGTGACACAATTATCTACGCACCCAAGAACTCCAAAAACAGATAACTTAGTACCACAGCCAAAAGATGTGTTTCAGCTGACATAGGCGTGAATTCGCAAGACTTGGAACTACGGTTAGCTCAAGAAAGGTTGTCTCATTGTTAAAATCTTACTTGTAATCTCCGGTCGTGTAGAGAGTTATGTCACCCCTGGTGGTGTTCAATTCCCAGGCTTAACTTCTGCCGGAGTACATGGTCCGGAGCTGACTTTCATTGGGCAGCTGTTACTGTGCTCCATTGGAGTTGTGACCCCGCTGCTACAGTTTATACTCGACATGCGGGGCGCAGAAAGCGAAGGGTCATTGATGGCGCTAATGGCAGCGTGGAGCTTCTCGATTTGATATGGTGGGAATTCGGGCATTTTGGTAGAACGGAGTTCGAGGCTGGCAGTGATTAGCCTTTGTAGTTTTGTTTTGATGGAGAACTTGAATGGTACAAGATGAATGAGTTGGAAAGCCTGGTGTCTGGAGTGTAGAGGTTATAGACAAAGATGGAGAAAGTATCTCCATGCGGGGAAAGCAGGTAATATAAAGAACTGCGCAGCACCTCCCTTTATCGCCATGCAATTGATCATTGGTTACCACAATTCATGGATGCTTGGAACTAGTGGCAGTGATGTGTGGGTTGCATGGAGTCTTATCGTGTGGGGTTGAAGTAGCCCAACGAGAATGCCCTACGCAGAAGATGGTTGGGAGCTGGCCAAAGATCATCCACGTGTCACAGTTCTGAGATATGACTGGCTTTATAGAACCCCAATTTGGACTTGAAGGATCGTAGGGCGAACGAGACAATGCAATGTCCATCCAATAGGCTGGGCAAAACTTTCCCTGCTGACGCGGCAACTTGATTGGTAAGGTAAGGTTGACAACCCCTCACAACTTTAACTTGCATAGTTACAGCCTCATACTTTGAATTCAAGCTTCTGCAATAAACGGCCCGTCACATTTTGTATGGCTAACTTATTGGTCTTGGATTGGCGTGGAAATGCTTTATTTTGTTGAGTTCATCTCCAGCCTCATCCGAGCCGGCTCTCTTTCAGGAAAGCATGAACTAGAAGAATCTTGTAATACTGACTCTTTCAAAGTCATGAAGATTAATTGTTAGATGGAGAGAGCTAATGACAGATTATTTTATATTTTCAAGGACAATCAAGTATTGTATATCATATATTCTTCTCAAGATCGCCTTATCTCGACCGCAAGGCTGGCGACGGAGAGTAGTTTCCGCTTCGGAAATGCCCTAAATGGGATTGAGGCTTTTCGAGCTAGGCTTAGGATAGCCGCTATCTGCTTTCGTCCATGTGGGCTCCGTCCATAAAGAGCCGCTTGGATTACATTGTATAACAAGGCAGAATCTTGACAAGGCTCTGAACAGAACTGAAATTTATGTCAAACAAATTTGTTCTATAGAATGGCTTACTTTCTCAGTGCGTTGAGCTTAAATTTCTTGGAAATTAACGTTCGATATCAGCTTTTACCGACCCCTTAAGCTTTTGATTCTCTATCGAAGCTTTACACCGCCGCAACTTCTTTGACATTAATGATGTCTGCTGGTTGGATAATCTTGTCCACTGTTTGGGACTTTGCCAATGTACAAGCGACCTTGAACATAATAATAAGTCTCCTAGGTACTATCGGAATTTGGACCTTTTCCCGATTTTGGTATCAACACGGCAGCGCAAAAATCCTTCGGCGTGATGGTGTGCCGCTTGCCTTTTTATTCACCTTTACCACTCTGGGAGAAGCCTGGGATGTCGCCTACCTACTTAAGAGCAACCTCTTCAAACCACAATTCTTGACGCTTCTTGCGCAAGGCATTGTAGTTCTCTTAGTGACTGCCATGACGGTGCTGGCCGGACCCATTGCGAGATACTCGCTAAAATCAGATACCATTATCAGGTCATCACAGCTGCTTGGGCTTGCCGCTGCAAATGGGGGCGGCCCAAGTCAGTCTCTTGTCTCAGCAAACGTGTTGTGGAATGCCACAATAGACAGCCTTGCTTCGGCCAACTTCCCAACCGACCAGCTTCTAGATTTCCTTCCGCCGAATGAGAAGCCTTGGGTGTATGAGGATAGAGAATGGAATTCCACATGGGCAGCGGACTGCGTTAGCACGGATGAAACGGTGCTGAACATTACTGGCAACTCTAATTACACTATTGTCGACCCGGTGAGGGCATTCCCGGCCTTTGGAGCAACCTTTGACCCAAGCCAACTGAATTCCCCAGAATACCGATATTCAGTTGATTTCTGTGGCTGGGTTCATTGGGACAATTCAAGCAGCGGGATAGCGCACGACATCACCTTCTTTGTCCTCTTGCAAAGTAACCCCAACATCGAGAAGCGGATGGACTATAATAACGCCTCCCTCCATCTCTCGCTATCAGTTCTCCATATCCACAATGCCTCTCTTGTAAGCACCAACAATCTCTTCGGAAGTAGGACAACTTGGCGCTCCAAAGGGCAGTTCGGAAATGCAAGCTACACCAGAATGGAATGTACAATCGCTCGCAGCCGTCCGGTGCCAGACGAGGATCTTATCGCCTGGCCCTGGACAAACGACACCGATTCCATTGTTAAAGCCTACGCAGACTTCAATCGCGTCGCCATCGGCAACGCCGGCGAGAACCACCGCATCGTTCCTCCACTGCCACCAACAGACATATTCCGCTTCTATCAAGCCTATCACATCACCACCTCAACTCAGAATGAGGTATGGCTAACTCGTCCGCTTAGCATCCGTATCACGGCCGTTGAGCTCTCCACTGCCTTCCTCGTCGTTGCTATCCTCATCGTCATCCTCATCATTTTCACGCTTGTGCGTTACACAGTCTTTCTGGTCCGGCACAAGACTTTGCTCAAGGAATCCAGTATTCCGGACGCAAAGCTTGACTGGATGCTGCATGCCTTTAAGAACTCGCAACATATCACGGTGGATGAATTGGGCTTGACGGACCGGGAGCAGTTCAAGGCTGCGGCGTACGAACGTGTCATGTCTGATGCTAGTGTGAGGGGTATGGCTCGTGTATACAGTCGACGAGCATCGGAGGTCGCACCTGAACCTCAGCATAGACCATCGGCTATGTTTAGTACGAATGTCTTTGCGGTAGAGCCGATAGTCGAGGATGATAGTGCAGAGGATACAGATAAGATCCTTGCTTTGTCAACTCTAAATGATAGAGAGAAGGTTATTACTGCCGAAACAGTGGTCAAATGTCTTATTGAGAACGGAGGACCTGTAGTCGTCGATGGACAGGAAAAGAAGCCACAATCCGACTAAGACCCAATCTCAGCACGAGGATTTGAAGTGTAGGTCGTGGACCGAGCTATGTAGCATACTAAGTGGATCAAAAGGTCAAAAATATTCATAGCTGTAGTTGTGCTGTTAAAATACTTTTTGACAGCTATTATCATAACTACCCTTAAGTAATTGAAGGTACTTGCAATGACCTCGTAATCTTCTCCATGACCGCGTTCTACGCTCATGTGTTTGCATTGGCATGTGTAATAAGTGAAGAGAATGTGTGTAGGAAATTAGATTAATCACTTGAGTACATTTGCTTGACATAGAGCACGTGCCACTCCGGTCCGACCTGAGATCACTTCCCCACATCAAATGTGGGGCCTGATGTATCCCGTGACGATCTTTCAATGCGACTCTTCTGCTCCGAAATGCAACAAATCATGCAAGCCATCAACCTAGTTTTCCGGCTCATTGGTTTGGGTCTCGAGCTAGGGACGCCTCATGATCACAGCGGCTTGGGCTAATGGCTAGGAATTGTCGATATATCTAAAAATATGCAATTCCAAATGTGGATATTGGACGTCGTGCGGTCTTCGAGGAGAGTAGTATATTTCTCGTGAGATGTTTTTGTGAGTTTTCAACGTCTATAATGGTTTTTCTAGTCCCTCGTTGATAGTGATTAAGGAGAAACAAGGGCAAATCCGTCCCTTGGCAGGGTTTAGAAACCGTTTCGTCCTTAGCCGGTTGACTTAGAAAGAGAGATTATATGGATGTCTCAGTTTCCCAATCCGCCAAAAACCAGTGTATTAAATGAGTTGAGTTGAGTTGAGTTGCGGGTACAACTCAAACTCAACTCATGATAATAATTAACTACTCAAACCCAACTCAACTCAACTCAAGCAACTCATGAATTGTTTGAGTTGTTTGAGTTGTCCTTTAATTCACTGCCAAAAACCCATTAAGCTAATATGTCATCTAAAAGCAACTTCATAATTAGCGTATTCCATAATAGCAGCCTCAATACACACTTTAAGAGGAACATAACTCTTTACTTGATATTAACATTTGAGGTAAAAGTCCTATTCTAACTTTACATTTCCAACTTACTATTTTCCAACTTCCCAGTTCAAAAATCATCTACACTAATACTTATGTCGGCAATAGGCGGGCTGATAAGTTGTATCTCACTCTTTTCTTCAAAAAGAAAACTCTACTACGAAAGGTTGTGCTCGTCGCAATTTGAAGTGTAGGTCTGCAGTTTTGTTAATACGTTTTATTTCGGGAAAAAGTCCGGTCAGAAAAAAAGCGCCTATCTCAATTCTGTGGCAAAATCCTGTACCAATAGTTGTAGTTGCTGTAGCTGTACATAAGATGGAATGTTCTCAGTCACTTATCGATTGTGGAACCTAACTGAACACAATGTCGTTGCCAGTCAAACAGCTAAAAAAATGTTGTGTCGTAAAATCATAGTGAACTAGTTTGGATAGTAAAAATATTGCCGCCAGCTTCTCTTTCACTAGTATAACTCATCACTCGATGTCGAGGACCTCTCGTTCATATATCCTAAACTACAAATCTCACTACTTGGCGCCTTTCAATTCCTAATCTTGCAACAAGCTCTGCAAACCCATCCGCTGCATTCACAGTCAAGCACGATATAATTCACTAACCTCCAACCCACTACCCCAGTAACTCAAACCTATCCAAACCAATAAAACCACAACCGCATCCAAACCCACAACCAATAACATCCCAATCGCATCCCCAAAAGACGCTAATTCCATACAAACGTGCTCGACATGCAACAAACCACCATCTCCAGCAGTTCTACCCTAGATTCCGTGAATTCACCCGCTATACCCCTACCGCCCTAGCAAACAGACCAATGACACCGCGAGCGCATTCAAACTCTCAAAAATCAGGAGCCAAGGAAACTACGAGCGCATTGCAAAAAGACGCTAATAATCTTCAATTTTTTCGCGATGTGCAACAAAAGAGTAGGAGCGGTAGGTTTTGGCGGAGACAGGACGAAGGCGGATAGAGGGTGTGAATGGTGAGTATGAATGGGGAAGAATGAGGTTGTATGGATCGAAGAGGAGATGATGCCTATGACCACGAGATGCCTGTGCCTGACTTGGTTTTGACATCACACTATGGAAGTGAGGAAAGCGGGGGTTATACATAGACTGGATGACCTTTTGAAGGGAGCTGTGTTTGATTTGGGGTGTATGGTGAAAATTTGGCTTGTGAGTTGCTGGTATATTATGAAGCAAATGTGAGTTTTGAGTCACTTTGATTGTTTCTATTAGTTACATCACCGACATCAACAACCCAGCCAGACCTTTTGAGCCTATCCCTATTCAGACATCAACATAGTGACCACCCCCACCCTACTTATCAACACACTCCCCCAAAACCCACTTCGTCCCCTCCATTGCACCCTTACAGAACTCTTTCATCTCCCCCTCATCCTCACTCATCCCTGTCCCACTCCCTCCCTTCCCCTCCTTCCCGCCATCAAATACCTCAAGCGAGAACCAAGCTCTGTTCCCGGTCGCTAGCACCGCTTTACACATCTCCACACACTCCCTCGTGTACGCGCCCTTCCCATGGATATAAGGACGATAATCATGGGACCAGCGGCCTCTGGCTCTAAGCTCCTTTCCAGAGGCGGGAGAGCCGTCGGGTTGATCTGGGTCTAGAGGCGAAGGAGGGATATAAGCGTCGGAGAGTTGGAGGAGGTAGATTTTCTCGGGTGGGATTTCTGAGGTTAGGTTTTTGAGGGAGGTTGTGTATTTTTGGCGAAGTTCGTCCTGGGATGAGATTTCTAGAATGCCGGATTTGGAAGACGGGTCTGCGTATTCGGAGCCTACGGTTTGGAACGTGTCGAGACATAATCCTACGTTGTCCCTATCTACCTCCTTGACGATTTCCCAGACGTCTTTCCAAGCTGGGGCGTGGGTAGACCAACACCAATTCTCGTATGCCATTCTGAATTTGTTTTTTGCTAGAAGGTCTGCGAGTTCTTGAAGATCTTTCACGATGCGCTCTCGTGATAAATCGAGTTTGGATGCTGGGGTGTCTGTGGAACCGACTTGGAGCATATCCGTCCCTAAAGCGTGCATAATCTTAATCCATCCCTTGGCTCTTTCAAAGGCTTCTTTTCGTTCGGAGCTACCAGCAGGCCAGCCTTCGAAATTCGAAAATGGCTGGAGCATCATTATCTTCAAACTCTTTTCCTTGCATAGCTTTTGGATTTCGGATGCTGTGGAGGAGAGAGATTCGTAATCGTCTTCCGGGATTGATTTCGAGTGAAATGACGAGGCGAAGGATAGAAGATCTGGGAAACCCATTTCTATTCCTGTAAAGCCCGCAGAGGAGATTGCATCGAGCTTCTTGGGCAGGGGAGTGGTAGGCGTGCCAACTGAGACGGTAGCGTAGGAGAGGGGGACGGTTTTGAGCGATTCCTGAGCTATTGACGGCATTTTGGGTGATTGAGTGTTTTGAGAGCTGAAGGGCGTGTTTATGTGATTTATAGTGTTGTGAGGTCTATATGAAATATCAATTGCTCAAAATATATATTGATATGTTTTTTGAGATGACGTATGGAGGGGTCGGAGGGGTCCGCTATTAATATTCTTGATACACGTGATTGAAGAACATATAGATTTCCGATGAAGGCATTCAGAACCTTCAATCTTGACTGGAAAGAATTAGCTACTGGTTGCTATTTGACTGCAAAGAATCCTTGTGCGCCCTTTTTCATGCATAACTCAAGAATGAGTTTCCTTCCGTAAAACTCAATGCAATACCTCCGTCTTAAAAAACACAACCACAAATAAAATAGAAATCTGCAACAACTTACGATGATGCCGAACGTATAGTGTTGAAAGACAACATCACTCAGCCCCCTCAAAAGCCTTCTCCTTCTCCATCGTCTCCCCAATCCAATTCCTGAGCGCCTTAAACCTACTCGCCGTACTACTAGCCACCACCCTTTTCTCCCCCTCCCCCTCCCCCTTCCCGGCAGCCATCAACACCCCCAAATTCTTCCCAAACCTCTCGCGTTCCCTCCCCTCCACCTTCTTCCTACGTTTCATCAACCCCCTCCCACTAGTCAAACTCGTCATCTTCACCCTCTCCCCCGTATCCACCTCCCCCTTCTCTATCTCTCCCACATCAGGCAGGGCATCCACCAAACTCTCTAGATTAGCGACGAGTTTCTTGCTGGGACGCCGTCGCTTGAGGGGTTTTTTGCTGCCGGTCTTTTCGATGCGGGAGACGAAGGAGTTGGATTTTATGAGGCGTTTGTCGCGTTTGGAGGAGATGAATTTGTCGGATGTTACTGCTGAGGGACGGCGACGGGTGAGGGTGGAGGTTGTGGGTGTGGTGGTTGAGGTTGTTGATTTGGATTTTGCGCGGATGGAGGGGCGTTTTTTGGGGGCTGTTGGGGCCTGGGGGGGTTAGTCATTGTGATTGTTCGGTCGTGAGAGGGTTTACTAACCATGTTTGTGAAGTTTGTATCGATCTTCGATCTAGAAGGAAATTCGATCGAAGAGAAATGTTACTGAATGAGTTGTACCTCTCGCAACCACCACCCCAAAATAAATTCTCCCCCAAATCCGGGGAAATTCACCCGAAGATCCCCCACCATAAACCTCAATCTACACCAACCCCCACCAACCACAACCCCGCCATGGAGCGCGCAACCACCACAGCAAAAGCTCTACGAGCCCAAATAACCGCCACAGAACTCCAACTCCAAAACCTAAAAGCCCAATTAGCAACCCTTGAATCCCAAGAACCCCCTCTGCAAAATGAGTCTGAAAAAATCCCGACTAAATGGCCTCTCACGCCCGACGAATACAAAAGATACGGCCGTCAGATGATCGTGCCTAATATCGGAATTCAAGGTCCCTCCCCTTCACTCCCTCATACTCCATAATCTAACATATTTTCCAGGTCAACTAAATCTCAAAAACTCCAAAGTCCTCATAATAGGCGCCGGCGGTCTCGGCTGTCCATCCTCCGTCTACCTCGCCGGCGCCGGAATCGGCACACTTGGTCTCGTCGACGGCGACATCGTCGAGCTCTCAAATCTCCATCGGCAAATCCTGCATTCCACGTCCAGCGTAGGAATGAAAAAAGTCGATAGTGTGATTTCATACCTTAAAAAGTCCTCCTTTCCCCTTCCCACTCCGTCTAGTTACTAACGGGTCTAGACTAAATCCAAATGTGCGATACGTCGCTCATCCACATCACCTCACACCACAAAACGCAGCTGAGATAGTAAGCGGCTATGATATTGTGCTAGATTGTACAGACCACCCGACATCCCGCTACCTAATCTCCGACACGTGCGTCCTTCTCTCCAAACCGCTCGTCTCAGCCTCCGCTCTGCGCACTGATGGACAACTCATCGTGCTCAACTCCCCGCCTTTACCCCAGGGTAATCCAGAGGGTGGACCCTGTTACCGCTGCATCTTCCCGAAACCGCCGCCGGTCGACAGCGTCGTGAGTTGCGGGGATGGCGGGATTCTAGGACCGGTCGTGGGCGTGATGGGTGTGTTGCAGGCGCTGGAGACGGTGAAGTATATCGTCGCCGGCGGGAACAGCGGGGAGGGAAATAGTATGTTATTATTCTCCGCCAAGGGGACGACGGGGTTTCGGAGTTTGAAGATGCGGAAAAGGAATGCGAAATGTGTTGCTTGTTCTAGTGCGTCTGAACTAACGCTTGAGGGGTTGAAGGAGATGGATTATAGTTTGTTCTGTGGGGTGAGTGCGCCAGTCAGTGTGTTGAGGCCGGAGGAGAGGGTGGAGGCGAGGGAGTATGAGAGGGTAAAGGGGAAAGAGCATTTGTTGGTTGATGTGAGGGAGAAGATACAGTTTGATATCTGTAGTTTGGAGGGGAGTATTAATGTGCCTTTTTCGACGTTTGAGGGGAGTGGGTTGGAGCAACCAGCATGGCTGGATCAGAAATTGCCTGCGGATGCACCAATCTATGTGGTATGCAGGTTAGGCAACGATAGTCAAATCGTCGCCAGAAAACTGAAGGAACTCGGTCTTGACCAAAACGGAACCCGAGAAATTAAAGACATCAAAGGAGGTCTGAAAGCATGGAGAGACCAAGTAGACTCCTCCTGGCCTGAATATTAGCGAGATACCTAGACGCATCTGGTATTTTGAAGTGGGATTTGGTATTCTTTGTATATGATGCACTCAATAATACAAGAGGGAGAGGCTCACAACGCCGATATCTTCCGTAGTAAAAGCATGACAATGATCCATTTCCATTCCAGTACCGTAACAAATGAAATTAATGCGTCTGATAGTTCCATCCCCGATTCCCTAAATATACACAGCTATCCTACACATATGTCTGTCTCTTCTTATTGAACGCTCGCTGGTCTTTTAACCATTGTCTGTAGCCCGCTACACTAGCAATTTTCTCTCCATAATAATCTACCAACCAATTAGCACAATCCCAATCCCACAATCTCTATCACTATCACTCAAGCAAATAACATACCAGGCACCGGATTCGCCATCGAACTCGCACTGGGATCAACCCTATACCTCTTAATCCTCCTATAAAACTCCTTCTCCTTCTCCTCCATCTGCCCTCTAAACTTCTTATTCCGCCAATTAAACATCGCGTTCCCGACCACCGGCCCAGCTAGCCATCCTAGGCCTCCACATGCAAACGTTATCAGTCCTAATGAGATAAACGGGTCGATGGGGAATTGCGACACTAGTTTATCGGTGTCGGTCCGCGTGAGCACTTCGGCGCCGATGATGAACCCGTTTATGCCTGAGCCAACGGAGGAGCCGAGTTGGTACCATCTACGGGTTTTGCGGAGTTTGAAGAAGGTGTTCCAGGTTAGATGTTCGGGGTCTGGATGCGCTTCTTGGGTTGTGGATGTGCTGGTTGATGGGTTGGTAGTTGTAGATGCGTGACGGAGGGTAGGAAGTGTTAGACTGGGCTTTTTGAATGAGATGTGTCGTTTCGCGATGGGTGCTCGTCTGGATGTTTTGGTGGATGGATTGTCTTGTGCTCGAAGAGGGGTGGGAGAGCTGGTATGGTAGGCATTGGGCGCGAGAAGTGTAGGTTGCATGCGGCAGCCAATTGCTGCGATGCGTAGAGTGGGAGGTGAGCACAGCATTTTGATTGTGCTGTTGTTTGTGTGGTGGACTTGATCGATAGATGAAGTCGACGCAGCTGTTCAAGCTCTAAAGTTTCAATGCAGTTGAAATGTGGGGATCGCGGTTGTGGCGGCTATATCGGCTAACCTTATTTTGCACTACGTAATTGCAGAACAGACTTCCAAGTTAAAGAGAATAAATAGGTAGTTGATATCTTTTATCACAAATGTCTCTATACTTAATACCCTATAATACATAAAAGAAACCAAGAGATCTTTGTCAGTATATAAAAATTCAACTGAACGCCTTTTACTTCCCATTTGCGCTGAAACGAGCATCCTTCTAAATAACTACCTAGGTACAAAGCTTCATCTCCACGCCTCCGGTATAAGAACTGCTCATCATGTAATAGAGCCTCGATTCGAACTCCAAGGTCTTCACGACCTCAAGAAAGGAAAGAGACGGGTCGTACGGCTATCAGCATACGACACGTGACTGCGCGTACACCTCGCTTCGCCCCAAAACCACGTCGCGACTATCAACCTCACTCATACCTTATAGAACCGAGTACTCACTCGCCTAACTCACAAGTGCTTCACCTTTAATCTCCCACCTTCTCTTCTCATCATGACAACCGAATTCCTCAGCCACTCCGGCGACGCGCTCCTTGGCCGCTCAACCCACACATCCTACTTCGACTTCGTAATCGCCGAGCGACCCATCTACATCCCCAACTCCGGACCCCCCCTCTCACCCCTCTCCATCATGCCTTCACACGACAAAGACGGGGTGATCGAGGATGAAATCTCACGGCCTGACGGAACTTGGTTCTACGTGGTTACGTACCCCGAGAAACCGGCGTTGAGGGTGAGTGTCAAGCCGCAGAATATCTTGAAATGGGTATCCAGACGTACATTAGAGGAGTGGGATATCGAGGAGAGTAAGCGGAAAGAGGAGGTTCGGGCGGATGCTGAGAGGGAAGTAAAGATGAATGCGTCACGTGGTGTGGAGATTGTGAAGCCAAAGCAGAGGAGGAAGAGGAAGGGTGTAGCGAAAGCTGTTCCGGTGGGGAAGCGGAGATCGTCTGCTGCAGCGGGACCGGCGCGGATGAGACAGCTCGTAGAGGAAGAAACGGCCGTTTTCACTTCCCCAACAAAATCGCAAAAGGCGAAGGGGCCATCCCTTACTAACCCTCAGGCGAGCGTGTTAGCTGGGCTAGATGATTCCGGCGAGGAAATTGACGAGGATGAACTGGCAATCGCAGCGCAACTCCGAATCGACCCACGAAATTTTATCTCAAGAAACTCACGATCTCGCTCTACAACCGCACCACCCCGTCAAACACCCTCCTCCTCATCCACACCCCGTCGAACAGCTGCCTCCCCCTCAGCAAGCACAGCACCAAGTCCCTTCTTCTCCTCCCGCAACCCAACCGCTGCATCTTCCTCCTTGACCGCCTACCAAACCTTCGAATCCCTAGAACGGCAGTCCCAGATCCGGACGCAAACCCCTCTCGCTCAGTCTCCCAAGAAAAACATGACTATAGCACAGAAATACTCATCCCTCCCCCGCGCCGGACCGAATATGTTCAACCTCTCCACCGCCGCATCTCACTCCTCGCCATTGAAATCAGTGCATAAACCGTATTCCCCTCCAAACCCAGACGAAGCCTTGGATCGAGGGGACGTGCTGTCGAGTTCTTCAGAGGAAGAAGGCGAGAGTGAGTGGGAAGTCGACACCATCCTCGACGACACGTCGTACATCGACGCCTCGGGTGTGCGTCAGACGTATTATCTGATTAAATGGGTGGGCGACTGGGATGATAGTTGGGAGCCGGTGGAGAATGTGAGTGAGGGGGTGGTGGGGAGGTATTTGGCTAAGAAGGGCAGTAGTGGTGGTGAGGAGAAATCTCAGGGGAAAGGCAAGGGTAAAGAAAAGATTGTAAGGCGTGAGGAGGAAGCGATGGATGAAGTTTCAGAAAAAGGATTATTCGTCAGTGACGACGACGCGGGTATGCATTCTCCAAGGGGGTTGAGTGATATGTACAGACGATTCTGATGCCGTAGGAGGAGGGATGTCTCTGTGAAGAGAGAAACAGGACTCGGATATAGGTCTAGGGAGCAGGAACCTTGAGATAGGGTAGATATTTGGCGTCTGAAACGGATGGGGAACTGGTGTGTAAGAGTCGGATGAATAAGTGATACCCATGAGCTTTAGCTAGAGAAGGAGAGGAATCGAGGTTGGTAAATTGCGTTTATCGTCTGAAGTTCTGCTAGAATCGCGTAGCACTCTCGGTTCCTCGTCTCATAAATATATTGCGACGATCATTTTTTCAGAACATAACTAGACACGAGGCGAATCTCTTGCTGTTCGGACTCTCCTTTGATGACTACGAATGAATTTACGAATGAAATGTAAAGTGTCCTAACCAGACTTCACGAATGGCTATCGCGAGTAGATGCAATATACGTAGATCGAAAAGAAAAGTCGCCAGCGCAAATTAACTTACTAACGTATATTCTCCATTCCCGCAATCTGAAGCATAATCTTCAATTGACCATAAGCAACTTAGCCAATTCAGCACTAAGCACACCCTATATACCCCCACACTTACACGCCATGCCATTCACACCCATCCTTCCTTCCCATTGCCATCTCCCAGCACGCATCCCCAGAAATCCTACACATCCCACCTAATCCCATCCCAAGCAACCTCCATCAGCACTCCAAAAAATGCAAAAGAGCCATCAATCAATCAAACCCATTTCACAACAACTTCACCTTCACTTCCCAAGCAAGATATTGAAACTCCAAATACGCCACACGCTCACCTTTACACCATCATGCAATTGCGTCCATATCGCCGTAGAACTCGTGTTTTAGAACGGATAGACATTGTCAAGAGTCAATTCTAGGAGGACTCTTCGAATCATGGGATTTGCCTTTACCGAAAGGACTTGCGCTTCTTGAATCTTCGTGCCTATTTAACGCTAATGTCAGACCTGCTGCTATATACTTGATACTATGTGGGGGTATAAATGAAGAAGATAAATAAGCGCTTTGGTGGTACGGATGAAAGTCAGAAATACAAATCGCTCAGTTTGAAAAAGAAGTAGCAACGCTTTCAGAAATCAAATGGTTCTCAGGATTCGAGGAAGCCGTTGTAAAGCTCGACGAAGAACTGATTTCCGGACTTAGAGAACTCTGAGGAGTCATAGAAGCAGTCTCGAAGCGTGACGATGAACTGATCGCCGGACTCAGAGAGCTCTCAGAACTTGTGGAAACTGTCTTGAAGAATGAGGAAGAACTGGCCTCCACACTTCTAGACGGCCTCCGCAGACCCCGATAGTCGTAAGGAAATCTTGGACAAATCAGACGATGATGGGGTGCGACATACGATCTTCGACGCTCGCCCTCCCTTCGGAAACCCTCGATCGTCCGCAGAATCTCTTTACGACCCCCATTTGCATCCACCAACTTCCCACCCATACTCATAGATACCTTCTCCCTCGCATTCGCAGATAGCAGTTTTTTCATGAGTAGATGTCGCATGAGAATGCAAACGTAAACACCACAATCGCTTCCATTTTCCTGCTGTGGCGAATCTTCCAGATTCATAAATTTCAACGCTCTCCCTAGCAAAACACTCAGTTGCCTCGTAGCGCCCTGGGCTTCCGTGTAATTGCTCGGAGTCATAGAGTCGTAATGGAAAGCAACTCCGTCAATAACAGAAACGAGCAGGAGCGACCAATGACTTCCACCTTCCGCTACCGAGACATTCCGCGCATCGTTTATGGGTAGGAAGATATGTGTCGTTTTGCTGAAATCGGGGAGGACGTCTTTGAGGGTTAAAGCGTTCGGTGTTTGCATTAGCATAAATGCCATTGACGGCCGGAGGAGGACGATATGGGAGGAGGGATATCGTTTCAGTTCTTCGCGTTCGAGATACCTAAATCAGGTCGATTAGCTGAGCCTTGGCTGGCGGCATTGTTGGTGGCGTACTCTTCCCAAAAGGCTATACACTACACAATGTTAGCTGGAGCACAAGCAGAGTGTGGATGTCGCATTTACATTGTCTGTAAGCCAGTCATTCTTCAAAGTATCGATATCCTCTTTCGTCACTGCGGGGTCATCAGCTCGATTTCCATGCCACAAGCTTGGCTGCAAGCGTGAGGCTACACACATCGTATATCGTAATCTGGTACTGTCAGCTCTTCAATCCTATGCGGTATCTGTAAGAGGCAGGAATGTACTTACATGAAAGGTAAGCGTCATCAGGCGCAAGCTGTTTGCGAAAGCGAGCGGTTAGTCTCCATCTTGACTTGAACAGAAGTATGCCCATGATAATGTTATCTGCGCCCCAAAGGTGACATCCAAAAAGAAACAGATGTAGAGGATTGCAGGGGACGTACTGAGTCCCCGAAATGCTTTGAGACTCTCCCCTTGAAGGGATGAAATCCCCTACTACTCATGTCTCTCGTCTCTGGCAGGGCTGGCGGGGTGTGTTAGGCACGACTCTTCGTTCGTAGCGCTGGAGGGATAGGATGATAACTCGGCGTTTAACCTGTATTCGTTCTTGGGTGGTCGAGAGACAAATTCAAATGCTGCAAGTAGGTTTCTGGTGTGTGTAGAATTTGGGAATGAGTATTCGTAACCACCTGGAGAAGTCTGGACGATTCCAGGAACTGGGATCCACGGATGATCGTCGGCATTTCCATGATCCCGGCTCCAATCCGGACGTCATCCCGACTCCCTCAGTAGTACCCATACCCATGGCTTGGAGGACAATCAACTCAATGATCAAGAGTAAATGAGGGCTTTCAATTATTAACTCATTAGAGTTTTAAGATACTGTTGTTTACTTGGAATAACAAACCAAATATAAAGTATTTTTTCCATCCATTCGAATAAATACCAAATTCAGTGGTTACACCAGCACAAGGTCCCTTTTGATACCCATGTCGCAACGTGTTTGACCACGGGAAGTGACAGTAGCTTACAAACATACAGTGAGTTTGTTTCTTATTACTATATTAACCTTGAAGCCCGCGATATATCTAGCTGTTATCCTCAATTCATCTGAATCATACCTACACCGACCAGAGCCAACATTTCCCACAAGCAAGATGTAAAGCAATCCTCCGTCATGAAATGCCAAAGATAGTATCTAAAAATAAGCAAATCCAGCAAAATTATAGCTACACGAAGCTATTGATCTTTCAAATCTCTTCCTCATCAATGTCTGCATGACAAACTTCAGCTACTTCTTCATACTTGTTCACGACATATCGCAAGATGCTCATGGATGCCCGCCTGCTTCGTCTTCCACTGCTTCTCGAATTCCGTGATGGAGTTCTCTTTCAGGATCTGACTAGTTTTGGCGAGTAAACCTCGAGAGTTGTTGTAAGTGTTCAGGAGAGCCTTCTTTTTCTCCATCAAGTCCCGCACTACCTCCGCCTTTTGCTGTTTTCGGGTATGGAAAACACTATTCATCATCTGTTTCCCGTTCTGCTGATATTGCTTCGTTATTAGACCGAGAATTTCCTCTTCACCCTGTAGTCGAATGATCATGTCCTGATAACGTCAGTGTTAAACATGGCTGAAGATGAAGTCACTTACATCTGCGACTCGGTGTACAGCATCGGCGAATGTACGATAGTGCGGTCGAAGAGCAATATTCCATGTATCTTTCGCAGATACCTCTTTTAGTGGACTTCTTGATGCCTCGCTGTCCATATCATCTGATGAGTTGTCGGTACTCATACTTGGAACAGACGAATCTGATTTCTCTGCTACGAAGGTCTCTTCATTTTCGTCGTCTACCTTTCGTTTGTTTTTGCTATTGACCCCAAAGACTTTTCCATTCGGAAGCGCAACTCTTTGTTGGTTTTGTCGTGTTGTAGCCGTCTGAAGAATTTTGTTGAAATCGCTTGTTATCCTTGACTCTTTGGTTTCAAGAAATGGATCTGCCAAAGTTTTCTGTTCGGTCACAAGCTCTTTGCTTTTCACGTTCTCGTACTGCCCGCTTTTTGTCTTGTGATGAGCGACGTAACGCGTTTCCTCTTCATCTTCTTGTAAAGAAGCGGGTCGTGATTTCGTGCGAGTTCCTAGAGCAATCTTAGGCCCAAACGTCGAGCCGCTTCGGAAGACCAGTGGAGGCTGGCTGGTAACTTCTTTCGCTTTCACGTCGGGTATCTCGGTCTTGTCCAACTTTGCCTGAATCTTGCTTATATGGTCAACCTTAGATGCACTAGCTGTTGGTCTAGGGCTGCCATTTGGAGTGACTCGCGAGCCTTGCGAGTTCGACACGTGCCTATACCGGGATCGATTGAGAAGGGGAATAGGTTTATCTTGTCCTGAGGTACCCTTTGGGGGGCTGCTTGCAAGATGTGGTTGCATATCTTCCCCATCATACTTCTCCAATTCGGGCTCAACAGGGCTACTATTCTGTCGTTTCAAAGGGCGGACGACCAAGGTAGGCTCTGCCGGATCAAGCTTTCTCTTGGTCGCGAACAACGTTCTCTTGGTAGATGCATCTGCCGGAGCACTTGTTGTTCCTTGATTCTTCGGCCCATTTTTGTCAAAACCAATCATCCTCACTTTGCGGGCCGTACTTTCATCTATTAGCCTCTTACTCACGGCCACTTCAGCATCCTCCTCACCCTTAGCCAAACGGGGACTTCTTCGCAGAGGAGGCTTTGAAATAGGTGTTGTGTTAAGGCTCGCAATATTGGCAATTTTCTTTCGGGGGCCCTCCTTCACTCGAGCCGGGAAGATTTGTTCTGGCACGCCAGTGATGGGGAGTTTAGATGTCTCCATATTAGCAGTCTCTGTCGGTTTCTCTTTCTTGCTTGCTTGTATCCGAGGGCTTCGGCGGATGGGCACATTCTCTTGAGACTGTCTCTTATGTCGGGTTTCCTTCGAAGGCGAAGCTTCACTTAGTGTAGCCTTGCGTTTTCGGGTGCCCTTTGAATGATCATCGGCCACGCTCACCTTGGCTTCGACCGATCTTGTTGAACGTTCCGCCGAAGACTTTTCTATGCTTCTATCTGTTTCCTGAGCCGTAGGCGTTGGCTATTTTTTCTTTGACGTCGTCTGGACCAGGGGGTGCCTGATGAGAAACACTCGGTCGCTTTGGGCTCGGCTCTAAGACTTTTGTAGTCGCAATCCCCTTTTGGTCAACGCATTTGTTAGCTGATGGACAGTCCTCGTCGATTACGGACGAGAGACGTTGAGTCAATTTCTGTGCCATTGTCGACTTGGCCGAATTCTCGTTAGCAGCGTTTGTATTGATTCGACGCTCCGATTCCACGCCATTTGCTACCGAGAGCACAGTTTCATAGTCATCTTCTTGTATATTTCCATTTTTTGGTGGAGATCCGGATTGTACCGCGTCGCATCTGACCGGCGTCTGGTTCGGACTTTGTTTTTCTGACGGACGTGTCGCTACAGCGGTAGCATTTACATTTATCTCCTGCTCCGTGTTGGAAATTATGACTTTGGTTTTTGTAACCAAAACAGTTTGCCGTTCGACGACGCCAAACTCTGTTGTTGAACCGACTACAGTCCCATCCATCTCATCCTGTGATTTCTGGGATTTACGTGCCGGGTTTCTACGCCGCGCTGGCTGCTGAGAGGTTCTAACTAAGTTTTGGTCATTTTTGGACGGCGCTGGTTTCTCAAGCTGGGATTTGGCTTGTGCTACGGACTTTCTTTTTCCTGCGGCTCCGGACTTGTTGGGCTTCTTCTTGGTGGCTTTGACTGGACTTCGTGTACTCAACTTCGACAGCCGCGGATCTTCACCTGGCGGCACGTCAAAAATGTCAAGAGAGTTAGGGTCAGATTTGATTGTTGTTGAAGGCGTGATATTTTTCTCAATCTGTGCGCTCTTTCGCTCGGCTGTTTTACTTTGTTGGCATTTCCTTTTTGCGACGGCTTCAGCCTGAGTCGATCTTTGCTTCCTGAGCTTTGGGGTGGAAGTATCATGCTCATCGACCTCAGACAAGACATCTGACTGCATGTCTGATTCATGGACATGTGGCAATGATCTAGACTTTCGTGATTTCTCGATTGCAGATTGACTTTGCTCTTTTGATGGGACATTTTTGGCTTCCTTGCTCTGGCTCATAGTGATCGGTGTCTTCGCTTTAGATTTGATACCTTTCATCGAAGCGAGTGGTTGCTTCTTGCTTGTCGTCGTTTGAATATGAATGTGCGACTTTCCCTGACCACTTCCAGCTGGTGAAGCTGATAAATTGCTAGATTTCGTGCCGTTCTTTCCAGAGTGTTCCTCCTGAATTGACTCAATGGTAATTCTGTTTACCTCAACTTCAGTGTTGTCTTCTGCCTCATGATAGGGTGGGTGATTTTTTGTCCCATCGTCTGGTAATACTTGCTGGATTGTTTCATTTAGTGTGTTGTTTTCTGCGTCATTAGGTATGTTATTGATTGATATTACATTCGTGAGACCAGAAGCAGAAGACACGTCCCCATTCCAAAGCGTTTCGTTTTGTTCAGAGACCACATGAGACTCCTTATCACTCATGTCATTGTCGTCCAATAGCTTGTCGCCTTGGTCAATGGCTATGGGCTGCGACTCGAATGTCTGGAACCAATCCCCCATCAAATCTTTGTTCTCAACTCCTTCCTTATCATCCGCGGCCTCACCGTCAATCGACTGTTCAACTTCATCCCGTACCGCCTGAAGAACGATTGGGCTTTTGGTGATGAAACATTGTTGTGTCGCGTTCTCATGGATTCCATTTTCGTAGTCATCGTCGAGGGGCGTTGCTTCTTGACGAGCCCCGGCAAACTCGCTCTGGTCGACCAATTCCACTTCATCATAGCAGGTTGCTAAATACTCCTCTCCGAATTGCGCCACTAAATGCTGGTCTCCGAAAATGTGTACACTTGTCAATTCGACGTCCGCACCATTTAAAGAACATCTATATTCAGAACTCTTTTTCAAGTCAAAGGTGACATGTGACCCGTGCTGCGAATTCTGTGGTGCATTGAGAACGATCCGTACGATTGTGCCGCGGGAAATATCGAGAATATGGTTAACTGACTGTCCGTCGTCCGGAGAAAACATTGTGACCTTTTCAAGGTCTAACCAAACTGGATAGCAACCTTGATTATTTCTAAACACTTGTTTTGGCGTGGTCCGGTACTCAGATGCAAAATACAAGAGCCCTCTCCTATCGTAGAGGTGAGTTGAAGCTTGGTACACCATGGATTGGACTTACTGTCCACCGACCGCAGAGTTCTGCGTCTCATACGTCACATCCAAGTAGGCTTGAAATTGTTTGCTCCAGCTATTGTTCTGGGATGTACACGTAGGAAAGTTCGTCAGAGCATCTTTTGACGTGCCAGCGGGCCATAGTGACTCTATCTGAACCCCAGCGCCCCCAAGAACTCTAATAATTTCACCGCAAATAATTCTTAGGATCTCGTTGTTCTCCGCTTTCAAAAAAGGGCCAAGTTGCTGCCTAGGCTACGAATCAGAAGTTGAAGGTGACAATGGGAAATAACTCGTACCGTAGTTCGTTCGACCCGAGCTCTATCCTCTCGATGTTCTTGGGTGCACCGCGGAATAACTGGATAATGAGGATACCAATCTGAGACACCATCAGTTCATTCTTTCACCGTATTGGTTATATCATACCCATCTCCGAATGTCATCCTTGTTGGGTCCTTGAACAAATCCTTTCATGAGTAGATTCAAACATTTCTCTCCGATAGTATGCTTCCTGTCTTGGATTATTTTTCGGGCATCCTGCGTCTGGGGTACATGGCAAAGACAATCCTAGATAAAGTCAGACAGAACTGTGAAGACTACTTTTCGTTCACATACAGCCAATAAAAACAAACCACGCTCACTTTCCCGACAGTAACCTGCCTGCAAAATCGCCTCGATCAATATGCACAGTACCGCAGGTGGCAGGCGATCGCATAAGTTTTGCTCATCCCTCTCGAGTGCGAGTACAATTCGTCGAATGACTTCCAGATCTACAGCATCTAGATTCGTACGTTGCTTTTTGAGGAGGGTTGCTAATGCTCTGTAGCTGGTGTAATTCCTGTAAATGTGTAAGGATATGTCTCAGGAAAGATTTCGCGGTTTTTACTTACGGCATTGCACCATCTGTCGTCCATCCTTTTTGTAAGTAGGCGACGAGCTTATCGAACTCTGTATCAAGTGTTGGTGGCGAGGAGGTGGCAGTCTGAGAGCCTTTTCCCTTATTTTTGGCTGGCATTTCGAATGTTTTGCGCTCTGCGGTGTTGCGAAAACATAGATTTCTGAGTCAATACCCTTTGAAAATTTCCCGAACTTTTGGTCAAAGGTTGGGTTGCTTCCACGTTGGGGTCGGCGACAATGCTTTTATCGAAATACTCAGCAGAAGTGTTAGCATCCAGAGATTCATTAGTTGGCCTTGAGTGAAGGAGCAGTATATGCAACCACGAGTCAGACTAGAGCTGCGATGCATGCACCCTCATGAGATATTGATGACTTCTTTGCAGTCAGTTACCAGAATCTTGTCGTTCGAAACAACAGTCATCGAAAAAGTGTCGGAGCAGGTTCCTAACGTTAATACGAGACGAAGGTTTTGATGTTGATAGTAGTGAGCCGTCTTGTCCTATGCAGCTGGCAACAACCTTTTGCTGTCCGCGTTTCCGACGAAGCTCAATGGGGTAAACAAAGGGTGATGGTGTCTGTGTAGTATATTAAGAGCGTCAATGAAGCGCGCTTGCAGTGACTGACCACCTAGGTATGAGACCAGAGTGTCTCCGACGCGTTGTCGTTGAGACGAACGGTGTCGTAAGAAAAGACGATATATGAGTGCGCCTTCTTTCGCACCTGAGGGATTCCGAATAAATCTGGAGCCTAGATTGTACATTCGGTGATAAAAGTCGACGACGAAGGTAATATCGACAAGCACCTGAGCAGTCGATGACAACTTGAAGAATGTACTAATGCGGGTGCGGAGTTCCAAGGTTGTTGTGAGATGAAGACGATACGCGAAACTATGTCACCCACCGCGCCTTCCTCACCAGTCGTGACAATGAGACTAGTAATTACTGACTGATCCTTTTGCACGCGATCTCAACCTCTCTCGCGTGCCTTCAAATCTACTGCAAGAAATCCAACCAAAGCTTTCTTTTTGTACAACGGTACTTGTTGACACAGGACTCAACTCCCATTTATCATCCCATTCCCATCTTGGCGTTCTTCGTCGTTAATTTGAAGTTCAGAAGTTTCAAAGGTGAAGAGCAGATTGGGCAGCCATTCATTCGAACTCCTGGAATTTCAGGATGGAAAACGTGACCCCTTCCCCCTCGAGTTCCTTTCTTAGGTTTGAGTTTTTCATGAACCTGGAGTATCTTATCTCCAGTTGTAGTGTTGATTGAGTCGATTTGGGATGATTAAATCGCGCTACCCAAAACTTGACTCGACGCATTCAAGATTATGTCTCCAGCATTTAACAAACAGTATAGATGCTAATCAATGCTGGTATCTAGGTAAGCCCTCAACAATTCATGAGAGATTTGCACTTACATTTTCCATTCCATAACTAGCAGAACGTGGGCTCGAGCCTATGCCACTCGATGATCGGTAATGCTATGTCAGTATTCTAGAAGCTGCAAAAATACACGGAGAAAGAAAGAAATGGGACAATAGGCATCCGGCGAAATGTGAGCGAAAAGTGATCAATAAATTCTCAATTTACCAGAGAATTGCGCGAGATCCAGAGGCCTTTCGATACCGACAGCACCACTATGTGCAAGAGGCTCACTATTCCTTTTCGAAATGAAAAAGATCCCGACTCCGTACAAAATTTTCCTCGCTACTCTGCTGCTGAAGGAGAATCACGAATATACGCCAGATAAGAAAATCAGTCCATCGCAGAGTAGACATCCCAATTCCCAGCAGCCCACACCAAATCAGCCTTTAACTTTGAGATCCTCCAAGGATTACCCGCTTGGTTCGTCCGTGTAAGCTCGATATGATATCGACCCTACCACCTTATCAGCATATTCATCCAGAAGTCACAAAATTCAGAACAAATACCCCGTTCCTAGTATCCGAATCCCCTTTCGCCCCCTTCCTCGACAAATTGACCGTACAATTCGCCAACACTGTCGCAGTCTCCGGAACGTCAACGCCCGCACCAGGCTGCGGCAATTCAATCAAGATACCTCTAAACCATCAATCAGCTCGACCCACATCCACCATCCCCGTTCTCAAAAATACTTACGTAGTAACATGCTGCCAACTATCCATCTTCGAAATCTGCTTCGCCCAACTATCAACCTGCTCCTCCCCATTGACCAACTTCGGCTCTCCACTAAACATACTCGTGTAATCGACGAGGACTTTGGTGTGGAAGACTTCTTTTTTGAGGGCTTCGATGCGGGACATGTCGAGGTACATTGACTACTACTGTTTTAGTAATAAATTAAGGGGAAATGTTAGGGGAGACGTACCATTTTAGTCACGGTATCGTGGATATTAGCTCTATCCAAAAGATAGTTTTGGATATCGTAGGTTGTCATCCTGAATGGTTACTTTGGTACTTTCTGATGTTTATGTACGAAGTAAGTGAAAAGCAAGAGTTGATGGAGGTCCTAAACTCAGATTTGGCCCTTGAATACAATCGAGCTTTATATAAGCATAAGTCCTTACGTGAATTCCTACGTGAATTCCAATGATCGAAGGGAGATATACATATATATATATATATATATGTACGGTCAAGACTAATACCAACAAAAAGTCTCCGGTTACACAGAGGCATCGGCGCCGAGTCCAGGTTCGGTCTAGACTCCTTGTTCGCGTTAACACCGGGCTCTTAAATCCGGACGTTCTTGGCCAAGATATCATCTCAGCGTTCCACAAGGTATCCCACCAACTCATTTAGCCATGAAACTTGAACCATCCACCCAATCACAAAAATTATATCATTCAAACTTTTATCAGCTACTTACATCAAACTAGTCCTCCCACCAACCTCCCTCCCCCCCTCACCACTCCTCATAACCCCATCCCTACCCTCCACAAACTCCCTATACACCGCGCCCAGCCTCTGCCGTTCCTGCGCACTAATACTAGCCCTCGTACTCTTCAGACTCTTCTCCACATGTTTCCACGCAATCATAACCTCCTGATGTTCCTTCTCCTCCTTTCCATCCTTAATATGTTTATTTGAAAGAGGATGACGTGCGAGTTTCGCGCGTTTTTTGGTGGCTTTGATCTCGGCGAGTTTCGCGGAGATGGCGAGGCGTTCGGCGAGGAGTTTGGATTTGTTGGTTCCGGTGCTGGATTGGTCTGCGAGGTCTTCGTCGAGACCGTAGCGGAATTGTATGAACTCCTGATTTTTAGACACGCCATTTGATTTCTTGCCGACGTCGGTATGGTCCTGGTCGCCTAGGACATCGTGGATGGCTTCGAGATGGGCGTTGTAGATTAGGGCTTGCAGGTCTGCGCCGCTGTAGCCGTCTGTTCGAGAGGCGATTTCGGTGAGGGAGGAGATGACTTCGTCGGATAGTTTTAGCTTCTTGCCGAGCGCGAGGAGGATGTCGATGCGGTCTTCGAGGGAGGGGAGGTCGCAGATGAGACTTTTGTCGAGACGGCCGGGGCGGAGAAGGGCGGGGTCGATGAGGTCGGGTCGTGATGTTGCTGCTAGGACGTAGACGCCGGATAGACCTTCTGCGCCGTCCATTTGGGTTAGGAGTTGATTGACTACACGGTCTGTAACGCCTGTAGAGTCGTGGCCTCTTTTTGGGGCAATGGAGTCAAATTCGTCGAAGAATAGAACGCATGGTCTGGCTGCTTCTGCTCGCTCGAAAAGATCTCTGACGGACTTCTCAGATGCTCCGATGTATTTGTTGAGAATTTCAGGACCTTTGACGGAGATGAAATTCAGACCACATTCTCCTGCCACAGCAGAAGCCAGCATGGTCTTTCCACATCCAGGATAACCATATAACAGCAGACCAGACCGCAGTCGAAGCGGACATTGTGCGAATATAGGAGCATATGTCGTAGGATACTGGAGGGTTTCTAACAAGATCTTTCGAGTAGCATGGAGACCTCCAATTGAGGCGAAAGTGGTTGTGCTTGTTTGCAGCGTAACGTTTCGTAAGGATGCTGGTGTAAATCCTTTTAAAGCTTTATCAAAGTCTCCTCGGTTCAAGTCAACAGCATGGGAATCTTTATCATCCGGGGATTCTGACACAGATCGGATCAATGCTTCACTGCGAGCTCGAGAAACAAGTAGGACTAAATCTCCCGGCATATATCCATCCGTCTCCCCTGACAAATCGAGAAAGTCGAGATCGGGAGAAATGACAAATCCATCTGCTTTCCCGCCTCTGTGACTTCTACTGACTACACTTGAGCCGTCCATCCAGCCGCCATCTTCGTGGCCGACGCTGCCATTGGCGGTTACAGGACGACTGCCATTGCTAACGCTGCTAACGTCTCGTGTGTGATGGATCTTGTCAGAAGCATTTTGCCTCACTACCATTTCCACAACCCTCCTTCGTGCCTCTTTATTCGGAGCTTTCAGCGCCACAATTTCACGGACGACATGACCGCCTACAATCACATTGTGTAAGGACTCCTTTGCCTGTGCCGTAGCAAAGAGAACTATTCCACTGTCTCTCCCAGAATACTGACGAACAATACTACATATTCCCTCGCTTATCTGGCGACTTCGACCATTGTCGTTCCCAACTTCGAGCTCTGTTTCAGCAGGACAGATTTTGTCGAGGTCATCTAAGATAACGAGAGACTTTCCGCCAAGTCTGGCTCCCCAGGATGCGTCCATGAACATTCTATTGAAAGTCTCTTTGATAGTAGAGACCTGAGTTTCATGGCTTACTAACTTCCTACATGAAATATACGTGGTGTGAAATAAAGTATTTGCCCTCAATCGGTGAGCAAGAAGATGTGCCACAGAACTCTTGCCTGATCCAAGCGCTCCGGTCAATAGCACAGACGACATATGTAAAAGATGTGACTGCAATTGCTCAATGAGGCTGTCTATTCCAACGAGAGATGGAGCAATAACCGGCAGAGGGTCGCCGATGACATTATTCGAAATCGACAAGGGTTTTGGTATCGGCGGTTGCACATCGATCGTAAACTTCCTTTCTGAACCTATAAACCAATGACAAGGTTTCTTCGTAGACTCTGTAGCACGTTGTTCAAATCGAAGAATGCCTCCTGCCCACGCTGGATTCTCACTCGAATTCGCTCCGAGAATGGATCCATCTGTTAGCGGACCATCAAGAATACCGTCCGATTCATCGTCGCCACCATAAATCTTCTGTATTAACATCGAAGTCTCCACTCTCTGGGCATTACTCTCGCCGCCAAACTTGAGACCGTCAGACGCCTTGCTGGAGCTGACGGCAAAAGGAAACACCTTGATGACTTGAGACGCGGATTTAGATGCGGTATCATCCGGACGCTTTGCAGCCGAAGCGCGATCCAGTTGAGGCGGAGCTGGTTCAAGTTTTACAACTCCACCGACAAGTCCCTCACAAGCCATTGAAGAGCAAAGCGATGATGATAGTGCAACATGTTGACTATCAGGCGGATCATCCCAAGGAACAATTCTTGCCACCACCTTCGAAGCTACCTTTCCAACATCCCGCATGATCTCAAGCTCTTGCTGCAGTTTCTGTGCATCAATGGGTGCTTGCAAACTTGGAGGTCTGACAACAGTCACACATGCCCATTTGACTCCTTTTAAAGATCTAGAGAGGAGAACATCTCGGTCAACCCAGACCTTCATACCTTGATTCTCTGCATCTTTTCCAGGATCGAAATATTCTTCGCAGTTGCTTCGGTCCAGCCCTCTAAAAAACATCGCAGGCCTCGCTTCTTCGTGACCACTCTTCCTCCTGACGGTGCTCGCACCACTTCTCCCCCCTGCACTCTTTCTTGATGTCACGCTTCTGCTCTCGCCAGATGATCTGGATGGTTTTGATCTAGTTTTGGGAGCAACAATGACCTCGGCATCGGGTGCCAATTTGGCAAACTGCGCGCTTGACGGCAGCGCAGGCACAAGGGAGGTGATTACTATATTCGCAGTTGACGTAGGAGATAGGTGGAGGGTGAGTGGATGAGGGGCTGCAACAGATCCAGAAGCCGATGTGTAGCTGGGATTCGGTAAAGCTCGTACTTGATGTATGAGGTTGATTTCAAGAAAGTTGGCATGCAATTCTATGATCTCCCAATCATCTGCAGTAAGAGGCTCTATGTTCACAGTATGTGCGACTGGAGGGTCCATGTGTAACGTCGCAGTAATCTTCTGTCCATCTGCTAGACCCAGTGTTCGCGCAAACGTCGCATCTATTTCAACTACCGAGACATCCTGCTCGCGGCCTGTATTGCCTCTTGTGCCAGCGATCCCATCTCTGTTGACAATTGGCGCAAGTTTCCGCTTGCTTTGCATGCCAGTCCATCCGACGAATATCGATTTTGAGGTTGAGCTGCCATTCGAGGTAGTGGGGTTGGATGTAGGTACGCGGTAGTTGAGCTCGACAACGACATTCTGAGCTGGCTTGATGCTATTCAGAACGGAGTTTGAACGACGAAACGGTAGCAGCTAACTCACTGTATTGAGGTTGACAAGCAATGAGCATAAGGATGCTGGTAAATTGACAAGGCAACTTTTGAGGTGGGTGAGGGCAACCTCTGCCGACATGGCCTGGCTGTTTCTTCTAGGTCCCATAGCAAAAAGAGAGAAAGATGTTATGTTGCGAAAGCTCCCCGCGTGAGATACTGCATTTGGGAAACATGAAGCTTCGTGATGCGACCGCTCCGAGCCTCGGTAAAGATAAATGCCAAGCAATCTAGATTTCTGGCCGGTGAGTGGCTTTAAAGAACGCGTGAGCTACGCGCCGACCCGGACGCGACTAGGAAGATCGCATTGCAGGACCCGCCATCTGAAGGGGCAGCTTTGCGACAACCGCGCAATTCAACATATTTCTCGTCCAATTCCGAGCCTATCTTCCTGTACTCTCTAGCAGCACACGAATACCGCGGACCTGACAACAAGACTTCTCCTTCTTGGTCATCTCCATCAAATATTTGACAACTCAGGGGTTTGGCGCAAACATGGCACTCCTACAGTTCAGAGCTCCGGTCAATTATGAGGATCACCAAAGTCAGTCCGAAATCTATTACCACAGTCTGTGCAAGTACTAACGGTCTTTTAGGTGCATTCGAAGGCTTCTTGGAACAGTTCAAGTCTGCCCCAGCAGCTTCGATCACCCATGCGCTAGGAGGCATGACCATCGATGAGGACGATCTGAGCGACGAGTATGACTTTATGGATGAGGATGACGAAGAGCAAAATACACGCAGGCGTTCACGGGCCCAAGCTCAGGAACCCAAATTGAAGTATTTAGAGCTCTTGCAGAGAGTTTCGGACAGATACGAGGAAGAAATCACCATTGATCTGGACGACGTGGAAGAGGTATGAAATGCGCAGCTTGTTGTAAGACCATCAAGAGTAACACTCGAATAGTGGGATCGACAATTAGATGAGAATGAGACACCAATGAAGCTGGTAGAATCGATCGAAACGAATGCGAAGCATTATCTTGATATCTTGTCGAAAGCCGTTGACAAGGTCATGCCACCCCCTACCCGAGAATTGAATTACAAGGATGATGTCCTCGATGTCTTGATGTCGCAAAGGACAGCCCGTAATGCTGCTCTGACACGGGCCGCCGATGAGACTACCGACCCAACAGATGAGCCTGAGCTTTTTCCAGCTGAGCTGACACGAAGATATACCCTCAACTTTAAACCACGGACACGGAGCAGAGAACCTTTAAAAGCTCTTGCAGTAAGACAGGTCCGAGGAGAGCATCTAGGTCATTTGATCACAGTACGTGGAATCACAACACGAGTTTCTGACGTGAAACCAACCGTTGAAGTCAATGCCTACACCTGCGATCGATGTGGTTGCGAAATTTTCCAACCTGTTGGTTCAAAGACCTTCGGGCCATTAGTAGAATGTCCATCTCAAGACTGCAAAACAAATCAGACCAAGGGCCAGCTACACCACTCTACGCGAGCTTCCAAATTCCAGCCCTTTCAGGAAGTCAAGATTCAGGAAATGGCAGAGCAGGTTCCAGTTGGTCATATCCCGAGAATGCTAACTATTCTTTGCCACGGCGCTCTCGTCAGACGCATAAATCCTGGAGACGTAGTCGACGTAGCTGGGATCTTTCTCCCAACACCTTACACTGGTTTCAAGGCTATTCGTGCTGGTCTTCTGACCGATACTTACCTGGAAGCCCAACACGTTATACAGCATAAGAAGGCTTATGAAGATATGAGCACGGATAGCAAAATCTCGCGACGAATCGAGCAATACCAATCTTCTGGTCATCTATACGAGTACCTCGCCAAGTCGATCGCACCTGAGATCTACGGACATCTAGACGTCAAGAAAGCTCTTCTGCTACTTCTAGTCGGTGGTGCGACTAAGGTCATGGGAGATGGTATGAGAATCAGAGGTGATATCAACATCTGCTTAATGGGTGATCCTGGAGTGGCAAAGTCCCAATTGCTTAAATACATTACCAAGGTCGCTCCACGAGGTGTATACACAACTGGTAGAGGTAGCAGTGGTGTTGGTCTTACTGCTGCGGTGATGAAAGATCCCGTCACCGATGAAATGATTCTTGAGGGTGGTGCATTAGTGCTTGCGGATAATGGCATTTGCTGTATCGATGAATTCGATAAAATGGACGACAGCGATAGGACTGCAATTCACGAAGTCATGGAACAGCAAACGATTTCGATCTCTAAGGCAGGCATTTCAACAACCCTCAATGCTCGCACATCTATTCTCGCAGCCGCAAATCCCCTCTATGGTCGATACAACCCCCGGATATCTCCTGTCGAGAACATCAACTTACCAGCAGCCCTCCTTTCCCGTTTCGACGTACTTTTCCTCATCCTGGACACACCAACGCGAGATACAGATTCTCTACTAGCTCAGCACGTAAATTATGTTCACATGAACAACAAGCATCCTGATACTGAAGGTGTGGTGTTTACACCTACTGAAGTTCGACACTACATTGCAAAAGCCAGAACTTTCAGCCCAACCGTACCAACCGCAGTCTCGGAATACATCGTCAAGGCGTACGTTAAGATGCGCGAGCAGCAATCAAGGGACGAGAAAAACAAGAAGCAATTTGCTCACACGTCTCCTCGTACACTTCTTGGTATCGTTCGTCTTTCTCAAGCACTTGCTCGTCTTCGATTCAGCGAGACTGTGGTTCAGGATGACGTTGATGAGGCGCTACGTCTCATTGAAGCCAGCAAAGAGTCGCTCTACCAGGACCAAGATGGTTACCGAAAGGATATGTCACCCAGCTCCCGTATTTACAACATGGTCCGCGCGCTTGCTGAGGCAGGACAATGCAGACCAGCTGATGCTGATGACGATGATGAAGACTCTTTGGGTATGGAACTGAGCATGAAGAAGGTGGAAGACAGAGTGATCGCCAAAGGTTTCACAAAGGATCAGTGGCAGACTGCTGTCATGGAGTACACAAATCTCGATGTAAGTACCCGCTTTCTGCGCTCAAGTTTTGATTTACTAACATTGTTTCTAGATTTGGCAAACTGCTGGCAACGGTACAAGACTTATCTTCATTGTTTCTGAGGCAGCGCATATGGCAAGAGACGCAGAGTTGGAAATGACATAAACACAGGTTACTGTGCCAGGTTAGGGTGGAATTTAGGCGTCTTGGGTCTTCTCATGCTTTGTGGTGTTGGCGTACTAAATGATACCGGTGTCAGAGTAGAGTGTACCTAATTGAATGGTTCTTCTTCAGGCCAAGGTGCCAGGTTTTCTCATCTTGTTGATAAACTCCATCAGTGTGGCACGGCTTTTTTGCGTGGCTGAACGACCACTGTTTAAACTCTATCAGCAATTCGATCTCCGGATGAGAAGTTTCTATGCTTTGGTAGCTCAGCGCTTTGCCGGAAACGTTATTGTAATCCGCAAATTCTGTGTGATCTCGACTCCGCGCTGAACTCCTTGTTCTGATCATAATCACGAAACACCAGTGGCGGTCACCTTCCTTGCTTTTCTTTACTAATCCTTTTTTTCTTCTTTATCCTAAAATTCTATGTTGACCAAAAGCGCAGACGGCCAACTCTATTTTTTGTACTCATCTTCCTGTCTTTTGTAATTATCATTTTTACATTACATACTCACTATCAGACATTATTATATACTCTTAGTCTCTCTCAACCATTGTCTTGCTATGTCTAGACCGATCTTGCTTCTTGGTTACAGCTTTGTTCTCCTGCCTCTTGTCTTGGTGCTTATTTCTTCGAGATTCCTTCAGTTGCGAAATTGTGTGTTGTTTCAACGAGACCGATTAGCCTACATGCTCGGTAGCTGCAGCGTAGGGAAAGCCTTGCGCCCCAGATCAAAGACCACTAAAGTTCGTGGGAGAGCCTGAGTGGCAGTTTAGCCGAAGCCTTCCATAAGCTGTACGTGTTGCACCCTACTGATACCCGTATAAATTGAATAGAAAGGCTGTTGTGATATACAACTGATGAGGTCTCAACAATGCATCATTTGTGCCAATATGAAAAGAGCTGTTTCCTGCTTTTGTACACACCCAGTGGATTTAGTACAATTTTCAAACCGATCTGACAAAAATCACAATCCTGGGGTCGACGTTGAGATGTTCGGCTTTCCACAGTCTTCTGCAAGTGCCGGGGTATTCTGCTTATGGCTGCAATTTTGAAGCCTCATTTGCCAAAGCCTCGCGATTGCGAGACTCTTGGTGGAATCCCGACGAAATGGCGCAGCCGTTTGGCCGTTTGACATGTTGACTGTTATGTTTCTGTACAATCAAGCCTCTCAATGTTCCCAACATAAGCCTATCTGTTTTTATTTAAGTGCACTGGCATGGCTCGGTTTTCGCATAGCCGAAGAGCCTCTCTTCGTTGTGGAGTCGGCCTTCAAACATGGATTCTTTCTTTCAATCCTAGCTCCAAACTACAGAAATTATTCCTCTAGACTCGGTACCAAATGGTTGCTGGTTATTTGGTGATCCTTCTCTGAACCATTCATCTTATGGTGCTGTAAAAAAAAACGTGAGGCTCTCAGCCTGCCTCTGTTCTGCAGGTGCCAGGGGCGTTTTCCTGGTGGTTGCGATCTTTGATAAAGTCAGCCCTCCGCAGAGCTTCATATTTTTCATTCAGAATATGGTTGATTTGCTTTTTGAGTAAACCGTCATGCTTCTCTGTGAAATTCAGTATGAACAGCTCTCCTGCAGCGGTCGAGGGATATCCTAAGCTGGCATGCCACATGGACGCACATCCCGAAAGTTCTATATATCGTCGATTTGGCAGCCTCAATCATAGAAACCTTCTTTATCTGCAAGCAGAATTGGTGCATCTCGAGACCCAGCTTCTACAGCTAGAACACCGCGACAAGCATAGCCAAGTCGGTAGCTCCTCGATATATTCGAAAGATTGGTATTGGCTCAGTTGTTCTGCCGAAGATGGAAATTCAGAGCAGCTGCAAACGGTTCGTATCATTCGAAAGAAGCTCAAGCAATACAGTGGGCGAGCCGCATATCCGAACGCCCAGTACTGTGCTAATATGCTTGAATGAAACAGATGATGCGGTCATTCAGCAATCAACGATTCAAAACCTTCCTTATCCCCGAGCCCACGCTCTAAAAGTTCTTTGGGAGTGGCTTCGAAGGCCTTCAATGGGTAATCGAGGCCTCGTTGGGCTCGATCATCAAATTTGGGGTGGTGAAGACAGTCCTGCGAACCACAACATCGATTTATTAAGCCTCGACGCTACCAAGAATGCGGACGTCTTTTCGAACTGGTTCTCGGAAAAACTGTTAGTTTTCTATCACATAGTAATCGGTAGCCGTTTCCAAAGACGAGTCGATATTGAATCCGGGGTCTGTTCCTATCAGGGCCACATAATCCATAGGTGTATCAGCTGTATTACAGTCGTGGTGGCTTCCTTGATACCGGTTCTAGCCATCGCTGTTCTCTTCTGTGTAAGCTCAATGAAGATTCGGTTGTTGTTGGTGGCACTCTTTACAGTCATCTTCACGATGTCTTTGACCATATTGACAAGCGCTAAGAAGGCAGAGATTTTTGCGGCAACCTCAACGTATGTCATCGATTAACACTCGTACCATTGGTTCAACTGCTAATCCAAGTTTCGTATAGGTTTGCCGCCGTACAAGTGGTGTTCATATCGACTCAGCAATTAAGTGGATGATGCCGACAACTTCCTCTGCTCTGGACTATCAAATATATTCAACTCATCCATACATTTGTCTCAAGTACGTTGAGTATCTTGTTTGATGATCTCGAAAGAAGAAACAGACTTTGTCTGTCATTAATCGCCTGATTAACATATTTGAGATAAGGTCGCGTGCGCGTCGTAATGGAAATCTAATACGTCCCGTTGAAATTGTCTACATCGGGTTCACGACTTCCAACATTAATCCTGCAATTACAACACAATAGCATTGTCCAACCCACTACCAAACTCAGAGATACGCCGGAGAAACTTTCTTAATCCCATACCCCATGGCCATTACGCAAACCCGCTGCCGACAGCAAACGCCGTATATCCATCTCGACTCCTTCGTCCTCTTGCCACCATTTTTTCACTGCCGCGGTCATCAACCTCGAGACTTGGAACCGCTTGAATTTGTGTCTGTTGCGTTTCGAGCATCCTTCTGTTTCTGCTTCTCCTTCTCTTTCTTATGAGCAATGACGTTAGCGTTATTGGCGGCCACTTCGTCCTCGTGTTCTTTCCTCCGCTGCTTGTCCTTAGCACGCTCTTCTGCTGTTTTCTTTTGAGGCACGGGTAGCATACCGCCAAATCCCGCGGTTACCAATATGCCATTATCTCGTATGACCGGGCTGCCTAGAACAATTTGCCATAGCAGGTTCTCCCCTGGGATCACGAGGAAGGTGGTGATAATGACTTTTCGAAAGGCTCGTCCCTTCCACCGGAGAGTAATCTTGCCAATTGCACGAAGCTCCTCTCCATTAAGACAGACACATGCACTCTTGTTCGTAGATTCTTCATCATGCGATTTTGCATCATCGTATTCTGTAACTGCGTGCCGCATGTCCAAGATGTCTCGAACGACTTGGTATGTTATCAAACCATGACCCTCATATCCAGTGTCAAGAATCATCTTTGCGTCTATGTAGGTATTTCTGGCTGGATTGTGAACTTGGACGTCTCTGGTAAACGGCAAATCATGCTTGAGTACTAAGTCAGAACATGTTTCCTACAGGAATGAAGGTAACACAAACATTATAAGAACCCCTTATAGATACAGTGGTCAGCTTCAGTAACACTTTTATAAAGAAATCCAAGAGCAATTTCCAGTAACTGTCTTGCATGTTTTGTTGTTGATCCTTCATATTCAGGTTGTTGTGTCAGGATCCTTTGTCTAAATTATACTCTCAAATTTCCGCAATTATTACTTGACGATGAAGCTATAATGCTGGGATAAGAGCGAATATTTTTGAAAAAGTATTTGCAACACAAGAAGAGTAGGATGATAAAGATGATGATGGACTGCAGCAAGTTACGAGATGTGGAGATACTTGACTTAAGTATAGAGTTTTGATGAGGCTCGCGTTAAACGATCATTAAACTGTGTCACATCGCATGTTTAGAATGGTTAGTGAGGTCAGCGGAAAAGACCCCAGGTCTATGGCGTGCATAGGCGACGTAAGAAATGCCATCCAAACCCGTTTGCAACCAAGGGTTCTGCACTGCCACTTGTTCGTAAAGACGTGATCCGGTACTCAGATCATGAGAAAGTTTACGTCAAAGCGGTAAATCTTATTTTTAAAAATAGTTGAAGTGACTCGAGTACCCGCCGCCCGAAGATGCATTCCCCACGCTTCAAATGCACAATGGCGCTAATAGGCGCAAGCCCTGAACTTGGAACACGTCACAAAACGGATTTTCAAAACTAGTATTGTGATAACTTCTCGGGAATAGTTAGAAAACATATCCTGCCTTCATTCGAAAATCCCATCTAATTATAAACGGTCTTGTTTAGAGTTAATTTGTTTCACGTTGTCCTTCCAAAACCCGAAACCATCCATCCCCTGTCCGGTTGTCCACCCACCCCACCCCTTGAACTATTCCACTAAGGATTGTTGGTTGCTCCTTGCTTACATTGTCATGTTCGTCCTACCGTCGATATTTTGTTGCATTAAATACGATGTGTTAGTTGTGTTGGATGATCTGCCATCACACGTTTTCACGTTGCCCTCTGGCCCGACAAATATAGATTAGAAGTCCACGATCACTTCACTGTTTCGTACTCACACAAATATATCCTTTACAGTTGGGATCTTAACGGACCATTTACTGCTCCGCTCTGTTTCCTAATTGGATACCGGACGAAATCATATGGTGGGGGTGGGGGGTTTTCTTCTCCAGACTATTCTGGGTTCCAGAAGGTGCAATGTCATTGTTCAAGGCCTAGTTGGGCTATCAAACCAAGTCACACCCCTCTGCTGCTATTACCTTAGGTGATCCAGCCCGGGAGACTACTTGACAACCTATAGTACGTCTGTTAATATTGTACTTCAACATGTTGATTTTTAGCTTGACTTTTTTGTTAAGTTTCTCTTCGAGAATTGGGCTGACTGGACGACAACAGGGGGAGTCCAGCTCTGGCTCCATCTCAAACCCAACAATCTCTTGCCGTGCTGTTTCTCTGACGTTTACAGCAATCTTGGTAAAACTCGGTGAGTAAACTTTCTTGGTCCTCCTTGAGATTGCTTAAGAATTCGCGCTATCGTTGTGGCGAACGGTGGCAAACATGAGCGCGGCGGATGTTAACTTTTAACACTCTCTGTGTAAGTGTGGAATTGGAACTGAGCGCAATATTTTAAACTGATGCTTTTGAACTGCTTTACATGATAATTAGTTACGTATTTCTATTATATGATCATCAATTATCTCGCTCAATGACAGTTTTGAATTCTGAGATGCACTTTTGTTCTATCTCTTGCTTCAGAAACTCGAGTAAGCAGACCGAAAGCTCCCAGTTTTTGGAGGTACCTCGAAACTTTTTGTTTTTCCTTCTTACCTATTTACTTGGTACCAGTAAACCTCTTTAAAACGTTATACATATTAACTTCTATGCGACTGCAGGGCAGAGTTAACAAACGGAATTTCGCCTTGAAGACCTCGAAGCTTGCCGTGAGTTTGCAAGGAGTGATTCCCACACAAATGATAAGAAATAGAAACACGGGAATCCTTGGAAGAGATTAGTAAAATGCCAAAGGGGCAAGTGCACAAGCAATCGTTCCTAGAAGCTGACTATCCGATTAAAGAAAGTCTTGGGCGCACTATTAAAATGTGCAGTCTAGAAGAGTCGCCATACATAACCAAAATGAGTGGTGACCATTTTTCCATTCACTCTTTCTGAGTCCTTCAAAAGCACCATCGTTTCATTATCAACTTGACCGAAAAGGACCTCGTCAGAATGCTGTAGTGTGGACGGGTCGAGAATTTCGGGCGCTAGGACTTGTATTCTTCAAAGGTCACTGCTAATGAGATTGTGAGGAAATATTTCGTACACTGCAATTACTGAAGGTTGTGTTTTCTCGATAAGCTCATCCTTCACAGCTCAGAATGCGACGTGCGATTGTCACACGAGGCTTTGGCTGTACGCAGATTTCACTGCACTGACTGGCTTTTAATAGCCCATTGACGGACCAGGGACAGAATTTCGTCACACATCATTTACAACCTAGATTGTAGCACCTAACCAGTTAGTGAGCTCATTCAATACCCGATTCAAGCACGCAAAACGTGCTTAGCAGCTCTCGGTCAACTTCCACGTATGTTCTGATTCCGCTCATCATCTTGATTTCTATATCTGACAGCTGCTCCGTTCTTTTAGGGTTGCGCCTGTTCAAGTGGTTTTTATATCGACACGTCAATTAGATGGATGATGAAGCTGGAAGACATGTTGGACTTGATATCTTGTCTGCATTGAATTTGGAGCTACCAACATCACCGCGTCAGAAACTACACCCGTGATTTTATGATAACCGCTACAGTCTAGACCTCTAATGTGTTTTTCGCAACTCAACATCCTTCTACGTATATGTCGCCAAACAAACCAGAAGTCTCAGAAAAGGAAACATAATAGTCAGCATAAATATGATCCATCTGATCCGATCCTGCCAGGTTCCTGCGAATGTATAAAGTGACATTTGAAACTATCAGTTTCCTCTCCACGTCATCCCCACCGAACGTAACATTTGCCAAATTTGGTCATTTCGAAGATCTAGAGTCTTTTGCTTTCTTAGCACTGGCATGTCGAGCGTCCTGTTGTTTGTCTTTCTTATGAGTTGCAACCTTCGCGTTGTTGGCAGCAACCTCATCCGCATGTTGTTTCTTCCGCTCCTTATCCTTTGCGTGCTCTTCAGCCGATTTCTTTCGCGGCAAGGGCACCATCCCTCCAAGTCCTGTAACTTTCATGATCCCATATTCATGTATTGTTGGGGCACCTAGGATGATCTGCCACGGCTTGTCTCCAGAGATCACCAAAAATGTGGTAACGAACATTCTACGAAAAGACTTGCCAGTCCATTGGAGCGTGATCTCTCCATATGGATAAAGCATTTCGCCGTTAAGAAGAATGAATCCTTGCTCTTCTCGATCCGTGCTGCCAAATGTGACTATTTCATGAGACATGTTTAGGACCTCTGCGACAGCTTGATCTGTGATGACTCCTCGAACCTCACATCCTGTATCAAGCATCATTCTTGCTTCCAAATACACATTTCTACAACGTTCCAAAACCTTAATATCTCTGATAAACGGATAACCACACTTTTCTATCAATGAGTAGGTGTTGTTTAAGGAGGATGGGTTTTGAGAGGGCTTACATCTCTTGTGCACGCCTTGGATGGCTCTTTGCTCATTCCTAGCAACCGAGAGAGTGCTGTCATATGGCTCTCCCGCTTAAGGTTCTTCTTGGTAACCATACTTGATGAGATGGCTGCTAGCTTCCTGGCTCTGATTTTAGAAGTTAACCATGGAAGGAAGTCATAGAAGTCTGTTACTGCTATTATAGTCTCAAGATTTTGTCATAGCCAATTAGAGTTATCACTAAATCACCGTCAGCAACTCTCTGTTTTTCGTGTTCCACATACATTTGCTGTCCTTAAGAAAATGTCACCATACTCATCCGCTGGCGATTCGATTCGAAATCAGCCAATAGTAGCTCTAGTGGGCAATGAACATATTCTACGCCCCATGCCGGTGCACGACGCACGACATAATCTTAGCGTTACGAATAATTGGGAATTTTCTATCCCGTCTCCCACGTGTGACGCAAAAGGTGGCCGATTTTGGTACTTCTGATGATACATTATATCAGAGGATGCGTGGGGGGGCACCGGGGCCGTAAATTGTTGATATCGCTGTCTCAGTATCACAGGAGCTGGTTCTGTCAATCATTCAAACTTTAATCTTACAGCATCCAATGGCGTTGAATAGATGCGCTCCAACTACTATTGTTGGGGGCTTTCAAATAGAGTCCAATTTTGCTAAAATAAAATATGCTCATGGGAGCGTTTAAGTTGATAAAACACCAGAAGAGCTAGCGGCGCCTCACTCTGCGGAGACTATCCCTCTTTAAAGATCCCAAGTTTCAGCAAATCACCCCTTAAGCTAGGCCTGGCTTCATGAGGTGGTCTTTATTCACAGATCACCTCTTGTACCACGTACCGTATGCGTCCGTCTAGTTTGCATCAAATCTATGCCAGAGGAACTTTGTACACGTACTAGGATAATTGTAGCCTCACTCTATCACGTGGTCCGGATTATCATCGTACCAGATAGGCTGTCTTCTCGCGAATTGGGCAGTTGCAGGAGACAGTCCTGGAAGGCCTCTCCAAATCCGCTGAGATAGGAACGGGGCCAGTAACGAGCTAGTATAGAAGGATCTGTGCAGTGCTCTGAGTCACAACCTTGTGATCGTACCGTACAGTTCGATGACTTCCGGGTGTCACCGTGTCAGCCCGGGCATGAAAGGTCCGTCGCTGGTCAGCGATGCACCTCGCCGAAAGCTTGGTTGACGTCGACGACAACGATTAATTATAATTTGTACTGTCTCGTGCATACTGTGCAGTAAGTGAGCTAAACAAATTATCGACGATTAGCGTTCATAATCACACTAATTTCGTTCGCCGAGTGGCATCTAATTCAAATCAAATAAGCACTTCATCCTTTCTCTCAATCAAAAAACACAAGTATTCCAAGTGAAGCTTCTATGAATGGCATGGCTGCTCTTAGCTTATTGCACCACAAAACAATCTACTTTTACACAAGCTTCTTAAGAATATTCACCTACAGTATATCGCGCTTCCATATATAAATTTATAGTGGATGCTTCAGGGTTCGGATGGACTAGGAGTTGCTGACTTTAAAAAATAATAAGGACAGTGACAATAATGTTTTCATAACAGCCGCGGAAAAAATCACTCACGTTTATATGTTACCATGCAACGAGAATTGATATTGGGGAAGGTCAGAAAGCATAGTGATTAGGAGAATGAGTCTATCAGCCCGAGTACGAAACGAGCAGTTACGACTTTAGGCTCAAGTCATTGTTACACTCATCCTCAACCGCCATTCATTCGATTGTTGCATCAGCTGGACTTTGAGGTGCAGACTAAGCGAATCAAGGTGTGATTCGTTGAACGCCACAAAGGACTTCAACATATCTATCTCGCGAATGCTCAATGAGGCACAAATATTCCGACTGAACTTTTGGAATTTTCCCGAGTTTGTAGATTTTTTTTAGTTTTCATCAGCTTGGCTTTGATGGCAAAAATGCGACGTTCCGACGTTACGGTAGCAAGTATTCCGGGTCTGCTTAATTGATGGATATTCGGCGTGGATGCTGACGGAATCTTAACAGCACCCCAATACTGAGCACAATGAGGGTAGGCAAAGCAACTCGTGAACTTCAAGTTGTAGACTAAAGATCATTGTCAGATAGATATCATGGTAAAGGATATCTTAGACGCCAAAAATAGATCGTCGAGTGGCCCGAGTACTCACATTAACACTGCATTAAACGCAGGTACGTGTTTAAGGTACAGACATGGCATTTTTAGATAGTATTATTTTGCAGATTCTTCACTTTAAGATCGATGACAACAGACCACATTGATTAAAAACAGGTCATGATCTAGAATTAGCGACAACTCGTATTACATGAAAGTTGCGAAGTTGAGCTCACGAGAACTAAAGCGTTTCGATCACGGCGATGAGGATTGATTCTCGGCTGGCAGCATATGTCCACTTGACGTGTCGTATGCAAAATCGTCACATAGCTCTTCAACTAGTTGGATTCACTTGGTTCTACAAGCTGCATTCCCAGCCTTGCCTACTATCGGAATTAACCTCGGCAGGAAAAGTTTGGTTGACGTATGAGCTCCGCATGGCACTGTGCTAGGTGATACAAGTACACAAATCTTGAAATACAACCTCGTGTTCCTAGCTATGACAAGGGGCTCAGATCGTTGGGCTCGGCCGCTGGGCATCAATGCCACAATCGACATGCATGATCAAGGTACTTGCATTCCCGCAGCACATGGTATGAGACATGGTGTGACCTTCAGTCGCCGCTGACTCGCAACACAAGCAAAGACCAGCCTGCAGGAAACTTGCTATCACTTTTGTAGCCTTCTCTTGTCTGAGGGCACAATGCTAAAACCTCTTGAGAGAGATGGCAGTGATAGCAAGATGTCGTTGGTAATAGAATGGGTATTGTGCCATGCATTGGGTAACGTCTGAATATCCAATTGTTTAGTAATCTTCTGGATGATAGCGTGATGATTATTCTGCGTAATGTTCAATCCATCAAAAGACTTGCAATTTTCTTTCTACATTTCGATTGATTTTAAGCTAAAGCCTCAAGTGTTTAGCTAGACCCGACCAACAAACCCATCAGTGGATGTAGAGATTAAGCGAGTGTGTGATATCTGTAGCCCGGAGATCTTTTGGTCATGAAACTTCAGTAGTTGTCTATGGCAATTTTTTGAGTGACTACTTATTCGTCCGTCAACTCAGATGGGGAAGGTCAAGGATAGGAGACAAAGCTATAATGGAACAAGCGCAAACAGAAACGATTATTCTCTACGCTAAACCTCATAACGAAGCAACGAATGTGACATTACTCTTTGATTGAACAAATTCGTTTATACTTATCATCAGAAAATATGAGAATTAGCTGAAAAGCTACTGACGCAACTTTACCGAGTTAATTGTCATATAATAATCTATATATGATTTGATTTTTACACTGACTGAGTCAATGATAATGCTTTGGTGCACAAAAGAAGATACTCAACTAAAAGACAATACTAGGTTTGGTTCTACTATCATGAACTATAAAATATTAATTGGATAAAGTTGAAGTGTGGACGAAGATGAAGTGTGGACGAAGATGCAGTAAAAAGTCATGATTCGGGAAGACTTTGTGCTCGCGCCGTTGGCAGAAAGTATGACTGTGGGAAATTTCTGTATTAAAACACCGTTCACATCTCTATTTTTATTACATGCCAATTACCCAAGAATCCCGAGATTTGCATACCATTCCTCCCACCACTACCTAGTAGTCCAAAGCTCTAAATTCAACTGGAAACACCATATCACACCACTACATTAATACCCAAAATACCCAAAGAAACCAACACAACCCTATCAACCACCCTCCCTAGTTCCTAACCGTCCCCCCAACCCACTTCTGACTTCCATCAGCTTGTTTAACCCACCCCTGCGCACCCCCAAACAACCTCTCATGAGTCTGTTGATGTTGAGCATTCACATTAACTGGCTGCTGAGCATTCCTATGAACTGGCTCCGCAGGCTTCTGCCCAGAATCTTCTCCTGAGGAGGGGTTTGGCTTGCCGGGGACGACGCCAGCGGCGGCGGTTAGGCTGAGGGCTATGATGGGTCTGAGTTTCATTTTTGTGTGAGGATGGCTGAGGTGTGGAGGGGTGTGTGGATGGGGTGTGTGATGTGAAGTGATGAGAGAGGAGTAAGTGTGGTGTTGATGTTGTTTGGAAGTTTGTCGAGAGGGAGATGGTGTTGAAATAGTTTGGAAGCTAGTCGAGACAGAGATGGAGTGGATTTTGATTTTGAGAGAGGGGGATTAGATGGAGAGAGGGTTGGTGGATTTATAGCCCGGAGAAACAGATGATAAGTGCTTATTTACAGTATAAACCCCTATTCGAACAAGTATACAGAGCTAAGCTCCTGTGAATAACCCCAAGTACTAGAGCTATCAAAATACCAACACAGTGAATCTCATCATCGAACCTTAAGACAATAACTTCTATCCTATCATAATACCCAAACAATTCAAACCCCCACCAATCGTGTTCTTAACAACACAAAAATCATAATACTTTTATACCTAACAAGATTTAAACAAATTCCTTCCAACCACCCACCTAATTCTCACTAAATCACCTCACCAACAAACCACTCTCCCTCTCATCTTTCGTAAATCATTCCAACCCAGCCCGTCCAGGACATCTATCAATTCACACCTAACCCCTCAACTCCCCATTCTAACCCTCACCTCCTACCGACAAAACCACCGCACATCCTCCCAAAACCTCCCCTATTGAACTATTCCCTTATCCAAAATTCCTTCCTCTCACCACCCCTCATTACTCAACCCCCTCCCCTCTCCCCTTCCCCTTAACACCCCTAAAACCCCCATCAATCCCCCCCCAACTCTAAAACCCACACCCCTCTCGCAAAAATCAAAAAATCCCACCTACGTCCACCCTTAAAAATTCCGCCTTACCCCTCTAAACCCCCTTTCAAACCTCCGTATTCCCCTTTCTGCCATGTTATTCTAGATGTACAACAATGATAATGTACAAGATAAAGACAGGCTGAATCTACACACGAGCGTCCAAAGCGTTGATTCTATACTCTCTCCCCATAGACATATAAACAAGGTTTCAAACTCCATACATGACAAGATAAGAAAACGAAATATTGTAATACAAAGCCACATCAAACTCCTTCTCCCTTCCGACACGTAGTCGAAGATAAAACATGGTGTACAAAATCGAAGAAGGTGTGTTGGAAAAAAAGCTGAAAGCTGAAAGAGAGGGGTATTTACCATCTCAAGAGCACGAATCCAAACCCCTTACTCACACGCCTAGACAACCTGCCGTGTAAATCCTGCTTTGTAAACAGCCAGTCAAGTGCGTCACAGTGCAAAGGAAAGTAACTAGTAGGAAGACATCATTCAATCTCATTCAATCGCTTAAAACCAATTTCTATTTAACCACCCCTCCATTCTTGGCGCAAAGTATTCCAACCCTTTTATACTCCCATCCCAATGTCTAATCTACCCATCACCACCACACAATTCATCGCCATCATGACTTCACCACCACACAATTTACCAAGCCATCCACCTCAACCGCTCCAGCTGTCCATTCCGAACTGGTTCCTCACCACCAAGTCATTCAGAGAGTTGACTAACATCATACTGCGCCGCGTCATGATAGAGATCGATAAGACACCCGGCACTCCACGCCTGAGTCGGTGACTACAAAACAATTAGCACAACCCGAATAAACCACATATCAAGGATAAAACTCACAGAATCAGCACAATACTCCCCATTCTTCTGCGTCAACTCCGTCAATCCCGCCCAAGGACTCTCAACAATTGCCTCCTTACACCCCGCCAGTCTCCGCGTAATCTGTTGGAACGCCTCGGTCTTGCCCTCCGGTCCCTCTCTACGTTGAAGATCAAAATGCAGAAGCGCGCGAAGGAAGAATCCAGTAGGCCACAACCACTCAGGACCTTGATGGTAATTTCGTCCCTTGGAAGTAGCAAAGTCGTGGCTGTCTTCGCTGTTGTTGTAGTATGGACGGTAGTTGAGATCTGCCGGGTCGAGAGTAGCCATTCCAGTTGGGCCGCGAAGGACTTTATCTGCGAGAAGGAGAGCGTTGCGGGCGTGTCTTGGTTCGAAAAGAGATGGAGCGACGGTCATGGCGATTGGGAAGTTGGGACGGAGTTGGTAGTCTTCATATTCCTTGCCGGATTTGTAAAGATCTTTGTACATGCCTCTGCGATTGACAATCTTGGGGTTGATGTCGTAATTCTTGTCATCCTTGGAGTCAAGAGGAACATAGTAGCATCGCTCGAAATTCTTCTTGACGAGTGCGGCCCAGTCTGCGAATGTGATGACTTTATGATCCTTTTCGGATGTGCTCACACCAGCATACTTGTATTTGCCTTCCTTGTGAAGCTTGGCTAACCACAGCATTGTGCTGTAGTGGAGGCCAGTAATTTCGATAGCTGCTCCGTCACGTGGTGTGCCCGGTACACCTTTGCTTCCTGCTTTATCGCTTTCGCCCATCTTGTCCATCCAGGTTCCACAGTTGTCTTGGTTTCCACCAAAGATAATACCGGTGGACCAATCCACTGAGATTGCTTGATCAAAACCACCAGAACTCATTTGCATGTCGAGGTTTGGACCAGCATTTGCTTCACGAAATTTCATGCCAGTAGCATGACGCTGAAGAGCTTCTTGAATGATATCTTCCAGTGTCGATGTCTTTGAATAAGCTCTTGGATCATCAACCTCAAAGTAGGTGTCATCGTAAGGCAAGAAGCGTCTTGCTATTTTCTCCTTGAGGATGTCGATACCATTTGGAACAATGTTGACGTAGTCTTGAATCGTCTGCAACATAAACCAAATAGCATCCCTGGCGTTGTACCGGGGGTTGTCTCCGCTGCTGAGCAGGTTGGGTACCATACCGTGTTTCATAACGCTGGCAAATGCTAAAATGTGTTCTCTACACTCGGCATATCTACCTGTTCCAAGGTAAAGACCTCTAGCAGAGATGAAAACATCACGACCCCAACATCTCGCCCACTCGACTGCGAAATGTGGTAATCCTGCTGCCAAGCATGGGACAGCCTTCTTGGGATATAATGAAGAAGACTTGACAAATCCGGATTGTTGTACACTGACCATGGCAAGACTCTTCAAGAACCATTGTCCTTTTTGAACATTCTCACCCATCATTTCCAGACCCCGTTCCCACGCAGCCATATACGCGGTTCGGATGACTAGACCAAAGTATCTTGGTAACAAAAAGCTTGGGATTTTTCGGATCGCATCGAATCTTTCTTTCAGCCAGGTTGCGGGTTTTGACAACCTCTCGTAGCCTGACTTCTTCGAGATTCTCTCCAATCGCCCAACGATATAATCAAGTGCCCACTGCCCCTCTCGGAGGTGCTGGCATAGGGGATGAGCCAAGTTATTATCCTTGATAATGTTCTTAAGGACACTCCACCATCCTTGGAAACCTGCATAAACAAGCTTCCCGTGTCCAGGAATTTCATAGACGCTATCCTTGCCTTCACTGGAGTCCAGTTCCTCTGCGTCACATCGATACAAGACAAAGTTCAAATCGACAAGGTCAAGTTTGGAGAAAGCGGCTTTTGCACCTGAAGTTACGAAAGTGTCAAGACCAGATGAGTGCTCAGCACTAGGAATCCATGTCTCAAACAACGCAATGCTTCCAGGAGGAAATTTATCACGAACGGTGATGATTGTCTCGTCGCCCTTGGTCTCCATTCTGACTCCTGGAAGATCAACCACCTTGCTTGGTAAGCCCCTCAAGGTCTTCTTGTCTTCCATCACAGCCTTCTTTGCTTCCTCGCTGACATCGACTTCGAGCATCCAGCTCCCGAGATGTCGAGCTTTGGTACCACCCAGATGGACTGGAGCAAATCCGCCGTTACCATTGCCGTAACCTGGGTATGCGGTATGTGCGATCAAGAAGTATCCTTTTCGGGACTCAGGGTGGACGCGGTGTACGGTGACGTACTGGTCTTCGTGATGGATGTGAGTTTCGTCATATCCGTCTTTGCCCATGAGAGTATGGATCTGGTTCAAGAGCTTCTTGATGCCACCAATACCTCCTTCACCGCCACCAACTACAACTTGCTTGCTCGAGGAGGGAGATGAGTACAGTCTTGTCTCATGGACGAGATCGACCAGCTCTGGATAGATCTCATCGTAACCCATAACACTACCTGTCGAACTTGAACACATGCTAACAAGAGCAGCGTTAGGCAAAGTGTCTCTGGCATCTCGCTTCTGAGCTGGAACTTCGTTATCGTGAGTACAATCCATGAACAGAGCATGAACTGGCGTCTGCTTGATACGACGAATAATTTCGCGTTGTGATGTACCGTTCGTCTCGCCGTTGGTAGGAGAAGCCTTTGTATCGGCACCGGAAACCTCGTCCACCTCAAAGCTGCCAATTGGCCTGCCTCCGTGTCGGTGCACGAGACGGCTCAGTTCTCCAGTTGACCACGCTTGCATGGCTTCACGAATGAGCGAGCTCAATCCCAGACGCTTCACAAAGACGTAATCCATCTCCTCTGAGCCAGTAAATAGCTCGGCAACGACAAACAGATTGGGTCGTACCCGTCTAGCCTCGTCAAGCAAATATTCTGCAACGTGGATAGGAGTGGAATGGCAGTTGTCGATTCTGAAACCAGCAAAATACTTCGCCATCAGCCGAGTATATTTTGCCATATATTCCCACAAGAAAGGACTATCCTCCTTGGACTTTCCATATCGAAGCTTTACACAATCACCCCACACGATGACTTCTCTACGGAGGTACGCACGGGACTGAGGTCCAGCATTGTCGACGAGAGCATTCGCTGCCCATATCCAGCCATTGTTGACCAGTGCAAGATCTTCTTGGTTGTGCTTGGCGGTGATTGGGTTCTTTGGGAGTCTCGTGAAATAAGATTCGATAAGAGGGTTTTTGAGGTTGATCTCGCCGAGCTTAGGTCCGTGAGCGTCAAGTCGAGTGTACTTTGTCCTGTTGAAGACTTGTTCAAGAAGCTCTGCGACATCGCTATCGTACTCCTTGTACATGGGCAAATTCAGCTCATCCAACACCTTGACGATGTGACTGCGTGCAGCTCCGCGATCAGCAGAGTTGGACGCGTCACCTTGGAAACGACCATAGATTGCAGTCAATAAAGCTGCACCTATCGAGGGATCCACACTGCGGTAATAACGTTCACCTAAACGGTCCTTCCCACGAAGACCAGACCGGTTTAAAAATTCGGATTGCTGCGCTGGAGTCGAGTTCTTGATGGTTTCGAGTCCGCCAAAGTCAGATCCACCAAAGCCTTCTGCTGGGAAAGAAATATCACCCTTCGACCACGATTCGACCGCAGCATCTGCATCGCGCTCAACGTCGATTACGTAGTATTGCCAGAGCTTCAATTTGGCAATGACTTCTTTTTTCAGACTATCCATTATTTTGAGCAAATCATCCTCCGAATTCAAATTTGTTGGCAGACCGAGTTTGCTGAGGTTCTTGCTGAATTCGAGAAGCTCAGTGTCCAATTCCAGAGCAGATCGTAGCCAAGGGGCAGTTGAAACGTTATATCCGACCTCTGGATGTTCTTGTAACCACTTGCTGTTGTCCGCGGTATGATTCCAAACTACATCAGTGAGACCGAGTAAACTATACTTTTTCTCCATACTATCGACCAATTTCTTAACATCTGACTCTCCATTGGGGAAGTTCTCTGGATCCCAAGCCAATTGATCATATATACTATACGGCGAATTAGAAGCGCCCCGTTGCTGTAAAGGTGTGAAATGAATCATGTTGTAGCCTCGTTCACTGATGCCCCTAAGATGCTTGTCCCAGTCCGTTGGATATTTGCCCATGAATTTGGAGATCAGGGAGAAAATCGACAACGCTGCCAACGGGGTCTGCTTCCCTTCCAACGTCAATCGCGGAGCCACATCAATGTAGTAGGTGGGTGTTTGTGTAGGTTTGATCGTTTTAACCGCAGTTTCCTCGAGATCCGGAAGAGGGGCATAAGTTGTATAGAAGGCAAATGCGCCAGCGCCATGAATGGGTATCGATATTTCAATGGTTCGATTAAAGTCGGGCTCGAGCCTGCGCGTCTGTTAATTGATGACTGGGAGCATGCGGAAATCTCCTCTTCCTACTTGAACTCGCGGAACTTCTCCCGTCTGAACTCAGCGCCCTCCTCGGGGATGTTGACCCAAAGGCTGCCATGTCGACAGATGGAAGATGTGCCCTCGATTTCGAAGCGCACAATGATGGGCGCAGATGACTGTGGTGCTAGGTAGATGTATCCGCCTGGGACATCCGGACTTCCATCATCCTTCAACGGAAGGAGGTACACCTCGTGGGAAACCATCGTCTTAGGAGCCATGTCAGTGTAGTTCTAGGTAATATATAAATCTGATTATGGAGATAAAACCACAATTGCGATGGCAATTCCAGATTGGCATGCGCCGGTAACGATTGTGATGGGAATGATAATGGGCAAAAGCCTCTCTCGGGGGCAGATCGTCAGGTACGTACGGGTATATGCAGAGAACGGTGAGAAACGACGGTAGACGGTGTGCGGTGAATCGGAACGGTTTAGCACTAATGATATGCACGAACAAGAGTAAGAACGACGAGTAACGATGGCGAGAAGTCACGGTGGCTACTCTTGGATTGAAAATGCAGCTTCTCGTTGGCGGGGAGAATGCGAACGCGACTAGGAGAGTAAGACAAAAGCAGGCTAACAGAGGACAAGCAGAAAAATCAAAAGAGTTGGGGAGTTAGCTTGGTTTTTGCTGCTCTTGACTGACTGGAGCTCGTTGTGAGTGGAGTGGCATAAGTCGTCCGGAAGTTAAAAAAAGTGCTCCGTACGTCATGAAGCAGGGCACGGCTGTGGGTTCGAAGGAGGTGGAGTGGGAGAGTGGCTCACGATGGTCTGTGCGGTTGAAACCACGAATGCGACTTTCACTTCTCCCTTCCAAGATTGAATAGCAATAAAGCGGTCAATCTGCGACATGTCAAGCTTTGAAGGGTTTGGGCTCACAGGATTAGTTGCACGTCGTACTCATTATCGTCTTCACCTTATCTCTAGCAATATAACACCAATTGATCTTGCAGAGTAGTCTCTCGTTGTTCATTTGCGCCTCAGCTTGGTGGTGGTATTTTGGGATTCGAATATCATGTCAAAACCCTTTGCCCAAGACTCAACTTTCTATTTTGAGTCAGAACTCTGTTTGTTATCTACATCCTAAATCCGCAGTCATGAGCTTTGACGGTGAGGGATTTGTTGCTTTCAAACACCTAGGCACAAGCCTGGCTTTACGACCTGGCCAGATTTTGCCCAAAAACGACAGAATCTGGGCGCTACGTTGGAACGGCGCTATCTATTTCACCCAGGCCATTCTCACTATTTAAAACGTACGTAATTTGAGTTCTAACGTCACATGATATCCTTAATCTTTCATAAATTTTCATTGCAATTGCGATTGTGGTAACATGCCGTTCCTATCGAATAATACCGTCTTTTCGTGCGGCTCTTCTCTGCCCCCACGCCATGCACTTTCACATGATCTTCACAAGCTAGACGATTCTGCCCGAGCTATCCCCCACCACTCGGCGGTGAGACTCAACTCACGACTCAACGTAACCCTGCCGATCCAACATGACAGCTCGGGACGGAGCGGGCACAAGACAACATTCTGAATGAGGTAACTTGCATATTTCAACGAACAACCTGCCGTCACCCATTCGAATTTGTTGATACCCTTCGTTCATTCTGCCTAACACATTACAAACTTCAGTCAAACCCTTGCTCTCTAACAGAGTACATGATTTCGAGCAAAATTGCAAGCACTATTAGAGCTTCATCCAGACTTGCACAAGTATCCCACCAGTATGTATGACAGGATTCCGTTGTTAATACCCGCAGTACCTCGGTGTCTCAGCAACTTTTTGTTTTTCTTCATTTTTTCAGTTTTGACTCTATACCCCTCTTTACAACTCGCACATATAAATCAAACCAGCCGCTAACACTGACAATCGATAGATTCCACTCCACGCCGCGCAGCATGGCTACCCTAGGTGCTCCCTCGAAGAAACATAAGGTGACGGTAGTTGGTTCTGGTAATTGGTAGGCAATAATATGGCAACATTCTGCAATGTATATGCTAAGAGTTGTAGGGGATCAACGATAGCCAAAATTGTTGCCGAAAACACAAAAGCGCACCCCGAAACTTTCGAAGAAGATGTGCAAATGTGGGTGTACGAAGAAGAAGTAACCATACCGAAAGAGTCGAAGCATTACGACGAGTCATCCGGAGATAAACCTCAGAAACTTACAGAAATAATCAACAAGTACCACGAGAACGTCAAATACCTCCCAGATATTGCGTTGCCCAAGAATATCATTGCGAATCCTTCGGTAGAGGAAGCTGTCAAGGACTCTTCTATCCTGATCTTCAACTTGCCTCACCAATTTATTGGCCGCATCTCGAAACAACTGGAAGGAAAGATTCTACCTTTCGCAAGAGGTGTCTCCTGTATAAAAGGTGTAAATGTGACGGAGTCTGAAATCAGTCTTTTCAGCGAGTGGATTGGCGAAGGTTTGGGAATATACTGTGGTGCTCTTTCTGGAGCAAACATTGCAAACGAAATCGCACTTGAAAAATGGTCGGAAACTACAGTAGCTTACGATCCTCCTGTCATCGACTCTCAGGCCGCGACACCAACTGGACCATCTCCATCTAGCTCTCAGATCAATCTTACCATTACAGACACGGACAAGCAACAGGATCTTAAAGATTCGCGTGGCCGTACGACCAAGGCTAGACTAAGGGCTGTGCCATCTTCGTACCCTCCTCTTGACCATTCAGTCTTCAAATCGCTATTTCATAGACCTTATTTCCACGTGCGAATGGTTTCAGATGTCGCAGGTGTTTCTCTTGGTGGAGCGTTGAAGAACATTGTCGCATTAGCGGCAGGATTTGTTGAAGGGCGAGGATGGGGTGATAATGCTAAAGCTGCCGTCATGCGAGTTGGTTTATTGGAAATGGTTGAATTCGGCAAAGAGTTCTTCGGCCACTCTGTCCACACAGCTACCTTTACTGAAGAAAGTTGTGGTGTCGCAGATCTGATCACTAGTTGCAGTGGAGGTCGTAACTTCAAGTGCGCAAGGATGGCAGCTGAGAGGAACGTCTCCGTTGCAGAGGTTGAGAAGACAGAATTGAATGGCCAAATGCTTCAGGGAACAAGTACCGCTAAGGAGGTCAACAGTTTCTTGAAAGCGAGAGGAAGAGAAGATGCATATCCACTTTTCAAAGCAGTGCTCGGTAAGTTGTCCAATTTCATCACTCTCGGACGCGGCTGATAATGTACAGATATCCTTGAAGGACGAAAGACGGTGGATGACATTCCGGATTTGGTGGCGAGACCTGATGAATGAAGTGTAGATCTTTTCTTTATCAGAAAACCGTTCTAGACATGCGCGGGTGTTCAGCTTGGGGTTGATGGTTAATGATAGATCAGAATGCAGGCGAACTGCGAATCAAATTTGAATTACATTTTAATCATACATTATACTGGTTTGACAATTCTCTGCGCGTCTCCGAAGAACCTCTACGACCTCATTTGAGATTATGAAAATAGTGAAGGTAAGATACATGAGTTAGTTTTGAGAAGTATACTTGTAAATATGCAGTATAGCTTTAAGAAGCATCTAGATTTAAGCCGTTTAAACAATAGTTTGGAAAAGATGTATTTAATTCGACGAGCGCCGAACTCGGCGATGGCGAAGCATGCACCATTCCCCACAGATCGGAAGCTCTTCGGAGAAGTGACATCGTCAAAATAATTCAAATCCAGGACCCCGCCATTTGCTCCGAAGAAATATTACAGTAAAAACATTTCACATTTCTTGTTGAAAAATTCCAGCGAACTCAGATATTCTTGTGAGAATTTACTATGGCTGCGGTAAGACAAATCAATTCAGCGTTATAGAGCTGGCACATTGAAATATTCAGCTTCTGACTCACTCATAGACCTACCATATCGACAACCCAAATGTGGGAAACAAAGCTGATACGGAAGATTGGAGAAGTAGGAACTCTTTCCCTTCATTTCACACAAGTAAAATTCTAATTGACAACCTTAGTTCGGGGATATAATCCATTAACTCCTCCTGATCTCCTCCAACACGAAATCCCCCAGACACCGAAATCGAAAGAAACAGTACTAAGCGGTCGCAACGAATCTGTCGCCGTAGTTAATGGTACTGACTCCAATCAAAGACTTCTTGTAGTCATTGGCCCTTGCTCAATTCATGATCCCCCAGCTGCCCTCGAATACTGCGACAATTTGGTAAAACTCAAAGAAAAATACAAGGATGACTTACTTATTGTCATGCGTTCCTACCTCGAGAAGCCACGGACCACAGTCGGATGGAAAGGACTGATTAACGATCCGGATATCGACAATAGTTTCAAGATCAATAAGGGATTGAGGACATCACGACAATTGTTCGTGGATTTGACGGAAAAAGGAATGCCACTTGCGAGTGAGATGTTAGATACCATCTCTCCTCAATTTCTGGCAGATCTTTTGAGTGTAGGAGCTGTCGGCGCGAGAACTACCGAAAGTCAATTGCACCGAGAACTTGCCAGTGGGCTTAGTTTCCCTGTCGGATTCAAGAATGGCACAGATGGGACACTTGGTGTTGCGATTGATGCGATTGGGGCCGTAAAGCATCCTCATCACTTCTTGTCGGTTACGAAACCTGGTGTTGTGGCCATTGTGGGCACAGTTGGGAATGAGGATTGCTTCGTTATTCTCAGGGGTGGTACTAAAGGCACGAATTATGACGCGGACAGCATCGCTGAGGCGAAGGCGGCGCTGGATAAGGCGGGTGTCAATCCTAGATTGATGGTTGATTGCAGTCATGGCAATTCTCTGAAGAACCACAAGAACCAGCCAAAGGTTGCGAAGGTTTTGGCGGAACAGATTGAGAAGGGAGATAGTTCGATCATGGGTGTTATGATTGAGAGTAATATTAATGAGGGTGAGCACTTCGATGTCTATCAAACTTATATTGCGCCCTTACTGACTATTGGACAGGCGCACAGAAAGTACCAAAAGAGGGCAAGGCTGGTCTGAAGTATGGTGTCAGTATCACAGATGCTTGCATTGGATGGGAAGACACGGAATCAGTACTAGAACTTCTAGCGAAATCGGTTCAGACTCGTAGAGAATTGTCTAAAGGCGCAAATGGACACTCATAAAGCATTGCGCAGCATGGAACCTCCGCATTTAGGACAGAAAATCTACTCCAAATGGGAAAAATAAAAGCCGTGAGAATTTATATGTGGGACAGCTCCTTGGTTAGTACTTCATGAGCATTAAAATTTGGACGTAATATACGCATGGGTAGCTTGATTGCTTGTTGAAGAGTCTGGAGCCAATTAAAAGTTCTTGAATTGTAATACTTAAAAATAAAGAATGTATAATCATGCCGGAACTTTTGCCTCGTCGTATCTCTTCTATAGGCGAGATAATATGAATTGATATTATTTGTATTATACAATATATCTATTTTAATGGTTCGCTAGGGGTTACGCTAATTCATGAGACGCCTTTCAAGTACGACTTAGATATCACCATTTTTAGCACTATTGAAGTATGTTTAGTTGTCAAAAATTTACTGTCAGTATATTGTATACATATGTTTAGATTCTTTTCTCCATTTTAAACCTATCTGTAAGATTTTTCGTACAAATTTGGTTAAGTTGTACGCAATTCTGCGGTATTCTATTTCAAGTGTGTTAAAGAAGAATTTGATAGGGTCTCGGAAGGATAAAGGTGGAAATAATCAGTACGAGTTGCTTGGTATGGTCTTATCTGACTACATTCCAAGGTTGGTTGTGCAGCGGTACAGGATGCGGTGGTATGTGAGAAAACTTTGTAGGATGGATACAAAAAGAGACATTGGGGAGGAACAGAGATTCGAAAAGTATATATATAAGATGAGTAACGTGTTTTGGTGTTTTCCGAAGCGTGGTGGAGTGGCAGGCGGATCACGTGCACCCAGCTTTACATCGCATTACATTTAATTGGTTGAAATTCAAGTCTAAGGAACCATTCCCGAATCAAATTCGAACGACTCCCATCGACGCCCGTATCAACATCAATCCACCCTCTCCACCAACCCATTGAGCCTCAACACCTCGAGAGTATCGTTCTCTAGTCGAGGCTTCTGCGCTCAAGATGTTGTCTAGATCATATTTGCGCTCGATGCGCTCGGTCGGAGCTGCGCGGAACGCGGCCGTTAACACATCAAAGGTACGATCCAATATCTACGGCTTCAATCGACAATATACCGGGATGAGGAGGTCGAAGATGGATCGGAAACGAGTTACTGGGCTGGACGTATGCTGACGATTTATTCTGTAGCGTGCTGCTTCTTCGAGCTCGTCGACCGCAAATGCCGCTTCCCCTTTCGCTTTGAACCTTGCTGGTACCACTGCTACTGCCGTAGCTGTCGGAACAATGGCTTGGTATTATCATCTATATGGTCCTGAGCTACACGCAATGACACTTGCTGAAGAAGGGTGAGTGATGGATTCTGCGCCTCCGATTGCCTGCTGGCGGACAGTACGCTGCATCTGGCCGAGGATGGATGGCAATAGAGGAAGACATGGATAAACGGATACAATGACTGACATGGCCATAGTCTCCACGCCACAAAATACCCATGGGTTCACGAGAAATACTTAAAGACATTCGATCACCAAGCGTTAGTAATTACCAATATCCACTGTGAACAGCGCACTAACCATCGACAGTCTTCGTCGAGGTTTCCAGGTTTACCAAGAAGTTTGCGCTTCATGCCACTCCCTTAGCCGAATTCCATATCGATCCTTGGTCGGTGTCACCCACACGGTCGATGAGGCAAAGGCGATGGCCGAAGAAAATGAATACGATTCCGAGCCAAATGACGAGGGTGAAATCGAGAAACGACCAGGAAAGCTTTCCGATTATCTCCCAAGTCCATACAAGAACGATGAGGCTGCACGTGCTGCCAACAATGGTGCTTTGCCACCAGATCTTTCTTTGATGGTCAAGGCTCGTCACGGTGGATGCAATTATATCTTCAGTTTGTTGACTGGTTACCCCGAGGAGCCACCAGCTGGTGCCACCGTTCAAGAAGGACTCAACTTCAACCCATATTTCCCCGGTACTGGAATCGCCATGGCCCGTGTTTTGTACAACGAATTGGTCGAATACGAGGATGGTACTCCAGCTTCAACCTCCCAGATGGCCAAGGATGTTGTTGAATTCTTGAACTGGGCGGCAGAGCCAGAGATGGACCAGAGAAAGAAGATGGGAATGAAGGTTCTTGCCATTACATCCGCCCTTTTCGCATTGAGTGTCTGGGTCAAGAGATACAAGTGGTCCGCAATCAAGACAAGAAAGATCCAGTACACTGCACCACAGATGGGAGGACGAAATGCCCCAAAGCATTAAATGGTTAAAACGCGATGGAGTTTCTTCCTTTTGTCATAGAGATTTGGGTGATGGGGGAGAATTGTTCTACTAGTTGTTTTTTTTAAAGCAGTCTTGCATGGAGAGGAAGGAGGGGTGCGGGGTGGTGAAATATGTATAAAGAATGGAATGGGACTCTGTCTATTAGTGGTGGTAGAGAAAGAGTTTATTAAAGCTCTTGCTTGTAAGGTGAGATGAAAGCAGAAGAGATGTTGAATGTGAAGATCTTTAGATTGTTGAATTACTCGATTTTTGAATCTATGATGCTCCACTCTTATGTTATGTTTGTGTATAGGCACTTCTCACTCGACGTGGAAACTTTTGATGTTTATTGTCTCTTTCCCATTGAAACTTGCTTCTACAGAATATTTACTTTGAAGAGATGAAGAAGGACCAATTCACGATTCAGTTCTGAAGTAAGCTACCCCTGTAAACGCGCGACAGGGATCGTCACGATAAGGGTCCACCTCGATTAACTTTTTGGACGACTCGTACGCGACGACCGCGACATTTTGCGAATATTGAATTCCCGATATTCTGGATTTTTAAACCCAAGTGTGGATTGGGAGATTATTCAAGGAGGGTTTAAGGGACTGTAGTAGGGAAATTCTTGTTTGCGATTGCGATTTGGAAGAGGCTATTGACATTGCCTTTCGACTTCAACTTCGCATCCGAAATACCACGCACGCACTGGCGGATTGTTGATCGCGACAACGAATTCGAGGATCACGATACACGGAACTTGTATAGAGGAGGGTGGAGTTAAGATATGGCACCTCATACCATCTCCCTCACGCACGACGAGGTTTGGACTACTTCTGGAACCAGCGAAAGTGAAGGTGGTGTTAAGATCTCTCGCAAGGGGAAGAAAATCGTACATTCACCCTCTCCAAGCTTCACATAATGCTAATTCGCTTGGATTAGATCGAAGATACTACGCCTCCGCCATCCAGTCAACCACGTCCAGAACCAGACGCTTCCTCGGACAGTGCGAGTTTATTGGAGAACTACGACATCGATCCTGCACACGAGGAGTTTGTAAGGGAGGTCCTGAGTGTGGCGCCGCCGGGGGAGGTTATGCAGTTGGGTGTTGATGTTGAGAGGGTGCTTGAGATGGCGAAGAAACAGATTGAGGGGGTTGCGAGGGGGTTGGTGGCTGGGGAGGAGGGGAGGAAGAGGAAGAGGGAGAAAGGTGGAGAGAGAAGTGCGTTAGTGAAGGAGGTGATGGCTAAGAAGGCTAAGAAGGCTAAGCTTGGTGAAGAGGGGAATCATGGGACGGCGTTGACGGAGGAGGAGAAGAGGGGGAGGAAGGCTGCGAAGAAGGAACGGCAGAAGGCTAGGAGGGCGCTTGAGAAGGCTCAGAGTGGTGCGGCGAAGAAGGATGGTGTGTTGGAGACGAATATCGCACCAAATAAGGATTTCGCGCCAAAGAAAGAAGATATCAAGCCATCCACGGAGACATCGAAGAAACCTGCTGTCAAACAGACACCTGTTCCGGTACCTTCGTTTCCAAAACCTAAATCCGTCAACGAGGTTCGAAGGAGCTCTTCGATGAGCGAGAGTCCTGTTCCGGTACTGTCGACTATACGACCTCGATCTACTGTAGGGCTGAGGAGGGATTCCTCTGCTATGAGCGAGACACCTGTTCCGGCACCTCGATCTGTTGCGAGTCTGAGAAGAGCTTCTTCTGGCCAGACTCCTATTCCAGTTCCATCACTCTTTAAGTCTAAGATGCCAACAGTGGCGAGGATAGACTCTTCGATGAGCGAGACTCCTGTTCCTGTACCTTCAGTTCCGAGCTTTAAAAGAGCTTTGGCGGCGCCCATCGTTACTGTTACGTCAATTGGAGCTTCTAAGGTCGAGGGTGATGATCAGGATGAGAAAGAGACATCAAAGCTTAGCTCTGAAGAGAAAGCACAAAGAAAGGCAGCGAAGCGTGAGCGGAAGAGATCGGAGAAACAATCAGAGGTTATTACTACCATCGAGTCCACCGAATCCGTACCCAAGAACAAGCAGTTAAATGGCAAGCTCTCGGCCATTGAGTCCTCCATTCCTGCGCCATCGAGAAAGCCCACCACACCTACAAAATCTCAGAAGAAAGCGAAAGTAGGACCCATCAAATCTGAATACTTCTCTGAACCAACTCCCACTAAAGCCTCCCTAGAAGTCACCGAAGACCGAAAAGCACGTAGAAAAAAGAAAATAGCACTCCGCAAAGCTGAAGCTTTGAAACCTACGCCCGCCGGATTGAATCAGCTGAAGCAAGAACAAATCCAAGAAATCACAGCCGGAGCAGCAAGATTGGAGAACTGGTCTCAGAAAGCTGAGAGCGTCAAGAAACTCGCGACGGGATCGGGCTTGCCAGATGATTTGGTTGCGAGTCTGGCTAAGGCTAGGGAGGCGGTTGAGAATGCTATGTTGTTAGGTATTGAGGGTGCGGGGGTGGTAGAAAATGGCGAGGGTGAGAAGGATGAGAAGAAGAAGAAGCGGAAGAGGAAGAGAAATCATAATTTGTTGAATGAAAGTGGTGAGAAGGGCGAAACTGTGGAGCTTGCGGCACCAGATGAGACTATTGTTGATGAGAAAGATGAGGTTGCACCTGCAGAGGCTGATGGGCTTGGTGTTTCTGCTAAGGGAAGTGAGAATAAGAGGCAGCGGAGGGATAGGGGACGGAAGCCGAAAGTGGAGGTGCCAACAGAGGCTGGGACTGCTGAGGTCGTGGCCGTATCTGAGGAGACTGAGAAACCGAAGTTGAACAGGAGAGATCGCGGTCGTAAATCAGTCGCCGAGGTCTCGAAGACAACTGGCAATCATGCAGAGCCTTCGCTGGACACGTTTGCGTCGGAAATTCAGGCTTCGTTGGTTCCTGAGATTGCGATGCTTTTCGACACACTAACGGAATCTATGCCAAAGATACCGAAGGGGTCGCAGGTCGAGATTACGGCTGCAGTTGAGCCGCAGGCGTCACAAACGGGAAAAGAAAAGAAAGGCAAGAAGTTGAAGATGCCTGTGTCGGCACAGGTTGTAACTGCGGCTGTGGAGCAGTATGACCCAGTCGTTGAAGTTGCTTCATCACCAGCTAAGACACCGAAACGATCGAAGACGAAGACTCCCAAATCTTCTAGCCAAGATATCCGGATACCCTCGTCACAACCCGAATTCCCACTACAACAACAGTCCCAGCTCACAGACCCATTCGTCGACGCAAAAAATACAGCCAAAGACGCAACCAAGCTATCACAGCCCCTCTCCGAACTCCCAGACACCAACCGCAAAGTCAAAAATGGACGTAAAAATCGACTAAGCAAGACAGTTGCGGGAGAATCTGCATCAAAAGATCACCACTCGTAGGAGGCCAGGACTCTGCGAGTGGTGGTGTTTTCCTGGATCGAAATACGAAGGAACAGCATGTATTTGGTAGAAGCGAGGTACAGGTTGTGATTTATACTCCTGCTAGGAACTTTATGGATGAAAGGCAAGATGAGGGGGTTGAGTCTGATAGACGTGATTCAGTGAGATTGCCGAGCGATTTGAGGGGGAGGTTTGCTTCTGTTAGGAAGAGTGGTGGTGATATTCCGAGTGTGGGAATGGCAGAAAGGGGGAGTGGGCTTGATGATGAGTCTGCACCGATGCTATCTGAGCGAGATGGGAAGGGCAAATTCGATGGCTCTTTGGCACTGCCCAGGGATAAGAAAGGTCGATTCTCTTCTGCTAAGAAAGACAGTGCCGAGAGAGATCTGGCGAGCAGCACGCCTGATATCGTCAACTCAGCGGCACTAGTGCGAAACAAGAAGGGTAGATTCTCTTCTGTCAAGCGAGCCAAAAAGGATGCTTCGAAGGACGCTGCGAAGTCTTCAACTATGAGCGATAACAGCCGTCGACCTTCCTCTGCTAGCGAAGCCTTTGTCGACACCCCCAGTTTAGATATCAGAGACAGACGACGAAGCTCTTTAGCTGCTATAGACAGGATCGCCTTGCAAGCATCGCTTGAAGATCAAGCATCCACTATCTTCGATCAATTCGTCGACGATGTCCCTTCTTCGACTGTCTCTCGTAAAAGGAGAACTTCTGCGCCTGCGGTGAGTAGGTCACTTTTCGGGAAAGGTGTACCTGCTTCAGATGATGGATCTGTTTGGGAAATGCCTGTGCCGGTAAGGAACGAGAAGGGGCAGTTTGTGGGCGAGAGTTCTACGTCTGCGGTGAACAGATCATCTTCCAAGCCTTTGCTGAACACATCAACCCCCAGTAACAAGAGAGCTACTTCAAATAACAAGGCCGCCTCGGATGACGGGTCGTTATGGGAAATGCCTGTATTCACAAGGAATCAAAAGGGACAGTTCATAAGCCAGACTCCTGAGAAGAGCCCAAAGACGAAGGTACGAGATTCTGCAAAATCTGCAAAATCTCCAGGCTCTATGTCAAGAGCTGTTCCTACGCCAGTCGCGAATGAAAACGCCAGTGAAGACGGGTCTGTATGGGAAATGCCTGCGATCCCAAGGAGCCCAAGAGGACAACTCGCAGGCCAGATTTCTGCAAAAAGCGCAAAAGCGAAAGCACCGAATTCTGCAAAACCTGCAAGCGCTAGATTGACAGACGTTGCTACACCACAAGAGAAAGACGCTGCTATTGAAGACGGGTCTTTGCCGGAAGCGCCTGTACTTCCACGGACTTGGAGAGGACGATTCGCTAAGATCCGGACGAAGGGAAAGAAGAAAGTAGAAGCTTCAGCAATATCTAAAAGCGTCAAATCAGGAGATGTTCCTACACCAGATGCAAAAGATGCTGCTAGGGATGATGAGCAATTCTTTGATACACAAGAAACAGCTGAGGAGCAAATTGAGGATGCCAGCGACCATCCGGATCCCTCGACAAATGTACCAGTTGTTGTGACGGAATCACCAATAATACCCAAGCCTATCGATGAAACTGATCACTCGTTGTCGAATAATCCTGATGCCACTATGACACCACAAACCCTAATAAGCCCCGCCCAGCCAGCTCATCAACCGAACAGTTCTAGACGACGGACATCTATGTTCTTCTCTCCACCAGCGAAAAGAATGAAACGGAATAAAGCAGAAGACTTTTTCGAAAAATCCGAAAAGCCGCTGGTGGAGTCGCCCAATAAGGTGGCTCTTCAAGAGGAGGAAGCTGAGAATTCTCCCATTAGGCTGGAAACTCAAGATGTTGTCCGTGAACTCCCAGAAGAAGTCAACGAAGCTACCGGCAGCCCAATAGTAGCAAAAGAGAAACCGAAACGTCCTCCAGCCAAATCACCGTATTTCCAGATACCTACAGCATCACCTGCCAAGAAAAGCAAATCAAAGGCCACCAACATTGTCGAAGGGGAACCCTCAACCAGTCTCCCACCCTCAACGCCTAAAAAGTCCAGCCCATCAAGTCCTAATAGACGCTCACCTGGAGGCGTCGTATCATGCATCCCCTTCCCACCACTCTCCTCCCCAACCTTCGGCCTCATCCAAGAAAAGCTCGCCCACGACCCCTTCCGCCTCCTCATCGCCGTCACCTTCCTCAACCGCACCCGCGGCAAACAAGCCATCCCCGTCTTCTTCTCCCTCGTCGAAAAATACCCTACCCCGTCCGCCCTCGCCGGCGCCAACAGAGAAGACATCGTCGACATCATCAAACATCTCGGCCTCCAAAACCAGCGCGCAGCGACGTATCAACAGTATGCTAAGCAGTGGATTGAGGAGTCCCCGGTGAAGGGAAAGAGGTATGCGGTGAAAGGGTATCCGGAGTATGCGGATGGGAGGGATGTTAAGAGGGGTGAGGTGCTGGGGGAGGGGGATCAGAGGGTCGGTTGGGAGATTGGTCATATGACGCAGGGTCCTTATGCTATTGATTCTTGGAGAATCTTTTGTAGGGATGAGTTGAGGGGGTTGGCTAGTGATTGGAATGGGAGGGATGCAGTGAGCGCAGCGAACGTAGTCAGCTCGTCGAATACCGACCGAGAAGCCAATTCCATCGGCGAAGGCAAGGTCTTCCAACCAGAATGGATGCGCGTCCTTCCCGAAGATAAAGAGTTGAGAGCCTATCTCCGCTGGATGTGGTTGAAAGAGGGGTTTGAGTGGGATCCGTTCACGGGTGATAAGGATGTTGCGTCTGAGAGCTTGCTGAGAGCTGCGGAGGAGGGGAGGGTGGTTTGGGATGAGATGGGGGGGATGAGCGTGTTGGATGAGGTTGGGGTGTAGGGGTGGTTGTGGAAAGGATATGGTAAGGGTGTGGTAAGGTGAGGTGTGTACTAGGTGGTATATCTGCTGTGGTGTCTTTGGTGCGCGTTTGTAGATTAATGAGTTTTGCATTGGGAATGGATGGGGTGTTGGTGGCGGTGTGTGGATCTTAGGGAGAATAGAAGAGTGTGTAACGAAGAATATATTGTGACTTCAAATATCGACTGATTCTTTTGGGTTAATTAAGGCTGGAAATGAGCTGTTGATGTTGATGTAGATCTTGAAGGTATTTTTTTATGAGGTTTTTGTATATAAATTATTGTTGTTGTAGTATATACGTGTACTCAACGAGGAATATTGGGATAAAGGGACTGCGGCGCTTAGGTTATCCCTTTTCGATTGTATATGAGATAATTAGCTCCTACTAGTTTATATTCATTCTTCCCAGTGAGGTAAATAAGATACCTTGGGATATTGAAAATAAAACACACAAAACTAAATCAATTAACATGTGTGTTAAGTTCTCGATATCTTAGTCTTCATACCTATACGATGCAAGAAGAATCTGCCCCATGAGATATTCGGATGGAGTTTTATGAAAGTCTTGATGAGGGAGGTAGATTTTCTTGTGTTGAATGACGGGATGTTGTGGTGGATACGGTGGATGTGGTGGAGAGTTGACGGTTCGATGGGTGAGGGGATGTGGAATGATGAGAGGTTTGGGTTGAGTAGTGGTTGGGAGGTAGAGGAGTGTCTAGGTAGAAAGCCTAAGACAGTGTTTGACGTGCCGCCTTTTTTGGGTGGACAGAGCAGGGGTTCGGAAAATTAAGGGGGAAGGTGTAACTTAGGTTGGGCTCTTAGGTTGCTAATTTTGAAAAATTACGAGAGTGTATTAGGCTAGTGTCTATTCTAGAGAGTGTATGATGAGATAATTTAAAAAAAACCCTTATTAAATCGTTGACGTAGATGAATGAAAAGTCATCCCGACTAGTTTTCTTCCAAATTTAAGCATGTAATCGTCTATTGTCTAGTACGGGTCGTTGAAAGCGCCGGCCGTGATATGAAAGGACGCTTGGTATAGGCGATGGAGCAAATGTAAAGGATACTCGGTTATGGATGAGTGGAGAGGCGTTACATTCGAGATTTTACACGTCTATTCGCCTTTGATATTCGCAGGTTGACTTCTATTTTGCGCGCCTCGTAACCCATTGACACGGCCGTGGAGCCACTTCAGCATTGCGGTGCTACCGGTCATAGTTAGAGCCGCCATTCCGAAAAGAAGAGCTCTTTGACTGGTATTCAGTTCGCCGAAGAGCGGGTATGGATAGCTGGGTTTCATTAGTATGATAAAATTCAAAATGAACGTGCGTTCTTACAATCCATTGTGCTTGTAACAGTGCTCCACCCAAGCCCAGTAGGAGACCGCGAGTACAGAACTTAATCCCATAGCCGGTAAGGCGTGAATCGTCCATGGTGGAGATAGGAATAGTAGGTCTATGACTAGCAATATAGCTGGCATGGCATGAAATCCTATATCCGCCGTCGCATCGATATGGATCTCCGGTGGTACTAACAGAGTTTTATCGATGGTGCTTATTCCCCAGTACAAAATACTAATGAGAACCTCTAATGGAGCGCTACATAGCGACAGACTGTTCTTGATAAGGAACAAGGTCGGTGATAGTGTGATGTCGGCTAACAATCCGAATATGAAGGTCAAATGAGCGACTGTTAGACCCAAGATGGTAAGGTATTGCCAATGCCAGCCATATGAGTCGTTTATGAAGGTGGGAAAGTCCACGAGGTATTTGTATGAGAGAGAGAAGGATATGATTCCAAGGGTGTGGATGAGGGCGGAAACCCCGCGGGAGGGGGAGGAGAGACGTTGAAGGGGATGTTGGTTTTGGAGTTTTTGTAAGGGAGAAGGCATTTTCTAGATCTGAAAAGAGATTCTGGTAAGATTCAATGAGATCTAGGAAAAACGGAAAGAAATGGACATCAGGCTAGAAAAGATCAATTGAATCTATTTTAGAGATGACGAAGGACATCGGGATGTCTGGAGCTTTTAGCTTCATCCTAGCTAATGCACGGGCTACGAGGGAGCTCGAGCCACTACGCAGGTACTCCGGCTAGCGCGACTAAGCACATTTAGGCTGGACCTCGAAGATTTTGACGTAGCTTCCACCCATCTCTTGCGAATAGCACTACACACACATAAATAGCCACTCACCATGGCCGAAGTTCCTCAAACCGCAAACCCCAACAAGAGAAGTCGTTCCGAAGATGACGGTAAGCATAACGCTCTCCCACCGACTCCATACTCTAACGCGCTCTCCTTCAGACTCCTCAGACGATGACATGGGGCCGCAGCTCCCAGCGGCAGACGCACCGAAGAAGAAGAAACGCAAGCTGCCGTACGAGAAGCTGTATGTCTCGGCTCTGCCGACCTCTGCGAAATACTCCAAGTCGCTTATGCATCGCGAACAGCTCGCTTTCATCACCATGACCCCGATCACCGATTTCCTCATCACCAGCTCTACGGATGGGATTGTGAAATTCTGGAAGAAGGGCGCGGATAGCATTGAGTTTGTGAAAGAGTTCAGAGCGCATAATGGGGATATTGTTAGCGTTTCTGTTAGTGCGGATGGTAGAAGCTTTGCCACGGCTGGTGTGGATAAAAGTGTCAAGATCTTTGATGTGATGACTTTTGATCTGCTGGCTATGCTACCCTTGGAGTTTACGCCGAAATGTGTATGCTGGGTACATAAGCGGGGGGCTTCTTTGCCGATGCTTGCGGTCTCGGATGAGGTGAATCATACGATCCAGATTTACGATGGGAGAGGAGAGAACCGGGAGCCTATTCACACCGTTTCGGGATTACATCGAAGCGTGGTTACATTGATGGTTTTCAATGATGCCTATGACTGTGTGATTTCCGCGGACGAGAACGGGATGATCGAATACTGGAGACCTGGTGGGAATTACGAAAAGCCCGATAATGTGTTTGAATTCAAAAGCTCGACGAATTTGTTCGAGTTCAAAAAGGCAAAGTCAACGCCAACTTCACTTACCGTCTCTCCATCAGGTGCGCAATTTGCAACTGTCTCGTTTCCAGATCGCAAGATACGAATTTTCGATTTCTCAACGGGGAAGCTTTACCGCACCTATGACGAATCGCTTCAGATCATCGAAGAAATGCAACAAGCTGGAACAGCACTGCAAAAATTAGAAGATGTTGAATTCGGAAGGCGGCTGGCGACTGAGCGAGAGATAGATACTCCAGCCCTTCGAAACAAGGCTAATGTCATGTTTGATGAGACGGGCCACTTTATTCTTTACGGATCAATGTTTGGTACGAAGGTACTCAACACATATACAAACCGAGTTATCAAAGTATATGGAAAAGACGAAAATTTCAGACCACTAAGCATCGCAATGTATCAAGGACAACCACAAAAAAAGGGGATCACAACGGTGGCCATGGCAGCGTCGGACAATCCACTTCTCCAAGAATCCGAAGCTCGAGATCCAATCCTGTTTACCACAGGCGTAGGAAAGGTCAGATTTTACATGTTCACCAACGACGAAAATATTTCAAAGTCCGAGCGAGATGTTCATAACGAAAAGCCGATTAACGCCAACGCGAGAAAAGCGGTAGAGAAGAAGGCTACCGAATCAGGAACCGCTGCAATTATACACACCACTTATGGAGATATCCACATCCGACTTTTCCCAGATGCTGCTCCAAAAGCCGTGGAGAATTTTGTTACGCATTCGAAGAAAGGTTATTACAACAACACCATCTTTCATCGTGTAATTCGAAAATTTATGATTCAATGTGGTGATCCTCTGGGCGACGGCACTGGTGGAGAAAGTATTTGGGGAAGGGAGTTTGAAGACGAGTTCAGTACGCTTAAACACGACAAGCCTTATACAGTATCCATGGCAAATGCTGGTCCGAATACTAATGGTAGTCAATTTTTTATTACTACCGAGAAGACAGTAAGTTTGGCTTCTCTATGGAATGATGATCTAGTGCTAATTTTTACGTAGCCTTGGCTTGACAATAAGCATACCATATTTGGGCGCTGTATTCAAGGTCTTGATGTCGTCCATCGGATTGAGAATGCTCGGGTATATAAGGAGAAGCCAGAGGAAGATATCAAGATACTTAATATTGATATTGTGTAACTTGGATGTTCATGTCTGTCGCCAAGATCCCTACTTCGCATTTAATGATAGCTCGACTTCATGCCTCAGGCATTCATACACTATCCTTATCGTGGAAAAGCAAGCACGACAAGAACCCCGCCAGTGTCAGCTCTTGTTATTTCGGCACTCGAAAACATTCAACCCCTCCTTGTCGATTTGGGTCGCGTTTCACGAAAGGAACATGTCGGTCTACTTTGCCTTTCTCGCAATCAAGTCGATACATCCCGAGCCAAGAAGGGCCCTAAATCTATCCAATTTAAGCTCGACCTGACGTCCGAAAACCTCCCTCCAATGGACGAGTATCTCGCCATATGTTGATATTACATTCTATTTGGCGGCATGCCTCGAAGAAAAAGAACTGGTGCTTCTGAGCCCAAGAGACGTAGTCGAACTGGCTGTTGGTATGTGCAAATTCCTTGTGCCAAGTTACTAGAGAACGCGTCACAATAATTCCAGCTGTCCTCTGCCACCTTTAAGCTTTGTTGTTTTTGTGATTTATCTCCCGTTCTGAAATCCAATCTAAAGCGTTTTTGATACAGGCCCTGCAAAACCCGAAAGGTCAAATGTGACGAGCGACGACCTCAATGCGAGAATTGCGTGAAACAAGGCGAAACATGCGATTATAGCATCCGATTGAATTGGGATGGGCGGGGAAAGAATAAGGCAACAGGGAGCAGGAGTGGATTCGGACATATTGCGTTTGCGACTGGGATAGCCGACGATGCGCCAGCCCAGGCTCCTGAAATGGGCTTGGAGCGATGCTCGGAAACTCTACAGGACGCATCAGCACATGGCGGAGGATTTCAACCTGCTCATACCGCTGGTATGATTGACCCAGCGTTGGCACAACCCTCGTCGTTCCTCTCTGCGACCCCAGAGGATACAGAGACTGGAGCTAGGAAATATATGCAGAGCTTCCAAGCAAGCGACGCCAATGTCCGGGACTTTAATCCTATCCGTTTTTCGGGTTCCGAAGTGAGACAGGCTGAACGCTCTCTACCGCCTCGAAGTACACCTCGATATGATATCGTACAGGATACAATTGTACAACGTAAGTTACTTAGCATATCTATCCTTGTTTGACGCCCTGCCAAGTACTGTTGTTATATACTATATACTGCCAAACCTTTCACTGACATCGGCATCTCCATTACTTTCATTGCCAGTTAAAAGCTTACATTGTTAATAAAGGCAATTATGATACCAGAATGCTGCCACCCTTGCCAGCGACATTTCCTCCACAGAACTGTGAATTGGGCAACTCACCCTTCAGCAATTCTGACTCAAACTCGCCTAACACAGCTATCACAACCGCTTCGCTTCAAAGTGACGACAGCTATAGGTATTCTACCACCAAATCGCCACCCTTGATTTCGTCCGGATCTACTGGGTCCAGGGGCCTTTCTGTGAGTTCACTTCTATCAGGCCCACCAGGGATGTCAGAAACGAACGAACGGAACATGGATACACAAAGTTGGGAAGAACAAGATCAAGATTTCTATCAAGATACAAACACTTGGGGCATCGACCGGGGTTTCAAAGATCTTGATCTTGGCAAGAATGATGATACAAATGCCATATCAGGTTCGTCCCCAATCTCCAAGCGAGATCACCTAGACCTCGTTATCAATGAAAGTGGCAGAGTAACTCCAATCGAATTCGGGTTTGGCATGGAAGTAGACCACACAGCTTTTGACCGAGGTGGCTACTATGCGACGCCAGTCGCAATTTCCATTCCTCGGGCGTTTGAGCCTCTTCCAAACAAGCTTTTGGAAAATCCAATGAATTTGTTGTATTTCCATCATTTTATCAATCATACTGCTGGTTGCTTGATCCCGCATAACTGTTCATCAAATCCGTTCAAGCGGATATTGCCACGCATGGCTGTACAAGACGACAATCTGTTGAGCCTTCTTTTGGCGTATTCGGCTTCTCATCGCGCACGACTCTTGCGGCAACCAGAACCAGCGACTCGCATTGCCTTGTGGGTTCAAGACATATTTCCGAGCCTTAGAAAAGCATTGGATGATCCGACTGAGATTATCTCTAATGCCAATCTTGCGACAGCCATTATGCTTGCTTCATTGGAAATCATCTCTCCGAAAGCATTTGGTGTTGCTGTTCCTTGGCAAAAGCACCTGGACACTGCTCGTCAGATAATCACAGCTAGAGGTGGCCCTCAAGGCATGAGAACCGCTTCACGCAAGGACAAGGTATCATCCTTTCTCTGGAGCTGGTTCGCCTACCTGGATGTTCTGGGAAGTCTTAGTCGGCCTCCTACCTCGTCGTCTTCCTGGGTCCTTGAGTATGAAACTGATTCTGATCGAGAGGAAGACTATCACATCGATTGCGTTCTGGGCTTCACGAGTCGATGCGTGCGCATCCTTGCCAAGATCGCGGAGCTTGCTAGAGTATGTGATAGCGAGCGAATATCGGGGATCAATGTTCTCGTCGATTGGAAGCCTTCGACCGAGATCTTGAAACTAGCTGCAAAACTTGACACTGATCTTGCGGCATCACGTCTACATCCTTCGAAGCCGTGTACCCATATGCAGTCTTCCGGAGAGGCTGCCTATCACTGGGACAGCCTTGAAATGTCAGCTACGAATGAAGCATATCACTGGGCAGGTGCCGTACATCTTCATCGACGAATTCTAGGCAAGCCATCGACCCATGTTGATGTTCAGAACGCTGTGCGAGAAATCCACGGCGCATTGTTCAAAGTTCGCCGAGGCAGTGCTGCGGAGGCCTGTCTGCTCTTTCCCATGTTCACAGCCGGTTGTGACACTATCGATGAGAGGCAGAGAAATGACATCTTAGATCGGGTAAAGGGTGTAGAGGTGCTTGGATTGAGTCAGGTTCACAAAGCACGAACGCTCATGGAGAGAGCGTGGGAAACAGGGAAGCCCTGGGAAACTTTGGTTACAGGAGAGTTCTTTGGATGACGATATTCTTTCATTTGGTTGCATAGTCCTGGGCATGACTTTAAAAGGTTCAGGCTCCACAGGGGGTGCGGAGGTTTGTTGGGTGGTTTTGTAAGCGAAAAGATCACCGCTTAACCACATAATGAATCTCTGCACCCCGTGTGCTCGTTCGTCTAAATCAACTCCGTTATGAGTCAAGAGCCTTATTATGGTGGAGTGGTAGAAAAAGGGGATATAGGGTTGCCTGTATCGCCGGCGGCAGGAGTTCCGAGGTAGCAGACGATATTCTGCGTCTGAGTCTACCTCGGACATGGGTCCTGCCAAACCGTTCTCGTCCGGTACGTTTCTGAAGGGGATAAACGTGATAGTAAGGATGGTCTGCAACCCATCACTTTGCCCCGAAGCCAGCGTTTGGGACTCGGCCCAAGGCGTATTATTTGGGTTACTTGGTAACACTAAAAGGCCTTTTACGGATGCACGCATTAGCGGGAGCTGGGAAGGTCACGTCTCCCTGGGTCGTCAAACACTCAAAAGAGCTCCGCCACTCATCATAATCTGGGTCAATTCGAACACGGGAATGGGAGGTAACTAGGGCTTCTATGTACTGCAGAAAGCCCATAGCCATTGCCTCCCGGATCAAGCCCTTCGGGCAGAACTTTACTTGGCCAAGATCTTCACAGGAAGGTCTTGGAGAAAGTCAAAAGTTAGCATCGAGTTTTGCCTCTCTATTGGATCCGGTGTATACCAAGAGGGCCATGGGAGACTACTGAGAGTAAGCATAACAATCGTTTCTTTGTTTAGGTTTCATAATCTAACTTTCTAACTTAGGGCTGAAATCTCGTTTAATGAGGTTCTTGTGGTGTTGATTCAACTTGGCTCCATGGTAAGCTTCTTCTCGTTACGTGGTTGCCGGCAGTTGATACTGACTTTTTGACAATAGATACCTGCGCCACACGCTTTTACAAGTGTGCCATTCAACAACACAGCCCGCGAATCACATCTCATTAAACATATGAGGGCGTCCCCGTCTATTAGCGACGACTGACGGAGCCCTCCATCAGACTTCGCGAATGCGAGTCAATCACCATCAAGCATAGCATTAAACCCACCATTCGATTCTGAGCTCATGATACCCACTGATCTCTTGGAATTGGAAGCATCTTATACCAAAAATCGTTTATTTTTTTGCCTTTTTTAATCTAGCGTTGCGCACTATTTGTGCTCCTTTTGGACAGCGGCGGTTCCCATACCGAAAAGAAAAAGAAAAAACCCGCATGAATAGAGTTCATAGTATCTATTCCATGTGTTATATCAAACCACTATGCTTTCGGATGGGGTTTGTCCCAGAAAAGAAATATTTACGAGGTCTTGTCGACGGTGCGAGCTCGGCCATGCTGTATGTAGATAAAGGCTTTTTGCGACTCCTGACGATTGGACAAGGGGGGATCATCTGGGTGCGTGGAGTGGAGTGTCATAGGCGTTGCGGATCGCGGTATTTGAGTTTCTGCGTTTTTGCGTGGGGGTTGGGTATTGTGGTGCTTGTGGTGCGGAAATGATGACTCGGACTTTGATCCCCAAATTTTTGTGTGTGTTTGATGTGATATGATTATTGTGATGCTTGTGATGTCCTTTTGAGTTGGAAGTGCTATGGGATATGTGTAGCTTCCTTATTGCCTTCTTGATTCCCGGTAATTTATGACTTACGCCATGTTATCACCTCATGGGCTATCATAGAACACTATAAATTACAAGCTTTCTGAACATTTGTACACACTAACCAAACAAATACTAACCGTCAGCCACACACTATATGAACTCCAGACGCTTATCTTAGCAGTGTTTCATTATCACAACAGACCACTAAACCTCACTCATCTCTTCTCCCTCACTTTCTTATAGATATCAAGACCTCTTCTTACCCAAGTAGAACACAAACTCCCAGCACCTTGCTCTTCCAAACCCTTACGAAGTTTTTCTTCTATAGGAGAAACCACTTCAACACCACAAATCGGAACTAAAATTCATTTCACCCCTCATTTCGTTTACTTCCCACTAACCATTGTCTCTGTGTAATATTGACTACATGCCAAACTTTATTTTTCTTGATAGATATATAAAAGTTTTGATATGGATATTGGTTGATTTTTTGGATGGCTTTGGGTGTTGTTTGATTTATTTCTGAGAATTTATTAGGAAAAGGTGATGATGGATGTGAGGGGGTTGACCGGGTTATGTGGTACGATGATGGTATTCTGATGTTTGGTAAGATCTTTTGGGTGTAGCAAATTAATGGACAATTAATCTCGAGATAAGTAGATCAATTATCTAACGTTTAGTGATAATATTCAACAGTTTTATCATGACAATTTGCGACCACTAGATTACTAGATTAAACTCTCAAAATTTCAAAACACTACTTTCAGGTCTTACGTTCAAACTAACAAACCTATTCCCTAGTGCACTATCTTTTGTTTTTTATTAACTTTGCCTGAAAGCCATATATTTTCTGTGCCCAGCAGAATAACATCATTCCAGCAGCTTCGTTAGAATTAGAGGTAGAATCATCTTTCCAAGCGCCTATTCATCCAAACTTTTGAGAAATCCAGATGTGTTACTCCCCAATACTACCACATCAAAAATCCAAGATACCTCTACCCCTTGACCACTCTCTTTTCCGCCCCAACACAATCACTTTCCATCTCCGCAATCACACCAATAGGTTGTCCACCTAACTCCACGCCAACACATTCCTCGGTTGTAATCAAATCTTTACCTTTCTCGGTCTCCTGCGAGCTCATTACCTCTGGTATATCACCAGCTTGCTTCTTCGCAAATAAGGAGTTCCAAATACCCGGCTGTGACGTGTTTTCGGGAAGACTGGGGGTTCCAACAATTTCAGGTTGGGTCGTGTGGGGTAAAGTAGGCGGTTTGGTCTTATATTTCTTGTATAAGAGGAAGAGCAAGGCGAGGAGGACGATAGTTCCCAAAGATGTGCCTATTGAAATGGATATAGTGGGCACGTGGGAGTTTGATGATGGGAGTGAGGTTGGGCTTTCGAGGGTCGACGAGGGTGTGGTTGGAGTTGAAAAGGAGGTGTTATGGCTTTTCTACCATCACTCAAATTAGCTCCGTCTACTTATCTCCAAGAAAAACATATTTATCGAAATACCTCGGCAATAAAGATGTCGCTGATATTATGTCCATTGGTATCCTCAATTTCCAATGCAAGGGCTGCCCCATCCGTTGCACGATCCAAAGGGACAGGCCAGGTATACCGGTATTCACTCTCAGATTCCTTTATTTCTATGCGATCATTAAAATGGTGCTATAGATGGGTACAGAGGGCAGCTAACGTGCGAGTTGTCTAAGAATTTCGTAATAATCTCCAGTTGCATTAAAATGTTCGTATAGGAGATTCAAAATGACGTCGCCAATCGAGTTTCTCCAATAAATATCTAAATTGTATCCTGGAACTACGGTGTAGCTTTCTTCGGTGAACTCGACCATTATGGTGGTGCTGTGGAGGTAATGAAATATTCAACGTGGGAATTGGTGGGAGGGGCGACAATGATATGTCGACACTTCAAGTCCTCATTTTAACCGCCACTTCAATTGAAATTTGTAGCACGTTCCTCAAAACATGAATCATAGAACACGATTTGCCCCTTACTCCATCTCTTGTGCAATAGCTCGCGTGATTGTGACAGCAAACAACTCCTGTCCCCTTCTCAATCAAGCGGCATGCATGGCTCGATGGGAAGTTGCATACTTGGTTGGATGCTTTCGCTTTGTGTGGAAAAAATTGGATTTCTTGTTGAGAAGACAGGCGATTGTGACATCGTGAGCCTCAATCGTCATGTAAGGTTGCCGTTTGGAACTCTTTTGCTCGCTCAAATGAATGTAGAGATATCATAGTGAGCTTGATCCAGATATAGATGATTTAGTTTGATAGCCTCATGTACCACGTCGACGGAGAACTGCATGCTTGACAGGCAGAAGAAGCCGGCACACTTGGGTGTATGACGGGAAGAAGCATGATGCGTCCTCGTTCCCTCACCGCATTTCATTCGTTTCAATTGCTTCATGATATTGGAGTCTTCTCGGCTATGATTTCTCAATAGATATCCTCATCCAATTCCACGGTTTTCCTTCGCGCTTCAAGCTCAGATATCGTATCTCGTTTCGAGTTCCCCATCTCAAGGATCTGTTGTGAAGTAGAGCATAATTCAGGTTTGCGGAATCCTGAAGATTTGAACAACTTTTTGATGCCAGCGGGTGGTGTCTCACCTTGGTCGTTCTCGTTTGTGGAAATCTCCTTGGAGTTGGAAGATTTCCGCCTTATACACCATCTTCCACATCGCAAGAGAACGAAGAAAGCGGTGAAGGCTATACATGAGATTGCAATTAGGAACATTACTGTCAAACCAGTTTTACTGACTCCAAAATCATTCGTAGACGGTACGTGGCCTTGGTTATTGCCGGTGGCAATAGAGGATGTTGGAGGGGCAAGGTTGTGAGAAAGGGTACTAGGGCTTTCAAATACAGTTGTTGTTGGACTTGGCACGGCTATGGTCTGATATTTCGTTAGCGCAGGGTATCGAAACACCCAGGTTGAATTATTACCTGAAATCCAGGTAGTATAGCAACGGGTATGAATTTCGGCGATGTCGATGAGTTTCTGTCATCTGTTATGATGACCCTAAAGAATTCTGCTGTTGATATGTTGTAAGGAACAGGCCATGGGAACGGGTTCATTAGCTGACCAGCTATTTGGGATGTGTTATCCGCTGAGCCTACAATCACTACCACTTGATGAAAACAAACCTGCTAGCTGCTGATCCGCTGTAGTGTTCCTCAATGTGATGAACTCGAGTCCCACATTGTCATTCCAAGTGATAGGGAATACCTGCCCACGGGTTACAGCATTCCAATTGCTATTCGTGAGGACCACCATATCTGCGAGAGAACTAAGAAAAGAATTGAAATAATTTCTGGGAATGAATAGTATGAATGTCACTACAAGGAAGAGACTGCCTTTCTTATCTGAACTAGAAATGTTTCGACCGCCAAATCTGAAGCGCCGTGTGGAAACGAGCATGAGACCAGTCTGGGCCTCGTTCGCTAGTGACGGAGTATCATTGAGTACGATCATACAGCCCAGAGATGTTTGGATAGTTCGGCCGCGAGGCATGTGTAGGTAGGCACAGCTTCAGTGCTGCAGAAAACCATATCGAGGTACAATTTCAGGCCACTAGGTTGCAAGTGTATTTCCGCAGATCGCCCCGAACGTTTTGCATGTACACATTTAATCCCGTAGATCATGTAAGAAATGTTTGAAAGAACTTAGAGATGTCTCAATATATTGAGTCGTACAAAAAGGAGTTCCTCAAACATGTGACCAACACCAAGTCGGGTTTGTCGCATATGCTGTGCAGCGCATAGCGAGTCGCGGATTAGGATTGAAACCACGGCGAAAATGACAATAATCAGCTCTATTAGTCTTCGGCAGTTTTATGAATATGGCCTCTTAATAAACTTGTTAAGTATGCTACTTTGGATTCCAGGTTTTGGGGAACATTAGTATAATGAGTGTAATGTTCAGTTTCCGCCGCAAATGTAAAACCGAAGGGGGTGGTAGTACAGGTCTACTAGCGACGTTGAAGTACTCGTTGGATAAATAGAGGCCATCCAGGTACTCATCAACCGATGTACACTGGCATCTTGCTGTCCCAATACTCGCTGGGAAGTGGTTCGAAGTCCTCCATTAAGTGATGGCATCGCTGCCAGCAGAACGCACGCAGCATCATCGACACCCAAGCATCCTCAACTTCGATGGAGGTGACCGTGGTCGCGTGCTGTGATGCCTTATTATTGGTCAAGAGCATGACATTTTTGACCACATCCGGCATGACATAGTCAATATATCTGAGCATTGTGTGGAAATGGGTTCGATTAATTTCAATAGAATCCATCCCTGCTGAAGAGATTTCAGGTGAGATGCTCTGACGGTTCAATTCTTCTGTGCGATCTTTGAGGCTTTCTTGTGTAGCCGCATATAAATGTTGGCAGGCGAGGCGGTTATATAGCACTTTAGTTTTTTGTAGGAAGGCTGTCAATCTAGAATGAGACTCGATAAGAAGCAGTCTTAGCTCATGTTCAACAGGTAGAGCATGTTTCTGTGAATCCTGGCCCCTATTCCATACCTCAGCATAGGCTGGCGTATTCAGCTTCTGCAGGAGAGAATTGACAACACTCAATTGTCCGCACTCCTGTTCGCCTCTTGCAAGAATCATTCTTTTAACCTCAGTCGAGAAAACAAGAAGTCCTTCATATGATGCAGTAACACCTCGTGGATACGAAATTGGTGAAGGTAATCTGTCCATCCAATAAGCGGCCAGGTTTTTAGTAACTAAGAGAGGCTGAAGACATTAGGATTCATCACAGCCGAAAAACGTGGAGACGGGGTGGATATACCGAACAAATTGGGAGTAAGTCAGACAATCCTAGAACATTCTTTTCTCCTCGACCCATTGCTGTTTTGATGCATGATAAGATAGTCTCACACTGCTTGCGTGTTCCGTAGACAGGAAAAAAGAACAGCTTGGGCAGACTTCGAGCCAACCCCTGGTACGATCCAATCTCAAGGTCAAATACCGGGCCTAACATACCGAACAATTGCGAGTCCAGCGCTACGCGTCCAAATGCCATCTTATCGGCTTCAATGACTGGCGTATAAGTCAAATTGCTAGCTTTCTTCCGACTTGTAAAAGCATACTGAACGATGATTCCAAACGATCGAGCGACAGTAGAAGTAAACATGTGCCCATTTCCTTCCGCTCTCAGTGACTCAGCAGGATCAAAGGTTTTCCAAGTCATGCCAAGTCGTATGCCCATGATCGCAATCGCAGATATTGTCGAAGTAGCCATGGGACGTATGATATCGGGGGGCATGAAGTCCCATGATTTATGAATGAATTGAACGGCAGGAAGTCCAATCATTTTACAGCCTCCTAGTGGTTGACCACGGAATTCCAACATGGCCTCGGCTCCTTGCGAATGTAGTTGGGCCAGTAGAGGCACCCAACATGCAAGTTGGTCACTTTCGTAGAATAGGCGTCCTGTCTCGTTGTACCAACCTTTGGCTGTCATACTTGCTTCTAAGCTCTCGCATGTGTTCGTCAATAAGCAATTGCCGTCCACTGTCGCTCCGATTGGTGCCTGTAGGTGATACTTGTACACAATGCGAGGGACAACAAAGGTTGTTTCCAGTCTGAACTCTGACCATCGGAAACGGATTCTGGTCTTCTTAGCCCAATGGCCCATAACAGAGGCTTGACATCTTCGATACCCATCAGCTGTTGCGAAGTACTGTTGGAGAAGCTGCCCGAGAGCGGTTATGAGCGCGACAAGTGCGATGACAAGCGCTGAAGTAGCAATGGAGTCTACCATCTTTCACAGAGAAGATGAGACGTCACGTGAATGGGAGTGCGGTTCATACACCAAGGGAATTCTTGCTGAGCATCACGAAGATTGTAGGCTCCAAACGACCAAATATTGTACGGGTGGCTGGTGTTGTTGTTGTTGGTTGTGCAGAAACGTGTACAGGGTTTCTTTCAGCTGCAGCTGAGCGGCTAGGTCGAGTTGTTGACAACGTGACTTGCGGGTATGTTATCAAACTGCAAGAAACACATCTGAAGATGTAACTAAACTCACAAACTTTTGAACTCGCTCATAATCTTTTTGTAAAGCTATTTGTTCTTGTTCAAGACCAATAACTTTCCCCACTAAAACAATATCGAAATAAGTCATGTGATCATGTCCAATTCCCATCTAGTAGAGAAACTACGACAGAGTGAGCCACATTTAGTTGTACATTATGGATAGAGATGGCCAATGAAAGGTATCAACGGGTTTCAAACAATAATAACATTTATACAGATAACATGTCCAAACTCAACACCAAAACTTTAACTCAACTCACGGCGCCGCGATGAGGCATACAAAACTTGATGAAACCCGAAAAGCCCTCAAAAAACTCCAAACTTTCTCCTGTAGCCCACTTTGCCCAAACAAATTGTTACACTCAATATTGATTACCCAAAGAAACGTAAGGCGCAGCCTGGTAGAGTTAAGCAAACTCAGCAGCATTACGAAGAGCAGTCTCAATGTCCGGAATAATACTACTCAGGGCCTGCTTGAGCTCACAAGCTCCTCCTAACCAGAACATGACGCTACGTATACGTCCTTCCGCAAATGTCGTATTTTGGGCAGTCTCGTCACATTTATGTTTGATGATTGGTCCAAGTGTGTCCTGGCAATTACCATCGCTGAATGCAATGACATCTTGGAGGGGCTCATGATCGGTAAAAATGCTTTGTGCGTCTTGGTCGACTGGGATACAGTTGCAAGTATCAGTGCCTTTCCATTTATAGTATTTGTCGTGGTCGCTTATAGAGAACATGTTAGTTATGACTGATAGAGGTTGACTTCGGAGGTAGTGTTTTTATTTGATGACTTACTTGCAAGCATTGGTTGTATACATGCTAACATGATTTGCGTTCCGTGCTTCAATGGCCTTGGCTGTAACAGCTGAGATAGACAAAAGCGTGAGAATAAGTGAATATTGCATTTTGCGCGGTGAAAAGTTGGGGGAAATAAAACAAGCTGGGTGTAATGGTTTGAGCAAATCGTCAGTGTATGGATATGGATTAATCGATTCAAGTGTTGTTAATCGACTGTGCGTTTAAGTTGAAAGTGCAGTGTTGAAAATATAATACACTTGTTAAGTGAAACTGAACTGTACTTATGGACCAAAGATGAACCATTTTCTCATCCAGAACTCCTTACAAAAGATGAGATGGTCACCTCCTTCCCACAATAAGGGAATGTCATCAGATCGATTTACAGAAATAGTCAAAAAAACCAAATCTTCTGAGGATCGTTCAACTGACTCGTTAAGAAGGCATATCTCTCATACACAGTCCAAAACGGATGAGAATATCGCACCAGGAGACTCCTGACGATTGAAGAATGACCAGTGATGTCAACTTCAGCCTTGGGATGGAAAAGCGTCCTCTACTTAAGAGGGGCTCATACGTTCTATGGAGAAGTCTCCCAAATCAAGTTTGATACTTGAGTAGGATGCAGGAGATTCCTTTCAGTTCACCATAATTCCACTCGATACTGAATGTATCTCTGGTAGCTCTCTTAGTGGAGACCTTGATCCTTGTATCCACACTGCTTTGGCTTCTATTCCCTCGACCAGGGATAACATCAGGACTTCGGTTCTCAGTTCCAGAGATACTTGGGAACCTACAGAGAAGTCTCAAAATGTTCACCTTTAAGTGAAAATTTGTCGAATGGGGTAAAGATCTTGATGATAGCATCCCACTATTTGTATCTCGCTTAAAGCAATCGCGAGTATATCTGGACCAACACAACCTCTTCTGTAACAGACTGGCACCCGTTAGTTGAGGTTGGATTGTGGCGCATTTGCTCATGCTCTAGCTTCTCAACACCATCATGAAACTCCGCCTAGCTTGATTCCCGCATCAGTGGAACTTTCAATTCGGCGCTACATATGACTGAACATCAGGAGAGTGACTAACCAGGTACTCCTAGTTGAAATTGCAAAATCCTGAAGTTGAAGACTCGCAGAAATGAGCCTGTTTGGGTCAAGCTTGTGCAGGAAATCCTGTGCCACACCCCACTATCAAACTCCACATTTTCATTGACTTTGGGCTAATAACCAGGAAGGAAGCCCAGCCTCATAATAGGGATCAAGGGATCCAGAAAAAGTCAGATCTTTATAAATACAAGCTTTCTTCAACAGGGGATGCTTTGAAGCGAGCGAGGCAAGGAAGACAAGCAATTGCCATCGTGCCGACCAGCCGCCGGAAGACTAATAGTTAGCCAATCATAACAAATCTAATGCATTATTAGCTGTTTCATCAGTCAGTCATCTTCAATCTGTCCGCGCGACAACTTCTCGTTCAATGCAAGCGCTTTCTCGTAAGCGCCGTTAGCTGGAGCTGTAATATCCCCACCATAAACAGATGCTGAGCTTTGTTCTCAAGCATAATTTTGGTTCTCGCGATACTCGAATTGAGGAAAATATAAAATTATCGAGTAACAAGATCCAGGTGGCATCATCAACTCATCACGATAAATGACGGACATCCTGATGTTTTACGCAAAAGAATTCAGCGGTCGTGCGCTAAGCTTTGCTTAAGCGAGGGGCCTCCTACGGGTTGGATTTACGAAAAAAGGAGTATATCCTTGTCATACCTATTCCTTAGCGTTGAATTCGCGGCTGGATATAAGAGTGATCAAATCATCTGCTCATATGATGCAGAAGTCCAACATGTTGGTTGGTGTTTCAATCACCACATCAGGATTGAACCATGTTGTTGGGAAATGGATCCATCGCCAACACCGCGGCGGCTGGAGCAAGCAGTGATATAACCTTATACATTGCTTCCCTTGTTTGATTTCTACCGTGTCGAAATTATTGTGCAGAAATGAGCATTTTCTTTTGTCAAACTCTCGATTTCCTTTCTACTTCATAAATTTCTTAACTTCAGATTTCTTGTTTTTTTCCAAACCATTAGACACGCGTTTACGTCGCCTTTCAAAGCAGGACTTTAGAGATTATTCAACTATAGAAAAAATGGTGTCCGGTGAGAGAAACACTACACATATGCGTTTCTCTACCCAGAAGCTAACATTGGAAACTTTACAGCGGATGTAGAATATCCATCTTCTTCATCTGAATCTAGTCTTGCTTCTACGAACAGTTCCGAAAATGGCAGTTGGAAACCTTTAGTTGCTTCCAACGAAAAATGGAACTATTTGGGAAGATCAAACCAGAAAATCTTCCGGAGACGCTGGTTTCGCATCCTCACATTTTTCCTTGGTTCAATAATTCTCGCTCTTATGTACGTACTTTCGTGCACAAACCCCATATGAACTTGATAAACTGACCGTAAATCTCGCAGAATATGGATGTCACTGCTTCTTAGTCTCTCAAGACATCATAGACCAAAAGCGCCCTCAAACAAAATTAGCTCCATAGTCGATGTTTGGAAGAAGCCAACAGACTCCATCGATTTACTTTCACCATGGGATTCTGACTTCTCTCGAGGGGTTACTCCATTATCATGCCATTCCCATAATGACTACAAACAAGGTGCCCCCCTATTCAAAGCTCTCGCAGCCGGCTGCATGGGCGTTGAAGCAGACATTCATTTACCATCTAAGAATGGCAGCAAAGACTTACTGGTAGGTCATAAGACACGATCACTCAGATCAGACCGGACACTCCAAAGTCTCTATATCGGTCCTCTTACCAAGGTTCTGGAAAACCTAAATGATAATTCCACTACAAATAACGAAACCAATGGTTGGAATGGTGTTTTTCAATCAAGTCCAAACACTACGCTCACACTTCTCCTGGATTTCAAATCCAATGGTGCTGATCTCTGGCCATACGTAAACCAGCATCTGGACGACCTTCGCTCAAAAAACTGGCTTACTCACTGGAACGGATCATCGGGACTGACATGGGCACCACTAATTATCGTCGCAACCGGAAACGCGCCTTTCGATCTCTTGAACTCCAATAAAACGTATCGCGACATTTTCTACGATGCGCCACTCAACGACATAACGAACCCTATTTACGACAACACGAATTCTTATTATGCAAGTACCTCGATGTACCACACTATTGGCCAACAATGGCTCTGGAAATTTAGCTCTAGTCAATTGACCAAAATTAATGCGCAAATCGCGGCGGCATCAAGGAAAGGTTTAATATCCAGGTATTGGGATACGCCATCGTGGCCTGTAACTTTCAAGGAGTACATTTTTGGAGTTCTGGTGGAGAATAGAATTGGATTGTTGAATGTGGATGTGTTTTCTTCTACTTTGTATTATCCGTTGGTAACTAGATTTGGCGGTAATAAACTTGAATGGTGAGTATTATAAGAGAACTATAGATTGTATATTATACTTTGTGGGCCTTCTTCGCGATTCATTTGATAGCTCACACAGATCCACACATTGAATAAGGCGCTCAAGGTTTGGCCTCCAATTTTAACCGAACTTCTTTGTACCATTGTACCACCTTGGCACAGATTAAACCTTGTAACAACATTACGAGTGATTGGCAAATAGAGGCCTGTTGACGGAAGAGTAAGCGCGCCCTTTGCCTATTTGTGCCGCGCGACAATTTGGAAGCAAAATGAAAAAACTGCGACTCTTCTCATATTTCGCTTTCTTGAAAATTAGTAGTATTGGTATCTACACATATTGATCTGGAAGCTCAATTCCCGCCAGGTTGTACCATTTGTTTTTCCACCTACGTGCCAATAAATCTCACAGAAAGACATAGAACTAGCATTATTGTTTTAATTGAGGCCCATTTTAAAACATGGATAACAGTAGGTCAATCTTTAGCTACTCAGGATATTTGTGTTGAAATTCAAAACAGATATCTTGAGATCAAGAATAATAGAGTGTTTTTCTCAGTACCGGGAGAAAATGTTATTCCTCAACAAGAGAGCCCTCGACCGCGAGATAGAAATGCATCAGATAGACAAAGACAGTAGTGAAAAAGAAGACATACAGACTATTCTAGACGAGCTTTGGGAGCAAGGCGATGATATGGAAGCCATCCGACAAGATGTGCACAAGGTTTCAGATCTTTATAATCATATTCCCGATGGTACAATGCCAGTGTTGGGTCATGATGATCAGACGGAGATCTTTGAAGAACTCGAGTTCTCACTAAATCAAACTGTTGATGAAAGCCACTGGCCAATGGTCATACCTGAAGAAATCAAAATCCTCGCGACCTTGACAGGGGGAATCATCGGCCCTGGGTTTCCAAAGTTGCAAGAAAGCACTATAGTGTCAGCTCTCGAGCTTGATAGTGACGAAGCCACATTACCAAAGGATCTCATAGAGAAAACTGGTCTGTCTCCAGATTGGGGGTGGGACGTTATTGCTGGATTTCAATATGGTTATTCGACCTATTGTGGATCGGCTTATGTTGTGTATGGGAGGTGCACAGATTCAGCAGAAAGCGAGGCAAGCGATCTGAACGAGTTTGGGTGGGTGTATATATTTTCACGTACACCTGACATGGACTTTGTAACATATGGCTGTTTGGTCGAATATCTTACCGATTACACAGCAGGGTATGCAGAACACTGCATGGAGGAAAATGATTGTTCGATAACACATGACGCTATGGTGAGAAGTAGGACTCGGGGTAGTGATGGAACGCGTAGAATTGATAATTGAAGATATATCGCTTATATATCTAATTCTAATTAACGATACTTTACATTATTCTCAGGCATAGACCACGTACTTTCAGGTATTGGTTTAGTATCAATCGACCACACAATTTTGATGGAAGCCTGTGTCCACCTTATATCATACCCAGCGTAACGCCTTCTCAAATCTCAACATTTCAAAGACATCGTCGCACTTGCTCTTATATATATCGCGCGGTCGCTCTTTCTTATTTGGAAATCGAATCGCCTTCGGTTTTAGGAACACCTACTGTTGTTCACGTTTTTTGACCTACTATACCTTATAAGCACTACTTATAGCACTTGAAACGAGATTTTAGGATTTACTGATGTCCTAGATAAGTTTTAAAAAGGTATATAAAAAGAAAGAAGACAAAGAAATGGAGAATTCAGGCTATAACTAGTGTCAAAATTCGTGACTATTCGATCAGTGCTTAATTAGTTACTTAAATATAATATAATTATTATAATTGAAATTATCATGATTAAACATTTGTACTATCAATAAGTATTACTAGTCATAAACCTTCTAACAGGAGGGTTCGTACATTCGAAAGTCATGAATTTTGACAACGAAACTTCCTCCATATCTCTGGAGCAGTGTTGAGCAAGCCTGTGCGAAAACAACATACACATACCATAGGAGGTATTCCAGTCTTGTAATCACTATGCTTTTCTTCCGACAAAGTCTCTATATAAGACGTGATTCCCACGAATTCAACATAGACAACTAGACAGTAGATACTATCACAACTAGGCACCTCTCGCTTAACCCCTGACATCCCAATTTTGAAGATGTACCAACTCGAAAATGATTAGGTAAGTAAAGTATAGTTAATTCGAGAATTAAATATCTTGAGGAGATTCGTTTGGCATTGTGAAAAGTTGTTAAGTTCTTAATCTTCTCCACGGTATGATATGGGAAAAGCTGTCTCAGAAGCACCAGAATTGGGTGATCGACCTTGCTGATTGGTCGGTCAACGTGATTTAGGCTGCAACCTCCAGAATTCGAAACAGATGACTTCGTGATATCAATCCTTAATATCCCTTCCTGACGCGTGCAACGCGTTAAACAATGTCGACTATGCTCTCCTTGCTCTCTCAATATGAGATCCTCGCTAAGACAGCTACATACGTTAGTGCCCTCGATCTTTTGCATCTTGGACTTGCGAATTCGGAATTCCATGCCATCATTCTTCGATCTGAGTCTCTTCTCAACCGCTTGAAATTTAATACGCTGTGCGACGGTACTGGCTTAAAAGCGCGTCAAAACTACCAAGGCCTGTACGGCCCGCATCCGGAGTGGTATGGAAGAGGTAAATACAGGGCTCCACACCATGATGATGAGCTTGAAGTGCGCGTATGGAATCTCAAGTGTGATGAGGCAAATGCACTTCCTTGTTTTAGGTGTGGCATAAATGTTTGCGAGGTTGGTTTCTTTCAGACTTTCTTTTTCCTTAGCAATGATTAAGTGTTTCTAGGAATGTCGATTTGTGCCTCGAGTTCGAGAGCCTGCTCTCTATTCTTCTGATCCAGAGCCCCAGCGAAACGCAGCCGGAATGGTTCGTAATCTAATTTGTTATTGTCCAGCGTGCGATGAGCACGCCGAGGCTGGGCTTGATTTTTCGCTCTCGAAAGTTTGCGACTGTGATCAATATAAACGTTGGATATGCCTTCCCTGCAAAACCATGGAAGACACGATATATGCGCTCTACTATAGAAAGCGAACGGTAGAAGACCCGCGATGGTACACTTCCGAAGATTCGCCATTCATGACTCTCCCTAATAATGTTGGTCGAAGACTGGTGAGTAACAAGCCACAAGTTGATGGCTCTCTTCAGCTTCACTTGACTGGAAAACCCTTTCCTCGGATTTCACCACATTTGTTATCTTTCTGACTAAAGCAGATGTGGTGTCCATGTGGAGTAAGACCGCAGAAGGCTGGAAATGTGCGATGCGCGTGGTGCCAGAGAAGGCAACTTAAAAGTTGCTGGACTGATAGAGATTACACTATTCCTGCTTTCGATGAGGTTTGTAAATGCCTGACTATTGTATCACAACGTTAATTCAATCTAGGATCCTGATTGGCCCCCAGAAAGGGATTGGGACTGGGAAAATAAACCCCATGGACGGGGAATCAGGTGGGATAGTTGGATTCCCGAGGATGATGATGAACAGTAAACACGCACCTCTTAGTTCTCACTACACTTGTCTATGAACCGTGAGAAATTGTTTAGTAGAAGTAACCTAATCATGCAGAATCGTGTTATTTCAATATTAGCGTCATATTTTTGTTCATTTGACGACTTATAGCTCTCTCATTCTGCCGTTATTGACTCACTAAGAACTCCGGAGTCTGGACATCTTGCTAGTATAGTTTCTGCACATCACTGAAGTTTCATGGTACATGAGTTACGAGTGTCGCACAGGTGCCGAGCACTGATGGGGAATAAATGAAAAGAAGAGATTATATAAAACGCAAGAACATTACAATGTAAACCAGTTAAACCACAAACGAGTTGAAATTGAATGTTGATTACAGATTCAAGGTGAGATGTCTAGACTGCAATCCGGTTCATGCAACCACTGGATTACGCTTCTCTTGATCTGGTGATGATAAGAAGACGATGCGTAGAGCTTAAAATGTATGTAAAGTCAGTATTCTCAACCCGTACTACGCTTGAAACTGCTTCAAAGCCCGATACAGAGAACCAAAGTTATAAACGTACCCGGTTACAGGTAAGTGAAAAAAAGTGATAAACTCACCAGGGAAATAAATCCTGATGGGTATGAAACAACTTGACGACATGTCAAGGTTACTGTGTTTTCGAAGAGCTTTGCTTCCTCTTTCCGGTACGCAGGCACAATCCTTCACCGGATTTATCTCATTGTGACCACATATACCCCAATAAAGCAACTTTGGACTTAGACCACAGCATTCTTCAACACCCTTCAGAATGCCATTTACTTTGGAATACCCTGAACGACGATTGTCAACCCTCAGAAAACTGCCTCAAAGACCCATGGTGAACCACAACTCGATGCTGAAGCTATAATAAGTACAAGAAAGTGGATGTGATAAATTATCACTGGCTGAGTATATATTGCAAAAGTGGATAAAACAGCCGGTTATATATGCCAGATGAATGAGGTTAATTGTTCGTTTGATATAAATTCGCAGAATCTAGATTTCACACGGTAGTCCCATCACATATCCACTCTCTTTCCATCGTGTAACAACCAACAAAATAGATGATTGCTCCCATCCACAACCAACCAAATCCCAATCTACGCTATCGAATTCTATCGAAATCTTGAAATGCTCAACCCGTGACATTCACCATTTTCTCCGCAGAATTCCCAAACCGTCTCGGCTGTGACCACCAACCGCCGAACCGCCAACGGCTATATACCCCAATCTTCCACAAAAAACGCACGCTCTACCAAAAGTCCACCCTCAAACCACCGTTGCCTGAATTCCAGGCATCCATACCCCAAAAACACATCTCCGTTTCGATATCACACAATCAATTGCATGGGCCATTGCAGAACTCTTGGCGTTTAACGGATGCGCCGTCAGGTACCGCGCATCTGCAATATAATCGGTTTAGATGAAGCGTAGATGAAGCAAGCGCCGTGGACATGTTAGGTTGCTGTGATAAGGTGGGATGGGGTTTGTGTACTTATAGTGTCGGTGGCGTGCGGTTTCGAGAATGTCACGAACGGAAAATAAATAAATAAGTTTGGAGAGATGGTTCAATTAACTATTTCGTCGCTTGGACTCGCTGTGGGATTCTTGTAGGTGTTTTGGTCATGGGTTGTGGCTGGATCTTGCTAATGAGTCGAATAGAGCAGCAATTATCAACGCGCAAGGCTATCCTCAGGATAGATTCAGTCTGGAAATCATCCCTCGAGTCACCCCAACCGACCCTCCGACTCTCGCAAATTACAACAGCAGTAGCCCGATTTATCTCGGATCCAACGGCGGCGTCACCAACTCTTCGAAGGAATATGTTTGTAGTCTGTGGCCCTCGGTCCCATATGAGTTAGGTAGCGAACTGCACTGTGCGAATGAGAACAACGCTCTAGGTATTCAGAGTAACGTAGCGAGTCAAGCATTACATGCGTGTATTCCACAATACGCGTCTGATAAGCCAGTGGGATGCTTTTCTCGTGGCTTCAAGTTTAATTACATAACACGTCTTATGGAGTGGCCGTCGTTTGGAAGCCGTTTCTGGTTGGTAGAGACGAGGGATGGGGCTGGGGAGTTGATCGGTGGACAATCCCTTTGGGCGACTGGTAAGTTTTCTTGTATACTTGGATTTCTGAGATGACTAAATTCGTGTCATAGTTAAATCTGGTGAAGAGAGTGCTCCAGTTGCAGGGGCTGTGCCCGTGTCGTTGAGAGTTTACTCAATCTATAAGATGCCAACGGGGCCACATCGAGCAACGAGATATTAGAAGATAAAAATGGGGATTTCTGGGCATGATCCATGATTTAAGGATCTAGAATTCTCTATATTTGTCTGTTTGTGACACGGAAATCTAGCTCTAAATCTATGACTTTATCATGAAAATCTGTCTTGAATTAGTAACTGTAGACATAAAATATCATCTACAGTGCTTACCTGATTTAAGGCCGTCGCATCCATAGCGGCTAACCGCTTCTGTGCTATGTTTCTCGATCTTACAGCATGTCTCCCCTGCATTAGTGGCGTTGATCGGCCACTCGACGGTGCTGTCAGCGGTACTGAAGGTGTGCTTTCTTTCGTCGTTGGCTGTGAGGGTTCCGATGATTGTTCAACATCCTTTTCGGCTTTCCTCTTTTCTCGTTTCGCCTTTTTCGAACTTTTCGACCCATCTTCTACGTCTAATTTCGCAGCTTTCTCCTTCTTCCGCTCTTCTTTTTCTCTTTTCCGTTTCTTTTTATCCTGTTTATGCTGCGCCGCCGCTGAGTCTTCGGCTGTGTCTTCTGTAGGTTCTGCTCCTTCTCTCTGTTTACGCTCCTTCTTCGACTTCTTTGACAGCTTCACATCACTTAGGATAATCGCTACTTCGTCCTCTGGTTTTGGATCCGATTTCTTGGACTTTTTCGACTTCTTGACTTTGATCGCTACAACCTCTGCGACAGGTTCTGCGAGCGCTTCCGCTTTTCTCTTCTTGGACTTCTTAACTTCCTTGACCGGCTCAACGTCTTCCTCAGACTCGGACTCGGATGAGGAGCCCGACGTACTCGATCCATCTTCTTGCCCTTCCGCCAACTTCTTAACCCTTTCCGCCTCTCCATCAATTAAATGCTGGATCTTATCTCCAATAAGGAACCCTCCCTGCACAAATCGTATACTGCCCCATTTCCTTTCCGTATAGATAGCTCTTTTTAAATCCTCTCTACTCTGTTGTTCTTTCTGGATCTCAATCTCATCTTTCCCATTCAAGCGACCTAGGATATTCTTGAAGACGTCCAGACCTGTGCACTCGCCGTGACCAACCCCACTACCAACCTTCGCACCGAGACCGAGATTGTCGTCTTTAATAGCGACTCGTATATGTGACGCATTCGCAGCTGTGTGGAACTCTGCGTGCTTTGCATCTTTCGCGCCGAGAAATTGTCCTGGTTCCCAACCTTGCGAGGTCATCATTCTGTGACCGAAGGATGAAGTGTCGTTCGTCCATCTTGTGTTATTTGGGTCGAAGGAGAGCTTTACACGCCTGGTATATTGTTAGTAACAAATTCTCGCAGTAATTGGCGAGCGGCATACTTCTTCTCACCGGCGAGCCCCATCTTGATTTGTGGTGATTGAAATCTGGGGGGTTCGTTATCGAGAAAAAGATTGTGGTCGCCCTGCACAAAACTTTAGTGGGGCATTTTGCGGAATGCAGAAGTCGATGAAGCTAGTGTGTGATTGGCTGAGCAACACATACGCCCAAGTTGTCTCGACGCGTCTTGTAATTCTGTGAAGCACTCACATTTCCAGAATCTCACTTGTTTAAACGTTTAACGCTTAGTTTCATACTCTGTACAGCGGATACTTGGAGTCTCCAAAACCAGTCATTCAAAACAGCTCTCTTCGCCAATATGGCTCCTACACGAGCTCGTCAAAGCATCGATGAAGGCGACTCCAGCGGATCCGACGAAGACCCCCAATCACAAGAGAGACTCGCGTTAGAGAGGGCGACCACTCTTCAAGCATCAGTATTTTCAACAGATACCTCACTCTTTGGTACACCTTGCTGATTCCTCGAACCCAGCTAAACAAGAAACGTGACACCAAGCGTAAATCGATTGAAGCCGAACATGCAAAGAGCGTCAAGGAAATCAGAGCAAAGATTGAAAATGCCGCAAAGATCCGGAAGACGAAAGTGTAGGTCTATATTTTGCTTACTCTTGTCTGCATCTAAGTTCGATCCATCTCCATTCTTCATGTCACGGCTCCTTGACCACCAAAACAACACTCCAGCGTGTTGGACAAAGCACACGTTTAACGCAATATAGTGCAAAACTACACTCCTCCCACATGGAACGTCTCCTCGCTCTAGATGACCGCCGCCAAAAGATTGAGGGTCTCATTATCGCCAGCATGAAGCGTCTTCACTCGGCTACCAACAACATTCAATCGGAATTGCTAGCCATGTATGAGGGACGCACAGCAGAAATTGAAGAGCTAGTCGACATTTCAATTGAGGGACCGTTCGAAGGTCGGTAAATATAGAACAAAGTGGGCGTAGGTTTACTAATTTATTACAGATTCTGAGACAACGTTGGTGGAGAAGGTCTGATGTCGGGAAATATGAAATGGGAGGATCAATATTGCTATACAACTTCTGCTATACACTTACACATGAAATACTAACTTAGATGGCCATTGGACGGACGGCAAGAAATAGACGGATTATACCCTTGGAGACTAGCATAGCATATCATTAGCATTTTCAACACTATCCAAGATACACAATTTTTTCGTACACCAGAGGCCACTTCGATGCCGAGGACTGTTTCTGTTCAAAATACCACATCATTATAGTCTTTCTGTTCGAAATACTATATCATTATAGTTGCCTTACAATCTCGATATATGTACTTGACGGTCTTTCATCATGGATATCGTAATCTACCTATACCAAACGCCATGCAAATAGTGCACCAGAAAATCCGCCCCAAATATACTCTTTTAAAATTGAATCTTCCTCTTCCTCCCCGTATACTTCGAAGAATTCTTAACCACCTTCCCCTTCCTCTCCATCTGCTCCTTCTTATTCATAATCCAAGCCTTACTACCCTTCTTAACATCCTTCCTCCCCTTCTCCTTATGTTTCCTCCTCGCATCCACCACATCCACATCCTCCATGCCCCTCACCACGCCCGTAATATCCCCACCCGCGCCCTCCTCCGTCGACCCTCCCACCGTCAAAACAAGATACAACTTCGCATTCTTAGTCCCCGGATCATCCTCCAAAATACCCGCGCCAAACCCAGCTTTAATCGCCGCACCACTAATCATCGTCCGCTGCAAATCATTCTTCGGATAAAACTGACATACCGCCCGTCCTCCCCTCTTCAAACTCGCATACAACCCGTTGAAGAACCGCGTTAGTCGTCCAGTACTGCTGACTTCTGAACTCTCGGCGTTGCAGAGCCATTGGATAGCGCTAATACTGACAGCGGCGTCGAAACTTCCAGCTCGAAAAGGTACGCCTTGTCCGATATCCGCTAACATGAGGTCTCCTTCTACGTCTCGCTGGAGCGCGATGTCTAACATGGACGCGGCAATGTCCATTCCTACCCACATGTGTGGGCCAGTAGGCGGTGGTATTGAAGAGAGGATTTCGCCAGAGAGGCCGGAACCGCAGCCGATATCGAGGATTAGGGAGGGGGAGTCTAGGGAGAGGAGTTCGAGGGCGCGGTGGGTCATGGAGGCTTGGATGTTTTGGATTCGTGAGGAGGTTGTGTATTTGCGTGCTTCGGTGTCATTGTAGTGGAGGTCTGGGGGTCTGATAGGAGGTGTTAGTGAGGTTATTGGTAGGTAGCTGGGGATTCCTGAAATTATTGGTGCGGGGTGGAGGGGAACGAACAGAGTATCTTCTGGACGAGACATGATTGTAGACTCTTCTTTGTATTACCAGTCAGTTTGAAAAGAAAACTTCGAATTTGGACGTTCGGTCAATGGCAATTAATGGTATGTTACGATTCAATCCTTATGTCGCATTATAACTCATCCAAGTCGTTCACCCACTCGAACTTTTTTGTGGGGTAATTATTTCTGCCTCTTGTCACCGCCCATAGAGTGTGCATTCCAAGGTTGCCAAGTTCTAGACTGCCACAAACTCCGAAGTCAACCCGATCGTGCCAGACAAGACTGATACTTTTGACGAACGACCCCCCATAGCAAAGCACCTTCTCCAATCCATAATGATCACCTTTTCATAACCTTCTCCCTCTTCAACATGTGGATTCTCCCACTCGTAGGCTATATAGGCCTCATCCTGGGCTTCGGATTCCTCACCCTCGCAATTGGTACCCTCCCCCTTCCAGCTCCCATACCTCCACTAACACAACTCGTCATAGCATCAGGATTATACTACCTCTCTGAACTGGTAGAAGAACACACCGTGATCGCCAAAAAACTCCTTACTCAATTAATCTACACCATAATAATAATCCAACTCCTCCTCTGTCTCATCGATGGCTTCCCGTTCAAGCTCTCGGTTCTGAGCATCGTGTCGCATGTGGTATATCTTGGGAACATGAGGAAATTCCCGATTGTGCGGTTGAGCGATCCTTTGTTTTTGAGTTCTTGCGGTTTGTCTTACTTCTTGAATTTTGGTGCGGGATACTGATGAAAGTAGTTCTGGTTCTATTAAACCACTTTGTCTGGTTTAGACACTTCTCGAGCCCTTCGAATATTGCCCCACAGTCGCGATACGATTCCAGCAATGTACCAAGTTTTACAGAGATAGCGAGTTATTTTGGGATTTGTGTATGGCTGGTGCCATTTAGTCTATTCGTGTCCTTATCCGCGGGTGACAATGTGTTACCTACTATGGGCAGCGAGGCCCCTGGGATGGGAGGACCTGACGGAAAGAACAAGAGGCAGGGAATGGTGAAAGTGCTAGTTGATGGCGTGTTGGGTTGGATTGGGGAGGTCAGTAAATTAGCGGGTTGGGGCGGGCGGAGGGAGGAGAGGGGATTCTAGCGATGAAAGGTTCGCAAGCATCATATCAGGAGTTAGGATTATACATATCAAAAGGGCGTACTTACTGAAATCTAAAGAAAGTAATAAACATTTGTTACGAATGAGCAGATGGAGATCTGTGTCACAATCAAACGGAATACCCCGCCTTGGAAACCCAGTAGTAGAGGGTAAGCATTGACATTCGAAATGGGAGGTAAAACGCAAGGCGATGTTAATAACGGCATGAACGGATATATGATTCTCTAAACTAAATCGCAATTGCTATGCATACTAGAATACACCCTTCTTGACCACTTTATACAGTTTGGATTTGCGCAACTATCCAGCAAGCTCCATCTTATCCAGAACGGCTCTTGTGAACTCATTCGTGGAGCTTCGTCCTCCCATATCCGGCGTACGTGTGTGTCTAATCATATTAGTAATTATCAAAAGAATGGAAATTGGCAGTACTCACCCCTCAGCGATAACATCATAAACAGCCTTGGAGATACGGTTGGCATGCTCGTCCAATCCCAAGTGTCTCAAAAGCATAGATCCAGAAAGAAGCATAGCAGTGGGGTTTGCCTGGTCCTTACCCTTGATATCAAGTCCGACGTGACGGCATCCAGGCTCGAAAACAGCAACCTCACGACCCATGTTGCAACCAGGAACAATACCTGGTCCACCGACAAGCGCAGCACCGACGTTCGACAAGATACCTCCGTACAAGTTTGGCATGACCATCACGTCAAACTGTTGTGGCCGAGAAACACACTGCATAGAGGCGTTATCGACAATCATGTCGTTGGTTTCTAATGTTGGGTATTCCTTTGCGACGGCGTTGAATGTATTGCGGAAAAGACCATCAGCAAGTTTCATGATATTGGCCTTGTGGATACAAGTGACCTTCTTACGGTTGTTGGCCAATGCGAATGCGAATGCAAATTTGGCAATTCGCTCTGACTTTGCGCGGGTGATGATCTTGAGGGACTCGACAACACCGGAAACAGATTGATGCTCTAAACCAGAATATTCTCCCTCGGTGTTCTCACGAATAATGCACAAATCGACGTTATCGTGACGTGTCTTGTATCCAGGAATGTTCTTGATCAAGACAATTGAAGCGTAGATGTCGAGTTCCTGTCGTAGAGCAACGTTGAAAGACTGGTGGCCCGATCTTTCCACAGGTGTGTGTAGGATACCCTTCAATCCAAGCTTGTTCCTCTTCAAAGATGCGACGGCTTCCCGGAAAAGGTCTTCTGAGTGTTTATCGCCAGTCTCCACGCCTGAGACGTCCACCTGTTCCCACTCGATTGGAACATTGTCTGCTTTGAAAACTGTCTTCACAGACTCTGCGACCTCAGCTCCGATACCGTCACCTGGTACCAAAGTAACTGTGTACTTTCCACCATATTTCGTAGGTTTAAAGATATCGCTCTGAATCGTCGCGAAGGACCGCGAAGGGGCTTGGGCGGTTCGCAGAAGGCTCTGATAAGAAATTTGCGGTTTAGCCTCTCATATCTGCCATTGAGTAGAGGGATATTGTGTAACTCACCTGCGCCGAGCGAACGGAGCTGCGCGTAAGCATTCTGAAGGGTTAAAAGGAGTTTTGTAGGGTGCGAAGAGGTGGTGGAGAAGAACTGCAAAACGAAGCAATTCTGGTCTTACGTCTGGAAGGTGGGCCAAAAGCTGCGATTCCATTTTTCCGGCTTCGGACTTGGCACGTCAAATCGGCATCGCATCGGCTTTTTCACAATCTCCAGGTCCCTCGAAATGCTCAACCCTCGAACTTTATCATCATCAACCAGAAAGAAATTACAGCTTTTAAAGTCTTAATATGGACGTGCTATACACAGGTGGACTATGGTCCAAGTCAGACGGAGTGCGCATCACATATGAACTTTCACAATAGTCCGGTGCTCGAAGATGGCCGTCACGATATGATTCCAAGCCTAGAGCAACTATGCCACTGCAAATCAGATACCTCGAAGCATAGGCTATCGCATCCTTTCGTGTCGAAGAGCTTCTTTTACCTTATTATGGGCACTGGCAATCAGATGATCTTGGGGACAAGCGATTTGTCTGTGTAAGCATTGAAGTTCATCGCATTTCCGAGTGCCTCGACACAGTCACTGAAGTCGAAACAGTCATTACTTCAAACACTTTCCAATGTCATTTTGACACAGTATGCAATCAGCTTAAATTACCTGGAAATTTCCAATGTCAATGGCAGTGCTTCGGTTCTCGAAAATATATCGACGGGGTCACATAACATTCACCAGGAGCATTTGTTTGGCGTAAGTCGTCGGCACAAGTTTGACTACGTTGCTGCGAAATCTGCCACGATACCGCATATGATGACTCGAATATCACTCCCAGCCTGATTATTCACATCGGCCTCTATCACGACCACTCAGCCAAGAATTCTAGGCCCCTCTTCACGGGAGGTACTTTTTCCTCTACGGTTAAGCGCCGCGCCGATAAACCGACATCTGGTCGGAAATCATATCCGGAACCATATCATGGCTATACTTTCTGTGCAAGCTTTGATTCCCATCTATATGAGAGGAACTCAGCGCTGCTGTTAAGTATAGTCTTTGCGGTTTTTTGAATTAATGTCTTTGAACCCTCGCTTAATTTTCCGTTTTGGGGTGTCAATAGGAAAGGGGTCTGAATAGGATGCGGTTAAGCTGCCTGTGCGACAAACCCTAAGACAAAGTATCCTTCTCAGATCTCAATAGGCTTTTCATTGACGCTCAAAATCTGGGATCTTCTTTGATTAGATGTTTGTGCACAAGGTGCGGAGATCTGGTTCTAGAATCATGCCCCAGTTGGATGCGTATTCATGAACTATCTTTTTACAGATCTATCAGCAAATCTAATTGCCATAATAACGCATTTCAGAATCATGCGAGCTTATGCCAATTGAGGTCTTACATATGGGTAACAATTCTGGCGGGTGATACGAATCTCGATCAGTACATTGCCTTCGAAACACTATGAATTCGTGTCACGAGGCAGCCATGTGCTTTTTGAAATGTAACTCGATATTTCTTTAAAGAGCTTTAATTGGCTGCCAATTGTGTGTGGCTTATTGTGGAAGATCATCTGGAAATGAACTTCTTCTATCTTTGTGTTGTGGTACTGTTGACATTTTCCCGATAGGGTGCTCAATAGTAAGCGAAGGTATTGAGTTCTTTGCTCGAAAGTACCACCCTCAAAAGGAAATCCTTTCTATTGAGAACAGCAGATGTCACTTCAGTATATAGTACTCGCTCTGTTCTTTCCATCCTCATCTTGCTTCCTCTCTCTCAGATAGCAAAAATTACCAGTTCCAAAATTACATTCTACCAATCAAACACATACAACCATACCAACGTACCCCGAACAACCATCAACATGAAGTTCACGACCGCCCTTTATGTCATGATCCTTGCGGCCTCAACGGCCCTTGCTATGCCAGCACCAGATGCAGAGGCTGACCCGCAATGCCAGCGCCATGGACAACGTAAGTAACCTTCCTCCTTTAGTCTCTCAACCCCAGTACTAATTTGTTGGCAGCATGCTGGAAAGTCAAACGCGAGGCAATCCCAGAGCCTGCACCTGTGGCTGAGGCTGACCCTCAATGCCAGCGTCATGGACAACGTAAGTAACATTTCCTTCAGTCTCTCTTCTAATTTCCAATACTAATTTGCTGGCAGCTTGCTGGAAGGAGAAGCGCGAGGCAGTGCCAGAGCCACAGTGCATCAGACACGGACAACGTAAGTACTTTCTACTTTGTCACTCTTCTAGACTCATGTACTAATTTACTTTATAGCTTGCTGGAAGGTCAAGAGAGAAGCAGAGGCCGAAGCCATGGCAGCAGCTGAGGCAATGGCAGAGCCACAATGTATTCGACATGGACAGCCGTAAGTTATCTTTCCTTTATTCGTCGTTCCCTCCACTGACTGTTCATAGATGCTGGAAGGTCAAGAGAGAAGCAGAGGCTGAGGCCCTTGCTGCTGCGGAGGCAATTGCCGCATTCAAGGCATAGATATGACACGATCAAGCATGTTATGACATGAGTTAGGGATTGACTCCCCACATTTTCGATTCAAATACAAAGTTTTCAACGCCTCGGCAACCTCCCAGGCATGCCATTTTCACGTCATCGAACGAATCTTACTACTACGATCTGTGGCAGCTTTTTACAGCAGTCTTTTTTTTTTCAAATAATGCAACATATATTCAACAACTTGCGCCATAATTTTTCTTCTTGAAAGGTTCTGGGATGAGCTTGGAGGGTATTGAGAAACTCTTTTGTCTTTCATAACAAATTCAAAGACATTCTTCTCAGACGTAACGTGCTGTGACTCGATCTTCAATGCCTTTCTTAAGACTTTATCTGTCGCATGTGATTTTCTAAATTGTCCACTTATCACAGTGAGGAAATTCGAGAACTTATAAGATCCATCGCCGCTTGCTGATGCGAATATCACACGAGAATCAGATTTTGGTATCAAAGTCATCGAACAACGCGATAGTACCGAAAAGGTCAAATATCACGACTAGTACAGGGGCCCCACTCACACACCAATGTAGAATTTAATTTATAGTCTCCACAATATATAACAAACATCTCAATCGTCCATTCAAGGGACATTCCTTTCACAACTAGACGGACTCAGTGACTATCAACCCCCTCGAAAGTTACAAGATGCATTCGTTTGAGGTCAAACAATCAACTAGCTTGGATTCATTCTCGTCAGAATCCAAGTGTCAAACTTCTCTTTTCACTGGCCGTTTGTATGATCAAACTTAAAGTAAAGAGGTTGGCTAATTCAGATAGGAATGCAATTGATGTAAATCTTGTAATTTACTAGACATGCGCAGAAATCCCCCGTTAAAGCTCAGGATACCAAGAATGATGAGGTGATTCGCGTCAGAAAGTGTTGTGTCTTTTTCCTTCTTCTTCTCTCAGGAGAAAATGAAGCGTGTCTAATAAATCAGAATTGCTAATTACTAATTGGTTCAACCGAAGTGAATATAGAACTCTTCTCCTGAGATAGTGCCAACTGGCGCACTGAAAATTCGATGAACTAGCATCTGGAGGAAAAAGCCATGGAGTTTTCCATCCACAGACAATGAAAAGTGTTTATCGGCCCTCCTGATGCTATAAGATAGCAGCTGCACAAGTTCAAAAATTCAGAGTTCCACAATGATAGTCCTACATTCGGACATTGGTTGAGACCTTGGCTTTTGATGAATTAACTCCTATCACCAATGCGTCTGACTCAAATTTCAAGAGTTCTGTTACATCGGGGTTTTTTAATGTTCATGCACAACTATTATGAGTTGGACTGTGTAACTAGTTCTTTCATCAATCCATGGTAAAGAGTCTCTAAAGACGTCTCACTGACTCAAAATAGATACATGTAATAAATAGTATTAGATTGGCGATATGTTCAAGCAAATATCGTGTTTCCACTGCCACCTATACGAGCTATCCAAGAACTCCATGAAACCTAACCCCAAAATTATTCAGTATCACATAAGATTTTCTACTAGGTCAATCACGGTTTTACCCACGACGCCAAATAAACGCTCTTCTGCAACTAAGCCTCTAGTGGAGGTACCAACCTTACTCAATAAAAGTATCAGCTAGTCTTACCGTCAGATACCGCATCTAACATTGATTGTCGGACTGTAAGCGAGGAACTGGCAACAATGGAAAAGAAGACTCGTTTGCAACCCGATGAACAAGCACTTACCTTTTCTCACTATACAACGACGGTATAGATTCATTTTAGCGTTCATTGTCTAGAACGTACATGTGCGTCCTGATCTGTTCTAGCTACCCTCTTTCAATACTACATGTCAACGACACAGATACGTTGATAAGACGAAGATCTTTGGGCCAAGATAGAAAAGTGGAGGGATACGATTCAAGTCCTACCCCACGAGACACAGGCTTGCCAGCTGTTGCCAGAAAGACTCCCTCTCATGGGGCTTGCTCTTAGGACGGATCAAACGGCTTCTGGAACCACACTTGCAGCTATTCTAACAGCTATCAATTTGGTCCTGCCTCGTGCGAAATGTACCAATTTTGGGCGTGTTCTATTGATCACCATTTCTCTTCAAACAACATACAATTGTCCTTGCCAGAAAAAATATTTATTCCCTCACTAAAACGCGCTATCATGAATCCAGCTCAAGTTTCGCCATCTAACTATACCATATTTACTTCGAAGTACACTACATCCACCACATCCAACGCATCTCGCTTCCAAAAAGCGATTTGAAATACAACACCCCCATCTTCTACTTAGGAAGGTAGTCAATTTTGCCATTAGCTTCCCGCTCACTAACCACTAGTCTCCGGCTGATCCCAAAGGAGCTCACGGTACTTACTTAGCTTGCGATCAAAGCACTTTTAGCGGTTGTTCGGTGAACTTGGCAAGACCACCACATGCAGAATTAATCGAGAACACACAAAGTGCCGTCGACATCTTGGAGGGAAATGAAAGGCGCGCTTATATTGAGTCAATTCGCGATATTGATGTTTCGAGTTTCAATAGTACTTCGCGCTTGAGCTTGTGGTTTACTTGCATTATACATGACGTGATTGCAATTTCAACGTGATGCCGTCCGATTTTATGAAACGTCGTAAAAGTCGTAAAGGTCAAGAATCAGATGAGGTATTTCAAACCAGTATAAAAATGGTAGCTATGCTTTTTCGCCAAGTTATCGCTTCCCAGGAATGAAACATGGTGTTTCTTGAGCCTTCTCACATTTCATTGGCAGCGACATCATGAAGCTTGTGAATCTGCAAACGTCCAATGTACCCCGCAAGATCTACGGCTTGGCTTTCTCGAAGATATCCACTTCTCCCTTTACATGACATCCCAAGTGCCTTGCGCTTGTCTTAGTCTGGCATAACGAAAATTCCTTCTGCTAAAACCGTCCAAAGCTGAACCCAGCTCATCCAGCTTCTAGTTGCAAGTCTCAAAATCAAGCAGCCAATCGCAACAAGAAATGCTTCTTAGAGTCATGGCAACGAGGATGAGGCGCCCACGTCGTACTGTACATAGAATTACCTTAGACCGAGGCTTATACCGTTATGCTAGACTTCACTAGAAGAGCTCGTCGAAGCAAAAGCGCTTGGAAGACACGGCTACATTGTCTTTTCAGGCTTCAGCACATGTACCGTCAATGTGGGCACATCTTGGCATCACAAGCAGTATGAGGCTTTGAATACTGGAGAAGAAGTATATAACTGGCACTTCTGCCAGAGAGAATCGTTTTCCCATCTGCACGACAGCCATCAAATCAGTCTTTCACTTCCTTCACATTCATTTCCAAACACGCTCGTGGTCAGAATTCGCAGTCTCGTTCCGTTCATAACAATCAAGATGAGAACCTCCACAGCTATTCTTTCTTTACTGGTGAGCGTCGTCGCGGGTAGCCCAATTGAGAGTCGCCAATTCGGCTTCCCTTCCACTGGACGCGTGGGAACAACAGAAAATGAGTTCACACAAGGCGGGTGCAGAGATATAATCTTCTTCTTTGCCAGAGGGTCAACCGAAGTTGGCAACATGGTATGCGAACAACAATATTTTAAAAAGTTTAAGATGTTGACGATCATAGGGATCCACAGTAGGACCTCCAACAGGACAAGGTCTGAAAGATGCGTTCGGAGCAGCCAGTGTCGCTGTTGAGGGGACTGATTATCCAGCCGGGCTAGGCACAAATGCCCTACCTGGAGGCGCAGACCCTGTGGGTATTAGGGACATGAGAGATGGCATCAATGCTGCTGCGACTCAATGCCCTAACTCTATCATTGCTGTAGGAGGCTACAGGTAAGCACCCTTCTTACCGAGTAGGCGTTGTTCCTTCTCGCTGACAATCTTAAAGCCAGGGAGCCGCTGTCGTCCACCGAGCTGTTGAGAATTTGTCTGCTTCAGTGAAAGACAAAATTGCTGCAGCAATTACCTATGGCGATACCCAAAACCTTCAAGATAGAGGCCAGATTCCCAACTTTCCTCCAGAAAAGACCTTGGTTATCTGTAACACTGGAGACGCGGTCTGCCGCGGCACCCTGACCATCCTCGCGCCGCACTTGGACTACGTACGACGTGTGCCGGAAGCAGTTCAGTTTCTTACAACTAGAATCCGCGCAGCCCAATAAGCTGCAAGGATTGATTTGGATATTGTACGCAGGAAATGGGTCGAGATAGCGATGGTCGGTGGTCAGAAGGCGGGATACTTCTGGGGCCTTGGGGGCACAGTTCAAATTAGGCGCGGCCGTTGGCATTATCTATAGCTTAGCAGCTTCGCTTGATCAATGCATTCCCATCATTTTCTGACTTGGGGGGTTTCGGCCTTAGGTCTTTACTTGTGCGTAGTTGTGTGTCGTGCCATTTCTTGATCTCGCACACGGTGCAGAATTTCTGTACTAAAAAGCCTCGCTCATATGAGACTCTATTCTTGGGTGTCGAAAGAGGATGGTGACAATAATATGCGCAACGGTATATTGCCGTTGTCCAAGACTGTCGAAAACGAACGTTCACGGTTGCTCATTCTTGGAGGATTTTATTGCAAGATACGATTCCCTCTTGCTTACTCGTTCTCCCTTCAAGCAATGCTTCAAAATCCATGGGTGCTTCTCAACGTCTTCCAGCGGCATTCTCTTCTCTGGATCAACAACCAGTAGCTACCAAATTAGCCTTCTTTCTAGTGGTATGTAAGAACATGACTTACGCGCTTAATCAGATCTCTGGCTTCTCGTGACACAAATTTTGGTATGGTCATATCACAGCGAACAATTCTACTGTATGTGACTGGTGGAGAGTCCTCAAAGGGTGCTTGTCCAGTTAACAATTCATACATCAATACCCCCAGTGCCCATAGATCCACTTTCTCGGTGTACCATTCCCTCTTCACAATTTCAGGTGGTAGATAGTCCATAGTCCCACATTGCGTCTTTCGTCGATTTCCTGGTGCATGCACACTCCACCCGAAATCCGAAATCTTAATTTCGCCGTGTATGCCCAGAAGAATGTTCTCTGGCTTGATATCTCGGTGCATAACGTGCTTCTTGTGAAGGTGCTTCAACGCCGATGTCATCTGTGCAATATACTGAGAGGCTTTCCATTCAGGAAAACGAGTCTCCCGCTGAAGATGCTTATAAAGCTCGCCTTGGCCGGCAAATTCGAGTATTAAAAATATTCTTCGGCTATCGTGGAAGTGACCGTGGAGTCGCAAAACATTAGGATGCCGTAAATTGCTTTGAATTTCAATCTCTCGTCGAACCTGCATCTCCACCCCACCTTGCCTAATTTCATTGAGATGTAGAACCTTGAGCGCACACACATATCCACTTTTGCGTTCTCGAACAAGATATACACGTCCAAATTTCCCCTTTCCTAATGGACGGCCGATTTCGAACATGCCAAGATGGAATAGCTTAGGAGCGGTGGGCTGCTTATAGATGGGAGTTGATTGTGATTCGGCATTCGAAGACCCAGACTTATTGCTTAACAAGATGACCATTGGCTTCCTAGATGATCCTTCCAGCTGAGAGGTTTTCGAGGGAGCAGCGACGGTTCTGACTTGATTTTCTACCGCGACTTTGAGAAGATTCGATCGATTTGGGTTTTCCGAAAGCTTTACCCTCGAGCTTGCCATAATCTAAATTATTAGTGTATGTCCTTTACTCATAATGGTACACGAACTTTGGTGTGCATCCGCTTTCCATCATTCGAAGAATTCTCATCCTTGACAGAAAGGCTCTCGAAATGGAGCTCAAGATTGCTGGTAGTCATCTGATCTTCGGGTAGTTGTTTGGACCCTTTTATTTGGCTTTTGCTCCGCAGTAGAGTGCGGGTTGGCGATATCGGTGGAGACTCGATGATCTTGCAACTAACATTGAGCTGTGCTCGCGAAGCGGTGTTGAGGTCGCCATGGTTTGTGTTGACCAGGCAACGCTTTCAACCCCTGAGCCCTGGGAATCTGCTTCTCCAGAAGCGAGAATGTTGGAACGACGTACGATGAATTTACATCTACTCCGTACTCCTATTCTGGAACATCATTTTCTTTCGAGTGTTATCTTTTCGAGACTCTTGGTAACCTTGTCCCCGGGAACCCCAAAAGAAAAGGCAAGTCTACATACACGTCCGCCTCGCTGCAAATAGCCTAAGTTACATTTTTCTGCACACAAGACGGGACCACACGCCACAGCTTCGGGTCGGCGGCTCCCTCTAGGGTTTGTACTACTTCCTGCATCTCCTTTGGGATCTCCAAGTCTTTCTTCTCCCGTTATCTCTGCGACGTATGGTCTCGTTTACGCCTCGGTTGCCAGAAACGTGATAATACTTTATTTAGGCACTTCGGAGATTTATACCTTGAAGACTTTTAATGTGACTGCCTGGAAACAATATCGAACAGCGTTGCCGTTAATAGAAGTGTGCATAATCAAGATTCTGTTATCCTATGATGTCTCGTGGAATATAGAAATCTCAAATGGAGGTGCAATCTCACATGCCGTCTCCATCATTAATTCACCACACAACACGCACGCAATATCGAGAGGAACGTTTTATATATTCTAAGACTTTTCCAAAAGGTACCTTTCTTTCCTAGTTGTGTAATATGATTTGAGACTTCCGCTTTTGAACATGTCGATTCTCGTTCCCCTTTACATTTATCCACACTTGGGTCAATGGGATCCTCTCTATTGGGCGTAAGTATTCATAAGTCCTCTTGTTTCTGGGACACTACTAATGTTTCGCCAATAGAGCTTGGTCACACCCAAAAGTCAATTTCACAGTCATTGTCAACCCTTGTTCTGGTCCTTGCGGACAAAACCTCTCATCAACATACATCAACGAAATTCCAAAGCTGAAGCAGTACAAGAATATTCAGACACTGGGATACGTTGCAACAAACTATACCAACAAGGGACTTGATAATGTTTTGGAAGAAATTGGCTTGTATGCCAATTGGTCATCCAATTGGAATGATAGCAGAATCTCGGTCGATGGAATATTCTTTGACGAAACACCGGGACTTTATGATTGGCGAAAATTCGCATATCTGGAAACCGCTCAGAAGGCTGTGAAGAGTCTGCCTGGGTTAGGCCAACAAATTGTTGGTAAGTTGCGAGGAGGAAAAGAAATGTTTTCAAGCAAAGACTGACCTCTTTAGTCCATAATCCTGGAACCCTCCCCGATCGAGTATGGAATTACATGAATCTATCCGACGTTACGGTCATATTCGAGCAATCTTTTATGAAATGGCTCGATCAACCAAACTTCAATCTACTCAAAGCATTCCAGAATGACTCGAGTCATCCCAAGTCCGCAATGGCAGTCATGTTACATTCGCTACCAAGTCTTACGGATAATCTTCTGACCTGCGTGATAAAGGAATTGGAAAACATGGCAGGCTATTTCTTTCTGACGAGCGTGGGAGACCAGGATCAGTATTGGCATAGCTTCTCGAACCTATTTAGTCCACTAGCGACAGCAGTCGATAGGATCAATGAACAAAAGCTACTGTAAAACATTTCCCTCGAATATAGTTGTATCTCCCACAGAATGTTCACTCAAGCATGGCGTTTGCTTTTGGAAACGGAATTTATCACTGTAATTCTTAAAGCATTTTTCTCAAATGGCATTAAGTAATCTAAGAAAACAAATCCATAAATCCAACAAGAACATTGACAAAACAAAGCCCAGCGCCGACAATCTCCCCAAATAAGAACCCCCTACTTTCCATCAGAACTATGGATAAGGTAAAACTGTTGCCTTGCAAAGCGACATAGCGCCTGTCAACCAAATACATTTGTCCAGATGTAGAACATGCACCCCGGACTACCAAAATCCAAATCCCAAATACGACTTTTCCTTCCCATTTTAGACATTTACCCTGACGGAAGGAAACCACTTAAGTCTCGATCGAGCGAAACCAAAGATGTACGCCGTCTGCTTAAAGCTCCTCAACAGGCTTTTCCGCGACCACAGTCACAGGCTTCTTCTTGAAGAAACCAAAAAAGCCATTATACCCTTTTCCCACTTCGGCTTTCTTTCTAGCCAACCACTGCTCTCTGAAGAAACTGTCCCTTTGCTTCTTATTGTGCGCTACAACCAGGTGTAGGTCTCCAGCAGCATATTGTAGAGACTCAGCAATTGCTGCGCGTTGTGAGAGGGGAAGACGTTCCCCTGGTTCTTGCTTCTCCAGTTCTCTGAGTGCCGAAGTGATTTTATGTTTGATGATATTGGCGTTAGTCTGTACCCCGTCGAAATAATTAATCACTGCCAGAACATTGCGGTCGTAGTCTGCAAGGTCCTTTGAGTGATTGCTTAGCGTGTCTCGCCATGCTTGGACTTCAGGGCTCGGTTTCCAGATTTGACTTCTAGCTTTGATGTCTTGTCTTTGCGTCTCTTTGATGAAATTTTGGCAGGTGCGTCGAAGTTGGTCCAGCGATGCATAGGCGATGTTGATTTCGAACGAGTTTTCGAGGAGGATTTGTAGACTCTTGATGTATGCTGAGAATTCCTGGCCTAACTCTTCATTCTCTGCGCCTCCAAGAGTCGAGGATAATTTGCCGGCCTTACTTGCAATTTTCTTTGCAATGATGCGTGTATCCACCACTACGTTCTGTGCAAGAGCCTCTGGGATGCGATTTACAACATTCTGAACCTTTGTATTTGTTGCCCTTGCTGCATCTCCCAATACATCGGCATGCCTGAAGAGGGAAGGCAGCTCTTTTTGCGCCCAGACTGGGACATTTGCTAACTTTTTCAACGCACCAGTTCCCGAGGGCGACAGTCCAATTTGATTAGGTTCCAGCTTTGCAGAGAAATTGAATTGTATTTCATCGTCTGAGAGTAAAGAGGCAAACTCTTTTACAAGCGCTCCAGGGTCAGACACATTGAATGCTCCTGGTTGTCCCAGTGGAATTGACGTGGGCAGATATGGCTAGAATTCCTCATTAGTAACCCGTATTCCAAAACACAAGAGAAGATTCTTACTCTGGTGACAAACAGAAAGACAATCACAAAAAAAGCGATGGCCGAGGAGTAAAGAAATGTTTTGAATGTCAACGCCGGTGTCGAAGTTGTAGGAGCACTACTGTTCCGACGAACGAGAGTTGGCGAGCCCGGAAGACTCTTTCTTCTTTGTGGGAAGCCATTTTGCGAGAATCTTCGAGAGCTCGTAGAAGCACGTCCGCTCGCTGTGCTTGCTTTTCGCAGCTCGCGGGTAGATGTTTCTCCAAAGTCAGCCATGATGAAATATCAACGTGTTTGAAAATTGATGTATCTAAGGATATGGAAAAGAAATGCTGATAGGATATTTCCTTATTTTATCTATCAGACACCATTCTTTCAAGGCCCTTTGCTGGAAGGCCGTTGTCAACCAAGCTCTTTGTTGGATAGTACACTCCGATTACCGCAAACGGTGGTACGCTCTTTGTGTATAAATGAGACATCTTCCAAAAGTCCGGGCAGTGGATACATGCAAAAATTGTAGAAATAAGATTGGATTTTCCGGTGTTCCCGCAAGCGGTGAGTCGCGGTCTTTGTTTGCGAGTGGGACATCAACATTTGAACATTCTTGAACCCAGCCCTTCGAAAGTATCAAGCGAAACGAATTGCTATCGATTATGACGTCGTGTACCAGTCGGGTCGTCCCAAAAAATTTAAGTCCATGAAATTTGAATGCGCAATATTGCTTCTGCCGTCTCGAGTGACTCCCAAAACGATTCTTGTAATAAACAAATCTTGTAATACAATAGTACAAATTTCAGTCGCTCCGCTACAAGAAATCATCCTACAATCTTCATCGTTCGACGAGTGTCGTATTATACATCTAACTTCAATTGTCCCGTCGGACGATGCTCCTCAAAAACCCGATACTCCGTCGTGACCTCAATGCCTTTTGGATCCTGAGCGATCGATGAGAATTCGCTTGATCTCGATGCTTCTTCTTTGACAAGCTCATCTTCCGACTCGTTGGCTTTGGTCGTTGCTCCGACAGAATATGTAGTGTTTTTCGCACGAGACTGTGCGATAACGCGTGCGTGATGGGAAGAAGATAGTTCGTAATGTCTGCCTGCAGAGGAAGTTCCCACGCGGGATATTTGACCCAAAATGAGAGTGCGAAGAACTGGTAGGCTGGCAGATGTTAGTACAATTAGATCTAGAGTTGAAGGATTAATCGTCAACATACCAGGTAGCGATGATTGCCACTGCTGTCTCGATCATTGACACAGTGCAAGTCAACATCGTTTCGTTAAGTTTGGAAAAGTAAGCTCGGATGCCTAGAGTTTGATGAGTTGGCAATGAGGACTTGATCGGCAAAGGGCAACTAACAACTTGCAATCACAACAGAAAATCCAAGAGCAAACATAGCTGCGACTCCTAGCCTTTGCTTAAGTGGCATCTGCAAATTAAGCACCATGGAGATGGGTAAACTAATGACTGTGATAATGTTAGAGGTAAGGTCCTACGCTCGAAGCGTGCTATATGTTACTCACTAATCACATCAGAAAATATGTTGGCTTTGATAAGTTAGCGTCATTTTCTACGACTATGATGGTAACACGTACTGAGGATCGTAATCCAGTAGTTGATATCTGCTGCCTTCGTAGAGCATTGTTCTTTGACATGTTAACATCAGTTGACATTGAGAATACAAGGTCGTAATTACCTGTTGGATCTTGCGACCATCGTCTATCGCCCGGAAAACATTGAAAAATGATATCAAAAAATATGACAAGCCAATTGGCAACCAAAAGGCCAAGCATGATGTTGAAAATCATTTGCCATTTTGTCCTCAGGGCTAGCCTCTTGTAGAACAGAACCTTGAAGTGTTAAAAGTGACAAGCTGCAGCAGTGATGATCTCGAATACTTACAAGAGCAATCTTGATAGACCACAGCGATGTAACGTAAAGGATGGATCCGGGTATAATCATCTATTTTTGATTAGATCCACAGTTGATCTGTGAGCTTTTTTGACGCTCACCTGCATGATTCCGATGAACTCCTCGCGGCTTGCTCCTCCAATGTTGGCCATTCCTGCATCTAATCAGCACACAACTCGATAAAGTCGCTTGCTTTGAAGTCTTACCTAGATTCCACATATGCTGCTGAATAGCGAGATCCCCTATCAAACACGCTGTCGCAAGCAGCAAAAAGCCATCATCAAGCGACAACGTTGACACGTTCTTCAGCTTGACAGCCATCCTCATCACCACAAACACAAAAGCAACCACGGTACAAATGTACCATGATATAACCTGTCCCAATCCAGTTGCTGCCATTTTTCTCACGTAAATGCTTCACTTGGAAAGGTGTACGACAAGATCTCTCCGCATCACGCAAATCCTGTGGGCTTTGTGGATAAGATAAAAGGAGGAGTTAGAGTTTAACACCAAACCCTCAGACTCTCGCACAGAAGATTCACAAAGATATTGGGTTTAGTATGTTACGAGGTAGTGTGTTAAGGGTCGTCGAAACCCAGCCCAATTCGAGTCGCATGGATCATGCATCCAACTGCCGGTACATGGCGCATCACTTCCGTCCCGCTGCGATGTCTCTCACTATACGCAAACTAAAATGGACAATAATACGGTTGTAGAAGTGATTGACATAACTAAAGCATTCTAAAGCATTGTTTGGAATCTTCGATTCGATATTTGGGGATGCGGACGCGGACAGATCGAGTCCGTTGTGGTTGACATCTGAGAACTGGAACAGTAGCCAAAGCATAATTTATCGTAAACACTGAGCGGAGCTTCCTTTTCGTAACACTCGTGAGAACAGGCAGTCACCCAGCTGAACTTAAAAACCATCAACTTTGAAATGGTAGTTGTTACTATGCAGTTCAGTAAGTGAGTTCGGTAAGGACGCTGAGGTCAATACAGGATTTCCTCACGACTGAACTCAGCAGGCGACCATACTCCATGACCTTGTCTGTTTCCACATTAGTGCCTGTTGTATTCCCAAATACAGTACTCTGACATGCAGAATATTTCGAGGTATGAAGTATTGGATATCATTGCTCCAAGCAAAACTTAGATAGCAAATTAGATGATCAATATTATTAAGGATCTTTCATTTGCAGTTAGCAGGTTCCAGAAGTAAATAAACATGAGCAAACAAACAAGCGACGGGGAACAAACGTCAAAAGACAGTGATTACATCCAAGAGATCTTTAGCCAGGCTTTCAGTTGGAAGGAACATCGCACTCGTAGGCCCCCTAAAAACCACGAGCTGTACGCAACACTTCAACAAACTAGAGAGCAATTGGCCACGGGACGGCTTGTCATGATCTTGATTGCGCAAGACGGGGTCGATGTGCCTCGCTCAATTGGTCGGTGACAGCACTGACAGCTGGCAAGTGCAGATTGCCTTCAAAACCCACAACACAAGCGTCGGATACCTTCAACTTGGTCGACAACCTTCCACTCCCCGGTATCTGCTGTAAGCGAAGGCAAGAACAGACCGAATTCTTCGCTCCGGGGGATACACACAAGGATTCCTCACGCACATGCACTCGTATTCGAATTTCATCTGGGGCAAAAACATCCTTGGAAAAGGTTAGTCCTTGGATGCGAGTCAGGAAGTAAAATGCCGCGTTGACCTACGTTTTTAGCTCAGTTGGCTGTGTTGACGTATGTTCTCCAGCTGCTCAAAGTTCTTTCTCCCAGAGAGTAGTGATATAGAGTCCCTCGAGATGGTTCAGTGTCAACATACATTCAACATCTAGTTCCAATGTGTCCGTTGCAGAATTCAAAGGTTATTTTGAATACTAAATCTAACTTTCTACTCAAACTCTTCGAGTCGCGCTCCGTGGATTTAAACTTTCCAGTGGATGCACTATACAAGCAGTATCCCAGTAGTCGATTTCCACGGTAAAACTTCCGCGACCCCTTTAGCCTATCGCTTATTTCATGCATCTACCGTGAAGCGAGAACGACGATGATGGTTGGGCGCGGAGAGGAGGTGATGCCAAGGGGTGTCAAATAGAGGGGTGCTACTTATGGAAATGTCTGTGGAAGATTGATAGAAGGAATGAGTGGAAACGAGACTTTTCCAACGGTTTTCTATCATGACGTTTTGACGCATACCGATTTCTTTCTTTTGGAAGGTTGTGATATCAACAGACGATGTCTCTACCACCACTTCTCTCTTCTTCTGGGTCATTACCGACTCCTCCCCTCCCCATCGGAGCCACCACCACAATTGCCTCCTCCTCCGTGGACCCCTCGAGGATCCTTCAGATCCACAGCATGGCCTCCCTTCTCCTCCAATATACAGCCTCCGAACCCCCATCACTACCTACCTCCCACGATAGTAGCTGCATAACCCTACTTCCTTCGTACCTGAATCCATAATCGGCATCTAAGCCCGGTACAATCCCACCTTCCAATGAGAAAATTCTCTCTTTTCGAACCCGTAAATACAATGGCGTCCTCTTTGCTGTCTCTTTCTCAAACACATCATCATGGTATTCAACATCCTAGCTCAAGCAGCTTGTTGGGCCTTCACGCTCGTTGCCCGTATAAGCGGGAAAGCAGGATGTACGTGTTACGGTGAACCAGCTGCGTTTACGAATCAGGGACTGGTTACGGGGTTTGCGGATTCGAACGGGAGTGCTGTGTTTCTTGGGATTCCGTTTGCGGCGTCTACGGAGGGGGAGAATAGGTGAGTTATATAAGTTTGGGAGTTGTGTTGGAGGCTGATGATGTATAGATGGAAAGAACCACAACCAGCACCGCTGTTTCGGAAACCGTTTAATGCGTCAAACTACGGCCAGACTTGTGCTCAAGCAAGTTCAGACGCAGCATGGAGTCCTCAGGGCGAAGATTGTTTGAATCTCAATATCTGGGCTCCTTCAAGTGGCAAGAACCTACCTGTATGTACCCTCATCACCGTTCCAACTCATGTACTTACTGCATAGGTATTCGTCTACATCTACGGCGGCGCCATGGTAACCGGCTCCAGCAGCAACACGCAACTCCAAGGAAACAACTTCGCCAGAAAGGGAGTCATCTACGTCTCATTCAACCACCGAGAAAGTATTTTTGCGAGTCCGAATTCAGGCGAACTGGGCGAGTCGCAGAATTTTGGGATCTTGGATGTTGAGATGGCTGTTGAGTGGGTGCATCGGAATATCAGAGGTATGTTGATGTCTCCGGCAAGAGAAACAGTTTACTGATACCTCATAGCTTTCGGCGGTGATCCTAAACGTATCGTACTAGGCGGCCACTCATCTGGAGCAGTACAAGTAAGTCACCACCATCCACTACAGTTCGATCCTAACAACCTACAGGTCGACCACTACCTCTGGAACCACCCACATACCCACCTCGCCGGCGCCATCGAAATGTCCGCCAACTCCGCCTCCGGCCCCGCCTACGCGCCCCAAAACGTCGGATTAGACGTCGTCGCCGCCGAAGTCGGCTGTCCCACCGGCGCCGGCCAGCTCGATTGTCTCCGCACAAAATCAATATCCGAGATCGAAACCGCGAACTTCAATTCCACGACCAACACCTGGTTCACGCCCGTCGTCGATGGGATAACGCGGTATTCAGTCGCAGAGTACACGGAACGGTTCGCGGCTGGGAAATACCCGTCAAACGTCCCGCTGATAACTGGGAATTCCGCTGGCGAGGGCACGATCTTCGGGATCGTGTATGGGGCGGAGAACACGAATTTCTCGTCTTGGATCAACACTTTCGATGCTGATAGCGCTCATATCCCCGATGAAGCGCTGTTGGCGGCTTATAACGCGTCTGATTTCGCGAGTGTGTCTTTGATGTCTGGTGCCCAGTACGGCGATGCAAGATTCAATTGTCCTGTGGACTATTTCGTCGATTTGCGCAGCGCGGCGCAGAAGACGTGGGAGTATCGATGGTTTGGCGCATATGATAATGTTGTTGGGCCGCCTGGGACAGCGCCTACGCATGGGACTGAGGTGCCGTTCTTCATGGGTGGGAATGAGTGTTTTAGTGCGCTGAGCAATGTGACTGCAGAACAGCAGGCGTTGGCCGATTTCACCAACAATTGGTTTGTGAACTGGATTAAGAATCCAGCTGCCGGACCAGGATGGGCGCAGGTTCAACCGGCTTCTAATAGTGGTGTTGTGATGAAGTTGGGTGTTTCTGGGAATGAGACGGCGTTGATCGAGGCGAAGAGGAATGATTTTAATGGCATCTGTCAATCTGTAAGTCTTCGAAAATATCCTGTGGGACGTCAGTAATGCTAATATCTTCCCAGGTGTATAAACAGTACTTGCCAAAATACCCAGTTGTGCAAAATCCTGTCACACTAGCTGCATCCTCTTGAAATGTGGTAAATGGTTCGTCGACGCTAAAAGCGTATAATCTAGAATGATAGACAAAAGCTATAGATATTAGAGACCTTGATAAACATAATGATTAATGATCAATTGATGAATGAGATATACTCTTGATCGTTGAGTGAAATAGGGAATTACATTGTGCCATTATTTGTTCCTGCCGTCTTTCACCAGACATCTCTCTAACTATTGATCTTCTTAGCATCTGTTTTTACATAGTTTAGATATTCGGATGATATCGTTTTTGTAACACAAGTATGTGACACTATAACAGCATGACCGTGTCATAACGATCGTCAAAAACGGGACTTGATTGTAATAGATCATTTCCATCCGCCCACCCCCATTGTCAGTATATTTCCTCACATGTATTTCCCCTTCGACGTCCCCATGCGCGCGATCTCGGCGGTCAATTTGACATGGCTCCATGAGATTTGCACTTGTTGATGTCGTCAGATCCTAACAACTCTTTCCATGGAATGACGCCGTTGGTGGCTTCGTATGCGACTCCAGCCCTTTGGTCAACAAGACCGTTCACCGCTCTAGCGGGACTTCCTGACTGCTTCAGACAGGGCGAGATCCTGAGCTTGAGGGGCTTTTTCTTGCCCGGCGTAATATTTCATTCAATTTCTAGCTAGTATTGGTTGCTCAGCCATTGCTGCGTCGACAAAGAGCGGCGACGACACTGATATCGTCGTGCTTGCCTGTAAATAGTTAGTCCAATAATTCGCGCAAAGAACGTTTGTATTAGTTACCTCCTTCCATAGCCAGTCCCTCTTCCACAGCATGTTCCATAAATGGACTCTCAGCGAAAGGATCTGTAGCAATCGCCTTCGCAGCATTCATTAATTCCTGTGCGACATATCTCATGCCCCCACCTGCACCATCCCGTCGGTCTCCTGTGCTTTCACCACCTTGTCCGGATTCCCACTTGCGTATACTAGTAACGACGTTCTCTATTATCTCGTGCTCCCACAGGTTGTCAATGACCCCGTCAGACATAGCCAGTACTACGTCATTTTCTTCAATCTCAACTTTATCCAGCACAGCATTGTCGCGAGGGGTATCTGGAGAATTGGTACCTAGTTGCCGGGGACAATCAAACCAATGCCATTGCTCGGTTGTTTTGAATACCAAATCTGTTTCTCGAGGTCTTAAAACCAGAACTTGAGAATCCCCCAAATTGGTGACGTATAATAACGGGATTTTGGGAGCCTCTGGGTCATCGTCCATATTCTTGTAATATAGTTGCGCGCCGGCCGCAGTGGTTGTCCCTTGCCATTTGTTTGGCTTCGATGTAGCTTCCTGCGTTTGCTCGTAGGCTTTTTGTAGGTATGCGATTGGATTTGGTTCGTATGCTTGATCTGAGGTAAGGATCCGACCAGCGTCTTGTTCTGCCTCCAAGGCCCAAAAGTGCAAAATTAACCTCGACCAAAGTCTGCTTCGAATCAGCAGTGTTCCACTTTTGTCCTGCCGATTACAACATACCCGGCGTGTCCTCCTGGTCTTGTAGACCATGCTCCGACTCCATCATTAGCTGCGATGAAGTTTTCGCTAGCATATACCGCATCGTCTCCGTTGGTGAGCCCTCGAATCAAGTCGCCATTTACGGTCGCGCGTCTGTCCCGGCTTCGGTGGTGGGTGCTGAGAGGATCGGAAAATGAACCAGAGGGTGCTGACAGGAATGGGGGAGGAAATGGTCTCGGGATTCTCTTTGCATACAATGCGACTCCAGTCTCAAAAGAAAAGGGAAGTGGTCTTCGGTGTAATTGGAGCGGGGTTGTGTCAGGAGTTATCGAAGCTTCAGTCAAATCAGGGCGACATTTTGGCGAACTTTCGAAGAAAGTTCGGCAGTGAGCCTCTGGGAGGGTGGCTCGTACGAGGGGTTTTCGAAGGAGCGACCTCCTCATCCCAGCGTTGTCGATAAGAATTTATGTTTGATCTCCGAATGTGGTTTCTGTCAGGTCTGAAATTCCTCACCGGGGACTCTGATAAACGTTATCGGGGATTATGTCGGGAATGCGACGTCAAAGTATTCGGTGACAGGCGGATAAACAATAATCCTACCGCATTCCGGCCTTTGAAAACTCTCATTCTGAAAGGTTTAGTTTCGGGCCAGATTCCAGGCTAACTCTCAGTAAAATGCTACAATGCTTTTGAAACAATCAATATTCGTACCAAATATTCCATACTTTCACAAGACGATACTTAGATGATTGGCGAAGAGGTACACAAATAACTCAAACATCAGTACGAGCACTTACAAACAAAGAATGTACGGAGGAATGGATTCGAGCTCTTGGCCACACAGTTGTCACAATATACCTGATCACTCGCCCTATGATGAGCGTCAGGTCTCCTCAAGAGACAGCGACTGTGTACCAATTCCAATCAACCTTACCGAACTCTACGCGGACATATTAAACCTCCTTTTACGTCGCCTTAGCACACTCTCTACTTAAAACTCGACCATTCCTCTTGGCTGTACTATTGTGATTAAGATTACTTTAAGCACCTTATCTATTCTCCCGGAAGAATAAATATAACTTTACTGTCATTAATCGTCTAATAGAAAAGTAGTATTGTGTTTAACGTTGTTTGGCTTTAGGCGCCGTAGAGGAATATCTATTACGTCGTCGCAGAGCCGAAGCAGCTCAAGCTGGCATGATCTAATAAACAGCCTTATAAGAAGAGATTCTCCAGCCAACCTGGAATCGAGCAGTGTCCGATACGATACTATCCTACCAGCTCCAAGTTGTACAACTTGCAATCTTTCAGGCCGATTATTCAGCTTCAAGGACATCCAAGAATAGCAGCAGGTGCACCGGGTTTCTCGACTAGTACACAGCATCTGCTTGTGAGTCTAGCTGCATGGAACATGTTCTTTTCGCAAATACGAGACTGGGACTGGATCGTTCAAGCTCAGTTCCCATGGGATGTGTACATTTACGGTCCCGGCACATCCTCTGCTGCAGTTCGTACTTCGCTCCAAAATCCTCTTCGAGCATTACATTGCCGAAAAGTTGGTATCAAACTTGATTTGATTTCAGCAATGGGGCTGTTCAAGCAGAATGGCTGACAGCTCTTGCTCCATGAGACTAACTTGGCGATACGACGAGGCCGTATTGGTGAGATTAAATGCATACAGCGTGACAAACCAGCATAACATAACATGGTTGCTAGGTACCCCAGAAAGAAAGAATCAAACAACAGCTTGAAGAATTCATTAGACAATCTCAAAACGCTGATAGCAAAGGATTTGGAGTGCCAGAGATACTCGGATAGGAAACTAGGTACTGTCTGTAGGTAGGACAAACAAGCTTAAAAGCTAGACCTGGTGTGTGCCGCCAAAAGAAAATACATCTGAGGGGCATGACGCGTACTACGAAGGTACAGGACTCGATACAACGCCAGCCAAGCAAACCATCACAGGGGTACAGCGCGACGTATACAGTATCTCTCGTTTTGATTCAAGACTTCTCGAATACGAAAATTGCTTGGTGTAGAAAGTGCAGCCAAATGCTTCGTTATAAATCGACCTTTGTGATGCGATGCGACGGGATGCGCCATTGAGTACGCCCCAACCAACTTTGAACCAAGACCATTGATCCAAAGCGAGAACGCGAGAGTCTATTTCCGGTTCTTGGATTTCCTTGGTCAGGTACTTGGTAGAGACATCTATTTTGAAAGGAAATTAGATCTTGCAACCTTTAACAACAACAATAACAACAACACATATTCTGTGATTTTATTGCGCTGATATTATCTTTCGTATTTGAAAGATTGAAACAAACCACCCAAGCGTCTCGGATCATACCCAGGGCCATTACCTCGTAAGCTGCAAGGGGATCGCTGATCAGCACCGCCGCTCCGGTGACGTTACCTGGGTTGAACTACGGTTCAGAGCGACTTTCTTTACGGCTTTTAATATCTGGCCAGCATTGGCGTATCGTACTACCCAACCTCTCAACACCACGACGGTCGCCGTCGCATAATTCACGAACTTCGCCTCTGGCAGACAACTATCCCTTCACATAGTTGTCGTTGCTACCGATTCACGAGCACCTCTGTTTTGTCCGCCAAGTCGACAATCCATTCCCTACCAGCCAACGCCAATCCAAGACGCATGTCAACATCTTGACAAGACCATTTCGGATCGCGGCGGCTTCATTCTTCGAGAGACACGGAACTTATCCACACTCGTTATTGGAACCGCAAAGATGAGTAGCGGCAAGATGGGTACTCGAAATCGAGGTTTGTTTAAGCCCAGTCGTAGCTGCATCCATCGCGACAAATACTTACATCCAATTAGTACTTTCCTTCATGTCCAAATTCTCTGATCGAGAGTCGTCCCCGTCCTCCAGCCAGACACCTCCTCCCCCGCCGCGGCAGGAATCCTCCAAGCCACCGACCAGAGACAATGTGAGGGAAGTTTCTCCGGCCATGCCCTCGAGCAGTAACTATAACATGGATGGGGCATCGTCTTCACAGACAAGAAATGGACGAGAGCGGGCAGTCTCCTCCTCTAGGCCAATGTCGATGGTGCAAACATACCAGCCTCCTCTCATGGATGTAAATGAGGATACACTACCAGAATTACAACCGATTTTCACGTTTTTGAACAGCCATGCGAACAAGTTGTACCAGGAGGGATACTTTTTGAAGTTGGATGACCAAAACACCCGTAGGTTTGACTCAATCGTAGTCTCGGACTTTCCCGCTGATCAATACAGATGGCAAAGCAAATGCGGACCGCACTTGGACAGAATGTTTTGCACAACTGGTTGGAACGGTCCTCTCGTTGTGGGATGCTGCAGAACTGGACACTGCGGGACAGGATGGCGAAGTTCTACCCAAATTCATCAACCTGACGGATGCTTCGATCAAAATGGTACGTCCGGGAAACTTTACGCGGTCGGCGATACTAATAGACCTAGATTGAATCCTTACCCACACGATCAAGCAATGAAGAGCCGTTGCAAAATGTCCTCAGCGTTTCCACCGCTGGCCGAAATCGCTATCTCTTACATTTCAATTCGCATCACTCCTTAGTTCAATGGACTGCAGGTATTAGGCTTGCAATGTTTGAGCACGCCACTCTCCAAGAAGCATATACCGGCGCTCTGATTGCAGGCAAAGGCAAAGGTCTGAACAATATTGGTGTCATTTTGGAACGCGCCAAGGTCAAGCATGAAGATTGGGCTAGAGTTCGATTCGGAGCAGGAACACCATGGAGACGATGCTGGTGTGTCATTACACCACCTGATGAGAAGGAAGTTCTCAAACTCCAAAAACAAGCCAACAAAAAGAAATCTGCATATGATAAGACAAGATTGCCTGTCCTGAGAGGAGACGTCAAGTTTTACGATACGAAGAAGACCAAGAAAATGCGGCCAATTGCGACAGTCACAGACGCCTACTCGGCATTTGCCATCTATCCTCAGTCGAAACCGCTGATCGATGCCTCTACTCTCATTAAGATGGAAGGTGTAATAACGATACATTCCAATCCTCCATCTACGACTGAAGGGTTCGTTTTCGTTATGCCAGAAGTACACCCAGCTGTTTCAGGGTTTGAGATGATGCTCAGGTGGTTATTCCCTGTCTATGATACATTTGCGTTGTACGGCCGTCCAGGAAGATTGATTGCAGATACTCTGGATCCTCAAAGCTTGATGTTTGCTATGCCAAAGCACCGCAGATATGGATATTTGGAAATTTTAGATGTGACAGGTCTTATAGTCGAGCAAGGAAGCGCAACATGGAGAGAATCCGAGTGGAGACGGAGGATGAAGGAACTTACCAAGAAGCGGATGACTGCAATCGAGAGCGGAAGCCATGCGAATAGTAGGTATAGCAGTAGAAGAAGCGCTCGTAACAGCTTTGGACCGTCACGCACCCGGTTACAATTCGATGATGAGGCATCTGTCAGATCTTCGCCTTCGACTTCCTGGGGTCCTCCACATCCAAACGATGTGCCAAACCCTCTGCCACGAACCGACTCTGCTCCTGCCACTGCTGGAACTTTTAATCCAGCTCGCCAAGTGGGCACCCACCACAGGTCAGTCTCTGAAACCCAAGGGTTGGATCGCTATGGAAACGAAAGCCCAGTTTCTGCATACGATGGACCATATGAGCAGGCTCCAATTCCACCGCCACATGCAATTGGAGTTAATCCTAGTAACCCAGGCTCTGGTCTCCGGTACCCCTTGGATCTGTCTGTCCCCGACCGTAATAGTTCAGAGGATGATCGTTCTGCAAGAGCAACTCCTGTGCGAGAGCTTCAGGAGTTACAAGCAACATCTTCGCCAGAGCCAGTCGCCGCTCCTCCAGCTTTTAACCATGGTCCTGGTGCTAAACCTATCAGCAAACCATATCATTCGCCAGAGCTTCGACGAGCCAACTCTCGGATGTCCAATGCAACATTATCTCAAATGACAGGCGCCAGTGGTACTGCTGCTGCCATTGCTGCGCAAGGAGAAATGGGAAGGACAAGCGCGGATCATGGGCGCCAGAACGTGAGTTCACACACGGAGGACAGGAGCCAGAGAGGGGTACCACAAAACGCCAACACCCCAAATGATTTTCTTGCTAACCAACGTGGTATGAATGAAGGCTTGGTAACGTCAAACAATGAACGGTTTTCCTTCGAGAAGTCTCACGCCTCGCAGCCTTCCAATTTCGATTCTCGAGCACAATATTCGCCCCCACCACGACTTGACTCCCTGAATTCCGCGCATTCGATTCCTCCAGTTAATGAGCAACCTCCTCCGCCACCAACACATAATGCTAATACGTCTCCGCCTCGTACATATAATCCTCCGGGTATTTTCTCTTCGCCAGAGCGAGCGGTCCAGGATCCGCGATCTCAGGGCCATAACCCACAGCAATCCGTGGATTCTACCACAAGCACAATTTCACAATCACAATATCCAAATAAACTTCAAACGAGCCAAAGTATATTACGGAAGCCTTTGCCTACGCGAACTGCAACACTAAAAACTCAAAGCTCAGAAGACGATGCCAATTCGCCTTCAGACACTGGTAGCTTGATAAATCATGTCATCGACCAGGATGCTTTTGATATGATTGGTCTTGATAACAGAACACAAACATTACGCTCCGAGAACCAGATCCATCGACAGAACAGTGACGCCAGTATATACGAGGATAATGCTTCCACTGCATCTCCTGACTATGCCAGCACTCGGCCCTCTATAGACAGCAGAAAATCTCAGAAATCCGTCGAAAGACCACGAGCTGGAGTGAAGAAGACGGTTGGTAACCCAGAATCGAATCTCAGCCAAATGGAGAATGCTCGCATGTCGATACCAGATATCAATTTTGGTCCAACTATAAATTATGCTGCCGGAAGGCCTCCTATTCGAAGCCACAGCCCGGGTCTCGTGCAAAGCTATTCGTCAGATAGATCCCGATCAGGCGGTACGTCTCCTGGGCCTGCTATGAATAATTATCCTCCGGATAGAGCTCCACGTCACAACAGTCAATCAGGACGACCTGAGAGTGCTGGTGGGCGAACAAGATATGAGAGTAGAAGTACTATTACTCCAGAGACTGCCCATTATCGCAACAGTTCCGCCGAGAGTAGGACATTAGCATGGCAACCGGGTATGGCGGTTAGTGCGTCGCCTGCGCAGGCTCCTCAAAGCATTACAGCAGAACAATTTGTCGCTCAGCGAGCTGCTGCTGCGATTGCAACACCGCAGTATGCTCATCAACGTCAATCATCTAGTAATGCTCTAGCTCGTACAACTGTCGGACGTGCAACACCAGATCGCAACTCGACCACACCTCCTCTAGCCCGCAACCGCTCGAGCGACTACTTGACTCAACAAGGTCATTCTCGAAATAGTTCTACAGACATGTTAGCACGACCCAGCTCAAGAGGTGCTAGTGCTACGCTTAGTCCGGCGGTGGCCGCTGAGGCATCGTCAAAATTATCTGCTCGTGAGCAAGAGCATATTGCGCGAGCGACCGGCCAGCCTCTCATCAGCGTCGCGAACAATAATAAGCGTCTGTCCATGCATCAGCCCGGTCTAGTGGGAGCAATCGAGGCTCGGGAAATGGAGAAGCAGCAAATCAAGCAGGGCATTAATAGCCAGGCCGTCGAACACGCTATTCATAAGCGTCAGCAACAGCAGCTTTATGAACAGCAACAACAGTATCATCAACAACAACAAATGCAGACAGCGTATCGTCAGCCGCAGTCTTACAATATGGGGCAATTCCAGCAGCAGCAGTACCCAGTCCACGGTCAACAGTACCAGGCGCATCCTCAACAGCAACAGTTTCAAACGCAAGGACAAAGTCCAGGCTGGGGAACGTCTCCAGCAGCGAGTGTCTTTGCTCAAGGTGGGGGGTGGACTCAGTCCCCCGGATATGCTCAACCATCACCCGGATATTCTCAGCAATCTCCCGCTGGTAGACAGTCACCTGGTTACCCTCAACCATCGCCGGGGTTTACGCCGCAATCACAGACTGGAAGACAATCACCCGGTCGATTTCCAGCGCAGCAGCAATATTTCCCTCCTCAAGGACAAGGACGTGGAAATCAGAATCATGGATATTAATACGCTCGTTCATTTGTGGAGCATTGGGGTTCTCTCGGGAGGTACATACGAGCATTAACGGCATATACTGTTAGACAAGGGGTCTTTTATCATAGCGATTCATTCTTTGGCGTTCTTTCCTTTTTTCCATGTTTTTTAAAACTGGGCAGTTTTTTGGATGCCATTACTTTTGGCTAGGAGATGGCAATAGTGCTCCTTTTGTATTGCATTTGCATTAAGAGCAAGGATTATATATGCTCACAGCGCCTGAGTATTGGGGAGGTCTGGGGGTGGCTTTTTATTCTTACGAGTGGGGATGAGGGTGTGGAGTGGATTATGGATGCTGGGTTTTGGTAGCGCAGATAGGGAGGAGAGGAGAGAATTAGATGAGGTTTATTGAGTGCTTTTTTTCGATGAGTAATGTGATTGATGCGTGAAACTTGATAAACTAGATTACGACTAGTGACTGGCCTTCTTAAGCCAAATTCATCTACATGCTACTGAACGCAACATTTTCAAGATGGCATATACGGTAAGTTCCTTTCTGATGGGTACAACCTAAGCTTTTCGCGCTTTCCTATTTTCGTTATTGTACTTTGGAATAAATTGCGTATAGGTTGCCTACGTACTTACGAGTGCGCTCTCCAATGTAAAGCACGACGTCAGCAAGATTACCTCAGTCCAGATTTATCTAGCGAGCTCGAACACGCGAAGTCGGAAATTGAGGGTTTTCCCCTCATTCTTGCCTGTTGAGTTGTTAGGAATGGAAATGAGGTCGATGTCTATATGTTGTAAGTACTTATGGCTTGAAATGGGAAGATGTGAATGGTCGCCTGTTGGTAGAGGGTGGATTTTATATTTCAGCTAAATGCTGGGACTCTGGTTGGGTTGTGCTGGTAGTTGGACAATGGGCTGCGATAGGTGGAGTGGAAGGATGGATGGGTTGTGGGTGGATGGAAGGAGATTTGGGGTTTTGTTGCTAGCGCTGGGTTTTGGGGGGGGCTTTGGAGGGGTGGGGTAATATAGTAGTGTGTCAATGTCGTTGAGACATTCTTCGCGGTTTGGTTTTAGTTGTGGACCTTGTGGTGAATAATTTCCTGATGGGCTGGTAGGTCGGAGGAGGATATGGAAGGGGTTGAAGACTTTAGATCAGGAAAATTCGTGCTTGCTTTTGATTGTGGAAATGAGTTAGACCACGGGGTTTTGGTTACTGTGGTATGCCAAAATAGTAAAGCTATAATTAATACCACATAGTCTCTGAAGAACGTTGCATATGAAATGACATTCTAGATTCGCTTGTGAAGGACTGGGAAAGGGGAGTCTTTTTTTGGTACTTCCGCGGAAAGGGTCAAATTTCAGGGAACTTACGGATTAACGACCATGAAATCTAGGGAGGGAAGAGGATAGCACTTTAGAGCTGTGGTATAGAGTGCAAGTATCAAGGTACACCTTGGCAGGAAAAACACTTCGAGGCGTACAAGACCTTGAGCTTCATACTTCACCTCCTAAATCCACTCTCACAACTTACCTGTATCACTCTAGAGTTCCTCTTCTTTGGGTTAAATACGTCTGAGTATCGTTATTTAGTATAGATTAAGGTACCTTACTCCCCTCTCCCCCCATTCCCACTAAACCTCCCTCACCATTACCCAATCCAAACACAACATCTCCAAATATAAAATCCAAAAACTTGTTGTTAAATATAAACCCATCATTTATCACTGAATTGTCACTATCTCCAATTTTAAACCTACCAAGACTTCAAATCCCATCTCTATCATCTCATACTCACTACTCTCAGTATCTCTTTTGTCAACTTATACTCTTCAAATCCCCGCGATTACCGCACCAAACATCGTATACCTGACGATTAGCACATGAACTAAATGTTATTTGCTGGGCATGTAGATTAAAGTCAAGCGATATAATAACGACAGAGTTATTTGTGAATACTCGATTCATCTTCTTCGGGTGTAGACTGTCTACTTTTGGTAAAATAGACATTGTCATGGATATGGTTATTTCTCTGAGATATTATTAATTAGCTGACTCCAAGATATTTTAAGTCTTCTCGGGTTAAGAATATCCTGTTGTCAGAAATGTTTACGTCCTTCAGTTATTGGCATTTGTTGTAGAGGAAGCACAAAATCTTGTCTGTCAAGAAATCATATGCTGCAGCTCTGTGAGTTTTAACCCATCACGTCTCACCTCCTCAATTAGGACCACAGTACGTAGAGTTGATTTAATCCATTCAAATCCCGTATCAACGAGCGTGGTAATAACTACCAAATACGTATATACACCCGCATCGTGCCCTTCACCACCAACACCTCGCACAAGGATATCCTATCCTCACATATAAGTACCCGCTAAAACCCCAAATTCAACGCCCCAATAAAACATTAAAAACACCAACCCCCTCCACTATGGTCACCTACCATGCGAATTCTTCAGTCGTTCTGACTCTGCAATCGCAGCATCGATCCTCCGCTCTTCCTCTTCCTCCGCTAACCTCGCGTGGTCGGCTTCAGTTAATGCGACGGAGCCGCCGCGTTCGCTGTCTGTTTCGCTTAAGTAGGGTGCTTGGAGTCCTCCTTGGAAGACCTGAGGAGATCCATGACCTTGAGGAGACCCATGGCTGTATTGTGGTACGTCGTGGTATTGTTCGTAATTTTGCGGTGGAGGGGAGGGTTCCGTGGCTCCAATAGAGCGCGTTGATGGTATATGTGAAGAGGCACGGCTTACTTCTCTTGATATGGGTATTGTGGCGGCGACAGGTTCGTGGGGGATTGCTGTTGCTCCAACGGCACTGGCTGAGGCCGTACTTAGTGTTGGCTTTCTTCTTGGTATTGATGCTGCTGATCCAGTGTATGGTTGTGAGACTGGATCATAGGGTGACAGTACTGATAAATGACGCGTTTCAGATGCCGGTGAGCCTGGAGATGCAAAATTTAGATTTGGTATTTGATATGAAGTTGGAGTTATCTCTTTTTCTGTTATGAGATCGCGTGAATCGGCGTTGAGAGAGTGACTGAGCATCAAGCGTTCTTTGCTTGAGCGCTGGCGGTGTTTCTTGCGGAGGAAAAGGAGCGCGAGAATTAGAATGGCAAGAACGACAGCTACTGCGCCAACCGCTATGCCAACCTTGGCCCCAATGGAGAGTCCGCCTTTCGAGCTAGAGCTCACAGATTCAGAGGAAGCTCCCGCTGTCGCTGTTGGTGTGCTTGTTACCGTATTGGTAGGGGGTGATGAGACAGTCACCCACGTCTTTACGGCGTCGCTGGATTCAGTGGCAGTACTCGGCCCAGCAGATGTAAGGCTACCTGTCGTTGCTGAATTGAGATTTGTTGCGAAACTTTGAAGCGTGGCCGGACCACTGGGAAGAAATGGTACAAAATTTGGAGGTAATTGGGGCGATGACCTGTCAGGAATAAAGAAGACTGGACTGTACGCGGAACAGAGCCCGCTGAGATTGATGAAGCAAAAGAAGTAGTAATAAGTATTCGATGTAACTCCCTCTGCAACAACTGCTGCCAGATCGTACGCCACAGGCTGTCTGACGTTGAGTGATATTTCAACAGCTTGTGGATTGCAAGGAGTTTTCGTGCTATCAGTGGAGAGACCCTTGATGCAATACTCTACACCACTATGTTAGATAGTTCGAGACACTCGATGAGTTCCATACCTTGAATCTTTCTAGCTTTCGCCGCATTGTCAACGCCATTTAGGCGGGTAATTTCAAGTAGGTATAACGTTGTGCTTGCTGTATCGGCCTCTGTTATGGTGTACACAACCTCAGATAAACCAGTTCCAATTACCAATTTGTCTCCAGGCGGCTCGAATTGTGCCTTGATTCCATCCGTGTCGTCTTTATCATCGGCCTGCGCTCCTAAAAACACCCAACTCGCCATGAAGGCAAGATATCTAATCCTCATCGTCCAATATTATCCTTCCAAATACACTCGAACCGAGGATGCGACGACGACGACTATCATTCGAGTAGCCTCATTGAAAAGGGACCAAGTCGCGCAAACAGAGGAAAGAAGCAAAAGAGTACAAAGTTCAGCTCGCTGACGGCAGAGGAGTAAGTGCATACATAAAGAGGGCAGCCACGGAGGTATTACCCACGCCGTGCATCCCACGGCACAGGCTCAAGACAGGGCAGGATTTCTCGAATAATACCGTCGTCCAGCGGGCGAGTGGCACAATAGCTAGGGCGCCGAGTAGCGTCTCACCGCATGGAAGCACCCAACACAGAGAAAAACCGAACAGGGCTGTCAGTTCGCTGCGCCTCGGTTTTGATGCTCACAAATGGAGAGGATTGGCAGTTGAACGAGCTTTCTGATTGGAGCAAAGTGGCAAAATGTGCAACTACGGCGTAAAATGCATCCTTTGTTTTCCACAACGCCAGTTGACGAGTGACTAAATGAGGTTCCTGGCATGTTGGAGTTGTTGGTGTTGGTTTGCTAATTCGACCGAAATATATCTGCACCTTTCTGGAAACAAGCTCCTTCTCTGTCTGTGGCCAGCCGTCTTCTGGATAAATGTCAATGTTGTAACACCGCAACTTTGCGCTGTGTCGTCAAGGCTCCAATCCAGAGGTCCAACAGATGCAACTTTGCAGCAGAGCACAGCATGACATATCCGCACTATCGATCGGCTTTAAACGAACAGATAATGCGACGTCGATTCTTTCCACACTCAGATATCCGAACGTAAAAGAGTTGTGTGCGTAAAAGGCAGTCGAATGGGGGGAAGCGCCACAACGCTCAAAGCATCCATTGCGGACGCACATGGGCATCTATTTATCAACTCCACCGTGCACTCTGGGGGCTGAACCAGCGTGTCCATGTCCACTTCTTGTTGATGTTCTCCCGACACAGCCAATGGCATCGCTGCACCGCCATTCAGGCCATCGCTGATTTGCTCTCTCGACCCGTGCTGACCTTGTTGTCGTTTAAAATTGGCAGAGTGGCGATTGAGGCTGAACCGTTCGTTCCCGCTGACAGACTTTCATCATGGGGTCGAAACATTTGTTTTGTTTTGGTGCATCATGCCATGGTCTGGAGAAACATAAGTATCGCGGAATCCCCGGAATAGGGATTGACGACACTTCGGACGAAGGGCGATTAGAGAAATCGATAGTGAATCCTTTGGAGATTTAGACTTCTTCGCTGCTGCGCGGATCGTCGAGATTGATGGTTGGATGAATTGGAGATTGCGGGAAGGCTGTGAACCTGCGGAGGTGGAGCACTATTTTTCCCAAGCCTCATCGACCGCTATACCTAATATGGATTTCGCTAGCCGACAAATTGCATTTCACGTGATACCTGAATCTGAAACATTCATGAAAGTCTGTCGTACTTGAGCTGCTGTATTGAATTAATTTTGCAATATGAATGGATTTGTGAAACATCGTCCTCAACCCGTATTGCATGTTCAAGAAGTCAGACCGGCAGTTGGAATTTTTAGTGATATTCTTCAATTGGTCAGACAGCTTACGTCGGCGCTCCTTCGTCAATAGTGTACATCATTTTCGGAGCAATAAGCAATACAAGGGTTGGCAGATCGCCTACTCAACATCATATAATCATTCAAGGCTGAGCTGTTTTAAATAGTCATTATCATCACATTAATACTCTCCACCACATAAAACAGGTTCCTAACCAAGCGCCGTGAACACCATTCATCAATCACACAGATACCCGCTGGGAATACACTAACCGCCGACCGTGATCTCCGCCGTTGGGTCTTTTCTGATGTCCAGTTCCATCAACCCTTCCTGTTTCTCAATCACCAGGCCTTTCTCGTTGGCCAAGTGCAGCAGGCAGATGAAGCAATAACTTGTCGAGATGTCGTCCATGGCCTGCTTGGGGTAAACGCTCTGGAGATTCTGCATGACAGAGGTAAATTTCAAACTTCCATCCTCTCCCTTCTTGGGCTCCGGCGCCATTGACGCTCTGCCAGGAGTCTTCGCAGGTATATCCTAATATGCGTTAGTACTGCAAGATTGACCACGTAATAGTTGGTTCACTTACGTCGATGAGGTCCTCGATACCCATCCCCTTCCACAGTTCTTCTTTGAGACGCCTGACATCAACTTTCTTTGCCACCCGCGCATACTGAACGTACTCCGGCCTTAATCTTCGACTCTGTGTAACGAGTTGGGTACCAAATGCACCCTCTCCATCTGTTGCCTGGGTCATACCGCCATTCAAGATATTGTTGAGCCCGTCCATACCACCCTCTCCTCTCTCTTCTGCGCCAGGAGAGAAGTGATCCCGAGCATCAGCGAACTCCATGTCGTCGTCGTCATCAATACCGCCGGCCATAGGCAGACCATCATCCTGGAAGAAGTTTGCATCGTAATCACCTTGTGGAGCAACATCATCATCGCCAGTAACAGGTCCTTCCTTATTGGCCCAGAAAGCTTCGTCCATTTCTCCTGCTGGTATTTCTTCTTCCTTCGCCTGACCAAACCCACTGGGTTTTGAACCGAAGGCGGATCTTCTGCTTCCCATCCGTGCTTTAGGTTTTAAGAATAGTCGTAGAAGTTGCTTAGAATTAAAGTGCTTGTCATCTGGCAACAAGTTTTTGGTTTTGGATTTCCAGTCCTTCTTGGGGAGTGATATGACGGTATTGGATGTAGCCGGGGTATAGATCGTTTCTGCAATACTTCGATTGAGTGGTGACGCGAAATCGATTTCGAATAGTTCCTTCTCTTTCCGTACTTTCGTGGCAGCAGGTTTGTTGACATCCTTGATTTTGCGGATTCGCCAATGCTCAGGACCAGCCCAATTCTTCTGTAACGCCTCGTCGAAATAACTTAAGATATCATCGTGCGTACCTTGGGTCTTTCCACCTCTGTCCATTGATATGACGTACTCTCCGGTTTCTGGATCGAAATTACCAGGAGTCATTCCATCCGCATCTTCTCCATCACCCCCTCCCATTCCGTCATTGTCGAGGCCGATATCATGGACTCGCATTCTAGTCTCGATAGCAGCATCGCGAGCCCACGCTTCACCCCCTTCGCCAAAGCCGGTATCTGGTGGAAGATCAAATGTCCCCAACAATCCGTCATCATCATCGTCAAACCCAACAGGATTATCGTCATCCAGGAAGATTCCAGTTCTGTCGCCAACCGTCGGTAATTCGTTTTCGGCATTCTTATCTTTCTCCTGTCGCCAGTCTTCTGGTGCCTTCAAAAAAGGAATATCCATAGATCCAGATGAATCACCCAAGTCGAAATTCTTCAATGATGGACAGATATCCTGTTCATCTAACCGGTCAAGATTTGGAAAGAACCTAGCCCCGAGCGCTCCCACATCAATTTCAACATCCTCCTCTTCCTCTTGCTCTTCACTCTTGGAACTCAGCATAGAGTCCAGCTCAGACTCTTCTTCCTGGGCCACATCATCCTTGCGACGAGTCGCAGACCCTTCACCAGATGCATCGCCGGCATCGTCACTGCTATCAAACACAATGCGACCTTGTGCATCAATTGCTAGGTGGTTAAGCAATAGTCCTTTGGCCCCACCCTCATCGAAGTCTGCAGATGCCTTCTTAAATAATGGATCGACAGAAAATTCCAGTTCAAACTTTTTAAGTTGAATGGCTGCAAATGAGGTAGCTAATGTTGCTTCTGAAGATCGTTGAGCCTAGCAAGATGTTAGGCATTGAAAATTCAAGCATTTCATCCCTGATTAATTCTTGAAATTCGTGAAATGAATAGGGGCATAAATCGAGAGTGCAATAATCCAGCTCCTGTTCGCTCTCGCGCCTATTAAGCGAAGGGGACTTTCCCAAACGAATCAGAGGTCTGTGTTGCAGAGGAAACAATCATACCACTAAACCACTAAACCACTGCTCGATTACACAAATTTCCCTTTCGGGAAACGATCCTCTTGGGATACGAGGAGATATCCGCCGCATATGCGCATGGTCCTGTGTTGCTGAGGCGAAGGGCCTTGGGTGGTTTAGTGGTAAAATCAATTCTTGCCAATCCTTTGTTCGATTGACGGTTCAAGTAATGAACATAGAATCGATGCCCTCGACATAAAGTCTAAGTCAAAAGAAATTGAACACTCAAAACCGGTCTAAACAAAAAAAAAGGAAAAAAACATACAACAGCAGGTATTCGCTGGTGGTCACCCACCCAACTACTAATCTGCCGATCTGAGGCTTGTGTATGGCAGAGCGGACGGGATGCCCAATTCTCCTCAGTCTGTGGTCGTATGTGACAATCATGTTTCGATCAGAATACATATACGGGAACCAGCGCTGGACAACTCGTACGGTGTAGTTGATTATCACACCTCATCGACCTCGCTTATGATCACGGCTGAGGTGCGATAATCAACTCCTGCCACAACACACTGACTGCTAGCAATGCAATCTAGTTGTGTTTTTCTTCACAAATTTTTGTAGCTGCAAATAACTCCGTATACTTGTAATATGAAAAATGAAATGTTTCTGACGTACCCTCTTCTTCGGCTTTTTGCGCACGACTCCGTCTTCATCCTCCACTTCTTCCTCACTTTCCTCGCCCTCCTCATTCTCTCCACGTTTCTTCTTGCTGTTACCACTATCTGCGAGTCCACTCAACAGCTTTCCCGTCTCAGTCGCAACGCTGTCTACCCTACTGGTGTAAATCTTCACACAGCCATCCAAAGTACAACTGGCTTTCTGAAAGTTGACTCCGTCTCCTTCTTTGAGCAGTGACATATCATGGAAGTAGTCGATGAGCGCGAAATTCCAGGAGTTTGCGGCATTGATTTTGTTGTCCGTTGCCATCTTCATCCACTCCTCAAAATTTGCCAGGATAGGTACGCGCTTCATTGGGGTGACTGCTGTTCCGCCAACCGTGATAACATCATCATCGAGGTCATTCTCTTTACCAACCGTCCTTCGTGGTGTTTTGGGGTTGGAAGATGGAGAAGCACTGCCCGCTCGTTCGTAATTCTTCGAAAGTTTTCGCATTGGTGAGGCCGCGGCCTTGATCTGATTCATTTGAATATCATGAAGCGCATGGCGCGATTGCATGCGCTTCGCCTTCTCTTGTGCATCATCGTTGAGTGGTATTCTACGGTGCTGTTAGTCAATCGTACAAGCTGTTGATTCACAGTCCTCACTTGACTGGGGACTTAAAGGGCGATGCAGTGTGCGACCCAGAGACCACTCGTCCATTGCTTGCGCGCGGTGCTTGAGCAACTCGAGGCATTTTGCGTTCTGTTGTCGAATACAAAGTTGTTCGTCGGAGGGACGCGTCTATCCATCCAAAATCAATAAAAGTGTAAACAACCGCAACGGTTTGTGGCCTTAGACACTGACCCCAAATAAGGCACCAACTCGAGATAAGGACCCTGGCACCCGGGGAGTTTCACCTCAACTTTCTTGGAAGGAGCTGGTCGAAGCTTCGTCATTCTACCGAGGCGTACAATACTTGGCTGGCCACTCGACACGCATACTGCCTGCTACGACACCGAAATTGCTATCGTCAGGTTGCTATCTTGCGCTTTTCCTACTAACGACACCAACTACTGTTACTTGTTGCCTACCAAGTGGCGATAAACACTTTGCATACGTCTCCAGCTTGCATCTCTTGGACTCTCGTCGCAAGTCGACTTTTCGCTCTTGTATAATGCGCAAAGAATGCAATCGATATCCTCGACAGCGGCAATATACCGCCCCAAGAAGCCGAAGCTGAATTTCCGTGCCTTCTACATTACAATTCTGTTCATATCTGTATTTGCAGTCATAAGCTTGGTAGCTGATCAGAGCGCGAGATATAAACAAGGTTCTCACTATGGATTGGCACAAAGACGAGCTTTGGAGGCATTGGACAGCAGGAGGTTGGTTAAAAGGGACGAAGAGGTATAGTTTTGTTATCTCTGAGGCAGGTTACAAGCTAATTATATATGATAGTGCCGATTAGTACATCATGCGAAAGACAAATGCGCTTTCATAAAAGCCAATTGTCCCGATGAAGAAGCTGGGCTTCTTTCTTACCTATCTCTCTACTACTGTGATTTGCAGTCGGCGCAACCTGTTGCATTCGTCATCCTCGCATTATGGCTCGCTCTTCTTTTCACGACCATTGGAATCGCGGCGTCTGATTTCTTCTGTATCAATTTGTCGACGATAGCGAGCATATTGGGGATGAGCGAAAGCATGGCGGGCGTTACCTTCCTTGCCTTTGGAAACGGAAGTCCAGACGTCTTTTCAACATTTGCTGCCATGAGCTCACATAGCGGGAGTTTGGCAGTCGGGGAACTGATCGGGGCGGCAGGTTTCATAACAGCTGTTGTTGCTGGGTCTATGGCATTAGTTCGTGAATTTAAAGTCGGCAAGAAGACCTTTGTTCGAGACGTTGGATTCTTTATCGTTGCTGCAAGCTTCAGCATGATATTTCTGGCGGACGGACACCTCCACCTATGGGAGTGTTGTGCTATGATTGGATTTTATGTTTTTTATGTGGTTGTGGTTGTGGTTTGGCATTGGTATCTTGGACGACGACGCGTACGGCGAGAGAGAGAAGCAGCTGCTCGAGGACATTACCTGGCGACAACAAATGAAGAAATCGAGGTTTCGGAAGAAGATGACGATGACGAAGACGCTCCCGCAGGACAGGGCCGTTATCGAGATGAGGAGGACTTCAACGCTTTGGAAAGTGGGATGAGCCCAGGATATGGGGGATCTCAAATGTCAGATAGCGATGGCGATGGGGACCAGGGAATGCACCTTGCTGCAGAAATGGCCAGCAGTATGCGAGTCACGAGACCTAGAGGTCATCGAAGTAACACTATCACGCCAATTCGACCAAGTTTAGTCGGTGCTTTGGAGTTTCGATCGGTTCTTTCGTCTCTCCAAAAGTCTCGAGGATCATATTCCAGACCAATTCATCTTCGCCGATATTCCGACGACCCTACTGGAGGCAATACCATAGACGATTATGTCCATCAGAATGGCCGTTTAGGCCCATTCTCAGATATAGCATCTAATATTATCATTGCTCCACCTGAAGAATCGGAAGACAGTCAAGAAGGAACCAATTCAAAACGAGTACGAGCGGTATCGATGAACGATGCAGAGGGGGCGAGGGCTCCACATCCGGCAGCTTTCAGTGTTGCTACAATACCAAATATCGGAGTCGTTGCAGCGACCCCTACGCTTCCGAGAAACTTCAATCTAGAACTGCAACCACCAACGGAGAACTTACCTGTACCCCCATCACCCGCGATTTCGCTTTCACCTCCTCCTTCGGTAGGAACTACTAGAGAGCCTAGTCCAAACCCGGCCAGGGAGCACCGAAAACGGGACAGTCTTGCGCCGCCTGATGACTATTTCCCTCGTCACCTACGGACTGAGCTGAGTAAAGCTGAAGCGGCGCAAAATGAGAGATCGAGGGCACCTCTGCGGCCGCGACTTGAAATTCCAAACTCCACGTCAAGAGATAGCTCACGCTCGCCAGTTTCTCCGGTGATTCAGTTTCCTGCTTATACCGATTCGCCAATGCCTATGTCTGCTCATAGTTCCAGGCCACCAAGCCTGTTACTCCCCGAGAATGCTCTGACGCCTGAGTCTAGTTATACTCAGCAGGGGCTAGAGTCTGATTTCCAACAGAGGCCAATTTCATGGTGGCCTTACCGTTTCCTTCCAAGCCCTTATGTTCTACTTTCGACGTTGTTCCCGACTTTGTGTATCTGGAAGGACAAATCGATATGGGACAAGTTCGTGAGTGTTGTTTCTGCTCCAAGCATTTTTCTTCTAGCAATTACACTTCCGGTTGTGGAATCCGATAACCAGGAGGACACCACCGACCCTTCGCCTTCAGCAATCGACGAAAGGGCTCCACTCATTCGACCAAGGGGAGAATCTATACCTCTTCTTGTTCCGGATAGTCCGTCCTTAGAACCGGAAGCCGAATGGACTCGATATCGTAGAGCTACAGGAAGTATTCGCGGGCACCCTTCTCCCCACCTTAATGGGCAGGCAATCCACGACACGGCACACGTTGCAATTTCTGCTGAGAATCATCATCAGCACCATCAGCACCCAAAGCCTGACACGTTAAAGCCCAGTACACCAAAGCGCAGTGATGCTGGAGAACACCTACAGGCTACCAGTCCCACCAATGGAAACCCGCCACCAGGGGATTGGAATCGCTGGCTTGTATCCGTTCAAATATTCACAGCTCCCTTGTTCACCGTGTTCATTGTGTGGGCAAATACAACACCGACTTTGGGCTGGCTTGTTAAATTAGTACTCTATTCCTTGTTGGGATCACTCGTAGCTTTCGCGCTTCTTGTCTTTACGACCACACCGACAAAACCACCAAAATATCGATTCGTCCTTTGCTTCCTAGGCTTCGTTGTCTCCATCTCATGGATTTCTACCATTGCGAATGAGGTTGTTGGTGTTCTGAAAGCTTTTGGAGTCATTCTCGGTATTTCCGATGCCATTCTTGGGCTTACAATTTTCGCGGTTGGCAACTCGCTCGGTGATCTTGTTGCTGATATCACTGTCGCTCGTCTTGGATATCCTGTCATGGCCCTGTCAGCTTGTTTTGGGGGGCCTATGCTCAATATCCTGCTTGGCATCGGGATCTCAGGATTATACATGACATTGAAGGAAGCCAACCATAAACATGCGAAGCATCCGTCAGACGAAATCAGATACAAGCCGTACAAAATCGAGGTCAGCCGGACTCTAATGGTTTCGGCCGCTACGTTAATCGTCACGCTTCTTGGATTGCTGATTGCTGTACCAATGAACAAATGGGTCATGAGTAGACGGATTGGATGGGGTCTTATAGGTCTATGGACTGTAAGCACTATTATTAATCTTGGTGTCGAGATCAGTGGCTGGGGGACCATCACCTCATGATAAAGCCTCGCAGTAGAGAGAAGTGTTTGATAGATTTACATTTCATATTCCGGATAACATATGGGTATTGCTTAGCATGGCGTTTGGGAGCCTGTCAGTTACGACTTGTCGGGCAGGTGTTGATTTAAATTTCCACATGGCTCTTGACCTGGGTTGTATAGATGGTATATATAAGGTCTTCTTAGTAGCGAGTAAATATATTTCATTGTACACCTGATTATCTAGGTAGCTAGTAAAAAAAAGTAGACGTGATATGTTTCTAAAAGCTTCGTTCAAAACTATAGATGGAGCTTTGCTCTACGTTGAGATGCTTTCTCTCAGTTTGCGTGCAAAGCCATTGTCATTTGCCTTGAGGAAATTCCAAAAAAAATTGTGGGTGATCACTTAACACCCTATTTTGTGGGAGGCGGGGCGATCACTTAACGCCCTTCCACCTCCAGGTTTACCCATCAACCAAATTTTTTTTACAGGTTTTGAAGGGCCTTCTACCCAGGTTGACCTGGAACCGCCAATTTATTTTTTACAGGTTTTAAGGGCCTTCTACCCTGGCATACCTGGAACCGATTGGCTATAGTGATAGTGGATTTTGAGGTTGTGATTTTTTTTAACCGAAGCATAGAACCATTCTATGTGGTTGGTTAATACCAATATGTTTTTTGAAATATTTAAATGATTGGTCGTTGGAAAAAAGGGTTTTTTAATTAATAAACCGTTCTAGTTTGTAGGAAATAGTCTTCTTTAGACATATAAACTATGTGGTTAAGTGCTGGTTTAAGGGGGGAAGTTCGGTAAAATGGGGGGCTCTCTAAACGTGGGGAAGTGACAATTTCGGAGGTCTGATTGGGTAGTCGGCTTTTGGAGGATGGGGGAGCACCCCGATTCATGTTCGCATGATTTTGACCCGACATCTCGTCCTCCGATATCAAGCTCTTCTAGATTCCTTACCGTACATATTTGGCATAGATCTCACATACAGTTCTTTGTGAATAGTCACAGCTAATCATTGTTCAAAATGTCGCAGAAATTCTCCGCCGAAGAAGGTACGTACCGAACCTAAACTGTGCTATTCATCTGGATTGGGTCTTGTACTGATCGATAAATAGTGGTCAAGCACAACACCCCAGAGTCGTGTTGGGTAGCATTATACGGCAATGTCTGGGACGTGACCTCCTTCCTTCCTTCACATCCAGGCGGTTCCGCCATAATCCTCAAACTCGCCGGTCGAGACTGTACCGAAGAATACGATCCCATCCACCCTCCCGGAACGCTCGAAGAAAACCTACCTCCTACAGCGAAGCTCGGGATTTATGATGCCTCGACCGCTCCAGAAATTACAAAGCCAGAGGATGAAGAACCAAAGGAGGGGTCACCGAATATGCAGAATTTGCTTAATCTAGATGAGATTGAAGAGGTGGCTACGAAGCAGATTTCGAAGAAGTGTTGGGCGTACTATTACTCTGCGGGAGACGATCTGATATCTAAGAGGTTCAATAATCTGGTCTATAAACAAATTCTGTTGCGTCCGCGGGTTTTCGTGGATTGTTCGAAATGCGATTTATCGACGACGATGTTGGGATACAGTGTTGGACTACCTTTATATGTATCCCCGGCTGCCATGGCGAGGTTAGCACATCCGGATGGCGAGCGTGGAATTGCGCAGGGTATTAGCTCGTTTGGTGCTTGCCAGATCATCTCGAATAATGCGTCGATGACCCCGGAGCAAATCGTAGAGGGGTCGTTACCGGGGCAGATTTTCGGGTGGCAGTTATATGTTCAGAATACTAGGCAGAAGAGTGTAGATATGTTGAAGAGGATTAATAAGATGAAGGATAAGTATAAGTTTATTGTTCTGACTTTGGATGCGCCGGTGCCGGGGAAGAGAGAACACGATGAGAGGATGTCGAGTGTTGGAGCGCAATTACCTAGTCCGTCTGCTGTGAAGAAGGCCCGAGATGGACCTGGAGGAGGTGTTGGGAAGTCGCTGTTCTTTGGAACGGCAGCGGATCTGACTTGGAAGGATACTTTGAAGTGGTTGGAGCAGCAGACAGATTTGCCTATCGTGTTGAAGGGGTTGCAGACTCATGAGGATGCTTACATGGCAGCTCAATTCCCTCAGGTCAAGGCCATCATTCTTTCGAATCACGGAGGAAGAGCTTTAGATACAGCGCCTCCAGCAGTCCACACGTTACTGGAGATTCGAAAGTACTGCCCAGAAGTTTTCAGCAGGCTGGAGGTATGGGTTGACGGTGGTATCAAGAGAGGAACGGATGTGGTCAAGGCGTTGTGTCTGGGTGCAAAAGCGGTCGGTGTAGGAAGAGCAGCATTGTTTGGACTTGGTGCCGGTGGTACTGAGGGTGTCGAGAGGACCTTTGAGATTCTTAAGGCGGAGATTGATACTTGCATGAGACTTCTCGGGGTGGACAAAGTCAGCGACCTGGGACCCAAACACGTAAGTTTTCACGATTCAAAATCCGCTATTTGACATTAACAATCAAACAGATCAACTCCAGAGCCGTAGAGCGGGATATATATGATGGAAGTGCAGGACTAGAGAAGCTAGGTTTATGGGTAAAAGCTCGCTTGTAGAAGCATATTGAGAGCTGTCGTTGAGCTAGATGTCTCACCGATTATGGTGACCGATATGCAAGTCGTCATCTGTTCTTTTGTTCCTGCATCATTCCGCCGTGATCGGATCTCGGAATGAGAAGGCTATCTGCCTAACTCTCTTTTTCAGTTTATGGTAAGCTTTGAAACATTTCCCTTACATGTTCTCGAAAGATATTGCCCTTTCGAAGACGCCTATTCCAGCCCTGCTACGCGCTGTGGCGTGGGGCTGAGGCGCAGTACTGCAACTGGAACCTTATACGAACCCGGGAGTATTTTCATTCGCCTCACCCTCCCCTTGACAGATTTTACGCAGAGAAGCGTCGACGGAGCTTCTTCCGGTTCAAATTCTTACTCATTGGGAAGAACATGCTACACCCTCTCGAGCCTCTTCAAGCTCTATCATGTGCCCGGTCATGGTGTTGACATTTTGTTTTCGGAAAGAGCGACGGTGATACCGCCTGAAGTTTCGCGTTGTACAGCCTCACTTACAGTTACTCTAGAACTGACCAGGTGATCGCATTCGACCTGTCATGGCTCACCAATTCCCAATACTTCAGGAATGTGTTCGCGGATTCTCCCGTTGAAATGTGGTGGAAAGTGAGTCAATACTTCTCTGTCTACATTGGTACATAGAGTCTCATCGGACGCCACTATCAGCCTCACTTCTCTTCTCACTTAAAAAGTATATGAAGTCGTACGACTTCCATAAACATGTAAATTTTCGATAATTTACAACATTATGAGAATTTTCGTCCAGAGCAGCAGGTTGCTGCCCATCCTCATCCTCGTGTTGGCAACAATCACAGCAATTTTCGCCGCGGATGAACCTCACGCAAACGACACTTTCGCGTCCGTTTCTGACGCCGTGTGGCAATTGACAAATCTCACGCTGATACCTGATACAGCTCTTCACAGATCTACGAGCTTGGGAGGCCAGAACTTCACGCACTGTTGTCTTCTCGCCGTTAACGCTTCGCTCACTCTATCACCGGATGGGCGTCTCATCAAGAGTCAAACGGACTACATCGACGCGACGATTGAAGAATTCCTCGAGGCCAACAATGCTGATCAGTTTCCTTGTACCGCCGAGTGGAACGGTGACCCAAGAGGGGCGCCGAGGGTGATCGTGACTTCAGGATGGCAAGAGCAGACGTGTCCTGGATGGTCTCTGTCGGATTCAAAAAAGGGGGATGAAAGCGAATGGGTCAACCCGTTCATCGGCTTCATCATTCCTTGCATTATTTTTGTCCTGGTCATTCCACGACGACGTAAGCTCGCTGTATGGAGCCGACTCTTCGTCCAAGACTTGTCACAGATTATCAGCTGGATCGTCGCACCCTTCGCTATGATACTTTCTGGGCTGGCCGTCTGTCTCGACACAATTATCTGGCTCTGTGTCTGTTTTGCGTTCGCCGGTCCAATGATATTGAGCGGTTTCTACGAAGCGTACCTCGATCAAAAGGTGATCAGCTTTCTCAACGAGAAGACCTCCAACTTTCGACTTACGATCGATATGAGAGCTCGGCTACTTTTTGTCGTACTGGTTGGGAATTTAGATCTTGATCCGGAGGTATTTGCTGGCGATGAAGAACTTACTGTCCTAAATCACGGGAGACATGCAGACGACAATCCACGATGGCCCAACTATCCCGGCACTCAGACACGAAACCCTTCCTCTCCGTGGACTCACATACAGAATCTGGTCAGCCCACTTCGATCTTACAGAGATTGCGCTCTAGGCACCCCGCGGCAGTGGCCCTTGCACGATGTTACTTGTACGGTTCCATCTTGCACCAAGTTGCGCTGCAAAGAAATCCCATTACAGAGGAATCACTTCGTACGCTCCGAGATTGGGCGGACCAAGACACGATTACGCACAATGCTCGCGACTCAGCTTTCTTTCGGTTCAAGCGTGGGAGCCCCGGTTGTTTTCTTCCTGGGTGCTTTCAGCTATACGCTGGTGACTACGCTCGGAAGCTTAGGTGATGAGGACACCAGTCTGGACTTAGCGTTTGGTACGTGGTTCATGGTCATTCCTCACATTTCAGTCGTTGCTGGGCTTCTATTGGCTGGAAACAATCCAAATACCCTCGAAGGTGTAATGGCTCTTGAGTTTGGAGAAGTCGAAGAGAAAGAAACTTTCAAAAAGAAGCACTTTCTGGGTTCGATATTTGAGCTAGCTTATGAGAGCCGATATAGACCAAAGTGGCTTTGGGAGCGCGGAAGGAGCAAGCAAGACTGGATTGACAGAGTTATCTCTACCTACCGATTCCGAGCACCATCAGGACGTCGTGGTGATATGGTTGTTGATGAAGACATGGAAGCTTTGCGAGTCGCAACAACAATGACCATCACGAGTTGGACAATTGTACTGGGCATGACAACGCTGTTAATGGGCGTTCCATTCATATTAGCTTTTCTGGTTTCCTTTTACACGCCTCAAGTCGGCATAGCTTGTCGTTCTTTGACGTTTCTCGTCTATGCCATTATTCAGACGTCTCAAATAGTGCTCTGGATGTGGGCATACTCAGGTCCACCTCAGCCAGGAAAGTGGTTCAAATTCTTCCGCAAGGATGGCTATCTTTATCGCAGCGGGTTCTACAATCCAACGGACGTCAAATCACTCTGGCAGAAGGGCAAATTCTGGAGCTTGAAATCTCTCTGGGCCATTATTTGGTACAACCTCGCCGCCATATTCGGACTTGGTGGTGTTATCACCTCCATTGGAGGGACTATGATGCAGTTGATGGGCGTCTACTCAACTCCAAAATGCAGTGTCAATGCCGAATACTGGACAAAGCCACACTCGCAAGTCCCAGTTGTCCTCAGCAAAAACTACGCGCTGGAGATTGCGGATGCCAAGAAATACTGGGTGCCATCCGCCATCACAGCCATATTGTTTCTTGCTCTCGTTACCTTCTGCGGATGGTGGTATCAGCGTCGACTGAGAGGGATGTTCAGGAACTTGGTTAGTGAACTTGGTAGTGAGAGGACGGATAGGGAGGATATCAGAGCGATCGTTACTCCTTCTAGGGATGGTGATGAGGAGAGTATCAAGCCTTGAATGAGGGGATTATGATTTGTAAATTGACATGAGCTGGGCATGACTTGAGGAGTTTTGCATTTGGTTTTGAGATACCCTGGGAGAAATGGTGTGTACATAGGCATTTTAGAGCTTAACTCCTACTTAGTAGTCATAATGGAGTAGATAATACATTTGGCTGCCAAACGAAATGTTGGAATTTGTATCCTGATGTATCAAGCCATTGGCTTTTGTGCTTTCCAAGTTTGAATTTGTTGGTTTAATAAATTATTTGAAAGCCTGTTGGTCCGTTTAGCGGAGGAGTAGCATCGCCTTCGCTGGTTGGGTCGCTCGGTGGTTACTACAATTACTCGTTGTGAGCGTTTGTTGCCTAGTCTTGCAAAAAACGATCAAAGTCCCCCTTTTTGATTGACATATTATCCAGTATCAGCATCACCATGAAGTTATTGGTGACCGGTGCAACAGGCTTCGTTGGCTCCGAAGTTATTCGGCAAGCCCTATGCAACCCCGCAATCACCAGTGTCATCGCCATCGCTCGCAAGCCAGTCCCCGTACCTACTAACGGAAAATCGAGTGCGAATCTCTCAAAGTTGAAGTCTGTTCTTCTCGAAGATTGGACGGGCCCATATCCCGAGAATGTAAGAGAAACTATAAAAGAAGCTGATGCTTGTATCTGGTAATATACCCCCTCGCAACACACACTTTACAGGACTAGACTCACGAATTCCCATAGGACTCTGGCCGTGACTCCTTCGGCCGCAAAGAAAATGGACTTTGCAGAGGTTACCAAAATCTGCTCAGACTATACTACCGTTGGCTTAGAGACTATGGCCAGTCTTGCTCACAAGCCTTTTCGATTCGTGTATACATCTGGCGTTCTGATTGAGCGAGATCAAACGAAGTCTCTTGCTTTTCTCTCTGACTACCGTTTGATGCGAGTCAGTATATAACGAAACCCTCCAACACAGCTAAGCTAATCAAGTTGTAGGGACGCCTGGAAAATTCGATTTTAGAATTCGCGAAGCAGAGGTCTCCTGATGTGCAAGTTACCGTTGTCAAACCCGCCGCCATCAATGGTCCTAATAGAGACGGTATAGTAGGTGTATTGATGAGTAGTGTGTTGAGTGTCTTTGGAAGCGCCCCAAGTATTCATGTCTCTGAGCTTGCTGTTGTCATGATTGATCAATGCGTGAGTGGTATTACGGATGATCCACTTTGGCCGCAGGAATTGGTGGGAATGGGTAAGAAGTTGATCACTGAGGAAGATTATTCGCGATAAAGTCCATGAAGAAGTTGGTGTATTCTTTGTATATGATGCTTTCTTCCAATAATGGTCATATTCTGAGACAGACTCCATCTTAAGACTCATTGATGGCAATCGAGCTGCGACGCTGGTGGAGGAAGAATTTTGGCCTTGAGATCGCGTATTGGAGTGATGAATGCACGAACAATATCTAGATTGGGAGAGGTTGCTGTTAAAGGTTTAGCAGAGAGATTGATCGACGCTTTGTAGCTAATATTTGGCGTTATAAGGGAGGGAAGACTTTAGAATACAGGTTTTGGGAAAAGCAAGAACCTTCCATGTTTGAACAAGATATCCAATGTTACGCCGCCTCGCAGTTGTCTTTTTCTATTACTTTATTATCGAGAGTAAGCATACCACTATGCCAACCTATATAATGAGACTGATTAGCACACATTCCTAAGAAATAACAAGGGTTAAAAGGGCTTTCTTTATTACTCTAATGCATTGACGAATTGATTTTAGTCACGTTATCATCAGTTAGCCATTACCACGTGATAATCCAGAACGGAGTAAACGGCTTCAACATCGCCGTGAACATCGCAGTTCAATCTTCCGCGAGCCCGAGCGAGGACCACCAAGACTCGTCGAAATGACGGAACAACACATCGACCCCAGGCTACAAGAAGCAAGTCGTTATCCGCAAGGACTACAACATCCTCACACCCCAATTGCAGCGACAACGAACGCTTCCCAATCTCCTGGCATCAATACCAGTTTGCCACCACAACACAATTACCCGTCACTACAGGAATCGCAATCGCACTTTCTGCCTCACACTCCCCAGTCAGCCGGCGGGGTACACAATGGCGACGATGATATAGGCGCAGATGGGAGCGACACGAAGAGACCGCGGGCGTGCGAACAATGTCGAAGTCTAAAGGTGGGTTTTATTTGTGAAGTCAAATGCATTCCTGTGGGGTTTTGTTAGCAGATAGATTACGAGGACCTGGGAATGGTTGAACACGAAGCATCACATACGCCAGCTTCATTAGTGGCCAACAAGAGCATATAGACTAATATATCATCAGGTACGATGTGAATCAGACCTAAATAGCCCAGATGGGCCTTGTAAAAGATGTGCCAAGGCAGGGCGTAATTGTATTGTAACGGCACCAAGTCGAAAGCGCCAAAAGAAAACGGATAGTCGCGTCGCTGAATTGGAAAAGAAGATAGAAGCTTTAACGGCTTTGACAGCTGCTATGAAGCAAAACCCTACTCCTGACGCGAATGGTCTTATTCAAGAGCCAATGGGGGCGCCGGCTCGACCAACCCCATATCAGCAAGTCACAAATGGCTCATACAGTGGAAACTCCTTCGCTACTCCTTCTGCGGTTGAATACGCTGGATTTGCGAAGTCCGAATTTGACTCGAAAAGTCCATCCGTACCTCCAATGGTCATGGCCGGCCAAAAGAGGAAAGCTGGTCATTCCGATTACATGACCGCTTCACCAATGTTCCCGGCTCCCAGCAAGTCAGTTGATAGCCCTAGTAGTCGAAACATGTATACCCCTAGCGACACTACAGTGGTGCCAAAACCAGCCCAAACCCATGAATATGGGGATGTTGTGGATCGAAATATTGTTACCATTGATCAAGCGACAAAAATGTTCAACTCCTACGTGGATAAAATGGCACCGCATTTCCCAGCTGTGGTCTTTCCTATGGGTACTACTGCTGGGGAGGTTCGAAAATCTAAGCCTACATTATTTCTGGCTATCCTTAGCGCTAGCTCTGGCATGAACTATCCTGAGTTGCAGCGAAATCTGACAAAGGAGGTTATGAGCATATATGCTGAGCGTATAATTGTCAACGGTGAAAAGACGTTGGAATTGATTCAAGCGCTGCATATCAGTACTTTGTGGTACTGGCCGCCGGAGCACTTTGAAGAACTCAAATTCTACCAACTAATTCACATTGCTGCTGTCATGGCTATTGATATTGGTATGGGGAAGCGAAGTAAACCACAAAAGCCAAAATTTGCGGGTCTATGGAGAGACAACCCGTGGCGAAGAACACCATACCCAGAGCCGGAAAGCGTAGAAGCAAGAAGGGCATGGCTTGCCTGTTATTTCCTGTGTTGCAATGCATCTATGGGACTGCGCCGGCCAAACCTGATTCGATGGACACCGTTCATGTCTGATTGTGTTGAGTTTCTTGAAACGTCACCCGAAGCAGCACAATCCGATAAAGCGCTATGTCAATGGGTACGTAGCCAACATATCGCTGAGGAAGTGGGTACACAATTCTCTATGGATGATCCTCTTGCCACTGTGAACATTGCAGACTCGAAAGTTCAATATGCATTAAAAGGATTCGAGAGAGATCTGGAAAAGTGGAGCTCGCAGATTCCTCCCGAGTATCAAACAGGTAATTTTTGGATCCTGATCCGTTTGGGTTTACTGCTTTATAAAGACACTGACTCTCAAATAGCTGATCTAAAATTGACTGAGCACGTCGTCAACCTTTACACACATGAAGTCGCGATGCATGTGGACCATAATGTCGAAGAATTTAAACCACCATTTACAGAGGAAAGCATCCGTTCGTCCGTGAGCGAACGCAGCTCGGACAAACTTACCCCTGCGCATATCAGCGCTCTTTCTAGCTGTCTGATGGCAATTGACGGCATTTTCGAAAACTTCTTCTCTTACGATGTCGAAACCATCCGCTGCCTACCTATTTATCTTTTCGTTCGTGTAGCGTACGCGGTCGTGGTGCTTATCAAAATGTACTTTGCTGCGGCTACTCCTAATTCTGAACTTGGAAACGTCATCAACAAAGATAACATGAAAGTTGAGCAATATCTAGATACGTTAGTGGACATCTTCAAAGCTTCAGCAGCAGATGAGAAGTCGAGACCGTCGGCGAAGTTCTTGATGGTTTTGATCATGTTGAAAACGTGGTTCAACCGCCAGAGAGAAGGTAAAAGCTGTGCTCCTGGTGGTTCGACATCGACTGTTCTGACCGGCGATCAAAATCAAGACATGCTCGATGCTGCGAACGGTGAATCTCACCGCCAAAACGGTAAAGCGGAAACCGCACAACCGTCTTTTAGCCCAGCAAACACCCCCCTCCAACTTCTGAGCGAGGTCGCCACGGGTGACTCTCAAGCTCGCGCTCGTGCCGGTTCTGCCACCCAATACCCTACGACTAACGAATGGCAACAACCATATCCTGCTTCGGGATACGACATGAATTCTGGCATGTCTCTACAGCAGGGCTTCTCGAATCTAGGTAACATAGACCCTAGTCTCGGTATGGATTTGGGTTATACGATGGGCGGCGGGTTCGAGCAGGCGATTGGGATGAGTCTTGGAGTTGGTGATCTGGGTGGGTTCTATTATGATAATGCTTTCTTTGGGAATCCAATGGGAACAACCGGAGATGGTTTCTAAAAGTCTCTTCATGATTTTGGGGGCCTTTTCAGAGGTTAGGGATCAGGTGTTGCCTTCGGACAAGGGTTCTTGATATCTATCTATCACACGTTCTGACAGAAGATGGATTCTGTAAATATTAGCTTCGTTGGTGGGATTATTTTTATACGGGGATCGTGACTCAGAGCTGTCATGACGATTAAGACTGTTTGGAGCTGGTCGCTAGATACACACCAAGATAATATCATTATTGCAACTGCAGACAAACACGGTGGTCCGAAGACTAAAGACAAGAAACTCATCGAATTGCCCGAAGGCAGAGTTAATTCGGCTAGTTGATTGTATAAGGCGTATTCTATCCAACTCCATAGCATAATTACCGCTTCTTGGAATCTTCTGGTACTGATGGATCTATCAATCCAATATTCTCTTCGCAGCTGCCTTTTGCGGTATGATTACATCGCACTGTGATAACAACTACTGTTGAGATATCTTGGGTATCCGCGTTAACCTTAAGCGTGGATCAACCTTCAACGTTGCGTCGTCTGGATCTTCCAACCAACATCACAATCTCACGCGAAACAACATCACCCCCACGAGTAGAAGTCAACATTTCAGCCACTAGACCAATCCTCCACCTTCCTTAATCGGGAAGTCTTTGACTCGAAAAAATGGAGAATGCAAGAATCGAACATCGCTAGGATTGATATGGGAACATCATACAACACAGATTCACGTCGTCGCATGATATCGCGGGCGTACAAGAATCTACGTCAAGGTTTGCGGCTCGCGTTCCACAATGAGATATTCTAGTCAGACTGTAAGCTTTTCGTCTCAGCCACCACGGTTTCCTCAGAAGCATTAACCACCATGGCAGCTTCTGTTACACGACAGACGATTTCCAGCTGCACGGTACTGGTCCGTCAAGCATTGCGATTTGCATTGTTCACGCTGACGAGAGCCACCACAAGGCAGAAGAGTCTGATGTTGAAATTTCTCCTATCACCTGGGTATTCTCCTTACCACCCCTGCGGGACGAGTCACTGAAACAGTAAGACGGTCGAGTATTGGCAGCGCTCAAACTTTTACGAACGAGAGGTGTAGATTCGATGGATGTTTCAATACGGTTAGGAACGGCTAGTAAAACTTTCACTCATAGTGTTTGTGCGAAAGAATGGCTGTCAACCACCATCAAGGCCGAACGGACAATTCCACGGAACACGACGATCTACTTACGCCGGAAGTCCCGCCTAGCCCTAGCCGCCACGAGATTAAACATCAGACGGATTTATGATGCTGGTCTCTGTGCAATGCTGGTTTTTTGCGTGAGCGGCTCAGTACCGGAAACTGGGGTCTCGAGTGGCGCTTCCGGAATGGGATATGCGAGTGCAACCTGAGCATCCTACGTACTGCACCGTTCTTCTTCCAGAAGTTCTGGAAGTGTTTCGTGCTTCACCGTTGTAAGACGGTGGTACGGCAATTTCAGCGTCCAGGTGAGCGTCAGAATCTCATTGGTGACCGAATTACGGTCGCAGACCACGTTTTGTTCAAGGCTTCGCCTAGTGCTCCTCAATTGAGTGATACCGACGCTCAGATGTGTTCAGGTATACTGAAATAGCAGATTCGACTTCTTCATTCCTTGCTGGAGATCATGTCTGCCTATATCTGCATGCTCCCGGATGCCAGTGGCATTGATTTGTTTGATTGCTGAATCCTTGCGCCCACGTTCTTTTGGTTCTGCTCTCGTGTTCACACATCGCAGAAAAACAATATTCGCACTGGGAGTGGCCGCCCCAGAAGCCTGGTTTCGTCTCTCAATGTGGCTTGTTGTGATGCACTTCTGTTATTATTCCTCCAGCAATAGTTGGTTCCTTTAATTTATACACGGTTTCCGTTTCTTCTTACTACGAGATATGAATGATTGAGATTCCCTAGCTAGGAAAGGGATATTAGAACATAAATACGTGAGCCTCAGTTATATGAATGATACTGACCGCTATCTATTAACCCTTCGGAATTCACTATACTAATCGGTGAAGAATACGTCTTGTGGCCAGAGACAGTGAGGCGTCTTTGTTGGCTTACAATGTGTCACACTCCCTTGCTCCGACTGTCCAAATTTTCAATTGGGTATGTTACGCTTCCGGATTTAACATCAGACGACAAGGGTGATAGTCTAACCTACAGGCAATCCACGCTGTGGGCATGCGAATCACATGGGCTGGACATTCTAGGCTGGTTTCGAAGACGGGGTTTCGACGTTGACTGAGACTAATACACCATTCGTTGCGGCTCAGTAAATGAACTGCCATCCGGAGCAGCGGCTTGCCAAGCTCACCTAAAGAGGTGCCTCTTACCATAGGGATGGATGAAGTGGACGAATCAGTGATAAAGACGGAGTGCTCGTAATAGCCCTACGGCACTCACCCCTTCCCTTTACCAACAATACTTTGTCCATCGCATAGCAGTCTTAGGACTTCAATCCAAACACGAGCTTGAACCACGTAGTCGGCTGTCCTATCTTAGATGCGAGATGAGCAAGTGCTTGTCAGATCACCATGTGATGCGAGTTGAAGGAGAGTTGTTGCTTAGAACTGTCATACCATTCATGCTGTTTCGTAATGCAACTCAAGCATGACTTGTTGGAGTCGTTGGTTAATGTGTATATATACCCTCCTCTTCCGCTCTTAATTCTCTCTCCACCGCTCATCAGCATCATCAACGGCCTTCCACTCTTCTAGGATCTTCTCTCCTTCCCCAAATGCTTGGATCTAACCTTCTCCTGGCCTCTCTCGCCCTTGGGCTTGCGAGTGCCGGTCTTTTACAAGAAGTACCTGCAAAGGCTTCGACTGGACTGTTAGCCAAAAGAGCTGGCGAGGGCCCCAACTGCAACGGTCCAAACGATAGGGGCTGCTGGAGGAGCCCTAGCCCTGCTGAACCAACCGGATTCAACATCGATACCGACTCGGAAACTGTTTGGCCCTCGAATGTTGCTCAAGGCCAAACAACAACGACCTACACTTTGACCGTCGCTGAGAAAACACTTGCTCCCGATGGAGATGGGAAGTTGATGCAAGTGATTAACGGTGTTTATCCTGGGCCAGTGATCGAAGCTAGTATGTATCTCTAGAAATCTTTTTTCTAGCTCTGCTAACATAGCCAGATTGGGGTGACGTTCTGGTCATCGACGTGGTCAACAATTTAACAAACAACGGGTGCGTCAACTTGATTTTGGTTTTTGTTCGCTCCCATAAAACTGACATTATGTAGTACTAGCATGCACTGGCACGGAGTGATACAGGCCAACTCGACCACTCAAGATGGGTAAGTCAACATCCGTGTTCCTGTCTTTCTCAATTTTGCTAATTCATTTAGTGTCAACGGAATCACAGAGTGTCCCATTGAACCCGGAGCTACCAGAAGATACACATTCATTGCAACCCAACATGGCACCAGTTGGTATCATTCTCACTATTCTGGTCAATATGGTGATGGAGTTGCCGGGACGATTAAGATCAACGGACCAGCCTCTATGAAGTATGACGAAGACCTAGGAACTTTTCCTATCACAGATTGGTATACGGACAATTCGTATCTAGCAGGTTTCAAGTCTGAACAAGGCGGACCACCTAGAGCCAAAGGTGCCTTGATCAACGGAAAAATGAAGAGTGCTCCAGGACCAAATGGTAAAGGAGCCTATGAAGATGTTAAGATTGAGAAGGGCAAGACCTATCGTCTACGTCTCATTAATACATCTGTCGACATGATGTACAAAGTGTCGCTTGATAATCATCGCTGTAAGTGCACGCCATTCTCTCATCTTCATTAGCATTCCCAAGTAAAGACTGATTTTCCTTCCATCGTATTTATCCACAGAATCCCAGCCTAAGCAGAAACTAATACAGCTATTTCTACCTAGTCTCCGTCATCGCTGCCGATTTTGTTCCCATAAAACCATGGAATACTACATGGCTGTTCATGGCAATTGGTCAAAGATACGATGTCGTCTTCACTGCCAACCAGACCTCGGACAGATACTGGTTCCGAGTCGAAGTTCCACCAGGAAAACTTTGTGGAAACAATGCGATGTCGTTGGGCGCTGGGCAACATTCAATTTTCGCAATTTTCTCGTACCTCAATGCTCCAAAACCCAACGACGAGCCTACCTCGAAATCCCAAGAAACATATACTGTGGAGTGTGCAGATGAGAAAGGGATGATACCAGTGACCGAGAAGAATGTTACCAACATATTCGACTTTAAGGGTGATGCCACTGATAAAATGAATCTGGTTCAGGGTACAAGAGACAAGCATGGAAGAAGAATTAATAGTTGGACTATCAATGAGTAAGACCTGTACACGTCTCCTCTTGGCGCAGTCACTAATTGCAACCAACAGCAAGGAGATTGATATTCAGTGGGAGAACCCAACCCTAGAATACCTACTCAACAACGATCTCCCAACAATACAAAACAGGCCGGGTAGCAACATCTACACTCTTAAAGAGGCTAATCAAGTAAGTATTATCCGATCACTTTCTTCATTCGAGTCTCATGCTAACGATTGCACAAGTTCTATTACTGGGTCATCCAAAACACCGGTGCAAATCCTCATCCAATTCATCTCCACGGACACGACTTTTTCATTCTTGGACAACAAGCAGACTCGACCTTTACAGCTGCAATGACGAATACTTTGCAATTCACCAATCCTCTTCGAAGAGATGTTGCTATGCTGCCACCAAAGGGATACTTGGCTATTGCTATTTATACCAACAATCCCGGTGTCTGGCTGATGCATTGCCATGTAAGTTCTTAGCGTTTTCTGAGTGCAAAGATATCATGCTAACAATATTTGTAGATCGCATGGCACGTATCTCAAGGTCTCGGCGTCCAGTTCGTGGAACGCCCAGATGAGATTCTCCGTGACCAGCATGTCGGTCTTGAGGCTATGAACTCCAGTTGCGCGGCTTGGGACAAGTGGTACGCTGGAACTCAATTCAAGCAGCCAGACTCTGGATTGAGACTTTTCTGAGTATCAAGAGATGATGACTGATGTGGTCGTGTGAAGATGAAGTTGCCTTTTCATTTGCTACATCTCCCCTAAACTGTTTTCTTAGATGTTATTTCCGGGATTCTGCTTTACATTGCTCCTATTTCATTGGTACGATCTATGGCGCTGATGAGGGATAGAGGTAGAGGTTGGGTAGACTTGGTAGATAATCGTCTTCAGCAGACTTTTCTTTGGGTTGTTTTGTAATATTAGGATTGAAATAGAAACTGGAAATTTGCGAGCCAATACTTAGATGTCTTCTCTTTTATGATGGGTTGCGACTTATGGCCACGACACCTCGCTTAAGCCCCTGATAAAGCTCTCCAGCTCTCAAAGTCCATTATTCTAGATGCAAATGTGAGTATCACAAAACTCGCCCGCTGTTAATTACCAAGATTTCAAGCCGACCTTTAAATAAATCTCAACCAAACACTTCTACATCGGAACTCACCGAAAAAGAAATTACCACCCCGTCTGGCGGGTCTCCATGTCCTCCTAACAAAATCTTCGTTCTACTCACAGCCGTCTGCACGGCTTGCCGCGGCCTGTGGACCCCGTGCCGCCAAAGACAAAAAAGACCGGGATTATTTTTACCTCCCCGCTAACGGAACTAGCGTGCAGGAAGATGTGTATCTTTTGCTATCGAAGAACCGTGAGATTAATCGATAAGAGAAGTGATATTTTATATATATAGCTTCCTTTCGATATTTGCTTTTCTAAGTATTGACACCTCAATTGCATGATTTCATACCTAATTGTATCACGCCGCCAGGACTCATCCGCAACGCACGTCATTACCCCGCCATCAGCGCAAAAGCTTGGGCCTACACATTCTGACTGACAGCTTGAGAAGCTCCATTTATACCCGTGGCCTGGCCCATTTTCTTCCTCCCGATCCTCACTTATTCTTATCATATCCGCAGTGCGATTTGTATATTGGGCGCGAGGGCAGGAAACCAAATATGTCGTTATTACAGAGAGTCACGTCCTTTGAATCGCTGTCTCCAGAACGCTTTTCACCAGAGAGAGGACAGTCGCCCGCGGGTTCGAGGGATAGGAAGTTGAGCTTTAGTCCATTGCCTGAGAGTTGGAGTCCCCCGGCGGCGGAGGTGGAGTCGCAGGCTATTGGCGCTTTTGAGGTTTCGAGGACGAAGAGGATACGTAAGTCTTTGATTTGGTGGTGTTGGTTCAATGCGATTGAGCATAGCTGATGGTGTTGTAACAGTACAAGTATTCACAGCAGTAATCTACTGTCTCTTCGCTGCCGGAATCGTCTTTGGATACGCAGCCATCAAGCCGGTGCTTATTCGCGAACATGTATACCGGGATCTCTGCACGAAAAAGGAGCTCGAGGAAGGCGTGCGAACGTGTTATGACCAGGAGATCCATCTGAATTTGATGTTTACCGTGGCGGCCGTGGGAACAAACGTCGCCGCTCTGCCCATTGGAGCGATTCTCGATAATCTAGGACCGAGAGTGTGCGGGCTGATTGGAAGTGGGTTGCTTGCTGCGGGAGCTTTGCTGTTCTCGTTCGCGTGGCAATTGCCTTTTGATGGGTTTATTCCTGGATATCTGCTCCTGGCACTCGGTGGACCTTTCGTGTTTATATCTTCGTTTCAGTTGTCGAATACTTTCCCAAAACACTCTGGACTTATTCTTGCGCTCTTGACTGGCGCTTTCGATTCCTCCAGTGCGGTCTTTCTCATTTATCGCATCGTATATCAATGGACCAATGAAGCATTTACACCAAAACGCTTCTTTCTCGCCTATCTTATTGTCCCGGCGCTGATATTCGTGGTTCAGTTCTTTTATATGCCTAGAGCTTCGTATAAAACCGTCGGGGAGTTGGTGAAACAGGTAGAGGATGCAGGAACTAATGGTTACGACGATCAAGTGGATGAAAATACTGCGCTTCTTCGAGAAGAACATCGAAATCGTCGCCAGTCCGTTATTTCCGAGATCACGGATCTCCTTGGCTCAAAATCAGGGGGAAAACATCTGAAGAAAGAAGAGCAGAAGAATGCAATCTCTGGCGTTTGGGGAGCTATGCACGGAAAGACCGTGTCACAACAAATATTGTCTCCATGGTTCGTCCTAATCACATTATTCACAGTCATCCAGATGACTCGAATCAATTTCTTCGTCGCAACAATCCGACCACAATACGAATACCTCCTAGGATCCTATGAAGCAGCCGTAGAAATTAACACCTTCTTCGACGTCGCCCTTCCCCTCGGTGGAATCCTCTCCATCCCCTTCATTGGACTAGTCCTAGACAACACCAGCACTACCTTTGTTCTCTCCGCCCTCGTAACCATCGCCACCACCATTGGCGTTCTAGGCGTTCTTCCTTATTCTTGGGCCGCCTACTCAAATATCTGTCTCTTTGTCCTTTACCGTCCCTTCTACTACACCGCTGTATCAGATTACTCGGCTAAAGTATTTGGGTTCCGTACTTTTGGTACCGTATATGGTCTCATCATCTGTCTTGCCGGACTCTTCAACTTTAGTCAAAGTGGATTGGATGCGTTACTACATAAAGTGTTTAACGGCAATCCCGTGCCTGTGAATTTGATTCTACTGGGCTCGGCATTTTTGGTCGGGATTGCGTTGTGTACCTTTGTCGGGATCAAGGCGTATACTTTGAAGAGAGATTTGTTAATCGATGAGGCGGAGGATGCCAGGGAGGTTGTTATGCCTGGGGCGATGAGTCCGGAGAGGCTTTGAAATGTGGTTTACCCTTATTATTATCATCGGGTATTGTGGTGGTTGGAAAGAGAGCAGAGTATATCGAGAGTTATTTATGTGGCGGCGTTTGGATGTTAGCATAGCATGGAGTTATATTTGTTTATATGGGGTTGGAAAGTTATTGGGTATATACACGGGTGGAGAGATGTTAGTTACATATCATAGTTTGATTAACACAAATACAAATATCAAATCTTTTACAATTAGAGTCTCTGTCTTGATTTACTAAGGTACTTGGGATCTGATACTTCTTCTCACTAGCCTACTCTATGTCTCTCGCCCTCAATGAAGAATATTCTTTGCTATTATGCGATTTCAAGGTTCGAGCGCGCGGAATTCTCATGTAGTCCCAGTTTGGAAATTCTCTGGCGACATAACAGAATACCTGCCATCGAACACAACTGAAGATCGCTACATCCACAACCTTGAAGTCAGACACAATCACCGATTCTTCCTCCCCACCAAAGTCTTGTTGCACATCGCACTCCCGCAAATTCATTTATATCCTATTTTGAAGCGACTACCTGCACGATACAATCTTGAAGCTTGATATGCTTGTACGAAGTGAGAGTGAGGAAACGTCAAGGTGTTATTCACTAGAGGAAGCAAGCTATGATTTCGCTGCACCTCGCACTTGTGTGAATTTCTACTTTGGGAGGTTACTATTCTGGGAACTTGCATTTTTAGAACTTAAAATTTTGTCATTCACCTAAAGGTCGGGGTTGGGTGGTAGGTGGGTTTGTTGCACATCGCACTTTTTCTAGAAGAGGGGGGAGTGAGTGGTCGGAGGGGTCTACAATTTCTCGAGGACTGGCTTGCCTTTTGGTTGAGGGCGATGCATCCTTCACAATTAGGTTGGTAAGAGGGTCATGGGAAGTAAAGTGAGGTGAGTTGAGGTGAATCTGACAAAGGGAGGAAGTATTCGCTCTACCCAAAGTTTTGTTGCATGTCGCACATGTCATATAGGCGATAACGAGAGATACGTAGGCGTTAAGCCTTCCCAAACGGGTGTAGTAGAAAGAAGAAGTATGTGTATAGGTAGGTGAAGAAGAAGGTAGAGATTCCTTTGTGTTTTGTCAGTAAGGTGAGGGAGTATTCTAGTGATATATAGTGAGTTAGAGTTTTGTTACACATCGCACTTTTAAGACGGATTACCTGTTTAGGAAGATCAATGTCGGCTGCTTGTAAAGGGTAGGGTCTGGGGAGGTGAGTAAATGACGAGGAAGCTGCTTTAACTCCGGAAGAGTAAAGTAAAGAAGTATTCACCCTAGCTTTATTTATCGAGATAGAAGGTTTGTTGCATATCGCACTCCTAGAACGGATTGCCTATTTAGGAAAATTAACATCGGGTGGGTGTAAATGTAAGAATCTGGAAGGGAAAGTGAATAAGAAAGCTACTTCGACCGCCCAGATACAGTAAGGAAGAATTTTGGTGAACTGCAGCTGTCTAACTTTTGTTGCATGTCGCATTTGTTATATAGGAGATAACATAGGCGTTAAGGATTCTAAAGAGGTATAGGTTGAGGAGGCGTAATATAGAGAGGTAGGTAGATAGGGAGAGTACTTCTTCGGCGCTATTTTGTAAAGTAAGGAAGGATTTTAGTAAACTACGGCACTCTGGGTTTTGTTATATGTCGCACAGTGTATATAGGAGATAATATAAGCTTTAAGCTTTCAAAAAAGGCATAGTGGGATAGATAGGTATATATTAAGGTAGGCGAAGAAATAAAGTACTTCGTCGGCGAAAATCTCGAAAGTGAGGAAGCTTTTCATAGAAGTACTCTTGTCTACACTTCCGAAATAGGAAATAGAGTCTATATAGTGAGTGCGACATGCAACAAAACTTTCCTGGCCTATAGAACATTTTCTGGAATTCACCACAATTCCGAAATAGTATAACAAAAGTTTTGTTGCATTTCGTACTCCTGAACATGACCACAACACATCTTTTCTCGAGACAACATGCGCATCCCAAAAGTACTTTTCAGAAGTACATACTTAAGGAGTGTAATACAGCTGTTTTGAGAAGACGTCAGATTACGGAGAAAGATCAAAACGTGTAGAAGGGGAGGGGGTTTGCTGATGACTGGCGAAATCTTTTTCGTGAACACCTTAATAGTAACAACAGATTTTTCCCTGAGGAAAAATCAAATCATTTTGCTTCTTCTCTATACCTTAGTATATCCTAGTAAAAGTCCTCGACCCATCAAGTCTCCACATGTTCCAGAAGAAAGTGTCAAAAAGTTGACTCTTTCCACAAGTCTTCTTCAAAAACTTGACGCGCTCAAAGACACCAAAAATCCGTAAAAAGAAAGACCTCCAGGAAGGAACACATATTTCCATCTCTAGCACGAGAATAATTGATTCTCATCACGCATGATAAATCCAAACGCCCTTAGCTTAAAAAGCACAAAGAGTATTCTAAGAATCAAAGAACCACATTTCTTCCACACACCAACATAACATCTCAATAGTCACAGATCCCATCTTCCTATCCTCCAAGACACCCGTGGTACTCTCAGAAGTACAAGTGAGTAGGGAGGGGGGTTTTAGTAAATCAGTTCTGCGACAGTACTTCGAAATTTTGTTGCACGTCGCACTTTTTGGCGATTAGTTTGGCGATTCTATTCTGGCACCACAGAAGAGCTACGCAGCTTTTAACAAGACCCGGAATTTTGTTGCACGTCGCACTTTGTCGCCAAAACCCCTCGACACTAAAAGTTTTGGCAATTCTTTTTTGGCGCTACACACTCCTCATATCAGTATAACGCAGAGTCGCAGACAGGAGTCCAGATGTCCAAGTTTTATTGCACATCGCACTAAAATACGAAAATCTACATCTAAGCGTTTCCTCAGGCGATAACCAGTCTTCAAGGGCCTTCAGATAGAGCACATGCAAGGTTAGCTGAGATATAGCCCAATGTGTACCTTCACCATCTCACAAACCTCAAAGTCTCATCTCACACACCCACTCCCCTAAAATCACGAACAAAAAATAACATCACCCAATAAATCTTATAAAATAGTTTATTACTCAACGCCATCCCTAAACCCACCACCCCTGCCAATCCATCCCTACCCGCACCCAAAATTCTAAACAACATCGCTCTCATTTATATCACCTCCGCCTCCCCTAGCCCCTCCACCGCACTCACATATAAAACAAGAAAAAGGTTGAAAAATTCTAGTCTATGATTCCGCATCCACAAACTCATCCAAACTATCCGTATCAGTATCCTTCCTCAACAACGCCGCATGCCTCGCTTTCTCCGTCTCCGTGCCACCAGCAGGTAAATCCCTCTTTAGATCGTCATGGAAATCCAGCAGAGGGCCACCCTGATTCTCCCGACTCGTGCTAGTGGAGAGTAGCGTCTGCTCTAATTCCTTCTGCTTCTGTCCTCCGTTCTGAGTCTGGGCCGCGTATAAATCAGCAGGCATTTGTGACTGGATGGCTGATTTTTGGGGAGGGGCGCTGTCGTTTTGGCCGAAATCGACGAGGTCGTTTTCGTGGGAGATGGGAGCGACTTTAGGAGAAGAGATAGGAGCTGCTTTAGGGGTTGAGATAGGCGAGGGGGTCGCCTTGGTGTTACCAGCGGATGCTAAAGGCGCTGGTGGGAGGTTCTGTGTTGAGGGAGGTGGACTGGGAGTGGCGGTTGCAGCGGTTGCGGTTGAGTTCTCAGTTGTGGACTTTTCGGCGGCGGACTTCTCAGCAGCCTGCTGGTGTGATGGTGGAATTTGATTTTTCTGATTTGGCTTTTGGCCTGGAAGGATTGGTGTAATTGCAAGTATCTGCTCCACTTGCTTCTCGGGTGTATCTCCATCACTATCAAACATTAGTATCTGTCAAACTAAGTCGACAGAATAGCAACTCACATATTGGCATTAAGAATCCAATCTAAATCTTCTTCTCCTTCTTCAGAGCCACCTGGACCTCCCCGAACAGGCCGGAAAAGCTTTGCCTGCCAATCAATCCCTTCCTCTGCTCGTCGCGCAGCTTCGTCTCTTTGCATATTCTCAATCGTTGTTTTTTCATCTGTTGCTACCTCGTGGTTTCGTGCTATAATTGCTTGTACAGTTTTGTACCATAGTTTTTGGGATTCGCGTTCATCTTGCTCCTCTAGAGGTCTTGTAGTTGGAGGGGTATGTTTCGATTTTGCAGCGTTAAACATCAGATCCTTTTTACCGGTCTGAAACTATGTTAGCTACATTCTCATACCACGTTGAAACTGTAATTACCTTTAAATCTTTGATAAACATCTCACCATTCCACATGCCAGAAAGCTCGTACAAGACTTCTCCGGTATGATCGTTCTTAATGGTTCCCCCAATGGCATTATACGTCCCGCCAAAGTATCCTTTCGTTTTGAACTCGACATCTGCCGACAATCCCAATTCCGGACATTTCACGAAGCTATGATCACCAAGCTCATATTTCATTTTCCCAAACAAGATACCCCTGGCATACATGTTTGGTTGCGAGATAAAGTAGCTCTCCCCCTTTGGATTATTCCCTCGGTTCAAGAATCGTAATATGGCCAATCCCTCCATCAAACTCGCGGCCGAATTGCCAAGGAATTTACTTCGTGGTTTTAGACATCCGTCGATTCGGATGTGGTGTTCGGGTGCCATGTAGAAATAGCTGGACTTGGGAGGGTGGTGGGAGGTCTGCTCGGAAATGTAGTAGCCTTTGGTATTGTTTGGAAGATCCCAATAGCAGGTATATGTCTCTCCTAATATCGGATTGAGAGGTTTCTTAACTCCACTATACACATGTTAGCACATACCCTCACCCAGTTTAAGAAGGTCCTCCTACGGTGGTTTGATATGCCATCCACTCAAGTAAAACTTAACCACCGACACAAACCTCTCCACCGGATCCTCAATCTGCGGCATAGCCAGCAACGTCTCAGGATGTGCCATGAAACTATATCCCATCAGCATTCCCGCATAAAAGCATGAGCAACATTACGCACTTGGTAATTCTCTCCAACATACTCCTCGGCTCCAGAATAAACGTTGGTAACACAACCCGGCTCAGATCCGCCCCGGGTCTCAACTGCGAGATAATATGTGAGAGCACTATTCATCCATCAGTCCCTTGCCCAGTATCACACTACGAAGCTCTCACCATTTCCCTGATCGGGTTCCACGACGGTGGAATCGTCCTCGGCGCCATCGGATCTACTCTCATCGACCGACGACCGGTTGCCTAGCTATATCAGCGGTGTCCCAAACTCCTCCATCCAAATCTCAGAAGTCGTAGATGGAAATACATACTCGCCCCGGAAGCCCGGCGATGTCCATGTACCAAACTAACCATCCTCGCGGTCTTCAAATAGAGGTATCAAAATCCCCAATCCACGGTCGCAAAACCAGCCAGTCTTCTGATACTTCCAGCCCGTTCCTTTTCGCAGACAATCGTAACGGCGTATTTATCTAACAGAAACCTCCTAGTCGTAAGAAACCCGTTTTCTATTTTCTATCCGATCACAAATCCACAGAAAGTATAATAAAGAGCAGTTCGGAGGTTCAACGTGGATCAGAAGTCCGAGACGGAAACGCGCGGAGAAGAAATGACGTTTTGCCAGCCAGCACCGAGGATTGGTTGGACGCATGCACCTCAGTCTTCTTTAATTTTTTCTGCTTGCTTGCTTGCTGTTGGTGCTGATTTTGGAGGGGTACTGAACGAAGGGCGCCTGCCGGGGGCTTGGCGGGACCTTCGTCATCGGGTCAGTGACTCAATTTTACATAGGTACGGTGCACGTGGTTGGGGACAGCTTGATCTGAATCTTACACACGCTTTATGAGATGAGAAATCATCATTCACATATCTGAATTTCTTGTGCCTGATAAATTATTCCCAAGCCGAATCTCAATCTTCAATCTCCAACCAAACCCCCCACCCGCCCCCCACAACGGCAAGACCTCCAAGCTTCCAAGACCCAAATGAGGGGTCATGAGGATTTCTGGCAATAGATGCAGTTGTACGAATTCGTCGATAAATTATCTCATATCTTGTGAGATAAATTCACTTAGGCAAAATCCGAGTCCCTGACAGTCTCGAGAAGTTACAATTTGTACAATTTGATCAAGTTTTTCATGTAGCTGCTTATGCAGCTACTTTCATTCACACAAATTTTTTCAAGAAACCCAAGAAAATACAAATAATTGTTCGCCAGCATTGAAACTTCTATCACATAATCAGAAATCTCCTAATCCACGTAGCATACTATCAAAACAATATTACAAAAGTTTCATTTCTACACCACACTATTATATACCTAATAAACAAGCATACAAGCATTCATTACACTCCACCACCATCCATACCCTAATGTATTCATTCCCTCCTTGTCCATAGCTTTGTGTATTTCTAATTCCCTCCCTCGCGTGTACTATGCCCAATTTTCCCATTTCATTTCCATACGTTGTGGTATTAGCCAAACCCTCGCAACCTTCCCTCTCCAAAAGCATATGTGAGGCATCCCCTATTTCTATCTTGTTCCTTCGATCTCCTTGGCAAGACCGGAGAGAACCTCCGCTGGTCAATAAATGGGCAAAAAAGACAATTGTGGATTATGCGCAATCCACTCCTCTCCACCCCCTTTACTCCAATACCCAGCCCTATAATACATACAGAATTTAAAAAATCAACGCCTTTCACGAACTTTTGTCTGCTCGTTCTGCCAAAGAAGAAGGAAGTCAAGAAAATTCGTATTCCTCGTGCAGAGAACGTGACCGTATGCAAAGTATTACCTCTCGAGATTTGATACTCGAGGGTCGAATTGAACTTCTCGTCATATTATGTGTGATGGCCAATTTCAATGTCGCAAATTCTCCATCGACGAAGACCCACTGTTGCGACCGTCGACCACTTCAGCTGCTGTGCCCAAGAAATCCGGATTTTCAGTTTGGTTGATGGTTTGGATACTATGCTGATTGACGAATCCGACACTGGTAGGCCGGTCATCTCTAAAGTCCGCCGATAAGTTTCCAAGAGCTGAGGAATGATTGCGGGAGTGTTGCCCGCTATGTTCCGGGGTGATTATACTCGAGCTGGCTGAGACGGTAGAGTGTCGATGATGCGAATTGGAGCGGTCGAAAGGAAGTCTCGACGAATCGGTAGATCCTTGATTGGTATGCTGAAGGAATAAGTGCTGAGCACCCGGTGTTGTCAAATCAACACTCTGTGATTGTCGTTTGGAGCTCTTCCTTGGCACGTCAGGCTTCAGCGATGGTATCCGCGACGGCATCGGTAGGTTAGGGCCTAATGAGACTTCCGGCTTCTGATACCTGCGGGAGCTAGCCTTCGATGTAGCCTTCGACGGGAATCGGCTCGGTAGCTCGATACCACCACCAGATATATCTATACCAGCCAACGTTGGCGGGACATCGGATATCCTCTGCATCTCAAATTCATCTCCGTCGTCTGACATCTCATCATCCGTTTGAAGAGGGCTGACTAGACTATCATTTTCGTGCGTGGACGCAGGCGCTGGTAGTGTGTTCTCATGACGAACAGGTGGACGATCATCCGAATCATCGTCAGAATCGATAGGCCCGTTGCGAACCCCGCCCGTGGCGACAGGAACTCCTTCAGGTGGTGATTCTTGTCCTGGTCGCTTCATTCCAGGTGGCATTCGAGCACTCCGCACGACCTCGAAGCCTTTGCCCTTCTCTTTAGTTTTGCCGCCAAATAGTCCTTTAAACCATCCTGCTGCTGCTGCCGATGGCCCTGTCGGGTCCGTTGGACCGGTCTTGATACGTCGACTGGGTACATTAGCATTCAAGGCTGGACCACGTACTCCGTAATAGAAATCGACTTCTCGGGTGGTATAATCCGCCTTCGAGCGTCCCGGGCTGCCGTCTACGGGTGCTTGACCAGTGGGTGTTGCCCTGCCTGAAATTGATGGTCCTTCATCAGCAGTTTCTACCGCTGGGGGTTCTCCCTGACTCCAGCGTTTTTTAGCCCAATCTCCACTTGCCCATGACCCTCTACTCTTCGAACCGGGCGAGTAGGCATCAAGAGTCGGTCGCCTTAGTCTAGGTGGTCGATAATATGGATCCGCATTGTCTACCTCTCCCAAAGGTACCGCAGGGCCTCGGTTGCGGCCCAACCCTGATGGCGCGGCGGCAGAAGGCAAGAAGGAGAAGGAACTTGCTTCTCCTGGTGTCGTAGGGGTGTAAGAACTTCCTCCGCTGCCAATAGCCCCAGGAGGAATGGCGCCGTACGCTTCTACGTTTGAATCCAGACCAGTACTTTGCCTGTTCAGAAGCACACCTGTGCTACCTGCTGATTGACTACGGATCCTCCCACCTTCCATCAGATAAGCCTTGCGACCCTCTTCATCCATCATGGCGGTATTCGACAATTGGCTTTGCCTTGACACTCCATCCCGGCGAGGTAATCGTCTCGATAGTTGTCGCATCCCAAATACTTTCGCAAGGCCGCCTCTTGTAGCACCAGTCTCGTCCCCACCAGCGCCAGCCAGTCGGGCCGCAACTTCAACGACCGTTTGGACGGCATTGAGAAGGTAGCCTAAGAGTAACACAACGGCATGTGTCAGAAGAATGGCATATCCAATCCAGCCTTTAGCTCCCTCGGGAACTCCCAATGATGGAGCAAATGCCAACATGATGATTACTGTTGCGAGCCTTATAAACGCTAACAAGGTATGGACTGCATTCATTGATGTTGGAGAATGAAATGGTCGAAATGCATGTAGCGTTAATATGAAGATGACTTCGCATATGGCGAGCAGCACCAGTTGCGCGATTCCGGACTGTTGGACAGCACCAATGGCTACACCTCTCACAATTGTCAGCAAGACAGGAATGAGTGCAAAAGAAGCGAGGTTATCGGAGTAGGTATTGTACAGTGGTCCATATAGCAGCACAGTGGGGAGGTCGTCAAATAGGTATGACTTTGGCCGCGTTGATACAATGAAGTAGAGTAGCCAGATAGCGAAGCCCATAATTAGCGCTAGCATTACCACGGCGAGAGCTACGGTGTATGTTGGTGAATGAGCAGCTTCTGCTAGCTGGAACATCGACAATGCCACTATTGGCAAGAGGAAGTAGTTGAAAACGATCCTGATGACATTCCCAACCGTGAATGGCATATTCTTGGCACGAAGATCTTCCTCCTGGTTATCACTGATATGTCGAAGAGCCCAGCGAACGAAGAATCCAGCCTGGACAAGAAACAGCACGGCCGCAAGAATAACCAGAAGCCAAACGGCCATACCAGCCCAGACATCATCGACCTGTCCCAGACCAACATACTGACGGATCCTATCCAGACCAAATCTTCCTCGAACGACATATACCCCATCGATTAGACTATCGGTTGCCGGTCCGTCACTGACGAAGCTCTGGTTGAACATAAGAGAAGACCATGCGACCTTGCTTATGATGGGTTGGTAAAACCCAGGATAGTTGAGCGTCAATCCTCCGGTGAGAAACGCAAATTGTATGTATTGCAAGCAATCCCCGAATCCAGGCGTGACCAAGCGTAGTAGATCTTCATCACGCCCATAATTTGTAGTCCATCGAAAAGTGTCAGTAGTACCCCACGGACTGTATATCCCTGCGAAGGCTGTTGCAACTCCTACAAGAATGAGAATGACTGCAGGTATCCAGGTGATTACAGCAGAGAGAGTGCCTCCAATATCCGGGGTAACGGACGCCTGAATACAACCAATACTTGTCGCCGCCTCATCTCCATAGGTAATTTCCATGCGTGCAGTGAAAGATGTAAACGCGAAGGTCGAATAGAACGGGTGCGAATAGGAGATAGACGGCCAGTCAGACCTCACAGACCTAATCCAATGTTAGTAGTATTTCTGTAAGTCGAGAAAAGCTCTTACGCGTTGCCAAAGAAATTGGGAGATAGCGGGCAGCTGCCATTTGTGAGTTTATCACAGAACGGCGAGAAATCCTGAGCATTGTTATACGTCAGAACGTCTATGGTACTGGCCAGAGTCGTGCGCTTGTTGTTCGCTGCTGGGGATGGAACATCGATGATCTTGCCTCCGGTATCTGTGGCATTAGAATCCCAATAAGAACTGGTCGGCGAAGGTAAGGGACTTCGTCGTTGAGCAGGACCTGAACCTGTGACATTTCCCCATACCCTTATAGATAAATTGTGTGAAGGATCCGTAGTATTGAAGACGGCGTCAAAGAAGAGTGGCACAAATTGTAGTTGTAATCCGCCAGCAGCTGCGTTATTCTGCACGTCATTCGAAAGACAATTCTCGAACTCGATTTCGACAGCCGTTGCTGGAAGGATACACAGACTGACGATTAGAAGAAAGACGTATCCAATGGTATTGAAGCCACAACGCTGCCGCCTTCTGTAACGCGTGTAATTTTGTCGTCCCTGTGGAAAAGATAGGGATTGTGGTTGAGTATTCGAACCGTCCGCACATCGTCCATCAACCTCATCCTCTCCAGCCTGCCATGCTTCCCTTGCAACCGCACTCGTAATCATCGCGTCGTATCGTGTGTGGTCCTGGACATGCTCATGGTGATGTCTCTGCAAGTCCTGACAGTTTGTCCTCGACTTTTCCATAGCATTAACGTTTACAAACGCCGTATCATCGACCCGAGGGAATCCCTTGACCTCATGGAAGTTTGAACGTAGCGGCTTGCTCAGCACTCCATGGTGAGGCGGACCGGCGTTCTTCGAGTTTGCAGATGAGAATGCCAGTGCTGCCAGAGGGGGGACGAGATTGGCAATTATTCGTGTTGTTCGTCGACGACCGGCTAGACTTTGAAACGGTCGGTATTTGCTGGATCGGGACCAAGAAAAAAGTTCCGCGCTGTTGAACAGTCGATAGACCCTGCACGCCACAGTTACGCGCAGACGGGAGATGGAGTTAGGAACACGAGAAAAAGCGATTGAGGCGCAAAACGAAGGTGAGGGGGTGAGTGGGCTTGATGGATGGATGCGTTGATGGTGAATTCGAAGGTTTAGTCGCAGATGCAAGAGCAAGAGCCAAAGCAAGATTCGCTAGGCGGTTTGGACTGACAGTCTGTTCTTGGGTGCAGGTGTTGGGGGGCGATGAGACGATAGGGCCCAGTCTGGGTGCGAACAGCGTCTTGGAGGCACGGTCACCAATAGAGTTTGAGTACGAGGACGACGGTACCAAAGTATGCCATTGAAATTAGGAGGAGAAAACAAGGCAGGCAATTCTTATTCTCTGTTGGCATCAATAATGCGTATTTTACAGTACGGGGATTAATCTCGTATTCAGTCGCGAAATTATTCCAGCAATTTCCTTGAATCCCTTTCTCACATTAGCTCTCCTACTTCACCTAAACATTCAGTCTCTCTAACGTAACCTAGACTTAACTACTACCTAGGGCTAGGTAATATCTCACGTACACTCATCTACACGTCTAATATCAACAAACTAATCACTCCAAAAGCCCGCGTCAGCAAAGTCACTCCTGGGGCATGCGGAGCTTTTAGGAGGATCACCACGCCCTAGTAGCTGATTGGATATTGATTTTCTATTTCTGGAAGGATGTGGATTTATCTTGGCTGATGACGCCGTCGGTTCGAGGTTTAGCTCGTGTTATCGAGGAAATCGCTTTGTTGCTCCAATCAACATCGGATATCACCATGTCTAAGGAATATCTACGCCATACTTTATTCTTACTCGCCGGCAGTTGCGAATATCATCTTCTCAGTAAGCGGCTTGTAGGATTCAATACTCCTATTATAGATGAATAATAGTCTGTATTCACTAAATTCTCACTGTGGAAATTAATACTGACTACAAGATCCAAAACTTGATTCCATACTATAGCTTGACCGTAGACCACCTTAGCGTGTGAACCATTGCAGCCTACAAAAACTTAATCTGTGGAGGGAAGCTTGTCAGAGCTGAAAAAAGGGGTATTTCCGATTCATTACCTACACGAGAAGGATACTCACGGCTCAGGCCACTAGTCCGAACACTTCATCAATCATCACAACTCCATTGCTAAGATATTTAGACGACATGAGACAATACCATAATATCTAAGACCCCTAAACCCTGGACCCAATACATTTCATTCAACTCATATTCCTATGATCTGTCGTAACCCGAACCTAAATAGCCCTCGCCCAACTGTCAACGCCATGGATATCGTCGCCGTAGATGCTCTAGAGAAAAGCCCGTCATAAAACTCCGTGAAAATGCCTATCCCAACTTATATTCAGATCGATTTTTGACACCCGCTAGTTTCGCTGACGATGCATAAATGATTAGCAAATTCAAATATCTCTTCTATTTGCGAACAGATCCCATGCGTGATGCGCCCTTCACTGGTGCTGGTAATGCCTGCACAAACTTATCGCGTTCTGTAAGATAGAGTTAGCATGTAGTATGTGTCGGAGAGATCATCGAACTTACCAGATTCTGTCTCAAAAACAATCGTAATATCATCGTGTTCTCCAGGGTATTCTGGAACATCCAGACACACAAATTCGTGGTCGCTCGCACCCGTTTCTCCACCTGTCTGAGGAGCTTTAGGCATCGCAAACTTGCAATCCACAATTCGCAATGTGTACTTTCCGGTTTTACCAGAAGTCTCAAAGATGTCCGTCGACTTGAGTTGGAAACTCATACAGTCTCCATGACTAAACCCTTCGAAAAAAGCGAGCAGTTGTGTAACCTTCTGCCGTCTCACCACTTGCAGCCGCGTGGACATGGCATCCCACTTCTTATAGATAGGGACGACCATTCGCCTGCGCGCAATGTTGAAAGAAGTTGCCATACCGTCGTACTGTACGACGAACCCCGTTATCGCCGCTTGGAATAGATGGAGGTCGGAGAGCCCCGGGAATAAATAGGTACGAATGGTATGTGACTTTGAGGCAACATTGAGGACATCGGCAAGTTCATGTGGTAGTTCATGGGATACTTGGGACTCAATGACAGATAAAGAGATGTCTTCTTGAGGCTCTCGAAATATTTTCAGCTGCTTGGAGCTCTTCACGTCAAGACGGATTTTCAGCTCTCCTGTTCCGACATTGATTCTATCGGTAAGACTACCTGTTTTGAAATCCATCACGACGCGCAGATGCTCCGAGAGAACAGTCTTGTTACTCTCGAAATCACCTTCCTCTTCATTGATGACCCGGAAACCTTTCCAGTCTAACGTCTTGAGACAATTCAGATCTTTGGGGTCACTGGACGCACCAATAAGTGAGAAAGCCTTCATTGGAGCCTCTGCGACCACCTCTTCAGATTGGCCTAGCGAGGTTCCAGTAAGCAGCTGATGTAACCGGGCTCTTTGCCCAGGATCGTCAAATGTCATAATCATTTTATAATTTGATCTGGAAGTTACGATCTTGAGCAGCATTGCCGGCTGTCCATTATCTCCACGAAGGAACCCAAACTGTATCGGTAGATTTGGCAACATAATCTCGTCTATTCCTCGGATGGTTTTTGTTCTAGGATGCGTAGTCATCGCAACGCGAAACCCTCTGTGCATTGTCATCATCCCAGCAGTGCCTTTCTCGTTGTGGGTTCGTTCAAAGAGCCTGAAAAAGCAGCTAGGGAGTGGCTCCTTGGGGAATCTCGATTGAGGATCGGTATCGATGTATTGAAAGCTCCTCAGAACTATCTCATAAACCAACACTTCATCAGGTCGCTGCTCCAGGCTCGCGTGAATTTTCGATTGATAATCATAGCCAACCCAGAGAGATCTGAAGTCTGGCTCGGAGAAGTTGAGACGCAGGGTGAAACCACGAGGTAACTCTACCCGAAGTGCGTTTCCTCTCTGTTGCCATGTAACATCCTGCCATGTAGGTCCGCGAGATTTATCTGCAGATATGCAGAGCTTTATCCCGCCATCTTGGCTAGCAACAATTATCATGAGCTCCTTTTCCTGCTGGTTACGCACCAGCGAAACTAGAACAGGACACCGATAATATTGTTGAGCGGCTGCTTCTTCAAGAATCCCATCAGCGAACATCCTAGAAAATGAAAAAGTCTTGCTCGAATCTCCCAGTGGAAACGCTTCCGGTATAGACAGCGCTAGGGTATGACGCTGGCTGGCAACCAACGACTTATTTCCTTCCTCTTGTGTCCACATGGAGTTGTCCAAGACTTGTAGAAGTGGCGCATCTCGACCGTCCGGTGGTAAAAAGCCATTTCGCTTCATCGACATGGTCAACTTTTTCAAATTGGATATAATACCTTGACGTGCCTCTGCAACGTTGTCCTGGTTTCGATCGCCATCATTAGTTGCAAAGGGATCTGCAAAGTCTGGATGCTGCTCCATCACCGTCTTCACAATCCATAGCGATTTTGCCAGATCCGTGTGAGCTTGTTGACGTACAGAACGCATTCGCTGCTGGCTTTCGGGGCTTGTTGGTCTCTCGCGCACTGTTGCTTCTAGATTCATCCTACCTTTAATGAACCACCACAAGGAAAGCCTTGCCAGCTCTTCCGCTGAGCATACGGTTAGAGGCTTCACGGATTCGGTAGATAAGCGGAACAACTTGAATAGATGCGAAACGCGAGCAGAGAATTCCTGAAGCGCCTCATCAGCGACAGCCATGGCAACACCCTGCAAAGTCGAAGCACGAGATAGAGAAGGTGGGCTTTGTGTGATAGGTGTTGATCTCTCGGATGATATAGATGTTCCACCGGCCGGTTGCAGCGAAGGAGGTATGTTACTTTGAGATTGTAGTGCAGGAGCTATGTTAGTTTGAGATGAAGAAATATAACTGTTCCGTATCGTATTTATCCGAAGTTCTTTCAATTGAGGACTCATATCGGAATCACTTTCTCCAGGCACGTCGAGGGAGTGTGCAGCCATTGGAGAGCTTGTAGCTGCTTGGACCAATGCCTTGCCTTCACCTCCTCGCATTTCGGCTCGCACTCTCGCTGCAAATGACGTCGGTTCATAATGATCGTTGCCTGTTGCAGGGAGGTTCGACGATGAACTTCCTGGACTGTTACGATAGCTGTTCACAAGACTGTCAGTCGAGTGGTTTGAACTCTGGACCGACTGGAATCCGGTTGCTGTCCGACGAAGAGGTCCAGGCCGGAAGTCGTCATTAGATTCGGCTTTTGGTGGCACCTGGGAAGAGCCTTTATTCAAGGAGCCATTGCTTGTGAAGCCGAAATCTAATGGTTGCTGTGACTGAACAGGAGGGAGCGGACTGGCTTGACGTCCATTTGTCGGCGCTCTTCGTCTGTGGCCAATTTCTATGACTGGATCAACAGCTTCGTCACCCCCTTCTCCAATAAATTCTGGTGTTTCATTTGTGAACCGCACAATAAGACCTTTCCTATTGCGCTTCGGGCTCGGTGTTCGCCCAATTTGCTTCGCACCTGTCACTGCGGCGGCAGTAGGCCATCGACGAGCACTCGAGGTATCGATTCGTGTTAACGGTGGTGGATTTGGCGGGATACTCGGTGATCTCTGGGGAGGATAGCCAGGAGAGGTAGGAGGAAATCCAGGCGACGCGGGTGGCATCATATGCAACTTGTCGGCAGGTCCATGGAGAAAGTCGTTCAAATTCCCTTCCTCGTCCGCGGGCGTCCTCCCATCCTTGTCTTTGTCCTTAAAGAGCTTCTTCATAAACCGACTCTTCGACTTCTTTTCGACCTTTTCGTTTTCCCTTCCATTTTGCGACACTTCTTCCATATCCGCGGCTCGATTTATCGCGGGCGGCTAAATTCTTTCTGGAATCTGCGGCGGAACCGACAATCAGGTCACTCGAGGTGGAATAACTGCAGTTGGTGTTGAGAGCGGTCGTCTATTATGGGCACTAACACTTGTCACCAGTCTGCTGGCGCCTGAGTTAACACATATCTGAATTGGAGGTTTTATGGATCGCAATCATACCTTTGGGGGATCCCCTGCCTTTGCTTCGTTTAGAGTTCGTGTTTTGGGAATATGTAAATAGAAATGTCCGCTCTATGAAATACCAGGAGGGTCATTAGGAAATGCTGGTAACGCTGACTAGATCGCATTCAATCAATGTCTGTACACGCAGTTCCTGGCCAGCAAAAGCATTGTCCACAGACTTGTATGCTGCTAAGTCGTCTGCATACAAATGTATGGTCCTCTCGGCCAACAGTCCCCTCAGCATTGCTTCGTTAGGAGTCGCAGGGTTGTGCCCCACAGACGGTTTCAACTTTCAAGGGTTCTTCACTGTGACTGATGTGATTTGGCGGCGCGCAACTCTTATCAAAACCTTGTGCCTGAGGCTAACGAGGGGCCGAGGCTTACCACAGCCACGCCGATATTGAGGACACGAATGTCGTGTGCTCAACTACAATGTATCTGTGAATCCTGTTCTTACCCAGCAATTTCAACAAAACTGTGAATGAGGATTTTTGTTAGATGGGTTTGATTGTCGACATGTGCTCTGATGCGGAAGCGGCCGCGTTGGTCAGATAGCCAACTCTGGGAAAACAAGTCAGATAGACTACGCCGTACGGCGAACCCAATCAGCTTGAACCAGCACAGGATCGATCAGTACACCATTTCCAAACACAACCTGATGCCTCGATGTTGCAAACGGATGGTAGCATTCTACCTCCGAACCTGGAATATCGGTTGTATCACCGAGACCGAAAGAGTTGGAACGGCCTGTTGTTACACGCGAAGCAGGTTCATATAATTCTGTATTGCGTATGATTGGGGACCAGGACCGAATGACAGTTTGAGGTGGTGAAATCATTTTGTCCTAAGTCCTAACATTCAGAATGTTAGCCTAAATGCAAAAGCCTTCCTGCTGGGGAGAAATAAGCTCGCTTAACCTGATATTGATCACTTCTCTTATGTTGGAACTATTTTGCTCCTCGATCTGGACACCTCGGAACCAAGGATGTATTGCATGCATCGCTGAATATCAAAAAAGAAAACACAGTGCTTGGGAATTGTTGAGTGATGCATTCTTAAAAGCCTTAATCGAAAAATAGAGAGACTATAAGGATAGAAGACTGCCAAGCACATCACTGAAAGGCCTTCGACAGTGTACAACAGCGGACTAGTAAGTAAAGAATCAAGACTGCTTGTGACAAGTTTGGCTGGTAAGTCAAAAGAACAAGGTTGGAAAAGTAGATGGTGGGGAATTGCTTGAAACTTGTAGCTCGCCAGTACTACCTAGGTAGTCTTTACATGTGTATCTGTTTGTACCTAGGTAGCTCAGAGAAGTGCATGTACCCAGGTGGAAAGAAATAGAAAAAGTAATTTGGCAAGTGGGCAATGCAAGTGGAGGCCCGAAGCCACAATTGGACGATAGTAGGCTGGCAACATTGCAGACGCGTGAAGTTTTGGACTCAAAGATAATTAGGATCCGTTTGATATTTACCCAGGTAGTTGTTGGCTACCAATTCGAGGGACACATCTCTAAACCCATGCTCTGCTGAACCTGCTGCAACTCAAAAGTGTGAAAACGGGCAAAAAGGCTTCCATTTGGCTTGGCATCGAACGCTCTCCTGAGCGTCCAGCTTCAAATGATGATGATCGCCCACACAAACCCTGCGAAAAAGGGTGTGTTGCGCAAGACAGGGAACAAACCATGGCCCGGAACTCCAGATCTAGATCGGGACAGAAGATACGACCAATGGCATTAACCGTGAATGGAGCTCAAGAGCCGAGATGTATAGCAGCACTGGATCTTGACTTTTAGTCGTTGGTGTTGAGAGCAATATTATTCTACCCTCTGAACTTTACTGTGATTTGGAGATAGGTCGAGGATAAGAGCTGGTTACGCATCATCTATTGACAACCAATATGAATCCTAAGACATGCATAGACAACCTCCCTATAGTTACTAAAGCTGGCAGTTAGTGCTTTTATATGAAATGCCGCTTTAGTCTATACATCTGGCCAACACAGCTTCAACAGCTCAAGAAAGCATGGGAATAATGGCATCGTCGTCATCCACGTGTTGAGACTGGACCGAGCAGGGCGTAGAGCGCGTGTCTGGTGCTTGGAGATTGATACGGAGAGCTATATGTACGACAGAAATATCGCCGTCGCTTCGAGTTCCGAAGAGCAATTTAATCGGTCCCGTTCCTGTAGTGCTTCCAAGGTTCCCTTTGCTTTTGCAGCATCACCTCCGCTCCCTCGCCTTTACATGATCCAGCTCCTCGGGACTGACGATTGATCTAAAACCTACCCAGTACAAAGCACCGTTGCCAATCAAAAAGTCTCGATATTTGTCACGGAAGTGGTCAAATATTTGTCTACCCATTCGCCAGCTGTCACTCAGATGCGCTTGCGATCGTGTCACAGCTTCCAGACATCGCCTACTTTAGCTCCCAGAACCCAACCACCCGGCTTCATACATTCGACACCACGACCCGCCATCCCACCCACGCGCGCCATTTTAGTCCTGAGCCCTATCTGCCTTAGCTGCTCCCCGCCGACTAGTAACTGGGCTGTGGAGGTATCCCAATCTCTCACCACGTTTAAGAGAGAGTATCCTACCCGCGGTGTATCGTCAAGAATAGCCTCTCTGTTTCATGCGTACGGCCTCAATTAGCTCGCAACCCTCTACCGACGGGCGAAGATGACCTCGCTCAACACCTCAGCCGCGGAGCTCAAGACTCAGGGAGTGGTGGAAGCTGCACAGGATCCTAACTCTTCGGTCACGTCCGAGGATGCACAGAGGAAGATTGTCCAAGAGAGTAAAAAGGCTGGCGTAGCAGCATTCGAATTTGACCCAGATGCGACGCCAGAACAGAAAGCTGCCCAGGCAAGAGCTGTGAGTTAACATTTCGTCTGTCTCGTACGTTTGGCGGCCAATGGACCGCGAAGGGGAATTGGTGGTTCTGAAGCCTTCCCAGCGAAAGCTGCTTTGTGAAATGACCCGAACAATAGACACGAATCATATGCTAACAAGCTCTTCTCAGCGCGTACCCGTCGGATTTCACCACGAACACAAGTCAAAAGGTGTAGCGATTCCCACAGATATAGATGATGGAAAGCCTGGCGCATACGATCTACCACCTCCTTCTACAGCTGGAGCCATCGCAGCTCCTTCGAAGACCACGAATGGTAAGCCTGTAGGAGACGGTGCCAGTGGTAACGCCATTGCGACAGATGAGTATGAGCGTTGGGTGGAGCGAACAGGCTGGGCTCCAAGATTTGGCGATGGTTCGGAATCGGTAGAGAATGAGGTTAATCCTGCAGACCACCAGACTTGGATTGAGGGAAAGCTGGACGACAAATTCTTTGGAGGTAGGATGATTTTGTTTGCATAATAAGTAGGCTGGCTAACTGAAGGTAACAGATTGGTATCACAACACGGCTGTAATCGTATTTGCGTGTCTCTCGTCATGGTTTGTTGCAACACTGGGAGGTGGGCTTGCCTGGGTCTTTATGATTATGGCAATTTGCGGTACATACTATCGAACATCCTTGCGTCGCGTACGACGAAACTTCCGCGACGATGTCAATCGGGAACTTGCCAAACACAGGTTGGAAACAGACACCGAGAGTTTGGAGTGGATTAACAGCTTTTTGGTCAAGTTCTGGCCCATCTTCCAGCCGGTTCTTGCTGAGACCGTAATCAACTCGGTAGATCAAGTTCTCAGCACATCTACACCGGCCTTCTTGGATAGCTTGCGCATGAAGACGTTCACGCTCGGATCCAAGCCTCCCCGAATGGAGCATGTCAAGACATATCCGAAAGCAGAGGATGATATTGTACTGATGGACTGGAGATTCAGCTTCACGCCTAATGATCATGCCGACATGACATCCCGCCAAATCAAGAACAAAGTCAATCCAAAGGTTGTACTGGAGATTCGTATCGGCAAAGCTATGATAAGCAAGGGCTTGGACGTCATTGTTGAAGACATGGCATTCTCTGGCCTTATGCGTGTTAAGATCAAGCTGCAGATTCCATTCCCTCACGTGGAGAAAATTGAAATTTGCTTTTTGGAAAGACCTAGTAAGTAACATATTTCTTTCTCTCCCGAACTCTGACTGTGTAGTTCTGTTCTATCAGTATTCTGATGTCGTGGCTTGGGAGGACGTCCTCATTCATTCTTCAATTTTTCATTCTACCACTCTCAAATCTTTCGCCTGTTGAATCATCACGCTAACCCATAATTAGTGATTGACTATGTCTGTAAACCTCTCGGTGGAGATACCCTCGGTTTCGATATCAATTTCATCCCTGGTCTGGAATCGTTCATTTCAGAGCAAATCCATGCAAACATTGGCCCTATCATGTATGCGCCTAATGTATTCCCAATTGAAGTTGCCAAAATGCTCTCTGGATCGGCCGTCGATCAAGCCATTGGTGTTCTAGCGATCACCCTGCATGGTGCTCAAGGATTAAAAAATCCCGACAAATTTGCTGGGACTCCCGATCCATATACTGTCCTCTCTTTCAATAACGGTTCTCCTTTGGCACAGACGAAGACTATCAAAGAGAATGCGAACCCGAAATGGAATGAGACTAAATACGCGATCGTCACCACATTCAACGACGTTCTTACCATGCAGATATTTGACTACAACGAGTTCCGCAAGGACAAGGAACTTGGAGTTACATCCTTCCCCTTGGATCGTGTACAGGAGGTCACCGAATACGAGAACGAGCAGTTGGAGGTAATGGCCAACGGCAAGGCTCGGGGTGTATTAACCACAGACATTCGCTTCTTCCCCGTCTTAGAGGGTGCCGAGACTGCGGATGGAAAGAAAGAGCCTCCACCAGAATCCAACACTGGTATTGCTCGCTTCACTATTGAACAAGCCAAAGATCTGGATGGAACCAAGAGCTTGATTGGCCAACTTAACCCATACGCCGTACTCCTGCTTAACAATAAGGAGATACACGTAACCAGAAAGCTGAAGCGAACAAACAATCCCATCTGGGATAATGGTAGCAAAGAGGTATTAATTACTGACCGCAAAAAGGCAAAGCTTGGACTCGTCATCAAAGATGACCGAGATCTTTCAGCTGACCCCATACTTGGTACTTATCAAATCAAACTTGATGACATGTTAGGATTGATGGACAAGGGCCAGGAGTGGTACAATCTCGCCGGCGCAAAGACTGGACGTGCAAAGTTGACCGTTCAATGGAAGCCAGTAGCGCTTTCGGGCGTTGGTGCTGGTACTGGTGGTTATGTCACACCCATTGGTGTGATGAGATTCCATTTCATCAATGCGAGAGACCTGCGAAATGTCGAGACGCTCGGTAAATCGGATCCATATGTTCGAGTTCTTCTTTCCGGTATCGAGAAAGGCCGTACAGTCACTTTCCAAAACAACCTCAATCCGGATTTCGATGAGGTCATCTACGTACCTGTTCACAGCACACGAGAAAAGCTCACGTTAGAAGTAATGGATCAGGAGAATATCGGTAGTGACAGAACACTCGGCAGTATTGAAGTGATGGCAGCAGACTACATCCAACAAGCAGACAATGGCGAATACCTTGTTAATAATACAAAGACACCACATGCAGGTATTCTCCGTATACATGGAAAAGGTTCTCCGAAGGGAACACTCAACCACACTGTCTCCTTTTTCCCGCTTCTCAACATTGCAGATCCGGAGGACGATGAGAAAGAGCCCGAGACACCAACAGTCCCATCACTTCGAAAAGTCTCTTCAGAGCGGGGTCGCATCTCTGTGGATTCATTCAAGACTTCAGATGGTAGAGAATCAATTCCATCTACTCCTATTAGTCCAACAAGCAACGGCTCAGCAGCTGCACCAACTGCTGATAACTCCATCGTCAAGGCCCTCGAAGAAGGAGAGAAGGAGCAAGTGGAGACAACAGAGGAGAAAAAGCTACCTAAAATTCGCCTTTCGCCGGAGGAACTCGTTAAGTATGAGTCTGGCCTCATCATATTTAAAATCCTGGATGTGGATCTCTCGCACAGAGATGTTCGTGTTGAAGTCGTAATGGACGACATGGCTTTCCCTTCGTATCAGTCGTCAACCATCCGATCCAAAACCATGCGCCTTGACGAGATTGGCGACTGCTTCGTACGTGAGCTCGACTTCTCAAATATCACACTCCGTCTTCGCGATAAAGATACGCACGCGGGAGATAATAAGAAGGATCAGACTATAGCCAAATTGACGGGGTCGACTTTGGAAACTCTAAAGCAATGCTTGGTAAGAACCATTATTTACAACTAATAATCAATGCTAATGGTGCACAGAATAATCCTACTATTCTGAAGTTGAAAGACGACGAAGGAAGAGTAAGCAGTGTGAAGGTCAGCCTGAAGTATATCCCGGTCAAGATGACACTAGACCCAAGTGAAAGTATCAACAATATGGGTAAACTTCGTGTTGATGTCCTCGACGGCAAAGACCTACCTTCTGCAGACCGTAACGGGTACAGTGATCCTTACTGCAAGTTCGAGCTGAATGGGAAGGATGTATTCAAGACCAAGGTCCAAAAGAAGACCCTCCACCCTGCCTGGAACGAATTTTTTGAGGTTGAAATTGCTTCGAGAACAGCAGCAAAATTCCTCTGCAATGTCTACGATTGGGACTTTGGCGAGAAAGCAGATTTCCTAGGAGCCGCTGAGATTAATCTCAACATGCTGGAACCATTTGCGGCCCAAGAGCTAACTCTAGCACTGGATGGTAAGTCAGGCACTATCAGACTACGATTGCTTTTCCGCCCCGATTATGTCACTCGCTCTCGGCAAGGTTCGTCGACGTTCTCAGGAACATTCGCGACTCCAGGAAAGATAGTCACAGGTGTCGCTGGTGCGCCAATTAAAGGAGTCGGATTTGCAGCTCATGGCGTTGGCAAAGGAGCTTCCTTCATTCGGCACGGTTTTAGTCGCAAGAAGAAGGATGAAGAGGATACCAATGGGTCTGCAGAGGCTGAAGACAGTGCTTCTGCTTCAGGTGGTGGCTTTGGTGGTCTGAGGAGGAGCAGTGGGCTTCCTCCACCTAGCGAAGCTCCTCCAGCGATACCTATCACACCACCCGGATCATCGCTCGGTGTACCTGGTCATGGGCGGACTAAAAGCTTTGGTCAAAATTCCACATACAGTACAACGCAAGGCACTCCAGGTGCTGCTCCAACTGGCACTGCGAATTTCACAATTGTCTCTGCTTCCGGCTACCCACCATCTTCCAATATAATGGTCTACATGAAGCAGATTGGAAACAAGACAAAAGTGGTTCACAAGACTGACCACATCAAGTCAGCATCCGGGACCGTAAGCTTCAATGACAAGAAAGAGAGTTTCAAATGTGCCTGTTCTGCAGATACCCAGTTCCAAGTACAAGTCAAAGGTCACAATACCTTTGGAAGCGATGATGATCTAGGAGAAGGTCTCTTTTTTGTAGACGAGTCAGGTACTGGTCAAGAGAAACAAGTCAGGGCTGGTAGTGGACATGTTGTCATTAAGAGTAATTTTGTTTTCACGCCTGAAGAAGGAGGGGCTTCAGACAGTCCAAGGGGAGGCATGCGTAGAAGCTTTCTAAGCAAGAAGGAACCTTCTAATGGACGGACCAGCAGAGACATTACCCCAACACCAGGATCTTGAGCATTCTCGCAGGATCTTGTTGGCAGATACGGTATCATCCTATACTGGTAGCATCGTTCGGGGTGTGATGAGGTCGAGGATGTGGGAAAATTTTAGTTCTGGAAAATCTTGTTAATAGTACGAGCGTATGAGCGTGCCATTTTCTCTTCTGCGTTGCGATACCAAATTCATTTCTTTGCATTATTCATTCGTCGGGAGAGCGATTTGGAGATGGTGGGCCAGACCATACGGAGAAAAATGCAATTTCAAAACTCAATGTTGAGTGGATGATTTAGGGAGGAGTGAGCGGGAGGTATGGTGGATAATGTGAGGGTGGGTTGTTCGATAATGGAACAATATAAAAGAAAGCTCTTCTAGCAGGAATTCATCTTGGTTGCTTACTTGTATTCGTGACTTGTACTGCTCGCCTTGTTGATTTGATCTGGTTACACGCTTTTGGTGATTCTGAATGTCGGCTGATAACTGGCTGTGGGTAAGGGTCCTAAGGGATGGATGAATGGGTCTGGGTGGTGGAGAAGTCATTGATTGATACGCTAAGAGTATATTTTATAAAGTTCGGGTAGGATAATGCAATTAAATGGTTGGCGTGTCGGATGGGCTGTTTATGTTAAAATTCCGAAGTAGTAGTTACTAGCCCGTATCTCAACTAAGCAACCTCCTAGAACTCCTCAATAAATCATCGTCTCTTGAAATTATCTTCACACTTCGCTTTCCCAATTATGAGATGCGATATGCAACAAAATTTCGAAGTCAAAACACGAATTTGATTCACATGTATTCCGTCATGGCATCATGGGAATATGATTCCGACATACATTCACTGACGTTATGGGTAGGATGGGATATAGGTTTTTCAGTTTCTCAAATCGAGAGATTTAATGTGAATGATATAAAAAATTGCGTGTGTGCAACAAAAATGGGAAGGGTTCTGGATTGGGGAGGAGGGGTGAATGCGGAATCGTTTTGGGTAAAATGGGGAAGGGGGAGGGAAGGAGAGGATGGGGATAGAAGGAAGGGAATGAGAAGATGGGGATAGAGGGAAGGCAATGAGAGGATGGGGTGTGGTGAGGGTAGAACCATGATTTAGTTGTAGATCTTATTGTAGAAGTCAGTCTCATGGAGCAGTTCTGGGAATGGCGGTGTTTGAGTTGAAGTGTGGATGGGTGGTGATGGACGGGACGATTGATGAGCGGGAACATTGAAGGGCGGAAAGTTTGCGATGTGCAACAAAACTTTATGGTTAGGTGTATCTTGAATTTAATTCACTGGTCATCTGATTTTCCTCTCCCTTACAGTGACATATGTAGTGAGGGGATGTTATTTGATTATATTAAGTGACTTAGGGAAGAACTGAGATGGGATGAGTTTAAGAAGTAGGCTGGCTTCTTGGTGGTTTACTAGAAAATAGCAGAATTGTTTGGATAGTGGTATTTACAATTATGAAAATGTAATCAACATATACATTACAATCACAAGGAGACAATCGCTCTGCCTTCAGAATAAATAATTGAGCATTTCTATGAAGATCTAGCGCCATCCCCCCCAACCAACATTCAAGTCTTGAGAATGAGTTGCCCATGTAGAGAGAAATGTATTGCAGAAACGATGGGACATCATCTCACGAAGCGCAGATGTAGCAAGAAACTTGAAATCTCATAAGATTGTCCTAAATCTAGAAATTCTACTTGACAGTTACTCTGAGAGGAGTGTGGATCTTATGTTGGCTGAAATGGCCCACTGATGGTTAGCATGGGGGGTATGGACGAGATAAGTTACTATGCTTGTTAAGAGAAAGGTCTTATGATGTTCGTACTCCTGAGGCATCTAGTGACCTGTAACAAGTATCTTTTAATTGAACATTGAAGAAAAGACGCATCATGTAACTCAGTTCCCTGGTTTCCCAAAACTAATTTTTGAAATATTCCGTTTCTATAGGAGAGATGGCGCGTCGAAGGGTATGGCGTGTCGAGGATTATGGCGTGAAAAGAATTGCGACATACAACAAAAGTTTCGGAGACAACTTGTTACAGGATTCTAGTGAATACATACGTGCCCGAGAATCTTTCTTCACTCTCATAATATACTCTTGTCTCGACTTCCCAAACGGGCAAATACGGCCTATATAGTGAGTGCGATATGCAACAAAAGTTGTGAAGGGTAGACAATTGAGAACACTTCCTCACTCCGTCTACTCTAGGATGTCAACCCCTATATTACGCTATTCCTTAAACGGACTGTACAGCCCATATAGTAAGTGCGACATGCAACAAAACTCGCAAGGACATACACCTACAGAATACTTCCTCACTTTAGTCTTTCTTATTCACAAAACCCCGTTACAGTCTTTCCTCATTTGGACGGATTTTTGGACGTATTTGGTCTATATAGTAAGTGCGATATGCAACAAAATCCATAAACAAGTGTAAGTATAAATCCTTCTTCGCCTTTCCCTGTCTTATGTGTTTACAATACCGCTCGCCGCGTCTTTCCTAAAGCGGGGTGTTTAAGCCATATAGTGATTACGACATGTAACAAAAGCTGACAAATGCTCAGATGTGTAGATACTTCTTCACTTAATCCTTTCTTTTAAACGAAGCCCGGCCACAATATTTCCTGAAACGGACGTATATGGGTTATATAGTAATCGCGACATGCAACAAAAGTGCGGCAAACGAGTGTGGACGTGACACTTCTTCACTTTGTCTCTTAGTAACTTCTATGTGACGCTTTCTGTCTTTCCTAAAACGGGATTTGCAGCCTATATAGTAAGTGCGACATGCAACAAAATGTCGCTGACAGCTCAAGAAAAGGGTATGTCTTCCTCACCTCTATATCCAGGAACTCGAAAGTTCAAGGAGAAGTGAGAAAATTACTCTATTGAAGACGCTACAGCCTATATAGCAAGTGCGACATGCAACAAAACTCAAATACGGAAATAGGGGTGAATAATTCGTAGTATCTAGATCTTCTGATTTCCTAAAATGGACGGAACAGGCTATATAGTGAGTGCGACATGCAACAAAATCTTCACCCTAGAAATGAAAGAGCTAACCTTGCTTCACTTCCAGAATTTCCTCTCTAGATTCCAGGGAGTAGTAAAGAGTAGAGGAGTCTTTCTCCCTATTTCCCAAAATAGATCGAACGACCCGCAGACCACTATATACTCGGTGCGACATGCAACAAAAATACTAAGAGTACATGTCCGAGAAATGTGACGAAAACTAGTAAAGACAGGTTTGTTTTATATAGAGCAGATTCTACTTTCACCTTCTTGACTCCGCTACTTTGTCTTCTGCTTTTCTCATCTTGACTCTTAAGATCCTTTACCTCGCATATTATCTTTTGTATAAGAAATGCGACATGCAACAAAAAGTAGGCATGAGGTTTTCGGGATATTGCAGTGAATTGTCAGAAGTCCAATATTCGGCGTAGCTGGAGCTTCCACCCATCTTCCTTAACCTTCCTTTCTATTAGTTTCCGTCACCTAAATATATAGTGCTTTAAATTAAATTAAATTAGTGCCTCTATCGAACTAGGAATTTAACCTCTTTATATTACCGCTTTAGGACGCTTAACGCCTATGTTATCTTCTATACGCAGAGTGCGACATGCAACAAAAGTCGGATATCCACCAGACACTTTTTCACTACAGTTCACTGTCAAGTGTGTAAGTCGCAAGAAGCCTAGTCCTGCTCGCTTCATTGACCTTGCCACCATATGACCTGTTTGGGATCATCGCTTAGCTGTGAGGTAAAACGCGATATGCAAAAAGATTCAGGTACATTAAGTATCTCTTGCTTCACTTTCCAGCAGAGTAGTGACTGGCACAGGAGTAATATTTTGGAAGTTCTCACAACATATCTTCCATTCTATCTAAGGATACACAGCCCATCTAGTTAAACAGAACTCATGCTTCGGCCACCAGTGCCTTGAATCCGTCCAGGATATCAGCTTTAAGATCCTCCCATCCTTCAATTCCAACACTAACTCGCAACAACTTAGTATCTACACTAGGATCAGTCATTGCCCGCCACTCGATTAAACTCTCAACACCTCCCAGGCTTGTAGCATGATGGAACAAGTGCAACTTGCTAGGTAGTCGCTTAGCAAACTCCACCTCCTTAAGCACAATCGAAAACACTGGTCCAAAACCATTGGGCATCTGCTTCAACAGCCATCCATCTTTGATGTCCTCCTCTTGCAAACTAGCATGCTCAACCTTCAACAAAACCTTACTCATCAACTCCCTCTCCTCTTCGGTCGCTTCCGGCTTCCCCTCATACCTCTCCGGCCTTACCGCACTATCCAACCACCTAACCAACCGCCCCACACTCTCAGCCTGTTTCTTCACTCTAACCTCCAAAGTCCTCACACTCCTAATCCCCAACCAGCCCTCCATATTACCCATCACATTTCCTAGCACCAGTCGTTCCTTCGCCAGCTGCTCAAACCACTTTTCCTTCACATGCACAGGATTCACAGCTAGGATACCACATAACATATCGGAATGCCCGCCGATATACTTGGTTCCGCTGTGCATCACGATATCCGCACCCCACTCGAACGGATCTTGAAGCGGCGGCGGGCCGAAGGTGGCATCTACGGTCAAGTACGCACCACGGGAATGTGCTTTCTCTGCGAACTTCGCTAGGTTGGTCGCTGTTCCGTAAGGATTGATAGGCGTTTCGATGTGTATCACATCACCTGGATTCAGATCCTCAGCTGGACAGTCCAAGGGGATCTTTTTGACCCCGGTGAGTTTCTGGTGCACGTCGATGACGCCGTGGCAGCCGTGGTAGCCTCCTCCGATAGAGATCTGCCTGGGGTTCAAAAAGACGAGGAGAGCGTGAAAGGCGCTTAGGCCTGAGGCGTAGGTAAGGGTTTGGCCTTTGAGAATAGTGGAGAGGATAGCTTCAAATCGGGTGGTTGTCGGGGCCGTGTGACGGGAGTAGATGTGACCGTCGTAGGGGATGTTTGGCTGGATACTTGTCAGGTGACGTGGAATGTTTGGGGGATGGGGAAGGGTACGTCTAGGTCTTTCCATTGCTTTAGTTCAGAGGGATTGTCTGAATAACGGAAAGTTGTCGAAACGTGAAGTGGAGGTGCAACATCTTGTGCTTTATTCAGGAAGTCATCGGCGTGGATGGTTTGGCTTGAGAGTGACAAGTTCTTTGCTCCGGACTCTGGGGAGTGATCTTCGTTATTTTGTTGGCCGTTGAGACCTGGTGCTGTGGTTGACATTTTGGATGTCCCTTTACAGAAAGAACAACGAGTTAAATAATGAATATGTGAGATATAAGAAAGACCCTTTAGAGTTTGATCTTGTAAGTATGAATCATTGTTGCGCCTTTCAGGTGTATTTGATACCCCACCTTTAAAATTCGCTTAGTGGCCCGCCTCGGTGGATACCCCTTTTTCTTAGCTGTGGGTATGAAGCAAAGGAAATGTCAGGTGCAAATAGTATAATTACTTTGCGAGATTTGAAATCAAACTTACTCAATTTGGCTTAGTATTCCAAGGAGTGGTACTTTGTTAGAAAAAGTCATTCCTTAACTACTTAAGAGTTAGTATTACTTTAAATAGCCAATGTACGAGTGGCCCGGCTTTGAGGATCCTGTACTTAACGCAGACTTCCGCAGAAAAGAACTACATCTAATCTTTTTCAAATGCTCCTCGTCCTATTTTGGAACAGTGAGTATCTGAACTTTGAAGGCAGATCAGAACTCCTACTTACTTCTTACAGCTTTTAACTGGATTTTCGCCTAGAGGCTAGGAAAAATAAGTTGAATATCTATCAATACAATAGAAAGTTTTGGTTCTAAAATACTACAGCGATTGCACATAGGGGTTTTCGGAATTTGCCAACCGGGGGGGGCTGATGGGTCAACTAATTTTTGGAGTGTTCGAGGTATTAACTAGCAAGTGTATCAGCAGAGAACGCCTTGATAATGACGAGTTCATTGATCAGGCCCATCTGACTGTTGGAATTGTAAAGCTTTGATCTTTAACACTTGCTCCCGAAAAAATATAAGAGTGCTACAAGGAATGGTTCTGGATGCACCTTAAAGGCTAATGATCCCTCATGCACCGATTTTGTGTTTGAATAGTTTTGATATACAAGACCAATGACTCGAATTAGGCATAAGTTTTGTAGATTCTGTTACAGACGCAAATATCATACAGTGTTCTTCGCTCTTCAACATAGCGCGCTGTTCCCTTAAAATTACCACCCTGCCGACGCTCTTGCGTATCTTCGTAACTCTGATAATTCAGCAAAGGTCCCTTTGCCTGTGCAGCTCATCTGGTATCACCAAACCTCCCAAAAATATGATCCGCTTGTCATAGGGAAACCCATCACACCTCATCATGCCCCATCAACGCACACTTAGTACCTTTTTCTGGTCGGCTCCGGAGTAGGACTTCTGCTCATACTTCTTTCATCTCTTCCACGCTCTTTCAACCACTTCTTCGTGCTTAACTCCAGCTCTCTGTCCAACTCTGGACTAGGATTCTTCCTGTGTATAAAATTGCAGAATCCACCTCTGACACATCCCTCGCCACTGTTTAATCTACAACAAGCTTCGCGGAAGTCGGTGACGGGTGACAATTCGCAGTAAATAGGCCGGGCGGCATACCAGCGGGAGTTTAGTTCGTCGCAAGCTTTCTGGGCTGAGTCTTCGTACTTAAATCGCGCGTAAACGTTTCCAATAAGATCTTGTCGAATTGTTAGCATTCTTCTCATTCAAGATAGAATGGGATTACATACGATCATTATTATTATCGCAAACAACCACTTCCTCAATCTCCCCAAATTTGCACATCTCACACCAGAAGTCCTCATAAAATGCATCGAAGTGATTCTGCAGCTGGCTTGGATTCATCTTGTTTACTTGGTCGTATGCTGGGTTTTGGTAGAGATTTGGGAGGAGGATGGTCTGCGAGTAGGATGGCTTGACATGTTTTCGTGAACACCGATCGCCGTGACGGCAAGCTCCGATTTTGTAGTAGAATGAGCAATTAACCTTGTCGGCTTCTGTTCCGAAGATGGAGGCAAGGTAATTCGCCATATTTGGATTTGAGGATAGGTAGATTTAGATGGGTACGAGGTTGAGGAAAGCGCACGTAGTCGTAGATTACAGATGGTACTCTATGCCCCAATATAAGACGTGTTCGCGACAATCAGTGATAGCTGTTAGTGATTGAACGATGGAAAGCCGTGTCTTTGTCGGGCCCAGGATTTTTGTTGACTTGTTGTTGTCGCGAATCTTTTTTGGAGACGCTCGGCCTTGCGAGGCGATCAATTTGGGGAAGCTTGCAGCCTGTGTTTGCCTTAGCGCCTTATTGCTTAGCGTCTTTTTCGCTCCACTTTGTAATCAACCAACGACCACGAGCGAGCCTTCCAGAAACATTTGTGAGATATCACTCTATCAAATGGCTTACACCAGGGTGGTGGCAGTTGAAACACGACTATTGCTCCGGAACGTTGACGAAATATCGAAGACTTCGTTCTTTAACTCAAGTGACAGAATAAAGTATATTTTGTCAATGGGTTTCAGAGAGTATCATATTTGGAGTCTATTTAGAGCTTACTAACTGTAAGCGAAACGAATTAGGAGTAGATCCACGGCGTCGATTTGCAGTGCTAAAACCAAAAGTTACTGTAAGTTTCCTTTTGCTCTGTCATCTATTGCAGAATTGAGATTGAAACGAGTACTTGGAGCAAACAAATGATGAACGAGGCCAGCTTAGTAGTCTAGGTAATTGCTGAGGAGAGAGCCATTTAACAGCCCTTAAAAATAGGAGAGTTAGACAAGACAGACATTCATCGATATGAATCACTTTAAATAATGGGAATGAGGCCGGAAATGAAAGATCAGTGGATGAGACTTTGTTTGGAGGATCAACAAATGTCATTTCATTGTGAAATGTATTTGTGACCATTAACCACAAGGAACATGGACAGGTTAGAAACAACGCTCTTCTACCTCGTGGGTTTGCCAGTCTAGAAATGGGCAAGACAAATGTTAGAAGCCCCTTAATATTCTGTAAACTTGTATCATATTTTAAAGCAGATAAGTAGCCTGAATTGTAATTCTATTTCGAGCAGACTTAAATAGGTTATATTTACTAAAGTTACATTCCGTCAACTCTTCTAAGCAATATCGCGCTTCGACTGCACCGCGAGCCAGCTTGTTTTCTATTTCCTTTAACTCCATAACCAGGTATATCCTTCCGACACCAAAACTCCAATAAACCAATCCACCCTGTACTCCATGCTGGCTTAAATAAAAAGCATAGTTTTTCTAAGCTACGGATTCTATTTCTTCATTTTCGCGGCTGCTGTGCAAGGGGGACAAATCCATGTACCGGGTGGCTCGCTCTTCAAGCCAACGCAACTCCAGTGAAACCATTCATATGGACAATCCGCATTATCACATGCCACCATGTCTCCGTGACTTATAGTTTGGCATGTGCAATATTTGCGGTTATCAGCGCCGTCTTCATCGTCCTCGTCAATGATCTCTTCATCGCCGTCCAAGGTACGTCCGGCCGGAGGCGTAATAGCCTCATCTTCCTCGTCCGCCGATCCTGACTCTGCATCACTTAATTCGCTGTCATTTGTAGAAGTTGGAGAATTCTTATTCCCAACGCGCTTCAACCTACTGAGGCTCGATTTCCCTGGCTTCCCTTTCCTAGGCGCTCCACTTTGTCTACTTCCATGTGGTGCGACCTTCTTCACCGTCGCGGATTTCTGTCCCACCCTCGGGCCAGCACTACCAGCTCTTACTCCTGAAGGCGTTGCAGCTCTAGGTGTTCCAGGAGTCATAGAGGCGTGGCGCGCAAGCCCGCTAGGTGGCAGTGTCCCAAGCGTCGCATTCAGTCTCTGCCTCTTATTTGCACCTTGTGATGCCTCTCGGGATTGCCTGTTCAACAATATTGGAGCAGCCGGTGTAGCTGGAGCCGAAGCATGCGCTGCCGATCCGCTTGGTTGACGGGCCTGGGCTTGACCGGGAGGACGTTGAGGATATTGATTCGGATGTCGAGGATGGGTCGGCGCGGCTGAGTTATTAATCGGGTTGAGAGGCATAACAGGAGGGTCGGGTCGAGTTGGAGCAGCACGTTCTGAGGGTGGCTTTGTAAGTAACGAAGGCATATCAGGTTCCAACGAAAGTTCTCCGCGGTCTGCGAGGTCTTTCAAATGCCTGTCCAGTATCATTGTATGTTTGTCGATCGTAGTCTGCGCTTTCTTCGCCAATAATACCTTTTGATCCTGGAGCGTTTGAGCCTTTTCGTAGTTCTCCAATATAATCTTGCTCAATGCTGCTTCCTTCGGATTGGGCACATGGCTACCCTTTTCTTTGATCCATCTTTGAATGGCGCCATCATGCTTGTTGATCTCCTTTAGACATACTTGCATCTGTAGATCCTTCTCACGTATTTCCTCGTGCATGAAGGTTATCTCGTTTGGCATATTCGCCGCTCGATTTGTCCACTCGTCGAGTATCGCGGCAGCATCTTGATGCTCTATCGGCGGCATCCTTCCCCGATTGTTGAAATCTATCGAAAGGTCGTCTCTGGGCATGATTGTCAATGGCGTTCCGCTCAAGACTCACGGTGCGCCAGGCAGTTGAAAACAGCAAAGACAGAACAGGTGTGTGGAGTTGAAAGGCAGATTGTGCACTGTTGCTGCTCACCTCAAAGATGTATTTTGGAGTCCCCACCGTCGCGCTTGCCAATAATAAGTGGATGCTTGGATGCAGGAGCCCCTTGTCCGATTCCACCGGATGTGGTGGTGAGTTTTGTGAAATGAAATTAGAAAGGCCGGGGAACGAGAATGACGAGGTTCAAAACGCCGACACAAAACTCGCCGCCATCGCGTCTGGAATTTTGTTTGTCAGCCTTGCGTTAGCGCCGCGTTTATGCGGCTGCGGTACCAAATTGCCTCTTTTAGCCGGTACCTAGGCCCAGGCACATTTTGGTGGTGGGGCCGGTTCGAAGCTCGACGATTCGATACTCTTTACTCTCCTTCACTACTCCGGACATACCACTTTGCTTGCAAACTTCGTTTCTTTCTACAAGACTACGAGAGACTCTGCGCTCATCGATATCATACATACCTGAAGGATAAAGATCTATAGTTAGTCAAGGACTCCTGACTGGCTTTGCGACAACCAATACGTCTTCTGGGTAGCTACAGCTCAAATGCCAAATTGTAGATTGTAAGGTCTTACCTGATTCCATAGTGTCGATACGAGCACTTTTGGGCTAACAAAGCAACGACTAAGAGCTAATAATCTGACTCAGTTGAAATAGCTGTCGCAACATCTTTAGCTCATGCAACACCTGAACCCATGAAACTTACATAGCGCCTTCCTACCCGATATTATACTTTCGCGAGCATATCTCCCTACGGATCGACGAGGAATAAACCCATCCTTGACGGAAATACACTCAAATGCTTTACCCGACGATGCCCTACTCCAACAATGATGTCGTTCAGGAATGGCATCCTATGGGTCAGCAGGGAGACGAGGAGAACGCGAAGTTATTGTTGCACGTCAGTCAGGAGATCGAGATGAACGGTATCGTTCGACCAAAAGGTTACAACGTGTCATGGCACTCGAATCCAGACATAGAAAAGCACCACTTCGGACATGCACATCCAATGAAACCATGGCGCCTTACTCTCGCGAAAGGGCTTATAATGTCATACGGAATGCATACAGCGATGGATACATACGTTTCGCGGATGGCGACAAGGGAGGAGCTCGAAGACTTTCACAGTGCCGAGTATATGGAATATCTTAAAACAGCCAAGGTAGCATTGCCCGACGACGATAATCCCAAAGAATTCAACCTTGGTAGCTCGGATTGTCCAATCTTCGAAGGTTTATTCAACTATTGTTCGATGTATGCCGGGGCTTCGATAGACGCGGCGAGAAAATTATGCAACGAAGAAGCAGATATTGCTATCAACTGGTCTGGGGGACTACATCATGCGAAGAAGGCCGAATCTTCCGGCTTTTGCTATGTTAACGATATTGTTCTAGCGATACTACAGCTTTTAAGAAAACATCCAAGAGTGCTGTATATCGATATCGATGTGCACCATGGAGACGGTGTAGAAGAGGCTTTTTGGTCGACAGACCGAGTAATGACTTTGTCAATACATAAATACGATGGATATCAGTTTTTTCCGGGCACTGGGGATCTGGATAGGACTGGTCCAGATAGCGAAGAGAATCCAGGTGCTCACCACGCAATAAATGTACCCTTAGCGGATGGTATCGACGACGAGCAATACGTGTGGCTGTTCAAAACGATTGTCGGAATGTGTGTCGACCGATTTCGGCCAACAGCTATTGTCCTACAATGCGGCGCAGACTCGCTGGCAGGAGATAGATTAGGACGATTCAACGTCCAGGTTCAAGGTCACGGTGCTTGCGTTGCGTATTGTAAATCACTTAACATCCCTCTACTCCTTGTTGGTGGAGGTGGATATACACCCCGTAATGTGGCACGCGCGTGGGCTCATGAAACAAGTATTGCTATCGGATGTGATGCGAATCTAAACCCAATCATCCCAGCGCATACACCATACCGATCACATTTTCGTCACGATACCATATTCCCTACGTTGGACCAAATTTTGGGCGAGCCACGACCAAATAAGAATCCCGATAAAAAAATCAGAGAGATCGTTGCTTCTATAACAGAACAACTTCGATTCGTTAACATGGCTCCAAGCGTTCAAAGTACGATCATTCCACCCGACCTCACGGCGTATAAAGAGGAGGTAGATGCGAAGTTTCGAGAAGAAAGGGAGGGAAACGATCAACAGCTAAGGCGGAACAAAGAGGCTAGTGTTGGTGTACCTATGGAATTTTAATAAAATCAGGAACTTGAGGGTGTTGGCGGTCATTAAAAGCGAGGCGTTTGGTGGTATCCAATCCTGGCGTTGTAGGCCATTTTGTAAATTTTACGAAGTAGAAACAGCTTTTGTACAGATACAAAAGACTGATTGTTCAGTGTGGTCAATCAACAACACATTTCTATTCTATTACATCAAATATATGGCTTTCGTAGTCTATCTAGAAACCCACCAAACAACGCTAAACGCTCGACATTGATACAAAGCAAGATGTTACTGTAAAAGAGTTACAAGACCTACGGTAGGTAGCACGACACGGATGGACGGTCAACCTCTATGCTTTTACCTCCTGATTTACAACCCTTCTACTCAGCGGTACATCGCCATTAGTGATTTTCTCCACGAAAGCAGGATCCGGATCAAATAACATGACATGGAAATGCTCCAACGCACTAACAGATTTCAACTTGGCCCAATTTTTGAACCAAATAACCTATTTCTCATTAGCACTATCCTCAAAATTCGTTGATCTCAACCCCAGGAACCATGAAGGAGAACTCACATTCTCTTCCCCACAAGTCTTGCCAAAGACCTCATTCACAAACTCATCAACCTCTCTCCTCGCCTCAGTCGTCAAGTCCCCCGTCTCTGGATCATCGACCAACTCAAACTTCGTCCAAACCACTAAATGCACAATCCGCTCATCAATCCCATACGGCCAATCATTCCACAAGATCTTCACATCCTCGTCACACTCAAACGGCTTCTTCCCCTTCGCAACAACCGGCACCGTCCACTTCACTCTCTCATTCAAGATAAATTTAATAATGCTCCCCCATTTCTGTTTAATCTGGTAGCTAAACTGCAGGTACCGCCGCAATTGCAAGGGCTGCCGCTGGAACAGGTCGATACGGTTTGTGGCTATGAGGTGCCGGACGGAGGGCCAGGAGAGGGTCGTGTAGGCGCTGTCGGGTGTGCTGAGGATGGAGATGTCTTTGGCGGAGAGGTTAAGGAGGAAGGGCGGACAGGTCGGGACTTGGGTTGCGATGTTGGTCTGCCAGTAAGGAACGGGCGTGGTGCTGCCCATGATAGATGGAGGCGTTCGGGTGTGGTGGGGTGATTCAGGCTGTTTGCTTTTTTACTCGTTAGGATGCAGGTACGGTTGGGATATAAAGTGCCAAGGATGTACCTTTAAGTATTATCTGCAAAATCTAGTACTTTTGAAGATTAATTGAAATGTATGTTGTAACCATGAAGTTCAATTGGGAAGCACTTCTTTGTCTGCGTTGAGCACAGTATCATTGCACAGCATCAAAACATGTTCTACGATAAGTTCAAGATCCCAACACTCAATCCTTATCCGGCCCGGAGACTTTTCCGCACTCGCAACGGTCCGCCGCACTGGTTTGCCCGCTCCCCTTTTCAATTGCATTGCCACCATCTCTGCCCCTTTCTCTTTTGGGAAGACTGAGATTGTACAAAGATCCGTACAAAGTATAATCACAAGTCAGCTGGACAAGTTCCAACAATTCAACAGCGCAACCAATCCTCCTTTATGTACCATTCCATTCGCTCGTTAGTAACCAACCATCACCAGTCAACCGTTGTCAATTGAGGCTCCAACAGATCCTTGACCCAGCCCTCAACTCCCATACGTGCCGAAGCAATCGAAGCGCCCAGATTCCAGACCTTCACAGCCCTCTATCCCACATATAATCTCCGAGATATCCAGAAATCAAGTTTCCTCCTCACTCAAAACCTCTCTCTCCGTCCCCAAAATCCGATGCAAAACAAACGCTTTGTGTGGCGAGTTTTACATCCTGGTTGATATCATCCAGTCGTAGAATTTCGTTGTACCGTTCATCTCGGTTGCGGCTTCGAATGCAAGCCCATACAAGGTTGGACATGCACGAAATGGGCGATACTGTTGAGATTAACGCTTCATAACTGGCTGATCCGTCTGTTGAAGAACGCGAATAAGACGCTGATCGGTATATTAAACCAGGATGATAAACTTTTGCCCAGGGCAGCATGTCATTCACCCCCCATCTTTTCCACGATCCTCGTTGAGGCTTGCGAGGATTTCGCAAACGATGCTGGTTGATAACGTAGGTGTGGAGCCGCAGTCTGTTTGCTTATATGAATCGACTTGTTTGCTATTTGTTATTTCCGATCCCATTTCTTCGTTGTTGTTTATCTTGTTGGTGCTGCGCTGGCTGTGTTCTTCCATCCGCAAGTATTATCGTAAAAGGGGATTCCTAACTCAAGTCATTCGTTACGTCCTTCAATCATCCTTCGATCTGGCAAGAGTTCGCGAGATTCGAACTCGAAAGGAAAGTTTTCACCTGCGATACTGTACACTCTTTCGGTTTCGCAAACACTCTCATTGATACTCCTGAGCGCCTCGAGTTGTTAATCACGCGCGACGTTATTCATATTCGTCCCACTCGATCTTCATCCAATCTACCAATTGTCACCACACCTCTTCAGCTTCATTTTCGTGTCAGCTGCGACATTCGATTTTTCTCGTAGCTCGGAAATAAATTGTTGGATGGTGTCGGCTTGAATATCATCATCAACCTCCACTTTCTTACTGTCCTTACAAAATACACGACGCAACGCAGTCACAATGGCGCGCCCACCACGATCCCAGCAACCAAGGGTCAATAAACCATCACCACTCCAACAAGTCCATCTTACACGACCAGTATCAACTATGTCATCTTTAGACCAACCACCGGCGGAAATGGGATTGGTGCGCGATCCGAACTTCTGGAAACGCTTTTCTACTGCCATTCACGATGCGGAGAAGGGGGAGGTGGAAAGTAAAATTAGTCGGGGATCACGATCGAACAGTGGTAGTAGTTCTGGGAGTCTTGGAAAGGCGAGCTATGGGTATGTCGAATGATTATGGGGATATGGAACGAGACTAATTTGGAACAGCGACGACTGGTTACAACAACAACGAAGGGACAAACGTCGATGTCGAACCATCTGCATTAGCATCACACTTATCGTTATTATTCTCATCGCGGCAGCTGCGATATGCGGTTGGTATTTTACGAAAGGACGGAAATCATCATAGATGGGGAGGGGAACTGGTAAAAGCATTTAGAGCATCTAGAAGGGTCATGATAATGGAATCGAAGGAATACGAATGGAAGACACGGCGTTTGGGGATGGATTCGTTTAAAAAAGCGAGAGTTCTGAATTTTTGTGCGTGGAAGTACGAATTGATGTGGATATGCGGGGGGTATGGTGTACATAGGATGAGGAAGGTCTTGAAAACATGTACAAGAGAATCTGAGGGCCATAAGGTAAATATGTACAATACAATGGAATCTTGAAAGAGCATCTCGTGTGTCATATGCGTCTATATCTATGGGGTGTGAATAGTATTCTCAGCATTTCAGCAATACCAATTTTACCGTCAATATACTTTCAAGAATTCGGTCAATGGCTAGCAGCACTTACATATCCAGAAGTGTGACACCTGTGGTCTTACACCAAACTCTGTGCACCAACTGGACACGCAGGTAATATTGATCATTAGGTTTTCTCAGACCCGCCAGATCAGAGTGGAACATCGCCTGTATGACCTATCCACAAACAATTTCACAACAACAGATAGACTTAGACACAGCACAAGAGAGCAATACCCAGAACCTTCCTTAGCAGCCGCTAATTCGACAAGCTGTCGAACCCGGCAGTTGAAAACGTGATCTTCAACCGATCACAAGATGGTGTTACAAGAACGCCATAAGCCGGAAGAACCCAGAGCTCTGGAATCCCTCCTTCGTCGATCATATATACCATATCTACCTTATCATCCCAATCATCCATCTCCTCCCATAAAAACCCACTAACTCCATCACCACCCAAACCTCTCTCGAGTCATTCCAGCAAATCACACCTCCTCCTCGTAAACCTCCCGTCCCAAACCAGCACCCGTAAATTTCTGAATCGGGAAATTTCCACTCCAGCTCGCTTAGCCACAGCACCTCTTTCTCGTGCGATGCATCGCAAAACCCAAAATTTGCACGCGTTGATGCGGCTGGAAGTCTGGGACTTGTTTAGCCCATCGCATATTTCCGCATCTGGTAGATTCCGGGTGCGAGATGCAACAAATGGGTTTGGAGGGTTTGTTTTGGGATAGAGGGTGTTTGGGTGGGGAGGGGATTGGTTGGGTGTTTTGGGGGGTTGTTGGTGGTGGAGGGGTTGAGTCGTGTGATGGGATGAGGGGAAGGGAGGTGAAGGGTATTTGTGAGGATGTTTGGCTATGATTCTGAACAATTGGTGGATTGGTTTCTCTTGTAGAGAGAGTCAGATATTCATTTAAAGTCCTGTTGAGAACGTCCAGGCTTACGAAATTCAAAGACGTGATACAATACGGTGTCCGTACCATCAGTGTACAGATTACCTGACGGCAATTACCCATTACAGATACCTGGTGCAGTCCGACAGTTGAAGGCTTCAAGCTGTTGTCTCACGATGTTATCAACTCGCAACGCGGTCACGACATTTTGCCTACTTTGAGTGCTGGAACTAGTACATACCACCGGAGAGCAAACTTCGAAGCAAATGGGAGTATTTTTACTTTTGTATTCTTCATACGGATACGTTCCGGTACACCCGCTGATGATCCTCGCTGCCGTCGAGCAAGCGAGATGTCTATTTATATCCATGCCCGATCTCGAATCCCCCGAGCGGAATTCATGACGAAGTCTCCAAATAATCGCAATATAAACATCATCCAAACTCCGAATCCAACTCACGGAAAACTTTCTCATTCCGTCAATTCATCACCTGTCGCACCCTCCCAAACCCGATCGTTACAAATCCTACCAGTCGGAATCTCAACCAATTCCAGCAACCTCACGTCAACCTCCATTCCCTTTCATTCGTCGCGCGGTTCGGGCCCTCTGAATTCAGCAGCTCTCCGAGCATCGGGCGTCCAAACGAGTCTTGCGATTCGGCTCATCGCCTTCTCGGGCAGTCGAAGGGTGCGTTTGTTGCATTTCGACAGTGTCTCGGAACTCGACTGCTTTTAGAAAGATTCCGAGTTTGCTGGCGGTGATACTCGTGGGTTGAGCTTTTTGGGATGGACCATGCTGCGTTTGACGGAGGCAGATGCTACACGCCGTTCGGGTGCGACAGCTCTATCATCTTGGCAGTCTTATGGCTGGAGACTCAGAATTTCAGAAAGCACCGATGTATTTCGAACAGGAAGTAAGGTATCCGATGGCCCTGCCACGTATCGAAGGAAAAACGTGACAGGAGTTCTTTGGCCATTTCGGCAACAGGACGTCCGGCTTCATCGGAGCTCGGAACTAGATCTGATCATCTCCTGATTCAACCAAGCGGTTGTCCTTTTTGATTCAAACATCTGTCTTAACCGCCAATTGGATGGTTGTTCCAACAGTTTTGATATTATTTACCCCGCTGCTGACCGGTTGAGAAGTGCTCCGGCAGCACCTCATCGCTTAACAGTTAACCCCCAATTTTCAACATCAGATGCGTTTGCTGTCTATTATTATTGCTTATCTCTAGCGGATTCTCATCCGTTCGTTGGCTCGTTACAAGTTGCCCGTCCCGGCTTCTGGTTATATTGATAACCGTCTTAACTGACATTTGCGGACGGGAGATGTCGCACCCGACAAGACTTCGACTTGCAGCAAACCTTTCGTTCATCCAATCATCAAGTTTCGTTTCATTCATGAGCTGACAGTCTGCATATTTCCCCCGCATGGCAATCAATATATTGCAACTCTAGCCGTAGTGCTTCGAAAACACATGTTAGCTACTGCACGAACTTTCGTCCATCGCCGGAAAGAAGCAAACCCGGGTTGAAATTCGATGAGCAACAAAACTTCTTTCATTCCTATTACAGTAATGAAGTCTCGGTGGTCTGCTTATTTGCAGGATCTCGTCTCCACACCTTGGATTTGTTTCGTTCCTATTTGGTCCTTCGCCGTGACTTCCAGGTTTATATCAATCTTCTCCATCCTTTGACCCCACAGAACCACTCGGGAACACAGTATCCGATGATATCGAAGTGCAACAAACATCACCATATATCCAAATACGTTCTCGTGGATGGGAGGGAGTTCTTCTATTTGTCGAAATACGCAAGTTCACGTACAGTACAGCTCTAGAGTCCAGTCGTGGAGCCAGATAGTATTAAATCCACGCATTCCAGATGGAACCCTGCGGAAAGCACAGTATCCGACGCGGAATGCGATGAGCAACAGACGCCTCATGGAGACCTAATGTAGAATACCTACTCCCGAAATCGCCATCTTTAGCCGGTTGTCAACTACTATGCGTTCCTCTCAGGATGTTTATCTGAGCTAAGTATGTGTCTTTTCAGACGGCTCCCCATAGCCAAGTGACTTACTTGTTCATTGGTGGTCATTTGGCTATAGAGAGCTCGGAGATAGTCTGCTCTGGATCATAAGTACACGGGCTGACCTCTACTAATCTTCCTGTCATCTTTTTGAGGGCATTCCCAGCGGCTAGCAGATAGCATCGTCCTCCAGCTTTTTCTACGACTATATGAGCTTCATTTTTTCTTCCGTTCAATATTACTGTAAAACATCAATCTTTCACCACTATGATATTTTGGATGGCAGGTAGACAGACTAGTTACATACTACCGAACGTGTCATTTGTTCCATTTATTCGATAAATTTTTCGGTTTGGTTGACACAATATCGGGTATTTCGTCAAGCAAATTGAAAGAATGGTTAAAATGACCCCAGGTTACTGCCACCTATATTATCTACCACGAGATACATGCACAGATACCCATCTGATCTATTTAGCTTTCTCAATAAGTTGACCCAAAACAATAACAGTATCCAAGCCACCTAAAAAAATAGGTTAGTCTCTTGAGAGCAATTGCTATAAGACTAACAACAACATGAGCAGCACAGAGTCGAAAACTCTAGGTCATATATCATGGCTTACAATAGCGAACTTCTCTGCCAATGAGTATCTCTAAAGTTCTATGTAAACACGAGGCTCTGTAAAAACAGTGTGCACGTGAAAACGACAGCCACGCGAAAGCCACCAATATTCCAGATCGCTACGATGGGGGACGACGACGGTGACTTTTTTGGATCAAACAACAGACAATCCCAGAGTTTTGCACATCACTCAGTCCCTATCATCTGCATTGTCTGTCATCCGCCGCCCTTCGGGTGGACTCTTCTGATCAACCCTGTCTCTACACGTCGCCGGTACATGCGCAGCCTCGCACTTGCCCATCTCAGCTCTCCATCACGCGGTCATCGTTGCTGAGTCTAGGGCTCTGTCCACATTTCAGAATTCACCATGAATTTCGGGTTGTTTTCAGGAAGTGTTAGTGTGCCACTTCCATAAGTTCATCTAGCCTAGCTCGCGGGTTAAGTCATTACTGACGACAAGATTCATAGTCAGAGCTACCGCGGTTATTAAGACGACACGGCGGTACGAGTCGAACGAAACCGAGTTCTAGCAGCGATTTTGACGTAGAATCTGCTCAGCTGGAAGACGAAACTTTTCATCCACTTCTGTCACTAGTCCACCTTCAAAGTCAATTAAATCAACTCACGCTTGATAATTACACCCGCCTAGAGAACAAAGGCCACAGCCTCGATTTTCTCACCCTCAACAGATTCAACGCTTTAGAAAAAACACCATTCGACGCATTACAAGACATTGGTTCTGGCTCCACATTCTCAGTCAAGTCCTTCGCTCCAGTCTGGAAACACAGTCCGCTGGATTCGAATTTGAATGGTGCCGTTGTTGCAAAACGGATACGTCCTTCTTCAGACGCAGAGATCTTGAGGTCACGATTGGAATCCGTAAAATTAGAGATTCTCGCGCTGAGAGACCCTATACTCGGCATACATGAGAATATTGTGGACTTCTTAGGGCTTTGGTGGGAGAATAATCCTTACGGCGGATGCCCATTGCCCGTGCTGATATTAGAACAAGCGAATTATGGCACCCTCATCGATCTACAACGGCGTCCTCTGACTCTACGTTACACGGTTAAGCGGAGACTCTGTTTGGATATTGCACTCGGGTTAGAAGCTTTACATGAGGCTTCAATTGTTCATGGGGACTTGAAGAGTGAAAACGTTCTAGTGTTCAAACAATCTGAAAGAGGCTATATAGCTAAACTGAGTGACTTCGGCTCCACTATTGCAGGAGGACATCATGCTAGCATTCTTGGAAAGAAAAACGTGGTGTACACTAGAGAGGATGCGGGGAAAAGATACCGGGTGTCTGTCATCAGCTTTCCATGGAATGCTCCCGAATACGAATACCATATGGAAGGCTTTCAGTTACGCTTGCTTGACGCTTACTCTTTTGGGCTGCTGGTTTGGCGAACCATGATGGACGGAAGAGATCCGTTTGAAACAGTGAACAGCCTTAATGGAAGTGAGGATAAATTTACTGAAATTGAAATGTTGAAGAGAAAGGAGGATTTTGCCGGAATCATCCGAGAGAGCTTTGAAACTACACGTGTCTTGGGCGAACTAGCGCAGGATGTTGACATAGAGTCCGTCAGCAGTGTTGTAAAGGATACTGTACAAGTTGACCCGGATGAGAGAAACCTACGGGCAGCCATTGTGCATCTTGGAGGCAAGCCTAGCTCGCTGAACATGATGCGTCATAAGAACGAGGTCATTGATATGGACGACTTTGGCGGCTCGGATACAGGAGTTCGACCCAGGTTGAAGCGTCTCGAAGTCTTGACAGACTCAAACCTCAGCATACCCATCGGACTTGATATTGCAGTATCAAATTGGGTCTCTGTCATCACCAAGGAGTGTGCCATTAGAGATATAACGTCTTCATGTGCGCAAATGTATCTCCCAGGAGAGCTATCCGGCACTGTGAGATCTTTGGAACGCGATCCTGCTTCGTTGTTGGACGTTTTGCGCAAGATGGCTTTGCATTATGAACATCTGGATGAAAATGACTCTAGGCAGACGCAATTAGATGACACGATTATGGATATAGCTCGCATGGATGTTGTGCAAATGGCAGGTGCTCTAGACTGCCCACTGGATATGGATATTGTAGTTGAAGAAATTATACAGACTGCTGCAGGTCGAGGTTCCGGCCCTGCTCTCGATATATTATCTCGGGAAGGGCCCGCCACGTCCTACAACAATGCCTTACAAAATTGGAGGAATCGAAATGGGGGGTATCTTTTCGAAATGAAAGCTGACGAGATTTGGGATTTGAGCCAGCCAGAGGAGCTGAAGAAAACCCTAACACGGCTAATGTATGGAGCCAAATGCATCTCCAAACACATTTCAAGAGCTGTATATGAGGGACTATCAGGAAACAGACAGGAGGATAGTATTGATGTCAACAAGATCTGGGTCTCGACTGATTTCAAATCCAACCTGCTCCACCATGCGGTCAAATGCGGCGCCCTAAGTGTTGTGGAGATGCTTCTTTCAGATTTCCCTTTCGATATCAATTGTCGGAACTGGTTACAAGAGACTCCTCTGTTGGTTGCTATGAGATCCGGTCACTCTCCGGTTGCCAACTTCCTCATTGACAAGGGCGCTGATTGTTCCAAACGAGACTTGTTTCAAGAAAATGCTCTCCATTGGATTTGTCGCATTGACAGCCAGGATATTCCGGATCTAATCAGGAGATTGAGCAACGCTGGCTGCGACATGAATGCTGTCTCCTGTAAAGATATTGCTAACGTTACGGACGACGACGAATCTGATACTTGGGATCTCGAGATACTAGATTCGGATTCCGAGAGTGGTGGTTCGGACAGCAGTAACAGCGACGATATAAACGAATTCGCCATGTACCAGTACGAACAACTCATCCGCACATTCACAGCTCCAGGCACGCCTTTACATCGGGCAGTCGTTGAGAACAAGTGTGAAGCTGTGATAAGTCTCTGCCAGTCTGGATGTGACACCACAGTGAAGTGTTCAATTACAAACATACCAATGAGCCCTTTCGAGGTAGCCATTTGCCGTCACCAAATCGAGATTGCAGCCGCAATAATACCGTTTTATCCAAGGACAGAATCCCAAGATTGGCTCCAGGCATTGATGCTAGTCATCTCGCCCTTTTGGACAAGTGCAAGAATAGCACTTCACGGAAAACACTACAACTCAGCGCGACAACGTGCCTTGGAATTCTCTCTCTCTCGCTTACAACCTGCTGATATAAGGGCAAGCTTATCTTTAGGTATATTGGTGAGTGTGGCAGACTCTACAGTTCTTCAAGCATTCTTGGGAAATATATACACATCACTCGAAGAGCCGATGGAAATTTTGGACTTGCAATTGAGACCGCTAGCAATTGCGCTTTGTGACGGAAAACTCGATTCGCTTGTGGTTCTGCTCGAAGCGGGTGCTGAGTGCAATTTTTACACCAGCGACATTGTAGGGTCGACGAATTGTCTGCATCGTCTCAGTCACCTTGGAATAGATGATGTTCGTTTTGGCGAAGTGCTGCTCAAATATTGTGATCAATCTTTTCTCCTGCCAATGTCTGGAGGTATTATGACTGGTGGCACGACGCCGTTTGTTTTTGCAGTCACCCAAGGTTGTTTTGAGATGGCCAAACTCTTCCTCACGTACGGAGCAGATATCGACGCTTTAGCTGTCACTCAGATCTCGGAAATCTTCTTCACTGGTATGACAGCACTTGGAAGGCTAGCTATGTCAGCTTGTGATACATCAGTGCCACAGCTCAAGTTTTTGTTGGACTCTGATCGACTTCAAAGATCAAGCTTTGTAGTAGCTCCTGCTACGGGCTTTACAGTTCTTCATGCTGCAGTCTTGTGTCCAAAAGGAAGACAATCAAATCCGGATACTATTGTTAATCTAACATACCTCTTGTCAGTCTTCCATCGGCAAGATGAGTTAGATCAGATAGATCGATTTGGGTGCACTGCTCTCCACTTAGCTGTTATATGTGGTAACTATGAAGCAGTTGCTACCTTGCTGGACGCTGGTGCTAGCCATGACTCAAAGCTATACAAATGTCTTGAGATTCGCCCAGTTGATGTAGCAAGGGCCAGGGTTGGCTATCTCACTGAGTGGATTTTAGAGGAAGATGCCAACAACGAAGAGTGTGCTGCAACAGCCGCAATGCACAACAGCATGGCAATTGTCGATCAGCTTAATCGCGCTTGTACAAACTCTGTAGCCGAAGCCAGCTCTTCGGAACCAGATTTGGATCATCCAGTGGATCCTCTGATTGAAAATGCATACAGCATGGCTCGAGAATATTCTCTACTAATCCAACAGTATCGACACATGTGGGCAGGCACGCAGTCTTCAGAAACCGAGTGGTTAGAACGTGTCATCAAGATAATTAAAGACAGTCTGAATGTCTCTGGCCTAGAGAGAGTCCACGAAATGCTTTCCTCAGAGCACTCTGGCAAGGGAAAATCAAGGGTCGAAGAGGTTGATGAATGTGCCTTTAAGCTCCCGTTTTGGTGGATGATAATGGGATGGCCATCGACCGAGCAGCAAACACAACTAGCGAGGTATCTGCGACAAAGATATCCCCGCTGGACAAGACTAAGAAGTGACGGTGTGCTCAAAATCATAATCGATATCAAGCAAGACGAAACAGGACATGACATTTTATATTTACATGGTTCCATCAAATCGCCATCTCCAGATGAGCCGAGCGTCATCGAAACTAGATGTCTAGCATTATTGAAAGTATACTCTCAAGCCGCCGCAGCAATTGAAAAGGAACCGATAAGCGACTCAGAGTCAGAGACAGACCCAGGGCCTATGCTTTCTCCCGAACTTCTTCGGGAATTAGAAGGTGATCCAAATGTCATCTTTATTTCTGACCCAGGCGATAGCTCGGACGACGATGACAATGACAATAGAATAGGATTTGCTACGCGGGGCTACAGCACCCCCAGGCAGGCTTGGCACTCCGTACTGAAAAATAACCGTCGAACACAGAGGCAGCTTGATAAAGTGCTTGGTCCCGCTAGACGCGATTCATTAGACTGAACAGTTACAGCTACGTACGCAAAGCTCAGACGTTGCATTTGCTCAACTCGTTAATCACTCTCCAGTAAAAAGCCTCCTGCGTTTTAGCTTCTTCATCGAATGCTGGATCCTCCTTGAATTGATCGACTAGACACCAAATTACAGCACTCCCATAGATCCCTCCCATTGCCCTATTCAACCTCGGAAGGTATCGAGCAATCAGCGTGTCGTGGAACGCCTCGATGAAGACTTTTGTCGAGAACACTGGTCCCTCAATACCTAACCTCCTGAGTGTGTTTCTCGACGGCAAAAGATCTTCGAGTCTAGTCCATAACCCAACTTCAAGAAGTACCAGCCCAAGCGAGTAGATATCAAACTTGGCACTGAAACCAACAGGCGAACGCCCAATTACGCTATGATGAGCGTACAAAGACTGTCCCAAAGCGGAAAGCGCATCGTTGGATATAGCTACAGAGGGGATTGCGTCTACAGAAATTGATCCAAATTCATCATCAACCGGTCTCGAGAAGCCGAATCCGGTGATCACAGGTTTTTGAAGACCTGGAGATTCTTCGGATCTGATAATTTGGTTGAGAGGATGTGAAAACAACACGTCGTGGCTCGAAAAGCGCTTGTGAACTACTGCGGAAGCGTGGCATGTTAGGAAGCCGCTGGCGAGGTTCATGGCGAGTGAAAAGCGGTGTTGTAGAGGTGGCTCATATATCGATGTAGATTCCGTACCTGTGTCTGGTAATAATTCATGTAGAGAGCAGTAAGGTTGGACTGTAGACGGGTCTATTTCAGTCGTGCTTGGTGGAAGTTTGAACACTAACCCTTGAGTCCCGTCAGACGCTGATATTATTCCAATGCATGGATGCGTGAAAAATTCCTTGGGCTTCTTAGTTGTTTCGTGAAGAAGTAGTGCGATATTTTGAATTCTAGACTTGGATATGCTCTTGTATTCCGCTTTGATGTCTTTCGGGACTATCTTCCACTCGACGAGAACGGGAACGGGGTTTGACCCGGGCAGAGCAGGAGCTCGGTATGTACCAAATTGTCTCCAATGGCAAGACAGCGTTTGTGAATCCTGTCCTTCACCCGGCTTGGAAGAGTCATCCAAGCTGAAATTGGCTGGTAGCAGGTACAGATCCCTCCTCCTAACAGCATCTGGCAGTTTCAGCACATTGGCCTCCAGAAACTCATTATAGCGCTTAAGCGATGCCGTCTGCGAGAGTTCCGCTGGCCCATCTTCCTCCAGAGCGCCCATGATCTGAGGAACAGAGATTTGATCACCGCCACGCTGTTGAATCAGCGTCGCCATTAGGGCCAAATCTGCGGACTCCTGCTGCCGACGTGGTTGGAAGCATGCTAAGCTATCATTCCACTCCCTGAGATCCTTTACAAGTGCTTCGAACTTCGTAGCGCCACTAATTGCCCACATGGTTCGACGGAGTAGTGGGATGGTGATGGATGTAGGTCTTGTGTCGGATAGTTGAGCGGTGATTCTGCTTCTGTCTGGGACTACGGATAGACTCAAATCGTCTCTAGAGATACTGTTCAGAAGCGTCGAAGAGCGTGAGAGAAGAGGTGGAGTTGCTTGGGACGTTGTAGAACCTGATAGCGGACTATCAATCCCATATCGATCACGGAGCTTTGCAGTATCTTGAAGTGTGTTGTAGATCTCCAACAACGTGATGATCGCGACTTGATGTAGCGCCGGCGAGAACGCTTTCAGGTTTGGATCCATGAGTGCGCCATCAGGACAACCCCAGTTCTGCGCCCAATGTTGTAGCCGCACTTCTTCGATCAGATATTTGACGCGAAGTTTTGCGGCTTGCTTGGAAAAGTTTTGTGCTCGCGATATAACTGTGATGCATTGCTTAATGACGCCGTATAGGCCGCAAACGCCGAGGGCTAGACTAGCTGCATCCATGTTGCACTCCTCTTTGGTTTGATACTAAGAGTACTGATCTTCACTTTTGTTGAGGTTGGGTTCAGCTTTTCTTTTGGTAATCCATCTACAGAGCCTCGCCGTGGATTCAGCCCTAGAGTTTGCCTACACCAAAGATTACTCAGCAGTCTGAGTCAAATCTGTGCCCAATTAAGCCACAGTCTATTCAAATGATGAGAGCATTTGGTTCTTTGGAATGGACGTGTAGTGTAGTTCTGTTGAAGTAAAAACAGCTCGCCTACAAGGCTACAACATCAATAGAAGCGACATCAATAGTCAAATACGCCAAGTGCACCAGAGTGCAGTAAACTTGTAAGCAGCAGTTGAATATAGATATTTATTCAATGTACTGGACATGTACTCGTATATTTTGTCCATAGTCTTCAGTAAATAAAACCTTTTTAGACTGTATTTGAGCTCACGTACCTGCACTTTGTTACATAAATCGACAAACTCCCCGTTTTAAAGGTCCACAGATTACTGCAATTTGCATTGGCTACTGCGGGCATTGAAACTGAACCAGCCTAGGGGACTTTTGATGTGGTAATGATGTTTGATGTCGTACATAGGAATAACACCCTTTAACTCACCAAAGCTTAATTTTTATTTAATAAGTGGAGTAGTGAAAGCACTACATTTCGCACGGCGCCATAGAGATAGGGCAGTTCAATGTCATCACTAATTATATTATAAGTACGCGAACTCTTCGGGCCAAAAGACACGAGCCTACTTTATTAAAAAGCACACTCAATTTCGAATCGTGTTCGGATTAGGATCTCTGAACTACATCACCTTGATGTCAGGGTGTTTTTTCTTGCGGCATATGTGAGCTCTACGTAGTAGCTTCTCGAAGTATTATTCATCGAAGCCCGGAAGTGCTTGATATGGCTCAATAAATTTTGTTGTGAGATTTGTCAGAGAAAGTATATTCCCTACTCTGCTCCCAGATGTAGTAGTCCTGATCGTGATCATTATAAGCAAATTTATATGGCTGTGGCGTGTCGGAGTTAGAGTAGTAAGCTGCGTACTCATCTTACTGCATTCCCTCTCCGCATGTGTCGCGGGTTTTATTTTGGACAGGACGTAAGGCATGGAAGATGATTAGGATTATATGCAAGAAACATGACGTCGGGAATGCGAGTATTACCTATGTGGGTGAGTTTTATTCGATAGTATTTGTGAGCGTTGATGTTGTTATGGGAAGGACGCTAACGGTAATGCTCGAGAGCCTGAGAAATCTGCTAAACATTGACTTGCCGTGCTTGCCTGCTACCAAAGCACAGTGGAGACAAGCTATGCGAAGCTAGACAATCGGACAAGATATAGGCAATTTCCAAGGTCTACAGTGGAAATCTGATTGGTTATCTCTATATCCAATAGTCCGGTCGCCAACTAAGCAAAGAGTTGAGATTGCCGAATAAATTCGTATAGTTCAAAGTCGTCCAACTCTTCAACATTTTGCTAGTAAGTAATTTTAGCTTCGCGCATGGAGCGATTCTATCCCAGCTTTAGAGACGGCGTTAGATAGTGTACCCGCCCGTTCTCGGGACCGCCGCTGCTAAACTCTAGTCGGCCCAGCCCAAAAAAGGGGTCGCTAGGACCCGATGTTAGGTATGTTCGCAAAGAAGTTGAATGAGCAACAAACATAAGACCCAAAGAATGAGAAGGAAAACATAAGAACAAATACGGGAGGAGCTGCAACAGAGCTGACGGACGACATTCTGTGTTGCAACACGCACAAGCGCTTGAGTGGGAACAGTTTCTTTGGTAACTAGCAGAATTTTAGAGTAGGAAACAAGTTAAAATTTGAGACTGAGACCCGAAATTTAAGTCACATCCACCTGGATTATGTATGTATGGGCAGATATTGGATGTTGTGTAGCGCGATATCGATAAGTTGAATCTCGCTTGGTTTGGCAGACTTCAGCCTCATAGACAGGAAACGCCACAAAAATCAGTTCGGAAATTTGACGAGGAAGATCCCTTGGGCGATGTGCAACGAAAGTCCCAAACGAGAAATCCGCTTGATGTCCTCTTTGGGTTAACCCCAAAGAGTCGTGTTCAAGAATTGCTTGTGATCTTGGGAGGATAGAAAAGTGACGATGCTGATGATGTCCTTGCATGCCAAGTTGATATCTGATTTTGATGAAACATGTTACAAAAGCCAACCATAACCTCAATGAATTTTCGGAGACTTCGAAATTGTTGGCTTGAGCCTGGGATGGAAATTGAACCCCCACGTGTTAGCATGTCGTACCTACATAGGTGGTTCGGGTCCGGGCAGTCACCTAGCTAAGATTGTCAAGGGACTCAGCAGCAAAACGACATGAGGGCGTAACATTTGAGGCATCCTGATGCTGAGCTACACCTTCGTATGTTTGCCCACATCCGGGTTACTGGTACATATACGTTGCTTAGACGTCGGAACAAAACCTAACGGATGCTTTGATCTTCTGAGAACTAAGAATAGCAATGACGAGTTGGGTTGTTGCTTGTCGCGCCGTGCATGTTCACGAGAAGCGGGTGCAGAATATTGATACTGTAGCCGTGGAATAGTTTGGTGGGCGGGCCGTCGTGCGTATGTTGCGTTGGATTGGAGAGGACCCGCCAAAGCCGACCACAACTCTTGAATATCTTGTCGAAGTCGTTTGAGCTGCAATCAATAGAAAATAGATGGAAAAGTAAACGATGGATGGATGCATGGCCGAAACGATCTGATCGCGCAGACCGATTTCACGAGAATCATTACCAAGAAGAAGGTGCAGAAGGCAGATTTCACTTCCAACCTTTCACTAATCCTCGTAATGCTTCAGTTGGCTTGAGTCAATTGCCATCCCATCTTCGTTCTCAACAGCTGGCGGATAAATTGTGTTTGGATCGGCGTAGGCGACCGATTTGCCACAACTCGAAAATCTCAACTATGCGATTCTTGTTCTCTAGAGCGCTTCGCATTGGTTCAAATGATAATTTCCTGTTGGTATCGGGCGAACAAGGAGGGACAGCGCTGCTGGTGTGGTTGGAAAGATGGTGGGTTCGCTGGTGGTTGACATGGGAATTCAAGGTCGTGGCGGGCCACCAAAATGCCTGCTCATGGCCGAATCAACTGCAGAGCTAGCCCGCTTTGGGACAGCACAGGGCACCAGCAGGACCCCAGGCCTGTCGAGGCTTCGAGACAAGGACAAAATAATTTCAACCGGAGCAACGAACTATCAGAACCAGAATACTACCCCAGCCGATTCCGACGCCAGCCTTTCTGTTGATAAATAAAACCCTCGCTCCCAGTCTTTGCAGCCTCATCCCTTCTTCTCCTTCTCCTGAAGACGTTTTGCGTATACCCTCCGTGCTTGTAAGTCCATCAAAGTCCCTTCCCTGTCGGTGGTAGTGCCCAGTCTGCCAGTCTGCCAGTCTGCCCCTCGAAATTACGTCAAGCTGTAAAGAATGCAGAGCTTCCGACTTGAGTGATCGACCAAAGAAATCCGCTAACGCAAAGTCCTCCCAGGAAGTTATTTCCCCCACTTCAGCGAGACCTCCCATTCTCTCCTACAAACTCGAAAGAATACACAAAAGACTCGCTCGCAATCACACAAGATGGCATCCACTCTCAAGAGCGCACTTCCTTCCCACCTTAAGCCATCTGGCTTGGGCGGCGACAACGCTGCCGAATTTGCTCGAAAACACCATGGCAAGACCCAATCTCACATGGTAAGTTTTACAGATTTCCCTATCGTTTGGAAACCGCAGGAGGACACGAGCGCTGCGATGGCATAATGTTATACACAATGGAGGATATCCTATTTGGGATCAACTACTAGCAGCCGAAGAATCATGGCAGACGGGCTTGATTCACCACTCCAATACCGTTCCGGGTTGCTCAATTGACGAGAATGGGCTATGGGCTGGGAACCGAATGACCTATACTGGCTCTCAGAACATTCAACAAGTTTGTTGATCTGATTGTCGTATTGCGTTTGACTTCTCCTATTGCATACATCAGGCCGAGAAAGGAAGTGACGATTTACGCTTCGGATACCACATTCGCTGAGCATTCTCACTTTCGTCTTCTTCAACCTGACGTCAACCTTGCACATTCTTTGCAACAGAACTGCACGCAACAAGCATACGAAAAAACACTGGTTTCGGTATCTTAAGATGGGTTCTATAGATTCCCAGCAACGGCTAGAAAGCCTTCAACCCCGACCAACGATTTACCAAGCGGCCTCTGATACCTCGATCTTTGCTTTACCTAAAACCCCAAGCCTTCAAGACTTCGCCAAGCTAACATGTCACGATCAGGCTTTCGAGAACACTTCCACATCGGTCGCTGCCAGCCAAATGCGAAATGCGCTTAACAACTTAGCTGATACTGTCACCGACCCTACTGAGAAGAAGGTATTGTTTTGGCCTCCCTGACTGATGGCGATGATACATTGCTAATAATGTCTAGCTTTTTGAGACTGAGATGGACAACTTCTTTGCTCTTTTCCGCAGATATTTGAACGATAAAGCTAAGGGAAACCAACTGTTAGTTACTACCCACTTCCAAATGGATTGAAACTAAGACTAAGTGAACAGTAGTGATTGGGACCGCATTGCCCCACCAGCACAAAACCAGGTCGTCGATTACAACGAGCTTGCTAATTCCGAGTCGGTTGGCTTCTTAAGCAAACTTGCTGTCCTCAAGCTCAATGGAGGTCTCGGTACCTCTATGGGATGTGTTGGTCCAAAATCGGTTATCGAAGTCCGTGACGGCATGTCTTTCTTGGATCTTTCTGTCCGTCAAATCGAATATCTCAACCGAACATACAGCGTGAACGTTCCTTTCGTTCTCATGAACTCGTTCAACACCGACGACGACACCCAGAACATTATTAAGAAATACGAGGGACACAACATCGATATCTTGACATTCAACCAATCCCGATACCCAAGAATCTTGAAGGACTCCCTTCTCCCAGCACCAAAATCTTTCAACTCCCCAATCTCTGACTGGTACCCACCAGGACACGGAGATGTATTCGAGTCGCTTTATAACTCAGGTATCCTTGACAAACTCATCGAGAGAGGTGTTGAGATTCTTTTCTTGTCTAACGTTGACAACTTGGGTGCTGTTGTTGATCTCAGAATTCTCCAGCACATGGTCGAGACCAAGGCTGAGTACATTATGGAATTGACCGACAAGACCAAGGCTGATGTTAAGGGTGGTACCATCATTGATTATGAGGGATCCGTCCGCCTTTTGGAAATCGCTCAAGTTCCTAAAGAGCACACTAACGAGTTCAAGTCTATCAAGAAGTTCAAGTACTTCAACACCAACAATATCTGGTTGAACTTGAAGGCTGTCAAGCGTATTGTCGAGAACAATGAGCTCGAGATGGAGATTATTCCAAATAACAAGTCCATTCCAGCTGATAAGAAGGGCGAGTCTGATGTTTCAATTGTCCAACTTGAGACAGCTGTCGGAGCCGCTATCCGTCATTTCCACAACGCCCATGGTGTGAACGTACCACGAAGACGTTTCTTGCCAGTCAAGACCTGCTCCGACTTGATGCTCGTCAAGTCTGATCTGTACTCGCTCAAGCATGGTCAGCTCCAGATCGACCCCAACAGATTTGGCCCAGCTCCACTCATCAAGCTTGGTAACGACTTCAAGAAGGTATCCGATTTCCAAAAGAGGATCGGTTCCATCCCCAAGATTATCGAGCTTGACCATTTGACAATCACTGGTGCTGTCAACCTTGGTCGTGGCGTTACTCTTAAGGGTACAGTCATTATTGTAGCGACAGAAGGCAGCACTATTGATATTCCTCCGGGATCCATCCTGGAGAACGTTGTCGTTCAAGGTTCATTGAGACTTTTGGAGCATTAGACGGTTATTCTCCGGCGTGAGAAGGTGTTTTTGAGCTTCATAAACCTTAGAAAGGATTCGGAAGGCTACCCGCATGTTGATTGAGCAAAAGTTTTACGACTGCATTCATGTAATAAGCTATTTTAATGACACTATGATTTTCCAATAAGAAGTATCTTAAATTAGAAGTGACTGTTCTGTTGTACTTGTGATTAAAATGCGGCTCGCGGAGGACAAATAATTGTTAGTTACCTTCCCACTATTCTTCGACTGAATATGTCGACTTCGAATAGAGCGTAAGAAGTCTTATTTACTTAAATTAATTGACTAAATATCTGACATTGTACTAAATTAATTCACTAAATATACGGTATTTCGTCAACTTAATCGAAGGTATACCGTGTTTCGACTGCCAGTTATTTTGTCCACCGTGAGTGCGGTTATTGATACAACCTAAGGCACCACCTAGGGTCAATATCGCATGAGCCGATAAGATAAGGTAAATTGTACACTAAGCTTCTTGTGCACCCATAGGTACCTACTATTTCCTACATGAACCTATTTGCTTCACTGGTACATGCCAATAACATATTAAGCAGTTGGAAGTCTGAATGGCACATATAATTCACGGTCGCAAGATGCGCAAAATCTAGATTGGTCGACGTGCGGAACAAGCTCTTGCAGCCAACTTATTCACTACGCTTTACTCAACTTGTATTATGGTCAACACCGGCTTGCAAAGTATATTTAAGCATTATTGCGATCGCCTGGTTCGCCACACGATTACCCTTCTGAGTAGAGACATTTGCTGACCAAGGGTTGTTGATAGTAATTCGCCACAAGGTCGAGTATCGAATGTTCGAGCCGCGATTATTCGAGTGTTTATCCCCCGCACGAACGGATTTTAGATACACCACAACGAGCTGAAGGCTACACATTATAATACTTGCGTTTCAGGCTGGGATCCATAGCATAGAACCGGCAAGAGAGGAAGGGCAGTCGAGGATTATATCGGCCTTGTGCGGTTGGTCGCGTGCTCTGGGCTGGAAGTGCTGAGGCTAGGGAAAGCCTTGAATATATCGACTGTCTCGTTTGTGGAAGCATAGCTCGGCGCAAAGGCTTTCCGTGAAGTGACCAAACCTGGGAATCTTTTCGCGGACTGTGCTGAAACTTCAGATTGAGCTTGCCAGCCTGGCATAGCTGCAGTAACTTCCACATCATTGAAGCCTTAGCTTTAGGATCGCCGCAATCTTGACGAGCAGCCTGGACTAAGGAAGGCTCTGGTCTTGTTCACGAAATTACAGTTGCTGGATAAGGTTGGAACATTGAGAAAAAGAGTCACAACATATCCGAGATGGATACCACAAATCGTAGTCCGACTCCTGCTGCGGGTTCAGCAGATCAACTAAGACTCGATCGACCTCTACCACCCTTTCCTCCAAACGCCCAACAAGACGGCCTTACGGTGGACCCAAGAGAGATCATTTATAGCGGCTTTGGGGGAACCTCTGGTGGCGCGTCGAATGACCAGAGTCAAGCTGGGTATTTAGGGAGCGCCGGCGAACTTTATCAAGAAATGCCACTATCAACTTCCAGTTCGTCTACAACGACTAGTGAATCAAGAAGCCGGGGGAGCTCTGCCTCCCAAGCCCGTACTGGTGACGAGTTAGTGAACACACAGGATACAGGACTTATTGCAAGCAGCAATCGCCCTGAGCTACGCCGAGCTTCCTCTTCGGCTTCGTCCCGACTGTCGATGCATTCTGCACTTTCGAACCACAGCAATGATGCACCAACCGAGCCGAGAGAACCCCCAGCGAGTCAATCTAGATATCGACGTTCTCCGTCAGGACGATCAGAAGTTGTTGTGCCTAGGTGGCAGCCGGATGTAGAAGCCACTTATTGCCCTATTTGCAACTCACAATTCAGTGAGTGTGACTTTCTTCGCTACCTAATGTGTATTTGTGTATTTAGCTGACTGCCACTAGGTTTTTTTACCCGCAAACATCATTGTAGGTAAGTTAATAGCAGAAAAAAATCCAGATGTGGCAGCGTCAATTTCGAAGTGGGGTCTTTGCTAATAATTGACTAGGAAGTGCGGGCGTGTTGTATGCGCGAATTGTTCACCACACCGGATTACGATACCCTACCAGTACATCGTTCAACCTCCTGTTGAAAGCACATCCACGTCGACAGACAGTGCTAATACACGTCCTGCTCGGGACCCTGCTCGCGCAGGAAGTTCTGCTGAAGTTACGGGCCTCGGGGGTGGTGAGCGTGTTCGATTATGCAACCCATGTGTCCCAGACCCTAACATTGCCCCTCCACAAACCAATTCAAGCCATATACCACAATCTCTCTCGCAGCCTAGTAGGCACGGCCGATCGGCTAGTGGCGCAATTCCCTCATATGGACCATATCAAAGAACTCAAAATCAACCTAATCGACAGGTCACGCCTATTTCGGTACGGGACGCTCTACGAAGCACACCTAGGAGACCACGAGAACCCAGCATTTTAGGACCACCCAATCAATCATCAAGTTATTACAGCAATTCACAGAATTTCCCACCCAGGGGTTCCTCATATACGCATAGGGAAGATCCTAGACTCGGACTGAACCCAATGGAAGCTCGGTCCAGGAGCAGTACTGTGCGTTAAACCCCTCCCTCAAAATATAACAATACGTGCAAAGACTGATGATACTTAGGTTGGAGGTGCCTCCCGTGGGGGTTTAGTCACGGTATGAGCCTTTCATTTTCCTGTTCTACTATTTTCGAAAAATGCTTCAAAATCCTTTTTGCTTATACAATTTGTTTCAGGCCAACTCCCATGGTCCTCCAAACGTTGCTGCATCGTCACCGCGCTTTGTAGGCCTAATACCAAGAAGCGAGTCAGATCAGTCACGTCCGCTACCACCTCGGCCACAGCAACGGCGTCAAATACCAGAAGAGGATGAATGCTGGGTGTGCCACCGAGAACTACCTTCACGCACACTACCCAATTTCGAGGCTCTTCGCTCCAAACATGTAGAATCTTGTATTGCATCAGCAATGCAAGGACCTAGTACGTCTCCAGCACCACAAACAGCCGCACGACCTATACCATCTCAATCTTCTACTTCTGTCGCCACCACGCCAACACCTACAGTCCAGCAATCCGTCCCCTCGTCATCGACACCGGTCCGTAGGACAGGCGTATTTCCCTACATCGCAACCGAAAAAGATTGTGTCGACGATGCGGAATGTACTATCTGTCTCGAGGAATTCGAAGTCGGTGTCGAAATGGGACGGCTGGAATGTTTTTGTCGGTTTCATCTGAGGTGTATTCGGGATTGGTTTGGTTCTAAGCCGGGACAGTGTCCTGTGCACCAGCATGGTGCCGGTTATTGATATGAATCGAGGATAAGCATTGGCATAGATGTGGTATATGCATGATTTTCAACAAGCGGGGTAGATTTTGGTTTTTCGAGCGAGCATGTGAGCGGTTGTTCTTCACTCATTCTGTTTGGGGCATTGGAAGCATTTGACTGGTATCTGGTGCTTGCATGGTAACGTGGGGATAGATATAATATGTCATCGGATTTGGGGGTTTGTCTTTTAGATGGTCGTTGTAGATACCACATAGATGTTTTATGTGAGCATTTCACCCAGATCACGAGGTGTATACAGTTATGAGTTATCTTGTTGGGAGTGAACAGAACTTTTTCTCGCTAGAGGTTTTGGCTTCTTGGAAACTTTGGCTCTGATCTCATTTCCCTATGAGTCTCCACCCCTCCCGTCACCTAACGGTTTTCTGGCCTTACGTGTCGATACATATTGAGCACTGCTGTCCCCTTTACATTTTATCTGCTTTCTTTTCACACATTGATTTCCTCGCTATATATATGACTTGTTATGTCATCCTTCGTTGAATCTCACTCAGGCGTAATGCTATGAAACAAGCTCCCCTTCAGCCATTCCTACAATACATTTCCGCGTTGCACCATCTCAGCACCAACTATACCAGCTGATTCGGAGAAGGAAGAACTCAGAATTCAAGAATGTATTGCGGAGCAGTTGGACTTAGCGTGGACCGAGTACGGCCCGGTGCTGTCGACGTTTTATTGCATGCTTTTGGTCGCGTGTCTAGTATTCTACAGTTACCTACCTTTTTGGGTGAAGCAATTCAATTTTCGAGACACAGCCGACGTAGTGGTAGTTTTCTCAGTCTATGCCGCAAGTAACATGCTTTCTATCGTGGTTTATCGGTTGGCTTACAGAAAAGCATGTCCGCCTGGAGGAGTAACGGACAGACAATCCGACGTGGTAAATGCCTTCCGTCAGAATTTGAGAGACAAAATGCCACAAGAACACTACCCGGACTACACGTACTACTTCCTGCGGTATTGTGCAGACCCAGAACTCCATATCAACGGGCTGGCCGACAACTTGTCTCGTCGCTATTCGTTGTATACGACGGGACTATACCATGTGTTGAAGATCATCTGTATACACCTTATGTGGCAGTGTTACATCTTGATAGAACAAGAATCTGATTCTCCGAGAGATGCGCTAGACCTACTGCCCCTGTAGCTTTTGCCTCTGCTGGGATATTGTTGGAGTTGCGCGCAGTGTGGGATAGGGGCTGGTTCTGGACTCATGGGAAATTCTTGAGAGCCATCCGCAGAGAGTGCTTGGAATTGTGCGTAGCCAGTGATGTTGAGAAGAGTTCTGGGGTTCGACTGAAGCCTGAGGAGCATTTGGCGGACTTGTTTGAATTCGTGATGGTGGATAGGCAGGAATCAGAGGAAAAACAACAAGAGGCGAAAATATGGCTCAAGTTGCTTGTCAAGGGAATCGAGTTTTCGACTACGCAAGATACACTCGTTCCACAGAAGGAGAGATAAATTTGGCGTCGCGGCGGCCGCCACCAGGAGATCTTTATCGAACGTATTGGGATTGGGCGAGGGTCTAAAAGGCTTTAGCTCTAGTATAAGCTATCTCGAAATAGAGGTGTTAAGCTTAAGTCTCAACACGATAAAGGAGTTTTCTTTAAATTCTATTCTAAGTCGACTTATTTAGACTAAAGATTAGTGGGCAGGTAACTGACACTTATTTTGTCCTCCGTGAGTGAGGATAGAGAGTAGAAATGTATTGTTAGGCAGAGTGCAACTAAGTTTTATTAAAAACTTAGGGAGGACCTGACGAAGAAGAAGTTTAAAATATGTGCAATAATCTTTAGGAAACTACTCCGAGAAGTTCACCAGTTATAGACTTTCTGTCGTAAAGAGCTCTTCACCCAATTCTTTTCTAGCAACAATGTCACTTTTTCTAAAACCACTATTGAAACTCATGACTAGAAATAAAATATGGTTCCTTGCGAAGTATAGAACTTGAGGGTTGCACCTACTTTTACTCAATCCTCATAGTGAGGAAGTATATCTCGCAAGGATTTCGAGATTGGTCACATAGATCTTGTATATAAGGTTTTTGGTCATGTTTGTAATCTCCGGTATTGAAATTGTTATTATATTTGACCAGGTTTCAGATTGAGCTAATAAAGCAAACTTTCGTGTAAAGTGTCATGTATGTCGAAGGTTGACACAGAGACAAAATGAGAGCAATCACATGACACTACTACCTAAGCGAAAGGCTTTTCTATTTAGACACAGGTACTCACATTCACGATACCACATACACAAGTCACTCGATCATTCCCTGCAAATCTTTTTTCAGTCTCGATCTCTCATATCTTTCTTCGCTTCCGACTAGAATATGTCTTCAGAACCAAAAACGGCCTCGCGGCCCTCGCCAGCCCTCACTCACGAAATCCAAAGCCGAATAGCCGCCTCCCCAGCATCCATTCACGTTCGTAACCTACAAACTACCCTTCCCATAGGAACAGACGCTTGGGGGCGTCCGAATAAAAACCAGCCAGTTCTCATATCCTGCTCTGTACATTTACGAGATCCGTTCAATACAGCTTCAGAACAGGATGCTGTGACAGAAAGCACAGTACATTACGGTACATTGAGTAAAACTCTTCTCGAAGCATGCGAGCTTTTCAAACCAGATCTCGCAGGAGAAAAACGATTGAGGGCGATTGTGAGTGTGCTGCAGAATTACCTTTTTGGCAACGAGGATCCTTTCATTCGAGGCATATCGGGAATGACAGAGTCACTTCTTACACCAGAAATTATGAATGTCCTAACGACCAAGGTACATCTGCCTAAAGCTTCGCTGCTCGGTTCGGGTGTAAGTCTAACACTATCAACAACATATACATCGACTTGCCTTTTAGAGAACATATCTTCAACACTCCGAATTCATGATTTGAGAATCCCAACGTTGATAGGCGTGAATTCAAACGAACGACTTGCAAAACAAATGGTCGTTGCAAATGTAGAGCTGGATAGATGGTTCTCTGTAAACGATGCTTATGTCGAATTAGAAAAAATCGTTACAGCTGTAAGTCTTCTGCCATTATTATTTTAAGTCCACTGTTGATCATTCGGCGCCAGATACTTGAAGCATCATCCTTCCAAACGCTAGAATCACTAGCTTCACATCTATGCCACTTAATCATCGAGAAATTTGTGGTTGCCAATCCAGAATACCCTTCGTTAACCAAAATCTGGGGGTATCCCGTCGTCAAAGTAGGGCTTGAAAAGCCTACTGCGGTTACAATGGCTGATGCACCTTGTGTTGAGTTGGTTGTTGACACAGACCCGACAAAGAATTCGATAACGAAGGGGTTGTGGGACGCATCTAGGAAGTGAGGATGGGTTTCTTATCGGAAGCTGCTTCGATATTGATAAGTGCAAGGCTAAAGTTCGTTGAATTTGGTAAAAAGATTGGAAACGAACTGGAACTCGGCTCTTTAGGGTGCAATCGAAGCAGCTGGTTATTTCTATGGCTACATATGCACAAAAGAATTATTTTCTACGGATTCATCCTTCCACGTAGAAAAAGACACAAGACAGTTGCTTCGGAAGCGGCATATTCATTTCCTTCTTGGCTACTTCACCTCGAACATCAATTACTCAAACGATAGCCCCCAACAAAAACGCTATTTTCAAGAATTCAAAGATCTTAGAAATACTATCTAACATTACTTGATCTGCGAGAAATGCAGATCTAGCACTTTAAATAATAAAATTAATAATATGGGAAGACTTAGTTACTTAGATTTATTGAAGGGGATATATTATGCTATTCTAAGTTAATCGACTAAATATACGATATTTAGTCAACTCAATCGCATAAATATCGTGTTTCGACTACCACTCATCTGTCTACCGCGAGCCTCACAGCACAGTCCATCTACTCTAGACGTGGCCTTCAACAAGACTTAAGAACACTCCTACTAAAGAGGACCATACAAATTGCAATAAACTAGAAACGAATGATACTTGATTCTCTTTCGTGTACTACGAGTTTACTTTAGGTGCGTCGTACAACAAGCTACCAAATTTAAACCTAGATGGTTGCCTAGAAACATATCTTGAATCATTTCCCAATTTCAGAAGGACCGATGACACAGGTGATAGATATGCTGTAAACTCTATGGCATTAAACGGGGGCACTCATTGGCTGTGGCAAGCATAAATTCGACTCCACCTGCTGTAAACATTCGTTGACTGATTTGGTCTATTAACACTTCTAAAATACGAACCATCACTACCTCTAAATACTTCACACCTTCCACTCACTTCCCCATCAAAATCCATCAATTCCCACCCAACATCCTCCAATATACACCCAGCGAAAGACATAACCACAAAGGCAACCTCTATAAACACCCCTAAACGAATGCATACCCATGCCCTCAAACTCCAAGCAAACAAAAATTCTTTTTGTCTCTTAACACAGAGAAAACGAGAGTAAAACTTAGGCAGCTCATTCCGAGTCATCCATCACGAAAGAGAGAAAGGAATGCAAGGAAAGACAAAAGATTAGGACAGGGTGTAAAAACCCATCAAAAGGTATCATTCTCTCAACCGATCCCATCCTCAAATATGCCAAACAAAACCGCTTAAAAGAAAAAGAAAACGCCCCAAAAATGCCTCGTAACGAGAGTTCACTAATGCCCTTTCACACCATATACCCACCCACCATCCAATTCCCAAACACAATTCCCGAATCAAAACACCAAACACACTCTGGCTCCTCAAGATTCCATCTTGAAAAACTCCCCATTCGAGAACATCTGAGCATGTTCCCTGATCTCTAACGGTTCGAACCTCCCATCCGGGCGCCGGATTCTAGGTAATCTATCATTTGCCCCATCATCGTTCATCTCGAATGACATACTCCTCTGCCCATATCTCGGCATGATAGGATGCTGGAACGAGTTCTCCTCGCCATCGCCCTCTTGAATTGTGGAGATACCTAGGTTACCGAATTTGGCATTCATATGCGTGTCTACAGGGTTCGGCATATCGGCGCGAGGAGTCGTGTTACTAAGGACAGTTTCGAGTATGCCATTATCGCTCATGGCGGTCGTAGGACGGAGAAATTCTTCACCAACAGTATATCCGTCACCTGGGCCAGGCTCAATACCATTAGCGATGTTTCGGTTACGTTCGAGGAACATGGCCATTCGCTGCATTTGAGTGTCCCACCGCTCGGCAAGTAATCTTACTACAGCATCGACATCTTGGGGCGTCAAATCCTGCGCTGGCATGGGTTTGTGGATACCGAAAGTCGACAAAGATCGGCGGACTGAGGATTTGTTGTGATCGTCCTTCATTTTCTGTGCCTGAGTTCGTGTCTCCATCATGTTCGTGCTAATGCGCTTCATAGACGCATCCTGTTCGTTGTGCATGAATGGGAATTCAAGCACCGTGTAGTTTGTCGCAAGGGCGTTTACCAAGATGGTGAAGCCTTGCAGGTTAATATCATTATGCTCGCAATGGACGTGGGTCAGGTGTTTGTTGTGCTCCAAAACGGATGACAGCGTGTTGGCACCTTCCATTCCAAGGTTTTGGTACTCGATTCGTAGTACCTTGAGAGCTTTGTTCTCCTTCAATCCAGTAAGACCATGGTTGAGACCAATACCGAATCGTGTCACCTCTAGATGGGCCTGTTCTCCTGAAATATCGAGCTCCTGGAGCGTTGTATTCTCAGCGAAAACTAGGCGTAACGTATCGCAAGTGAGCTCATTTGCGTCATACGGTAAAGAGGCCTTTGACAAATCTAGTGACCGAATGGTCGTATTCGTCCGCAGCGCTTCTAAAATCTGTCTGAAATGATCTTCTTTCTCGAACTCGATCATTCGCATGACCAAGTGTGATGGTGTATGATTCTCCTTGATAGCTTTGGCAATCTCGCCAACACCCTTTTCCAGCTTGTTAGCGTTGACGTGAAGCTGTAATTCCCGAGCTTGCCCTGCCTCCCTGGCCATTGCTCTCATTAGCAAAGCCACATGATTACCATTAAGATTACACTGCTCCATTTGAAGAACTCTTAGTGAATCAGACTTGTCGCTCGCCAAATATGTAGCAATCGCGTCAAGAGATTTGTCGTTAATCTATGCATATTAGCGAAGTTTGGTTTTCTTTAGGGAAGCAGCTCGTACAGGAATACCGTTCATGATAAGCTCCTCCAAGTCCCAAGACAGTAAAACCTCAGGAGCAAAGAGTGGCTGATCTCCTGATATTCTCGTTATTCTCGATAAATCAAGCTTCCTTATTCGAGAAAAGCGACTCATCGAAGATGAAAATCTGTCAGGCTCGATGCGGCCAGAATTATCGGCGATGTTGATGCATTCGAGGGAGGCGTTTTGCTTTTCTAAATGACCTAGTAACTGAATAATACCCCGATCGGTGAGCCCGCAATGTGAGCACTCAATGGCTCGGATTTGAGACCCTCTCTCGTTCAGTGCAGGTACTATTGCTTCGTTAGCTGACAAATCTCGTCATTGCAAATTGAGAATACTTACTCATCTCTTCGAGATCCGTTTCTCCAAGCTCTATTCCACTCAATATAATCCAGCTGATACTAGTAAGATTTTTACCGCAAAGGGGTAATAATGCTCCAACAATCTCGCAACCGGGATCTTTCTCGATTTCACGACCTTCCAAGTCGAACATATCTGTAGGTCTTCTTTTAGGTAAAGTATTTGTAAAATCTACGCGGCGCAGACTAGATGACTTTAACGCAAGAGCCTGAACTTCGCGGTATAATATTGATCGAGCCTGTGGATTAATATTGGAGTACTGTGTCACAGGAACTAATCTCATTAGCATGGGATTTCAACATGTGAACAATTCTACTTACTCCCATTACGACTGGTATACGCGACGTGATCAGTCCCACAGTCATCCATCATGCCATGCATACTATGTAAGTCTATGTCTCGAAATGAGATTGAGTTGAATGAATTGTTGTATCGAAGTGAGCGGAAAATTGCTAATAATTCATAAACGGTATATTTTGGCGTAACCGCAGGAGGGTAAAGGCGAAATTCGGGAGCGTCTTCAACGTGCCAATCAACTGCATACTGTACATTTGCTGGGTTACACTACAGAATGTTAGTGGATCTCTCGTCGCATTTGGAGCTTATCTTACGTTGTACGCTATGCAGTGAGCAACGAGAGTCCTGTCAAAAGCACCGTACTCCTCTGCTTCAACGAGTGGCACAGCATCTTCGAGAGGCAATTGATCTCCTGCACCCTTCAGCAGGAAACTGCGGTCGAACCACAGAGGTTTGAGATATTGCCATGCTCTATTGATAACCGCCACAATATCAAAGCTGGCAAATGCAGCTAATTCTAACATTTTTACGGGCTGCAATGGCATTCTGAAAAATGGAACCATACGTTAGCATCAAGTTCAATCATAGATCTGCGACTGCTATAGCGAGCAAACATCAAACAAGGACTCTTACCTGAAAGCAAGCTCAAATCTATCATCCCCACTCAACATATTGATCCTATATAGGGTGACGATTCCATGAGTATGCCGGTTAGCCTTAGGGGCCAGTAATCTCCTGGAAGAATCACTAAAATCTGGCACCGGGATCAGATGAATATTGTTGATCCCAACAACCATATAAAAAACCGTTCCAGCCAACTTTTGTAAATCGTCTGAGGATGAGGTTGATTTTCCACCTTTCACAAGCGGGGCTCTTCTGACAACCCGGAAGACCTGAAAATGGTTGGGATCGTAATCGTGCAAGCCCTCTACTAAGCGTACGAGATATTTGATAATTCTTGCGGGAAAAGGCTCTTCCTGTAGAAGCCTCGCTTTCTGGGCGGCGCCTCGGATTGAAGAGAGCCAAAGGTCTGCGTCTGTAGGATCGTAAAGCATAAGTTGTATAGAGCCAACCCCGTGGTAATCTTCATCTAAATATACTACCTCGGTGGTAAAGAATGGCCTTCCATCTTCTACTCGGTATGCAGTAACAATTTGTGATAAAGGAATTCGATTGTCTCCTTCCGCCGATGTATGTGAATGATTTGACTGCACCTCCTGCAACGACCCTACAGAAGTAGTCGAAGGATGTCTCGTTGCGCCTCCACGACCGTAGGCATGCGGAATTGAGGGGAAGACCTCGGATGCTCTCGATTGACTCTTGAACCGTATCAGATATGAATCTGTCAAAACCAGGTATTCCTTCTTCTTCCTAAACATGCCACTTTCTGTTTGTACCTCCCCATGATATAGCACAGTCTTATTCGGCGTTGTGGCACCTTCCGGGTGCCCGTCTTCCCAAGGCGACTCCGGAGCAGAGGAAGCGAAATGGTCTACCTCCTCCTCATCGACATAAGTCATCGAGCGTTTCCCTAGAGATCCGAATATAGAGGTCGGCCGACCTTTCTGAAGTGTCCGGGGTCGTACTCTCGGAGAGTGAGAGCCATTGCTGTGCGAAGGACTCAAGGAACCGTCCTGTTTTGGAGCGCCAACTTCGTGACTAGCAGAAGGTCCTATGCTAAACACCGAGTGTCTCTTCCCAAGCTTCTTCCTCTCCCTTCTCTGCGTCTCACCCTCACCTTCTCCAATCGTAGCGTACTCATCCCCAACGTTTGTATTTAGGTTCGAAAGACTGGACAACGAATGCCTCGTAAATGGATTGAGACTCTTACGGCGACTCTTCGTGCTCTCGTCTTTGCCCGAGGGCGCCATCAGGGAAGTGGAAGGGGTCGTCGATTGTCCGTCTGCCGGCAATGTCGCAGATTTTACTGAAGATCGAGAGACACTGCTTGTGACAGAGACATCCGCAACGCTTGCTCGCGGGAGGAAGAAGCTTTCGTGGCGGTACCGAAGGAAATTCCACGCGGCAGTAGCCCGATCTGAATTCTGAGTTTGATATCGCCGCTAATATAAAGAAAACCTTTCGCTACACGGTAAGAATTGAGTGTTGGCGGTAATGATGGTTGGGGTGAGGAATTTGTTCTATCGTATATCGAAGTTGGAAGGAGCGTGTTCCTGGACAACTGGGAATTGTTCGACGGAAAGAAAAATAAATTGCAGTTTAAAAGATGAGGGGACTGCTGATAATAGCCTGCTGCCGCATATTTCCCAGATCTGAAGAGCGCGGGACTGTGTCGTCGATTAGTTGTGTCCTAAGATAGCGGGGGGTGTGCTGGCTAAGGTTCGAGCTAGAATGTGGTGTAGGCTGTTGAGTAGTCAGACCATACGCAATTCATTGTAAGTTGGCAGACCCAAACAAGCAAAGCAATTGGGCTTAACGAAAACAACGGGAAAAGCTGCAGGTGAATAATGTTTGGAATTGGGATTTGTTAGGCGTGCCACTGAATCCGGTCTGCTCACACTAGATGTGTGCTTGCAGCTCCTGGCATGGCATGCTGGCCAAGAAATGACGCTCCGCATGCACGGCCGTGGGCGGTGGGCGTGAAGATGTCAGACATTTTCCTGTGATTGGTGCTCCGCGTCAAATCAGTACAAAATCCCTGTGTTTTTACTTGCATTATCTATTGGTTGCCATCAACGGAGCACAGGAGTACGAGGTCAGAACCCTGGATTCGAGATAAAGACAATGTTTACAATACAGTATTCATATACTTGAGAGCCAACCGACATTACCGCCATCAAGCGGCCCTACAAATTCTCCACATCATCTGGCTCATTCAAGCCCGAGATCTTTGTGAGATAGTCGTAGCTTGTGTAGTTATGTTGACAATGTTCCGCCATGTCTCATTGACCTTAGACACGCAGACGGGATGGGCTGTAAGAAATCCGGATATTTGCTCATCGTTCTCGTACCGTTCCGAGCTCGTCCCCGTACGTTTCTTCAGTCAATATGCATCGAATCGCATATGTTAAGTTTGGAACTGTCTCTGCTCGGGAACAAACGACGCTGATGAAGAATTCTCGAACTTATTTCTGCGATCTTACCTCTGTCTCAGCACCTTTGCATGCCCACAAGTACCTAACAATATGACAGTAGCAGGCGGGTTGTATGGCACGTGTTGTGATATTTCGATATCGAGGTATAGACGACATACTTCGTATTTGGCAGCATGGGTTCTGCTCTCAGCTGACTGCCTTGACCCATCTTGTGGATGATTCCTTGTATACTACATCATGACTTTACACAAATCGAAAATGATGTCTTTATACGAGCGATTCACTCATCTCATCGATACTAAACTCGATTAGCTACCAGTTGAGAATGACTCCTGTAGACTCACCTATCATACACAAACTCATCACTTTCACCTAGAGGTCCGACTAAGGCAGTCCCCTTAACAGCAAACCCACCACCACTGCCTTCGATCCAAACATCATACTTTCTCTGCTTCGGGCTCTTCGAATCTAAATACTCCTGATTCCGTTGCACGCAAACGTTCATAGTTTCATCCACATACAACGGTGCAAGGTTGCGATAATCGAATTTGTATACGATGTTCTTCCCAATTTGGTTTCTGAGCACAGAAAGCATGAGAATTAACGACAGTGGCCCGTGGACGAGCAGGTTCTTATAACCCTCCTTCTCTCGACAGTACTGAGGATCAAGGTGGATGCCATGCGCATTGAATGAGAGAGCTGAGAAGCGCGCTAGTAGTGTCTTGGTTGGCGTGATTGGAACACGAATGTCTGGCACGAATTTTGAAGGAACTGTTTCTGTTAGAGACTCGTAGTAAGATGAGATCGTCAACTCAAAAAGAAGACATAATTATACATACCCGTTAATATCTTGCCAGGACGATTCGCGCGTTCGCTTGCCTCCTCGGGAGTAATTTCCTGGAAGAAAACCAAATTCCTCTTCTCTAACATTGCAACATTCTTCGAGTCAAAGTCTTGGCTCACATCTTCAGAACCTTTAGTTATATGTCTGTCTATAGTCACGAAAACCTTCTCATCAGTCCCTGTGCCTTTGAGCTCAACCTTCGCAATAGACTCTCTGCACGTTGATCTAGTTCTATCGGACCTCAGTTGCTGAGACTTGTTGGTAGGATACAGAAGAGACCCTCCAGCCCACATCCGGCGAAGGAACGGAGGTCCAGGGGATTGTAACGGATCAGTGCCATCGGAGAGGAGGTCTTTGCCGAGGACCTGCGGCGAGAAATAGACAAGATGATGTCCTTGTGGGATTTGAGGGTGAGTTGATGGACCACTCTCTTTTGAAGGAAAAGGAACATGAGGGAGAGCGAGATTAGAAGTATTGAAGCCAGATGGGTAGCACTCTTTGGGCAGAATGTCTGCTAGAGTTATATTGAGAAGATGTGAAGGGGTGGGTGTGAGATAGTCGAAAGTGTGATCTGCCGGCTGAGCGAGAAGCTTTTCGGAACATTTGAGATGTGTCGAAGACCAACGTAGAGGAACTTTTAAAATCGAAGCTGTATTCTTATAACATTTCAACCGTAAGACTGGTGCCGAAGTGAGGGATCCCATCACTTGGCCTGTATTTTGTCGATGTAGGTCCGAACCACCTGGGCAGACAACGACGCCGAGGTCCAAGTCGATGCAAGCGGTGGATTGTATTCAGCCAATAACCTCGCTTCATTGAACTAGCTACCCCGTAATTCTTATCGATAAGACGTGTACCTGCCTCGCGGAAGACAAAATATTTCTTCGATTAAGTTGACGAAATATCGTATATTTAATGGATCAACTTAGAACATTATCAATATTCCCTTAATTACTTTAAGTAAATAAGGCTTTTAAAAGTTTTAGGAAGCGAAGTCGACTTATTATTTAGTCTAAGATTAATGGGTAGGTGACTGACATTTATTTTGACCTCCGCGAGCATGCTTTTATTCTACGCCTTTACTTTACTTTTCCCTCTCGAGTTTATCTTCCCAACTTCCTAACCATCTCCAATACTGTACATGTTTCTCTACGTTTTCCAACGCGCCCTTAACCTTGCCCTCCGGATCGGACAACTTGCTTCCCTCGAATTCCACGAAGAATATATATTGAAACGGAGTCACCTTCGTCGGTCTACTATTAATACTCGTAAGATTTAATGCATATTTCCTGAAGCTCTCCAACACCTGCGCCAAAGAACCTGGAGATCTATGATCAACCGAAAACGAGATGAGAGATTTCGATTTCGCGTGCGACATTTTGGCTTTGTCGTCAACCCCTTTGCGTATGATGAGAAAGCGTGTGGTGTTATCTGGACGGTCTTCTATTCCCTTTGCAAGGACATCGAGACCATGAATCTCGGCAGCAAGACTACTTGCGATGGCAGCACTCGTCCCGGATGTATCTTCTTTCACCATTTCCGCAGCGCGACTGGTAGAGCTGACATCGATACGTTCAATGCCCTTCAAGTATGTGCCGAGGAAGATTTCGCATTGTCCCCACGCCTGCGGATGTGTGTAGAGACGCTCGACATGCTTGAGATCGCAAAGTGGTTTCGTTCGTGGTTGGACGGGACTTGGAGCCGAAAGTGTAGGCGTGCAAGACCCGGAGACTTGGAAATCAGTCGATGTATTTCGCTGGGTTGGCTTGTGGCCGAGAAGGTAATGACTGACGTCAAGGTACGCTTCACCGCATACGTTGATGTCTGGGTATGTATTGTGTCGATCTGCGAGGAGTTCGAGCGTGAAGATCACCGCACCGTTTGTAGAGTTTTCAAATGGCACAACTCCCAGCGCGGCTTCACCTGATTGTACAGCCGTAAAGACATCTGTAAAAACAGGTCAGCCAAAGAACAAGACTTCGAGTACTATGCTACCAGATATCGTTTGCGCTGGCTCGTAATCATATTGATCTGCTTCGAAATTCGCGAGGGCTGCCTGAGCAAGATCGTGATCAGTCAGCCCAATGGACCAAGGAGGTCTTTCATATTGTAAGAGTGTATGTACCTGATGAGTATAAGATGCAATAGGGCCAAGAAAGGACACAATTGGGGTAGAAGGTGCAGAGATGTCCTCTCCAAGTGGCCGAGTTGAAGCCATCTCGCGAGGATTGGGCCGGGATGGAAATGTTCCAGGTTTGTGATGATGCGAAAAGAGAAAATGTAGAACTATGCCATTTCGAAAAAGCTGCTAAAGACTCTACATGCTTTGATTGCTTGGTCTGAGACGGTTCACTACCGTAACCTGTGAAATGTTGCACCTCAAATTGCAAACTCGCACGAAGTAACTTTAGAACCTACGTAGGTTTCCTATCAGCGTTATCGGCACTTACCCCGCCAACCCCACATTCAATAGAAGCGTGGAGGCTATGATGTACTGAAGAGGGCGTAGCTGACATCCAAATGTCAATATATGTATGCTCAATAAACGGGGTGATCGACTTCTTTTTCATTTTAGTCGCTAAGCAGTAGCAGATCTGATTTGACCGTAAACATCAAGCAAATTACACATCATAGTAGTGTGTTTGATCCTCTTATTCACCCTCTCACAAGCACAGGACTTCGCTGTCATCATACCATTGGCCTTCCAAGCATGCCGTGTTTAGGCTTCCAAGTCATAATATATGCAAGTGCCCGTTCTGAAATTATAAATGAAAGCACTCTTCGTTTTGTCCTGGTTCTGCTTCGCCATGAGCTCCATCAAGTCGTGCAGCTCCGTAATGTACCTTCTGTCGTTGTTTGGGACCGCGTGACTTAACTTTCTCCAACTATCTGGGTCAGACAACTTCGTCTCCCGTATCAGCTCCATAACCTGGTCGGTTGTCTCTATAGCAGCAATAGGACCATCGAGAAACGTCTGCACCAAGCTGGCAGCCTTCGCCTGAGCTTGCTCTATGATTATCTTTCTATTTGACTTCTTGCTCTTGGAACTTCCCACGAGAACACGCACATCCTGCTCATGTTCTGCAGGACCTGAATACTCTGGCTGACTCGGGTGCCGCAAAAGTTTGCCGCGCGGGTTATTATTCGGCTCCTTATGGTCTCGTTCTCGGATTTCTGCCTTGAGCCAAGGAATGAGCTGGGTCGAGGAAACATCAGTATCGCCAGCATCTTTCCGATCCATTGTTTTGACCTTAAAGATTGAGTCTTGCTTGATCGTGATGATCCACGAGTAATGCTCGTCACGGTATCTAGAAAGCAGATCTTCTGGTGACCGACAATCTTGTGCTAATTCGGCACTTATATCATTACTCCAAAGGTTTTGGAGGACTTCGACTCCAGTGGTTCTAAGAATCTCGGGCTCGTGAGACGCAACAAGAGTATCGCACTGCTTAATTTTAGCCCTTTTTCACGCGAGAAAATTCTCACACGTACCCTTTTCGTACTCCAAATTCCACTAACGTCCTCTTCTACCCTTTTAGATGAAGCCTTATGCCTACTCCTCGGATGCTTTACAAGTCTTTCTAGACCCAGATTAAACCCTACAGCATGGCGCTGCTGGAAACTGGTTCCTATCTTGTGCCGATGCTCTTTCACCAAGCTATCGTATCTACCTCCGGCAGCAAAAACATCTTTGACCTTCTTACCATACAAGCAAGAGAACACTACACCTCCTTTGCAGAACCGTTCCTTGATACTACAAAGAGGGCTGACATATATCTTACTTCGTACTTGAAACCGTTTTGTGTAGTCAATTACTTCACGGAGATGGGCGATCACAGGTGACGCGTTGCCAAATGTGCTTGTGCCCTCGAACAAGGTCTTCAGTTTTGAAAAAGCTTTGCTGGGTGTATCTGCCCAGCGTTAGCACAGAGAAAGAGTCCGCTGTGGGCTAAATACCTCGAAAGTCGAAGTTCTGTAGATCGTCGACACTTGTGGCGGATACTCCGACCATAGGTGATCTTAGTTCGTTCTTGATCTTTTGCCAGCTCCACGCCCCGATATTGAGCCTGTTGAGTGTGTCGGAGACTTTCTCTCGTATATTCTCTTCTATCCTGCAGTGATCAAATATGAGACCTAGCAGATCGGAGTGGTTAATATGAAAGCACATATGCGCAGAGTCAAGAGTTGGGATACTGATGACAATTTCATCCAAAACTTTAATGACTTCGGCTTCCTTGAGTGCTAAATCCAGTGTATCAGGAGACACAATATCAAAATCAACTTCATCAACGGTGAACGGTTGGCCGCCTGACTGATTATCTGTTTGTGGAATTACGGTTAGCATATCCATCTTAGTTATGCAAGCAAAAGAATGTTGTGAAATTACACAGCTATAGCCGTTGCCAACCCCTCTTTGACTAAAAAAGCAAATTTTATAGCATACCTCGAAAGACTGAACCAAAAGCAAAGCTTCGTAAAACGGAAGGTTCATGCTTTGCTAAGGAGCGAGCATGAGGGAGAGTAAGATCAAAAGGCAATTGTAATAAAGTGCCATTCGCATCCAACAACTGGACCGCATTTGACCCATAATGTTTAGACCGAGGGAACAGCATGCTACGAGGCGTTTCAACTGCCCCGTGGTGTCGAAAAATTTCTATCAGTTGCTGCTTGACGAGACCTTGAAGCAAAAGATCAGAAGAGGATTGTATTGTAGTATCAATGTCCCAGGCAAAGTCTTTGGCTTGCTTATTTGTTGTCGCAAATAATGTGCTCATCATCTTCTGGTAGTAAGGTGATTCCGAATCTGATAAACCAGCTAACGCACGCCGTATTGTCTCGCTTTCCATCTGAACCGGGAGTTTCCCTCCTTGTAGTAACTCTGCGCTTGACGGACGTTCCTTTGGGTTTCGTGCCAGTAACGACTGTATTATGCCTGCTTGAACGTGTTTACCGACAAAATCAAAGTCCTTTGGTAGTGAAGGCCTTTCTAATCGCAGGTTTTTCCCAATTTCTGCTCTTTCCATGCCTGGTAACAATGGCCTGTAGCACATCTCAAACAATATCACTCCTAGAGAGTACATGTCTACTTTGCTCGTGTATGATCCGACCCCGTTACTTGATGAAACTTCTGGCGCTACATAAAATGCAGTTCCAATGCTTTTTGTCATTTCTCCACTCAGCGCATTTGGCACAGCTGATGTCTGCCGGTCCATCATAGAATATTGGCCGCTAGTAGCTAATCCAAAATCACCTATTTTGACACTCGACGTACTATCTATAAAGACGTTCTCTGGTTTGAGATCTCGATGCACAACGTTCAAGCCATGAATATGGACAAGACCTTCTAGTATTTGACGCAAAAGACGCCACATCTCGTCGTCTTCTTTGTGAAGCCCTCTTTTGATAATATCCCGCAAGGTCCTCTTATCGCAGTACTCCATAGAAATGTATAGGACAGTCCGGAATGAGCGACGGTATCGCGAATCCGACCTGCTTCTTCTCAAAGCAAGACGATGTACATCTTCAGAGCTGCTGATAGCATTCTGATTGCTAGAGCTTGTGGACTGGTCATCGTCCTCAGATTCAGAGTCTGAATTATCGTCGTAACCAAACTCAATCGGGGGATACCCGCGCGAAGAGATAAAGTCCAAACCTCCATCTGGCGCTCCAGTGCTGTTTGCAAACTCTATGTTGAAATCGCCTCCGGGTGATATCACACTTGCAGAAAAGTCGTTCGTGGCCGCTTCAGTACTAGTGTCATCGTCCCTCTCGGAAGCGTCAAATATCTCTTCGGTCCATGTATTGTAATAACCTAAGAGAATATTAGAACAGGAGATAGATAGAAACTAGTTATTGTAGAATACATCTACTTCTGCACCATTAATTTGAAAATAAGCTAAAACAGGAAACGGAGCGTTCCGATACTATAGCAGAGGTTGCCAATGATCAATTCTCTGCCTTCAAATTTCATGGGTCATTCTCACAGGTCGTCTGAGGAGTGAGATGTACTTATAGCTGTAATGCTTCTTTTGGGACAGACATAAAGAGATTTTTGACTTACGGACAACTGAAGGATGGCTAAGTTGGGACAATAAGCGGACCTCTTTTAATACCTCAGTCAGAGAAGCAGACGACTTCTGGGTGATCTTCTTGATGGCATAAATTTGACCATCTAATTTCTTCCTGGCCTTCACGACTTCACCAAAGCCGCCTTTCCCAAGACGTCCTTCTTCAACGAAATCTTCCTTGTATCTGGACGCGGGTCCTGAATAGGCATTCATCGAGTCATGGCGACGGCGGGGCGTATGCAATGGCAATGAAGACACCGACCCAAATCGAGAAAGAGAAGGAGAAGAAACTTCTACATGCAACAACTCGGCATCCGTAGCGAGAAACTCAGAGGAACTCAGCTCAAATGCGCGTGGCCGTTTTCTAGGGTCTGTCTTGAAGAGCTTGCCAATGAATTCGGCAAAGGAGTCCGATAAAGACAAAGAATTTGCCAAATTTGAGGGTGAAGCGTACTTTTTGATGACTGATGGACCAAAAGCCATTTGAAGAAATACAATGCCAAAGTCCCACATATCGATCTTCTGAGTATAAGTAGGTTGATTGGAATTTGATATTTCCGGGGCAGCCCAATATGCCGACTTGCCCACAGACATGGAATCCTTTTTTGGCTTCTTGTCGCTCAAGCTATGCAGCTTCCTTTGATAACCAGCATCAGCAAGCTTTAGTTTCACATCCCCATCAGGCTCCCGCACTAGAAGAACGTTCCCAGTGTGTATGTTCTCATGAATTATGCCGTTTTCATGCATAAATCTGAGAGCATCAAGAAGCTCGATCGTCCATGATCGAACTTTTGCAGTACTAAGGCTTCCGGCAATATCCAGGAATTCTTCAAGAGAACCTTTTTCTGCAAACTCAGTCAACACACTCACCGTCCAGATTGAGTCTATAGAGCTATCTGCTTCAATGATTTTCTGTATTTTGAAGTCGAGGATGGTCAAAATGCCTTGATGTCTTATTTCCTTGAGCGCTTTCAGCTCAGTTTCCAAAATCTGTAGTTGCTTCTTGAACGTGCTCTGCTCATTCGTGTTCGGCCGTAAATCTGTTTCTTTTAGTGCGAGAGTCGGCACATCAACTCCATGAACCACTGGCCTGACGGTAGAGCAGCTGGACACTGGTCCACGTCTTATACAGAATTTGTTGGCCACAACCTGAAAATGTAACGTGTCTCCTGCAGCGTCCACAAAGGCTATTGGCTGATCAAATGCAATCAGCTCATCGGCAGGCTTGAATGACCCATTTTCGATCGAAGCTTGGGGAACAATTGTTCCTGGTGGTCGGCTCTTGCGTTTCGTCTCCTTGGCTTTTGCTTTTTGACGCTTGATTTCATCTTGTACTAAGGATCCTAACATACGCTCCTCTTCTAAATTATCCATTTGCTTTTTCTTTGTTTCCTCTTCTTTTTGCTGTTCTGCTAATTTCACTGCAGCAATCTCGTGAGCAGCACGTTCTTCCTCGAGGCTTGGCAATTCAGAACCAGTGGATTTGGCTTGCGCTGCATCCTCGAGGACATCATAACAAGCGTTAACAATTTCCATGATCATAGCTTGTTCTTCGCCGACTAACTCCTTCGGTTTGTTCTCAATGATCTTCTGAAGCTTGAAGCGTGTGCCCTCGCTTATGTCTTTCTCAAACCTCAATGTCAATAATGGAGGACTTTTTGGATAAGTGGCAGTAAAAACAACATTCAATATGGCACTGATATCATCATCAGATGACCTTACATGAATTGAAAATGCAGGCTCCGCTTTCTACGTAGTTTTAGCTGAGTTAGAGCCCCCAAACAGGGGGTTTTTACATACCTTCCATGCCCCTTGAGTTGTCTCTGCTTTGACAAAGTCATCGCCGTAAATTGATGCTAGAGCAATCAGCTCATCTTCCTGGATTTCTTGGTATTGTGTTGTCGAGGAAACGGTCGAAAGCTTTTCCGGTTGTGCTCCGGGCACACCAGACGGGGTTCCATTGTGTTTTGACGGTTGCTTTCCCCATGGATTTGACGATGCCATCTTGAACTGGAGGCTGCTGCAGGAGTAATCATATCAGATTGTTAAGAACCCGAATGGCAACGCGCAGCCGAGGCTGCGATACCTCTACGTTCTGGGGACAGACATTTGTGACTTGTTTCCTGATATGTGGTTTTTGATGTTGTTGAGCAGAAGAGGCAAGAGTCAGCGATGGACCGCTAAGGCTGGGCACTTACCGCTGCATTGACAACCCCGCCCCGCCTCGAGCCCGCCCGGTCCACAAAATTAAGCTCCATCTGGGCAGCGTACAGTAGAACTAAGCCTTATTTCCTCCTCCGCATCGGCCCTTTGCGCATGTGAATCAAAAAAACATTGCGAACATCTGACTCAAAATTTCCAGATACACCTACAGATGGAAGTATATATATCAATTGGATTGTCAACAAGATCATCGGTCTTGTAAAAGGGTGTCACCCTTCTCTTTTTTCTTTATAGTCCTGTTTGCACCTCCGAATGGCTTTCCGAACCTCCCCAACCAACCTCACCAGACTGATCGTGCGGCCGACGACATGGCAATCCTTACCGAACAACGTACGACATTATAGCGCCCCTATGGACGGCAGCATCCCAGCTGCAAAGCAGAAATATATACCCACGAGTGGAACGTATCCAAAAGGATTTCTCGTTTCTGGCACGCACGTTGGAGTCAAACCTACAAACAAAAGCACTCCAGATCTAGCTTTCCTAGCCTCAGAGACACCATGTGCGGCGGCAGCAGTATTCACGAAAAATAAGTTTCAGGCCGCCCCTGTCACCGTCAGCAGGGAAATGCTTAAAAGGAGGAAGAACACTGGGGTTAGATCTGTTATCATCAATTCTGGATGTGCCAATGCCGTAACTGGAAAGGGTGGTTTAGAAGACGCAGAGAAGATGGGCGCTGAGGCCGATAGATGTTTTGACCTTCCTAGTGATGGTAAGGGCGGGAGCACTATAGTCATGAGCACGGGAGTTATTGGACAACGGTAGAGACCACAGTTGATGGCTGCAATTCGTGACTAACGGCTCTGCCAGACTACCCATTCAAAAGATTCTGCACAAGATCCCTTCGGCATATGACTCTCTGGGATCTTCGCACGATCACTGGCTAGCTACTGCAAGGGCGATATGTACAACAGATACGTTTCCAAAGCTTGTCTCCCGGACTTTCTCTCTCCCCTCCTCCCCATCGATCGAGTACAGAATGGCGGGTATGACAAAGGGTGCAGGAATGATTCATCCAAACATGGCTACACTGCTTGGAATGATTGTCACCGATGCGCCAGTGGCACCGTCGCTCTTGCCGTCACTATTAACTAACGCGGTCAACAAATCCTTCAACAGCATATCTATCGATGGAGACACGTCTACCAATGATACGGTAGCGCTTCTTGCCAACGGAGCTGCTGGAGGGCAAGAAATTACTTCCGACACATCTGTAGACTATGCTAGCTTTCAGAAGACACTTAGCGAATTTGCTACGGATCTTGCTAAACTCGTCGTGAGAGACGGTGAGGGAGCTACTAAATTCGTGACAATCCGGGTGACAGAATCGCCTTCAGAGGTAGGAGCTCGTAAGATCGCAAGCACCATTGCAAAATCGCCTCTAGTCAAAACAGCACTTTACGGAAAGGATGCAAATTGGGGCCGCATCTTGTGTGCAACTGGCTACTCTCAAATTTCTGAGCCAGGTATGCCAGAGACTGAAGTTTCGGAAATTGTACCGGAAAAAACAAGTGTCTCCTTCATTCCATCAGATGGGTCTCCCGAATTGAAGCTTCTCGTCAACGGTGAGCCGGAGAGTGTAGATGAAACCCGAGCTGCAGAGATTCTAGAACACGAAGATCTGGAGATCTTGATCAAACTTGGGGGTGGACAGGAAGAAGCCGTAGTTTGGACATGTGATTTCAGGTCAGTAAGCACCGATTTTATGGCCAGCATAGTCACTAATATTTTAAAGCCACGAATATGTCACTATCAATGGTGACTACCGAACATAGAATTGAGCTAATATGCTGAAATGTGACGCGACATGAAAGATATGACAAGAGAGCAGAAAGTTAGAAGATTAAATACCCAATTACACCTTACAGCTTGCACATGCAGAATTCTCGTTTACAGTTGTTGCTATCTAACGACGAAATTACGGTATGGCTCTCTACTAAGAGTCCTGTTTTCTTTTGCGTCATACTCGAAAACGGTATGTCGGCCACGATTAGTCTATGCGGATTTTGTCTATCTACAAGTTTCTACTGCCGTTTATATCCATCCATCTTACTCTAATCGTGGTCAATATTCCAGAAAAAGGATCCTGTCTACTAAAATTAAGCGAGCCCTCGCAGCCTCAAAATCACTGCTCTATAGACGCTCAAAACTGTCGGTGATTATCGTAGGCACTAGATCAGTTGTATATTGAGAAAGGCTGAGTAGAGTATTTTATAAGTACATAACATCCAAACTAAGCGAGAAACTCATAATCTCCAGAACTGGTAGATCCATCCCACAACAATCTCCATAACGCAATTTCACAAGAGCATCATCTCAACCTAACGTCTCACATACGAACCCCATCCCTCCACAAATCTCTCATAATAAACTCTGGCATCTGCCACTCCCCATCCCCCTTCTTAATCTCCTCAAGCTGCTCCACAACCCCAAAATCCCCCGTCCTCCTCAAAATCTCCTCCCCATCCCTCACCAATCCAATCCTCCTATCCACCTCCCTAAACTCCGGCACTCCCTTCTCATTCTCCCGCTCAAAATCATGCGCACACCCACACCCCATCGAATCCGGCAATCTGAATATAAAATAAAACTCCTCTAGACCTCTCCACTCATCAATCTGTACCTGGCCGTTGATACTCCCGCCCTCGCCGCCATACCAGATGAGATTCTCGACCGCTAGTTTGCGGATGCTGCTTCGGGTGGTGACGGGGAAGTCGGCTTCGAAGTTGGAGATGCCGGATTCCCAGCACCAAGCTGGGAAGAAGAGGATGTCGATTGACGGGTTGAAGTAGATGCGTGCGGTTGTGGATGGGAGAACGAATTGTGGACCGTAGAAGGTTTGGGCTATGGTGCGGGATTCGTGAGTAGCGCTGAGTAAAGGGGGATGGGGCGTTGGTGTATAGTATTTTGATAATTCCGGCTCGGATGTTTGTGTCAAGTACTGTGAAGAATTGGACTCGCATTCAGATTCAGGTTGAGATGTAGCGTCTTCATCCTCTTTTCCAAGCTCTTCCCAATCGTAAAGAGGTACCGGTGTGCATACTTCGACTATGCGAGGGGAGGAGTTGCAGGCTATGGACCATATTTTGAGACGGAGCTCAACTGGGAGATTGGGGAAGACGTGGAAGTGCAGCAATGGCGGCGAGGGAGAAGACGCCATGTCGACAAGTGTGCTGAAGGATAGAGTTCCAAGAGTGATCAAGATGTGCTTGAAATATATAACCAACCAACCTTGGCCATAACTTTGTCCTATGAGGCTGAGACCGGCCAAGGATCATCCGTCGTGAGTCACTCACCGATTGTGAATCCCAAGTCAACAGAAAAGCCCGGAATGTGAATCAAAAGGGTACTCGCATTTGAAGGCCAATCGGACTAGTTCCCCAATAGCAGATATTTAGATGCTCTAGTTAGGCATCAAAGACTAGCCACCTACATGAGCTTCCAGTTTAGTAGCGGCCGTGCTAGGAGTCGACCAATAAACAAATCGCCCACAAAGAAAAGAAAAATTCTTATCACGAATCTATAATTTGGATGAGGCTACACTCTGGATGATTTTATCAAGCATGTATGAACTCTCAGGAAACTCCATTTCTCATTGATATGTACAATCTGTATAACACCCCGCCATGTATCCTTACTGCCTCGATGCAGCCTGTGGTGTCCATGCTGTGATCTTAGGCTTAACTCTGTAAAACATATATTAGAATACGATGACGAGTCTAGCCTTTGAAAATAGCAGCTTAAACTTACGTAGAATATGTCTTGAAAGCAGCCCGACTGAACGTCAAGTTTGGCCTGTGCTCTGGCAACTCCCAAGGCCGGACTCGAGTTTGAAGAATGGGATCTTGGGTTGGTGGTTTATCGACCATGTAGGATATCCAGGCGTGCCATCCGGGCTCGATTTGTGATCTATATGCAACCGTCAGAACCAGTTCTACAGTTGACTGCCATATTCGAAACTTACGCGTCCTCGTTGTAGTCTTTGTAGTCCACCCATCTTGTTCGTACTGGCGCAGATATTAACCAATGCAATCCCTCCAACATCTAAATATACCCACAAGGCAATTCGTCCTCCAAATTCTCGTAGTATTTGTTCCCGTATCGGTCTGTGGCGATCAAGGTACCAGCTTTGGTGTCACCTATTCCACACAATTAATCAAGATTCGAACCTATTGGCACCGTTCTGACCTACCAATATGCTATATCAAAAAGCCTTCGTTCAGTATCTATACCACATATTGTTGGGTGGTTCGGGGCGTTTGTGACATACCTGCATCTGGTGGAGAGCATCCTAAACATTCACCGTTAGCAAAGTCGCACAGAATGGCGCATGGTATTCTTGCCTTCAGGCCGACTCGGCGAAGATTGCGCAGCGTTCTCGTAATGGTAGACATCTTGTTTGGCGTTCAATGGCTTGAAAGGTCGCAGTTGTCGTCAAGCTGGTTCATGGCGGGCTCAAATCTCGGCCCCATCTGGTCTAGCGTACTTTTGAACGACCTTCGAGAGCGAAGCTCCAGCCATGAACGTCAAGCTAATCTTCTCACATCACAACATTAAAACGTTGATATGATAATTCGGAGCGTTACCAGATGCACTACCCTTCGAAGGGCGCAGGTCTTCCGGCCGAGATTACTACAAGCTAAACCGCGCAGGTTTTCGACATCCAGCTCTACCCTCGCGAATAGTACCGGTCCTGGTACCTCATCCGCATCAATGCTCGGGGCCTTTACGAATGAGTTGGACAAGATAGCACCGAAGTTTGAAATAGACGGGTCAAAGATAAAGATCTTGCGCACGCCATCTGAGTTCTACGAAACATTGAAGGTTGGAAACATGTCATAAGAGTAGGGAGAAGTGCTGATGGAATGGCAGACCAAGATACTTGCTGCAGAGGATCGAATATTTTTGTCTACGCTGTACATAGGAAAAACTGAACATGAACTCGTAATACTGTCCAAAATACACTTTCTCGTTGCATTTGTTGATTCCTTGCCCAGATTACTACTATTCAGCAAGCGCTCAGAGCCAAACCCAATTTAAAATTGAGTATCTTAACAGATGCTTTGAGAGGGACGAGAGAATCTCCAGAGGCATCATGTGCCTCATTACTTGCGCCTTTGGTCACCGAGTTCGGGGCGGAGAGGATTGAAATACGGATGTATCATACTCCTAACTTGACGGGATTGAGGAAAAAGTACATCCCAAAGAGGTTCAATGAGGGATGGGGCTTGCAACATATGAAACTCTATGGAGTGGATGATGAATTAATAATCTCTGGGTATGAATTCGACCAGAAATCTCATTATTAAAATTCTAATTATGCTTCAGGGCAAACCTGTCAAATGACTACTTTACCAATCGACAGGACCGGTATCACGTATTTTCATCAAAAGAAATAACCGGATACTTTTCAGAAGTACATAACACAATATCCCGGCTAAGCTTCCTCGTCACCCCTTCTCAACAAGAGCCAGCAGGTTATACCCTCGATTGGCCAACCGCAAATCTAGCCCCATCACCCCTAGAAGATGCCTCCAAATACAAGGCTCTTTCGACCTCAATCCTCAGCCATATAATCCTTCCCTCCGCCACTTCCGCCACCACAACCCCCTCAAAAAACACCACAATCTACCTCCTAACCCAGTTCACCCAACTCCTCAAACCCGACACCTCAACCGAGCTCCCCCTGATCACAACCCTTCTCTCTACCCTCTCCGCCCCCCTTTACAGATCATCATCCTGGACCTTCACAGCCGGCTACTTCAACCCAGACCCCACGCTTCAAACCCTCCTCCTCTCCACCACCTCCCAAAACAATACCATCATAACCGCCTCCCCAGAAGCAAACGGCTTCTTCAACTCCCCCGGGATATCAGGCCTCCTCCCATCCGCCTACACGCTCCTCTCGCGGCGTTTCCTCACTCTCTCCAACGCCCGACCCTCCCCCTCCATAACCCTCAAAGAGTGGCGGCGCGGCACGGTCAACCTGCCCGGGGGCTGGACGTACCACGCGAAAGGCCTGTGGATAAGTCTGAATGGGGAGAAAGCGCCGAGTATAAGTATAGTGGGGAGCAGCAACTATACGAAGAGGAGTTATGGGTTAGATCTTGAGGTGGGCGCGTGTATTGTGACGAGTGATGAGGGGTTGAAGGGACGGTTGGCGGAGGAGAGGGATGGGTTGCAGGAGTTTGCGAGGGTGGTTGGGGAGGAGGAGTTTTTGAGGACGGAGAGGCGGGTGGGGTTGCATGTTAGGGTTGCGATGTGGATTGTTAAGGTTGTTGGGGGGGCTTTGTAGAATGTATAGGGGGTTAGCTTGGAAGTGTATAATAGGAGGACGATCAGCGAGGAGATGCCTAAGCTCACTCAGAATAACAGGTACCATTTCTATGTCTTGCACATTATTCAACCTGACGCATTCACCAATCACACCAAACCACATCCCCTCCAATTCCCATTCACCCACCTACCCCCCTCCTCGGCACACCGTCGGTCCATCCCCAGAGCCCTCATTTAAATATCAAATCAAACACCTTTTACGCCAATGAGAATAGCCCATTCGACCGGATCCTCTGAGCGAAATGGTTGTGGTTAGAACTCCATGAGTATCTGTCTGCGAGCAGAACTTATGGGACCATGATTACGCCGATGGCCTGCTACACGTCAGAGAGCAGGAAATCCGGGTACCTACTACGCGTCAGAGAGTAGGAATATAAGTGCTGATCTTGTTTTTATCTTTTTTGGGGGGGTTAGGGCTGGGAGGTATACCACTTCTTATAGGTTTCTTTTGGGGAGAGGATGAAAGGTTTAGGACTTTTTTGCATTTCTCTCACCCACCGTCTATTGATTCCCAAGGAAAATACATGTAGGTATAATGATATATATTAACACAAAACAGCTATCTATGAAGCCAACGTATTGGTGGTTCCTTCTTGCAAACCATCGTTACTATCTCTCTCTTACGTTCATCGTCATTCGTGTCAAGGTCTTAAGCTCGCTCCTTTCAAAAACCCAATTTACTCCTTTCGCCATTAAACCAGTAGATATGCAAATGCTTAAAGAGAGCAAAACCCCTCCCTCAAACTAACACCATTCAACACCTCTCGCTTCGCGCTTCGGCTAAATAATATCACGCTTTGCACCTGCGTGTGTTCTCGTTCGTCTATCCATCTCCTATTGATTACAAAATCTCCTTCAGCTTCCGCTTTTGCTCAAAGGTCAAGCTTGTCGGAAATTTCACATTCACATCGACGACGAAGTTTCCTCTCTGATCCGGTTTCTTGCTTAGAGGCATTCCTAGACCAGGATACATATCGGTTGAGCCGGGTTGTGTAGGGCCGGACTTCTCAATGTTGATTTGTCTGCCATCGATGGTGGTTACTGTTCGTTTCCAGCCTGTAAGAGCTTCTTTCAGATCGAGGTCTACCGTTGCGTGAAGATCGTCACCTTGGCGGGTGTAAAGTGGATGTGCTTTCTGTAGAATGTTAGTATAACGATAGTCATTGGAGTACACATGTCAGACTTACCTCTTCGATGATAAAGTGCAGATCTTGCTGCCCACCTTCTTCTTGATCTCCAACACCCTTAAACTTGATCTTGCTACCCTTTTTTAATCCCGGCTTGATATCCATTTCTAGGACTTTATCTTGGGTGGTTCGCTTTCCGGTAACTTCGTCAAATGCCTTTCGCTTAATCTTCATCTTCTTGTGAGCGCCCTTGAACAATTCCTCAAGCGACAGTGGTAGTGGTCGTTCAACAGTGGTGACTTCTGGGGTTGGTTGTCTTTGTCGTGCGTCTGAGGCACCAAATTGCTGAGCTCGAGTGCGCCCACCTCCAGATGTTCGAGACCTTGGCATTTGTTCAAACAAATCCTCAAATCCTCCAGCGCCTCCCATGCCAGCTTGTCCTCGTAAGAATTCGGAGAATATGGACTCTGGATTGCTGAAGTTGAATCCACCACCACTACCACCACCACTGTTATCGAATCCGTAGTGGAATGATTGTCCTCCACTTGGCATACCCCCAGATGCGAAATTGAAGCCTCCTGGCATACCACCGGCACCTGCATATGGATTATGCCCAGCCTCAGCATCATCTGGCATTGCTCCTCCCTGAAAGCCCCGCTCACCTAACGCATCGTAGGTCTTTCGTTTTTCGGGATCGGATAGGATTTCGTATGCTTGGGAAACGTCTTTGAATTTTTCGCTGGTATCTGGTTTATCCTTGTTCTTATCTGGGTGATACTTCAGTGCCATTTTGCTGCGAAAAGTTAGCCTTTGATCACGGTAACTTGGATCATTTACTGGGGTGAGTGGGTGGTGTCAGATGTTTAAGGGAGACTTACTGGTATGCTTTCTTGATTTGATCTTGGGTGGCATCTGGCTTGATGCCCAAGCTATCGTAAAATTTGGTTTCTTTGACCATGGTGGATGGGTTCTTGGCGTACTGATAGATTTTACAGCTTCAGATGTCGCGTCCAGAGCAGGTCGAAATTTGTGCGGATGCGATGTAAGGTATAAGTGGTGCGGTATGCAATAAAGTCGTTGATAAAGGTAGTGAAGGTTGTTTGCAAATTGAGAAGTTCAGTTGAAAGGAAGGTCAAGAATGGATTGGTATTATGTAGCGCAGTAACGTGGGAATGGGGCTGCTGTCAAACAACAGCTGATCGATCTTTGTTGGCTGTCGGTGAATGAAGGCTGTCGACGCAAGGCCGAAAGACAGTATAGTTGTTGGTAAAGCGACAATTGATCCAATGGATAGTAGTTTTCGCTGAGTGGTTTTGGTTGCAATTGTTTCTTGGTGCTTTTGTTCTATTATGGTCCGAAGAAGTAGAAAGAAAGGTTGGCTAGAAGTCAGGTCACGCAGGTGAGCTATTATTACTGTACCAGCTGCCCAGTCACGACGAGATCCTGCCAGGATTGGCGGTGACGTTGGCGGGGAATTTGGGTTCTGAAGCGGGGTCAAATGAGGGTACTGCCCAATGTCCTTCGAAGCTTCTCGAACCTTCTATTGGTGCAAGACCACGACGAAGGGAGATTTTGGAGTATACTAGATCTTTCGAGCTTCAGCCAGTATTAAATGTTTTGGATCTCCTGATATTTTTTCACAAGCTCCGATGTATTTTTCATTCAGCTTGAGTGAGTGCAGCTGAATTTTACCCCTCCTAGAACGTGCCTTTACGATTAGCGAAGCCGCTGGCAGAGAGGTGGCAGTCGAAACACAACATTTCCTCGATTAAGTTGACGAAATAGTGTATATTCAGTGGATCAACTTAGATGTTATTACTATCTAGTTAATTTTTATTTAAAGTAAGCAAGCCTTTTTAAGCTCTATTCGAAGTCGACTTATTATTTAGTCCAAGATTGGTGGGTGAGTGTCACTTACTTTGGTATTTTGTCCTCCGCAAGGTAGCAACTGAGCAGCTAAGATAACTCTGGCTCTTAGAAAATGTGCCAAAGAATAAGTTGAATCGTCTGCGAATCTCGATCCCACTCGGCACAAAAGCACTGGCAGAGGCGTATTCTTTCCTCTACTGATTTCAGAGAGTATATTTCCATCCCCAGCGACTTCGGAGTATCTCCGTCAACCAATTTCATGCATGCCTTTAACGACGATAGATCTTGAGATCTTGGGCTTTTTCAAAAGATATGGGTATGGACTCAACATTTAATGCTGCTAGCAAGAGAATTTATAATACATGTTAATCCGCTAAGAACATTGCTTCTCAATATAAGCCTACGAAAACCCAAGAGAACACGGGCGAACCTTCATCTACGAGACGTTAATCCAAAGCCAGTACTGGGAGAGCAGACCGTCAAAGAGGATGATGAGGACGACGACGACTTATACGAAGCTCTTCTGCTACTATCTCTCACAGGGCTGCTTGAATATGGAACCCGGTATGCGCTGTGGAACCGCCCTAGTCTTTGAAGTTCTTCGTCTCGAGGCTGTTGGGATCCACGGAAGATCCAATTCAGGATCGAAAGTAAACCAACGACAACAAAGCAAAGTCTGAGAAACCAATCAACCCAAGTCATGCCCATTCGACCCATATCACGAGCTTCGATGGGCTTCGCAGCTCTCCCATACTTGGCTTCGCCAGCCTCTGTAAGAAGAAGTCTGTATTTTACCCCACAGCTTCCTCGCAGAATGAAAGGATCATCTTTGTGACGGTAACCCTCACAAGAAACACCAGTACATTCCAGTTTGAATCCGTCGGGAACAGTGGCCGAGCACGCCCATTCTATCGCTTCTTTATTTTTGCCAGCGCTGGCCCCGAGATTTTTGCAGCACATATTTTGCACTCGATAAAGTCTGCAACCGGGTCCGTCGCATGTAAGTTGGGGAATTGCAGGTGTCCGGAAGCTGTTTGTGTGGTTCTTTGCGGAGAAAGTCAGCGTTTTGACTTGAGAAAGTAAGACAGCCTTTTGATTTGCTCTCTCTACTTCTAGATGTGCTCGAGAAAGTCGGAGGATGTGTAGCAATACGATGAGTACTTGGTAAGTGAGTAAGGGCATTTTTGAATTATTGTTGGAGAGGTTAAGATGTGATTGCCTTTAAAGTGTTTCGACAAGAAATAGCTGAAAATCGAGAGCGTAATATATCAGTGACGCTCCAATTCAGAGTAACACTGCAAATGAGAAAGGCCAAATGGCGAATTCTTGCTGACGATCTCGTCCAACAGCTTATTGGATACTCTTCCACTAGTCGCTTTGGAGTGTTGGATATCCCCAGGTTCTGTTAGGCTTCCTTAGCGAGCACTCGAAGGGTGTGATTCGAGCGTCCTCGGCAAATGTTTGTTGATGCTACCTGACGGCAACACGAAGCTTCATGGAGACAGTTCTTTCGATGGCACGACACTAACATGCTAGCTCTCACGGTTGAAACGACGGCTTATAGAAAACCAAGACATTCAAATAATGGTAAGTCTTGCATCAGATAACGACAATAAAACCCTTGATTCTGTCTCCTGACTCTCCTGTAGTTGTTCTCCTATACTCGCACATGTCCCATAGCGTCATTACACTCCAGAAACACTTCAATTCTGCTTCTCGTATTTCCTTCCTAGACCCTAGATACGGCAAGAAATTCCGGTATTGGTAGTTGCTAGACATGTCAATCGACTCTAGTTCAAAATCCCACCTGGATGGTAATTTCTTGGGGCCACCAGTGCGCCACAACAGATCACCAACGATGACCTGGGATGCCACCATGTGTTGCCAACAGAATTATGAAGAAGCAGCTGAAATATGTCGAACGATTACTCAATCCCACCTTCAGCACAACTACCAAGTACTTCATCGGAATCCCATCGGTGAAACAACAAGACGTACTTGCGGCGCGAGTTCCGTCAACGAGATACGATGCCACATCGAGGAAAATGTTGCTTGCACAAGCATCTGTAAGCATACCGAAAAGTTTTCGTACGCCCACGTTCAGTGTACCGCTCCGACAATTGACGACTTTGCAGGATATGTTTCCGATGGAAAACCGGGCCGAGCCAGACTCTGGAATGTTGTTGTTGCGATCAAAAGACTGTTACATCTTTCTATGGTCGTCATCGTGTCATCTGTCAGGGATCAAATGGCAAAATGTAAACTGAAGTTGTGAATTCAGGTTGTTCAATTGTACAATTTAAGAGAAACTTTGTCTTCACATTACAGCATTACCACATCCAGACAGACAGCGCTGAAAAACTGTAAAAGAAGGCGGCGCACCCCAGCGTTGAACAAGGATGTTTGACTTCGAAACTTATCTGAAATATACTCGCGCAGTCCAGATTGGTTTTCCAACAGGAGAAGTTATGTGCTGATAGCTACGATCACTCTTCATCACAAAAACAGAAGTAAGTCGGACTTTAAAACCCAGGATATTTCTCTATTGACTATGATTTTTCAAAGCAGATAACCGGGAGTGGGGTGGTGAATGGTGGATACGGAGCTTGAAAGTGGTTGTGTTAGTCAATATTTGCTGGATTTTGGTGGGGCGGATATTATATATTCGACATACGATTTTCAGCAACGTTCATTGTGAACTCTATCATATGTGGGTCAAGTATGAGACTGTGTGGCCTCAAGACTCACCATAATGCGGTACTTCTTAATCAGCCAAGAGCAAGTAGGCCTTTTCATATCCAAAAAGGTCTTGTGGTCATTGCGGTGTTTGGAAAAGAATCACGCTGTGGGCGGTACTGAAAACCAGCACTACCACCTCAATATCATGTCAAGGATTATGTGAATGGTGTCGCTTTTAACTCTACTTTCGCTGCTAGCGAGCTAGCTCATGAAACCTTGTCACACTGATTGCTGTGAGTTATCTTATTCATTCTGCGTGGTCTGTATGTTTCTGAGAGCAACTGGTAGATTAAGCCTGGGATATGAGTGCTTGTGCACAAGAGATGATGGGGTTGGGGAGGAAGACTTGGGTAAGCTGCGGAGACATGTGGATACTTAGTGGTAGAATTGGCACAGTGGCACTTCACCTCCACGCTTGCTTCTTACCATAAGTTTCTGCTACCAAGTATCGTATAATGAAATATATATCTTGGAGACAGGCTAAATCGCTTTTGGTTTTGGCTACCTTTGAAAGCTTACATGAGTTCTGAAGATTCCTTGCACTTTATGCTAACGGTAACTAATATTCGCTAGGACTTCAAGCCGTAATTGGAAGAAAGTGGTTGTGATTGCGATCTTTGTACTCAGGCTATAAGGGGAAGGAGAAAGTGGCTGATTTCGTCTCAAATGCGACGGGATAACTCGAGTTCTTTTCAACAGAATTAGCTAGAGTTTAAACTGTGACCTATTTGAACTTTAAATATTAAGGAAACGAAAGTTTAGATCTTAAGAAATAAATTTGGTCGAGATCCATATTGAAGAAGTCGTAAAAACACCGTTTTTAGCGTACGTTTTGGGGCCTACAGGTATGCGACGAAATCAGCCACTATCTCCTCCCCCTTAAAGTCAGGGGAGAGGATAACCGAGCACGTGTCTCCCGGTCAGGTGACTCCACTTTTATGACGAGGAGAAGTTTGATTTAAATTAGGTACAACTAGTAACAACCAAAACCATGAAATACCAATTTCAAACATATAATTAATTGGAATTTTCAAACCCCAAGCTGTCAGAGCTGAATTGCACTACCTGTCACAGGCTGCGGGATTAACAGGAGTTGTTGGCTTACTTCACAGTCTCTCCTGCTCTCCAGAAGTAACCCAGTCAAGCAATTATGCTAATAGCTTGCAACAGGACTTCAGACTTTCGATGGGAATTTTTGCTTACGAGTTCAACAATGATGAACAACCCGGTTATGGGCAGGCGTTTGCTAGGCTGGAAAACAAGGAGGATGTCCTTCCCATTTTATTTGAGGCCTAAGGCACCCCGTGAGGAAGCCCCTATACCCTATCAGAATACAGTATGAATGATGAACAACACAACACCAACTAATGTCGGCGTTAGGTGTCGCAAGTTTCTTAGTTGGGAACTGCAGGCTTAGGGTTTGCGGAATCGCTTAGAAGCCAGTTAAAAAAGGCTGAGGGTAGCTAGAGTAATTCTTAATATCTGCTTCGCCGGTATCGCTTGTGTTCCTAGCTTTTACTATAAAGACTAGAATCAGGTACTGGCTACTTAGTCCTTAAGCGCTAAATCCATGACAGCAATTCCCAGCTAAGAAACTTGTAACGAAGGAGCACCACCTAAAGCCCACGATTAATTACTTGTACAAGCCTCACAAACACGAAGATGAAGTACATCTTAGTATCCGGAGGTAAATAAGCAGAGTCTCTAATTCTCATAAATTTATCTGACCTAGGTACAGGTGTGGTTAGCGGTGTGGGAAAGGGTATTATTGGTGAGATCCCTTCGAGAAAGCCTTTCGCGAAAACGGACTTATCAGGCAAAAAGCATCCAGTACCGGCCTGCTTCTGAAGACATTGGGTTTGAGCGCCACAATGATCAAAATCGACCCTTACATAAACATCGATGCAGGAACTATGGCACCTACCGAGCATGGTGAAGTCTTCGTCCTTGATGACGGTGGTGAGGTCGACCTCGATCTGGGAAACTATGAACGCTATCTAAATATCACATTGACTCGTGAGCATAACATCACTACTGGCAAAATATACCAGCACGTTATTCAAGCCGAGCGACGCGGGACGTATTTAGGTAAAACGGTCCAGATCGTTCCTGATCTTGTTGATGCGATAGCCGACTGGATAGAGCGGGTCGCGCTGATTCCAGTTGACGAGACAGAAGAGGTGCCAGACGTGTGTGTAATCGAGCTTGGGGGAACGGCAGGTGACATGGAAAATGCACCCTTCCTAGAAGCGTTAAGGCGATTGCGAGGGAGAGTTGAGAAGGACAACTGGATACACATTCTTGTTACTTTGGTTCCCGTGATAATGAATTCTGAGCAAAAGACGAAGCCAACGCAGGCGGCTATGCGAGATGTGCTTTCTACTGGCCTGAAGCCAGATCTAGTAAGTATGTTCGGTCTAAAGTGTAGCTCTGCTAACTTACTGAAGATTGCATGCCGGTGTGAAGTGCCACTCAAGAAATCTACATTAGATAAGGTTGCTTCGTCGTGCGACGTAGAACCTACTAAAATCATAGCTGTTCACGATGTTGCGTCGACGTATCTTGTCCCAGCCCTATTGGAGGAACAAGGTTTACTCGCTTCAATCTCTAAACTACTGCGTTTTGACCTCATAGTGAAGACCCCACAACAAAATGAAATTGGAGCCAACATGTGGAGAAATTGGAAAATCCTAACTTCACCCCAAGGCGGCTCTCGGAAGAGCGTGACAATAGCCCTAGTTGGCAAATACACCAGCTTTATGGACTCTTATATGTCCGTTCTCAAGTCATTGGAGCATTCCGTTATGGCTTGTCAAAGCAAACTCAACCTCATTCTCGTCGACGCCTCACACTTGGAAGAACGATGTGTCGCATCCTCAGAAAGTGACTATGTCCAGGCGTGGAGCAAAGTCCACGGAGCAGATGGGATTCTTGTGCCTGGCGGATTCGGTGAACGAGGTACAGAAGGAATGATAGCAGCTGCACAGTGGGCCCGAGAGAACAAAACCCCGTACCTAGGAATATGTCTAGGTATGCAGATTGCAGTCATCGAGTTCGCACGCCACATGTGCAATATCCCAAAAGCCGGATCGATCGAACTATCTCCGGAGTGTTCGAACCCAGTGATCATCTTCATGCCGGAGGTTGACAAGACGAACATGGGTGGCACAATGAGACTCGGCAGCCGACCAACTGTCTTCCAAGAAGGAAGCGACTGGTCCAAGGTGCGGAAACTGTATGCGGATAAGAAAGTTATCACTGAGCGCCACCGTCATCGATATGAGGTTAATCCCGATTACATCGAGAGTCTCAGCAAAGCCGGTCTTCATTTCATAGGCAAAGATGAAAAAGGCGTTCGTATGGAGATTATCGAGCTTCAAAATCATCCTTGGTATGTAGGTGTGCAGTTTCATCCTGAATACTTGTCACGCGTTTTGCAGCCCAGCAAGCTGTATATCGGTTTTGTTGCTGCGGCAATTACAAACCAGGCAAAACCAGAGGATGCGAAGAAACCAATAAATGGTATTGCAAGCAGTATTATAGTATGAGGTTTTAGATTTGTTCTTTTAGATGTGCTCTGCTATGTGGGCTGCGGCAGGGATCAATCTCATATATGGCCAATGGGCATAAAACAGGAGGCAGAATAAAAACTGTTAAGCAAGTATTCCCGAACTGAAGCCCATTTCGAACTCTGCAGTAGAGCGTAAAACAGTCTTAGAACATATAAGCGTTTGAGGTGAAAGACGGAAGTGATAAGCTGAAAGTTAGTTGCGATAGAAGCATTGTTAGCTACGCACGGCAACATTTTGCTATAAATAGAGGATGTCAAAACTATGAATTTCCGGCAAGGTACGAGTCTGTCCAGACGAGTAGGCGCATGGCATACCTATATTTTTCAACCTTAATTGAATTAAGGATGTCAAAGGAATGTCTCCTCTTCTTTTACTTTGCAGCTTCCATGCTTTATTTTCAAAACTACCGCTGTCACACCTCGCTCGAAGAACTTACATATATCACGTATGTTATATACTACAATGCCACACGGTCGACTTACAACCGTTACACCACTAGATTCAACTGAAAAGAGGCTCTTCTCCACCACAACGCAATGCATTTCCCCCTGTTAAACCTAGGGAGGTCTTTAAGAAGAGATACAAGACTATTGTAAAGCTTGGTTATGGCGGTGGGTCTACCGTCTGGCTCGTGCGGGACCTGAACTTGTAGATCTCATCATCTGACTATTCTAACCTTTTTGACATAAATCTAGCTCAGAGTCAGAGGTAGTAAAACCTGGGGGCTCCTATCCTTATGTATTGCTAAACTTTTGCACTTACGACTATTCCAACAAAAACTCTGCTCTGTGCGAGTTACGATTTGGTAAATATCTCGCCACTGTAGACCTCTCTCTTTTAGCAACACTATATTTTCAGATTCCTATTGAAAGGTCTGAAGTGTCAGGGCCAAATGTTATTCAAGTATTTGCGGTGTTCGGGTCCATTGGAGAGAATTTGTGGCCTTTTCAGTCGCATTTTAAGCAAAAGAGATTTCCCCTAGGTCTCATTAAGATGTAGTAAGTCTAGATAATAGTACTGCTTAGATCTCTACTAAGAGAAGTGGGAGAGAAACTAATAATCCATTAGTGATAATGATTTACGTAGTAGAGATAAAAGTTTCTGCGATAAGACTATCTCGGGCTGATTCAAAGAAGTATTTTCTATTAGTGAGAGAGTTACTTATAGAATTTCGACAATAGCGTTAAGTACAAAGTTTCTATCTAATAGGTAAGGTCCCTACGAGTCTACGGGCCTACTCTGTAACAAAGGAAATATATAACAGGACAAAATCAATAAAAAGTAGGGGAACTCTTCACACACTTGAATCCTAATGTATCGCAAACGTAACCGCCCCAATCAAGTAACAGTCGAGCAACAGTGCTATCCATGCATGCTTGTGCTGTGTTCGTAACATTATCCTCGGTCAGTCCAAATTCATAATTCTCGTACTTTGCTGAAGAAGAAAGGCATCTAGATATAGAAAGTTGTAACTGCCCTCTTTATCATCAGATATAGGCGTAGAACTTGCCATGCCTGCAAGTCTTCTTGTGAATCCACGATATAGTAGCAGTCCCATAACGCTTGCTAATTTCATGGTCTTTATAATCTCTGGTGATATATTTTCCACTTCGTCTTGAAATTTGTTCCAGAAGGTCTCTTGCAGAATCGGGTAATCTTCGTATGGTCGCCACCCGTGTGGTAGGTCAAGTACACAGATCAGGTTTTGTAGAAAGTGGAGATTTTGGCCAAATGTGCCAAGTCCAGCTTCACCCCAGTCAAGAACACCTTTGAGTTCGCAGGTATCTGCGTCGACAATAAGATTCGCGGTGCTAATGTCACGATGAAGAAGGACCACTGGCAGGTCAAGAACAGCCTCCATGGAATCGAGACATTTTTGAATGATGTTGTGAAATCGGGGCGGGAAGGATTGAAGAAGTGATTCGAGGTCTTGGGTATATTGTTGGCGTAGCTTGCCGCGGAAGTCTGAAGGAACCTCTTGGGGGGCTTTGAAGGAGGCAGCAAAGAAACTGCGAATGGTCAGCATGGCTTTTGGGTTGAAATTCAAGTGAATATGTTGCATTGCGTTGATGAAGGAAGATGGCATCTCACCATGCGATGTCTGTTACAAGTGTTTTACGCCATGCAAATTGCTCCTTAGAATTTCGAGGGTATATATCAGCAAGGATAAGATCGAGATAGCTTAGTCCATGTACCCGAGGCATAGAATAGACGTGGACATTTGCTAGCTGTCCATAGGACGAGACCGCTGGGACGACAGAGCCATGTATTGTGCGTGCTAATTGGATGGTCTCTGTCTCAAGAGGCAAAGAGGCGAGGCGGAATTGAAAAACGTATTCAAGATCTGGCCCAGCATAGATTGAGTAGCTGCAGTTTCCCTGCACGGCTACAGGCTGGACTGTGCCTCCGACTATGCTGATAGCCATCTCGTCGCAAGCGCTGCTGCAAGTCAATGTTCTGGAAAAGAAGTCTGATATTGCCGTATCTCGGCGATATGGATATCCAGGGGACATGGCAGCGAGAAAGCCTTGGTAATGCATGTTTTTGTAATTGGTAGAGAATAAACCAGGTTTAATTTGGCCTTTGAAATATATGGACAATGTTTGAGATATTTGACGATAGTCGAGGTAATTTGAAATCAGGAGAGTTAAGCGATAAACAGGCTTGAGAGGAATGTTCGAATATGCTGCTGGTCTAAAATATCAGCAGCAGTCTTAGGATCTTATATATCTCTGAATTTTTGATTTTGATAGAAAATCAATAGCTCAACAGCAGAGGTCATGATATTGGCTGTGTCAAGCAACCCAAGATGAAACGACTTGATATGCTCTCTACCTGTCCATTACCAACAACACTGTCCGCACTGTACATCTCTTTGTTGTTTTTTACATTACCACTTCCCCAATGGCCTACGGTGCTTGTCTCAGGTTGTTATTTTGTAGTTTAGAGAGCTACCACAAGGTCATTCGATTGATTGACTCGACGTGGTGATTTTCAATGATCCATTGGCTCAATAGGATAGTTCCCAGGCGCTGTTCCAACAGAACTATTTGACCAGCTGACTCGGTGTTGTTGTTGTTTTGTTTAACGCTTTCTAAATAGTCTCACCGATGTTTGACACACAAGAATCATGAACCAAAAGCAGACACTTATTCCGGCTTAAATTAAGTCACGGAAATATATGTCTTCAAGTTAATATCACCAACATTGAGTCTACATGAGCTAGAGGGGAAGCAGCTATCGTAACGTTCGTGATTTTTCAGACTTATGTACGGCTTTAGACAGCTTAAACGGCGAGTTCAACCACCAACATATTCTCTACCAAGACAATTACAGTAGTTCTCGAGGCGTTGATACCAGTAGATTAATTCGAATCTAATAATATCTCAAGTAGAGTTCAAAATGCTGTATGCTCCGAACAAACGCATCAAAATTTGAAGGGAACTGAGTCGCGGTGAGCATCTATCTTGGGCGGTCACTAGCTTTTGCATTTGTTAGTCCAATGAAGGCCGCATGAAGCCCAGTATCTTACTTGATTCATTTGAAGAAGCTGGCCATGTAAGATACCAGCGATCCAGCTTCTTCTCGTCGACTCACCAGCATACATTGTATATGAGTCGATCGGACAACCAAGGATAGATAGTCTGGGAGGTTTAAGAGATAGTTAGAATAAAGAGAAGAAGTTATGATGCCATGCCATGTTTGAAATGTAATGTGAATGTAACTTGAGATGACATGCTTTCGGTAGGGCGAATGCTTATATTTACAACATGCTATTAAACTCAAGGTAAAAAATCACTCATTTCTGATTGATTTCACATGAATCTAGTCATTGAAGCAAGGTGGAGGGAATTTACACGCTTTATCGGAACAAGGAGATCGAGACGTCGGATTGACATTAAGAAATACATACGAGGATTTAACAAGATATTCGGGTGCAAGATTTCAAGACACACAGCGGAAGAAAGAGCAGAAATTGAAGGAGGTTTCATGACGGTGTATTTTCCTAGTGGAATTGATCACTTGAAAAAATGTCGGTTAAAGCCATGCAGCACCTAGGCCTGCGCTAGGGAAGCCTCCACGACCGCTTTTCCCAGTCTCCAAGTGAGAAACTGTCTGACTGGGAAGTGTCCTTGTGTTAAGACTGTGCATACTCATACTCAGTGTGTGAAAAAGAAAGGTATCATTTTGCAGTTTGCAGATACCTAGTTTTCAGTCATCTTTAATGGGTTTCTGCAGGTCCTTCAAAGCCATCACCGGGATAAGGGCGAAGACCAAACCTTCTACCACGTTCTCTTGCCTTATAAAGCTGCTGAAAAGAATAGGCGAACTCTTGATATCGAGGATTGGAAGTTGAGCTAGAGTCTTTATTGACTGAAGAACTTGGAGAACAACCGAACTCATATGGTTGTAGAGTGCTGTTTTGACCAAAATGCCGCTCGGTATCAGAGAGGCTGGCCAGTTCCGATTTCCTGCCAAATTCTTCGTAATCGAAGTAGTCGAAAGCACTATTTATAAAGTAAGTTAGCAAGTTTATGAGCTGTCATTTATTTCAGATATCTCTTGGAAGTTAGCAATATACTGGCGACGGGTGGTTTCGACTTCCGAACGATTTCCACATAGTCTCAAGTACTTTTGAAGAGGCTTTCCAAATCTGCAGTTGCTTTGGAAAGATGATTGCTATGGCGCCTTAGTTAGTTTGATCCTCTTAAGTACATTAAGTAGGTGAACGGCTTTGAATAGAATGGAATGTATGGAATAGAGGATTTGTTGGGACTGACAGGTTGATGTATTCTTGTCTGGTTCGGAAAATTCTAAAACCAAAACGTAGGCTCCGTTAGCCAGTCACCCTCGAATCGCGTCGCAATAAATGTGACTCCGCGGATTCAGCAACGGATAGCCATATGTAGCTACGGCCTAAGGAACCATTCACGTTCGGTACCGTTAACGTGATACATAGCTGTCGTCGAGCTCCCGTCTGTCACGGTCTGTGTCTGGGGACGTCACATGCTGTATACGAGACTGGATCGTTTCTATGACTCCGTTGATTCAACTCCTTATTAATATCCTTATCCACGGTGTCAAATGTTTCATCTCTGAGGATTGTGACAATATCAAAACCTCGCAATTACCCGGCGTGCGAAAGGCACGGTGAGTTCGGTCGCAGTCCACAGCTCCAACGGACCAGACCCTTGAATTCGGCCAACAAGGTAGGCTTAGCCTCCCGTACCAACATCGACGGGAAGCCAGCCTCACCTCCACCACGAGTTACCTCATAACCTCACTCACTCCTCAGCTTTCCCTTCTTCTCATCCCAACACCTTCTCTTCTGAACGCGAATTCTAATATACTGGTTCCTCTTTCGACAATGTGAGAGCCTGGCGCCTTTCGTTGTCGTCTACCAAGCAGATCTCACCGCATCTCCAGCTTGCGCCATTTGCTTATTGCATCTCAGCGCGTTCCTTCCACGCACTTCCCATATCCCCATTCCAACATACCACCACGACACAGTCCTTCCACGTTCGAAAATCATTGTAGATTTCGCCGCCGCGATACTGAATACCTAATACTATCCACCTAATATCACACGATCGCTCTCCAGCATACCAACATGGTGTCCGACGCTACGTATGAGATCTGCCTGCCACTGCTGCAGGATGCAACTTTGGGCGACGAAGAAAGGACGGACAAATTGGAGGAACTGCTGAAGAAGGAGACCACACTTGTTGGCTCTGCCCTCGAAAATGCTGTATTGGATGTTCTATGGCGGTATCGGGAATCAACTACCAGCCCAGCATCACCCCCGCCCTTGCGACACCAGATCTTACGTCGCCCTTCGCCAGCGCCATGGCAGATTCCCCGAGGAAGTTCTGGCACGCCCGTGAACTCTTCCCCTCGTTTGGGTGTTAGCCCTCTCGCTCCTCCGGGCTTTGTACCGCAGTCCTTCAACAGAACCAAGTCGAGCACCGCATCTCCCTTTACCTCTCCGCGCCCGTCACCGAGACTTGCTTTTTCCAGTCCAGCTATCCCCCACAGTCCGAGTCTTCAAGCGTATGAGTTTCCGACAGACACCAGTCCTACACAAGATATATATGGAGACTATGGAAGTGACAATGTCGACTGGTTAGTGAACGATGACGGTGGTAACAGCACGCCGTCATCTCTTGGAGGAGGAGGCAGCGGCCTTAATGCAGCGGCAGCTGAATATATTCAGCCACAGTCGCTGGATATGAGCCCGTATGATATGCTTCGATCAATCTTGGGTCCTGCTAGATCCGATGATGAGATTGAAGCAGCCCTTGCGCTACATGGATATGACCTGAGCGCCACTATCAATGCTTTCATTGAAGGGCAAGGTTCTGATGCTTCTACTGTGCCGGTCCAAACCATCGAGTCGAAGACGGCGGCTATCCTAATCGGCAAGTCTATGACAGCAGATATACCTCGTCCCGTTACCCCCGCTGGCCAGCAACGCAGCGGTGTCGTTTGCAGATTTTGGCTTTCCACGGGACAATGTCTCCGAGCTGACTGCCGTTTCAGCCATGATCTTAGCAATCATATATGCAAGTAAGTTATTTCGTTATTTTCGCCGGACTGTGACCGTATACTCATGGATCTAGATACTGGGTTATGGGCAACTGTCTTGCCGGTGATACCTGCATCTTCTCCCATGATCCGTCCCATTTTATGAATCGTCTAGCTCTGGACGAAAGTAGTACACCCCCTCTCCAAAACTCCGCTCCTGGATTCCAATTCTCAGACTACAATGCATTTCCCTCTCTCCAAGGTTTACAGGACCAGTGGCCAAATTCCTATAATTCTTCTACCAATGCGTTCGCCAATTACCAAGGTGCAAGCTTTACTCCCCCTGGATTCAAAGGAATGCAAGGCTATACAAGTGATGGGTCAAGCCAAAGATCACGACCTAGTAGTCGGGCACGGGAACCAGCAGCTCCAGCGTTAGATGATACGGAGGCATTTCCATCTTTAAGTGCAGTCGCTGCAAAGGGCGGGAAGAAGCATCACGGCAAACGAGGTGGCCATGGACATGGTCATAAGGAGAACGCGCATCCCAGCTCCTTAGCCGAGGTAGTCAAGATGTCTCCATCTCCAGGTCCTGGTCTGATACGGCAAGACATGAAAAAGATGGGCAGAAATGGTAGCTCCAGTAGCATTCGCAATGGAGAGAACAGCGTCGCGGCTCAAGCTATCCCTAGCCCCCAACATGTGCCATGGCTGGAGACTGGTGAAAAAGCTAATAAAGCATACCTCAAAGCCCGTCAAGATGCAATTAAGCATGGCGGCTTGAGGAATAAGTTTTTGCAAAGGTAGGAACCAGTCCCTTTAATCCATCAGTCCGTAATCTAACCCGTACTAGTGCTGCTCAAGCCTGGAATCGTAATGACGCTCGCGCTGCAAAAGCTCTCAGTCTTCGTGGACAAAGTGAAAACGATCTTATGCGAAAAGCTCACAGAGAAGCGGCACGTGAATTATACGAAGAGCGTAATAAGAATAGCTCTTCAAGCGCCGAACTCTACGTTGACCTTCACGGTCTTCATCCCGAAGAAGCCGTCGAGTATCTTGAGCGAGTACTGCTTGAAAACCAAAAGGAAGTTAAGCCGGTCTATGCAATCACAGGTACCGGACACCACAGCAAAAATGGTAAGGACAAAGTAGGCAAAGCCATCCGCAATTTCTTGAACGAGTGGCGCTACGCCTACCGGGAATTTTCCGTTCCGGGTGACCGCAATAACGTTGGTGGTATCCTGGGCATCGATGCCAGGTCGTGGGATAAATCTTTAGTACGGGATGGACAGCCGACGGTGGAAGTGGAGAAAGAGGAAGTTGATATCCTTACCCAAGGTCATACTATTGGACAGGGGAAGATGAAACTTCTTGTTAGAGACCAACCTAGCAAAGCTCGATAGGAATTAAAGAAACAAAGTACTAAGCTTTTGCGGGTTTTGTGCTTTGTGTCGTGCATTGCGGTGAACAAGATAAGTGTCTGTCTCCTGCTCTCTAATCTCGAACGGATAAACAAATTTAACATGGGGCTCAACAAGATATTGTTTAGTCGGAAGATTTGACCAATGCCCGATATTGGGTTAACTTGACTGACTCAGAACTGCCATTCATTGTGTCCATTACGAGCGTGCATGTCAGATATCAACAGGAAAACCAGAACGGGCACAATATCGACATCAGTAAGGGTTGATACCATTTAAGTAAGTATTGCTTGCGTCCAAGTATAACTACTTTCCACGCAAGACTACGACTCAACTCAAACCATCTTGTTTACTGAATATAATAGGCGAAACTCAATACATTGCATCAACTTAATCATGGTTCGACTGCTACTTTCCTTGTTTGTTCACCTGCTGCGAATATCTAGTCGCAATACTTTCCATTCATCCCTCCAATCCACCAGTTCTCTTTAACTTGACCACGATAAGATTTATATGAGTAACAATTTGAGTACGTGTGGATTAGCTTTCAGTTGCGCTGATGAGATCTTGGATTTTGATGGATTCTGAAAATTGAAAGAGAGGCTGAGGAAGTTTCATTTAGTGATAAGGATAGTTGAAATATACGGGTTTTGTCAAGTCGATGAATGAATATCATAAATATCGTGTTTTCACTGCCCATTCTTTTCGTTTGTCTACTGCGGTATAATCACGAGGGATCGTTAAGAAATGGATGGGGCCAGATTCATTTGCACTGTTGCTAATTAATCAACCAACAATAAGTAACTTCTCTTCACTCAAAGCCTCCATCAACCACAATTCATAGCTTCGATTCTGGTATCACAACAATCTACAACTCCAAAAATCAACCCTCCAACTTCAGATTCTCAAACTGACCAATCGTCTCCTCAAAGCCCTTCAACTCGCTCTCCAAATCCCTCAGCTTATTCTTCTCAACCTCCTGCAACTCCTTGCTGACTTTCTCCTTGTACCCCTCGTCATTCAGAATCTTTTGCTGCTTCTCGATTCCCTTCTTCGTGGCTTCGGCTTTCTTTGATGCTTTGGTGATCTCGGCTTCGATGTCGACGCGTCCCTTGACGTGTAACAGGACAGCAGCAGACGAGGAGACGGAGAAGATAACACAGCCGGCTGGACGGGCGGCTGATACTGGGAGGATTTCGATGCTGGTAACGCCCTTGCCAGAGAGGGATTTGATGGATTGCTGTTGGGCGGAAGCGGTGGTATGGGCTGTAGCGTCGGTTGTTGCAACGAAGACTATGAATTGGTTAGCAGGCGGAGAGATGATAGTAAGAGAAATTGAATTGTACCTTTTCCTTCATCCTTGAGCGAATACTCGGCCATCAATGAACGGATGCCTTTGGAGATGTTGAGAACAAGTTCATAAGCCTCTTCAGATTTTGGATCGTCTAGCTTAGCATCGTAAACAGGGTACTTGGCGAGTACAATTGATGGGGTCTTGTCTTCTGGTCGGCGAGGGAGTCTTTGCCATAATTCCTCAGTCAAAAACGGCATGTATGGGTGGATCATGGTCAGACCACCCTCGAGAGCTGTGTACAGAGTATCTTGAGCAGAGCGCTTTTCTTCAGCGGTACCGTCTTGGAGGATTGCTTTGGAATTCTCAATAAAGACATCGCAAAGCTGGTTCAGCCAGTACTGGTAGATGTAAGATGTCGATCGCATGAATTCACGTTCTCCCAGTGACTGGTTGACGTCCCTCGCGGCTGTGGTCAATTTGTGAAGAATCCATTTTTCAGCCAAAGATTCCTTGCCAGTGCTACCACCAACCTTCTGAGGAACAAAATCCGCATCAAGCTTACCCAATACGAATTTCGTAGCTTGGTAAATCTTGTTGCAGAACTTGCGGTAACCATGGATGACCTTAATGTCGAATGCAATATCTCCACCACCAGTGGTGTAGGAAACAAGGGCAAAACGAAGCGCGTCGGTACCGCATTGAGGAATACCGTCAGGGAAAGCGGACTTTTGGTACTTGGTAGCCTTTTGAACCTCAACTGGAGCCAAATTACCGACCAAAAGCTTTTTGTGCAGATCTTCCAAAGCAATACCCTCAATAACGTCCTGGGGGTCGATAACGTTTCCCAGCGATTTCGACATCTTGCGGCCGTCTGAATCACGGATGAGCGAGTGGCAGTATACCTCGGTGAACGGGATTTTCCCTGTCAGTTTTATACTGAACATAATCATGCGGGCTACCCAGAAGGGTATGATGTCCCATCCGGTCTCCAAGACACTGGTTGGGAACAGTGTCTCAAGATCATGAGTCTTATTTGGCCAACCCATGGTCGCGAAAGGCCACAGTCCGGAGGAGAACCAGGTGTCCAGAACATCTTCATCCCTCCTGAGCTTGAAATTCTTGCCTGGGAGTGCTTTGCGAGCTTTGACTTCTGCGTCTTCTTGCGTTCTCCCGGCAAACCATAACTTTCCGTCAGCTTCATCGCCATCCTCACCGTATATTTCGGCGAAATACATTGGCGCTTGGTGGCCCCACCACAACTGTCTAGATAGACACCAATCGTTGATATTACTCATCCATCGGATGTAGCTCTTCTCTGAAGATTCCGGCATAATCTTGATTTCTCCAGAAGTAACAGCATTGAGAGCATCCGCTGCCATATCCTTCATGTTCATCCACCATTGTGGCTTCAACAGTGGTTCAATGATGTCTTTGGATTTCTCACAAAGCGGAACACTCATTGGGTTGTCTTTCTTGTCAACGTAAAGTCCAGCTTTTTTCAAATCTTCCTGGATAGTATATCGGACGTCGAATCGTTTCTGCCCAACGTAGGACCCTGCGTTCTCATTCATCTTCCCATCGTCAGTCAAGATGTTGATGAACTTCAAATTGTGCCTCTTTCCAAGATCAAAATCATTTGGATCGTGCGCTGGTGTGATCTTTACAGCACCAGTACCAAAGTCTTTCTCAACATATGTGTCAGCGACAATTGGCATAAGTCTCCCCTCAATAAAAGGGTGGACAGCGTTTTTGCCAACAAGATGCTTATACCTATCGTCTTCAGGATGAACAGCAACGCCTGTATCACCCAGCATTGTTTCAATACGAGTCGTCGCAACCTCGATGTGTTCATCCGTGCCCTCAATAGCGTATTTGAAATGGACAATGACACCGAATTCAACTTTCTTTTCATATCCCGGTACATCGAGCAGAGTTCTGCCTGTCAACTCTTTGTTGGAAACCTCAAGGTTGGAAAGAGAGGTATTGAGCTTCGTACACCAGTTGACCAGGCGATTGGCACGATAGATGATGCCCTCTTCGTGTAACCGAACAAAAGTCTCTGTGACAGCAGCGGCAAAATCCTTGTTCATTGTGAAAGCTTCGCGTGTCCAGTCAAAGGACCCACCCATTCTCCTCAGAACGGTATTGATCTTGGTGTGATACTCTTCCTTCCATTCCCAAACAGTTTCGACAAATTTTGGCCTTCCCAGATCATGGCGGGTCTTCTGCTCCCTCCGCCATAGCATATTCTCGACAACATTTTGTGTCGAGATACCTGCGTGGTCACAGCCTGGAAGCCACAATGTAGTTTTGCCCTGCATTCGATTCCACCGAATCATAACATCCTGCAGCGCGTTACCCAGTGCATGTCCCATGTGAAGATTTCCGGTGACGTTTGGAGGTGGCTCGACGATAACGAAAGATCCTTCTGGCTTGACCTTTCCATCTTCTGCAAATTCTGGCTTGAAGAAACCCTCCTTTTCCCACCAAGCATACCAAGCGGATTCGACTGCAGTAGGGTTGTAGGCTTTGTACTGCGGGTCGTCAAACGATTTGATGATCTTCTTCTCTCCCGCAGGTGTATCTTCAACATATGCCGGCAAAACATCCTCCTCCGCTTTCTTCTCAGCCTTTGCTTTCTTCTCTTTACTCTTGCTCGAAAGAGGCGCGGCAGCTTTATTGGCGGCTTGAGCCTTCTTCTGATCGAATTTGGCTTGCTTCTCTGCCTTCTTGCGATCCCTTTCCAGCTCTTTCTCGCTCTTTACCTTCTTCTCACCTTCAGCAGCCTCCCCAATCTTGCTTCCTGCATCTTGTCCTGGAATATGAGAGCCGGTTGTAGAGGACGATGCGGCACCCGCGACAGCAGCCTTGGTGTCGCTGGAGAGAGGAGGCGGGGGCCCTGTGACGGGACCTGTTTTCTCGCCAACTGAAATTGTTAGAGTTTTTATTGCTGCTTGGGAATGTTATCTCTTACTTGGATTGTACGAAGCGGAATTGGTCGCCATTCTCGCAGAAAACGGGTTGAAAATATAGTTTCTGTAGAGCGACCTGCGCGCACAGAATGATCGACACAGAAATTTAGACGTTTTGAAAGTGTATCGAAAATTTTAGAGTTTCTTCGTCGTGCTGGAAGCTCGACGATACAACGTGGGGAAGCTACAATTTATGGTACAAATATGACTGGATTTGCTAATGGGATGAGTCGAACTTTTGATCGACTAATGGCGGGGCTAGAGCGAGGGAAAGCGGCGATCTGCGAGATACAGAATATGGCAACCGGCGCTACCATTAGATTTTCATGAGGTTATGTAAAAGGAATTGGGAAGCCTGATATCTCTAGAGATTAATAGTAAATAGAACGTATTGAATTAAAACGTTATAATTTACTGTTATGAATGGTCCTCAATCTTTGCGAAGTGGTTCGTGAAGGAATGCCGCTTTTAACCAAAGAGCTCGAGTCCAAAGCTAGCCTCACCTCGCAATCACAAGGCTGAGAACACAAATAGGTAGGCTTTTCTTCGAAGTGATCAAGTAAGATGACATTATTTATCTATCCACAGGTAGGTATCACGCAAAGTCTCTTTACTAGGTTAAATGATATTCACGAGATTAGTAGCAAATAGCATCTTACTTACTAGGTTAAACGAGGCCGAGTTTATCGCTATATTGGCAAATGGAATGGAATTACCTTTGGATGCGATGGATCTGCGCGAAACGGAAAAGTATAAATGTTCAGTTTTGAATAAAGAATTGAAGGAGGTGGATGGCAACATGGAGGAAAGAGAGATGGCTATTTGAAGATGCACAACCCCACTAATTCATAGAGATTAGTCACCATGCATCTCCTTATATACTTAGAAAATGTACAAGTAACAAGTTTGTTTATCAACAATATCATCCTTTGGGACATATTAAAGAGCTGGTTTAAAATTTTAAAAAGAACGTTTTTGACAAACTTTGACTATCAATAGTTTGGGCTTTTATTGTCAGTTTTTATACAAGAAAGTCCAGTGTTGCCAAGTCTCTCACTACAAGACTGCCACTCATCTCGAGAGCCCACCCAATCGCGAGGCTTCAGAGTACACCCATTGATGGTAGCAGCATGGAAAGGATCTACCCCACCGATTCGCTTATGAAGAAGTTATCTAGCGCTAACGAGCTACTTGAATCTCAATCTGATATATTTCACTCATTGTTTCCGCACACATGGGAGACCCAGTCGGTATCGCCTCACTAGGCATCCAAGTGTGCCATGGTCTATTGCAGTACTACAAAACGTGGAAAGACTACAAAGATGATATAGAAGCAACATATGAACGCATTGAGAGCTTTGAGCAGACTCTTTTACTGCTATGCAACACGATCAATCAGCGAGGTCCTTCGCCGGATCTACTAAATCAAGTCGCTGATTGCATTCAAGCATGCAGGGACGGCATTGCGAGACTGAGTGCAAAGTTTGAGAAAATCAAAGAGCGCACGCCAGATGAATCTGCTATGAAGTTCGTACCGAATCTCTTTGATCCAATTTTTGTGCTCTTATCTTGTACAGGGCTATAGTTCATCGTCTCTGCGAACTCCTCTTCTGACCGTGAAATCTAATAATTAAACATCTTGAAATAGCATTCTTCGACGGCAAATCCACTTTCAAAGCCAACGTCTAATATACCCATTCCGGGCAAGCACATTAGCCAAACTGAGAGAAATCACCACAGAGCTGCAGAGCAATCTTCTCGCTGCGGCCACTGTGCTCAACATAGATCTTACGGCATCTGCTTTGGAGCGACTTGAAATTCTAGATAACCGTACGTCCTCACTTGTTTCGGAGTCTGCTAGTATTAGAGGCTCTGTTAGCAATGTGGAGCGTCAAGCGGGAGAGATTCTCCAGGTTCAAACAGATTCGAAATATCAGAAAGCTTGCGAATGGCTGTCTGCTCCAAACCCCATCATCGAGTACAGCAAAGCCCTAAAAGACCACCATCCTGGCACAATCTCGTGGTTTGTCAACAGCGAAGAGACGTTTGAGAGCTGGAAGACCTTGTCGAGATCCACTTACTGGATACACGGAAAACCTGGATGTGGGAAAACAGTGCTAAGTGCGGTCATTATCAGCCATTTAAAGGAGAATGTTTTGCCAATAAACAATGGCTCATTAGCTTACTTTTTTTTCAACACCAACGACAGGCCAAAAACGAAAGTTGAAGGCCTCGTCAGGTCGCTAGCTTTTCAATTGGCGCTGCAAACAACCAATGGCCAGAAAGAGATTCTAGATCTTTACTCTAACCATCGTGACGGTCAAAAAGATTTAGATCAAGCCACGCTTCAAGCATTCTTAAAAAATCAGCTTGCACAAGGTCCTGTCTATTTGTTGTTTGACGCCTTAGATGAATGTGAAGATGCAAGCGAACTCCTCAATCTGATCCAGACTATCCTCAGCTGGCAAGTAGACCATCTACGGATGATCTTTACAAGCCGGAACGATGACTATCTCCGAGTTTTTCTAGATTCATTGGTAATGTTCGAGATAGACATGGGGAACGCACATTTAAAGGCGGATCTTGAGGTATACATTCGCGAAAGAGTCAATAACGATGAGCAACTGGGTGCTTGGTCTCCGGATATTCAAGAAGAAATTATTTCCTCTATTGGAGATGGAGCAGATGGCATGTGAGTGTATCTATAGTTCTTCGGCAGATAATTCACTAATGCATGGCAGGTTCCGTTGGGTTGCTCTCCAGTTAGATGAAGTGACGAAATGCTACACATTGGATGGATTAAGAAAAACGCTTAAATCGCTGCCACAAGATTTGGAAAGTACTTACATTCGTATACTATCAGAAATCCCAGAGGCTAGTCAGCACGTAGTCCAACGTCTTCTGTTATGGATCGTCTCGGCGGAAGTCCCATTGGATCTTGTAGCCGCAGCAGAGACTGTCAAGCTAAATATTGAAGACAGTGACTTTTACTCCGAGGACAGAAGATTAAGGAGCTCGAGAACCCTACTCAGACTGTGCCCTAGCCTTATTACCCTGACACAAAAAGATGATCTATCCGGAGTTGAATGCCTCACTCTGGCTCACGCTTCTGTGAGGGAGTTCCTTCTTTCGGAACGCTTGAGGAATACGCCGCTTAACTCCTACCACTTTTCCATGGAACAGGCTTCCATTTACGTCGCAGAGTCCTGCGTGGCGTACCTGGTGCATGTTGCCAACACACAGCTTGATCTGACCGAGAATTGGTATTGGACTACTTTCAAGAAATTTCCGCTGTTAGAATACGCCCGTATTTTCTGGGATACGCATACCAGAAAAGTGCAATCCGCAGACACAAAAAGATTGAACACCCTTGTAATCGATTATTTTTCAAGCAGTCTTGTTACGAAGATTTCTGAGAGCTTTACAGCGCACAACATGCACCCTCATGACCTCTCACCATTGATTCGAATGGCCGAGTACGGTTTGGTGAACGGCCTCCAAGGCTTCATAGACCAAGGAGCCAACATAAACTCCACCACCAATGCAGGGTGGACTGCACTTTCGGTAGCCGTATCATCAGAAAGGCCCATCATTGTCCAAACGCTGCTCGAAAATGGAGCATCACCAAACTGTTCTGCTGGAGATTGCATGACCGCTTGTGGTTTGGCCGTTAGAATGACTGTTGGGTTGTTAATTAGCTCCAATACTTCTAATTGCCATGAAATTACAACAAATCTTCTAAGGCATGGGGCGGCGCTGGCACCAGGTGAGCCCATGAGCGTGTGGCAAGAAGCGCTAGAGTACGAAGAAGCGAGTACTATCCAAGAGCTGCTTGCTCTTAACGTTGACGCTTTGTTTCAAGCTGATAATAACGTCCCGTTACTCCATTGTGCGGTATCAATGCACCTTCATCGTTACCACGGCATGGTAAGACAGGGAAGACCGGCGACTCTTGTGGCCGCTTTGGTTCGTGATGACCTGGAAAAGGTTCGCCTTATTTTGGATAATAAAACTGTTGTGGACGCTATGGGTGAAGATAATAGAACTCCATTAGTGGCAGCACTGCATAAAGCAGCGCAGTTCGATGGTCCTCATCAAGGCCTTGTGATTGAGGTTTGTGAGCTCTTGCTTGATTCTGGGGCTGATGTTCATGCTCAAGATGCTCAAGGCTGGACACCATTACATTGGGCTGCGGCTTACCTAAATGAAAATGTTGTAAGCATGTTCCTGCGTTGTGGAGGAGGAGGGCGTTGGCTCAGTACAAGTTGCCAAACTGCACTTCACGTAGCTATTATCTATGGAAACGACGAGTCGGTCATCCGGACATTATTAGAATACGACCTGCCATTGGACATCATCGACGACAACGGGAATACTGCTCTCGGGTATGCTATATTGGCGTTTGATGAACGGCCGAGCATCGTGGAGATGCTAGTTCAATATGGAGCGAACATGGATGATGAGAATTAGCAGAAATTCATGTACAAGACATGATGGATGGAGTTCGAGATTTTCATGTCAATGATTCATTGAGTGAGACATGAAAAAAAGGTACTTCGGGTTGAAATTGGACATTGAATTTCCTATCAGGATGTTAGTCGGCGATAAATTTCATTTAACACACCTTTCTCTGCAATTCTCCGTATATGTCTTTGTAATTTCCGCGAGAACAGCATAAATGCAAGCTTCTCAGAAAAACATAAAGGTGATACTAAACAATGGTTAGGTCCCAAAATTAGCCCTCAAGATCTCTGGTGGCCCACACGTTCGATACATCGATCCAGCTGTCTCATACGGGATGTCACCAATCAAAAATTGGCAATGCTTCGGGGAATTGGCAACCAACTCTGAAGTATTGTATGTGTTTTCAGCTCTTTGAAATCGCTGTCATTGGCACCCCTTATCCATTTGCGATAATAAAGATGAAAATAGCGGTTCTGTCGAGGACAGGTTTGTGTGAGTCCCTGAGAGTTCACAGCCTGTTAGCGCGACATCATATATACGTGCATACTGGCTGATTTCGCTTTCGCTCGTACAAACTTCTTCGTTTCCAAGAATCGTTCTCTCCAACAAATTTAGTCAGGGACCTGTTGCTGCTACGACTACAGCCAATCAACCGAATTTCTCAAGCTTGCAGCGCGGCTGTACCTTTTCAAGCGCTGTCAACTGTGAAACCTTCGTTTTCGGAGATCTATTGGCAGCTGTTATCTAATATCTCCTTCCAATCCATTGTATTACTTTGCAAGTGTTTAATGTTGACATTTGGGTTCTGGAAATCCCATTGAACCTTACCTACATACCTACCTAGGTACCTAGGTAGGTACTTCTTGACCATTACGTCAACTATGGTGGTAATTCCAGCAAGAGTTGTCGGATAATCCTCGGTTTCCGGCAATGACAACGGCTCCGGCAGGCTGCATCGATGTTTTCTGGACGCGTTCTGGGTTTCTTCATAAGCTGCACATAACCAAAATATGATTATTTCCGCTCAAATACCTCTTTGTCATAAGTGGTTGATGTATGAGGTAGAGATGACTTGCACTACTTTGAAGTCAACCGAGTTCACCTGAGATTTCTGTCGACATTTTCAAGACATGGCCATCGCCGCACTTCCCCAATCTACCATCCATTTGTTAGGATCCGCTCAGGTATTGACATCTACTACATCACTTGTCAAGGAGCTTATTGATAACGCCCTTGATGCAAAAGCAACCTCAGTCGAGGTACTATTGTCTCAGAATACTTTGGACAAAATTCAAGTCAGAGACAATGGACACGGCATTCAGCATGATGACCTTGACGCGCTGGGACGACGCGGACACACTAGCAAGTTGAGGTCGTTTGAAGATCTGAGATCAATTGGTGGGGTCAGTCTGGGCTTTCGTGGAGAGGCACTCGCCAGTGCGGTCCAACTTGGAAAAGTCTCCGTAACCACGCGAACGGAGGGAGAAGCTGTTGCCACTTCTGTTACACTGAAAGCTCCTGGAGGAATTGCGAAGCAGAGCAAAACGTCTCATCCGATTGGTACGACTGTTACTATCCTGAACTTCATGTCGAAGCTTCCGGTCAGGAAACAAACAGCACTAAAGTCGGCGTCAAAAACCTTGGTGAAGACAAAAGAGCTCCTTCAAGCATATGCCCTTGCTAGACCCTCGATTCGATTCAGCTTAAAGATCACCAAAGATTCTAAGGGCTCTTGGTCTTTTGCACCTCGTCCAAACGATGGTGTCAAGGAAGCTGTTTCTCACATCATCGGCAAAGAAGCTTCTATGCAGTGTTTATCGAAAACTCTGACCTTTTCCGAACCTCGCAAAACTGGAGACAATGAGTTTCACGTCGAGATTTATCTGCCAAAACCTGATGCTGACATTTCAAAGGTCGGACATGGTCAATATCTGTCAATAGATTCCCGGCCGGTGTCACACGAGAAGGGCACGATGAAGAAGATTGTCAGCCTGTTCAAGAGCTACCTCAAAGTTGGGCTAGGTGAAGCGCGTGAGGTTCGCAATCCTTTCATCAGGATCAATATAAATTGTCCTCTTTCTAGTTATGACCCAAACGTGGAACCCGCAAAGGACGATGTCATCTTCGGAAACGAAAGTCTTATTCTCGACCCTTTTGAGAGTTTTTTCAAAGATCTTTACGGCGAAAAGGAATCAGCTTCGAATTCTACGTCGAAGAACAAACCAGCCAAACCCATCGACAACTTTGAACTACTCCTGGCAAGAAATCCTGTGGTTGGCGTACCGTCTCTCAACAAAGGTACAGCTCGATCCGATAGCAATGTTCAATTGAAGATTATTGAATTCGAAGATGATTCTGCTTCTGCCGAAAAAGGGGTCCCAGATATGACGCAGGACGAAAACAGCTTATTTGTTCCTGAAGCAGGCGAGACTAGTCCTGCAATCGGGAAAAGCCGTCGTTCATGGGGTATAGATATGTCTAGGGATTTTGATGAAGTTGTGACCGATCCGAGGAGTGCGGTACTGAATCGCAAGGCAAAGAGCTCTCCTGCCGCGATTGAAGATGACAGCTCCAATACTCTCAACCCTTGGGTCATTGCTAAAATGACTGCTCCTTTAAGAACCAATGCAGAACCAGTAGCTCCGACTGATCAAGAATCCCGGACCCCAGGTGCAGCGAACGATCAGTATCACATAATAGACGGTAACCTTATAAGAAGAAAATCACAAGAACAGCTATTTCTTGAGTCCCCTGTCCAGAAGCATGGTTCTGTTTCTCGGCGGACACCAAAGCGGCGATACAGCAATGAAGCTAGGCTTCCCAATCCAAATACACCTAAGGCGTCTCTGTATGAATTAGACCGAGGAACAAGACACAGAAGTGAAGATGGTAATATCTATCTTGAACAGAGAGCAAAGGCCTTCCGTGATACGACATTAGAGACACCCGATATACCTAGCTTACATCGGCGACAAGAACACTCCTCCTCAGAATTTGGTCATGAATTACCAAACTTCAATGAACAAAGTGTACGCCGTCGACAAAATGATTTCGTCAGTGCCCGAAGCATCAAAGAAAGCTTTCTCCTCACTCCACCTGCCACTCAACGACAAAAGCCCTCACACCAATCCGACAAAGTTAACAAACCATTTGCAGCACCTCGAAGAATCGCAGACACCACATCAACACCGACTAGGCTCCAGCAAACAAGACTTCCAACATTCCAGGGGCAGCAAGATTTCTTAGGAGTAGAAGAACCTCAATCAGAACTTGAATGGGCAATGCAATACGAGCAGAACAAGGAGTCCGCAAGCCGTACCCGTCGCGACCAACTCCGACTCGCTCGAAAGGATACAGAAACAGAAACCCGCACCGAAAGAACTAAATCCTCTCCTCACAAGAACAGGTATAACGCTGCGATCGCTGCACTCGAAGGAGATGCTGTTTCCAAACCTCAAGAGCCGAAAACATCACTACCGCCCAACGATCCACGAGCATACCTAATGAAACATCAAGCCCTTTCATCAACAGCAGATGGCGAGCAGACGAAAGCCATCCGCAATACACGCGCCAAATCGACGAAGTTACCACTTGAGAAGATTCCAGATCATCTCCAAACTCACAAATTGGTCTTGAATCTCTCCACAGACATGGAAAAGATAAAAGAAATCACTGAGATGTTCACCCCTATCGACGCGTATATCTCTCAAGGTCGTTCGGAACCGGGTTTAGAGCTGAGTGTGGCGGCGACGAAAGACCTTAGTCGTGATATCAAACGTATGGTTGACGCGTGGGTAGAGAAGCAGGAGGATAGACGCGATTGCGAGGTTGAATATTTATTTGCTAATCTTAATAGCGTTGAGGCGTAGATTGCTGTAACAATTATGGGATAAAGGGAATAGGCGCAACAGAAGGATTGTCATGATATTGTCGGTGAAATTTGGCATTTAATGTTGCTTGTGAGGGTCGAGTTATATATGTCATCTTTACTTGTCGCATCTAGCTTTTGTATTTTTTTGCAAGACATAGAGAATACACCACTAATTGATTATGCTACAACCTTGTATCTGTCTTTTCTTTCTGTTCCTGACCTTCTCCACCTTCAGAAGCTTCACAGAATGTATTAACACAGCTCATTGAACGGAATCCTTCAACCCGCTACTTACCTGACCACCACATTCTCCCATCCCGTTCACTCACGACAAGTTCTAGAACAGTCAATCCACAATCTCCCTCCTTATCACGGAAATTTCCCCAAGAAACAACGCAAACTCTTCCCTATCTTCATATTTGCAGCTTCTAGACCGTGGCCCGACCATCTCCACTCACTCCCTTCCACAACCACCGAAACGGTTTCAGCATCACTCACTGCGGAGGCGGCGTGCATTCCGCGTTTATGTGAGGAAGAATATGCAATACAACCCTCCCACTCACCTAACCCTCAAAAAACTTCCCATTCTTTTCTTGTTTTTTTTTTCACATTTTGTGAAGGATTTCATCAACGTAGCATCTAAAGACCCTGCACACAAGAAACGTGGTCCTGTCCTTCGACGGCACATATACGAAGCTACGACGCGGCACATATGTGCGTGCTCAACGGCGTGGAATCGTCGGTATATAGATCGTACTACTACATCCTCGATCGTGGACCCATTTTTGGGGATTTGGTGGGAGGGGGGAGAGTGTTTATCGATCCTTTTGGGTAGGAAGGATGGAGTTGTGGGTTGGTTGGGTGAGGGGAGGAGAGAGGGTTTGTGGAATAGGGAAGGGTATGTGGAATACAAGAGGGTATGTGGGCTTGTGTGATAGATGGGATGAGGTTGTTTCACGGTTTTGAGAAGATGCGTGGGTTGGGTGATGGTGGTGGTGGTGTGGATTTTGATGTATGGATTAATTGACGATGGATTTTGTTGCAGATATCTGATATACTGTGCGGCTTGAGGTTACCCTCCTGCGATGTTTTCGCTTTCTCAGCAACATGATAACCTTTTCAAGCTCTTCCTGCACGAATAACCTCAAACATACACGTAAATATAGTAAAATCTCGTTTCAAGAAACACTAAGCCCGCGGGATAATACCTCTGTACAATCCTACCTCCTCACCAACACAATAAACCGTCAAAATCTTCCTACACAAATCAATCTCTAATCCCAATACCAACGGAAATACGGCAATACCTCGTTTCAAGAACCGTTGAGCCACTTGATAGTAGCATTTCACTTCTTTTCATCTCATCGCTACAATTTCTCGGTACAAATCAAGCTCAAGTACATACGTAGATGATCCGGCGAAGTGAATGTTTGTTTCAAAATACATACCGTGTATAATGACGATTGAACCTCTCACCATCAACCGATCTCACCACCAACTGATCATGAGGTTAATTGTACGCGTACAGCCACGTCCCAGATGTTTCGAGCTATCTGGGGATTGTCTGTGTGTTTTGTCTTAATGAGGAAATGGGATTGAAACGTTAGCTCAGGATGATTTGTTAGTGTGGTGTTGTAGAGGGGACAGTTGTTAGTGAGGGAGCGAAAGTTGGGGAAGTGTTTTGCTAGATCATTAGTTATGTCTTGGAGGGGAGGGGAAAAGCTTGTGTTTTTTCTAGTTGGGAGGTGTTGAGAGGTTAGTTTTGATGGAGAGTTTGAGAGGGTTTGTAAAGGAGAAGGTGTGTAAAACTTATGAGTTGGTGCATCTCATCAACCTCTGCATCCACACTTACCATTAATCGACTTCCTATTAATCACATAGCCACACATTAATTCCACACCAAACTCACAATAACAATGCACAATGCACTCCCACGTGACACCGAGCTCATGCACATGTCAAATGGCATAAAGTTTCGACCGAGCTGGAGATGAGCATTTATTTCCTCTCAAACGCACTCAAAAATCTCCGCGCCGTCGTGCGCAATCGCATCTTCAGATGAACGGTGAGGCACGTCATGGGTAATGACGATCATGCTGACGTGCAATATATCTGCAGGCGATCTTCTGATGGTAAGATTATGGGATGGGATGATCAGGGGGAGATCGTGAATGGTTTCCTATTTCGGGGGTTGTGTACTGTATGTTTTCATGCGACTCCTACTATTTTGATAATTGATATGTTTTCATAGAGGAAGGATTTGTTTTGTACATCACTCCGTTCGTCCATGGAGAGAAGTGTTGACCACGTCGATCTGTCAAAAGTGGTGATGTGTATGTTGTGGTATTTGTGGCTCTTCGGGATATTTTTGTTCTAGTTTCAAACACGGAACGTTACAAAACTGTCATCGTAGCCGTGCACTTCAGGTCTTTGCCCATCGAGAAAGGGGCTTGGCGGCGCTGTTTGTTTCGGATTTCTTGGGTTGCGCGGGGGTGATTGGTTGTATTGAGATGGGCGATTAGCGATGTGGAGGGGAGACTAAAGGGGAATGTTTGCGGTTGCTCTGTATTTTGTATGTCATGATGGGGATTTTAGGCATACAGGAGTTTTGTTGTTGTTGGTATACTGTGTCCTACGCTGAGCACAACATTGAGGCTGAGATGGCAGTTGATGTTGGTCCGAGCAATACGAAAAGGGGGGACAGGAAAGCCTACACTAAAGTAAGCTTTGTTCAGCATGGCGGTGACGGTGAGTTGGGTCTCAGGAGTAAGATTTGTAGCTAGACATGGTGTTGAATACCGACCTTTCGAGGCAGACCGGTGCGTCGACGAGGTCTTCTCAGCCCGCGCGATCACTTGCATCGTCCCGTTTGACCAGGTAATGGACGGCAGACGACGGGTAAAGCCACGATGGCTTCAACCGTGGTTCACTGGCTCCACGCCGTTGAATAACCTCCGAATACGTTGCAACTTACCTGGCCGTGGCAGCTGGATTGATACGGCACTGAGGGGGTGATTGCACATGAAGCAACTTCTGATTCCTTTGGTACGATGGAATTACCTTTTTGGCAGTTCTGGGCCAGCTGTTGTGAAACTACCTAAGGTAGGCACTCTTAGCACCATACCTACCCAAGGTAGGTAAAACCTTGGGTAGGTAAGTAAAAGTAAAACTCCCGCCGCTGACGATGTTGTATGCAGTTGATAAGTTGATAATGATATGATAGCAATACTGTAACATCGACCAAATATCAATATCAATATCGCTTCATCTGTCCTTTCGTTCCTCTTCATTTGTCGGGTTTCGGTGGGGTCCATACAATCCGCCATATATCTGCCAGTAATTCTTCCTAAAAAAGATTCGTTGACCAGGTTCAACACCCATTCAGTGGTTGTTTCATGTCGGCCCCTGGTCCCATGCGAGTCCGCTCTTTCGCGCCCGCCTGAGTCTGCGTGTAATCTGGGCCAATCACAGCCTCGCCACAAGCACCCTCCTTTCTTCGGCTCCACTCGCCCCCCTCCCATACGTGGGTGACTGAGTAGGGGAGAGTTGTGAGGTGAGCAACACCACCGCCGCGACATAAGCCAGTCGCCAGAAACCCAACCTTCCATCCTCCTCTTCAGTTCTCAACTCATCGTTCGACGACTACCTCCTAAGAGTTCTAAATACCTTCCTTTTCTCCCCTCCTCTCCTCCTCCCCTCCAGTCGTCCAACTTCATTCTCGTACCTCGTACCACCCCGTCAAAGGATCTTCGTCCGAGACCTTTCTTTGTCCAGCAGTTGGATCCACTGTCCACGCTCACACGAGACATCCGAAACGACGCCGCGAAAAGAGAGTCAATCCACCTCCACACACACAACCTGGAGTGAAATCATCTAAGAAAAACCTCGCCGACCACCTGGACCTGGGAGTCGGACCTGGCATACGCATCACCTCTGTGCGCGCTGCGGGTACATCTCCGACCGTGTGTTGCTACTTCTAATCAACGCTCCCTCCTGATTCCATTTGGACTCACTCACCCACGCGACTTCGATTCGATCCGACTTGCCTAGAGACTCCATCCGACCTACACCACATCCGTCCGTCCTCGCATCTATAGAAGCTCCATGCATTAATAATACACTTTGCTTACAATGGCCATGTTAGCTTCCAAGTCGCCCTTTCCGGCACCTTTGATCTCGAGTTCCAGCATCTCCTCTTCATCCGCACAACAACAACCGGGCAGCCAGTCAAGTAGAAGAGCTCCCGCGATGCTGAATTCAAGTCAATCATTTGCCAGTCCTACAGAGTCGGAGTTTTCCGATATGGACGGCCCAGAATCAGCAAAGAACTGGGACGAGGAAAAGGTGTGCGATTGGTTAAGGAGTATCAACTGCGGCGACTATGTCAAGTTATTTAGGAAGAACAACATCACGGGAGAGAATCTGTTGGAGATGGACAAGGCTGTACTTCAAGAGATGGGCATTGAGAAGATTGGAGACCGCGTACGCCTGTTTTTGGGAATCAAGAAATTGAGAACCAAGGCATACGCAAATCAGAAGAAGAGGAATCGGGTAGGCCATTTTCCTGATATCTTCCATCAATTATGCTAACAATACTAGGACTCTTTTGCTGGATTAGACGCGTATACTCCCTCGTCCTCTGGATCCCCCCGACCACCACACTCAAGTAACCGATCGCTTCCCACCTCAGCATCATCGAAACGGTGGTCACAATCACACAGTGCCGGTTTTGGTTTCAACCCACCAGCAGCCATTCCCGAGAATGTTGTTCAACCCACGTCCCGATCAAGTTCTCCTGCCGCTGAAATCCGAGCGGTTCGTGCAAACAGAGGTGGAAATGCCATGAGCCCACTCGAGACCGCTCGAACAGCATACTTCAATTCCACTGTTCCCCCAAGTGCTGGAACGTCAAGTAACTGGAGACCTGGTACCCCTGGTGACTCAACACCGCAAACAGCACGACCAATCAATGTTCACAAGAGAGCCGAGAGTGATGGATCTACAATGGCAAAACTGCTTCCAGAGCAAGGTGTAGTAAGAGTCATCTCATCACAGGGCCAGTCCAAGGTATTCGTTGTAAAGGACTGCAATTCTTGTGATGAGCTTATGAGGATGACATTGAGGAAATTCAACTACCGAGAAGATCATGATAGAAATTACTGCTTCTGGATTCTGAATGGACCGAAACCTGATCCAAAGGCGTGTCGACGGCTATCAGATACCGAACTCTGGCAGATCCTGAAAGACCCAAGGAGAGCCGAGCGAAATCGACTGATCCTTCGGAAAATCCACGCTGGAGAGCCTGAATTGGATCAATTACAACGAGCCGCTGCTATCGCCAACGAAGAGAACACCACAAGTCGGGACATCAACCTGGCAAAGTCCAAGATCAACAAGATGTTCCCGGATGACGATCAAACTCAACCACTCTCTCCAGCCTCATTTCAGTCAACAGGATCTACTATGTCATCAAGCGAACGAGCACGTAACTTTCAGAATGCTAGTGATGCCTTGACAGCTCGTGCACCAGCTGCCGAACAGGCCAGAGAAAGAGATTCAACAAGACGAGGACCAAAAGCAGGAAATGGAGGAGGCGTACTCCGACAATTCTTCGGACAACGACCACCCAGCGAATTGATTACTTCGGATTTGACTACCTACTTCCCAGATCACCCACGGGAGGAGATTGATCGAACTGCCCGACTTTCGTTACGCAGATCTACCCGACTGAGTAGGGTCAATAGCCGATTAAGTGTTGCAAGTAATATGAGCTTTGCTTCAAGTATCGGGGATGCTCCGCCGATGCCAACCATTGCCGATACTTGGTTGAGTGGGAATGGTGGTCATGTTGCAAAGGTCAGACCATTAGATCTGAGTAGAGGTGGTAGTCAGCGGTATCGGGATTCAGTCGCATCGTCAATGCTTGAACCATTACAGGAAGAGTCGCCAATCGAACCTAACCGGAAGTCATATGTTTCCTTCGATAGCGGGTCGGATTCAACAAACGTCAATGTCACCGATCCAGATGGACGTACTCAGAGTTATTTCGAGGAGACAAGCACAGAGGCTTCCGGATCATTGCGAGATATCAATCAAGCTTTAGATGATGATGGAGAGGATGCTGATGAAGAACTCCAGAGTTTCTTAGCTGGTGATTCTTGGGATGACAGCAAGTGGATGAAGGGTGCTCTTATTGGACAAGGTTCCTTTGGTAGCGTCTACCTCGCTCTCCACGCAGTCACTGGAGAGTTGTTGGCCGTCAAACAAGTCGAGTCTCCGTCACCTGGAGTCAGCAGCGCCAATGATGCCAGAAAGAAGAGCATGATTGATGCTCTCAAGCGTGAGATCAGTCTTCTCCGCGACCTTCAACACCCAAACATTGTGCAGTATTTGGGTTGTAGTTCTTCGGCTGAACATCTCAACATTTTCTTGGAGTATGTTCCTGGAGGATCGGTTCAAACCATGCTCAACTCCTATGGTGCTCTTAGAGAGCCCCTCATCCGAAGTTTCGTTCGCCAGATTGTCACCGGTCTTGCCTATCTTCACGGACGTGATATCATTCATCGTGATATCAAGGGAGCCAATATTTTGGTTGACAACAAGGGTGGTATCAAGATTTCTGATTTCGGTATTTCAAAGAAAATGGAAGCTTCAAACATTCTAACTGGAGCTGGTAACAACAAGAATCGTCCTTCTCTTCAAGGTTCCGTCTTCTGGATGGCCCCCGAAGTCGTCAAGCAAACTTCATACACCAGAAAGGCCGACATCTGGTCCCTCGGCTGTCTCGTCGTTGAGATGATGACCGGAACACATCCTTTCCCAGATTGTTCTCAGCTTCAAGCTATCTTCAAGATCGGTGGAGCAAAGATCAGTCCAACGATTCCCGAAAACGCCAGCGATGAAGCAGTTACGTTCCTAAAACAAACCTTTGAGGTTGAGCATGTAAAGAGACCTAGTGCCGAAGAGCTGTTGTTCAGTCCTTTCCTTAACCCTATCACCTGAACGCGGACGACACATTACCTTACGCACATGAATTATATACCAACAGCCCTGCTGTGCCTCCTGCTTTTTTTGTTTTTGCGTTGCATTGCAAGGCTGGGTCATTGCATAGCATGGATGGACGGATTGCACATCACACCCCTCAACTCCTATCTACGAGGGTTACGATCTTGGATGTGTTTAAAAACTTGATGTTTTTATCTTTCTCTTTGTATAAAAAGAATATTAGCGATGTCTGATGATGTGCTTCATGTTTCCTTTTTTGGCTTATGATGGATGGATGGATGAATGATTCCCTATTTGTATATTTGTTGGGTGGAGCGAGGGGTGAGAGGTTGGGACATGTGGGAGAGTGAAAGTAGACGCTTCGAGAATTTTGGAGGTTGGTGTTACATTTGGGGGTGTGGGATGGATGGGGCATTTTGTGTCTTGTGGTGTTGTTGGGTTGGGTGGGTGGAGTACCTATTATATCGGGATGATGAGGAGGGAATATAAGACTGATAATATAAGAAACTTGACATCTACACATGCTTCTTTTCATCTACTTGTGACCGTCTATGCTGTACTAAATGTTGGAAGTTCATTTTGCCTTTAATATTTCGTTTAAGGAGTGGAAAGACCGTGTAGTCACCTCTTGCTTTCTATCCATGATCGTTAGAGCTACTCTCTACGTTGTTGGCTGGAGCCGTGATCATCTGGTATCGTGGCTTTGTACAGGATCGAGAGTATTTATACATATCACCTACCCCCCCCTTCCTTACTCTACAATACATCATCGGAGTACCAGCACGTCAACACATCTTCATAAGTTAGTCATACATACGTCCAATCCTCTTCAAACTTTCAAAACATCTTCGTCCCATCACATCCTGGAGTATAAACATTGAGAATACGCATTAATTTCCCACCTCGAAGCTTTTGCTAACGCGCTTGCTTTGTAACCACACACTTCTGCCAGGAAACCTGGATGCGGAATTTTGAACCATCTATGTGACGAAAATCTACGGGATTCTCTGGTTTGATATGGCTTATCACGTTTTAGAAATGTTGTCAGTTCTTACCTGCGGCTTGGTGAGCTGAGAGTGCGTGGAACGTGAAAGAGAGGCGATGGTTTTCTATCATCTATCTAGATTCTGGTGTGATCTGCCTAGTATTTGCTTTAGAGGAAGCTCGTTCTCGTGAATGATGTATGTGGAGTCATGGAGGGGGAGGTGGTGGTCGTTCTTGCCAAACCAGTCTCGTTGCTAGAAGTGGGAAACTGAGACTAGAGGTTTGTGATGTGGCCCTTTTCAACCGCAGAGTTGTATCTCCCCATTACCCGAGTTTGTCTTCATTCTGGAATATTGGGAAAGGGTCCCATACGTCTTATTAGCATTGCTGCAGACAGGTTTTGATTGTCGAGGTTGAATAGTATCCATCGCCGCGTCAAAATCGAAACACCAAGTATCGCCGATCAACTCGCAACCAGCAACATGGGCGACCGTGGAGGCTCTCCTTCCCAATTGGAGGTCCTTCAGACACTTGCAGGCTTGTATGAACTCGTGGGACAACATTCAAGCCACAAAACCGGTGAACAAATCAATTGGGCTCATAGGTTTTTGAACTGGTTTATATTCGTGAGTAATACCTAATCTGCCTCTATGTTGGCTGCTTCTGATGAGTGTGGGTAGGATTATCCTAGGGATGTCGCGTTTAGAGGTGGTCCGGAGCCCGACAGAGATTTTGTATCTTGCCCTCTCTGCAGCGTTTATGATGCCGATTCTGGTGGGAGAGAAAGGTCTTCGAGTTCGGAGACGGTAGACCATGAGGAGGAGACTTGTGAAGAGAGATATTATGCTAAAACGCCTGGGAAGGAAGTTGAACCCATAGATCATAGTGAAAATCCAGGCCGCGAGGAGGAAGATGGTGACGACAGATATTATGCCGAGACGCCCGGGAAGGAAGTTGAATCCAACGAAGAAAATGAAAATTCAGGCCGTGACGAGGAAGACCGTGATGATAAATATTATGCCGAAACGCTGGGGAAGGAAGTTGAACTCATGGAAGAAAATGAAGAGCCAGGCCGTGACGAGGAAGACCAAGAAGAGGAAAACCGGGAAGAGGAAGACAGTGACGACAGATATTATACCGAAACGCCGGGGAATGAAGTTGAACCCATCGAACAAAGTGGAAAGCCTCTTCAAGAAGCCGATATCGAATTATATGATCTATGGGCCAAATGTATACGAGCCCATGTAGAACCATGGAAACCAGTGAAGGCATCAGGAGCTCAAGCCAACTTAGTAATCGAAGAGTCCTTGATGTTTAGACAAGCTGAATGGGATGCCAAAGCTGTCATTTGGGATCATCACGTACGTGACCTCGAGACCATTATTGTCCTGACTACTTACTTCGTATGCTTCTTCTAGGATCGAGACGCTCTTGGTCCAGCTCGGCCCCCAGCAACGCCTCTAGGAGAAGCCGCCAAGATATATGAAAACCATCGAAACCGTCTGGAGGTTTCACCCTTGGATACGGTTGTAGTCGATCGTGGTACGGAGGAGGAATTACGCATCATGTTTGGAAAAATCGAGAGCATAATTGAAAACCTCAATGGAAGAAATCGTGACAGGATGAAGGAAAAGCTCGGTAATTTGACAGAACAAAAGTCAAAGATTACAGCCGCTTACGCGTTATATGATACCCAATTGAGATATACGAAATTACAAACTCGTGTGCTGTTGAGAGGGATAGACAAAGCAGTCGAATGTATGGTAAAGCTCTCAGGGAGCGTAACTAAGTCGTTGAACAAGCTGGAATACGCATTGAAGGAGAATGTATCTCGAAAACGAAAGTTTTACGACACAGAAACCGAAATGCAGACAGAGGGACGGACAACATCCGATTATATCTGGACGGACGGCCGCTATTTACACGCAGAGACGCCCGGGAAGGATGACGAGAACGAGAAAGAGAACGAGGAAATGAACGAGGACGAGGAAATGAACCAGGACGAGGAAATGGACGAGGAGGAAATGGACGAGAACGAGAGCGACCCACAGCCATCAACCGACAGAGAACCATAAAGCTAACCAGAAAGAGATTATGCATGACATTTCCTTTGTGGAGAGAGATTGACGCTAGATCGGGAATCGGTGTCTAGGAGAGACAAGGGCAGTGAAGACAGACAGAGGTAGAGGTTACTCAGCGTTTGATGAATTGCATGTCTAGTACAGAAAGGGTTTCGATATCGTTTGCTTATAGTACTTTGAATAAAGAGATTATATGAGAATTGGTGGAACAAGCCAAACACTTTCTAGAAATAAAAGACGTCTGGTCGGTTATGTAGTGCAAGTTAACAAGAAAGAGAAGCGATTTCAGGATATTAGCTGTCGGGAAGACCTCGGCAAAAGCGGGTCCCGTCTTGACAGCCTTGGACATCCCATCGTAGCCTCATCTCCAGCAACACGCTGCCGGTATGCCATGAAATAAACCCACACCAGTCTGTCGCATGGCTCTCGACGGATCAGGCGGCTATGTTCCCGCTCAGAACTTACAGGACCTTGGGGAAAACTCCCTCCCCATATTCAATGTCGAAACGGTCGCTTTACAGTTCTCCATAGCCTCGGATTTCGTCGCTGCCCAGGTCGCAAACAATGTCCTGGTTCTGGCCCTTGCGAATGGGAGGATCCTCCGTATAGACCTCGACAACCCGCAGGATATAGATGGTTGGTCACTGTGCACTATGTTACTGTAGCACCTGCTGATTCCTCCTTAGACATCGACCTCCCAAAAAGAGCTTCCGAAGTTGGTGTTATTCGGCGCATGTTCCTCGATCCTACCGCGTCGCACCTAGTCATCTGTACCGCCCTTGGAGAGAACTATTACCTCCATACACAATCACGGCAACCTAGACCACTGTCTCGACTTCGGGGCGTTTCAATTGAGTCGATAGCATGGAATCCTTCTCTGCCAACTGCATCAACAAGGGAGATTTTGATTGGAGCATCTGATGGGAATATATATGAGGGGTACATCGAGACAGCCACTGAATTTTACCGCAGGGAGGACAAGTACCTCAAGACGTTACAAAAGCTTGGAGATGGACCGATTACAGGATTGTGGGTGGACCTTGTAGCTGGGAAACCAGACGTGCGGAGGATTCTCATCACTACCCAGAGCCGGATTTTACACTTGATTGGGAAGATTGGCAAGGTCACACATGAAGGAGGAGCATCGATTTTCACGAAGCTTTTCGAAACAGAACAACCTACTGTCCATGAGATTTCAAGACTATCCACTGCAGCGGCGTCATCTCTTGTGATATCGCCCGACTCCCCAGATTTGAACTCCTATGAAAGTTTGACGCCGGACCGCATATTTGCGTGGCTTTCGTCCCAGGGTGTGTACTATGGAAGGTTGCTGACATCGCCTGCTACAAATGATCTTGGAAACAAGGTCTTTTCCGAGGCTAAATTGTTGCCTAGATCACAACTACCGCCCGCAGAGAATGTCAGTGGTCGCAAAAAGTCTACGCAAGACTCAATTGATTCTATTGCTTTGACTCAATGGCATATTCTCCATTTAGTCGGAAACAGAATAATAGCTGTGAACAGATTGGATGACAGAGTGATATTTGACCAGGTTGTGCTGGACCCAGGCCAGGAAGCGTTAGGATTATACGCAGATCAACAGAAAAACACATTCTGGTTGTTCACTGCTAAGGACATATTCGAAATCACTGTGCAGGACGAAGACCGAGATGTCTGGAAGGTCATGCTGAAAACGGAACATTTTGATGCTGCCCTTAGATATGCTCGAAATCCAGCACAGAAGGACGCTGTTGCGACAGCATCAGGTGATTATCTTATCACCAAAGGAGCCTACCTGGAAGCGGCTGGCGTATATGGGAAGAGCAGCAAGCCGTTCGAGCAGGTTGCGCTGACCTTTGTTGACAATGATCAGCAAGATGCTCTGAGAAAGTATCTTCAAACGAAAATCACCACATACAAAAAGTCTTCGATAATGCAACGGATCATGATTGCGAGCTGGCTCGTGGAAATATTCATGTCCAAGCTCAATTCTCTTGATGACACTATAATCACCAAAGCAGAGCTTTCAGAAACGCTCAACACAACACAGACGAAAGATCAGCTTGATACAGTCCGGACTGAATTTCATGAGTTTGTGAAAAAGCACAAGAGTGATCTCGATCAAAAGACCGCTTATGATATTATTAGCAGTCATGGTCGCGAGGAAGAATTATTGTACTTCGCCAACGCAGTAAATGATTACAATTATGTCTTATCATATTGGATGCAAAGAGAACGATGGAAGGAGGTCCTAGATGTTCTCAAAAAGCAGACCGACCCGGAAATATTCTATCGATACAGCAGCGGCCTCATTACACATGTCGCAACGGACTTAGTCGATATCCTCATGAGACAATCAGATCTCAAAACTCGCAATCTTATCCCGGCGTTGCTTACTTATGATCGAAATTTTGAAGGTCCCCTCTCAAAGAACCAGGCCGTTCGCTATCTTTTACATGTCATCAACCAGCTTAATTCCGAAGACGCCGCGGTGCATAATACCTTAATATCTATCTACGCCTCACATCCCTCCAAAGATGAATCTGCTCTTCTCTCATATCTTGAATCTCAGGGAGACGAGCCAAGATTCGACGCTGATTTTGCTCTTCGACTTTGCATTCAGCACTCAAGAGTACAGTCATGTGTCTTCATTTATAGCACGATGGGCCAGTATCTCCAAGCTGTAGAGCTAGCTTTGGCACATTCGGAGATCGACTTGGCCTCAATTATTGCAGACCGACCAGTTTCAGATCCTGCACTACGAAAAAAGCTATGGCTAGCGGTAGCAAAGAAAGTCATTTCACAGTCCAATGGCATCAAGACTGCCATTGAATTCTTAAAACGCTGCGACCTTCTCAAGATCGAGGATCTCATACCGTTCTTCCCTGATTTCGTCGTTATCGACGACTTCAAAGAAGAAATCTGCACCGCTCTCGAAGACTACAGTCGCAACATCGATGCTCTCAAGAAAGAAATGGACGAATCTTCTCAGACAGCCACAAACATCAAAATCGATATCGCCGCACTCGATCACCGCTATGCCATCGTCGAACCGGGAGAGAAATGCTATATCTGTAATCTTCCCCTGTTAAGTCGACAATTCTTCGTCTTCCCCTGCCAACACGCTTTCCACAGTGATTGTTTAGGGAGGAAAGTCATGGAACAGAGTGGTGTTGGGAAAGGGAAGAGAATTAGAGAGGTGCAGATGCAGATTAGTAGGGGCTTGGTGTCGGGTGCTACGAGGGATGCTGCGATTGCGGAGTTGGATGCTTTGGTGGCTAGTGCTTGGTAAGTCTTGTACCGCCTACTTCTTAGTATGATGCTAACGATGTGATCAGTATCTTGTGTAGTGACTTTGCTATCAAACGGATTGACGAGCCGTTTGTGACGGCGGCTGATAATACTACTGAATGGGCTTTGTGAACGGGAGTAGGGTGGTTGGTGTATTACATGCATATTACATAGCGGTTGAATCATATCCAGGAATTAATCAATGGGCATTTGTCCCTAAAAAAAAATCTGTGCTCCTTTGGAGTTCAAATGGGCGATCGGAGTATCACGGTACATATGAATTGATATTTCATGGCTATCTGCTGAAAGGTTCTGGATGATACATTTGGCACGTTAAGCCACTGGAACGTACCCATCCGCAAACTCTCATCTATTCTGATGCAACGTGATTTATCGGAGCTCTAACCATTGATGGTAGGATGGTCCTACTACTACCGCCCTAGTTACTCAAAAGTTTCCTTCTCGGCTGCCATGACTTGTGGATCATCGAAAGATAATGTTTCTGTGGGAAATGAGAATTCATATTGAACTCAGGTATGCCTCTGCGATATAGCGGATGTTGAGGGCGGATACCTGGGGGAATGGATATTAATTTTGCGATGTGCCTTTTAGAAAATAAGCAGTAATAGTCGTTGACTTCGGGAAGAAGAGCTATAAATTCGCCGTGACCAAGAGAAACTCTGACCATGCGAAGCTGCAGTTTGCAGATGAACAACAAATGCATTGGGAGGTAGGTTGCGGTCTCAAGCCCCAGACGTTGGCCAGTTTCTTTTGTCTTATGATCATCAGATATTTATATTATTTGTACTGTATGTCAGAAATTCCAACGTCTTCTAAACGTTTAATTCAGAACCGAATGATTGTCACCGAAAAGCATGTTGCTGCCGAAAACACTTCGCTTGATTCACTTCCGAGCCTTACTTAGGGCGAAACGACGGTCCGTGGGTGTTTTATGTTTGAGATAGGTTGGCTGAGCAGAAACTTGTTGTGAGAGGGCTAAGTGTCTACTGCACACTATCACTGTCCAGATTTGGGTTAAGGTAAACTGTCCTACACTCCAGACCGAGACCTGTCTTCAGCCAACCACCTTTTTATACTTGCCATTCCCATACGAACACAACATCGAATGCCTTGAATCCTTGTGTAGTTATGTACCGAGGAAGTAATAAAGAGGAGGTGGTTATGTGGTCATGTTGTGCTGAATCCTGATTTTAGGGGAGTTGAGTTGATGGGAAAATGTAAGTTGTTTGGGAATTGGGTTTTTTGGTTTTTGGATCGTTGATTATCTGTGATGTATATTTCTTAGAGTCGCTTGCCATGAACGATATAAGTCACATTTCGGGGCACGATGTTAGTCGAATAAACTGACGATTACAGGTAATTTGTCTATCTTTGTCAGAAAACGAGATGCTGTTGAATTGTGTGTCATTAGATAATAATTAGAATAGTGTATCTACACTTAATTGCATTTCAAGCTGACAGGCTCTTCAGTGTTTACCACGACCGCCATCGTCCACTAAAGATTTGTGTGACAGATGAACACCCCAAAGCGGTCCCTTCTGGATTTAGTATATTCAAAGAACTCGGTGTCAACATTTTGAGACCATAAGCTTTTAACAAGAAAACGCGTGCTTCATTCATCCCCAATCATGCTGTTCCCACTATCCTCAGACTTCGATTGCAGTATGTGACTGTTTGCTTCATAAAGCATGGTTCGAGACTAGCCATATGCGGGGGAAAGTCGAAGTGTTATGCGGTATTGTTGTGAATGGAACCTCATCGACATGTAGAAAATTAATTCAACAAGCAACTAGGCTAAAGGTGGGTTGTCATCGAAATAGAAGTTGTTGTCGAAATTGGGTTACTGAAGCACAAAGTAAATAAGGAAATCAAACAGGCGAATTCGGTGGAGAAATCTAACAGGGACCTTGAAAGATAAAGTAAATGGGAGTGGCTCTCTGAAGTATTTGTCCATGACTCCATGGGAAGATATAAGAGTAGTTCTCCTTGGTATTCTTCGTGCTCTTTCGCTTTCAAGGTACTAATTTCTATTTATGATAAGTGTTCGTTTGAAAATAACGACTCTTCACTCTCTGCAGATTGGGAAAGTGTATATCAGCTCTGAAGTTCCAGTTCTCATTAGCGGCTGTGTGTAGGTGAATACAAGATAGATGTTAGCGTGAGTCAAACTTGTTAAGGTCGTAACTATCTTATATATTTCATTCCTTGTTTCTCTTCTATTTCCAACCAAGTTGCTCTCCTGACTCCACCTAAGGGGTAAAGCAAATGTCAAAAAACAAGTCAAAATGTTGTCGTGAGAATCTATTGCTCTTTTGCTTTCACGCGAAATCAAAGCCAAATCCGTGAGATAGAAATATGTTGAAAAGAAGCTTTTGGGGACATGATTTCTCATGTGACATGCTCGGTTGTGATAATCTTTACACTTATTATCGCCTTGCCACTGCTTCCTTTTCTACTTCTACAATATATAAACATTTAGAGAATTTGTTAATTCAATAAATTAAAAGAAAACCCCCTTTGTTAGGGAAACACAAAAAACTGGCTGTGTAGTTTCCCACTGAATCAACTTTTACATCAAAAAACCTGGGGACCAAGCAAATAAATTGTTCGCTTCAGCGCATTCTGTTTAAGCTTTATCCGAAGCTTTTCTGACTTCTTCTTATTCTAAAGTGGAAAATCGCTTGATAGAAAGTGGATCTTCTCACATGAAATTGCGAGTAAATCCGAAGCAAGAGACTCCAATAAGAGTAACATTATGTTATTACTTAAGTAAAAGTTTGCCTGTCACAACTTAGTTTTGTCATCGAAATAAATATCACTATCGTTTCCCCTCCACAGAAGTTGGAATTTGATCTCTACCTATCCGAGTAAAGCGGAAGAATCTAACGAAACTTCCCTTTATATAACACTAGTATCCAAACATGTTATTATATATTTTATTATATGGAACCTGCTCGACAGAAAGATGCCTCTAGAGAAAACATGCTTGAGGATACCATTTGGCATGTTCTAAGGAAATGTTAATTTATATTCTTGGATACTACGATCTCTTGCACCGCTTGAGCCTCTTCTAAGAAGAATTGTAGGTTTTGCCGTACTGCCACTAAACTATTCAATTTACCTGTCCCCAAAGTTTTCCTCCCTACCTGCTACAAGGTAAATTTTTTGACCCACTTCACTACTTTCCTAATTCTCACAATATTCAGAAGGACAAGTTTATGTATGAAAGTGAGCTGGGAGACCTGGTCTTGTGAACCCCAGGCGTTTTCTGGACCGCCATATCTGGATCTGGTAAGTCTTCTCTTATTCAAAACCAGGTACACGTTCGACGTTCGTTGGTGTGAAAGTGGTGATTTTGGTGAATGTGCTATCAGTTGTTATCCCATAAGTCTGAAAGATTGCTGAAGATACGTTGTCACCGAAAACTTTACCACCACCTAATCTTAACTCGCGGTTACAACCTGTATACTTTTGCCACCATATCTTTACTTTTCCATCTCACAATTGGTCTTATTGTACCCACACCTGAGAAATTACAACCATAGCTTGGGTGTGCTTTTCTTGTTGGCCACTTCAACCAAATGACACTTCATACATGGGATTTCGTGTTTAAAGTTTATTAAAGCCGACGAAGGGGGTTTATAAAGTGGAGATAGGGCTTATATTGTAATAACATATTAAGAAGAGTCTTTTGAAGTGACAAGCATAGCCTGTCACATCATAACCCGATACACCACAAGATGAACCCCTCCTGGAAACAATTATCTTCAGAGTATTTATGAAAGCTGTAGCACCTTTACGAAAGAAACATGGTCATGGTAACGGTTATACAACATCATCTTTACACAAATCATCGCATAGGTCCAAGAGCACAACACCAACCTTCTACTATACCACCACTCACTCCAACGCAATTCACTAACCAAATCTCCACTCACTTCACACGATTCAACTCCCCCAAATACCAAATCCTTCCCAAACTATTTCTCCCAATTCAAAGAATCAAGTTACACAACAACGCGCCATAAATTCGCGAACACATACATCAATTTTAACGGCAAGAGAAAAACATTGCCATAAATCGCAGGTGTTTGTAGGGATTCTGGTGTCTAAGCTCACCTACTTTTATGAATTACATGATTAGAGCAAAAGTATTATGTTGTTCCTCGGGACATGTGCAAAGTCATTCAGTGTCTAACCTCGCCTACTTTCACAACACAAGAGGATATACCACCGAAAGAACTTTCACCACCGAAAAACATCTAATAGTATATCAAACCCAGCATTCCCCCAGAAACAATCCCAGATCCAGACACGAGGCTGTAATTTAAGAGAGATTGATGCTATTTCACGTACCTCGACTCAGATTCTCGCCTAACAAAGCCATTAATCTAATATCAAGCGAAGGTCTAGTGTTATTTCTATAACCAATTAGCTATCATCACGAAAGGTCACAAATATAAAGTTGTCGTGCCCTATATCTCTGCAAATTCCAGACCCCGATGGCGGAAAGACTAGTATATATGTTACTTGATTCTTGGGGGAGCTTTATGATCTATTCAAGATGAGTTTGAAGTGTCTTTGTTCTGGATTTAACCCATCAATTCAGTAAACCCGACACGAAGATTTTAAGCTGGAAGAAATGAATTGATAGAGTTGTGAACGTTAGTCATGTTCTAAGGTGCTTCATGTTATTTATGCTCCATTATATACTATATATGGACAAATAGCACCACCTACCACCTCAGCGCTCATCCTTGGCTGTTATTCCCTCTCATCAGTCTCCGTATCAAAACCCCTATCTAGCTCTCGCTTATCATATGCAAGCCACCTGAAAGATCCCCTAGATCCCCAATACTTATATGAATTCCATCACATCTCCCAGCAAATTCCGTTTGAAACACAAAACGCCATATATATGCAACGCTCCGAATATAATGCAAAAAATCCCATATAAACAATGCTGCTCGCAGCATATCGCTTGTTCAAAATATACACTCCACGCTCTCTATTCGAAGAAAGGGTTGGCCTTACATAGCAGCATAAAATAACCCTGCTCCCACTGCAGCCATTGCGCCGAAACCAAGAGGCGCAGGTGTTGATTGCGCTACGTTTCTAGTAGACGTACGGCTCGCTACTCCTGCGACAGGCGCCTCGTTCAAACCCTGTGATGCAGCAACTGGATTGGTGACAGCCGTCGCGGAAGGTACAGAGTCAGAGCCAGTAGTGATCTCAAGGACATTGGTAGCTGTAGCGTTGAACGTGGTTTGAGCAATAGAGATCTCGTTGTTGGCAAGATCATAGACTAGGTAGGCGGATCGAATAAAGGTATCACCCAAAACGGCGGTGCTGCTACCAGCTGGAGCGACACCAAAGACGCAGGCACGGGTACCATCTGAGAAAGTGAGTGGGCGACCGTTGGTCGACGTTACTTGGATGACAAGTTCATCCATAGCAACCCTGATTGTTGTGCCGGAAAAGGTAAAATCCAAGGTTGTGCTGTTGGAAGCTATCGAGCAAGGAACAAATGCTGTTTCTTGGGTGGAATCGTATTGTGCACCAACTTGCTCGAATATTGCTTCAGCTATTGCGTCTGGAAGATAGGTCAGAGAACTTCCGGAATCCAACAAAACTGCCTGTGCTTGGTTGCGTGCGATGACCGTTCCGCCGAGTGAGATTGCCGTCAAAGTAACGAGAAACTCGGCAAAAACTCCTGATTGAGCTTGAATAGGTAGTGTCGTTAGTTCCCCCTCGAACTTCTCGGTATCTACTCCACCAAAAAGGATGTTCCCGGTACTGGCGTCTAGATCATTCAGCCATAAACTGTAGGCATTGGAAGCGATGGCACCGTCCGCAACCAGTTGTGCCGGTAAGTTATTGTACTTTGCCAGACCAGCTCTCCCAACCTGGACCTCATTGATCTCGTATCCAATACCCAAAATGCCTTCTGAAGATGAACTACTGTAACCGACCCCGAATTGCAATCGCGACACAGTTGCTGTCCCCATGGTAAAAGTATCCGCGACATAATCTCCAGCCGCTCCTGATCCATCCACATAAGATATGTTGAAGTAGCTCCCAATATATTCGTATGTTGAAGAGTCATTCGCACTGTACGACCCCGCTAAGAGACACGGCCGTGTCCTCCCTTGGCACAAACTAGACTCTGGCGTATTAACCCATAAATCGCTGCTTCCCGTATCGATGTGTAATCGCTGTGTTTGTGCAGGTGTTCCTAAAGATGCGTTGGCGAAATAAAGTGTTTGCTATATGCTAGTTAGTCGATGGTACGGGACAGTACGAGCACCCATACCTCATTATCCAAGCTTGCTTGAACGGTGCCAGCTCTCCTCCGCAGTCGGTCTCTCTTCACTGGATCTTCTACAAACTTTCGTTCAATTGGTAAACCAACCACTCGCGCCGGTCCGTCCGACCTCCGCTGTAACTGAAGACATTCTGTGCATGTCGACAGCAAGCTCGTAGCGAAGATTAAACTTGAAAACCCCTTCATATCTGAGGTGTCCCGTCTTGAATAGGAAATAAACTATAGAAAGTGGTTTGGCCCAAGTACCAATAATATATGCTTTGTAGTGTGATGACGCGGCTGTCAACTAGTTCTTTGGCCACTCAGTGATGTGGATGGGCGGGACCTAAAAATTAAGAAAACCCCGAAAATCGTCAAGTGCAAAATCCTGGGAGCGATCTGGAGACGGCGCTGAACCGGACTCCCTTGTATTTAGATATCGATGATTAAAAGACGTACGGAAAGCTGGAGGTATTTGTGTGCAAGGTATGACTTATAGGTAGCGATCGTGATTTGATAATACCAAGTCGGAGTTTCGGTCCAGATTAACACTATTCCCTCGTCCACAAGACCCGTTTCTCTGGGCTCTTGAGGCGGTGCTTCGTAATAGTTTTGAAGTTCGTACTTTGAAAATATGCGCCTCGCGTCGTAGGGCTGTCGTCTAGATGATCCCTCGACTTCCGGGAGGCTGTGAGATATCCCTAAACTCAAATCGCTCCAAAGCGTAAAGAAAGGTCCAAAAGAGCGAACATACACTACTTGAGTGTACAATGTTTGAAGAATGACAAAATAAGAAAAAGAAGGAGAAAGCCCCCAAGATGCCCAGTCTGCTGGGTGTTCTTGGAGTTTGGTCTTGACATCTTGGCACTTACTTTGCAGGGGCGAGCCGAGTCCGAAGAGTGACGCGGCCGTACGCGAATACCAATGAGATGGGCTAGGTCGTTTGTTGGAAGTCCACTTTGTATCGGGCCATGGCAATCATTGATGCCGGATGGCGCAGAGTGCTCTCAGCGTAAGAAAATTGGGAGAAAACCGCATTTGTCGTTTACAAATGGAGAATGTGACCAACCAGGACTTCCAGATTCCAGTGATGATCCGCATGTGGCCGTTTCTGGGGCATGGTGCTCGACCCTTTCAGGGCGATCAGACAGTAGAAACATCAATCTTTCGGGAGGGTGATGCACTGTGCGTCTCCTGGAGCGAACCGAGGGCGACGAAACACCAAGTCGAAGGGCTGATACACGCGAATAAGATTTCGGAATAAGAGGGGATATTGGCCTCGAACTTCGCAGCCTGGTGGTCCAGAGATGAGTACATTATTCGACCCGTTCGCTCATGTTGGCATCGTGAGTGAAGTATGCGGTGAGGCGTTTCGAATTTGGAGAACTGCAAAACTATCATGACACTCAGTCGGTGACTCTGGCAGATGGGTTCGTTTCCTAGGATTTGACTCTGATGCTCATCTCGGATGTATCTTCAAGGCGCATCCATCAAGGGGAGAAATAGCTCAGTAGCTAGCCATGCAAATCTGTTGGTGTATTCTATCATTGAACTTCCATCGGTCAATCACGACTCGCGAAGGAAACATGTGGAATCAATCTGGAAGCATTCGTCTGCCCAGCCACAGTCCATGGAATATGGACGCTGACTCAGTGAGGTGCCGTTAATCCGTTGAAATCAAGACTAGTTTTGCATATGAGGTGTCGGTATCCGTTTGAAATCACAAAGGTGTGGTCGTGGCAGTCGACAGTTCGTGATGTGAAAATGATCTGGAGCTGAGAAACATGGCTGGAGTGTTGATAAATTGCGCTCTTGGCCCGTGCAGTTGCCTCTAGCTCTCCGTCTTTCACCCCATCAATTTCGAGATGGACTTCCAGTACACAAAACATCCATCCACACGTTTGCCATTTCTTTGGGGCGAAAGCCATCATACCTTGGGATTTCGACTGTGTACTACTGTACTCTATATTGCAGCCCTCGAAAGAAACTTGCCGACTATTCGGCATCAAAAAATCACGCCATCTACCATTGGCATTATCCGTGTTACATCTTGGAGCACTCGTGAAGTGTCTTGGAGTGCTTACAGTCATGTGAATTATGGCATTGTGCTTACTCCAGCACGCATCTTAGATGGCTGCAGCGAGTTTCGCTTTGGAGTGATAGGGACATGTAGCCGCGAGTGCCGTCAATTTTCAAGCTGGAAGTCAAGCCAACAAAATATGTCTGGACATGTCACACAGTAGAGTCTTTGATCAAGGATCATTATAACTTGACAACACCACATAACGAAGAGATTTCAATTCAAGTGGTTGCTGACCTGGGCGAATTTTCCTTTGACTGATAAACTTCATTCTCAATCAATTTGGCCGTGAGGCTCGATAGCAAAAGATTCGGGGTATTCTCCATTGTTACGGCCTAATTCACTTCAAGATACACGTCATAATGTTGGAGTTGCACAGAATTCAGATCGAGGTTGTATCCAAGTCAAAATTGACTTGGTGTCCGAGAAAGCGTTTTTCACTTGTTTCCTGGACGGGAACTCCTGAGCGTCTATCATGACCAAGTGCAGCCTAAACAAATCATCATTTCATACCAAGGAGCTGAATCCAATTGAGATAGAAGCTGAAGGGATGTTTCGCGGCCTTTGTGTCAGGCAGCCAGTAATTGCAACTCAGATGTAGACTGTCGAATAGGAGCGATTGAGGCTGCCTGGCAAGCGAGTTTTCGGAGTTGGAGAGCATTCAGCTAACATCAAGTTATCTTTGGTCTTTGAGATGATCCTCAGAGGTTAGAATTTCTTCCATCTCGTTCGACCTGGATTTTGTCAATACTTTCCACGACTTCTTCTATTACCAGTCTATTTCTCATACATAGAAACATAGTATTATCACTTACTCACAGACATTCAAGCAACAATACTCGAAATGGCAGAAGTCGATTGGATTGATCAGGCAAGATGGTGAAATCTCTACGCTACTTATTTTTCTCAAAATTCTTCCTTATAGTAGCTAATATTAATTTTGCACATAGTCCAGTCTATGCGGTACAAAATCAATCTCCTCAACTCATTTAATCCTCATCCAAGACATCTATCTAACGACTCTCTAGTCCTTCTTCGGCGCAATGGGTTGTTCCGTAAGTCTCATATTCTCGACCTTCGGCGCCGCCTATGGAATAGCAAAATCCGGCGTCGGAGTCTCAGCAACGAGCGTATTGCGTCCAGACATGATGATCAGAAGTACTTCCTACTCTCCCACATCTCTCTCGCCTACTAACACTGTCAGACCTCATGCCACCCGTCCTCTCCGGCATTCTCAGCATCTACGGCCTTGTCGTCAGCGTGATCATATCTACACAACTAGACGAGAAATCAGCCTTACACACAAATTTCTTGTATCTGGCTGCAGGATTTACGACGGGTCTTTGTGGACTGGCGGCTGGATTTTGCATTGGGATTGTAGGGGATGCTGGGGTCAGAGGGACGGCTCAGCAGCCGAGATTATATATAGGCATGATGCTGATGCTTATCTTTGCGGAGGTTCTGGGTGAGTTGTGTTTTTCATTTGGTGGTCGCCATACTCCTGAGGAAAGACTGGGCAGGAAGGTCAATGTATGGCAGATAGCTAATTTGCATCGCAGGAATCTATGGAATTGTAGTTGGGATCATGTTGGTCAGCCAAGCGCAGGTCAATGTTACTAATTGTCGCTCGAAAAGGATCTGATATCTAATTTGCTATTTGACTTGGACGGTTGATGTTTTACACCGCGGGGATGCATTTTATTACGCAAATACTCCCTCTGGTTCATCTGGACACAAGCAATACGACGAGCTCGACGCTTCAGAAGGAAAGCACCAACCGCTAGTCAAAATTAGAATGTATGTCCGGCTTATTAGATGATACCTATAATGTGACTTGGAGCTACCCATACATCCCAAGTGTGTGAACAAAAAGGCAAATGAAAGTAGAGCTCATTTCTAGCAATCCTCATGAAGTTCAAAAGTCAGCTTTGGTAAACATCCGGTGAGCTTCTTCGCTACGTCTGTTTACAGTGGTTAGTATTATTAGGTTAGAGTCTCGATGGTTGGCTTGAATATAGCCAATGTATTTTACGTTCTATCATTTGATGATGATGATGTTCCCAGACTTCACCATACTGGGTTTCAAAAGAGGATAGCTTGAGACAGACCATTGGTTTTCAGCTTTGAGCTGTAGAAGAGACAATGAAAGAAGGTTTAAAATCGACTTTAAGATGCTATGGCTAAGTAGTGCCACGGAATCACTTTCACGACCTCAATCCAAATGCGCTTTGAAACAGACACTTAAAATCCACGATCAGAAGTTTAATAATTCTTCATTGTCCCTCAAACTCAACGTGACTATCATATTACAACCCTCCACCCCAACCACGTAAAAGCTCAAACGCCGGATATCATGTTTGAATAAAGAAACTTTCGTTAACCCCTCCCCGCAACATATTTCGTCCTCCATGTCCTCGATCGAGTATAACTGTTTCATGTGTCTAACAACAACACTCGAGACACTCGAAACACGCAAGTCCGGCGCACCTATTCTATATCAGTATCTACTCCCCCAAAATATATGAAGGTGAAGGAAGACATACAGTCCACAGCATAGTCCACCACCTCCACCACCACGCATCAAAACTGGTTCTGCAGTCATTTGCTCTGTTGAACGCTGTAAAACATCATCAGTATACCCCTCGAATACTTATTATTTGTCAAAAGTGAAGAGCGCATACGGGTTGTTCCGTCGCAACATCCGGCGTCGTACTCGGCATCTCCATCTGCTGCGTCTCAGGCTGTTGAGTTTCTTGGGCTGGCATATTGACGGTTTTCTTTCTTCTCAAATAACAGGTATATCTTCTCAAATATCAAGCTTGGATTTAGACGTGGTATGCGAACGAGGAAGAAGGCAAAGTCATACGACGCAGTAAAAGGGAAAGGCTACGACTATTTAAACCTCTGCACGACCTGGTGAATCCGCGGCAGCATGGCGCAGGGGACACATAATCCCCATGCACCGCAGAATACACATGTACTGTCTGGCAGAACGCCTTAAAACAGTATAGAGCTATCTGCAAGGCTCGGCTGACCGGGTGGTTTGAGTCCCACGAGATGCAGATTGGTTCGAGACATGTTGTGTGTGTTTCGGGTATGGACGCTCAGCTGATGGGGCATGTGGTTGGGAGGTTAGATAACCGTGTCTTACGTTTTGAGAAAGACTTTTAGATGTCCTTTTCATGATTACAGGCGAGATATTCTGTAAGGCTGTAAGGTTATGTACAAACTCAAGTAACCCAGAAGTATGCCAAGTGCCTGCCCGTCCATACAAGCTTCCAGGGAATATCTCCGTCGCCTCGGCAAATTCGGCTCGGCATGTCTTTCCCTCACTCACCTCTGTATCTATGATGTTATAATTAATATCACAAACCATATATCCTTTGCAGCAAAAGTTTAGAAGCTGGAAACCCCAATAAAGAGCGGTGAGGAATCGGTCAAATCACTTGTGACATGGTAACCTGGAGCTGATGGTCTGACTTGCATGGAGAGGCGTTTGTGGAAACTGAGTGATGCGCTAGAAGTTTCTTCAGAGGTACGAATGTACTTTGAAAGTTTATTGTACTTCGAAGTACTTCGTACTTCGTAAACGGTGCTTTGGTTAAGGTAAGGATGGGGACATTTCGTACTTGGATTCGTACTTTTCGTACATAGCCTCAAAGGTGACGTTGAGATTGCGAGTCGTCCGAAAATAGAATAGAGTGGATAGGACGGCATTTACGTGTTGAGCAAACGCTAAATGGATTGGTATTATTATGGAAGGTATAGCGCGGACTTATCACGATCAAGCATTGTACAGTAGGAGACGCAGTAAATAAATCTTGGATGATGGGTATTTGAACAATGTGGTACAAGTTTCCATCGCCTCAAATCCGAAATGGTGGTAGGCCATAGAACAGTCCTCGAACTCCAATTGAAATATGCCATTACGCTACTCTCTACCTCTTTGGAGCCCGAGTAAATTTTGGTTTGGGAAAGACAAGAGGTAGACGAAGCTTCGCCCGCTTGCGTGTTTGAGCCACCGCTCGATCAAACTTCCTGGCCTCAGCTGCAGGCAAAGGCGTTATCTTTGCTCCAATCTCCTCGAAATATTGTGACATGGCTTTGGTTTCCAGCTTCAAATCGGACTGTAAATCAAAAAGGTCCACATCAAAGTTATCGACCAAGCATGCCATGGCGCACAAATGAGTTATGACCATATCCAGCTGAAACTTGCTCATAGTTCCTCCATTGGATGTGAACTTCCGTTTAAAATTATCTACCACGGTGTATGGCATATCCTCGATGGCTTCCTTCAATTCGGTCTGCCTAGGAAGCGTCTTTTCACTCCTCCGATCTCTTGAATTGTCGAGAAGTCTTTTTACAAAATACATGTACCGGAGGATCCTGAGCTTCTCGATGTTCTGGGAGTGATTTTCAACCCTCGCCATCACATACTGCGAGGTGCCTTTGATGGCTTTCTTGGCTTTCATAGCCTCTATCCACGGTCTTACTGGTATGAGTTTCATGACTTCATCTCCAATAAGCGCATCGGTAGTATACACATCCTTGACTTCAGCAGCTTCTGTATTGGCCATTGGACGTGGCTTATTTGATTCCACGACCGCCGCAAGTTGCGCTTTTGTCGACATACCCGCAGTAGCCTTGCCAATAGTCTCCAGCATAGCTTTTGATGCAGCGTCGATCTTGACAGGAGTGCTACCATTTTCTCGGGATTGAAGGGGGTTGATTGCGTTTTCTGTGAACGAAGCAATTGCTTTCTTCGATTTTTTCGTACCAAAAGTCTGTCCCAGGTTGTTTCGAAGATCTCTTATTTTCTACACCAGACTTATCAGCATGAAATTCGAAATACTCCTGACCGTGACTTACAGCATCGGGGTCCACTTCTTCATCTGCCGCTCTGTGTGCTCTCACGGTACCGCGAACTACCATCTTTCGTGCTTCCATAACCTCGAGCTTGCCTGTCTCTGGATCAAAGACTCCAACATAATGCTTCAAGAGTGCATCTGGCCCGTCTGCAGCATCTTCCCGCGCTGTGTAATCTAGCTTTTGGTGTTCTGAAGATTGCAATAGCAGCTCTGTCGTAGAAATTGGTGTTCGACCAGGGCCAGAAGGTATGTTTTTACGTGGTTGAACATATGGTTGAAGCGAAATAGACTTTGGCAGCACGAGGCCCCGCGATGAAGCTACTAATCGTTAGAAGTCTAAAGAGAAAGGCATGCGTTTGGTGAGATTTTGTACCTATAACTGGTGCCCATTTATCGCCAGTCTTAAGAGAAATATTGACCTGCTTGTCGCCATCGATTGCAACTCTTTTATTAGATTTGGACGTGCCATCCGCATTTCTCTTCCTCTTTTTGACCTTTTCGCCTGTGTCTGCCATTGTGTTGGAGTCGTAAGAATTAATATGGAGCTGCAAGATATGGTTACAGGATGCGCCAGAAAATGTTACCCAAATATTTTTTCTGCCAATGCTCGCCGAAAAAAGGTTGGCGCAAGGAGGGGTGGAGGCTCACCGACTTTTGTCTCGTGAGCCCTGCAATTGAACGAAAACGACGGTCTATCTCGTTTTGAGCAGGGAATTGAATATTGGGAGCTGATAGTCTGTCTATATTTCGCATACTGAGAAAAATTTCAAAAACTTAGACCGTCAAATTCACCTTGTTCGATTCATTTCCATCACAGCGTTAATTCATGACCCCGCTCTGACATTAGTTCAACTTCAGCTTTGTTTGAGATTTGGGCTTTTGAAATTCACATTGCAGGACTGAAATATTACGGAAGCAAATCTTCTTTTCATTGATAAAGACCATTGGCACCTGGCATCTGTAGGCAGCTTTCCTCCACTGGCTTCTTATTTGGCAAACCCTAACTGACAATCCGACATTGTATTGACCGGTTCTACTTCCAAGCAATTCATTCCACCAAAGGCCATAAGATACGCGTCATCAAATTGATCTATCCTTGAACACCAGCCTACATGATACTGAGTGGTAGTCCCAAACTGTGATTGCGACTGAATGTTGAAAAAGGCGTAGGCGTTGATGCGGGGGATGGCATAAAATTGGAGGTTACGTTGTCATGGCGAATGATGTGCGGGGTATGAGAACCGAGATCGAGGTGTTGCGAGTAGTTTACTTGCTGTACGGAGTTTAGCAAATGTTCATTGAGCTCGGAGGAGCTTCCCAAAGCTCCCAAAGCTGGATTTGATGCTTGACTTACGATCTGGCACGAGTCTTGCGGCGCTTTCTCTTGAGGCGCCTAACGCGCTTCTTTCTCCACTTCGCTCTCATCTTGATAACCTTGCTGTTATGTGTTAGCGAGATCCAATTGAGGTGTTGTAATTGCTTACTTGTTAGGAAGTTGAGAATTTTGTGATGAAGTTGTGAGAAGTCTAAGACGGGAAATCGAAAACTGCTTGTATGTGTGCCAGCACGCTAGCCGAGTTTGGTCTGGCGTTCCCTGAAAGCCCTAATCACGTGTGGTGAGCTTGGCAACTTTTGGGGACATGAGAGTGATCGTGAATCGCACCTGGGCAGCTTTCACCCACAACGACTGGAGACTGATAAGCTGTATCGGTTAAACCGTATTTTGATAGCGTCCACGGGTTTAATCCACGCGGGAAGCTCACCGATGGATTCTCGCGGCCATGCTCTAAGATTGTTGACAGACCGCGAGCCTCCATAAATCCATAACTTCTATTCTTCCATCGGAGGATTTGCTTCTTGACTGGGAGCAATAGGTGTTTCACTCATTAGATCATTGGAGCCTTGTCGTGAACGATTCTGGTCCGGTAGATGATGGCGGGCTAGTCGGCGGGCTGGTCTTTGGACTACAGGTTCATCAGGGCCTTCACCTTTCACTGGGTATGAAGTCGAAAATTCTCGATGCCCAAGCCAGTCTACCTTGTCAGTTTAGAAGTCTTTGCCTATTACACTTCTGAGCTGGTGTGGGCGGATAGAATCCAGGTTGACGGGACTTATCTAGATGATATCGACATTGAAGAAATCGTCATCCTAAGAACTGTGTCGATACAACCAACTTCTTCGAAAATCAACGGCAGAATGAAAATGCCAAAGTATCTCGTATTTTTAAAAGATTCTGTCCGACCCAAACATGGCAAGAGGCTTAGTGAGCTGTTTACGGTATCGTCTCTTCGCTTCTAATGGGGAGGGAGCATGCTTTCTGTTTTTGCAGGAACCGTCACCTTTACTTTTTTTCAACAACATCAATTCAGAAACATCTTCCATGTTCCCTGCCATCCCTTACCTTTTCACATGTGTCTCACCGTTCAGCCATCTCCTTCATATAAATTTTATTAGTTAGACTTCTCTACAAAACAAGCAGTCATGACAGCCTTCGAGGATTCTTCGTGGAAGCACTTTGCAGAGAATGAAACCAACAAGCCAATTGCATATCTTCAACTGACCGACAAAAGCACCCTCGAAACCCGAGGTAAGTAATAGCTGCCTGCGCATCCTTTGATTAATATTGACTTTGATAGAAATCCCTCTCCGTCCCGGTGAAGAAATTCTTGTTGGGCGAGACAACCGCAAATGGTTGGTCTTGTTCCCATGGACGCCTCAGCAACGACCACTAATGCTTCTCTAGCAATGTCCCGATTGTCGACATACATGTTTCAAAACAGCATTTCCTAATATACTCCATTATCTATGAGCTCGGGAAAGAAGAAGAATTCCCGCCTAAGGTTTATGTTCTCGACCTCGAATCATCTAATGGCACGTATGTCAACAACCAACTTATCGGCATTATGGGTAGAGAAAGGAAAGGCCGCATACTGAATTATGGTGATATTATCGAAATCAAACCCTACTGGTCATTTGAGTTTCGTCAGAGGATGCCGCTGGTCGAGGAGTGGGACACCGAAGAAGAGGACGATTTCGAGGTGATTATTATCAACCATGAGCTCTGACTTTGCTTACTATGATGAAGTATTTCCGCGATCGCTTCATCGTTACGGACCGCATCCTTGGTGCAGGTACTCACGCCGCAGTATATTTAGCAGAAGATGTCCTGGAGATGAAGCAGATGGCTTGCAAAATAACTACAATACCCGCTATATTACGAGATGCTCGCAAGAAAACGTCGAAAGAGTACCTCAGTGCCCGCGAAGAATTGCGCAACGCTAGGCGCGAGATACAGCTTCTTTCCGAATTGAGTCACGTAAGATAAATCCAGCATCCATTTTAGAGCATGCTGACCTGTCAGCCACACATTGTGCATCTTGAAAAAGCCTTTTGTTCGCAGGGTAAAATGTTTGATGTTCTCCTCACGCACCACAGTTGCTTTTGCTGACTTTTCATAGATATGCCTTTTTCGAATTAGCTGGTGGTGGAGATCTCTACTCCTATCTCGAATATCATGGTGGAGTTCTGGAAGACTGTCATTGCCGAGTGATCTCATTACAGCTTGTTATTGCTGTTGAGTATCTGCACTCTAAGCAAATTGCACATCGAGACATCAAACCAGAGAATGTACTGATAACACAAACGAACCATGGAGGACGGGTAGTATTGACAGATTTTGGCTATGCAAAAAGAACAGATCCTGATACCGGGAGGTTGATGTCGAACCTGGGTACTTTAGGTTATGTTGCACCGTAAGTCAATACAAAGAAAGCGAGGTTATTGCTGATTGTTATAGAGAAATTGAAAATCCCAGCGATCCGGAGAAAGGCTACAAGCCAGCGGCGGACTTATGGTCACTTGGTATTTTAGCGGCATGCCTTCTTACTGGACATAGATTCTGCGAGCTCAGCCAAAACGAAATTGTTAGAGAAATCAACAGAGATACTTTGAAGACAAAAGGGAATGAGATATCGACAACAGCAATGAACTTTCTTCGCAGGCTATTAGTCATTGAACCAGACGATCGCATGACTGCTGCGGAAGCTCGGCACCACATTTGGCTCACAAGACCGCGGACGGAAGCAGCCCAGATTGAAGACACATATCGAAACATAATACGGCACTGGAAACCACGAGCAGATAATATCCACGTAGTTGAGGACATTCCCAGTCGCTCACCACCTAGACATTCGTCAAAGATCCGCCAGAAGATTCCTGACACAAGCGCACCATATCTAGGTTTACAGCATCGCCTCAGTGAAAAGAAGCATCGTCCTCGACGAGAGTCGTTAATAGAAATACTCAATCAAGCTGGGATGGAGTCGGGAAATTGGTTCGTTGATTCCAACGAAACAAGAAGCAGATTCTTCACAGAGAAGAAAGTCCGCGATCAGTGTGTGAGCGGCGCAGATATGTTTGGAAGTATGAAAATATCTCAAAAGGAAATAAAGTATGCATTGGAGGATGAGAAATCTGTCGCGCCTTGTACTGGCATAGGAGACGAATCCTCTAGGAGAGCTCCATTGGAAGATGTGAACGACTGTGCCATAGAATATGATTCTGAAACGGAGACCGGAGATTATTCGATTACACGAAGTGATCGAGCAGAGGCGGAACCCCAAAACCCAAAGGTTGTGGAGAAGGAAGATCTTAGCAAAAAGAGGACACGCTCGTGGGATTCCGAAGACAAACGACTTTACAGCACAATTTCCAAGAAGCATCCACCATTTGCTTCGGCTAAGGTACTACGAGAGTCTCTTACACAAAAGAAAGTATCTGGAAAGGAAAGAGATTCGACGGCACAAACACAGGAGATTATAGGGAAGTAGGGAGATAAGTCGCTTTTTGTACACTTGTGTTTTTACGCTGATACCCCCTTTGCATTTCTTGCTAGATATTTGTTTCGATCTGCATCAAAATGTACGCTTCGAGATTTGCTGGAGTAGAGTGGAGGTTCTTTGTAATATTGAAAGATATTATCGCCCTGTGAATCGATGTTCTTTGTTACCATCAACAATTCAATTGTTGTCCTTTGTGAAGAGAACAGCCTTAACAAGACGTTTAACAATCACAGAACCCGACGTCGCACCTCATACTGTCTTGAAAGCTAATAACTACTTCCAACGGCGATCCTGAAGAATCGGCAGAAGATTACGAACCAATCATTAGTCCCATCTGCCTCTTAAGTATTAACATAATGTCGGGAGTTAGCGACATCAGTCAATCATCGTCACCAGAAATTTCTGAATCAAGCGAGGGAACCTCGATCCCTGATTCAACTCCACTAACCACACCTTCAAAGTCACCCAAAACTAATCCTCAGACCAGGTGCAAAGAGCCAAAATTAACACGTCCCGCAGCTCCAACAACTAACCCTCAGCAAAACACCGAATCCCAACCGGACGCCCGCACCTTCGACAGAGAAAGCTACTATCCCATCTACAACGCCCAAGCATGTCTCCAATGCCAACTCCTCGGCCTCCGCTGCTCCTTCACCACCGCTCCCACACCCCCAACATCCTCCTCTACCCCTTCATCATCCACCTCCTCCGACCCATATATCGCAGCATATAACCGTCACAAGTGTAACCGCTGTTTCGCCACTGGCGAAGGCTTCTGCATCTTCTCCGAATCCAAAGATCAACATGGACACCCGAAATGGGTGTCCCCGCACATGACCCGGGGAATGGTGAGTCAGAGGGTAGACGAGTTGTTGGCAGAGAAGGAGGGGCCTAGAGCGTGGGCGTTGCCCGGGTGGGGGTTCGGCGATGTGGTGTTGAGGGCGACGTTTGGGGAGCCGGTGTTTCCTGAGAGGGAGACTTCGGAGGCGCTGGTGGTGGATGAAGAGGGTGAGGTGGTGTATGAGAGGAGTTATCCTGGCGGTGCGCAGGTTAAGAGGGTGAGAGAGTGTGTTTCGAGGGGAGCGGGATTGGCGACTGGGAGGTGGGATTTTGATGAGGGGAGGTATGTTGAGTTTAGTGAAAGTTATTGAGGGTTAGAGTAAGGTGTAGCAAGAGGAGTAAGATAATGCACTTCTCTCACGGTATTTGCACGGCCCCGGAATCTTTGAGCAGCATACATTGATGATGTCGAAAATAAAATATGGTTAAACGGCCATTGATGAGATTTTCCTTTTATGTGATGGGGAATTGAGCTTAGTCTTCTCTGTGAGACATCATAATAACAACGTGATCTTCCCTCATGAGTAACTTGTGCAGTAACGGCTAGCTTGAGAATTGCAATGGAATTTGCATCTATGCTTTGCTAACTTTCTTTTACCTACGATACCACCACTTATACAATCCCAGCTTTCCAACTTAGGTCAACGAGGTCGTTACTTCTTGCGTTCTATCATTAAATCTGCCAATCCGTTGGTTTTTTGACACGTGTAATCGAAACTGGTATGACAGAGATATTTACATTCGCTTAACCTGAGATCGTTTTATTCTAATCGCTATTGACAGAGAAGTTTCTACATGTCTTTGGTATCAAAACTCAATCCAACCCAACTCAGCCCAATCCCTAATACTGCTGTTCGTCCAGTGGTTTCGCACATAACCTATACATCAAAGTTGGGGCATAAGACGCATATTTACCGCTCATTCGCCGTCTACTCTTAGCCCAATCATCATAAACATCCCACCACCAACTATGAGTCTCCCCATCTCTGCCCAAATATCCAGCAATTTTCTCCTCCTGCTCATCTCCAGCACCATCAACCTGAGCACCATCCACCTCATCACGTTCTTTTCTGACCGTCTTGACACGTGCATTCCAAGGCTTGTCGACAATATAATGCAACACACCAACCTCCTCATCCCTCCACATCTCAGGATGCCAGTATCTCCAAGTCTTGAGCGCATTATAATGCCACGGCAACGGCTTCCACCTATCCAAAAAGAAATACGCGAGGAAATCCTGATCCGGAAACATAAAATCATTGATCGACTCATCCGTATTCAGCGTCTCCAACATCTTCTCCCACAGCTCCTTCGACGGATCAAAAAGAAACAAGCCCCCATTAAGCAGCAAATGCGTCTTCTTCCCCGTCCCACTCTTCGGAACCGGCGGTGCGTTCGTCAACGCATCAGGATGTTCATAACCCGTCCACGCACAATTCTCCTTTCTCCAATCGTCCGGCGCCCAGGAATCACGATCCAGATTACAGACACAAACATGATTAGCAGCGATCCACCACCCCTTCTCACTCTCCGGTCCCATGTCCGTCTCAAACACCGCATCCACGTTCTTGAAGACCAGCATATCGGCATCGAGCCAACACAGCCGCTCCCAGCCGTACATCTCGAAAACGCGGAGTTTTGTCCACGTATCCCGGAAGCGCTCGGCGATCAGGTTCTTGCTTGCGTTGGGCGGGGCCAGGGACTCTACTTTTAGGAGGTGGAAGTTGGAGAGCTGCGATTCGGCGAGGAGGGCGGTGCATGTTGCGATGTTGATGGAGGAGGTGTACAGGATCAGCAGCGGGTATTGGGAATTGTGTTTTTTGAGACTGTAGGCCAGCATGAGAACGCCGGGGATGTAGGAGGTGGATGTTATGAGGGTTATCCAGGCTCGGTTTCCGGTTTGTGGTGGTGTTGGGAAGGAGTCGAGGAGGTCGGTTTCATTGGATGTGTCGCCCATGGTCGTGATCGTATGATATATTTTAAATGATAACAAGAGCGATGTTTCTGAGGCTATATGTGTCGAGACCTTCGTAGCAATACAATAAGTGAGCGATGTTAATAATGAGCGAAATTAGAGAGCGAGAGATCCCTACAGAAATTTCTGTTTGATGCTTTTGCTTCCAGGCTCCCGATTATCAAAGTTGGCAAGAGCTATTTGCTGTTGACAACTACGAAAAGCATTGTTTGTTTACGGAGCGCAAACACCCACATCATTGACTACGTGTTATATATATTGACAACTTTTTTTTTTCCAAGACGACACTTATGTCATGATCCGGGGATTTAGCAACATGTCGTCAGTAGAGACTTGGGAAATCAAGGTGTGGACCGCTTTGCTGTTAGTCTTGAAGCCATCCGGGAAGGGCCCGCTTTCGCTTGAGCGATATGTCTGTTTGATTGGACATGACGCATTGTGTATGAATAGTGTGTGAGTGGACTTTAAGCTTTTTTCGATTCGATATTGTGGGTTATCAGTCCGCTAGGAATTGCAAAGATGTGGTATTCTAGAATCTTGTCATTTAGAGATGGCGTACGAGGGTTCCATAAAACCGCGTGTGGAGATTTTAGCTTTCGGAGCCGGAGCACCTTGTCGTATCTAGAGTCTAGACCCAGGCAAGTATAGGCATTTCCTTTATGCTATTATAGTTAGACAGCAGCATGCCGATGCGCTGAAAAACTCCTAGGAAGACTGAAGTGATGATTGACCATAAACGACATTGAAGTATGTGATTATAGTAGCATTAAAACATCGGCAACCTCATCTCCTCCTAAATTACATCTCAGTAATCCTCAATTGCTCCGGCCGTCCCGCAACGCGTCTAGGGATGTCGATTATCTGACCTTGCCCATAATTCATAGACTTCTCGCCCAAAATCCTTCTCCCTCCAGCACCACCAGACTGCTGCCAATTATTATATCCCATTGCCTTATCCGCGACTCTTCTTGTCTCCATCCCAAGCTCAATTTGGCGATCAATGAGACCAGTCTTCTTTTCAACATATCGTTCTTTAGCTTCGAGGTATGCATTTCCCGCTTCCAACTCATGAGTCCGCCATCTACGATTCGCGTCCTGGTGACGCTCCCTCCGATCGTGCATCCCATCTTCATAACCTAACGCCTGCATATTCCGTTCATGGCTGAGGTTGAGGTGTTGTTTCGACAGATCTATTTGGATCTGCCCTATCGTCCTCGCTTGGTAAAGCTCAGCAGCGATCCTCTGGTCGAGGGCCGATTGAGATAGTTGAGCTGTGTTGTGAAGGAATTCAAGCTTGAGATGGCGATTTTCCTCGATTTGCGACTTCGTGAATGCGTGTTCTCGATCTTGAAGATGAAGCTTGTGGTTGACCTCGGACTCTTTCAGAGCGTTCTTAAATTGTAGATTCTCAATCATCTGTTTCGTTTTTCCATCTCTTCAATACGCATAGCCTCAGCACGCTGAATTGATGCCGGAGGATTGATCATATCTGCCGGTTGTTCTCCACGATTTCGCCAATAGCGATCAGTTGCGCCATATTGCTTTAGCAGGCTGACGAGTTGACCTTGGGATGCTGGATTTGATCTGCAAATCCCCTTGGCGACATACATTGTGGGGGAGTATGTGTACCCATTATCCGTATAAAGATTGCAATCGGCATTGATGTGATGGAACTGACCGCAATCTAAGAAGATCTTCGTCATCATGTATGGCTCAGTACTATCGAGGGCGTGAAGAAGCAGTGATCTGCCGTTGGGAGAATTAGGGAATCGAGTTTGTGTTCTGGCACCTCCGTTGATGAGTGCTTGAATCGTCTTTCTCGCCTCCTTTTCTATTTTCTGTGGACTGGAGTTCTGCGCATAGAACGGTGCTGAGACGAGTAGCTCAGCTAGGGGACTCCTCCCCTGATGTTCGACTGAAGGTTTGCTGGGATCATGTCCTTGTTTCATCAGTAGAACTGTGGCATCCGCATTGAGGGACCGCGCTGCAATGTGGAGTGCATCTTCTGCGACTTCACAACTAAAGTTGATCAAGATTGACATGCTTGTCACATCTCCAATCTCAATTGCATATTCCAACGCTGTTCGGCCTTGATTATCGGTATAATCGAGATTAACCCCGGCCTGAACCAGGCATAGTAATACTAGCAACCGTTGGGTCCTAATGGCAACATGTAACAGCGGCTCCGGGTGTCCTTCGATAGAAGCTAGAATTCGGATTAGCAACGTTTATATTTGGTTCTTGAAGACTCACCATCCCATTTAAGCAGATGTGCAATGATCGAATCATCCACAGCCTTGGTCGAATCTGCGAGTGCCCAATACAAAGGAGTAACTTCCACCAGGAAATTTGCGCACGCGACCTTGCAGCCTTTCTTGTCATCGACCGGGAAACCAGCATCAAGAACAGCAATAAGGATGCTTAGGTTCTTGGGAAACTTTGTCATACAATATGTAACCACCGGAAGCGGAATGAGTGGATGTGCAAATGGCTTCCTGAACTTTTGATTAGGGTGTTGGGCAAAAGCATCCATAAGCTCAATTATAGCAGGCGCACCCAGCGTCAAGTCAAGAATATATGGAAAAGCGAGAGCCAGAGTCTCGCTAGTACACCGTCTCTTCAAAATCTCCTTCATCAGTTCGACAGATCCTGTTCGAACAGACTGTGTCAGTGCAATGCCTTGCTTATGATTGACATCAGCACCGCTATCAAGCAAGATCTTCACGAAGTCTAGTGTTAGGGGTTCTCTCTGGTTATTAGCAACCGCAATTATTAATGCTTCGTCCACTATTCTTCCGCTCGCGCCATTCTTAAGCAGAAGCTCCATGATTTGTAATCCTTGAGATGTCGCCCAAAAGACGTCGTCTTGTAGTCTATCGGCAAAGACCTGAGTGACTGCTGAGTTGTCATTCGCACAGCTGAGAAGTGCTCTTAAGACATCGAAATGGCACATCCTTGCAGAGATGGCCAAACTTGCGTTCTCGTTGTGATAAACAGATGCCCCGTACTTGAGTAGGGCTTCGACACTTGGGCAGTCCGGCTGTTTCACCTGCACAAGTCCAATAAGGGCATTGCTAAGAAATTCGATCCTCACCCCCGCATGTAGGGTTATTTCCAGAAGTTCTTGCTTCGTAGGACCATTTTGGATACTGAGACAGGCTCCAAGCGCCGAGTCCAGTGTCTCAGGGAGAGGTTTCTTCATTGTCTTTTTCAACAGCAAATGAAGTATCCGCGAATTTGTTGATGCGATAGCCGACCTGAGAACCGCACCATTATCGTGATCCACAGACGCTCCATATTGTAAGAGAAGTGAAGCGCTCTTGAATTGTTGGGCGATTACTGCCATCAACAAAGCATTGTCTGTCACCTCATTACTAGGATTCGTATTGAGCATGATCTGGCAGTATCTGAGTTGTGACCGCTCGTCTTTCAGTGAAAAAGCAGCATCAAATGCGTTTCGATAGGTCAGAGGAGCAAGATCCCTGCCAGTTATCATTACCGCATGCTCCGAAAGCCTTTGTTGAATGGCAATACATAGCGCTCGGCCACCGTCGAAGTTTGGATCTGCAGCAGGTAAGACAATTTTGAGCAATTCCAGACTTTCCGGCTTCTCGGCCACTGCAATCCCTAAAGCTTTGTCAACTTCAATACCAGAAGCACCTGCACCCAGGAGATGCAAGCACAACTCGCAGCACTCCGAAATATCAGTAGTAGAAATGGCGGCAGCAAAAGCCGCATCAAGTGATTGCGGCTGTGGTAGGCATTGGAGAAGCATAGTGAGAGCTGGAACGTCGACAGAATCTACGGCTTGAAAGACAACGTAGCCGTTGTCGTAATTTACATCAGCTTTTGCGTCCAACAGAAGGTAAAGAAGCCGCATCCTTTGGTTTTCATCGTCAAATTTGACTGCGCTTTGGAGAGCTCGTGACGTGACTTCTACCGATGGGCCACCTACAATAAGTATGGCCAGTAGATCGGTGTCACCCTTTTGAACGGCGTGTTCAACGTGTGTGTCTACTGCCGCACCGTTCTCAACCAACATCCGGAGCAGTCGCTCATCGCGCATCGGACTCTTGTCCTCAATAGCCATTGCTAGTGCTCGATCAACTTCAACACCCTTTGCTCCACCGTTGAGAAATGCCTGAGTTAGGACTATTCGACCTTCTTTAGAGGTCTTCCGGATATGAGGGAAGGCATATGCCAAGGATTCTATTGTCGGGCTCGCTTCCAGTAAGATTCCTACTATTGGCAGTTGCTCTCGAGAGACGGCGTCTTGCAGAGCGAGCGCATTGCGGTAGTCGACGGATGCCTTATTTGCGTTGTTTCGCAGCACTAGCATCTTGATCGCCTGGAAATCATCGTCCCTGACTGCAGATACAAGGGCCTCATGAACTCGAGACCCTTGAGCACCTCTGTCTATCAATTGGGAAGCAAGGTCCAATCGTTGCTTGGGTGTAGCATTGGGGTCGATCTCACCAAATGCTTCAGACGCCAGAGTCTCGTCAAGTATGGGTGCGCGTAAGAGTATCGACGCTAAGTCCAGACGAGTATTTGAGACGACTGCTTTCAGGGCTGCTGAGCCTTGGGCGTTAATTGATGCACCGTAACTTATGAGCAATTCTAGCATGCTGATAAGGACCGAGTCTGAGGATGAGGTTGTAACCAACTCCATCGTAATTGTTATCAGACAAGCATCTGTGCAGGGCCCTGCGGCGCCGCTATCGAGGAGGACTTCCATCAAAGACCTTTGCGCAGATGGGACATTTATTCCAAAAGCAAAAGTAATCCTCATCCCTAAATAATAATACATTAGCCATCGGAGTATCTCAATTTTTCAGCCATGTTCCCAAAGCGCAATCAGCTCAAATGTGTTGGCCGCAGTTGTGGATAATGTCTCATCAGATGGATAAGCTTGAAGGGATTAAAAAATTAAAAGAAGCACGTGCGGCTATGCTTACCTTCATCCAGAACTTGTCGAGATGGTTTCGTTACACACAAGGTCAGTGCCACAAGCAAATCCTTCCTTCCAGTCCTTATAGCTTCTTTAACGGCATCTCCCTTCCCATCTGCTCCATTAGCGTCCGCACCAGCGCTGATCAGAAGAATGAGAACGTCCAGATAGCCAAGCTTGACAGTAGAAAAAAGACGCTCGCTGATACCGTCTCGGGACATTGGTTTCTTCGCATTAATCAGTAAATTGATCATCTCGACATCGCGGCTTTTGATTGCGGCAGCAAGCGCTCCATCTTGATAGCTGGCGTCGGCGCCGTATGCAAGCACATATTCGGGAATCAGCAGTTCTCTGCCATAGGTTTGAGCTTGGAGTGCTATATCGAGAGAGTCGTCGAGGCTAATCTGATCCGAGAAAGGTGCCAGAATCTGTACCAAATCCACTTTCGTGTCCGCTGCGGCAGTAGAAAGATAATTGCTGCGAACTGCCGGCTGTCTACCCATACATTTCCAAATGATCTTGCGTTCTCGTTGTGTAAAATTCAAGTCGCCACCAGCTTCTATCAGAAGATCTCGAAGAACCTCAACAAGCCCTGGATTAGTCCCGACCTTTACAGCAGTAAACAGCTCTGTATGGATTTCCTTGTCGCTGAACGTGTTCCTCGATTTTTTGGTAACTAGTAAACGTCTGATCCGCCAAAGTGCCTCGATTTTAGCATCTTTGGAGGCACGCAGCATTTCCTGTGCTGTTTCCTCGTCCTGAATGGTCTTGAAGGTGATTCGTCGTCCTGGAATATGTTGCCGAGGCGGAGTGCAAATTAAAGAGAGTTTGTGTTCGCCAGCGAACTTGTAAAGAATAGACTGATTTACAAAGTTTGACGACATCTTACTGCACAAAAAGGAATGGAAATTGAGACGTGGCAAAGTCACCAGACTCTGAAGGTAGGAACTTCATCATGAACGAAATTCCTCGATCTGATCCAACAGCAGCCAACACAGAACGTTGTTACCTAAGTTTTTGGCTCTGCAGGCAAATTGACAATATCATAGCGAATCATTACACGCCAATGTCCATGACCCTATGACCGTGAGCGGCCCTGTACGCTGTCCATATCGTGAATCCTATTTTGTTCGCACTCAGAAAGGAACCCTTGATGCTTAAGCGAAAAAGAAAACTTACCAACACAGTACTGTAAGACCAACAATACAAATCACGCCTCTCCCCTGCATGGAGAATCGGCGGCTAAAAACAACACGACAACAAGGTGACTGGATTGATCGGAGAAAAGAGTTTGTTGGGTCGACCCCATGCAGCCTCGTGGAAGCCCTCGCGATGTTTTGTTCCAAGTAGGTGTTTTAAGTATCAAACAAGGCTGAATGGCTGCATGGAGCTGTGGGATTTGATGTCCAACTTTGATCGACAGCCAAAGAAAAATAGAGTTAAGAATATTTTAGTAACTGCACGGCACAGCGTAGAAACATGACATGCAGATATCCTCTATCCAATCATGGCACTTGAAGCTAGATTGGCCATAATTCTGGTGTTACCTTTACCAATATTCTTCGAAGTTGCCGAATCTGGACCATGCTGAATTTACCACGTCAGATTCCACTAGATCAAAGAGACTTGCTATAGGAAGCTTTATCTCGTCGACTTACTGGAAGATGCAACTTAAAGACGGATGCAGTGCCAATCAATAAGCGTCGGTACCAAATACAGCCTTAAGGCTCGTCGCGTGAGAATTAAGTGATTCCAACATTTGAATTTACAGGGCAGGAAGATGCCCCATTGCGGCAACTAGGATCGAGGCCGACTATGTTGTACAGTATACTATTTTTAAAATCCTCAAAAACGTGGCGGCGGCTACACAGGGAAATTTGATACCAGGGAGTGCCCGTTCGGACGGGAGCGCCATCCGCCCAACGACGCGTCTGCGCGGCGACGAAGACAGGTTAAAGCCCGCAACAAACACCGCAGGCCATCAGAATGACGATGGTCAGACCGGGGATACATGAGCTGAGGAATTGAAACAACCCTCTCACGGATTTGGAACAGAAGATAGCGTCAAGCTGGGGTAACCGTGTTGTCCCTCTAGACAGATGAGCCAGATTACACTGCGGTGATCCGCCCACGGCAGACTAAAGAACAGTATGAGTGCTTGCATAGTAGTCCGCCTAAGGTTCCTCCCGGCAAGATTGGCCTCCTATCAGGTTCGGCTCTCAATGAACATAATTCCGTGTAGATGTGGCAGTCCAGTCATATTTGTGGGCGGTCTGCGGTTGCAATTAGTTGCAATTATTTGAGCAAGTAGAAGATAGCAACTTACTTAGATTCAACTTCGAATCGTAGGGATTTTATACTAGGCCAAAATGCTGTTTTTGAACATATCTGAGCAGGTGACTGCCGAGATCAAGATATTCTCATAGGATTGGTGCATCGCCAACCGGACTGATCGGTGTGGAATCTTCAGTATCTCCATTCCTGTCCAACAGGCCTCTCTGCTCTCCTTGACCATTTTCTCTTGTTAGCCCAGTGTCAATACCTAGGCCACCTGGCATCCTCAAAGTTCCTTCTTGTGCAGCTGTCTTTCTTGTTTCCTCTGCTCCATTGAGCACATACCATACATCCTTCTTCGTTAGGAACCCTTGTAGGACGCCTCTATCTGAGAAGAGTATGTAACGCAACCCTAATTTCTGGAAGTAATTGGCGGTGAGAAGGAGATTAGAGCGAGAGGGTAGAGTTAGTGGAGTTTGATCCATCCAGGGCCGGAGATCAAGAGTAGTTCGAGGGTCAGCAAGAGGTTGGTGAGAGAAGAAGGCTTCTGCTTCTGGGGGCAAAGAACGTGGCCCTTCTGTTGATGAACGCAGGATGTACTCTAATTCAGCTCTGGAAATATATCCTAGGAGAATCGCGTCGCGCGGATCAGATATGACAGGGAACCCTCGATACGGGTGGGTTGCCAAAATGTTGGACAGGGACCGAATGGTATGTCCTGTCGATGTGAGAACAACGAGGTCTTCGATGCGTGTCATGATTTGGCTGACGGGTATGTCGGGGATTACAGTCTCTTCGCTGTTGTCCAAGAAGGGGTATTCGTTAAAGTGGATCCAGGATTCATAAATTCCACGTTTGCCGAAGGCGTCGCCAATCCATTTGCTTAACATAACGGCTATCATGATAGGAAGGACATAGGTAAGTGCACCAGTCAATTCGAACATAATAACCACTATTGAGACTGTCATGCGGGTAACGCCACCAAGAGCTGCGGCAGCTCCAATGATGGCGTACGTTCCAGGAGTTACGCAAGGAACATCGGGTTCGCAAGAGGCAAATGGAAAGAAGGTGGGGTGGTTGTGAACCCAAATCTCCATGATGATTCCAACTGCTCGTCCCATGAGTGCCCCAACCGCCATTGAAGGTAGAATGATACCAGCTGGGATCTGTAACCCGAAAGTGACAGATGCAAGAAAGAAGCCTAGAATAGCCGCGAAAACTAGTAGGAATATTGTCCCTGCAGTAGCAGCTCCCGTTTTGCAAAGACCGAACTGGTCATCAACGACTTTGGAGCACTCTGCGAGGAGAGAATATACGAGTTCGGAAGCCTGCGCTCTCATGTAAAAGTTAGGGTAATTAATAAGAGCAGTCAAGATAGCAATGATGGCTACTTGGGTAATGGGCCCAGGCAGCCATGCATTTCCTTTTTTCCATCCTGCGATTTTCATATTCATTTTGATGAACAAACCGCCGTAGATACCCTACATCAATGTTAAAAGCTGAAATATAAAAAGTGCGGGGTTACTCACTCCAAGTATTCCGAGTAACGCAAAAGGGATCATCTCGAAACCATGCCAACCGGAGCTGTAAGTGACTTGATAAAGTACGAGCTTTCCACTTCTAAAAGGATCAAAAGCCTGAAGTGTGACAGCCGCAGTCATGGCGCAAACGAAGCTCTGCCACATGGTTTTGTCGGGGAAATAATAGGATAGTTGCTGTCTACTAATGAGAAAGGCATTACCCCTGATGAAGGACAAGTTGACTGACCTCAAGACTGAACAAAACACCCCCAATTGGAGAGCCGAATGCCACAGATATTCCCGCAGCAGCAGCAGCAGACAAGACTTCGCGTTTCCGTGCTGGTCAGTATTAGCCTGGACAGTCAAACCAAAATCAAGGTACATGGGCAACGGACCTTCATTGCCATTTATGTTTCCAAAAAGTTTCATAAACAAATTCGCACAACAGCATGCCACATGGACAAGTGGCCCTTCTTTTCCCAGCCACATACCAGATGCAACAGCTAGACACTTGGATGTGTTAGTAATGATTTTTTGAAGCCAAAAAAAAAAACTTTATTTGGAACTTTTGCTTGCGTACCAGACCAAGTGACTTAATTATCAAAGTCCAGGTTCCCATAAAACGTCGAATGACAAATCCTCCCAATACTGTCTTAATCTCTGGTATTCCACTGTGCTTTGCGTATGGCGCATACTCTTTGACTAAAATACTAGCAGAGACTCCGAACGCAACCTTTTCATTGACGAACATTAGTGACGACCACAGAACAGATCAAGAGAACTCACAGAGAAAAGTGTGAAAAAGAAGTATTCTATGAACCATTTACCCCCAGCAGATGTTATATGAACGGCCGCACTCCAGGGTACCCAGTCTCGGCACTGAGTATACCCATCATATCCGTAACAGCAGAAGTATTTGTTCAGATAGAAACGCCCTCCGTCATCCCCAGCGGAACAGTATCCGGTCTTCATATCTCCAAGCCAATCGCTCGCGACATCTATTGCTGCCGCGAATATTCCAGCGGCGAGCCCGGTCAGGATTAGCACAATCCATATCTGACTCGCATCTAAAGCTCGTTGCGCATATCCCAACAACCCCGAAGCGCTTGAGTATAGTACTCGTAAGCGTTGCCGTTCTTTTGTGTATTCGAATATCCAATCGATTGCTGTCATGTCTTCATATCCAACTCTGCGCCCCGGCCCTTCCGCGTACCAGTCCAGAGGACCTCCATCCTTAGGATTTGCATTGATATTCGAAGACGCCTCCTCGCCGTTGTTTGTCCCGGATCCCCACGAGCCACTGTTACTCACACCAGGTGTTCCTGATCTGGGAGAAAGTGCAGGTTGACGCGATTGCGCGCCAGTTCCTGAAATAGCAGATAGGAATCGAGATACGGGAGCTTGCTTGGCTTTCCGCTTGAAGCTCACTATCTCTCCTTCGTCTTCGTAGAGAGGATCCTCCGATAGTAGCGTCTGCTCTCGATGATGGCTTGCGACAGGGTCGTCGTCGTCGCTGTCGTCTTGAAGGGTTGGGACACTCGGTGGTTGGTGACTTGAGGATGAATCGCCTATGGAAGGGGGGAAATATCCGGCTGAAGAGCTGGTCATATTCAAAGAGCCGAAGTCGTTAATGGCATATTCTTAAGCTTACTTTTTCGAACGAAGTATGGTGGTTCTTAGATAGTTGTCGGCAGAACCTCGGAGTTCGTCGCGTCCTGCTACCGTACCCGGGAGCTTCATCAGCGGGTTGTAATTTTCATGGCACCCTCGACGAATGCGCCATTCAGTACAATATGGCAAAACCATCGAATCCCGCAGATGATCTCCTATCAGATCCTACGCAGACTTTTGACAAGTTAGTAGAGCTTTTAAAGACGAAAAATGATACGTCAAGATTCGTTGGTCTCGCTCTTTTGAAGAGTGTACTCGACAATGGTCAGCTAGTGCACGACACCGAGCGCATACATTTGATATGGGATTCTCTATCACCAAAGTTCCTCAAGCGTCTACTTCGCGCTAGAGAGAACAAGACTACTAGCAAAGCAGAGGCTATAGATATGGTAGATCTTTCTGTATCTATTCTACACACATTGACCAATCTGTTACCTGCAAGTGATCTCAATAACAAGAGGCTGACATCACTTATAAACCCTCTCATTGAGGTTTCGCTTCAAAGGTCAGGAAAATTTCTCTCTTTGAAAACCCAGAGTCAAACGCTGACGTCGTACAGCAATTCAGCAACAACCGAATTGATTTTGAAAACTCTCGTCACACTTGTCAGTCATCAAGAAGGTGCGGTTGAACTCATTCATATCAAAGACGTGACGCCCTTGTGGGAAATTGCTCCTCAATACCCATTGGCTCTAGATGTATTTACATATGCCTGGGTCAACGCATCATCTGTTAATAGCGAGATTCTACGTACCCAAGAAAGTATAGATGAAGTGATCCCTGCTCTTCTAGTTGCCTTTAAAAATACAGATGCTGTTACCCTACTTCAGTCTATTGGCAGCTTTCTCCCAAGGTTGAACCCGGAGGCAGGTCATCCTATGATTAAATCCATTCATGTACTAATTGGTCTGCAGGTTTTGAGCGAGGACCCGCCATGGCTAGTACCACTCGTCGCCGCTGTTCGTCGATTGGTACTGAGAAAGCCTACAATCACTGGTAGAGCTGCATACACGAACCTGGCTGCAGCTCTCTTGCAACTGTACCCTAAGCAATGTCCAATCTTACTTTTCAAGAATAGCGCAACCGACAACGCTGAGAGCAAGCCCTTTTCATACCTATTAGTTAACCTTCTCTTGATAGACGTTCGATCATCGTTTCCGTCACTGCTTGCTCAATTGAATAGTGGCAACTATGTCTCTATTTCGCAAAGGTTAGCCGCCGGCTTCGACATTCTTTCCAGCTTTATTGGATTTTTAGTCAGGAGCCTTGACGATGACATGCCTATACCATCGTTCAACATGCCACCGGATCTGCTACTGAAACTGCGAAAGGACATCGCAGAAACAATGTCGTTGACAATCGAGTATCTTCGCGACAGATGGGATGCTTCAATGGCCGGAGCATCGGGTCTTCATCCATCCGCGAGGGCAGGTACTGCAGTAACGTCTGAAGGCTCACGATTAACATTAACATGGGACACGATGGAAAATAGCGTTACAACTGATCCACTGGTATTAGCTAGCATCAGGGCTTTATCAATCTGGATTCGCGAAGACGAAAACGAAAATTTGCGTAATGAAAGTGCTGGTCTGATGGATATGCTCGTTGAGCTTTACAAGATCAGCGTGGGTAACGCTCTTGATTTTCGCTACCCAGTACTGCTTGCGCTTGAACCCATCATGCTTTCAAGCATTGGTGTTGGCGGATTCATTGAGCAGAACGGCTGGAAAGTGATTTCCGACGATCTTCATCACATACTCGCAGAGATTCCGACTTTAATCATACCTTCAACTGACAGCGTTGTCCCCGAAGCTGCTCGAGGAGTTGAAATTATTCGCGTTCTACTTGCGGTACTCGACGATGGGACGACCAGCTACCCCCAGGAAGATTGGATGTCGTCCATTGCAGTTGTTGCATCTATGAAGATTTCTCCAAAGCCAAACGCTTCGGTACTAGAGCTGCAAGTTGCTGCACTCCAGCTTGTCTCGGCAATCCTTACAAAGGCTGCCTCTGGAGTACAGAAGAGATATTTGACAAGCATCCCAGCGCTTCTAGGTCTTGCAAACCAGATCCGGCCATTGGTGAAGGAATTGGATGAGGCCTCGTCAAGAGAGTTGACCGATCTACTTGACGACGCTTCGTTGGAGATAGAAAATCTAAGGGCCGTACGATATTAGGCAACAACATCATGAAATACGAGATGTTTGAGCGATGAAAGAGCTGTCATAGGGTTGTCCAAATCGCCAAAGTCTTGAAAAGGTGTTCACACGATTCACACGAATTAACACCCGTTTGATCTATTCTGCCGGTATGTCTGTTCGGATTTTCCGATAGTTAGCATCATGCAATAAATTCGGCTCAACGAAATACGAAGCACAAGCAAGCGACGTTGGACGGTCGAATCCAGCCAACTCAGCTGGCTGACAGTGGGTCCCATTAGCCGTCTGCCAAGAATGGGATTGGTCGTGCAACCAAAATTTCGAAGTATCGTTCACCCCTTACGGTCGTCGCTCTTCCCTGCCTCCAATTGACCCACCATGATCGTCGGAATCCTTGAGGTTGCAGAATTGTTACATTGACTGCTACATGTACTGGAAATCTGAATGGGTTAGGTTAGGAATATTTGCAAATACTCTTCACCGACCTGAGTTTCTGGGTATGCTGCTTGTCATCACCCATCTCTGTTTCTAGCTATGCTAGTTACATTCACAATGCACACATTCAAAAGCTTATACCTCTACTTGGGGGAGCTGTTTCTCACAACAACCATAGCTCAAAACACCTACAGCCATTATACCATAGAAGTAACCATTCCCTACTACATCGATGTCAAAGTCCCCAATGCGGTGCCATTTACCGACCCTCCCAGGGTCAACGTGGAACTACGAAATGGCAATAAGAGTATTGCATATCACCCGACAATAGATACCGGAACCTGTGGGTACGTCGTCTCGGTAGATGGGTTTCCTGGCTGGTCACAGCAGCTCGCAAACGCGAGCGAGAAAGGCTGGGAGTTTCTATCAAGCAGCAAGAAACTGTATTCCGGCCATTGGATCCCCGTTGATATGTTCTATACCGATGCACCAGTGGAGGTCGAGACCAGAGTTCCCGTTCTAGTTGTCGAGGAGTCCACCATATGTCCCCATTACAACGAAACGAGAGATACAAACACTTGTCCAACGCTCAAAGGTACCCTACCAAGAGTGGTCCACCATCCCCCAAATATATCATTATTCGGCGTCGGTTTCGGCCGACAAAAAGATGGTCAGCCTCAAGGATCACCAGACAAGAATCCATTCCTCAATATCGTAAACATAAACAAAACAAGCACCAACACCGATCTCTTCCGCAACGGTTATATGCTTGATCGAAATGGCATCACGTTAGGCCTAACAGGATCCAACACCAAAGACTTGATACGCTGGAACGTCTTAAAGCGCGGAGACCTATGGGACACCGACCACCGCGACTGGCGCGCCCCCAGAGCATGCTTCAGCGTCGACGACAGCACCTGCGTTGAAGGCAATCTCCTCATCGACACCGGAATAGCACATTCCTATCTCACCCTCCCGACCGGGGCACAGGTCCATACACATACAGACACGAATCCGAGCACTCACGCCCCCGTCCGCGCACTTAACAACGGCTCCGTCGTCCAACTCAAAGTCCGTGATGATTTTGGGTATGCAGTTGATACAGAGTTCATCGTCGGATCGCCTGAGGGGATCGCACCGAGTATGGTTATCGTGACGTTGAGAGATCCGGCTGAGAAAGAGCCGTTTTTGAATACTGGACGGCATTTTTTGAGGAGCTGGAAGGTGGCGTTTGATGCTGTGGGTGGGAAGTTTGGGTTTCGGAGGGTGGTGTGAGGAGTTTCGTGGCGAGGGAAGTGAGGAGATACTTCAGGTTTAGTTGTAGGGAGGGCAATGCATGATTGTTATGAGATGGGTGATGGTATAGTATGCTGGGACTTCTAGTCCCAAAACTCAGTGGAGAAGAAAATGTATGAATGTATTTCAATGGGTAGTCTGCAAAGAAATTCAGGTGTAGCAAACCCGGAAGCCATCGAAACTCCATGTTTCCGGTCAATTAAATTAGATACTTTGGCTCTGATACAACATCAGATACAGCACAATTCAACGTCCCGCGCCTTCCTAACTCTGTCAAAAACTTGTTTTTAGAACCTACCACCGAGCCTCCGAAGAATTCATGACACAACAAGCAAACAAAAACTCAAGCACAACATAGTCGAACCAAAAACAAAAACTTATAGGTTGGAATATCTTCAATATAGTACCACATTCATAATCTATATATACCCTCTTCCCCACTCCCATTTCCTCACAAATATCCATTCCATTCCAATCCATTCTCATCAACCCATCTTCCTTCCCACAGTCATCCACCCCAATCCCTAAGGAGCAAAAAGCCGCAATTTTAAATCCCAAAAGTACCCATAATCACAAAAAAACATTCGAACAGAGATGACAAAAAACCGTGTAAAAGATGGGGTAAAAAGGTTCTCAACAATATATAATCCCAAGATAAACAATGCTAAATCCCCTTTCGATTCCTTAAAAGTTCGGGTGATGAGATTCGATTCCAGAATAATGAAGGCAGTAAATACGCGCGACGAAGGCTGGTATGAGGGGGTATGTCCAAAAACAAACAGGCTTTGCGAGGATGAAGGTAAAATATGATACAGGTAATAAAGTTTGATGTTGAGGAAATGATGGTACGCCGGCCGTTTAATCTCGTAAAATGTGAGAGTGTTCAAAATGATGTCGTCGTAATGGAATCGTACAATCTGGATGGCTTTTGTTTAACTCTCTTCCATGATGCCACCTTCGCCACCGCCTTCTTCTCGCCATTCTCGACTGCGTTCGGTCAGGCGTTTGACGCCGCTGACGCGATTCGACCAGAGACTTTCAACAGGTGTACGGAATGTGTAACCTCGTTGACTGCTGATCACACCGATGGCTTGGAGAACAGCTTTTCTGCTATCTCGACCGAAGACTGCTGGGTGGGATATCCATTCCAGACTAGATTCTAATTCCGCGTCCAAGGCGGCTACGGTTGTGGGATCTATTCCAGGAGAGGAGTTCATGGAAAGAGCGTCGTTGGATACGTGACGAGGAATCTGGGAGTGCTGGCTCGTTGCTGAAGCAGCTGAGGTAGGAGATGGTGTGCGGCGACGGTCTGGGGTAATGGAAGATGTGGGTGATGAGGAGTCGCCGGTGTTTGGTGACTTCGCGCCTGGTGGAGGAATTGGTGGTAGACCACCTTTTCCGAGACCCTTCAGGATAGAACGGGTCTCGTTGAGAAGGTGTTGGGCTCGGTCGTGCTGGCCTCTTGATACTAGGGTAAGAGCTCGGGTAAGCATGTCCGAGGTAAGAAGCTCCATTCGTCGCTGTACGACAAGTGGATGTGGTGGAATAGATGGTGTATTCGGCCATTGTGACTCAGACTTCTTGCGGCTTGGGGATGCAGGAAGCATTGTGATTGCAAGTAAGGAAGGACGAGGGAGTTGCGTCAGAGTACTGTCTCTCATAATATCTCCCCAAGTAAGATCTGCCTGAAGGAGTGGAACTTCCTCAATCGAAAGAGTTCGCGAGTCTTCCTGATCTAATGGTCCGCCAAGTGCTTCCAAACCAGATACGATGGTTTCCCATGGATCCTGTGGTAGTTGTTCCTGAGACGCATTGTCTGGAGATATCACCAGTTGTACCAAGATATCCCTCTTGTCGCCGAATCGTAGATCGCCCAAGGAAGCCTCGGCATCTTTGCCAGTTGCTCGTTTGGTGATTTGTAAAGCACCACTGATCTTGACAAACTTGGCAGGCGACCCTTCTGGCAGTCGAAGCTTTAGTTTTACATTTTGATGAGACATCGTCTGGAGGGCACCGAGACACCCAGCAACGCACTCGCGCAGCATCATCCAGTCCTTGACATATGTATAGGAAGCCTTTGTACGGGTAGAGAGCTCGATCATAGTATCCGGCTTGTGTGTCATTCCCAACCCAAAGGAGTGAATCGCAATCTTTGCGGCTTCTGCCCTCGAAACGACAAAGTCGACACTCTCTGGGTCCGAGGTTGAGGAATCGCTGATCAAGAGAATAGTGGCAATTGGGTTATTTGATTTTCGTTGCATTAGGAGATCCATCGCGACATTGGCACCCTCCACAACATCTGCTCTGTGACTCTTCTGTCCAACCGGTCTGATGGAAGAGAGGATGCCTGGCCATCCGTTCCATGATTTTGTAGTCATTCCAACTAGTGGTGCAGCACCACCACTGGATCCAAAGGTAACCAGACCCATCCGATCACGCTCTCCGAGATTCGATACCATGAATTTCAACGCGTCGCGAACGAGGCTTATTTTCACACCTTGCATGGAGGAAGATATTGGAACAACAACGACAATATCGAATGGTACATGGACGACTGGTGGTAATCGGACAGTTCGAGCGGCGTTCGTATAATCCGTTCCGGCGGTTGTTGCTGATTTCGGTGCACCGTATGAGGATGAATTGACCGATGAACCTCGATTTGGTCCATTCACTCTCTGCCAATCCTCGTCCTCTGGCTCTGATAAATCGTATTCTGGGCTTCGAACAGGAGATGCCTCTACGGCGTGTAAATCTAACAACGCTTGTTGCCATAATTTCAACTGGTTGCGGTTCTCGAATCTTAGGTGGAAAGAAGGAAGCTCAGCTACTGAAAGGCTGAGTGTGAGGATGTTTTCTTCTGCAGGCGTCAAGTTAGACATCGTAATCTTTTCTGTTTGACCAAGGTTGGCTTTACCCCCTGATTCTGATACTTCGTTCAGATGTTTCTTAATTAGAATAGAGCCCTTGAGCGTGCAACGGGTTGTTTTTCGCAGTGGCTGCGTGTCTTCCCATCCTTGGGGTATCATGACTTTCTTTTCCTTTACGCAAATAAGCATCTCGGCGAACAGGAAACATTCCAGTTCCTGCCATGACTGCCTGTCCTTTCCGACACGGATTGTGCCGTACAAACGGAGCTTTCCGAATCTATTTTTAAGTTAGTGGAATCTTCAAGATTGTGTAGCAAGTGCTGTACCGATTGAAGTCGAGACCATGCCAGTTCTCTACTCTTACGCGGAGATTTTCTGTAATCTCTTCCAGTACCTCTGGTGCTTCATATGGGTAGAACTTAGGTGCACTTTGCGCTGGTGAAGGCGGTCGAGCATAGGTATCTTCAGGACGTGCAACTGGAGCTTGAGGGGCTGATCGTAAGTCATCAGGATCTGGCCGCCATTTGTTGTCTGGCACCTCGATTGTTACCAAACAAGTCAAAGTCTGCTGTTGACGCGACCTGTTCAATGTTGGAAATTCCGATCGAACACTGACCGTTGGCGCTGGGATTGGATTCCTCGTTACGCTCGCTCGTGGGCTTGTTATGCTTGTTTCCATTGACTGCACATCGTAATCGTGGCGACGCGGAGGACCACTGGTAGAAGTTTCTGGGTAGCCAACTGAGGAAGCGGTTCCTGTAGCCTCTGAATCATTCCGGCGATGACTGCTTTGTCCTGAAGGTCTCTCCGACGGAGGGCCAAACTTTTCACGTTCTCGGCTGTCTCTGCTGTCCCTATTGTGGTCATTGTTGTGCGCCCTAGGATCGCGGCCGGCGTCCAATTCCGCCTCCCTTTGTTGCTGCTGTTGTTGTCGCTGGTTAGATTCTCTGCTCGGCGGCCTCATGGTTTGGTTGTCCCATGGGGTAGGAGTGGCTTGGTTGGATCTGGATGCATCGTTCGAGGAGACTGATCGTACGATGTTGCTCAATTTTTCTGTACAGCCGTTAGTGATTTTACAATTACAGATGCAATTGACTCTTACCAATGTCGAGAACATTTCCTCCTCTACTAGTGTCGAGTCCTAAGGGAGCGTTACATGTTGGGCAGTACTGCGACTCAAATTCCTTGATATATTCGTAGAAACATGCCTCGTGCGAGACGTGACCGCAGGAGAATTGAAGAATGCGCTCGCCACGAAGGGTGTGTTCTAACGGCTCCTCGCATACTGCACACTCGCTGCCGACAAAGGTTCTTTCTCGTCTTGTACGACTCCTCTCCGACACCGTCGAGTCGCTAAGCATGCCCGCCATCTGATTGCCGGACCTGTTGCGCAGATCTCTCGATGTTTTACTCGTGCTATCCCACGGCTTAGTCGATGTTGATGAAGTTGTTGGTTTTCGAAGTCCTGCGATTGTGCTAACACCTGGGGAGGGAAACTGCGTCAGCCGGTGGTCAAAGGAATTCATGTCGTTTGCAACCACTCCTGAAAGAGAAGGAGACGTTATTGTTTAACTGACCTTTCTTTGGTGGTAATCCTGCAACACGGGACCCACCAGCTACCCTGTCCTTCTCTCTCCGCCGACCTTTCTTGTTTGTGTCGGTAAGTAGTCCAAGCTCATATAGTGCTGAAACCTGGGCCTCCTCCCTGGGGTCTCTTGGTTTAGAATTAGCAAAAGCTCCGGGTCTAGAATAACTGGTGCCGAAATGGTTCTTCGACATGTAACGGTCCTTCCTGCCGATGCAGGTTTCCTTTGGGGGGGGCGGAGAATATATGAGATTCCTGATGATGCTATCCCGCCTTGCTTCGATGTGGCGCTTTATAGTATGGCAGTGACAGAAGTAGTGGCTGTCAGCTCCTTAGTCCCGTTCCTTTGACTCTTATTGCTAGCTGTCAGAGAGTTTTGGGGAGGCGTTCATACACACACGGCGAGGGAATGAGGGTTCAAAAAGACGGTGCAGTGATCACGACTAGGTTCGAGGTCCTAGACGACAGACGGCCTATCTGCAAGCCCAAAGACGCTCAGGGGAGACGGCGGCGACAGTCCAGGTGGCCGTATTAAGAGCCTGTGATATCGGCCTCTGTATCTGCAGGTTCTCGAAGTGTTCCTCGAAGCTGCTGTGCTAGGTGGCGTGGATTGCAATACGCTTCCAGGTTGCTTGTAATGCAGAGCAGCCACGGTGGAGCGTGAAGCTTGGGCACTACGCGACGGATACGCAGTCTTGTGAATGCCAGATACTCGTACACTCACGGAGGGGTCGGACCTCGAGCTAATAAAGGAGAAGGGTTAGGATATGGGTAAAAGATTGTAAAAAGACGGGGCGATGGTTCGATCCAGCGGAATCGGGTATCAAGAACTCGGCGCGCAAGGTGCCTAAACCGTCTAGCTGAGGGAGGACACTATCACGTTGACGACGTACAAGCTGAGGGTGTAGATGACGGAGGAAGCAGTTCGCGGAGATGGGATTGCTCGTCGTACATGCAGGACGAGTGAAGGGTACGAAGGAGGCAGCGAAAGATGGAGCTCGAGGAAGCCGTTGCTTTTGAAAAGAGGTTTTCGCGAGCCGGGAGGTGGGTGGTGGTGGTGGTGGTGAGATACGATGTGCGGTGCGGCAAGAAGCACATCTGCCCGCACCGTTCTGCTGCTGCTGCTGCTCTGCCCTTGCTCGACGACCAACGACCACACAGCGACGCATCCTCGATGCCCTCCTGGCTCGGTTCGTTTGCCATTCGTTCTTCGTTCTTGCGATCCTCGTCAGGACCGGGCATGGATGCCATGAGCGAGGAGGGGGGCCTGTCCGGTCCGCAGGCTGGGCTGGGGGCGTATTGCATGGGACGTTGATTGAAAGACGCGGAAGGAAACCTTGAGGGTGGAAGAGTCAAGGGTTCAAGGCACTTGCATTAGACTGTAGAACTAGTTCGAGGCCCTGACAGTTGACTGCTCTAGTCTGCCGAAGCAATCAGATTTTTGGCACCAGCGTGGCCCTAGGGAATTGCCGTCACCAAGCAACAACTTCTCCTACGATGTACTCGAGTAGTGTTCTGCATAGAACTAGGAAGAATCATGAAAGAGAAGACGTTGCATGAAAAACAACAGAATAAATAGATACTCTCTTTGCTTTTTGCCACAGCATCAATCACTCGCATGCCGAAGTCGATTCGACGCCACCGCTCTGGTACGCTGGAGGCTATTTGGCGACACATTGATCCAAACGAATTACCGACACTTCTCGCTCGATATGGTTGTCAAGGCTCAAGTTGGTCTTCAAAACCATGTCTCGTGCATCGCATACCTCCGAACGCCCACTGTTTGTCACACCGCACCGTTGGCGCTTGCATCTATGGTCCTATCCAGCAGCTTGGGTTGAGGATATACTCGTCTTGAAGCCTATCTAGAGAAGCGCGCGAAAGCAGGCTGAACTCAAACACATTGAGAAGCCGATCTGACTTCTGCGTCTGCTTTGGCCTTTTCTTTACGGAGCCAAGCCCCAGCTCTTCCACCTTTCGACTCTACGTGTGGAGATATAAAATGTAATGGCTCACATCTAGCCTCCCAAGGTCTTTGATAACTGACGTCTGATATGTCTCGGGCAACATGTCTAATTAGAAGACGCACATGTGGGGAAGAGCAAGACATACGACTATCGAGACACCAATAAAGCAGCACTTGTGAACAGCTTTGCCTTTGCTCAAACTCTTCACATCAATCTGCAAATGGTTGACTAGATCGTCGCCGCTCTGCAGCACATCCGCTCTCGTGTGCTGTAGTGGAGTCAGTTGGCCAGAGTTACATCGTCTTCCAAAAGATCGCAATGAATGGACCGAGAGCCAAGATTAAAAAGGATTATCTGCCGGGCTATATTGTTGTTCTTACTTGTTGCGTTGCTGTATTTGCTATATCACTACTCCCGGGATGCTCAAGTCTTTAACGCTCTGTGTTATCGGCAGCATCATTCAAGTATACACTGTGGGTGACACGGTTGATGCTAATGTCAAAATCCAGGAAACTGGTCCACGGATCATTTATTCTTCTAGAAGAAGTTTGAGCAAGTTCCTCTTTGTTGCAGAAGAGCTGACCAAATGTGGCCTAACGTTCGAGAGCCGTTGCCGTGCCCAATCAAGCACGGTGGGTCTCGTCTATAGGAAAGGGCAACTTCCAGTTCCACACGGCAGCAGCTCCTAGTAAACAACCACAACCGTCCTCCATCTTACACCCACAGACCTCCTGCAAAAGAACGCAATTATTCTATCAATTTTTCCTCATCTCCGCTACGTAGTTAACAACGGCCCAAAGAAGGCAGCTCTGTCCTGCCGAGCCTGTACAGATCAATATAACGGACCGCAAGGACAACGAAGTGATCAGAGCTGTTTCTCAACGAAATAAGCAATATTCTGTTATGCCATCAACCTCTCGATTTCCTCAGACAAAAGATGCAAGAACAACTGAGTATTAGCCAGAACCTGCATTATAAACCCCGGTTTGGATGCAGATAACACACATGCAGTTGCAGTGCAGACTTGACTAATTGGATGACTTCGTAGCGAAGACTGACTAACAGCATGCGAGGGCATTCGAGGACGGCATTAACTGCAGTCTGCAGGTACTTGCCTGCAGAACGAAAGAAGCATGCAAAGAATGGATGTTACTCGTTGTCAAGTTTCAGCTTCTTCGTCATTGAGCTTGAAGAAGTTTCAACTCTCACCTGAATCGCCAGAGTGTTGACATCACAGTTCGTGGCTGAGTGCAGATTCCAGAAAACGTTTTTTTCCAGCCTCAAACTAGTCCTCAAGGTCAGCAAATTCCATCTCAAATTAGCAACATGTATTTCCGTGGCATTTAGGGCTTACGAAATGACGATATTATCGACACTGCCCCAACACCTGTGCCGCCTGCTCACAGTTTTTGACACCATTGATCAAGATGTTTCCGACTGGGTGAGAGCCAACTGCCGACTGTATGCGACAATACAGGTTGATATACGGAATACAGCAAGACAACTTCTGCTTTGCCAGAGGTCTGCATTGAGTATTCTACTCTCTACTACTGTGCGATAAGGCAGGAGAATCACGGAAACCGACGATGTCTTAGTTCCCCCACGTTTTACCGAGAACAACCCCGCAACCACCAATCTTTTCTGTCCGAATGTTTTCACAATGAAAACATTCTCGTACGTCTGGACGATCTCTAAAAGAACGTGGTGTCATGGGACGTTACAACAAGACCCAATTTTATCCGACGTTTATCTTCTCCAACCCAGATCAATCCTTCTTAATCCTACAGAACCAAGTACCTAGGTACCTAGGAGATTGACCAGCGTTGCGGCTTGGTTCTTCATCCTATGCCACCCACACCAATACCATCTTCGCCAACCGCTATGCACGATGTATTCGGGTTCCTCGCCATACTGGACAATGGGCCCGCGATGACAGGGCACACGGTATACATAGCCAATGGCCACTGCATTGCAGCAACCTTCGTCTGAAGTTATATCTCGTCAGGACCGAGTTCAATGCACCAGATGCATCTTTCCTCTCGATATGATTCGAAGTCTCAAACGAAGACACCCTCAAGCAAACCCAAAAGCGCCACATACCCCAGCACTACAACACATCCTCACCTCTTCATGCCCGGAGAACGTGTTTGTCAGAATCGATAGCCTCTAAGCATCCATCAATTCGGGTTTCTGTACCTGCCTTGGCTTCTGCTCTCGTGGATTCACAATAATACATCGCCGGTACCGTCGCTCGCACAGCATTGTTATCGGTGGATGAAGATATCAGACGAGGGATGCTGGCGTCATCCCGTGCGAATCACCCGCACTCTCTTGATCACTCAGCGGTATTCATTTATCCAGGGTCTCGTCAAAGCCGACCTCGATATTGCTACCATACCTCGCTCTTTCTACATTGAGCTTTTCTCTAGCTGCAACTCAACGGCACTGGCAGATCTTGGAAGCATTGTCTCAAAAGATACATCCAGATTCCGAAAAGTACCTCCGAACACAGATTCATGCTTTAAATGTAGGTCGCAATTGAGGATTCAATGCGCACTCCCTCTCGTAGCGTTGATGGGAATTTCTCTGAGGAGAGACGAATTCCTCACGCTTTCAGGATAAAATTCATGAATCTGCAGGTCCGGACGTGTTCTCATAGTTTCACTTACCGTCTCTTCATGTTGTCACCAGATGTCACGAGTCGTCTCTTCCTCGAACTGCATATCGTGCTTCCGGCTCAAAGCCTTGTCAGCGGCGTATTCTTCACATGAGCTACATGACTGCAGATCTCCCTCCAGATACAACCTCGCACATATGTTTTTGGTTGATTGCAGATGTACTTGTTGGTATCTAGCCTCCTGCTCTGTTAGGTTTGCCACTTGAAGTCTTCTTTGTCAACCCAAACAGCTTTTCCCGATGGCTTAGTTGGATTGTTGTCTGTTTTCGGATTATCCGTTGTACTGCCTCGACAAAACGTGGCTCTCGCGTGGTTCGATTTGGTGGCCCCTCGTCCAAGACGTGACAACACCATTAGTGTGCAACCGATGCAACCCCAAAAAAGCCATAAGCCTCGGTGCGGGTCGGTCATACATCTCACTGGGAAAAAAACTGACTCTCGAAGATGAACAATGAAGCCGCTTTGCCGTATCTAACATCATCAATTTCAGATTTCCTTTCTTACAGATGTGGTAAGTCTAAGTAGGAGCACTTCTCAGCCAGTAAGCGACAATTCCTACCCGATTGCCCAAAGGAGCACTAACATGTCTCACTGGAATTCAAGATAGCCGATCAATACCACCCGCGACTTCAGGTCACTCACTTAGGTTAGCATCTTGCCCATAGTGAAACTCATTCCTATTACTTCGTACGAAGTAGGTCAAGCCAAGGTGTGCCTTGCAGCTCGATTATTGACGTATTCCTGATGGAACGGTGGTACAAAACACTCGAGTAAGTCCTTTCTTCATTTATCCACTGCCATGAACCTTGAGCCGAAGGCAGATCAACATGATTTTGACACCAGTCCGGGCTGTTGGCGATTTATTTAGCTGGTCTGAATAGTCTCGGAGGCTAAGTTAGCTGGCGTGGAAGTTCCTCTAAGCAGTCCGCGGATCCGGAAGCCATGTCTCACGATATCAGTGGGTGATCTAGTGGCTTCTCTCAGCTAACAGTTACCCCAAGATTCATAACCTTGCATCGATCCGTTGAGATGATAGTGCAATGGAACACATGTCAGGGCGTTCCACGCTGTTTCCATGCTAACAACGCTGAAGTTCGGAGCGAAGAAGCAAAAAGGACACGCCAAAAGATTGGATGAATTAGTCCCGGAAAACGCCATTGTTACTGATTTGATCTCGAGTCATTTTTCTACCAGATCTAACTTTCGGTTGGAGACGGTGAATGCAGCCATATATTTCGGTATATTACAACAAACACAATTACATTTCATTTACAGGCTTTCTCCTGGTCTAGGAGGAGAGCAATCTGTTGTTCAATGCCGTCCGAATAACGTTACTCGGTCGATCATTCCTGACTCAACAAGGCATACCCTTCTAACTTTAGCCCCCCTTTCTTGACTCCACGTTCTAGTCTAGTCGCTTCCCGAAATATCACGAGCTGCCAGCCAACAACAACCAAAAAGTTCCACGACGACAACCCACAGAACGACGAATTCAATTGCCACTTCCAACACCGAGCAACTTGTATTGTTAATGCACTAGCCGGGCGCAATTGCAATTTGTCTTTCATGGATGAGTTTTCTTCTTGCAGCTGATCTAGAATACCCTCATCCACAGCATCATTTGTTAAACATACATCACCTCAACGGCCGTGCTCGCAAATCGCACATCACGATGCTGCCAAGCGTACATCCACCTACCAATGCTGCACACTTCGCAAGTGCCGAAGAAGAGAAAACACGCCGACTCGACAACATTTTCTCAATTTAGGAACAGAACAAACCAAGTCGTTGGTCGCCACGCTTCTGCTCTGTTGCATTATGTACCCGAGCGTATCGTCGTCAGCGGATGAGGGATGTGCACCTCCAGTCGATCGGTACATTGGGCCGCGCACTGACTTTGGGTGCTCGAGGGATCGATCAGCTGAAGCACAAACGTGGAAAATCTGGAAATCTCCATATCACAGACCGCATATGATTTTCGTATGTCTCGAATTGATCCTAGGTGACTGTGAGACACACAACAATTGACCGGAAGCCTAGCCGGCGAGGAGGGGAAAGAAACATCGCTTAACCACTCCTTCTTGTGTACAGTACCAGCACCAGTGACACGGTGAGCAGTGCGAGCGATTCTAGGGTTGCGCAATGTTGACATGAAAGTTCCTCCTCGCCGTTCGTGTTTCATGGCTGTGCTATTGACTGACCCTGAAGATTTAGACTCTCTTTTACGTGCTTTTGCTGCTGCCCGATTCAAAGGGTCTTTTCCCACGTGTTTCTTGGGTTTTCCCATGTTTGTCGGTCCAATGACTGTTCATCTCTTATATTCTCCGCATTAGATGAACCGATCTTCTGGATTCGCAAAGGATTCCAAAAGCGGACTTTTGACGTCTCGGATACGAGGATGTGGTTGTTAACCTTTTTGTGAAACCGGATTAATTTTCGGAGGATCGATTACATCTTTTGAATCTCTTGCATATCTTTTTATATTATTTCAGTGGTTATTTCTTATATTTCTCCGGGGAATAGGATGGGAATGATGACATGATGGTTGGAGGAAGATGTTGGGATTTGCTGTTCTGGCGATACAACAAAAATACCTCGCCTGCAAAATACCCATCCCCTCGAACCTCAAATTTAGTACCTCGACGTCACAAACTTCACAGTTCACTCCAAAAGCAAAAACCTTTATCAAATCTGCAACAGCAAAACAAACTCTCCCTACCCCGATCCCCTCCCCTCCAAAAAAAGCAAAAATACATATAAACTTTTCCGTGCCTCATCCTGCGACACAGCCTCTCCAATCTGTGTTTCAGAAACCCAACTTTCCGGGGGAAAACGCTTACCCTCCACCCCCCCTTAATCATCATTCCATAGGTGGTAGATATGGTTTATTCCATACCCAAATTCCGATTGCATGCGATGGGAATTTGGGTATGGAAAAAGCGAAGGTCATCGTAAGTTGTTTACCCCACGATCGGGATGCGGCGGCATTTTATTTTAATTGCACCGCACCTTCCCGTTGGGGTTGCCGGTACCTGCGTTGATGTACCTTTGTATGGATGGTAGGTAGGGTCATGTGGTTGTGGTTTTGGTTCTTATCGTGCTTTGAGTTTGGATTTGAGATCTGGGAGTGATAGGAGGGTTGCGATTCTCACTGAGATGGGTAGTGGGGTCTGGGAATATGGAGAGAAGGAAAATGGAATAGATATCGGGTGGAATCCTTCCGAGGCTTTTCGGTTTTGATTCCATGTCTGCTCTTATGCGTTGTACGTCTCGTGTGTGGACGAGCTGGGTATTGACTGCTGTCTTTATTGTTTTGTGATAGTTTATTCAAGAAGTCTTGATGCTTGTGGGGTTAAGACACTTGGAAGTGTGGTAAAATACGATGTTTGCTCGATCGGGTGCTCGTTTACTTTACTTATATTCTCTACAGTAAGAATTGCTTGGAAAAGCAGGACAGCCGCTAATCTCCTTGACTGCTTCAAGATATCCATGCTAGATACGTCGAGCGGAAATTAGTGGGTTTTTCTGCTATATATGATTAATGGAGCAGAGGGTTTGATTTTCATTTCCATACATTGGATTGCTAGATCTGATGTCACTTTTGTTCGCTCACTCTTCTACTCGTAACTTATCAATCATTCTGTTCCTTATTTCCTTCTACTTCTTTGTATTTTCCTTGATTGTTAGACGCAAGACCAAGGGCATCGAGGTGTCATTTCGAAGCACGAAGCCATAGCAACTGCTGTTTCTGAAGAGCTCGGCCATATCTAGTTGTCATGAGACGAAGCCTTCTTGAAGTCACAGTCACAGAAATTCTTGGTATACATCTTCCTACAAAGCGTTTGCATTATGTTCTTCTGATTCGAGCGTACTGAAGAACAGGACGAATTATAGAAACTTCTATCAATATTGAAATTCTTGAGACTCAGCTAAATAAAATGCTAAGTTCTCACTTCCCTAAAGTCACTCTTATAAAGAACCCGAAAGTACAAACCTTCACATACAACGCTATCACCTTTTCTACTCCCAACATCACGGTATTCCTCTTCACCCCTCCCAAAAAAACTCACAATCAAGTGGAAGTTTCATACCATCATTCAAAACTTCAACCTCCTCCCCTATCTTCCGCTCCAATCTAATCACTCCAACTTCCAGCCGTGCCGTCGTTGGTGGCGCTCACAAAAAAGCTGGATTCTGACAGACGAGAACGCCACAATAGCACGGCATTGACGATGCTGGAGCCGATCTTGTACAATAGCAGATTCATTATACGGGAGCTGCTAGTAATTTGTTTCAAGAGTGTGATTGTGGTATTGCGATAGGTTATTGAGGGGAGAGTGTGGTAAGTTTGGGAGAGGGTGGTAAGATATGCAAGTCAATCACACGAAAATGCATTGGAAACACGGCTGACGGGACGGGATTGAGATATTAGTGTTCTGGAAGGTTGGAGAATGAGGTATGGAAGACGGGATGCAGGGTGTAAAACGTGGGTGTTGGGGTTGTGTCGGTATTGGAAGATGGGAGTTTGGGGATTGATGGTGTGGAAGGCCGCTTGATATGTTTTCTGTTTCCATGAGAGGGGTGGGAAATACTGGGTATGAAAGAAGATTATGTCATTTTTCGTATGGGATTATGAGGGGTGGAAATGAATGAAGGAAAACAAGTAGAACTCGTAGTTGTATACTTTCTATCTTGCCACGGAACATTTACGACAAAGGCTCCTCTCAGTTCAAATTCCAGATTCCCAACGACCTCTCAACCCAACCTAGATCACCCAGTTAGACAAAAACCATCCGTCCATCACGTACTTTTCAGGTACAAACCCATCATCCCACCTCAATTCAGCCTACCCCCTCCCAAAACAGCAACACACGAAGAAATCAAATCAGCCCATATCCCCCGAACCCCCCGCATAGCAGTCCCTTCTATGCGGGGTCAAAACGGTCAAACTGCAACCAACATATTCATCTATATCCAACACTCAATTACGTAGAACAACAAGCAATCAACGCACCAACACCAACAAGGAGAATAGTATCCTAGTTCGCCACGCGCAGCACACTTCCCGTGGCGCAATTCACTTGAAGATCAACGTTCTCGGGGAGAAAGGACAGTTTCGCACAACCGCGAATCTTAGACAATCTGGGGAACATCCTGCGAGATACGCATACACCATGCGATACCCTTGCTTGTGTTACCGCACTTTCGCTCGTAAACGTCTCAACGTGGTGGTACTATGGGTTCTGGATTTGGAGGTTTGTGGCGCTGGCTTCGCCTCGTTTTGATGATGGATGTGCCACTTGTGGGCGATGACGAAGGACTGGTTCTGTGTGGCACTGGAGAAAGATGACTTGTTCGGTGTGGAATTGGGAGTGGGTGGTTGATGATTAGATGGGCCGGAGTAGTATTTGATTTCAGATTGTAAAAAGATGACATGAGTGTCGTGGTTTAATACACGATGCTTCGTATACAAAATTAGGTGGTGTGGATGATTAATAACGTTCTGGCTGATGTAAGATTATGGATACCGTGAGTGAGAATGGTTGGCAAGTGCGATGGGAGGAAGTACAAAGTCGTGTTGTCATTGTGTAATTTATCGCTCATAATCGTGGCTGATTCTCTAAAGAAGACATCGTTCATCCTCTTTGGATGCTTGAATGTTTCCAACGAATATCAGAAATAGCAGAGAATCCAAATCGTCTGTTTCGACCTATTCTTGCAGTGGACAAGGTATGTTGGTGATCTCTCGGAATAATTTTAACAGCTTGACTGGGGCTTGAGTGAAGATGGGCTCTTTACATCATGTCAGGTTCTAAGCTGAATTTTTAAAAATGTCTTGTTCATTAAGGATGAAAGACGTTTTATCGGTGACTTGTTTTTTGCAACACGGTCAACAAATAAGAAAAGTTCTGGATTTTTTGGAGGAGCATTAATGCGAAATTGCCTGTCCATCATCCAAATCCAAGAAGTTTTAAAAACAGGTGACCTCCCCCGTTAGCAAAATTCGTGAGAACTTACAGCAAACCCTCCCACTTGGGCGAAAACCACCTCAGACTCGGGTAAGACTATCCAGAACCTGAAATACTGTGTCAATGGCTTCTCGATAGAAACCCCCGGTAGACTCGGTACATACTCCCCAAGGGCATCACTTCCTTTACAACCTGATTGGTAATACCTCCATCACAAGCATTTTCGGCTTTGGATAGTCTTTGCCGTTCAAATGGGGACAAGGGTTGTTGAGAAGGGGAGGTTTTCTCTCCGAAGAAGGGTTGACGGTTGGAGATGTTGGGATGTAAGGAGGCGAGGAAGTGAAGAAGGCGAAGAAGGTGCAAAAAAGGGATGAAGTGGAGATGATATTAGATTGTCGGATATGTCCAAGATGTGTGAGATGTCGATACCAAATTGCAAGAAGTTGTAATCTCAGAAAGCTGAATGAAACCTACGACAAACCCATTAGCTTACGCTAAGAAGGGACTTTTGAAGTAGTGAATGACAAAGGAAAATTATGTTGATCAAACAGACTAAGTACTACTACCCTTTACGGACAGAGAGCGAACAGCCCTCCCTCTTCCTAATTGCTCGAACAAAGGGGCAGAGGGCAAAGCAGCCTTCTTCTCGGTCTTTTGAGCAGGCAAATAGGATGAGCACTTGCCCGGACACGGCCAAGGGAAGAAGAAATGAAAGCATTAGAAAGTGCTCACTGAATTGAAGAATGAGAAGAACACAAGGAATGTAAAGATATACGAGGAAGAAAAAGTAGAAATGGGAATTTTAGAGACCGAATACCTAAAAAGAAGTCAGCCAAAGTGCTAGGGCTAGTGAGTACACTTCTTCAAAGAGAAGACTGGGTAAAGAGTAGAGGCTCATCTACACCAGCTTCTCCCATTCTGCATCGATAATCTAGAAGTAGGGCCGAGAGAATAAACTCATCTACCAAACAACTATGTTTTGTCCGAAGACAAAACTGAAATCTTGAAGGCAGCACGGAAGAAAGGAATGTGTACTCACAATTTAAAGTCAAACGCAAAGAAGGTGATTGTTGAAGATGTTAAAGATGAAGAAAGAAAGAAGGAACTTGAGGGTGGGAGGACGAGATATATATGTGTCTGGAGAATTGTGAGTGAGACGCTAGATGGGATGGTGATATCAGACTGTGAGGAAGTGATCGAGATGAAGTGTGAGATTTGCGCAAATATGACAAGCTAAAGTGTGGGGTGAAAGTGAATGAACACTATCAACTGCTTTGGCGCGTTTTTGTCGCTAGTGCTGCAGTCACATTACATCCATTGTGGAGGTTATTGTCACTAGCGCCATGGTCACATTACATCCATTGTGGCACTTTGCGAAGTTCTATCAAGAGCTAGCAAGATAGTGTCAACTAGCGTGAGGAGTACCAAAACATTTATGGCATTAACTGGCTCGAAGAACAACCCCTCATGACAAGATCAGCCTCTTATCACAGCAGTAGTTCTTGGCTTAGTACATCCTGCACTTGTGTCACCAGCTCAGTTCGATCCATTGGGTCATTCCATTAAAAGGGGAAGGAACGATTAAGCGAGCATATCCACTCTGGCTGTAAATACCAAACCTAGAGCAAACGTTCCCGGCAGTTGCTTATACAAATCATAGGTTAAGGTTAAATGAGTCTAGATCAGAATAAGCATGTCTTTGCACAATTATGCATTGTACAATTCCAGGATCTGGCACATATCTTTTAAATCTGCATTTGCCACAATTCTCTACGCGGTTCGAATTCGGCGAATGACTTGACAGCACAACAATGCATTTGAACTCCAGACTGGTTAAAATTTTGTCTAGCTATTGGATCTCTATCACTCTCATGCTGAGATAATTTGGTTGTGTTCATGAAACCTAGAGCTCTTCTGGGACTTCATCAAGAGTTGTGTAAAGACTAACAATCAAAGGCCTAAACTGACACCTCAGTAAAATTCATAATCTAGCAAGGCGCTCCCCTCAGTGGGGAGTCGGAAAGCTTTGTTAACTCGAGCGCAACGTACAACCGGATTATCGTGCAGTTATATTGATCGTTCGATGATCCCCATTACGGTTTACAGACGCAATGCACTGTACTTTGCATACTAAGCCATATCTCATCTTGTCTTGGGCAACTAATAGTTAACGAATCTTATCACAATCATGCAACTAGTCACCTGGAACAGTAACTTCATCGTGAAGCAGTTAATCGTTCTTAATAACCTACATCTTTATCGAGCGGAGTATTGTACAGGTATCCATGTCCCGCTCAGCGCTTCAATCACACAGACGTAAGGCCAATTAGCCAACATGCCAGCCGACCCAATGCATAATCCCACGCCCAGAAAGACTTAAACCCAAAAAGAAAATTACGCTCGTCGTTGTAAGATATATACAGTCCCACACATTGGTGCTTTAATTTTATCGCTTTAATGATAGGAATAACCTATTTCATCTGTTTACCCGTCTTCTCCAACACTGTTTCGGTTTTAGTTGCTTTATCTCCACGCTGCTTGATGACTTCGTCCTCATCATCATCGGGAGTCTCTTCTTCTAAGCGAGCTAGATCATCATCTGTCACTTCTTTGTCGGTGATCTGGCCTTCGGGTTCCGTAGATTTCTTCTCTGCGTCGCCGCCACTCATTTGCCATTCCATCAACTTTGAGAATGCTGAGTTTGGATCGTTTGATAACTTCGTATATGTGCCTTGTTCAGCAACCTTTCCATCACTTCCGAGGACAATGATTTGATCAGATCTCTTGATAGTAGAAAGTCGATGGGCGATCGAGATTGTTGTGTTGTGCCCCCTCAGAAGGGCAGCAAGGGCTGAATTGACTAGTGTCTCTGACTCGGCATCAAGTGCGGATGTAGCCTCATCAAGAATTAAGATGTCTGGATTCTTAAGCAAAGCTCTTGCGATGGCAATACGTTGCTTTTGACCGCCAGACAGCTGTGCGCCTCTTGCGCCGACCGATGTTTCCAGTCCGTCAGGGAAATCGCTAATGAACTGGCAATTGGCCTTTCTAGCTGCAGCTGTAATTTCGGCCCTCGAAGCATGAGGCTTTCCGTATGCGATATTTTCGGCAATTGAGCCAGAGAAGAGGACTGGCTCTTGACCAACCATACCAATTCGTCGACGAAGTGACTTGCCATTCATGCCTGTTATATCTTGACCATTAATGAAGATGGAGCCCTCAGTAGGATTGTAGAACCTAAGCAGAAGTGAGCCAATAGTTGACTTTCCACCCCCACTTGGCCCAACAATGGCGACATTTGTTCCCGAAGGAATCTCAAAGTCAAGCCCTTCGAAAATCTTGACTGCTGGCCGGGTAGGATAGGCAAAATGAACGTTTGAGAACTTGATCACACCTTGAGCGGATCGGACTTTGGTTCCGACGGTAGCTGGAATCGTCGGCTTGCGGTCTTGAAGTTCGAACAAGCGACTTGCAGCTCCCACACCTTTCATCAGCTCCGAGTAAAAGCTTGAAACCCCGAAGAGAGATGAACCTGCGTATGCAGTGTACATCAAGAAAGAAGTCAAGTCACCAACGCTGATGACTCCATTTTTGACCATTGATCCACCCGAGTACAGTAAAGCAAGAATTGTCATGTTGCCGAAGAAGCCAGAGGTACTAAAAAATGTTGCACTGAGGATAGCTTCCCTCTTCCCAAGCGCAAATATCTTCTTGATCTGATGGTTGTATCGCCCAACTTCTTGGGTCTCTCCAGCGAATGCTTGACTCGTTCGAACATTTCCCAGCCTTTCTTCAGCGATCTTAGTCAAGGTACCAAGGTTCCGTTGGATCTTTCTGCTCAAGTTTCGGATCATTCTTCCATAGAAGAATGCGCCTATGGCCACAGGAGGGAACATCAAGCATAGAATGCTAGTAAGTTTTAGACTCACCCAAGCCATGGCAGTGAAACCAGCACCTCCACTAACTATTGCTCTCAGTCCATCAGAAAGATTTTGAGTAATACTTTTACCGACAATAACAGTGTCAGAGCTCAGTCTAGAGATAAGATCTCCGGTTCGATTAGCATCGAAGAATTCTGCATTCTGAACATATGTCCGTCTATACAATTGTGATCGTAGGCGAGCAACGATTCTCTCTCCCACAATCCGCAAGATAATGATACGCCCATAATTCGCAGCAGCACCTACTGTCAGGACAGCACCGAGGGCAATATAGAACTGGCTCATCTCAAGACCAAATAACGTATTGCCTTCAGCTGGATCTTTGGTCGCAAGATCCAAGATTCTACCGATTGAGAAGGGTATAGACATGGTTATAGCCGAGGATATGAGGAGGAAGGTGAAAGCTAGACCTAGCCATTTGGCTTCTGGCCTCGCTATCTTGATCAGCCTCCATATCTCGCCGAACCCAGCAGAATTTCCTTGCTGCTTTGGACTCGATAAACGAGCGCTCAGGTTGACTTGTGCAGCTTTCGAGGCCTTTTCGCTCTTTTGGAATCCATCGTCGTCAAGTAAATCCTCCTCCTCCTCCTCTTTCCTTGCTTTCTCCTTCTCAATGAGATCTTGCCGATCGGTGTTCTTCGCTCCTTCTTGTATCTGGGACGTGCTCCTAAAATATCGCAATTGATGAAATGCTGGCTGCCATATTGGAGAAGAAGCTATGGATGATCTACCAGAGAGCTGGCTGGTGATACACGGACGTGGCGGACTTATTAGCCGCTGGGAGGGCCATGTCGCGGCATTGGTGCTAGAGTTGTATCGTTTCGACTGCTGTGGCGGCAGTGAAATACTGAATCGGGCCACTACATTCGTCTCTATCCTTCTTCCAAGCTGTTGTGAAGTCAAGTCGCAAACCGAGGTAGCCCAGCCATGCGCTCGAAGAACCCCAACTCGTCGCATTGCTGCCAAAAGTCAGAAGCAAAAAGTATATCAGCGGCGCTGATATCACCAGAATCTGTCGGAAGCGTGTCTTCGTCGAAATCTCATTGTCGCGTTGAGCGGGCTGGTAAAATAATCGATACTTGGTTGGTAAGATTTGGGGAAAATGTAAGTCAACGACACCCATGAGCGCAGATAGCGATGACGGAAGCTAACTCCTGGAGTTATGCAAGCGCAAGTAGCGAAATTTGCATAAGTCTTGTGCACGTGGGGTAGCTTATGATCCAAATCGCGGGCGGGGCCAGGCCGTAGAACGTTCGAGGTTATTTATTTTTGGGAGTAGAAAAGGACAATGAACTTCTTTCCAGACAACACATACTTACTTACTTGAAGCAAGAAATAAATCCGCCTCAAAATGCCTGTCGACTACAGTAAATGGGTAAGTTTCCGCCTGTGCTATAATGCAAACATCCTACCTTCGTCTTGTCTCACCAGGCTGAATCTCAAGGCTGACGGTTGTAGGACGCGCTCGAGTTGAGCGACGACTCTGATATAGAGGTCCACCCAAACGTAGACAAGAAGTCTTTTATTCGAGCCAAGCAAAATCAAATCCACCAAGAGCGATTTGAACGCAAACACAAAATCGAAACATACAAGTACGAACGATTGGTAAACGATGGGCTGCTCGGTCGTATCAATGCGCTTCTCAAAGCTCTTGAATCACTCAAAGCGGAAGCAGAGAAAAGAAGTCCTGATGAGTTGATGTTTCAAGCTATTATGGAGTCGACGGGGGACCGCGAAAACGACAACCCTCCTCCAAGACCAGCCGGTGTCCACACGCAGGACAAAGATATGCCTACGTATTCGAAGATGATGGCAGCGTTGGTAGATCAGGTCAAAGCAAAGGTTGACGAGGATAAGGTTGAGGATAGCCAGCGATTCGAAGCCTACCTCGCGGAAGTTAACTCGCACCGAACGAAGGTCGAAGAGCTACAGAAATCGTTGCTCACCGAGCTGAACAATCTGGAGAAGGAAGAAGGTCGAAAGATAACCAGTGAAAGTTATGCCACAGGTTTTGACAGTTCCCATGTATCGAAGAATGAGCCTATCAAAGGAAGGATAAACAAACCAAAAGAAAAGGTTCAAGCTGTTGAAGTGCTGAATCCAAAAGCTCTAGCTGCTCATGACGGATCCAAACCCGACAGTCAGCAATCATCTGGCGCGGACGCTGATATTGACGAGGAAGAAGGCCTAGATGACGATGAAGAGGTTCAGGCTTCCGAGCTCGGGATGAAGTTTGCGACAATCAAGCCTGGAGATTACAAGTCTTGCTTAACATTTATTTCCGAGCATCCCCAAGTCCTTGCAGAGAGAGAAACTGATGGCTTGCTGGTTCTCGCCTTTAACGCTGCCATCGACGGAGATCAAGACAAGGCCAAACAATGCGTACATCAAGCTCTTCTTCTCCAATACTGCAGAGCGCTGGGAAAGGATGGTGTGGGACTATTCTTCAAGCGAATCACAACTCCAAATCACCAAGCCCAGAAAGTGTTCTATGATGATGTCAATGGTACTTATCAAAGAATCAAGTCACGGACCAAGGAAATTGAAAGACAGAGGGCTCAAGAAGAGGCGGAAGGCGGTGGCGGTGTGGAGCAAATCCAGCTTCATGCTGTAGACCCTGGCACCACTATTAATATTCAAATTCCTCCAGAGAAGAGCGAGGACCCAGCAGAAATCAAGGCAAGAGAGCTGTTCAACGCCTTCCCTCCTGGACTTCAGCGAGCTTTGGAAAGTGGAAGTCTAGATGAGGTCAACAAAGTGCTGGGGAAGATGAGTGTTGAGGAGGCTGAGGAGATTGTCGCCCAGTTGGGTGAGGTATGTTTAACACTTCCTCGAATACTTGATTAGTACTAATGATAACAGGGTGGAATGCTTTCTTTGGAGGAGCAAATTATAGATGCCACGACCGAGGAAGGTCAGAAGGCGCTCAAGGAATTTGAGGAGTCGGAGAAGGCTCGCAACGAAGCAGATCTCTCATCCAAGTATTCGGAAGACCCAGAGTAATTTCAATCGTTCATGATTTGACGCAGATATGATTGGATGAGTATGGATGCCCATTTTACGAATGGTAGCGAGTAACAACATCATGCCAAGTTACCAAACAATCTCACTGATGAGTCTACAAAATAAAAATGTATATCGTGAATTTTGCCTTAATTATTGAACGCCTATCCACCAGAAAGGCAGTAGTGCTATATACCACTAGCAATTTGCTCTTCAGATCGTACATGCTTTTTCCTAATAATCACACGCCTTCTCAGCCCTCAAACCCCAGTCGAACCCGGCGCCTTCTCATCCTTCTTCAAACTGAGCAGCAACTCCCTAAACTTCTCCTTCCCAGTCCCACTCGCACCACCCTTCGCACCCTTCCCACTCAAATCGACCAACTTCGCAATACGCTCCCAGCTCGTACCGCCCGCACTCGTGTCCTCCCTGCTCTCCAAGAACTCTTCGGCGTCTTTCCGCGACTGTGCTAACATCTTCTCCTTCTTACTGTTGTAATTCTCGTAGAAGTCATCGATGTTTTGCTGGGCGTCCTTGATGGTTTCGGCTTTCTTCTCTTCGGACTTCTCGGTGCGCGCTTGCAATTGGAGATCCCGGCGCTCGCGCCATTGGGTTATTACTTCAGGTTCCGGCTCAGAGGTGCTGGGTTGGTAGCTGGACTGGTAATTAGATGTGATCGTTCCGCCAGGTGCGACGGCCTAGAATACGTAATTAGACTCTTGCATATCACCAAAGGTGAGGCTGTGAGGACATACATCATTCTGGGTATCGATAGCAGGAAACGAGCTCTCGAAATCCATATCCTCATTTCCACCACTCTGTCCGCCTCCACCACCGCCCAGCAGATCGTCATCATCATCCTCTACAAACGCCGCATTGTCATTGCTCGACACGAATTGATTCGCATCATCGCCCAACAGCGCCTTTTCTCTGCTTAGGAAATCGTCCCCGCCGGCGCTCTCGAACGCTGGGGTTCCGGATGGTGATTGTTGAGCTGCGAAGCTGTTAGTACAGAAATGAGTGCGCACAAGATGGGCAATTGCGACGTACCTCCAGAGTCGAACTCTTCAAGTGAGGGAAATCGGTCGGCCATGTTGGGTGTCTTGTTTTGTTGATGGTCGGTTTATTGCTAGGTTACGACTTCTGGCCGTTCCGTATGGAATCAGGCGCGAGGCTTGACGCACGGACCATGGGATATGTTTAGCGTGGCAGTCGACACCCTCAACTCACAAGCGGACTCTATTGTTATTTGCCATGAAAACAATTTGTCCGCCAAGCTACAATCACTTCTGGTAAATTTCTCAAACTGGAATCAAGTGATCAGACTTCATCTATATTACCATGCTCTATACCCTCCCAGTTCCCACCGAGATGGGTCGTATACTTCCTTTTCCGACGTCTGTACATAATCTCCCGTTCGGCCTTGCAGAACACAGCAACCTGAGTCCCTGACTGCTCGTCCAGAGGATCAAGACCGGATGAATTGAACCCTGCACCTGCTGCGAGAATAATTTGGATCGGAGGGTGATGCTTTTAGCAGAAGGTAACATCCATCCGAGTATTTGCAGTTGGAATCTTTTCTACTTTGATTTTTGTTTAACTCTATTCTTCGTTTCCAAGTGTTGTTTTGCGCTTTTGATATCTTCGCTACAGTGGGTCTTGCGACTGTCGAGTTTGATACAAGTGTGTCGTTTATGTGATTGCCATATGGCACAGCTGGCCCACGAAATCATATATTTGATCATCTCGGAGCTGCACTGTGGAACTCGATCCATGAAGCATTGAAGAAGGGCTCCTTCGTAAGACCACCAATCAAACAGGGACTACCACGACTCGGTGAGCGTTCTACAAGATTGATAGTCAATTGAAGTAGTACATGCCAAATAGCCAACTACTAAGTCAAAAGGAAAGAAAGCAAAGCTCAGTTTACACGACAACGACGTCTTCGCAAGCTTTACTAACGGACGTCCCGTTCAGACCAACCAACTTGGGAAAGCGGACCACACGACTGCACCATCCCTCGATCACCAAAGTAATTCCAACCACCTCCACCCATCCAACGGTCTCGTAGGAGAAAGCGAGGAACCACGCCATTTGCCAACTCCGGGCCTGAAAGGTGTTGGTGTCCGGTCAAGCAAGCTCTCCACTCCAGATTTTCCATCTTAACAAAATTCATGTGCGATAATGGATACAAAGATCCCGCAACAGAAATCCAACCAGGATCATCACGCGATTGATATCAACTCGTTGTTGAATCCGTCTGTGGAGGAGTCGCCTATCCCTGGACTCCCGCATACAAACCATGCGAATGCCTCAGCGAATAGCAGTGCACCCCTAGCAGCGCCTACGCGCGAACCAACATTTTCTGAACAAGTCGTCCAGAGTATTTTGCCAGATGAAATCAGGAAAGCAGGATCTAACTCTCCTATGAGTGCTGAGTCTACCACTTCCAACGGAACAGATTCGGCAAATCAGTTCTATCAAGCTCACCACGGATATCAAGCTCCAGAAGTTGAAGCTGCATCACTGGACCAACAAGACCAACATCAAGACACGACCATGGCCGAGGCACCTCCAACTTCTCATCAAGATGAGTCGGATGCTCACTCTGTAGCACCGGATGATGTCGTCTTGCCAGATGATGGATATTATCCAACTTCTCTACATGTGGACTCTGAAATGAGTGACACAGACTCGGCTATCGGATCTGAGATCATGTCGTCTACCATGTCATTAAGATCCAGTCTATATGAATCGATACAAGAGAATGGACGTAGTTACCATAAATACAAGGAAGGACAGTACTATTTGCCGAATGATGATGTTGAGCAAGACCGACTGAATTTACAACATCATCTTTGGACGCTCACACTAGATGGTCGCTTACATCTTGCTCCAACCGAGAACCCACAGCATGTTCTTGATATTGGTACCGGAACTGGCCTATGGGCTTTAGAATACGCAGAGCGTAATCCTTCATCTATGGTCATTGGAACTGGTAACACCCCCACCCAATATCCACCAAAACATTTTCTATACTAACTTCATCCCCAGACCTAAGCGCAATCCAACCCGAATATGTCCCACCAAACTGCCAATTTGAAATCGACGACGCCGAAGACGAATGGACCTACACCACCCCCTTCGACTTCATCCATGGGAGAATGTTGTTCACATGTTTCCAGGACCCGGCCCAAGTATTCAAACGCGCCTACGCCGCTCTTGCCCCGGGGGGCTACATGGAAATTCAAGACGTGCACTTCGCGCTCGAATCCATAGACGGATCCGCCGACACCTCCGCCATCCGGGCCTGGAACCAGAAACTCCGCGAGGGCGCCGCGAAGATCGGGCGTGACTGGCATTGTACGATCAAATACGCGCAGTTCATGCGCGACGCCGGGTTTGAGGGTGTCACGGAGAGGAAGTTTAAGTGGCCTAGTAATACGTGGCCGAAAGGGAAGAAGCAGAAGTTGTTGGGCATGTGGTCGATGGCTAATAATCTCGATGGGTTGCCGAGTATCAGTATGGCGATTATGACGCGCGCGCATGGGATGACGAGGGATGAGGTTGAGGTGGGAATGGTGGATGTTAGGAAGGATATTAGGGATAAGAATATCCATGGTTATGTTCCTGTGTAAGTTGGGCCTTTTCCTTGTCTTGCAAATATGGGGTTGGGCTTTCCGGTCTGAGAATGCAGAATTGAGGAGAGGTGTTTAAAGGTTATGATTGATTAACTTACTGACTGGAAATAGATATGTTGTCTACGGACGGAAACCGTTCGCTGAGGGGACTAAAGTTACGTAATCCTCGTTGGTCTTTTTTAAATTTAAATATATACATAATCTACTTGTCTTGAATTTGTGATAAGAACTTGAATCATGACATTTTCCTTGTTATCTCGGAAATCAAAATGTACAGGGCAAGATATACATTCCTTACTACACACATGATGAGCTTCAAAGTTTGAAAGATCTTGGACTTTCGCCTGGGGTCGAATTAGATGTCTTCCTTACTATTGCCTTCCTGTATATGTGGAAATGTATATCGTCCTCGAGATACACATGAATTGAAAATCTTATGCTTTCTGTACTGAAGTATCGTTTCTGGGCGTCTGCGGGCATATCACGGCCGTTTGGCTGGTTTTATCTACCAGCTCCACCATAACACGTTTTTTCCTCAATAATGAGTTCTTGAGTGCAGAATGTCTTTCTTCCCTGTCGCTCACGTATTTTATCTCTCAACCATCAATACCCCTGGGTTTATATGTCTCATCCTCTAATACGGGGTTGACATCCTTCGCTTCTGTGTAGTACGGATGTTTTTCTCAGCCGATTCTTACATCTAGTTGACTTTGCAACTACTGGGAAGTACGATTCATGGTCTTCGTTGCCCCAGTACTAACCCCCCTTTGTTCTTCTTATCGTTCAAGCTTTCTGAATGCGAAGTTCGGAGTTGGGCTAATCACTAGCTCTCTCTTGTTGTATCAAGCGCTAGGTGATTTTTATGTTTGGAAGACTTCACTAATTTCTTTTCTTCCACTGTTTTTGCATCATACGGTGTCCTCCAGGGTTTAGAGGAAGAGATATCATGTAATGGTCGTTGTTGAATTTGTGACTTGCAAGCTGTGAGTATTGAGGTTGCTCCCAACAAACTGGCTTACCATGCCAACAAGACAAGAATCGTCTACCCTGATCCGCACGATATTCTCGACGGAACAATCTCAATAAAGTAGACAACACACTTATAGTACTATCCTCCTATACTCCCAGGGTATACAACACCAAATCCAGACCCAGATCCAAACCAATGCTCAACACCATCCCCTAAATCTTTTTCTTCCCACAAAACTCCTCCCAGCCCTTAACCACCACTCGTACATCTTCCTCTCTAAACTCCTCTTCATCTCCTTCCTCTCTTCCCAGTCCTGGAGTCTCATCCTTCTTCTTCCCCACCTTCTCGACCTCGCGCCAGAGACCGAGGAGTGGGTATGCTGCTATACCTACGGCGCCTGATTCTGTTAGTTGATATTTGGGAGGGGAGAAAGTGATAGGAAGAAGAGGGAGACACTTACCAGCAGCAGGTTTACAAACCACCCCTCCAATTCCTCTTCCCACTCCCTTGAGAAAACCAAGAGGTCCTTCCGTCTTCGCGCCATCATATGGTTTCTTCACGATGCCAGTGAGACCGTCGTAGAGACCTGTTCCAAAGCCCTAAACATCAAATCAGCACCCCATCCCATACTCACTCTCGGAAACAAAAGTAAAATGAATGAACCCACCACACCCGCCTGCTTCACCCCCCCAACAACCCCCTCAACCCTCTCGACCCTTCTTACATCCTCGCCATACAGTCCCGGCAGATTTCTCAGTCCGCCTGCGACGCCGGTGGTAACCAACATCGGCGCCTTCAACCCCGCCGCCACCACCCGTCCTACCCCCTTAGCGGCCCCCAGCACCGCTTTATCATACGGATTCGGCTTGCTGGCATCTCTGGTCTTGAGGGGACAATCGCTAGAAGGAGATGACTTGAAAGCGTGGTAGCTTGAAAGGGGGATAGAAGCGACGCCGAGAGCGACGTTGGTCACTGTTTCGAGGGTGGCGGAGGCGATGCCTGTAAGGGGGTCGGTGGGTTGGTGTTCGTAGAGCGTGGTGCGGGAGAGGCTGGCCGGGTTAGTAGGGGGGAAAGAGTTGAGAGGGTAGACGTACGGTTGGATATCTGAGGGGGTGAGGAGGGATTTGTGGATTAATATGCGGACTGCTAGGATTGAGAGGGGGAGGTTGTCGGTTTTAAGTTGGTAGGTAGCTGGGTATTCTGGGAGGAGGTCGCAGGGGGTGTCGTGAAATTGGGTGTCAGGCGATGGCTGCTCTGGAGGAGGGAAATTTTGAGTAGTTTGCTTCCAGGCGTTGATTTTTGCATGCTGGTCTTCGATGGACGCATGTTCTAGGTTCTCATAGTCTCCTTGAACTGAGCCCTCCGAGGGGGTGGGTGTGAAGAGACGAGGAGATTCCTGTCCTGGTGATAAAGTGTCTTCAGCTGTTGTTTCTGTTAGTTTATCGCCTGTAACTCTGATGTGATTTCGAAAACTTACAAGTTACGGAACTGGGATAACTCGAAGTTACACCCGATGAATCTCTCTTCTGTGGGATACCCGGAGACTTCATTTTGAAATCGCAAGCGCGTTTCAAGACTTTGTAGTGGTTGAAGATCAATTAGTAGTCAAGGTTCGAGGAATGAGGGAAAGAGACAAAATAATCTTCGAGAGAACCCTAAAAGGCGTGTATCGACTGTAGTCGAAGGAAAGAAGGGGTTGAAGATCAAATGAATTGAAAAAAGATGGTCTCATTCATTGACTGAAATATTTAGATGAATTGACATCGATCAAAATAGCATGTATAAAAGTTGTGGGGATGGACCATAAGTCTGGAGTTGTCTGGGAGTGAACCTTCAATTATGCGGCAGCCTTAAGTCGCTTGCGTAGGCTTCACGTGAAGCGAGCCTGTGGGAATCGATATGACAACCTTGGAACCGGACAGGAACAAACGGTTCACCGGCCCCTTGTTAAGCCTTCACCGAGCTTATTTGAGGTTGATATGTTGATACGAATTTCAGAAATACGTTCCGAGCAGTGGCCAGGGAAAAAGGAAGAGGAATAAAAGACGGAGCATGCAGCTAAGAGTTACGCAAGCGAGTGCTCGCAATTCGCTCAATCGTATTGACATACCAGGTAGGGCTAGGAATACAAGGGTCCAGGTCAGAATGGATCTTGACTAAGAGGCTCAAATTAGGTCTTATATATGAATTGCGTAACCGCCGCTCTGTATCGTCAGCAAGTCGCTACTGTTGAAGTTTATTAGTTTAGTACATGACCAAACGATGTAGGCTTGCCCCGCTAAATAAGCACATCTATACAGCAGAACAAACCCCAGATATTAATTGAAGCATCTCTAGAACGCAAAAACTTGGTCCTCAAGCTTGCTCACTGGTCTAGCTTTCTTGAAGCCTAGACTTTCCGACGCTTTCTTCATCGCGCTAATCATTGGTGGTGGACCGCAAAGCAGCATCTTAACATCCTCTGCAGGCTTTGGAAGCCATTTCTGGTTTTCGTATTAGCTTGTGTAACATAACGAGTAAATGAATAAACTTACGGTCATCATCTCTGGAGTGACAAATCCAACACCGCCCTCCCAGTTCTCTGGCGGGTTGTTCAAAACATAGTGTACTCTGAATCCCTTGTCTTCAGCAGCCAATTGATCAAGATCCTCCTTCAATAGAATATCCTCCTTATTGACATTTGCGAAGATAAGATCAATCTCGGTGGTATCGCCTGTTGGGCGTCCTCGAATAACTGCTCTAATAATTTGGAGCATAGGTGTAATTCCAGTTCCTCCTGCAATCATACCAAAATGACGGACCATGTTTGGTGTATAAACCATAGCTCCCTTTGGCCCTTTGACTTTGATTGTTTGGCCCACAACGAGAGACGCCATGTATTTTGAGATGTTACCAGTCGGGTATGACTTGATAAGGAGGTCGAAGAAGCCTGGCTGGTCACCAGAAATTGGAGTGTATGATCGTACGATTTCCTTCGATGTACCATCTGCCTGCTTGATACCTGCGCCGATAGAAATGTGTTGTCCAATTGGCAGTCCTAGGATCGCGGTTTCGGAAGGAAGCTTGAATCGATAGCTAGTGAAGTCAGTACTGTAATTTGGAGGCCAAATACGAAAAGCTTACATCGCGACATTGTGGGAAATAATTGTCTTCTCCTGAAGCTCGAAGTCCTGGAACTCGGCAGGCTTTAAAACAGCACGCACTCCTGCTTCTGTTAATACGCGCTCCCGGAATTTCTCTCCATGGCCCAGTTGAACTCACTGTTATTCCATACTTTGAACGTCCCGAGTGCGACTGCGAGGGCAACAGCGTAAGGTAACCATTCTCTTTTAACTATCAAGGTTCCAAAGACTAGGAGGCCAGAAGGAATGTAAATTCCGTCAATATATCCCCTGGAGAACAAACTCGGTGATTGGGACATGGTGTAGAGTGTTGAGGGGGAAACGTTGAGATCGAGGAACTTGGAAATGTGCAAAGAGAAGATCTGTGTGATTAAGAACCGCACAAAGATCTGATCAAAGTTCCTTCGAGTTTTAAATAGGAATATCGAACCGATTGAGAAGCTAGATCCCAGAAAAGGTTATGTTGCCGGCAAGTAGATGAGGCTGTTGAATCTCACTCGGTTCATCCCACAGAATTAATTCGGCTGCCGGACGGACCCTCCAAAAGAAGCAGCGATTTCCCCACCGCCTTTCGGCTCAACGCGGGCACGGTTCCAGGGTGTGTGGAGCTTTCTTCATGATCTGATAAACTCTTGTTCACTTCCAACTATGAAACAATCTAGAATTCTTCAAATATAATATAATCATAATTTGAGTCGAAACTGTCATATCAGCTGTTTGCCTGTACAGAAAATGACATTTTTCCAACTGTTTCACGAAACCATTTCTTCTGTGAAACTACCCACCCAGGTACTTGTCGTCTGTACTACCGACCACCCGTCATCGGGGTCTTTTCCACTTGTCCACATCAGATCTAATTGTAGACATATCTGGTAACAGATACACGGGACTCGTTTCGTTGTTGTCGAACTCATCAATTCATATTTTCCAATTTTTCGCTCTTATTAAGACCTAGACAATCAATGATTCAGTCTTGAGAATCCACCTACGTGGACATAAGTCGTCAATACTCCCTTGAATAATTTCATAAATATATAAACACACTAAGAATTCCATAAGAGTCTCTACGCTATCTAAGACCGCCGCAGAAATGGAAGAAGAGGAGGTTAAGAACGGGTCTGTAGCTGTCAAGGAAGAAGACGCACCTTTCCCTCTTACTGAGCTCGATAAGATTGGCCTCAGTCAAAAGGATGAAGACTTTAAGCTCCATACTTGGGACGATTTGAAAGAAATTATCGGTAAGACCGAACATCGTTTTTCATCTAAATCTCTCAAATTTGGTTAATGCGATTCGAGCAATGGATAATCTTGGTATGAGAGAAATACTAACACTCAATAGAAACCAACAACCTCGCCCTCCTCACACGCACCCCCTCCCAAATCCGCGCCTACATAACCTGGTGCAGTAAAATAAACCGCGAATACGGCAGCGTCTCCAACTTCATCATCGCCCACCGTCTACCATGGGGACCACCACCATTCTCCTTCAACTCCTCCACCCCTCTCTCCGATCCATCAGACTACAGAATCCTTGTGAATGACTGGCCATATGGCTTTACGGACGAGATCACGCATATAGTCGTCTGGAGTAAGACGCCTATTCCGACAGATGAGGGGACGGGGGATCTGACGAAGGATAGTAGGAACAGGGTGGAGGGGTGGGTGAAGAGGACTTTTGGGGATAGGCTAGGAGAGGAGAGGGTGTTGTGGTTTAAGAACTGGGTGGGCTTGCAGAGTGTGAGGGCTTTGGAGCATTTTCATGTTCTGGTTAGGGGTGCTGGGGAGGAGGATATTTCGTTTTGGACGGGGGAGACACAGGGGAGGATGTAGAGAAGCTCAACTTTGCTTTCGCTATTAGATCTCATATATTCATTAGACGACGATAATACGGCATATGTTCACCACTTTATTAGTCGAGAGGATGGATAGCCCTTTAAATTCTTACAATTCATTGCGACACATATATTCTGCTTTACGCAGCTCTTCTCTGTCTTCTATTTCCAGCCTGCGCGGCCTGTTGCTCCTCGGGCATTTGAGCTCCTCCACCACCACCCATCAACCCCCTCGCCATACCCAAGAGTCCATATCCTTTATAAGCTCCATACACCGGCACTACCGCCCACAACAGCCATCCCCAATCCCCAAAAACCAGAACCGAAATCAACGAGGCCCAGGTGATCCAAATCACGTCAAACATATACTCCGTCAACCCCGGCGCTGCTAGGTCTTCTCCCGAATTCTTCAATGCCTTGGTCGAGGGATCATATTTCGGTCTCCCCGTACTTTCGAGTATGAATTCTGCTATCAGACTGGGGACTGATAATATGATGTAGACGAGGATGGAGCGTCGTCTGAAGAGGAGGTTAAATAGTAGGAAGATGGCGTGTACGGAAAGCGTTCCGATGTGAAGACTGTTCAAACTCGCGGTGTTCGCTTTCGCACGATCTTTTTTGGCTTTTTGTGCCATTTTCGTCCTCGGTGTATATTCGAAAGGGGATGTCGCGGTTGAACAAGAGCCAAACAGGTGGGGGTGTGTCGTCACTTATGCGCTCGACTTCTATGTTGAATGTCAAAGCCGGCTCTGACGTGCGAACTTTGCAAACTTGAGCCAAAATTGAGTTTATTTTCGACTGACAAGAGTCAATGGCGCGGATAGTTATTGTGGTTGATATTCGTATGGTCCCAAGGAAAAAGAAATGTACAAGGCTGAGGAATTTGGCAGATGGGAAACCATGGATGGTTCCTGACTAAGCGCGGAATCCATAGCAACCTGACGCTGTCCTGTCCAATCATCGCTAACCGCCGCCCGCTTTCAGCGAACCACAACATTGCGAACGCAGTCGAATATGGGCCAGGAATAGTTGTTTATACTGCACCCATCTACACACCATCGAAAACGTCGCCGCATGCGATTTTTGTCTGAGTTACAATAGCTTCGACAAACACATTGAAGTCTCGCAGTATCTGGAAACCTATCACTAGAGTTATACTCTCGTTTTCTCCGCTGCACACGCTCATCGTCGCTGCGTCTTCGTTTTGTTATTTTCGGTCCTCGATCACGAACTACGAACCCCGCGAACGCTCTTTCCTACACACGAAAAAGGCCTCAGTGCTTTCGATACCTGTGATGTTACGAGCCGAGCAGTAGCGACTGTGTGTGGATGGTCGTCACGAAGTATCGTGGTCAGAAGCAGGAAGGTGGAAGTCAATCGTTGCCGCCGAACGAAACAGCCCTCCAAAAGATTCCCACACGACTGTCGGATACAACATCGTTGATTATATGGCCAAATCTTGCTGAAGATACTTGCGTCCAAGTTGGTCGCATCCTCTCATTCACAAGCAGCCACCATGCCGCCACAAATGTCCTGCGTGTCAAGCCAGTTGCGCCAGCTTATACACTACCATATCGATAATAACCTTCTTCAAAATGCTTTATTCTTTTCCGAGCGACTGGCAGCCTACGATCTCAAATCCTCCGAAAACGCCTACCTATTATCCCTCTGCCATCTGCGGTTAGGCGACAATAGCTCAGCGTACGAGTACAGCAAGCTAGGTGCACATAAGGGTGCACATTTAGGGTGCGCATATGTCTTTGCGCAAGCTTGTTTAGCACTTGACAAGTACAAAGATGGAATTATGGTACTCGAGAAAAGCAGAGGGTTATGGAGCGGCAAAAATAATTTCGGCAAGCATACACCGACGACTCGACAGCCGTACGCTGATGCAGCAGCTGTAAACTGCTTGCTGGGGAAGCTCTATCATGGTTATAACGACAAACAGAGGGCGATCAGTTGTTTTCAGGAAGCTCTAAAGATAAACCCACTCATGTGGGATGCTTTTACTAGTCTGTGTGACATGGGTGCCAACATACGGGTATCGAGCTTGTTCAAGATGAATCCTGAAATGGAAGCTATTCTTCGAGTCAGTGTTCCCGAGCAGGTAGAACCCCAGCATCAGTCAAGAGATGTCGCGAGTACATCGGTTTCTGACCACGATCGGAGTCGACCCGGACCACGCCCTGTATCAATAGCGACAGATCCTGGGGATCCATTCAACAACACACAGCCAAGGAGTTTTAATGGCGGTCTTTTCAACCAACTTGGAATGTCTCAGAAGCTGAATGAAAGTAATCCAAGCTTGACGAATCTACCGGCCACCGTGAACGAAATGGACTCACCCGCTGGATCTAATGCTCAAATTGACGCTTCCATTGTACCGAGCAGAAATCAGCCAGGAGTAGTCTCTGCATATCCTTCCGAGCCTCCTCAAGCTCCGGTCAGAAAATCGCGGACTCTACTCACACAAGGACTAGGAATGGACTTCAGCATGGATGCTCCCAAGATGAGTCGTGGTCTCACATCTAAACGTGGACCAAGACCTGTAGAACCCGCAGAAGAGTCAGCAGCAACACAAGCTGTACGTGGCACGAATCTGGGTGCCATGGCTGGTGAGAGAAAAAGAACAATATCTGGGCAGGTTGTACCGAGACAGACATCTGAAGATCCAGGAGCACCCCAAAGAAGAAGTGTGAGATTATTCAACCAAATACGACCTACGAAAACCGGAACAGCCGCTCCCCCTAGCGTAGGTCCAGCCCCTGGAAGGGAGCTCAAAAAGGCACGTCCACCAATATCTAGGATTATGCGACCAAACTCGACGACATCCACCGTTGGTAGACAAGTCAGTGGAAACAGAAAGCCCGTGCCAGAAGATCAGATGGAAGTCGATCAAAGGGATGCGATTGCTAGACCGTACCACAGTGCCACAAGTATACCGACACAACGCTCGTCTGAAACAGATGCTGTGAAACAAGAAGAAGCATTAAACTACTTATTAACCTTGATCCGTCAATTTGGTCAGGGCTATTTTGCCCTCGCACAATTTCAATGTCAAGAAGCATTTCGATTATTCAACAATCTCCCACGAGCTCAACAAGAAACTCCGTGGGTTATGTCACAAATGGGTCGTGCCTTATATGAGCAAGCCGATTACCCAGCGGCCGAGAAATATTACAGACGCATTCGTCAAATAGCCCCAACAAGATTCGAGGATATGGAAATCTACTCGACGATCCTGTGGCATTTGAAGCGAGAAACCGATCTTGCATTCCTCGCCCACGAATTGATAGACGCCTCATGGCAATCACCCGAGGCTTGGTGTGTGCTTGGTAACTCATGGGCACTCGCTCGCGACCATGAGCAGGCCCTCAAATGCTTCAAAAGGGCTACTCAACTTAATCCAAAATTTGCATACGCTTTCACCCTTCAAGGTCACGAACATGTTGCCAACGAGGAGTACGACAAGGCTCTAATTTCATACAGGCAGGGCATGGCTGCAGATAAAAGGCATTACAATGCCTGGTATGGTGTTGGTAAAGTGTATGAAAAGCTTGGGAACTATGAAAAAGCTTTTGCTCATTTCTCGTCCGCTTCCCTGATCAACCCGACGAACACTATCCTCATCTGCTCGATCGGAAGTATATTGGAAAAACAGAAACAGCATCGACAAGCTTCGTCTTATTTCGCTAGAGCAACAGAAATGGATCCAAAATCACACATGGCTCGATATGGAAAAGCGAGATCATTGATGGCGATTGGAGATAATAAGGGAGCACTGAAGGATCTGATGATTTTGAAAGACATAGCACCAGATGCGGCCATGGTTCATTTCTTGCTTGGCCGACTTTATAAAGGGTTGCGAGATAAAGGTGCCGCAGTCCGGCATTTTACAATTGCGTTGAATTTGGATCCAAAGGTAACAAATCCTCCTATCCTGCTCGTTATCATGCTAATTATTTCCAGGCGAGCCCGAAAATAAAGGAGGCGATTGAAAGCTTGGAAGATGACGATGACGACGAACTGAGCATGATGGCATAAGACGGACGAATTCATCGTTTTAATTTTCTTGAACACTTGAAAACAAAAAGTGTAGTTTGCGCGCGCTCACACATTTTCCAAGAGCGACTCTTTGTGACCTTCAATTTACTCTATTATTCCCCGGGGCGGAGGCATGATGATACGATATGGAATGATTGCGGGAGCAGCATATTAGCATTAGGACTGGCGTTTAAGGGGCAGGATAAGATGAAAGTGTTCTTCTGTTCCAGTACACATAGCGTAGATGACCCGGCTTGTGTAGATATGGTTGATATTCATTAGTTGAGCGGGTTTTCTAGTTTAGCATTGGGGGTTGTTCCTTTGTGCGTGGCATTAGGGGAAAGGGGGAGTGAGTTGGTTTGGTTCGGTTGAGATTGATGCATGGAATGGACGGGTTTTGGGGTATGGGGGGAAAGGAAAGATGGGATGGGATGAGGTGGATGTGTGTAGGCTCATGTGAGTTTAGGGGGGAAGGAGAAACTTTGAATATTCGAATTATTATTGATATTGAAACGTCTTCTGATGTTGACATCTTGCTTCATGCGTGCATCTGTATTACCTTGGCGGGTATCTGTTTGCCTCTCTGTTAATTGTCGTGGGTGGAATACGAGAGCTTTGCTTTCCCATTGAATTATGGAATGAGCAGTTGTGACGATAGCCTCTCTGAAGACTTTTAAAGGTTTGGGTGGACAAGGGGAATTTGGGCTAAGACATGATTTCAAAGAATTTAAACTGCCTATAAGATCTACTTTGGGTATCTATAACTAAACGCGCCGTGTCGAAAATAAAACCATCATACAACAGAGCACTAATTGACCAACACCACCACTTATTAGTCTCCCCAGCTCCTACCATTACATTACACACCCCCAGCATGTCCATTCTCCCTCGCAACATTCATAAACACCTCTTCCAACGTCGGCCCATTAATAGTATAATCACTAATCACCTTCTCTCCCACCTTACCAGCCACGAAAACCTCCCCCTTCAACTCCTCCATCCCCCTCATAATACGCCCCAACTCCTTCTTCACATGCGGCAAACAAAAACTCACCTGTCCATGTCCATCAAGGTAATTCGACACTCTACCTTCGAATTTAAGGTTGATCATCTCGTGGACTTGCGCAGATGTGGTGTTTGCGGAGCGGACGGCGCGGATCATGTATGCGCCGCCGTGAGCTTCTTGGAGGGAGGATAGGGTGCCGGTGGCGAGCATTTTGGTGCCGATGATGGCGACGCTTGTGGCGAGGGCTTCGGCTTCTTCCATGGAGTGCGTGGTGAGCAGGATGGCGCGGTCGGCGCGGATGTCTTTGAGGGCTTTCCAGAGGATGCGTTTCGCGCCTGCGTCTTGACCTGTGGATGGTTCATCGAGGAGCAAGACGCGGGGATTCCCGAGGAGGGCGATGGCGACGGATAGTTTGCGTTTGGTGCCACCTGAAAGGGCGCGGACGGAATGGTGGGCGAAGGTGGTGATGTTGAGGGCTGCGAGAACCTTTGTGACGTTGCCTTCGATGTTTTTTAGGCCCTTGACGGTGGCGTAAAATTTGAGGGTTTGGTGGACAGTGAGGTTATCGACGGCGTCGTCTTGGGGGCAGACGCCCATTAAGAGCCTGGCTTTGTGCGGTTCGGCGAGGACGTTGATGCCGTCGAGGTGTATGGTGCCACAGGCGGGGATTAACTCGTTGCGGATCATGTTTATGATTGTTGTTTTGCCGGCGCCGTTTCCTCCGAGTAAAGCGAGTGTGGAGTTGGACGTAATGGAAAAGGAGACATCCTCTACTGCGAAGAGCTTGTTGAAGTATTTTGTGATGTGGGAGACGACGAGGATGTCGGATGATGCCACAGATGGCGTTGTTGAGGTCTGTATTGACTTCTCGGCAGCGGCAGACTAAGTGGCAGGTCAGTTTAATAGAATCATAGAATGAGCAATTACTAGGACTTACTGCTTCCGATGATTCGACGATATGTTGAAGCCGTGGTGGCATTCCACGGTTCATTGTAAATGTGCGACGTAACCAGTCCGCGCTGCCATACTCGTAGATGACCAAGAAAATCATAAGGAACAAGATCTGAATGAGAAGATTGGCATAGACAGCGCCATACCGGACATAAGCAAAGCCATTAGAAGTATCAGCTGTCCCGTACTTTCCACAAAGTACTCCGTAGCTGTTAGTTGCGAGGAAAAGAGCTCGAGCAAGATTCGCAGCTGGAGATGTCAAACCAAGACCATACTGGAGGGACTCATATGCGGCTTGCTCATTCTGTCCGCCTACTTCTTGGACTGCAACGTAGGCTACGATATAGATGACGAAGAGCAAGACATGAGTTCCAGCTGCGATTGCAAAGGCCGCTTTCTTGACAAACAGTGAAAGCGCGTAGCATCCAAGGTAAGAAGCGACACCGAAGAGGATGAATGCTCCGAAGAGGTAGTTGGGCGCATACCAGACAGGAGCAACGCTTCCGGCGAATGTCAAAGACCAGACAATTATGGTCTGCACAATAATGAACTGCATATCAAAAGCCCAGTATGCAACCCACAACGCGGCAGGAGAAACACCATTGCAATATTGCAAAGCCCGAACCCTATTGATCTTCTCGAATGTTGGATAGATGACAGAGGTACTCACGCATCCAATGAAAGCAATGACTAGCAATACTCCAATCGGAAGACCGAAGAAATTTGAATTGTTCGTTGCATGTCGCATGGTCCTTATTGAGGTGACTATCTGCTTCGCCTGTCCCGTTGTCGTAGTAGAGTTGGCAATTCGGTTGGTAAGGTAATCAAAGCCAATCACTACCTTGTCCAAACTAGTTGAGTATTGCTCGGTATTGTAATAAAAGACTGAAGAGTCGGGTGTCGGAGCGAATATGGCTACGGACGGCGCTTTGTAGTAATCCGACATGGAAGTCGAATAGCTTGCAAGCCGAGCAACCATTTCATCTTCTGACGAAACGAACGCACGAGTGCTGAGAGTGTTGTTCCTTGCCGATGTGGCGTTGGCAGCCGTTTCCGTGGATGGATCTGGACCCGAAGTGCCATAATTATTCGTAGATATGTAAGTGAAGTACCCTATATCTGAGATATAAAGGTCTTCTTGCACAGCACCTTGAAACTCAGAAGGCGGGCCTAGGAGAGCACTTGGCTTATCGTAAGCGTAGATGGTAGCTCCATATCCAGACTGCAGAGGGGCGTAACTGGGCCCGCCAAATGAATAGCTGCTGTCCGACAAAGACCCATTGCGTAGAGCTTCATCATTCGCCGCACACGTCTGCAAGTGATCGAAACGGCGAATGTATTTGGCCAATGCCGCAGCGATGATGATAGGAATGGCGAGGTTGATACCATACGAAATCCAACCAGCTTTTTGAGTGAGAAGGACGAAACGTTTGTGATAGAGGGCAGCCACTTGTCGCAGGAAGCCAATAGATTGTCCAACATCCAAGTCGATGCCGGCTGCGCCTTTGGATTCTTCCTCGTGATTTGAATCCTCGTTGGTGTCCAAGGTCGTTTCAATTCGTTCTCCAACAATGCCATCACCACCCGCTTGCTGTACCGCAGTACCTGAGCTGGAGGTCACTTTGAGGAAAACCTGCTCTAAAGTCGGGAATACTACATTATATGAGTCTGTTTGTCGCTGTGATTCGAGTTCGAGAACCTTTCTAGTCGCCTCGGACGAATCTGCAGCTTCCCATAGGTGCTCATCAGACGTTTCAGTGTTGCTGCGTATAATATAGGCATCGCCAAAACGTGCTTTGAGGGAAGTGGGCGCACCTTCACAGACCATTTGACCTTTGTGAATGATAGCAATATGGTCCGCGAGGACATCGGCTTCGTCCAAGAAATGAGTGGTGACGAGAATACTTCGACGGGCGTGTCCTTTCTGAATGATGTTCCAAATGTTTCGTCTAGAGAGCGGGTCCAGACCACTTGAGGCTTCATCAATGCAACAAACATTGGAACCTCCGACAAAAGAAATGGCTAGCTGAAGTTTTCGCATTTGTCCACCACTCAATGTTTTTGCCCGAGCGTTCAGCTTATCCACAATATCACATTCTGCCGCGACATCGTCATCTTGAGAGCCTTCGGAAAAGTCGTCGAATGCCGCTGTCTTCAGTTCCCTCCAGATTTGGATGTGCTCAGACACGGTCAATGTATCCCAGAAAACATTGTGCTGAGGACATATGCCAAAGACTTGGCCGCCTTCATTTAGCTCCAAGTGGGAGCCACTGTCCATGGCGGTCATACCTGCTACACACTTGAGCGTTGTGGTTTTTCCTCCACCGTTGGGGCCGAGAAGAAATGTGACTGAGCCCTTTTTGACTTCTATGTTGAGAGCGTCAACGGCTTTGACAGGCTTTGACAACCTCGAAAACGGCCAGTACCAGCGCCGCTTCCCACTGTAGGTTTTGGTCAAGTTTGTGCAGCGCACTGCAACATCGCTTGAGGCTTCGATGGTACTGTATTTTCGAGTAACACCCCACAGACCATGCTCGACAGCGTAGGTCGCCAGACTGAAGACGATTATCTGAAGGATGAAGATTATAACATAGAGATATCCATTCATGGCTTGATTCTTTATCAGATCGCCATCTCCACCACGGTAGTTGGTGATGTTAGGTGCGAGTGAGAACCCTCTGTGAGTGTACTCGCGGAATGCGATGTCGCCAATGAGCGTTACGTAGGCGATTGGTGGGAATACGAAAGCAAGAGCTTTTGTCTGTATTTCAGGGTTTGCTTGTGCGAGACTAGCAGCTAAGGTGACAAGTGCAAGTGCAAAAACGAGTGTTGAAGAATAGAGACCTGCGAGCTGAGCCTTCCCAAAGAACGATGCGAGGAAGTGTGCCGAGACGATGATTGAAAGTCCAGCCAAAATTGTCAGGAAGATCAACAAAATATCCGAAGTCTTCTGGAATAAGAGCTGTGTCATCAGAACAGAACAGATAAGTAGACCGGGGAAGTATAACAGAAAGAAAGAGATGTAAGTCGACAGGATCCGAGGTGTGATAGAAACTTTTTGTGCGGCCATTAGCTCTGCCATGGATGTCTCCCTCTCGGTGGCGACAAATATCGCGAGATGATAAACGACACCGATGAGGATGATGATGAATACCGGGGAGACAAATATGCTGACAAGAAAGAGCCTATTTACGATTAGTAAAAGGGCATGCAACGGGAAGACTCTGGGACTTAGTTTAGTGTTAACTTACCAGTATTTCCCCTCGCCATCACCACCAGCATTGTAACTAGAATACTGTTGCGTAGGCTCACCACCTCGCGGCCGAGTTAACGGCCTTGAGACTTGTGAAAATCCACCCAGATGAGAATTTACTGCCCACTGAAGCGGCATTATGCGTTCCATTATTTTGGTCTTGCCGGTATTCCAGTTCCCATATCGATTAGAGTAGTCTGTGTCTGTGTAGCTAGAGTCAAGGGCTATGATGTATTCGATCGCAGTTTCATTAGATGACTGGAAAAGGATCGCGGCGAAGCAATCACTGTATCCAGCTAAAGATTGTCGGCAGAGATCGAAAAGGTCATTTGGGTTATCGACGACATGAGTATCGATCCCTTGTAATTGACTAACAATTCCAGTGATGGCTGGATTGACATCGTCCTCCGAAACTCCATTGCGAACGAAGACCAATTTTTGTGAGCCTGCCGACTTGATTGCGTCGGTCAAGTCAGGCACGGGAAATGTTGAAGGTGCAATCCCATAATCTGGAGTGTTACTGCGGTAAGAAGTTGACTCGTCACCAATGTCTCTCAACAAACAAAGAACCAAAGTAACTGCTATTGGAAATATGAGAGCTCTGAGTATTGTAGAAATCCAAGCTTTTTTGTACAAGAGATAATTCTTCTTCGTCAAAGTGATGGTTTGTCGAGTTATGCGCCGCCATTGCGGGATCTGGAACGACGCGCCCATAGTGCCTCGAGACTATGTTGTTGTCGTAGGATGTTGCGCGAATGTCCCTCGAGGATGAAAGGGGAAGGAGCTGGTAGAATACAAAATGAAAAGTATGTCGTGAAAATGTTAGAAATGAGTGTAAACCTGAAGCGGCTCAAGCGAGATTCCTGAGGCTTTCGACAGTGATATGGAAAGCGCGTGGAACAAAAAGGCTCCTTCCATTGCGAAACGTTTTGCCTTATTCGGCATTAATTTTGCTTTGGATCGAAATTGGTTGGATCGTCGAATCTACAAAAAACAGTGCTCCGTACGGCGTAGCGAGTTGGAACCCCGTATCGAGATGCCAAGCGAGGGGCAGAGCCGGGCTTGACATAAATCCATCCACTTAAGCTGCCTTAGAAAGGCTTGTTTAGGTTCGACAGGGGTTCTACCCTCGTAATTTGTACGGTTCTGTAGATTTCACATTGGAGTGAACTTAAACCCATGTATAATTTAGGCACCTGTTCTCTAAAGAAAGGCTCAAGCTAGGAAATAACAGCAGATTGGAATACGAGAATCTGGGGTACACGAAGCATCCAATCATGCAAACTGGTTCAATCCTCTTGACCCTCGAGCCAACAGAAAAGGACTGTGTAGACCACGATTGACGCGTGTACTCAGCAATATCATCGAATCACTGACTCGAGAATAGGCTGCCTATTTACCCAGAGGTCCATTCGGCACTTGTTGTCACTCGACAATCTGCATGTTTCTGAAATGGGCAGATTTACATCAGCATAGCCTCACATTTCTAAACGCTGGGCATTTAGTACCTCAGATTTGTGGATTTTCTGGCCTAGGACCGCTTGATTTTGTGGCCGAATGCAAATGCGCAGTCTGACAAAGTCGCTCAGACTGAACATCAGGGCGATCGTTCACGACCCGTCAGCCTAGAAAACTGAGGCTATCAACCTGTTGTATTTCGAGACAACGGCTGAGGCTGTTTAGACATCTTGGAGTTCGCTTTACACATTCAAATAGATGTAGTATATGTCCCGTTCTTGTGCTTAACAGAAATCGATAGGATCAAAAGGTCTTTTGGGAGCTACTTCGCCAATCGAAGTTTCCGTAAAAGTGCTGAGTAGGCTTTCTGAGTTTAGCAGATTGTACATAAGCTTGAGAGAACAATTCAAACTGAGGTAGCGAGATCGTCGCCTGCAGCAATCGCACCAGTTATGATAGCGTTCAGCGACGCACTAGACATTCAATTGCGTACCATGGGATTGAGTACCACGCTCAGATTTGCTGGCTTCGACCAGATAGCTCAAGTTGGCTCTGCTCAAGTGCAATTGAGTGCGCATCTGATGCTTGCTCATATACTCGGTCAGCAGCGGCGCAACTTTCCGCCATATTCTGTGCGAAAGTCCTTGTGCATTTGATGGTAGCGATAGGATTGCGTGCCATCAGCCCTCAAATGGAGCGATTATAGGGCACGATATGAACATTATTCCAGGGAAGTTCAAGAAGCGCTACGAGTGTCCTGTGAGTAGATATTGAAATGAGCTGAGACCGAACCAGTGCTTAAACCGTAATTTATTCGAAGGCATTATTCATTGAATAGAGACGTCACTATAGTGATATTAGAAAAGCCTGCCTGGTTACCAATTGAATATTTCAACGCGCCTTGGAATTTCATCTCCATCCTCCCTATCCGCTGGAGTCCAACCAGGAATAAGTGCACCACCCTCAATAATTCCATCCTCTCTATTTGTCTTTGAATTCATAAGTCTCACTCTGGGGCATTCCCACTACATCATTATCAGCGAAAGCTCACACATCAGATGACACCACACAAGTACTCACACCAGGATCAGTATTTCTAGCCTCCTCGAAATCTCCCCTGATATTCCTGAGATACCTCTCATTATCATACCAAGATGGAAGATTCGCACCATCACCCCATATTTCCAACTCCCTTAGACTCTCCATCTGAACAATGAAATCTAGATTAAAATGTCCGAAATAAGCAACATCCTTCGTTTCCAGAACCAGCTTCTGAACCCCTCTCTTTTCCTCTCCCGTCAAGTAGCTTAAAATCCCGTCTTGAAAGAATATGGCGTCGCGCTCGAAATTAAGGTATATAGCTTTAGAGCATGTTTTTGTCGAGAAGTAGGGTTTGTAATACGATAGTCCTAGGTACCGGGATTCAGAGCAAACGTGAAGGAGTGCGGGGATCGGTGTGTCAGTAGTCCATGAGTCTACGACTCGACGTTGGAGGATTCGGCGCTTTTTACAGTCAATCTTAATTTGACGCGGTTCGGCGAGGATTATGTTCCAAATCTCGAGACGGAGTTCTTGGGGGAGGTGGGGAAAGAGGTGGAATTTGGTCAGAGGGGTCGTGTAGGGTTCATATGGGATTGCCGAGTTATCTTTGTCCATATTAGTCATTTTGAGTCTGGGATTGTTTATGACGAGTAGGAAGTTTTTGCGGGTAATGATTGTTGATTGTGAAGTAAAAACAAGTGAGGTGCGTCGCTGCCTGACAATGGACGTTCACAAAATCTACCAACGCCGATTCGGATCCGAGTTGCACCGACGCGTCAGCCTTTAATAAGTCGAGCATTTTCGCGCGCCAAACCAGAGTAGATACAAGTGATCAAACGGTCAAGATTTAAATAAACTAAACGAGATACGGAAGCGGATTGGGAAGACGCTTCTTCCCACCATGGAATTCGCTAACTTCTCTCAATTGTTGGAAACTCTTGGCTACACCTTGTGATCGGCAGCACCAACATAAGAGCACCAGCAAACGTTTGAACGTACTTTGATCGGGTTTTAAATACGCCCAATGTCGAGCGTGCAAAATGAAAGTACATATAGACAATAATATAATAAGCGCAAAAAGGTATCTCTAACAACCCGAACCCACCTAGAAATCCATATCTACACTTCTCAACCCACTCACAATCCCTTCTCGAGCTATTTACACAAACCTCACCTCCCCAAACAGCCCGGCTCTAACTTGCACCAACGCCGCAATCTCCAAGATAAATTCCTGCAACACAAGAACATTCGTCAGGATATGGCTGACGGTAACCTCTTTCTCCCCAGCTCCCAGAATGTCGGCGGATTTAACATCTTCGGTTTTAATACCAATAGTCGCAAGTTCTTGATCAGCAATGATACTTTCACCCGATCCATCAATCGTCGTGGCGCCCGCTTTCAAGTTAGGAAATGGAATGGGTGCTACCTCTGCCTTAGGTATTGGCAAACTGACCTTCCGCGCGAGGATGGATTGATCGACAGCTGCGAACGCGGCAGTCTGACTTGATGGAATATCAACCCCTCGAAGGGTTTCCTGGTCAGCTCGTAGAGGACTGGGTGAGAATGCTCGTGAACTGTCACGGGACGGTGTATCACTGTTCGGATGAGATGTAGGAGGTGGATTTCTTCCGTTTGTGGGTGTATTGAGGCCGTAACCACTAGTTAGAGTTGGGAAGCCAGAGTTGCTGCTTCGCTGTTGGTCTTGACTTCGACGGCCGCGAGGAGAGTTGGACCGAGATGGGGTGCCAAGTTCAGGAAATATACGCTGCGCGAGCGTGTCGAAACCGCTTCGCATTCGGGGAGATGTGGAACGAGAGGACTCTTTCGACTGGCTTGGCTGTTGCCTGGGAGGCATTGGTGTCGCATCATTAGATGAGGCGGCAATAAAAGCCTCGCGCCGCTGTTGGAGAAGCTCGTCAAAGCGGGGAATAGAGGCGCGGTATTCTTGAATTTGGTCAACCAAAGCTTCGAGTTGTGTCAAAAATGCTGGAAGTCTTGACGCATTCCATATCGGTGTCCTCCTCATTTTGCGTAAGGCTTTCACTTGTGCTCTTTCTTCAATATCAATTGCATCCCCGGAGTTGATGAGATACGGATCTTCTATCTCAGCTTCTTCATCTTCGTACGTGTATTTTGACGGGTCTGGGAGCAGCCACCCATCTATACGCATAAACCCGCAAGCCGCTAAATCCACAATAGCGCCTGTGAGAGACAGATTGGTCTCCAATGAGTTTGTGAAGAAGGTCGAAAGAATAAGATTTAAAGTCTTCAGCATTGGGTCCTCTGGGCGCAAGGTATGGCTTCGGATGTCGCGAGGAGCGCCGGGTATCGTCGCTTGAGAGCCGGGAAACTTCATCGTGCTGCCAATTGCTTTAGGCGCGAGAAGGGGAATAGAGCAAGGATGGCTTTCCAGTGTGCTCATACTGTCTTTAACATGGTTTTCATAAACATCATCAAAGTTGTCATCTCCACCAACTCCTCCTGCAAGATGAAGCAAGAATTCCATCTCTTGGTCGTGGGCGCCAATGGTGCGTTGTGGGCCATCCGACAGGATCTGGCTAGTCCACAAGAGTGTCGTGACAGCATATCGGTGATGCCGCTTCAATATTACAGATACAAGTTGCAATGTAGTCGAGACAGTCTGTTCACTTTCTGATTTAAGACTTGTCTGTATTAAATCAACCAGATTGAACAGAGCCGGGGTTGTGTCTACTTCGATATGCGTGGCCATCATGGTCGCAAGGTCTAGAGACTTTCGCTTTCTGGCAGCACTAATAGATGCGCGAGATCCACTAGGAGCCGGCGTGGAGTCTGGAAGAGCTAGAAGGTAATGTAGAATGAGGTGTATCATATCCGGGTGCTCAAGTGACTCCAGTATTCGCCGCAGGTATGTAAGCACGGCTACAGAAGAGCCTCCATCAACATCAGAGGACTCCAAAAGAGATGGGTATCTAAATTGTTAGCTCATAGAAGGCTTATGGAATATCAAGGCTACTCACAATAATTGTTGCAAGAAAATGACCTGAAAGTGCTCAAGAAGAGTCTGTTTGACCTCTACCGACTTGCAATGGTTCAAGACATCTTGCCAAAAGACCAGATGTGATAGAAATGTTTCCATATGACTCTGAAAGTCCGGAGACGCCGAAGAAACAATTTCTGAAGTTTCAACAGGATGCTCGTAATCCGACAACGCCAGTATAGGAGGTAATTGGCCCAAAGGATAATCGATAACCAGCTTCCGACTCAACTGGCTGTATAAAGCTCCCAAGCCTGTAGCCATAAGAGTCGCTAAATCGCTCTCCACAATCCATTGCTCCAAAGCCACAGAATTTGAAGCAGCCTCAATGATGTATAACAGTCCGGTCCTCGCGAAATCCCCAACCCTTCCCTCATGGTGTATATAATCTATCAGCAGATAGAATAGCGGGAAATCCTCCTTATGAGTTTTACCGGTAAATTTTTCATGTGCGTCCTGTCCGTCTGAGTCGTCCTCCCGTGCTTGTGCAGTAAACCACGCCGGAAGTATCTCTGGATCGAGCCTGATTTTTGTCGTAATATTGAAGGACAGTTCCACGACTTCCGACTCCGTGTCCGAAGATAGTCTTATGCTGTTCGCTCCGGTAATTCGAACCAACAAATTCATCAAACTCTTGGAGAATGCCTCATTCTCTACAAAGTTCTCCTCCTCACTATCTATAAGTGTTGCGAAAAAGCCCACTCCTTCCCTTATGATGCCTTCATGATATGAGATGGTGGCAATCTTGCCTATGGGTATATATATCTGCTTCGAAGATGCAAAGACGATGCATGGATGGGGTAAGGGTCGTCTCGATTCATCGCTAAGTATTGTAGTCAGGTCCTGGAGACTCTGCTGTATCTTCTCAGCGGCATCGGCGTCTTTTGCCAAGTTCGGAGTGCCTCTCCATGTCGTCTAGTGAAGTTATCAGCATAATCCGCATTCTCACGCTGTATTGGTATTCAACGTACTAGGAGAGAACTGTATTCCCGCTTAAAGCGTGCCAGACGCTTCTCTGGATTGTTTGATGCTCCTTTATTTCCTCCCGGAGCGAGGGAAGTTCCAGCGATTAAGCGCGACCACTAGTATATTCATTAGCAAGGAAACATATTTATACCAGATGAGCATTCTCACAAAGTCCATGGCTGGATAAAAATCATCTTTTTTGGTGGTTGCTTCGCTTTAACTTCCTCTCATTGTCAAACGCGCATCGCGAACAGATGGCAGGGGTTCAAATAAGCTCCCGCAGGTACAGGGGAGCTGCCGCGGGGCTATCGGGGCTAGCGGCCCGATGCCGATGGAAGGGTCAAGCATACAAGTAATTATTCCGTTCTATCTTTAAATAAATTAAGGGGGATTAAGGGATTTTGTTATTCTCGATATTGATCTTGAAGGTTATCACAGATATTATGGCTTACTTGAACAGAGTTGCATAATATAATAGAGAATACTCACGCAAAAGGGACGATCAATAAGTCACGGTAAATCAACTGGGGAAGTTCTGTAATTATTTGAGCTTTTTCGATTCTCTAGAAGCTAATTATAGCTCTCCATTTATCTTTGCTTGTTGCCATTCCTGATACCACTCTTGAACAATCGAAATGAGATGCGCTTGAGTGTCTCTCACTGGTGGTGGAGGGAGGAAATTTGGTGGAACGTCCACAGTTTGATTTGGGAAAAGACCGTTCTCATCCCAGTGATGCACGCCTCCCTCGATGAGCATGAATGGTTCAGATACGGTGCTCGTACGGTTTACAGCCGTAGAGTTGAACGGAGAAGCGCTGGGGCAGGCTGGACGCCATGGATCTTGCTCGCCATCAACGATAGCAAAGCGAGGGTATGAGATATTGAATCCTCCATACTTGTTGATAGCTGTGACATTTGCTGGCTGAGAAATATTGAAGGCCTCTCGGCACACAATAGTTGAAAATTCTAAATCGACCATACGAGAGATGAGAGGAAGTTGATCAGCTGGGACTCCAGAACCAGTTTGCAAATAACCCCATTGGGTACAATATTGGTATGGCCAAGATCTCCAGTCGTCATCAAGGGAGTCTTGAGCATAGTAAGTCGAGTTGTGAGAGCCATAGCATCTATCCTGGCTACCCTCGCAGTTTGAGATAGTGGTGTTACCCATCCATCCAATCCAGTTTAGTAGAGGTGTCGTCAGAGTTGAAACTTCGGACTCGTAACCACCCTTCTTCAGAAGGTCCTGAACCGTGCCAACGAGCTCAGTGGTTTCGCTATACTCGACTACTCCAGATGTGATATTTCCACAGAACTCATCGAAGGACGGGTCATTGAGTTCTGGGTCCCAGTTTCGACCTTGCCAAGTACCAACCGTGGTCCATGACAGCGTCGCAGCGAAATCATCATCATAAGTGACATTAGGTAACCCGAATGCTGTCTTGAGCTCTGTAGTTGTTTCTGTGGTGTTAACCTTGATCAAGAGGTTGTCCACCATGTTGATTATTTTTTGCGCATAAGAGATACAGGTTGGTTCTCCGTACACGCGAATAGGCTCGTAATAGGCCCAATAATCCCAGATAGCTTCCGTAACCCCACTGGAAGAGATCGTACCCCAAAAGACATCAGGGTACAGCTTTCGCAAGAATGCGACAAACGCACCAGCATAACTACCTCCATATCCAAAGTACGCCGTGTGGGGTGCTGTGAGGTTGTATTGTTCCAAGCCCTCGAAAACAACGTTCTTCGCAAAGTATGCCTCATCCGCCAATGCTTGATCGGTTGTCAAGAATCGAAGGCTCTCTGTGGAAAGATCAAGCGTTGGCATACTGGTGCCATAGTATCGGTGTTCTAGCACAACACCAATACCACCTGTTGCGACAGCCAATTGATGTAGAAGACCCTTTTGCAGAAATCCTAACCGCCCTACGCCGCTTGTCTCTCCAGATTGGAGCACAATGACTGGACCTCCCGGTTTGTAGTAAGTCGCATCGAACCAATATCGTAGGTTGAAGGACTCAGAGCTATGAGGTTCGTAGAGGGAGTCATTGTGGAAATGGTCGACCGGAACCGATAGGTTGTACGCGGGATAGAGGAGCGATGGCTTTGTGTCTTCGCGTTTCGCAAGTCCTCGAGGATTTATTGTCGTTCTCTAGAATTTCGTAAGCAATTGAATTTATGCAGCACACCATCATATCGTCTTACCCGTACTCGTTGTTCAATTCCACTCATCGAGGAAGCACATGTGCCGACCAGCGCGGTCAAAGCGCACAACAAGTTGAGTTTACCAACCATTGTGAAGTCTCAACAACTCGATCGAGGCTTGGAATGCCAATTAATTTGTCGCTACATGATCCTCGTATTAGCAAAGGTTTCAGGATTCAATTGACTGTGGTCGAGAGGTGTGAAAGCTCGGGGTTACGCAAGCTGCACTAGCAACATCGTGGGGTAGCACTTACAATTTCAATCAAGACGACTCAAGAAAAGCAACAAGAAGTCTTTCACGTACCGGACGACAAGCTTTTATATACCGGTCAAGCAAAAGCCCATGCTTGGCTTTCTCTTGCACATCTTACAGAGCTTCCTAGCTACTGCACCCTTGATCAGGCAAATCCCCCTCTTGCATCTCGTAACCCCTCAATTGACCTTCTTCTTCTGGCAGGGTGGGATGTCGAAGATGACGACAGGAAGACCAGGTACGCGATGATTGTCAGAGGTTGGGCTCGGCTAGGATGATCTTTACACTCCTGCTTCTTTGGGGTAGCACTGGCTGATAACAAAATTTAGTGTTGTGGAGGGTCGGATGAGGATGCATGGAACGGAGGTAAGCCCTTGTTGAAGTGGCCAAGAGGAGGTTGGGATATCTTCAACCGACTCTCTTCTCTGCATTTTTCTGTCTCAACCACTGAAGTATATTTGCCACATTCTCTATTCGATTAATTAACTCCTCTAGGCTGTTAGGACCCTACTAGGAGCACCATGTCAATAATTCTCTAGAGTCGGCTAGCTGCGTTTCTAGCTCAAAGTTCATGAAAACATCTACTCCCAGGTATTTAGACTTGGGCTTTACGTCCGCTTGTGGCGATTCTCACCGTGTCTTTTTTGCACCTTGTAGTATAAACATTTGCACTTCCTGTAGCCGAAAGAGCAGATAAGGGCTGGGCAAGGTGTGTAAGTCCGAGTGGGCATGTATTTTATACATACCAATGGTCTATGTTTTTATCACTGTTAATTCAAAGCGAAAATTTCCCTTTTCGCTCCTTTCTTTCTTACCCATGAAGGCGATTTTCCAGGATTTTTTGATCAATTTCTCTCTATTAAAATTATCTGAAGGGTCCACCATCAGAAAAAAAATTATGTCAGGCTATCGTTGTGCGTGGCTACATATTCTACTCTATATAAACTCCTCTTACGTTTTCAGACTCTCTATAGAGGAAATTGGCAAGGCAACATTGTTGTTGTTTTATTTCTTATGGAAACGTGCCTAAGCCACGAACTATCCTGATCTCACTTAGAGTCTGGTGTATTCTTCTTCTCTAGACCCATTTACATATAAAAAACTTCTTGTCACTCATTACGAAGTCAATAGCTTAATTTCATTAGAATCCAAGCATATTGTTCGTCCTCCTTCGTTACTTGCTATTTAAATTATATCGTCTCCTCCCACGTTTCTCGCTTATCCAACCCCAACTTCCCAAGATTAATTTTTTCCATGAAATTTCGCATCGAACGCATGAACAGTTTTTGCTGCACGATCGATGTACTCTTTATTGCTAAGTCTTTCTCCTCGACTAAGCCTCTCCACTGCGCTGGGATTCGTGTCGAAGTTGGCATTACTTATGGCTGGGGAAAATCTCGGTTGCTTGTTTCTGTAGAATTAGTGAGAATTAAGGAGACTTCTTGGGGAAAGGGGAGATACTTTTCACTGGATTTCTTGTTCTTCGAATGGTTTCCGGCGTGTTTGTTGTCTTCAGGCATAGTGACTTATTTCGTTAGTGATTTTTTACTTGTGTTGAACGAGAATCGGACATTGCCCTGCTTACTGCTAGAAGAATCAAGAAAACCTGAGCGTTTCGAAGGTTGATTTGGCAGGTACCACAATCTCTTAATTCTCTCTCAAATCTCTTGGTATTAAGAGTCAATAAAAAGCCGCTGAAAATGTTGTTTGATGGAGTGTGGATTTCTCTCTTGTTATCTCGAAACATGACAGACTCACTTTAAATAAGTAACGATTTACCACACTTCAGCTCTTACTGCAAGTCTTGAGTGATTGGTTCAACTTGGTCAATTGAGGAGTACAAAGAGAGAGTTTTGCACCGTGGTGTAAAACCCTTGGCCAATTAATAAAGTACATTTGGAGGTATACTGTTCTCCAGGACCCTCATGAATGACTTCCAGAGACTTTGACTCATAGCAACTATTTGGCTTGGACACTGATTTAATATCATCAAAGACAGATAACCAATGATTTTGATCAACTCAAAAGTTTCGTGGTTCGTTGAAGGTTATATATCTTTGGTGTGAGTAGATACAACCCCCGAATGTGAGTTTCAAATTTCATTTGAGAGAGCCATAATCTAACCACCCCACTACTTAATTGATACCAACTCAAAGCAGATTTAAAGCTTAATAACCGTACCTCAAGTCCAGAGGAACCCTATGGGTGATGTTTTGCTGGGAAAAAGCAATTACATCACGTGTCCGGTCCTGTGATTGACCCGTCACCCCCTGGAGATTTTGTTGGATGGGAAGAAAAGTTACGCGTGTGCAAAACATTCTCGGTCTGTAATACAGACTGCATTTCTGTTAAGTACATTACTTCCACATTGGTCGCAATCATGTATCGCTCCACAGAACCAGGCAATTTTGATAGACTCCCACAAAGAGGCTCTTTGCTCTTCGTACGATATCTGAATATTGCTTTTCGGACACAAGGCTCTGGTGTTAGACCCCTTGGAGTTGGGTGACATCAATTTGGCAGGGGTCTATGCACTTCTCCATGCTCAGGTACGTACCGGAGTCACGTTTAAATGGAACGAATGACTGACAATGTGAAAGATTATGAACTGAAAGATCAAGTTGTGTCTCAAGATCTTCGATCGAGCATAAGAGCAAATATACCGGAGGCTTTCATATTTTGCATAAACCAATGTGAAAACCCTCTAACAGCGTGAACATGACGAGTGTCTCCCAAACCCCCAGGACTCGGTTCCTACACAAAGTCTATAGACAGTCTTCGGAAAACACCAAACGTCGAGAGGAACCTGACACTTACTCCTGGCTTTGGTACTGTCCTGAATGTAATTCGGGTATAGCCATGAGTAGGAACACCATCGCTTGTGTCAACCCAGATTGTGGGATGATAATGCCAACAAAAGCAGAACAAGTTATATGGGAGATACATAAAGACCCGCGAGACTGTTCCACACGTTTGTCTCGGCGTACTGATCCCAAATTTGGAGCATGCCCGGCTGCGACGAAGCTCAAATTGCCAGAGCTCCCTAAGCGAGCAAAGCAATTGAGATGTGGTGAATGCGGTGAGGCCTTCACTGATGCAGACGATCTTCAATCGCATCTAGCTTGTCATACACGGCCAAGAGCTTTAGTTAGGCCTGTGAAAGACACGATCACTCCTTCTCGACTCCCCACCAGCTCCGGTGAACCACGGCAACCCGATGGATCACTTATCAGCCTTACTGGTGATAAAGTCCACAGATTTGATAGACCTAAGGGATCAACTTCGCAAAGAGAAGTCGTGTCGGCTGGGCAGCATGACAACGTTTTTAAATATGAGATCTCGCAACGTCTCCAGCATTTGGAGAGAATAAAGTCGACCATAGAAGATATAGAAGAGATTGAGGGATCAGCAAATCTGTCAATGCGTCACATGAATCGTGCTCAAGATAGTTTCGTCGATTTCCTCATGCGCGAGTTTCTCAAGGTCTACGATGGCAATAATCTTTTTGAAAAGTATATATGACAGCTTGATTTCAACACAGAGTTTGGGACAATGACTAACTTAATGAACAGGCACACTTCAGACCGTGAAGAATGCCATGATCAGGATGGTGAGGAGCGAACACAAAGCTCTCAGCAGGTCAGTCTACCAACGGGTAATGGTGTAACTTCAAAAGGTTTTACATCAGTTGGAGTCAAGCACAAGCGTGATACCAGCGATGATGAGCGGAATGAAGAAGATGAAGAAAGTCCAAAACGACCTCGATCACAAGGTCCTCCCACGAAAACTGATATGTCCACTTTGAAGTTCGCTTGTCCCTATCGAAAACGCAATCCCCGAAAGTATTCCGTGGCTGCTGGTTGGAGGACTTGCTGTTTAACGCCTTCGGAGTCAATTGCTAGACTTAAGTAGGTCTCGGAAATATCTTTCTTGTTTCTTTGGTACATTCTGTGCCTTCAGTTTGATGTTGCTCGGTATTCTTGTGGTAAGATCGGCACATTAGTTAACAGAAATTAGGCAACATCTATACAGACATCACCGAATATATCCTTGCGAGCGTTGTAAACAACTCTTTTCCGGTGATGTTCAGGCTTCTCACCATTTACAGAATGCCGAATGCGAGAGAAACGATAGTGAACTTCCGGAGGGGCTCACGTTATCAATGGAAAGGCAGCTAAAGAAAAGAAAGAAGTCATTCAAGGGACAGACAGATGGGGAAATATGGGAGGAGATATTCAGAACACTTTTCCAGCTCTCACCAGACGATGAGGTACCCAGTCCTTGTAAGTCTCGAACTAAAATCTGGAATATTGAAAACACGACACCGTCTCATTTTATATATTTTGTTCTTATCCACAAACTTATTCATAATAGATTTTGTTGACATCGAAAACTTCCCAAGAGAAGTACCATCGTACGAAGAGTACAGCCGACGTGAGCTACCTAGGGTCTTCCGAGCAGCCTTAGAAGCTGCTGTGTGTACGCCTCAGCTCAGAGATCAATTACACATGTTGATAGAAGACTGCCAGAACCATGTTTCTTCCGCATTCTATGCATCACCTGGCTCAATAACGAGTACGCCAGCATTAGCCATGGCTGATACTCAAACACCAATGACTGAACCGTCTCCGTTCCCAGCCACACCGCTGGCGATCCATCCGTCGAGACAACAAGAGCAAGCTCGAGAAGGTATACTGGAGCCGCCGGAAATTTCGAAGGCTCCAGTTGACCGTTCCGCTTTTGATCACATTGGGACGCTGGTCAGGGTTCCAGAAGAGGCGCTTGGGTTTTATTCTGAACCGTCCATACAAATACCGAACACAACAGAAGATATTTTCTTCGGCTCCTCTATGGATGCAGAGTGGTTAGACGATGAGTCCTACAATGCTGGTATGACCAACGAACAAATGGATGCGATTATTGCCGACATGGATTGGAATCCCGACAAGTCAAATACTACAGATTTTGGATCGACCACCTTTGAAATGGTTGATTCGTTGGTATCCCATGTTAGGCAGGAAAAAGACCCTACTCAATCATCTGAAAGTATGAGTGTACCAATACTTGATACTTAGCCATGAAATTAATATTGATTATCTATTGAACTCGTTCACTATGTTATCTTGTGTGTGACCCACTTCGTTAACTATGATTGGCGGCCCCTAAATCTTTGAAGTGAATCCTCGCTTAAATGTCCGAGCACGAGAGTTGTTAAGAATATATATTAGCTGTTGACATTGTGCTCCAACGAATCAGCATCCAGCATCTGATTCTACAATCCCTCGTGGCGCAATTGGCTAGCGCGTTCGACTGTTAACAGACAATTCTGAGGCTATCGAGAGGTTGGTGGTTCAAGCCCACCCGAGGGAGTCTGTTTGGGCTGGGAATAATCTTTTGCCAATCTTTTAATCTTAGTTCTCTCATAAAGGAATGGATACCTTACATGTGTGCACCTACCAGCCGGTCGCACTGTCCTACCGGCCACCCGAACCAAAGCCGACCGAGTCCGAAGTTTACCCTGGTCGGGTGGCCGGTCGGCCAGTGCAGCCGGGTGGGCAGTGTAGACAAGAAACGAGAACCCGCACTGCTCGACAACAGAGATAACGAAGCTTTACACACGCACCCACGATATTGCCAAAGTCATTCCGGCCACATTCAATCGAACTGGTCAAACTTTTTTGTGTTGCTTATGTCGTGTTATGTGACGTTGCTATGTACCCCTCACTTGGCAGCTATTCCCAGCTGTACGGACTTCATCAATGTTTTAGGCTGAACGTTTAACGATGTGTAAGCACGATTGATAGGGACGTTGACAGACTAAAGACGAATCGGAGGGACCTCGAAGGAATGCTTGCCAAGATTAAGGCTGAGAATTTCGTTTCCGTGAACTCTCCGTCTTACTTTTAAAAGTCAAGAAGAACTCTCTGTCGCATCGAAAATGAATAAGAGAAATACTTTAAAATGGAGGACTCGTTCGTTTCCGGAAGTGCTAATATGATTAGGATTATCGTCAATCGTGTTCTCATATATCTATCTAACAGTTGTCCTATTCCTCATCTAAAATCTCATAATTGAGCATCATGAAGATCGCACTCGCAAGCATCACGGCCTTTACACTCCCACTCCTAAGTATCGCAAGTCCCATCTCCAATGCACCAACATCCAGCAACCTCAATATCCTCGAAGCAAGAAAAAAGGTGACATGCACCATTCAATCGAAGTACGGGGCCAACTGTTACCAAAGACCTTGGCTCGGAGGCGACGGGATCACCGATGTCGTGACTACCTTTCGGGACGAGACGAAGCATGATTTCAGTTGCTTTGTGTGGGCTGTAGGATACAGGACCGATGGTTCCGGGAGTACGGAGAATTGTATTGATGGGAATTGGTATGCTGCTCATAATTCCGAGAGATTTCAGAAGTTCGATTTCGCTAATTTTATTGAAATAGTACCTGGGACTATGCCGTCAATTGGGACTGTTACGTTCCCGGTGCCTGGACTTCCTCTGTTTGTTCTCGAGGTGAGCTATTCCTTTTCTTGAAGCTGTTGAAGACCTTTAGACTAAATCACGTATACTAGCAAATCTCGGAAAGTGTTGAAATAAGTCTTAAGACACGAAACTCGCACGTGGTAAAACTACAGTGCTTGATAGACAGACTGCATCTTGCAGATTGTCTTCAAAAGCCCGAGAAAGACATAAGTGAAGGATACTACAGGTTTGAATCAGTGGTTTACATTTTCTTTTCCCAAAGTAAGATTGTTTAGTGCAATATCGAAAGTAGGATATAACAAACCATAAGTTCATTCTTTTCGATCTTCTCTTTTGGGATTTTTCTTTTACGCCTGAGTTTCCTCCTTCTTGGAAATTATCATTAGAGAACCGGTAAAGATTAATTCTGGCTCGAGATCCGCTTTAACTAAGGCTCACACGCTTGAAAGATTACAGCAAGACTTCAAAGAATCCAATGTCACTGGCAGGCCCGACTTTCGTTTGGAATCACACATGGCCAGATTCCTGAAAGTGGCATCAAGTTTACAGACAATGACATAGGAAACGAAAGTTCGATATTGGAATTTGGATAATTGTTTGGATGGATGAGTAACAATGTCTTCCTATGAATTAGAATGCTGGTGTTAACCTGATAAACGTATGCTCTCCTTCATAATGAATGACTCTGGCTAGCTAACTATTCGCCCAGAGACATGGCCAGTGGCATCCTTTCCTTCCGACTTGGGCAATCCTCGTGACCCGCTCCAACTTATATTGGAATTAGCGTTATATTCTTAACGCAAGATACATCAATTTTGTTCCTGAGGCTCATCGACAGAAATAAATGCTTCAAGAGAACCGTCCTTAGCAAAACGCATTCTTCGAAGCGCTTCGCAAATACCTCCATCCTCCGATTGTTGTTGCGAGACTCGTAAGGGTATTCTGGAAATCTCGAGTTGTTCGTCAAGTGGATCTTTCGGGCCTTCCTCCGCCTCGTAAAATACATCTGGGTCGTCGCAAGCGCCATCCAGATCAGTGATGTATGTTTCAACTACGATGGCTTTCGAAGGTTGGGTAGTCGATGAATCAGAAACCACACTATTGACTCTCGTTGTTGCATTTGAAAACCCACCCAGATCCGTGGATTGATTTTCAATAGAAGCGAGGCTGTTGACTCTTGTTGTATCACTGCTTTCGACGCCGTCGACATTGGGTGGACTGCGTTTGGTTGGACGTTTACCTTGCAGCCTGTTAACAAAGGCACCCCAGGTAGCGGATCGCTTTGTTGTTGAAGCAGTGATGATCTTCTTGTCGTCCGTCTTCATGCAAGGAAGTTTGGCTTTACCCTCGGCTTTTTTCGAATGAGTGCCACTGATTTCAGCTTCTTGTGTCTCCTTCGCGATAGCTTCAGCCTTCTTTCTTCTCTCGTCTGCAATGACAAGTTGGACCATATCTTTCAGCCTTTTTGGCTCTTTCCCATCTCTAGTCTTTCTCCCTGCTTGGTGTGAAATCTTGAATATCTTATCATACTCATTCATCGCTCCATCCCAGAATTGATCGAGAATCGCGGGTATCTCCGGGAGAGGGGGATGAACCTTTCCAATGTTTCTGTTCTCGGAAGCATATATTGGGAAAGTTTGCTTGAAAGCTTCCTTTCTATCCGTGGCAGTAGCGGCGGACAGTAACAGTTGGACAATACGAGCTGCCTCTGTTTCCGGATTGCTGAAGACGTTTGGGTGGAAGAGGAATTGGAGCGTGACATTGCTCATCAGAATGCTTCTAGCCATATTTTGGGGGGATCCCCAGCGGTTGCGTGCCAAACCCTCATCCTGATTGTTGTTAGTGATCAAACACTGATGAACCCAATCGGTCTCACAAGAGATAACTCACGAGTTTGAGTATCTTCTCGAGAAGGTCTTCGGCATCTTCAGGACCGAACTCTGTGGTAGCCATTCTGAATAGCCCAGCCGAGCGATGCTACCGTGCTCTCTTCGGGCGTCTGCGAAAGTTGGTGATGGAAGTATGTTTCGTTTCCGGGAAGTGATGCGAAGATAGAACAGAGCATTAGCCAAGATGACACAGGATCCAAGTCTTGCCGGGATGCACGATGTTCAGTGAGGCAGTCGCGATGGCGAGTAGTCATCCACCAGCACTTCTGCTAACACAGTCCAAATCGCTCTTGCCTTGCACAACAGAACTTTTGAGAGCAGAATTTGAATACGTTGATGTGAAGATCTGCTCAACTTTTACTATTTTCAAGGGTGCGCAAAAAGGCATATTCCAAAGACTCAAAACACCTGTGGTTGTAAGTTTATTCAGTACTTTTTCTTCAAGTTTCAGCATGCTTCTCATCTTTTTTATTCAAATTAATTTTCGCAATTATGAAGCATCAACATTGACTCAAATGTTTAAGGCTTACGTGGAACTTATTTCAGAAGTCTACATTGAGTCTCACAAGGCTGCTGTATCAAATACTTGCTCTGATCAATATCCGCTTGCCAAATCTCCATCAATCTTGATACCTGCTCTTTCTTCTTTCCTAAGTTTTCACTCTCGGTACGAACAACCGTTTTGTGATTATTGCTGCCAGGCCATCATGAAATAATCATGACGACCATGCATAAACACGATTTAGTCTGTCACCTCAGATGCATTCTTTGAGAGCTGCAGAACTTCCGTCATGAGCAGGACCAGATCCACCTCTATGTTGTCGTTTACAACCTGGGCTGGCAAATTTCCAGGTCAAGATGAGTCTCCCTGTAGCGCTTGTAACATCATCTTTATACTGGCCCAAAAACCACGGAGCCACTCCTTGATATCCTGGTCGGTTATCCTATTGTTCTGTTTTACAAAATCATAGAGAGTTACGGCAAGTCCCTTACCGTGAAGGATATTGAGTTCATTTTGCCATTTCTGAAGCTCAATCGTGAACTCAGCGATTTGCTTAACGAGAACAACCTTTAATTTTTCCCAAGCACTCTGATGCTCATCCGACAAGCTTGAAGTTGCAGATTTCTGTTTTGAATCGAGGTAACTCTGTATCGTGGCCATTAGAGAATGTGAAGTCTTCATGAATGATATCTAACCAGAATAACCCGCTGCAAAGCCTCACAAAGCAGATGCTGATGGACGCCTTTCAGCCTTTTGATATTGACATCATCTCTATAATTTATCAGCTACTTGCATGGAATGATGCTCAACCCTTACCCATTCGACGACACGGGCGAGAATCCAGTGAGCCGTTGCTGCAGATAGTGAAATTGGACTTGAACTCATTGTTGTCTCTTCTTTGGCCGGTTCGCTCATGGTCAGTTTCAATTCTGTATGATGTGTTGAAAAGGGATCTTCTGATGGGAGAAGTGTGGACAACTGTATGAGTTGATCATTACTTGGGTCTAGAACTTGTCAATTGTCAATCAGAGAGCAGATTCTCTTTGCGACACTCAGATGAAAGAATTCAATACCTCAAAGGCTCTAACATCGTGCAGGTCAAAACATCTTCGCAAGTTAACAAAAACAAAACATTGAAATAAAGTCTTTACATGCAGGTGAACGAGTTCATAATCATTTGCTGAAAATTTTCATTGATTGATGTAAAGTCAAGATAGGGAGTGGAGAGCGATATGTGTTTGTTGCATGCAATGAACCATAAGTTTGCTAAAGCTGAACAAAGCTACTTTGTTTCTTGAAAAAAGCGTTTGAAGGGATAACAAAAGACATAATGAATGCTTGTAAAATGTTACTGTAACAAATCAAGCAAGAACTTGAAATATGTTCCACTTCTACGAGATGCTCAATGATGAATTTACAATACCGGGGGCAGTTCTTTGGCATATCAAAAGCACACATAATCTTCAGAATTTGAGCGAATCACCTTCTGAAAAAAAAAAGTTCGCCAATGTTGTCAGGAGGGCTTAGCACACGTAGTTTAGCGATCTTTCATGTTGACACGGTTTGGTATCAGGAATTCCCAGTGAATTACCAAGAATAGCAGGTAATCATCAAATGAATTAGACTCCTAGTTATCCTATACTAGCTTACCATAATATTCTATTTAAATACAATTCCCCGTTAAAAGACGACAACCAACACTAAAAGAATCCCCATATAAGACAGTTGGCGGCAAGATTTATACGTGGAAGGTCTACAACAAACTCAGCATTTGCATCTTATCGAATACCATAACATCAAGCCCTTTCAGGATCGTCTCAGCATGCCAGCTTCTGACCAGATTCCCGCGATGTCAACTCCGAATACAGCTGAGGTGTCCCCGTCATTTTCAGCAAGCGCACAACAAACAGGTCAATTCAAAGACACTATCACCATCACAAAAGCTGTGCCGACAGAGTTTCATAGGTTCCCTGACTTGCCTGCCGAACTTCGCTTGCAAATCTTGAACTCTCACTCTCCTCCAACGCCTCGAACCATCGGTATTCGATTTCGCTGGAACAACACAAAATCCAAATGGGTGAAACATATTACGTGCTTTAATGGCCCCAGAATTCCACCAATGTTACACATAAGCCAAGCGTATCGAAGTTTGGCTCTGGGATCATATGTGCGGTTTTTCGGAGTAGTTCATATTGGACGCCAGTCTGGGGAGAGCGAACAGCCACCAGGATATTTTTCTAGATTGGGTTGGGCAGCTGTGTACATTGATTTCGCAAAAGACATCATAGATATGGATGGCTCTCATATCTCTTACGTGGGGCTTAATGGGCTTGGATTTGACGGAGATGGACATGATCGAAGGGCGAAACTTGTTGATGGTGAATCCAGAAGCGTCGAAGGTTATACCCAGTTTGAGGAGCTCGTACAAAATATCTACCTGTGGGATTTTCCAAACACTGCAATGATTAATGCTCTGACCCGTTTCAAGCAGCTGAAGCACCTCAGTCTTCGGAAACTACTTTCAGACTCAATCCACCCTAAGTGGAGACAACAGCGGCTGGAAAAGTGTGTTGTCACTGTTTTCAAGAATGCAAATAGACAGGTGCCAGAGATAGGTGATTGGACGAGCTAGGAAGCTTTATAGAAGTAATGAGGCCTGAGTTCCTATTTACGCCGTTTTCGATCGCCAGAGCTTCTGCAGAAGCTTTATCTATCGGCGCATGAAAAGTCTTTGGCAAGGACAGCAGAGTATCGCAAACATTAGGTCAGAGTCACAAGTTGGGATTTTGGGCAGAGGGAACACAACCGGGCTATATACAAGCCTCCAGCCCCCATGGATCTCTTTCAGATTCATCCGAGAGCAAAAATAAATCAACTACCATAAAACCTTCAAGAACTTTCCCTCTTCCCTTAGCGTATCACGCAACTCTAACATCACCATCTAGTCCTTCAACTATGTCCTTCAAATTATTGTCTTTTCTCATCCCTCCCTTGGGAACCATTCTCTCACTATACCACTTGGAGTCTCTGTGCAAAACCAACAGCAAGTAGTGTTGTTTCAAGAATCCAAAGGCGTTCTCAATATCTTGATCTCACTGGGAGGTAATGCAAGAGCAGTCAGATCATCCTCAAGCAATCATCAGCTGTGTTGTCTTGCTCAACATCACACTTAATAGCTACTTACCATCTGCCTGTATTGCCAGTATCTGAACCCCTGTTCATTTCTGACAAATTTTCTAATGAGTTTGCCATCTTCGCCTTCACAGTAAATTGACTGTAGTCGGAGACCTCGATTGAGTAGAAGACTAAGACTTAATGGAGTTAGACTCGGTCCGACTGAGTTAGATCTTAGGAACAACCCGTTGGTTGATGGAGTGAGTACATTAACCAGCATAAAGGAATTAAGTGAAAGGAACCGAGAGACCAGAAAGCGAGGTTTGAACCGAGGGGGACCTTCTGGAGGGGCTGGGATAGGCTTTGATTGCCGCTGCAAATCCGTCGATATCGCTGACAAAAACAGTTGAGCAGTAATTTCTCGCCGAAGAAACAGTAACGCAAATGATGGGAGATTCTCTTGTTGAATATCTAGCTGGATGTAGCTTTGGAGAACGGTCATTCGGCTATTGCCCGCCTCTTCCAAATGCCGCGAATATATGCATGTATGGCGGCTTTAGTACTGTACCGAAAGGAACTCAACAGCTTAATCCTTAGGGAAGCTCCCAACTTTCAGATCAGCACAGTGGAAGGAACATAATCGCACAATTCAACATTATTAACATTACTCATCTAGGAAGCCATACTCAACCTCTCTAGTCGACTTTTCGTACCCTCAACAAGCGCCGCTTCACGATCCAAAAGTGACATAACCTGGGCGATTTTCGCTTTTCTAATCCCCGATGGTACTTGAACATCTTGCTTTGAATCCTCTTGCTCTTCCGTTGATGCATCCTTCACTTGAGCTATCAACTCTTCTTTCAGTTCCATTACTTCGTCAAACCGCTCTTGCGGGCCTTTTTCTTCTGCTGGTTCATATTCGTCATCGAGCCTGATCTTGGTAGCCAAAGTGTTGACTTCTTCTATCCAAGCACGCTCCTTCTCTGTCAGTTCACGGGTGATTCCCTGTGCAGCCTTCCGTTTCAATTTGTCGATTCTTTCTGTCAATTCCTTCTGACGAGTCATAGCATTGTCGAATCGTTCTTCCACATCTTCTCGTACGTTAACAATTGGTCCATCATCGACGTCATCTCCAATCACTCGTTCCACCCTCTCCACAACCTCGCGTGTCTTTCTAATCTGGCTTTGTAGTTCTATCTGCAATCGTTCACAACTTCGGAAAATAAGAGCGGCCTCCTCCCCAAGAGCATGGGTTTCATCTCCGAGGATTTTGTGAGCTTCAGCGACAATTGTGAGCGTTGCTGGCGATAACCGGACACTCTCGTTCAGTAGTCTTTTGTACTTGGTGTGCCTCAATTTCTCGAGGAAATCAGGCAAGCGGCTGCGTTGATGAAGTGTTCGCGATGGTTGATAAACGTCCCGTGCTTCAAACAACGGTAATGGCTTTGACTCTTCCTCGACGAAAGTTGGTGATCGAGTCCTCTGCAGGGGTTCGAAGTCATCTTCTTCAGGTAACTCGAAGCTCATAGATTTTGGACCATCTTGATCAGCGGTCAGTAAGAAATATCCAAGATCTGGATCCCTGATCAAAACGCTAGCCGCAAGAGCGAGTTCCCCCTTCTTAAGAGGCTGGGTATAAACACGTTCACGAATGGTATTGTCGCCCCTAGCAAGCATGCCGACTCGCAGGTCTGTACCGACAGAACCTTCGCTAAGCTCATTTTCCAGCCGGAATACCCACGGAGAGAGAGAGATATGAGTGATACAAGACGTATCGGTGACGTAAAATTGGTACCGCGATGTCACGTCTGTACTGAAAGTTGGCCAGCTACCAGCCCAGACCTCCCCAGACTTCAGAGTATCTAAAACCTGAAATGTCAGAAGGGTCGGATCGTTGAGCAAGCGCCTAGATATCTTCGATTTTGACTTTGGCAGCCATTGAGCTTCAACCCCTTCAATATCCAGAGATATATGGAGGCGACCACTACTCGTGAGCAAACAAATAATTCCTATCGATAAGCCTTCCTGATCGGCCTCGTCGAATTCTAAGTCATCTTCCTCTCCGAACATAAGTTCCTGCGAGTCAATCTTGGGTCCTATGACAAAAATGTCGCTCAGCAATCCATCCAGTTCTTCCTCTGATTCCTCGGGCGCTAGCTGAAACTCGAATGGCCCTTGAAGTTTTGGAACCTTACCGGGCTTTCCAGGTCTCGAGTAAACTTCGGCGTCTGGGTCACCAGGTGATGACTCGACGATGGTAGGATCTTGATTGTCCAGGTCAGCCATCCAAGCTAGTTGTTGCTGAGCTAGTAACCTGTCTGCTTGTGGATCGTCCTCCGTGGCAGCTACCTTAGAAACGATTGAGACCGATAAAGATGGTATCAACGTTGGCGGTGGTGACCATTTCTCTGGGAGGAGTGGACACAGCGCGTAAACATCTCCTTCCCTCATTGCAACCCACAAGGTCATAGGTGACCAACCTGCACTTCCTCGACTGGCAAAACACGCGGATGCCACTTCCATCTCTACTGAATCTGGCGTAAAGCCTTGGCGCCCATTTGTGGCCGTGAAATCTTGATCTACCGTCGTCCCATCTGCTAGTTTCTTCAGATCAATGGACAAAGTCGGGTCATTAAAAGACCATCGGTCCGCCAACGAAAGCTCCCATACCCTGACAATTGCGTCCTCGGTAACTGTGACTAGACAGTTACCATTGACCCCTAGAGGATGCCATAACGCTGACGCCAGTGCAGGCTGTGAGGTGACATGAGTTGTAGGCCCTAAATGGAATGTCTTTAATTTTAGAGGTCCCGTTTCGCGCGCAGTCAGGTGAGAAGATTCCGGCAGTTTCGCAACATGAATTGTGTGAGTCGTTAAGATCGCTAAGAAATTCGATTGGGGAGATATGATCAGCTGGCGAATATCTTCGCTGACGGGCGTTTTGATAGTCTAGCATCTTAGTCAAGGTTTTGATTGCGCAAAACAGAATATGAAGCTTACCCTGTATCCTTGAGCATGATTTGCATTGTATTGAGAATCTTCCGTTTGCTTTTTGCCCCGGGATTTCCTAGATGTTTCCTCCCATGCTTCCTTCAAATACACAAGATCCGCCCATCTAATTTCCTTTCCAACAGCGGTAAATATTTCCGTTCCTCTGCGCGCAATCGTTCGACGAGGTCCAGGTTTTGCTGCTCGTTTCCGACTCGAGTTTGCGATTGTAGCAGGTGTTGTAGCAGAAGCTTGAGGCTCCGATTCCATAAAGATGTTGTACCCAGGGTTTGGTCTTGACAGCCATTCTGGCGTGCGAGCGAGTGTAGCAGGCATAGCTGCGTTTGAGTTCTGAGTCAATGCAGAACTGCCGTAGCTGAAGGGCGAGCTAGACCTGTGGGTAATGGCTTTATTCCGGCGTTTATATCATGAGGGCGTGAAGCAAATCGAATTGTTGTTGCAGTTTGTTTGGTATGTGCACCTTCAAAGGTCGACGTGCCTGGGGAAGCGCGCTAGCGAATCGTGAACCTTCGAGGGAGCTCTGCCAGATGCAACATCGTCCCTCGAAGTAAACACGCAACAATATGCCTGGACCAGTGAGAAATACGGTCGACAGACTTGATAAGCCAAGTGCATACTACCAAGCTAGGGTAATATATCCATTCTACATTTTAATTACAAGCCTGCTATAACTCCTGGCGCATTGGACTAACAGTTTATTGCCAGAATAAGAAACGTCGGTACCGCGATGACGACGATAGGGAAAGAGAACGTACGCCAGAGGAACCAGCTGATGATCCATTAAAAGATGCCGCCACTTTATATGTTGGTAACTTGTGAGGATATATGCTTTCACCTGGTCGAATACTCGCTCATGGGCAAACATAGGTCGTTTTACACAACGGAAGAACAGATTCACGAACTATTCGCAAAGTGTGGGGAGATAAAGCGATTGATAATGGGATTGGACAGATTCAACAAGACTCCTTGTGGGTTCTGTTTTGTTGAATATTACACCCATCAAGACGCTTTGGATTGCATGAAATATATTGGAGGCACGAAGCTGGATGAACGTATTATTCGAACAGATCTGGATCCAGGATTTCAAGAGGGAAGACAGTATGGACGTGGAAAGTCTGGCGGCCAAGTGCGCGACGAGTACCGAGAGGAATATGATGAGGGTAGAGGTGGTCTGGGTAGAGCTATTCAAGCTGAGAGATTGAAGGAAGAAGAGGAATACGGTAAAGGTAGATAAATCATCGCCTTGCATCTGGATTATGGCGTTGAATGGAGTCAATGGATTGGAGGGAAATATTCATCAGCGAAACAGCTATGCTTTCATTTAAAGTCTGGAGTAATCGTGACTCCTTATTCTGTTTACTTGTACAATCCAAACGCCGTATCTATATGCTGCCGTGCTGCCTCTTGTCTTTGCAAATGGCCAGCTCCACGAGCGCCTTGCTGTCATCGCAACGGATATTGTACATACATTGTTATGGGATGTCCCGCTGGCCAGCAATTGCACCCCCCGAGTCCTATACTCTTACAAACGACCCAGAAAATAGCGTCAACGACCAATCCATCCAACTTTCGCTAGTATCCAGGCGGGTTGAGTCTCTGCGAAACTCTCGTCCATTTTGGCAGCTCTGTAATAAGTCAGCTACTGCGATTGAACCCTTATGCCTCAATCAATGCTTCAATCCTATCGCCTCTGAAAATTCTTTGTTTCTGCATTCCCTCTCTAGAAGGCCCAAATGGATTGACCACTCACTTCTGATACTCTTCCTATACCCCTTCTCCTTCCTATCAAAAATCGTATATTTATCCTTCGGCACCATAACCTGTTCAATCGGCATCTCCTCCTTCCATCTCTCCACCGCTCTCGTAGTCATGCCCCCATTCCTCTGCAATGCCTTATCCACCGTCGCCACCAGAACATCAACAGCGCGCAGACGTTTCCGTTGTCGTGCTTTTTGGAATTTCGAAAGTCGCCATGGGATTTTCCTGAGACAAAACGAATCAGCTCACGAAATGAAGGGAAGTAAGAGGCAATTGCAACGAGGAAGGTAGAACTTACCATAGTAGACCTCCACCCAGTGAGTTCGTGGGTCTGAATGCGCCAAACATGTTGTCTTGTCTTGGTCGAGGTTGTCGAGTGTCGCGCGTTTTGGTATGGAGATTTATTCGCCAAGACCTTTGATGGACTGCCAATCACAGCCCACATTTCTAGCTCTCCACTAGTCCCTCTGCAAGGCTGCGGGACAACCTTCTCAGTCGGCCACCGTCGCTCAGAACATAAACGGAACTTCGAACAATTTACCTAGGACCTCAATCACCTTGGAAAGATTCTACGGTACTTATTCAAAATGTCATACTATTTCGCCATCATCGGAACCCTCGACAATCCGCTCTTCGAATACGAATTCGGCACCGCCAAACAGGGTGGTGATGGAATCGCCAGGTTCGCAGAGCAGGCGAGACATATGAACCAGTTCATCGTTCACAGCAGTCTGGATATTGTAGAGGAAGTTCAATGGGGTAGTGGGCAAATGTAATACACTTCCTCCATCCACTTTGGGTGCAAGAGGAAAGGACTAATCGCAAGCGCATAGGTATCTAAAATGTATAGACCGCTATTACAATAACTACGTATCCTGTTTCATGACAGGCGGCAGTACGGCCCTCTATCCTTTACCCTCTCTCTTTCTCCTTCTTTACTAACAACTCCAAGACGTGAAATTCCTCCTCCTCCACGCACCATCAACGCCTTCCACCAATACAACCCGCGCCTCAACATCCATCGCAGCAAACCCCACATCACCACAGACCGAAGAAGCCATAAAACAGTTCTTCGGGGAGGTCTACGAGAACTGGGTAAAGACGATCATGAATCCTTTCTATAATGTAAATGCCGAGGTGAAAAGCCCGATATTTAGGTCTAGAGTTGTGGCTGCGGGGAAGAAGTATTTGTGAAGCAAAGAATCAGACATTACCAGTATTTCCACGTTGGAGCATTTGGTAGTAATGGAGACGAAGCGGGCTTGGGCACGGTGATACGTAAGTCAGAATACTGACGAGGTATGATGTATTGTGCGCTCGAGGGTGTATGGAGAATCGGTATGATACCCACCAAGGATAGAAATGAGGGAGATAAGAGAGTAGAAGGAATCAGCACGCTCAACAGTTAGGCTAGGGTAGACAAGTTGTCGCCTGTTCGTATCAAATTTGTCGGAGGCATCGGAAAGGGGCCCTCAGAAATACCTGATGGCTGTACTTAAGATGGGAACGCTAAAGGCCTGAAAGGTGCTACCGAATACATTCGAGACCACAGGGAAGATTATGGCAGCTTTAAAACCGGAACTCCGGCTGGTTCAACTAACAGATTGGGATCGCGACCATCAGCAGCAATCAATCGCAGAGTGACTTGATGAAGCAATACGAGGAGTTAGGATGGATTCAAAATGCACATTGTAATTAAATCGAGCACAGTGGGAAGAATATTGATGGGGTATTGGGCCATTGGCCATTTCATTTGTTTGCACTACTATGTGCAGCGTGATATAATATCGCTGAGGAACCATTCCTCAAGACTCCATAGTCCATACCGGTGATCCCAACCAAAGACAACGCCGTAAAATTCAGAATTACATGAGGTGAATAACCGTGTCCACCATCGCGGCAACCTGCGCGAGAAATGCCAGACGCTTAAGAAATCCAGATAACCCCTCCCGTAAACAGGATGCTAGACCGTCTGCAGTAGACTATCAAAAGGTTGTATGATTCCAGAAATCAAGTGATGAGACCAGATTGAAAAATCGTTCGTATGTCGAGTAGTGATATCGAAGATGCAAGAAGAATGTTTGGCGAAACCCTCTCGTAAACAAGATGCTAGACCGTCCTCAACAGAAGATGTTGAGACTATCAAAAGTTTCATGTGCCAATCAAGATCCAGCATTGCCGAGAACCAATTGTCGAAGGATAGAGATGACCGAGGATTTGGGGTGGCGGACGGAGGTGATTGTGAAAATGTGCGAGAGAGGGTATGTTTAACCACCGAAACCGTAGAGGGTACGGCCCTGTCTCTTCAAAGCGTAGACGACGTCTGCAAATGTTAGTGATGGTTGACGTGAGACAGTGTTGGTGCAAGCTTACCCAAAGATGTGACAGTCTTTCGCTTGGCGTGCTCAGTGTAGGTGACGGCATCACGAATAACACCCTCGAGGAAGGTCTTGAGAACACCACGGGTCTCCTCGTAAATCATGGCTGAAATACGCTTGACACCTCCACGACGCGCGAGACGTCTGATAGCTGGCTTTGTGATACCCTGGATGTTGTCACGAAGAATCTTGCGGTGACGCTTGGCTCCTCCCTTTCCGAGACCCTTTCCACCTTTTCCGCCTGTTGAGAAGAGTGTTAGCAGTGTTCAGATGAGTGAAAGTGAAGTGAGTTGAGGTGCAGGCGCGATGTGGAGCAAGGCGCGTCAATGAAGCCATCACCAACTTCCGAAAAGTGGCGACAGCGACATAAACGCGTGCACAACAGCAGCGACGTGAAGAAGGAAGATATACTTACGTCCAGTCATATTGTTGATGTGTTGGAGAGATGTATGAGGTGTTTTGGTGATGAAATCGACGCGTTGTCGATGAAGATAGATAAACTGGTGATGTTTTGGCTTGGATAGTTTGGTTTGAAAGAGGGAAGGTTAGAAGGCGCGGGGCAAGGTCTTTAAGGGTGCTGGTGGTGATTCAATTACTAGCGTAATCACAGTTTGATGAGCCAATCAGAAATGGTTAAACGAGTTTGCAAAAGGAAGAGCGTTCGGGTAACTGTAATTTTAGTTCAATTTGCATTGGAAAGGCAGGGGTAAAAGCGATGTGATGTGATCTGTGATGGCGGCCTGAGGTGTCAAGTCGCGCTACCTCTTACACTCACAACATCGCGTCCACGTAGTTTCGACCTTCAAAAAATTTGGATCCGTTCCGAGTGGTCAAATTTTCCAATTTCGAGAGCAAGATTATCGAATCTAGCACTACAGATTACTCAAGATGTCAAGTCTTTCAGTTTGCACTCGATTTATCTCTGAAATCGAGCTTCGTCCGCAATAGCCATCTGGACCATCTATGATATCGACAGAAAGATTTGGACCAGACTTCGGAAGGCTAGGAGAGTCTAACCAAAAACAGTTTTCACGGTCTAGCATCATCAACGACGAACTACGAGCAAAATATCCTTAGCTCTCCTCCAGCATTCACTTATTGGACCACCTTGGAAGCCTCAGGGACCGTGATTACGATCCTGATCCAAGTACCTACGAAACCCAGAAGTCTAATCCTGTCTCGGAAGATCCACGGATGCTTATAGACTGGTTCTTACGAAAGCTGCTTACGTTGGTCTTCTCATAACCTAATGGTATATCAGGCGTATATACATCCAGATTTCACGAATCCAATCCTGTCTGAGAATTATTCGGTCTGGTCAAAACTTCCTAAATATGGATCCGCATTCTTTCCCCCATCGCAGGTTTAGCGGCGTGTTTAAGTTTCTTCAACGGTAGTTCCATACCTATCAGCGACTAACCGTTAGCCAAAAGATACTGTCGAATTTAGGTAGTTCTTCTGCTGATGTCATAATTGCAAAGTCTGTGAGCAAACGTTATGGGGGTCTCAACTGTGCACCCCGGGTTAAGATTAGCATTTCTTCTGGGCCGAGAATGATCACAGAGAAAATCCACGCCTGCGGTGTTCTTGAAATCCCTCACTGCTTGTCAATCCTGCAGTAACCAGCTTGGTTCAGACTGGCGTTGCTCCACTCTAGATGGCCTCTAAGCTATCATAATCCTCCAGAGCGAAAGAAGCATTTTACTGAGTATTAAAAACGTCTGGAAATTAGCAATGATGCAACTTCAATATTATTATCTTTGCAGTCAACAAGTATAGATAAATTGTATCAGGGTCAGGTTTTGGATAATATCAAGTTAACACCTCATCTCGTAATCCAACTAACAACGGAAGATTGAATAAACTGACTATCTCTTTACGCATCTATGAATTGACAAATTACTTGCCTTTCACATGAACTTCCTGATTTTCCATCATCCCTAAGTCATCTGTCGTAATGTCATAACAAGGATCGTGGCTCTTTATTCAAGACCGTATTGATGAATTTTTTTTATAAAGACAAATCTGATATTAAAAACGCAACAAAGACGAAGTAAGAGCGCTGGTTCTTATCACATGTAATCCTTGTTCAATGGCGTTGATTCTGTAAAGAACTTGATTGGCTGTTGAACTAATGCATAACCTCAGATCCCTGTCCCGCATTCAAACTGGTATTACTGACGAAATCTTGGCCATCAAACAATAGCTTTTGGCCTCAACCTCTACGATTATCTCCAAATGTAATATCGCACAGCATGTCAACATATCGAGACACCCCGAATCCTTTAAGACCGTATTATCGGCCACCTTCAATCGGTATACCACAAGATGCGCCTGGAACCACCAGCTCGGGAACTCATGGATTGGGGCCCAAAAATGGCAGCGCAGCAGCATACGCGTCTTCCGCTGCTCGCGATATGTTTGACTATAGCGATTACCTTTCAGAGTCGTCTCCATCATCAGTAGAAGCTGTCCGGAAAGTCCTGGATGACTGGATGTACAAATATTTTAGCATTCTGCTCTCACAACCATTCGATGTAGCAAAAACCATTCTACAAGTAAGAAGTCAAGGTGCGATAGAGGCTGGTGGACCTACCGCCCCGGGTCGGCATATAAGGTCGAATCATGCAGGTTATGGAGCTTCTATATATGAAGATGTACGTTGATTATCATATGTTGTAGTAATCGCTAATCCTGTGGTCAGTACCCCTCAGACGACTCAGACCATGATGAATCTGCCTACTTCACATCCGCCGCACCATCAGCAACTTCCTACTCTCCTACACGCGAGCGAAGAAGGCGCGCCAGCTCGAGGGATAGCTCCATCCCACCACCAAAGTCACCATCCACCTCCGGCCACCAACTCGTATTGAAGAGGGGGGACGCTATTCTAGAAGTGATAGGTCAGGAATGGACGAAGGAGGGTGCTTGGGGAGTCTGGAAAGCCACCAATGCTACATTTATGTACGGTCTGTTGTTGCAGACTTTGGAGCAATGGTCAAAGGGCCTGATCTCCGGGATCTTCAACATCCCAGAGGCGAGCGCTGCTTTGGGAATTTCCTCTGAACTTACTGATATACAATACCCATGGGCCTCTCTGGGAGTGGCCATCGCGGCTGCTGTGAGCGCTGGCCTGATACTTGCGCCTCTCGATCTCGTTCGCACAAAGTCAGTCTTCCTTCCAACGTCCCAAAGCACGTTAATTGACTATTTAGATTGATCCTCTCTCCCACATCTGAGCCCAAACGATCACTTGTTCATAACACTCGCAATTTACCTTCTTATTTATGTCCACCAAGTTTAACGATACCCACGATTTTATATAGTCTTGTCACACCAACGATCAACCATTCCACTCCTTTACTCCTACGGTCTCAATTCGGAGTGGACCCAGTCACGTCTCCAAATGTTCACAGCGTTGCGATTTTTCTTTCCCGCACTGCAGAACTTTTCATCAAGTTGCCGCTGGAAACCGTATTACGCAGAGGACAAGCCTCAATCTTGGCATCCGAAATGTACTCAGCAGACGATGTCAGTGAAAGCAAGATGGTTGTTGAGCCAGGGCCGTATAAAGGTGTATTCGGAACGATGTGGTCCATTGTATATGAAGAAGGCGACTCTACGAGTCTAGATATTCTCCCTGCGACAGGGACTGCCAAGGTCGCGCGAAAGTCAAAGAAAGCACAACGTAAAGGGCAAGGTATTGGGGGTCTTTGGAGAGGCTGGAGAGTAGGGATGTGGGGTCTGGCTGGCATGTGGTCTGCCAGAGCTATGGGAGGTTCGGCTGCAAACGCCCGAGAATTTTAAGCATGCAACAGAAGGAAGGAGTTGATTCTAAATTTAGCGTTGGGCGTTGTTATATACGATCAATGGGATCTTGGGCAAGCGGGCGTCCGAGGAATCTGGCATGATTTCCACTCTACTCTGATTCGTGTATGACTTGTATTTTGTTAGATTACAAGAATGTAAATCAAAGATTTGCAGATCCAAGCGGTTTGGAGTTCCAAGTTTGAGCAAGTATGATTTAGGTTAGTATGGTTAATTGCCACTGACTCCGACCAAAAACTGACGGGATACAAGCACGTAGTAAGCCTCTTCTCACAAACTGTCGATGCCTGAAATTATTGTAAATTTCAAGTAGTACAGTGCAAGCATTCGCCATTCTTTTTGTGCTTGTTGATACCCGCGCGATGGCACGAAACTGTTCGATTTTTAGGCCATATCCGGAGCATCTGCGATCATTTTCCTCTATATGTTTTTCATAGGGTTGTCGTAGCGGCAGAATCGATTGGAGAAGTGGAGGAGAATTAGATGGCATGGGCTCTGCTAATGACACTCAAAGAGATATCAATCTTCTCCGTCTACAAGTATGATCTAGAACGCAACTAGAGATCAATCAATTCCAGGCAAAAACACAAATACGTCTGGAGGAGCCAGTCAGATTGGGTCTCGCTAAATAACCTCGCTCCGCGGATTCCGCGGGTTCAATCACTCTTCGTACAAGATTCCATATACGCAACGCAGAATCTCGACGAATCGATGCAGAATCTATACGGTTCAGCAGGTCTTTACAGGTCCTGCCAGCCAAAGTTCCAGCTGGTAATATTTCGGAGGTAATGATAGGTCCGAGTCTCCGGCTTTTCCTTGTCCTCTCTGGCCTATGCGCGAGTGCCTTGAACTGATTTCCACAGGTGTACAAGTGCAACCAATGCGTACTTGCTGAGGCTCAATCTCCAAACTTTCTTTTACGTCCATAGCATTTGTCTTGATTGGAATCTCGTGTTTGTACATATTTCTGGGTCATATTTGTATACTAGCGCGATTGAATATCAATATGCCGTCGTCCGAACCATTTCCTATCATACCAACGAACACCGCACCATCGATTAGAGAAAGACCGAATGGCGAGAACCCACGGATTTGGAGACGATCTTCTGGCTTCGGAGGAGAGATTAGGGTGGAAGCTGGTGCGCCAGCTCTCATTACTTCGGATTTGAGACTGCCTTCAGCTCGGATCATGGAGGTTAGTTTGGTCTGTTCCACCTTGAAATTGAGCAATTTAACGAACGGAATGTATAGGCGCAGAGGGAACGAGATAGAAACCTACTCTTCTCGGCCACAAGAAAGATGTTGTCTCTTTTCCGGCAGTGGAAGTGGTATTCATTGAAGCATACTTGGTTTGGTCCACTGACCTTCATCACCATATTTCTCTCCTTGTTTGCCCTTAATCCAACAAGCTCGAATCCAATCCACCACTTTATCTTCCTCTCCTACCAGATACCGAACGAAGATGGAGATCGCCATTTATCAGAGGCTCGACCTCAATATGGGAAGGGTCTTTGGGATATTGCCTTCGTCACATTCTACACCATCGTACTCTCCTTCACCCGCGAATTCATCATGCAAGAATTTTTGCAACCACTAGCAAGACGAACTCAATTAAAAAGCAGAGCAAAGCAATTTCGCTTTATGGAGCAAGCTTACACGGCAATATATTTCGCTGTCCTCGGGCCATTCGGATTATACGTGATGAAGCGTACACCTGTTTGGTACTTTAATGTAGCCGGGATGTACGAGGACTACCCACACAGAACCCACGATGCTGCATTCAAGTTCTACTATCTGTTCCAGGCCGCATACTGGGCGCAGCAAGCCATCGTCATGATGATAGGGATGGAAAAGCCAAGAAAGGACTTCAAAGAATTGATTGCACATCATGTTATCACATTAACTTTGATCGCACTCAGTTACAGATTCCACTTCACCTACATGGGACTAGCCATCTACATTACCCACGATATCAGTGATTTCTTCCTCGCCGTAAGCCCATCCGCCGATCTCCCAAACACAGCACTAACAATCAAACCCAGACATCCAAACTCCTAAATTACATAAACCATCCCCTCGTCGGCCCCTACTTCATCTTCTTCATGTGCACCTGGCTCTACCTCCGTCACTACCTCAACATCCTAATCCTCATCTCCGAATTCTACGAATTCAAAACAGTCGGGCCGTATATGCTAGACTGGGAGAACGAACAATTCAAGTGTCTTATCTCGCATGTTATCTCGACGTTTTTGTTGGGAGGTTTGCAGATGTTGAACTTGGTGTGGTTGGGCTGGGTACTGAGGACGGCATGGCGATATGTGTGGTTGGATGTTAAGGAGGATGATAGGAGTGATGATGATGAGAAGGAGTGGAGGGAGGAGATGAGGGAGGAGGTTGAAAGGAGGGCTAGGGAGGAGGACTTGTTGAGGGCCGAGCAGGAAATGAGGACGAGAGCCGCGGAGAAAAAGGTCGTTTTGGGCAGTGCGAAGGTGGGGAAGAAGAGATCAAAGTAGGCGCAAATTTTCCAGGTATACGTGTTGTACTGACTTGTTTTAAGGATGACCCGACGAAAATTGGTGGCGGATGCCAATCAACACTTATATCTCACGCTTCCGAATAAATAGGTGAAGTGTTGGATATAACTCGCGAATACTGATGGAGATGAAATAATTGGGCATGGATTTGAAAGACGGGAGGTGTTTGAAACAGTTTATAATCATAATAGTAATCATAATCATCACCATACATAAGTTGTATTATCTTCCCGCTGGAATTCATGATGAATGTGATATTGAATCTTGCTCAAAAATTTCTCGTCATACCCAAAACGCCTTTCCCCTTCCACCTCATTGTAATAGGAAAATGTAGACTTTTCCAATGGTTTTCATGACTTGCGAAACCCAATTGCGCAACGATTTTTCAAAAAAGCTCCTAGACCACAGCCCGAAAGATGCCCGGGTATCCCACTTCAAATCGCAAGGACTTATGCACATCGGAACCACGTACCCATGACCAAGAGACCCTACTCCAAACCATCAATCTGCTTCTCACACCCCACCCGATTCAGCAACTCCTTCCTTGTACTCGAAAACGTCACTCCACTCGCGCTCGCCCCCCTCTTGCCCCCAGACCTCCTCTCCCACCCCAAGAGATTAATCTCCTCAACGCCCACCTCCTCCTCCAGCGGCGGCAGTTCTTCATACTCAATCTCTTCCTCGCACTCATCATCACTCCTGATATCCTCCGCGCTCCCGCCTCTAAGCACGCGAATCACCACCCGCACGATGGCCACGAACCAGATCGCCGTGATAACCTGCAGGACGAGGAGGGTGCCGAGGAAAGCGTTCTTGATGTTGTCGTTCCAGCATACGATGCCTTCTGGATTTAGGAAGGGCTGGAAGACGTGAGACCAGTCGTCCGGGACGGCGTAAGGGCCTGAGAGGTTGTTCATGTTGCCGATGTAGCAGCCGGATGTGATGACGCGGGGGATGTCGGCGTAGATGCTCCAGCAGATGGTAAGGAAGATGACGTGACGGGCGACGAAGAAGGAGACGGTGAAGATGCCGAAAAGTATGTCGCAGATTGTTGTGAAGCCGAGGTATTTGAGACATTTGGCAAGCTGGAGCGTGTTAATATGTGAGGTGTGAGTGACGGCTGGTTGGGACTTACGGGGAAGGATAGGTCTACTACGTCCATGAGCCATAAGATGAGGCTTCCAACGCGGCTTTGGTGGTAGGCGTAGGAGGCTGATATGAGGGTTACAGTGACGAAATGGTGAGTTAACATTTGCCAGTGGTCTTTTCTACGATCCTCGATGTGGACCACGAGGATTTGTTGGATCCAGAAGGACCATTGGACCATCACGTAGGCTTTCAGAAGACCGTCTAATTCTCGGTCTGGCCAGTTTGTCCACAACCCATCCATTTTGAAGAAATACGGTGAGTTGTAATATATGTACTAGAGCATGTCAGCATTAATATCCTTCGATTATGGCATGGAAAATGTACTCACCAAGCCAATCGGCCACACTGTATTAGCATAAATCCACAGCCATGCCTGTTCAGCGAATCTCGTAGCTAACTTCTTCTTAGGAATCCCCCATAGATTGGCCAGTGGGACGAGGACATATTCCATACACGCAGCGCGCAGGCCGGTGATCAGAACGACGCAAAATGAGATGAAGCAGAGGTCGTCTGAGCTAGAAACATACTTCCCGGTTGTGGCGTTGTATTCTGATAACTTGAAGAATTTGGAAGTGTGTATTCTTGATTTGGGTATAAAAATATGTGAGAGGAATAATAAGGCGATGAGATTAAAGGATAAGCCTGTTGTTTCGTTAGTGATCTATATCCCAGGTTGTACTTGAAACGGGCTTCTCATATGAGACCAACGCCGACGAGATTTCTCCACATACCAATTTGATTCTCGAAAAACCAGTCACCTAGTGTCTTAAAAACACCATCCTCATTCTTCTTCAGCTTCCTCACAAGAATCTTTTCATTGGCTGTCAAGCCGTTAGAACCCCGTGACTGCGGTGAAAGCCGTAAAGAAGGTGTGGCGGGGGTATTTGAATCATTATTATCCATTGAGTTGATCATTGGATATTCCGCCTATTTCATTCCACACAATTTGGGCCTCCTTCGCTGAAGAAAATCAAGGGTGCCACTCAAATGACCCCTTTTTTTCGACGAACTAGCTCTTTGAACCCGCAAAAGATGGCGACAACCCCGCGAGAGAACGGGTTTAGAACAGCTAGCGAGATTAATTGCCAGGTGAAATTGAGGAGGTATCGAAAAGAGACACAACCGCTAGTTGCGGTGTAGGATATACGTCGTTTAGCGATGTGTTGAGACCAGACACACAGACTGTAGTGGAGGATTTAATAGAAAGCGGCGACCCCTGACCGCGTAAAATGACAGGGGGGGAGCAGACGAATTGTGGGCTGCAAAGCGTGACCATGCATTTGGGATGTTACCTTTTCTGTTCTTACTTGCAGCACCGCCAAAATTATGAATATTGACCATTGTGGTACAATCGTCTTATTTTTTGTTTTTACAATAAGGGTTTATGGGGGGTCTTGGTTCGTGGATTTTCCCTGTCAGACGATATACCCGACTCGTAGACTACATTCACGGGAATTTAGTGAGAATCTAGGACTAAAACCTCATATGAAATTGGAAAATTTCGTCTTCATATTGTTAAATCATATCAAATGAGCTGTGAAAGTATCAAGATGGGTCAAATGTATCTTTCAATTGCATATTGTGGCTGCATCACGAATCCTGCCAAAAAGGCGGTGAACGACAAACGACGACAATCCGTTCGTTCACCTTCTCGTAGAAGCTGTAGTCATCCTACTCTTATTATTACCAAGCGGCACCCTCTTTACTTGTTCCAAAGGAGCGTTTGAGATCGTATCAACACTAGTGACGTGAGCACTCGTTTATATTTACAACAAATGCCAGGACCGTCAACCATCTACCGGTTACGAAAAACGACGAAGGCAGATACCATGATTTGTGGAAGACCTAGGCAGTAGCGGAGATGACTTGATTGCCAAATTACTTGCTCATAGAACATCAGACATGCCTTTTACAAAGGTCCAAGGGGTGTCACTATGAGGGAATTCCACCCTCGGACCAAGAGATTCGTTCTTGTCAGTCATGGCTATTTTCGTCGGTGACCATTAGAGATCATAAGGCTCTGGCATTCCTTATAATAATATAGTAAAAGAATAGAAAAAGCTCGACATACCTGTTGTAAGCTCTTAATTTCCTTCAGATTTTGACAAAACGGCTCTTACCATCGGCATCTTCAGACAACTTTATGCGGTGACAGAGACTGTAACAAAACCAAACGGAGTCAAGTACATACCTTCCAAATGGACTTTCGATCGACCGTAACGTCCATTCATTCTCAATTCATATTTACTCCTCAGGAAGTTCTACCTTCTGTTCTGATCTTGCTGCGATGGATTTGGGTAAGCACCACTGTGGTTGAGCAATAATAAGTTCAAAATGAGTGGGACGATGTAGAAGCAGACAAGCTGAAGAACCTCAATCGATGGAGGAAATATCCTGGCAACATAGAATTCTTACAATATGACGTTCAGAGCATGGTTTGTATGGTTAGTAATGGCTTGGTATGTAAATTGCATCTTTCTCTTATTCCTTTGTTTCACAAAAAAGGAGCCTAGTCGGCGAATGAGTTTGACAATAGAGACAATAGAGAATGAACAGAGATCACGTGTGTAGTGACTGAATTGGGAATCATTCAAAAATTTGTTTTGGTGAATATTTTGCGAACAACCCTGCTCCGTCATTCAAAGGTGAATTGCAAAACCTTAGTTGCCTCTGTCCACGTCTGGCCTTTTCTGTTTCCATTCTATAATTTTCTTTGGCATGAAAGCAGCTCCGAATAGCTTCGATATACTGAATAAGTGTTGCGACTTTGTGCTTCGCTGAGGTTAAAATGGTAAGATCCAACCTCCCTACATGTATTCTCTTGCTAATCTCTCGACAGCGTCGAAAGATACGGATCCTCCCGTTCCAAGCACCTCCAAAACCAAAACTCAAGGGACCTCGCAAAAAGCCTAGAACAGGTGAAGAAGAAATCAAGATCGACCCCATCAGAGAACAAGCAAGGATTGAGAAGAAAAAGTTGAAAGCTGGACGGCGGCCGAAGCAATACAAACACAGTCTCTCTGAAGGATATACCGGTGTCGATCTCGACCATTTCCATTTATATAACAAATTACCCATCGAGTTGCGGACGATGATTTTGAAGCACGCAGCAGTTCCCCGAAAGATCTGCTTGCATTTCCGATGGATGAGGCAGGACGGTAAGCCTAAAGGACAGAAATTTGCTCTCAAGTGGCAGACCGATGTACCTGCGATGCTTGCCGTCGACCGAGAGACGAGAACGCTTGCAAAACTTTTCTACAAACCGCTCCTTCATATTTCACTTGGAGGTCTCGTTGTGTATTTCAATTACGAGACGGATATTCTCTATTTTGGAAGAAAGCTGTTGAAAGACGTTAGACTGTTGAAACAATGGTTCAGCAACAGCTTCAACCTTTCTAGTTCCAACACTCCGGAGCGAATGGCTGAGGTGAAGCTCATGTGTAAAAATGTACGACACATCGCGATCAACAACTTACAGTGGTTGCCAGATCTGTAAGTTCTGCTCGAGATACAGACCGCCTCTCCAAAATACTCTGACTAACTTTGAGATCTGAAATAGGGCGTTAATACTCGGCGAATTCCAGCACCTGCAGACTATCACATGTTACCACAAGGAAGAATACGAAATCGAAGACAACGTCAGAGTAGGGGACACGAAATTTCTTGAGTTTTGGAAGCAGAAGGCCATCGATAGAAAACAGACGGACTACAAGACACCTGTTTTCAACTTTAGCAAAACCTTTTGGCAAGAGTATACTGATGTCTCCCCCAAAGCTATAAGAAGGCGACAGCGAAGGAAGGAGAAGATAGAACATCGAAGGGACCTCCTCTTCCGTATGGCTTGTAAGGCTGGTGACTCCGGTCCAAATCGTCGTAAGCGGACGGTGGTGGAAGTCAAACCATACAATTGGTGGGTAAAGGATGAAGAAACGGATAAAAGTGCTACGGCTTCTGAGAAATAATGATGTGTCTTTGGCAAGGTGTTGCTATCATGTGGCACCCTTTTGCCCTTGGAAATAACTTTAGTTTTAGTTTTAGTTTCAAAATAGAGTGCTGTGGACCTAGTACTCCCTGCAATGATTCCAAAAATACTAACAATTCCACACAAACAATTCAGCGTTTCTCCTTCCAGGTTTGTCCTCTGACTCTTCTCCGTTATCGTGGGGTACACGTGATCCAACTTGCTACCTATGACTCGACGGGCCTCATTTTCAGCAGCAAAATAAACAACAATACCCGTACAAATAAGGATTTCTGTCTAGGATTACTACAGAATAACATATGGTTGGTTTTCATACATCAATTCATAACATGCACAAACCGGCACGGTCACGTCAACTCAGCCACGCAACGAATTGTACCAGTTATGTTCTTTCTTGAATCGGTCGCGCTGATTGTTCTTTCCTGGTCGCTGCTACACACAGAACACGACCACTCTCGACGCTGCCTTCCTCATTTCACGCCTAGCCACTATGAGTAACGAGGGGAAGTCTCATTTGGAGAGTACGTGCCTGAGCATTCAGAATACTTGAATGCATGCCATCGAGATTGCTAACTGAACCTTCAAGCGTCCTTAATTCCCGTTTGTTTACCTTCGAAGTCGGCGAGAACCTGGATGGAAAAGCAACGGAAATAAGAGTTCGTCAAGAAGCTATCGCCCAACTTTCCCGTCCACTCTGTTTGATGATGACAGGTCATCATTCGGAATCTCAAGCTGGTCGGACAGTTTGGAAAGACGTCAGTAAAGAGACTTTTGAACAGTTTGCTCAATTTGCTTACACAGGCGATTACTTCATCACCGCACCAGTGCTAAGAGAATTCGATCCAGAAGAATGGAAAGAGTTTGATGGGTCACTTGATGAATCACAAGAAGAAAAGGAGTACGAAGAGGAAGGCAAGGGTCTGCCTCCCGGGAAAAAGAGAAAGAGAAGCGAAAAGGGAGCCACAGGAAAGTTGATAACGCTCTCTGATTTGACATTCGCTCGACCGGAACGACAGAGATACTGGAAAGTCAATCGACCAGCTACTTATTACGATTCAAAATACGACTACACCCAGGTGCTGCTCTGTCATGCTTCGTTATACATACTTGGAGACCTTTGGCTTGTAGAGCCTCTCAAGAAGCTAGCGCTGCACAAACTCCAGAAAACACTCAATCATTTCCATATCGATAAATACAAAATCAGAGATGTTATACACCTCTTACGGGTTGTTTATGGCGAAGAAGGCAGAACGGGACCCGAAGGGTTTGAAGGAGGGCTGGCGCAGCTGGTTTGTGCGTATCTGGCCATGCATGGAGAGTTTCTGAGGGACAACGAAAATTTCATAGAATTCATGGGAGAGGGCGGACAGTTTGTCAAGGATGTTTGGAGGTTGGGAATTGGGAAGTAGTGGTGTGGAGGGCTTCGTGCTTGTTATCACTAGTGTGGATCTCGGAAAATCTGCAGTAGCAGCACCTTTGGTCGCGACGTTTCGAGCATCTCAATTGCAATCAGAACTTCATCAGCGCTAGAGTAAGATAAATTCTAAATTAGACTGAAGATCCTGGAGGAAAGTTGCATATTAAAGCTTTACATTGGAATAGCCAAGATCGAGTTATATGATGCTTTTGCGGAAATATCGAGTCTGTACTATATCCTAGGAACAAAAACACAAAAGGTTGCAAGAGTCTAGAACTAGAGTACAGTTCCAAAAATCAAAATAATCAAAGCAATCAAATTTATTATGATAACCTTAATTTGATATGATTGCGGATTGATTACCTCGACTGTTTGATTGGTTACAGAGAAGTCAGGTTAGTTACAGTAATCAAAGATCTGAAACTAATCATGATTACTTTGATTTTGATTCGATTACCTACCCTAAATCAAATCAAATCAAATAATTTAATCCACGGAACTATACTAAAAAGATATCTCTCTCCTTCAGCCGATCTTCCAATGCATCTTTAAACAGTGGAACTCCACCTTTAAGATATCCGATTCTCTCGTACGCTCCTTTCACCTCTGCAGACGGACAGATGGCTAATCCATAATAGAAAGCCATATTGAAACCCCAATTCTCTCTGGAATCGCGCGCCACTAACAAGAACAGTATCTCTCTTTCTAGACTTAAGTCTGCGTAGTCTGGCAAGAACTTTACTTTGTGGAATTTTAGAAAACCGTCGAATTGTTGCTTTTTAGACGTGAAGATTGTGGCTCTCAACACGAAACCTCTGACGTGAAGCTTGGTTTTGAAAGGCGGCATCTCTGAAAGAGGTGACAGGACAGCGACACGACAAATGAACTCTAGTTCTTTTGTTTTGTCATATGTATTTGTGACTGGTACTGCCATCTCTAGCCAAGACCATGATGGGGACTGATTTTTTCTTGCTCTAACATCATTCACTTGAAGCCTCTGAAGTTTTGATGGCTTTTCGACCAGCCAAAGGATCTCGAAATTCAAGAATTGGATCCATAATCCGTGCATGTTCATATAGTCTGTGACTTCCTCAAGGTATTGTATGATACCTCGGACGGCGACTGGGCGATCACTGTTAACAGTTATTCCTGACGCAGGATAACTTCGCATCAAATCAGACCAGAATTCAAAAATCGAGAATACTGGCTTTTCTGAGTGTAGTTCTCCCTTGACGTGTGGCACGACAGGCAAGAGAGCTTTTGGGTTCGGATTTCTTAACCCCAGAAACTCATCAAACTCGCTTGTTGAGACCTGGTTGCACTCCCACGTCAAGATCTCTCCAAAACATAGATTTCTCGGCGATAGCATTCGTTCCTGTATGACCCATGCTCTTTTAAAAAGTGGTGCTTGTTCGAACGCCTGTTTCCTCCACCAGGCAGTTGATTTCTGTGGAAAGACAGTCACAGCATTGCCGTTACTGTCCGCTTCTGTAAGCTTGCACGGAAGATGCATCAATGGGTTTCTTGATGCGAAGCAGCCTTGTTCACTACTTTTTGCTCCCTGTGCCGATATGGTGAGTGTGGAGTTTTGGTAAACCTCACACATCTGTTTCGATTCATGGTCCCAATCGTCGGGCTCATCCTGAATAATGCAGAGAGAATCCACCCAAATGTATTGCACATCAAACCAATTTGTAATTCTGATTGCATCTTGGATACTCTTTTGTAATCGTGCGACAGATATTCCCACCTGAAGCTCATCATAGGTAGCGTGGGTAAGTTTGAACTTTTGGTCTCCTCCCCAGCAATAACTCAGAGTCAAGTACCGTGGTTTTGGCCATTGGCTGGTGGGATAAGTCAAACGAACAATCCCGTCAGTATTGACAGAGCTGACATCTAGGAGTCGAGTTGGCATAAAATTTGGGTCTCTTCGAAGGAGAGTACATGTGCCGTGATTAGATAAACACTCTTTTAACTTGTGCCTGGCCCATTCTCGAGACTCTGTCGATGCTGTAGAATTCGAAGTGGGGCTAGAAAGCAGGTATTCTACCGGGTAATCTATTCTTGATTACAGGAAGTTAAATTTTCAGTTTCCGAGGGGTATCTTACTATTGACATGCAGTTCGAACATCCTGTCAGTATCTAGACGTGCGGTCGAAAGAGGTGCCAGAGGCGCTGAACTTCCACTCAATTCATCTGGTCCGTCGGCTTCAATGCCATTAGGCTTGACTCTAAGGTTGAATGCCCACTCATCTCCATAAGGCGGATCATAATTATTTTCTAGAGTAACAACCAGCATTTCTGATGATTCTTCGGAGAACACATGGCTTACGCTTGAGCCTGTCAGAGCGTTAGAAACTAATATCGTGCAGAGATGACATCCCTCATTTGCAGCACTTTGCACATCTACGAATGAATTGTGTGAAAACCTCTCTGTAATATCTGATGAGGTGTACCGATTCCCTCTTCTCTCCGGTGCTTCATAGATCCAAGATCGAAGTTCTCGGCACTTTTCGCACAGCTGGTGTAAAACAGACTTGTTGTCTGCATTGGGACTCGTATCATGCCCTTCGAATGGTACGAAGCGTCCTGGCCAATATATGTTTGGAGGTATGCAAACTGTATCAGGGCGATTCCGTTGGTTGCTGTTCCGTATGATAAGGTCTTCCAAGCTGCAGGAAAGTTCATCGAGGAGTTCGTAGACTGACTTCGGAACTGGACCTTCATACCCTCGATTTTTACGCGACATAATCACCCTTTAGATAGTTCTAGATTTGAAAAGTACTGGTGGGCTCGAATTCTCAGCAAACTATGAAGTTACAATGTTGTGGCGCCTAAGTGATGGCTGCAGCCACGATTGAGGTTTTCGCTTAGTGAGCCAATGAAACATTAATCAGTCACTGATAAATCGTTCCAATAGTAGACTGCCAGATGCGTAGGGAGCTAAATATACACGTAGTGATAGTCAGCAATGGGAAGCGCGATGGAAGCGTGTTGATAAAGTTCCCTTGTAAATGTTCCAAACTTTGCCGACATTTAACTACCTCAGCACGCTTTTGCAACTCACTTTCATCTACCCTTGAAAGTAAACCTGATATAGCGCAAACACTGAAATTTCCTGCATGATCATTGTGAATTCCGTTTGAAAATCTGTGGTGGCTGTTAAAGATGTGAGATGACCTACAAAAAGCCTTTGTTTCGCAATGGATCAGCCACGACACATGGTACTCCTACATTTTTACTTCTTGATTTGGACAAAGCAGATACACCTTTCTTGTTCAATCAGACTGTACAGAAAAACAACTCGTACTACAATGCACTTAATAATCATTGAATTCCAAAGTGAAAATTCTCACCTCATCCCGTGTCATTTTTTCCTCGAGGGTGTACATATTTTCAAGTCATTTTTCTTGTCTTCATATCAAGCTTGGATACCAACGGACAAAGTGGTATGTCAGCCCCAAGTAAGCCTCTGAGGCTTCAGGTCATTTCTGACTTGCATTTAGAAGAAAATCGTACGTACCAATACGAAATCCCAGTCAAAGCAGACTACCTTTTGCTTCCGGGTGACATTGGTAGTGCCACTAAGTCAGAGCAGATGGTTCTATATCGAAGATTTCTCGCATTCCAGTATACCATATTCAAAAAGGTATTTCTTGTCGCTGGAAACAATGAGTTCAAATGAGACTTCCCAATGATATTTGATGGACATGCATTCGGTCTCAAAGCCATGAGAAGAATGGCAGAACATCCTAGCATGCAAGGTCGTCTTGTAGTGATGGAGAACGATTACTTTGAGTTCCGTGATGAGGGGTACAATGTCGTTCTTCTAGGTTGTACACTCTGGTCGCAGCGACTGGAATCACAGCCACGGGCTATGCAGCTAGACGCTTGTATTCCGGGCTGGCTAATCTAGGGTTGGTCTGGGGAGAAAAACAACGCAGTTTTTAAGAAATCTCTCACATATCTCAAGAATATGGTAGCGAACATTCGACAACGAGATCCACATCTTAAAATCATCATCATGACACATCATGCACCTTGTACGAGTGGCACGAGCAATGCCCATGTCGACGGCAAGAAAGGTGATATGTGGAGTGGTTTCCAGACCGATCTTTTAGATGGTGAAATTCCCAAACTTCGTGAGGGTGATGCCTGGGTCTTTGGAAACACTCACTTTTGCTGTGATTTCCAACGTAATGGAGTTCGTGTTTACTCGAATCAGTATGGAGGGAACGTCGCCGTCGAGCATCGAGAAGCGCGAGCTGCTGCAGGAACACCTTTGGCTATTGAGTTTGATGTCGAGAAAGTTTTTGAAATTTGAAGCGTCTCATCCAAGCTAGACTTACCCATTTGAATAGCTGATCAGCTCAAATTAAACCCATAGTGTTCTTGATTCTAATCGAACCATTTTCCATCACTTACCTACCAGATATCTGCTTTTGCCAGAACAAAAAATCAGCATTGCCTAGAAATTCCTCGAAGCAGATATCTGCAAATTATTGAAATCAAAATATGACCCATCCAAAAAAATTATTCATGTTCGCAAAATCACCGTACGTTAATAAACCCAAGCCTACTATGTATATTAACAAAGCACTAAGAACAACCGATGTCGTCCGATCTCATTCGTGGTTTTGTTGCATATCGCACTTTTCTGACATCGTTCCCACACCGTGTCCACACCGTTTATCATTTCCACACCGTTAGCATCTCTAACACCGTTTCCACACCGTTCCCACACCATATTCACACCGTGTTAACACGGTTAAGCGAGATTAGACGAATACGCAATACGACGGGAGGGGACTTAATCGTCTATTGGCTTTCGAGATTGTATAGACACTGTATATTATGCACATATAGGTTCCAGTGTAAGTAGGATGTGTGAGTAAGTTGGAAAGATTGAGGTGGTTGCAGGTTGAAGTGGTGAAAAAAAGGGCCAAAATTGGGACCAAGGAGAAGTGAACCCCCTTAGCACAACGAGATGAGCGATATGTTACATTAGACAGAGGAATCGTTACTCCGTCATAAGAGTATTTCGAGGATATTTTTCATTGTGTAGTTTAGAAAGTAGACATGCGATTAAAGTATCTTGTTAATGCCTTGTACACGATTGTGGATTGCTTCCGTTCTTAACAGGCTGGACTTGACGGTATTTAACTTCCTTTTCCGACCCTCAATCCTCTTGATAGCCCCAATGGTGTTTATTATGTTGTAACTTGGATCTAAGCTTAGATCAGGAAACAGACTGTTTAAATTAGCATAATTGCACATTGATTAAGAATAGGGGTCTTCACTTTTGGATCACTGCTTGACTACTCACCCCAAACTTCTGCAACTCTTGTTGTAACGTTGAAGTTTCAACCAATCGAATCCAGTTCTCACATAAATCATGAGATTTTGAAAACCATCCCAGAAGCCTCATGAAAGTTCAAACTCCTCAATTTCAGAGTTCTGGCCATCAAACCGCTCCAAAACCTCTCCGCTCATAAACTCATGCAGGTAAAACTCCCCAATGACTTCATACGAGTGGATTTCAGAACGAGGGCGAAGAACCAAAGGAATGCTACAACCAAGTAATACAACAATCTTATCTCCCTTTTGGACTCGACAGGGTCCCATACCAATGTACCCGGTATTCGTGGTAACCAATCTTCGTGTCATGCTCTTTGTCGTGTCTTTGAATCTTGATAGAAATACATCTCTTGTCGGAATATCCACGTCACCAAGTTGTGCTGGATCAACTGCAAGACATATATTCTCTAACGTGTCGCCATAGATCAAGAGCGACCTATTGAGCTCGAACCAGTTTAGGAAGTCTGAAAGGGCATTTTCGGGGTGTCGCATTGCTGTGAGACATAAGTCCAAGAAAGAGGAACCGAAGAAGCCTGGTGGTGTTGCGGATATGAGATATCGATCTTTACGATCTAGAACTAGGCAGCGAGAGACATCATCTAGGATTGCCAGGGCATTCTCAGAACTCAAGTCCCCTTCTGAGTATCGAGTAGTGTTGAACGGAGATGATGAGTTGATGAGCTGATGTATTTGCACTTGAACATCTGAGTTCTCGGTCGCTCCAGTCCAGTTCCGATGGTTGACTATTAGACCACCAATGCCATCAACGTAGTCTACAAACACACCTTTGCATTTGAGTATCTTTAGATTTTCCGAAAACTGCACATCTGGAAGAGAAGTCCCTGCCGCAGCGTAGGCTACAGAATCTTCATGAACTGCAATTTTGTCCACCGGCCGAAAATTTCCAATGTGAGTTCGAGGACTCTGACTTGCCATTACTGGTATGACAAAAGCTTCTGTCTGGACCTGCCAGTCCTAAACCCACGAAGGGATGGCTGGACCTAATTCTACTGCCCGAGCTTCTGAGAAGAATATGTGCGTGAAACAGATAATACCCAAAGACCTATGTGTTTCCACAAAACTCCGAACCAATCTTGCATATGCCACGCCAACGTCACATTCATAATCAGGCACATATCCCAGCGTCTGACCCTTAGCCAAACCAAGCAAAGCATTAATCCGATCCCTCTGATCCGTCGCCTGAGAATCGCTTCCGTAAGCCACCAGGCTTATCAAAGGCATTTCACTGTTGTTCGCATACCACATCCGCAGTCTCCGTCGATTCCACGCCGGTTGCCAAGCTTGCAGAGAAAGAAGGGTATCATTGATATGTCGGCAGAGATATACAGCATGCATTGCGGCCATGAAATGGGCGCGAGATATGTGCTCCGTTCCGGAGTAGAAGTCGAATTTGCGGGATATAACGAATTATTGCAACGTCCAGACTCTGCGCCACCAAGGACGTAGAAATAGCCACTCAAGAGCTCTCCATTTTGCACGATCGTTTATTTCTGGAATCAAAGACATCTCTTCTGCCAAATTCAGATTCTTCTTGTTTCTTAGCATCACACGAAGAAATCTTATCGCCTCTACACCCATTTGATTAGTCGTATCTCCATCCGAAGAATTCCCAAGCCACCCTAAAGTGTTTTCGGCGCGATTATAGATATCTCCCATAAGCGCAACCTGAAACCCACGTTCATGAACCGCATCTCGATTCTTCTGCTGATTGATACAGATAGAGTCTATCCACCACCATTTCTCAGCCAGGCTCGGCGAATCGCAAATTAATTCCAGAATCGGATAAAGTGATTCCAAAACCTCGAAAGTATCGCCGTTGAGCAGGATTCGATGAGTATAGTTTGGCTTGCCCCATACGTAAGACAGTGTTTTGAAAGGAACACGTTCAGAGGGAGCTAATGAGAAGGATCTCAGCGTTCCGGTGTTTAAGCCTCCAGATGACCGGTGAAGACGAATGAGTCGAATTGTTGGTGTTGTTGTTTCTAGACTTGAATAAGGATAGGGGGGTGGCGGAAGAGGCGCGATGTTGCTGCGGTTCATCTTGAAGATGGGCAGAAAAGAGACTGATAAATAAGTCAAGATCTGATATTTGTTAGAAGTATCAAGGCTTTAGGCAGGATGTGCTACCCGGTTGGTGCAAGCTCATTCGCCAGAGGAATGACGAATATTTGGCGAGGGCGCTGCGCAATTTGTTTTCTGTCCGGGGCATCCAAATATAAATATATACAACTATGCTTTTATATACAAATCTAAATTTGACCCTCAACTCATAAATCATCAAATCATATCCTCCGCTCTAGATAAATATACAAGATATATGGTTTCGTTTACAACTCAAGTTTCAACTCATTTTGTGCCAAGCTCTCTTCACCAGGTCAACCTCTTCTTCAAAGGCCCTGGTCTTGAGTTTACTGGGCCCTGGCGCCATCTTCGTCCAGCTTCCATCCTTCTCCCAAACACCCGCACGAGTGTAGTCCCAAGCCTGACTGCCCTCCATGTACGCAAAGCGAAAATAGGTAGGCTCATCCTTCCATGACTCTCTCGTCCATTCAAAATACTTGTCACTGACAAAGCCCTCGTCGGTATAGCCCCGAAATCTTTCAACATCATTGACGAGGACTGAAATGCCATCAAAAGGCTCCGGCGGTGGAATCCAGGAAAATGAGATACTAGAAACATTTGGAGATAAATCTATGGCCGGCTGCGTAACAGTAGGGAGCTTCGAATTATGGGGAGCGTCTCCTTGAAGCGCAGCTGGCGTCTGGAGGACTGGATCAAATCCCCATCTCGCGATTCCATTGATGAACAGACCCAGCAAGATACCTTGGTAAAGAAGTGATGGGCGCGTTTGCATGCTTGTCCCTGGTAGAAAAAGAAGGGCGAGAATGTAGTGATGAATTCGAAGGCTAAGGCCAGGAAGTGTTAGTGATACCAGAATAGCACCGATAAAGAGTCCATAAATTCCAAGATAGCGAATCAGACGTCCCTCACGCCGAAAGAAGAATATTTGGCTGACGACAACTGATACTAAAAAAAGTATAATGAGAGCCAAGGCCAATTTGGCGCCCGGTTGCTGGTTGATGTCGTGCGCATTTAGACGTTGAATTGGGATCCATTCAAACGTATAATTAGACAGAGCACCAACCCAACATCCTCCTAACCAGAAAATAGTCTTCTCAATTTGTGCCGTAAGACCAACAAGCGCTCTTTGTACTCCCATATAACGATATATTACAAAAGCGATGAATGCAGCTGGAAGGAATTTGCCCAACAAATTCGATACAATGGCGGCAGTTGAACCAGTCATTGGCGGATCCGAGGCAAGTCCGACATGCGCAAAGAGGCCGATAAATATACTGAAGAAATATAACCCCGGCGATGTTGTAAATAGTGATAACAGTATAGTAAATGTCAATGAAACGAAGAGGAGCGACCAGCGCGGATCTTTTGCTTCGCACGTAGAGCCAGAGTGGAATGTAAAGGAGGAAGGAAAAGAAGCATCGAATCCGATGCTCTTTATGCCGTTACGGTTTGAGCTTAAGAAGCTGTTGCGTTCTCCCGTAAGTGCGACTATACCACATCCACCTTGGCTGTTGTCGATAATTCCAGCATGGATCGCGGAGCCACAAATGAAAGAATCGCTTCTATAATACGGCGCCGATGCATTTTCGGAAGGACCCCCAATGACCAAAGGTTGATACACGATTTCTTGGTCGCCAACCGCACGATTGTTCAAAACCCATGTACTTGCGCACTCGGCAGGGCACCTGAATGCAAAGCCGCCTCCGTTGAATGGCCTACAGTCGTTTCCATTCAATCCGCAACCGTTTCCAGGCACCCAGTACGTTGTTGTGCACCCGATGTTTCCTGGAGTCCCCCATCCTTCGATCTCGGTAGCCGTAGTACTTCCACGCATAACCAATGCAAAGGTCAAGATCCAGAGAAAATAGTAAGCAATCAAAAGCAAGATTCTATGCCTGCGTTTTGGTATATATCTATCCAATATTCGAATTGGTAGTTCTTGAACAATTGGTAGCAACGGGGAAATGGTATGAATATGGGGTGGCTCCGGGCCTCTCGCCCACCTCAAGGCCGACTTTGACACCCTTCGAATTGGTACTGGAATCCATCTCCAATGTTTATAAGAGCTCTGATCTTGCAGGAAGCGTGGGGTTGGGGGAGAACCATCGTCGGAGAGGTCGTCCATTGGTAGCAATCGGGACTGCTCCAGATCATCGATTGGATCGTCCGGGTGCTCATGTTGCTGGAGGAGACTGTAGCTCCTGCTCCCCTGCTCGTTGCTTTCTCCAGCCGCCATCTCTTTAAGACCTGAATACCATTAGAAAAGATCCCGGGAACGCCGGCGCAACTATAGCATACCTTCCTGCAACTGCAACTTAATGAGTGGCAACCCGGTCAAATATCTCTTCCAACATACTCAAGTCTTTGGATGTTTCTTCGAACTCGGCACGATATCCGTCTAGGCCAAGAAGATGTGGAATAAAATATGCAGAGTGCAACGAAGGAGGGACGGTGGTTTTGTTGTTGTGGAGGGACCGAGTATGGTCGGTCTTGGGAGAGGCGGGTCCGCCGTGGCAGCGGGATACCGGTAAGACGAGGGCCAATGAAATTGCCCTTCCAGAGCGTTTGTCTGAGTCAGCAGTGACATTGCCAATGCGTTCCGAAAAGCTGACTGCTTGGCAGGGCTCGGCTTCTAGCACGTGCGGGGTGCTTTCCCCAGACTTCCTGCCAGACCGGCACGTGATCATCGTCCCATTTTTCCCAAGGGCGCCGCGACAGCCAGCTCCCGACGTCCTCAACACCATTTTCTTGGTTGCTGCTTAAACCATCATGTGAACCAGTAGTTCCAGCCCTTACTATGCTTAAAAGCTGCTATTTTCATCATCTGGACCACTGAGGCAGCTACTCGATCATGTTGCCACCCGTACCAGAGTTGACCGTGGGCCAAGAGCATCGAACAATTCTAGCACGCTTGGCCGTGAATTGACGGCACTTGGAGGTCTCGTCCGTCGGTTCACGTTATGGAGGGGTTAATGGCTACTCCAATTAAACAGATTGAAGCTCTTCAACCCTTTGTTTCTCGGTCTCAAGATCGCTCATGACGTATGGTGATAGCTATTGCCAATTCTCGCCCAGCTCTTCCATCCTTATGCCAAGCGATAAACTCCAGCGACGTTGTCCATTATTTTCCCATTATTAGTCCGTTTCTGTTGGGTTAGGGAGTACAAAAGAATTAAGCTTCCCCCCTCCCCTCCGGTTCAGTTAAAGAACTCTTCATCTATAACACATTTCTTCTTTCAATATGTCACCCAAGAAGAAGTCAGATGAGTCCGAGACCCATGTGTCTGGTCAAGCCAACAAGCCGCTTTCCTTACCTCCACATGCTTTACCTTCAAATAAATTCATTGAAGAACTTGCTGTCAATGTCGAGGACGGACTTACGTCCGCAGAGGCTAAAACTAGACTCGAGCAATATGGCGACAACTCCCTTGACGAAGGACCTGGAGTTCAACCAGCCAAGATTCTCCTCAAACAAGTTGCAAATGCAATGATGCTGGTAATTATTCTTCACACCCTATCGTACTCTATCAATGAAGCTAACAAGATTCAAGGTCCTCTTAATGGCAATGGCAGTCAGTTTTGGTATTGGTTCCTACATCGAAGGTGGTGTTGTATGCGCTGTTATCATTCTCAACGTCGTTGTCGGGTTCTTCCAAGAATTCAACGCAGAGAAAACCTTAGACTCTTTACGCTCCTTAAGCTCTCCAACTGCGAGTGCTATCAGAGACGGCAAGAACGAAACTGTCGCTACAGCTCATCTTGTCCCTGGAGATATCGTGGAATTAAAGACTGGGGACGTTGTCCCAGCAGACATTCGGTATGTTGCTATTCTTTTGATTTTTTGTGTCTCTGGTTTCAGGTTATAAACCCCCACTGTTTAGTACCTCTGGGTATCATGGCGTGGATATATACCGATGTTTCTTCTGCAAATCTGTTCAATTTTGTTGTTGTCCTGGATATCTTCTGACGTTGAGGCAGATTACTGGAAGTCATGAATTTCGAAACGGACGAGGCACTTCTTACTGGAGAGTCACTACCAGTACAAAAGGAGGCCAACGGTGTTTACGAGCAGGATACCGGACCAGGCGACCGTTTGAATATCGCTTTCAGTTCTTCCACTGTTACCAAGGGTCGAGGTAGAGGAGCAGTATTTGCGACGGGAATGAAGACTGAGATCGGTTCTATCGCAGCGGCTCTCCGTGCAAGCGGTAAGAAAACAAGAGAAGTCAAGCGCAAGCCAGATGGTTCCGCCAAACCACACCGATATCTGGAAGCGTGGGGTAAAACCGCAGGCGACTTCGTGGGAATGTTCTTAGGAGTCAACGTCGGCACACCTCTACAACGTAAATTGTCCAAATTGGCAATTTTACTCTTTGGAATTGCAGTCGTATGCGCAATTATCGTCTTAGGTGCCAACGAATTCTCGCAGGATAGAGAGATTATCATTTACGCTGTTGCCACTGGTTTATCGATGATTCCAGCCTCGCTGATAGTTGTTCTTACTATTACAATGGCCGCTGGAACGAAACGCATGGTTCAGCGTAATGTTGTTGTCCGTAAATTGGACTCCCTTGAGGCGCTAGGCGCTGTCACCGGTATGTGCCCCTGCAGAAGACAAAGTTCATCCGACATGTGCTAACAATATCTAGATATTTGCTCAGACAAGACAGGGACGCTTACCCAAGGTAAAATGGTGGTCAAAAAGGCTTGGATACCTGCACGTGGTACATACTCAGTGGGCTCCAGCAATGACCCATTCGATCCTACCAGTGCCGACTTGTCCCATACCGCGACGCCTCCAAAGGACCAGAATGCTTCAGCGGAAAAGCAAGAAACAGGGGATGAAAAGGCGCAGTCTGCAGATGAATTACTAAACGACAACAACGAAATGAAAGACTTTCTCAACATCGCCTCCCTGGCTAATCTGGCACATATTCATAAGGCAGACGACGGTTGGAAAGCTCGGGGAGATCCGACTGAAATTGCGATCCAAGTTTTTGCCTCTCGTTTCGATTGGGGAAGGGAGAAGTTTACAGCTGGTGACTCGCCACAGTGGGAGCAGGTTGCGGAGTTTCCATTTGATTCCGATGTGAAGAAAATGAGTGTCATTTTCAAATCGAACACGGATGACAACGTCATGGTCTTTACTAAAGGCGCGGTAGAGCGTATCCTCGGCTCTTGCGTAAATGTGAAGAAATCGAGTACTGCAGAACCTGAGGATATGACTGAGGAGTATGAACAAGAAATCCTCGCCAATATGGAAGCCTTGGCGGCGCAGGGACTTCGAGTCCTTGCTCTTGCGAGCAGGAAATGGGACGGAGCTTCTGGTAAAAACGAACAACAAGACCGAAATGAGGTCGAACAACAACTCACTTTCCGAGGTCTTGTCGGTTTATATGATCCACCTCGACCTGAATCCGAGGGAGCTGTACGAGAGTGCCACCAGGCCGGAATTTCTGTTCACATGCTGACAGGTGACCATCCGGGTACTGCTCGAGCAATTGCAGCCCAAGTTGGGATTCTGCCACCAAACTCTTCTAGCTTGTCGAAGCCGATGGCTGATGCAATGGTCATGACTGCTAGTCAATTTGATAAGCTCTCCGATGACCAAATCGACGATCTCCCTGTTTTACCACTAGTTATAGCACGTTGTTCGCCTGCGACAAAGGTCCGCATGATTGATGCTCTCCATCGCCGAAATTGCTTCGCTGCCATGACAGGTGATGGTGTCAACGACTCTCCATCACTAAAGCGTGCTGATGTTGGTATTGCAATGGGACAAGCAGGTTCAGATGTTGCTAAGGACGCCTCCGACATCGTTCTTACCGATGATAACTTTGCTTCTATTCTCAATGCCGTCGAGGAAGGTCGTCGGATGTTTGACAATATCCAGAAATTCATCCTTCATCTTCTAGGTCAAAACATTGCCCAAGCTTGTACTCTCTTGATCGGTCTTGCCTTCAAGGATGAAAGCGGTCTCTCCGTCTTCCCTCTTTCGCCCGTCGAGATCATGTGGGTTATCATGGTCACTTCCGGAGCACCAGATATGGGTCTCGGATTCGAACGAGCTGTAGCTGGTATCATGGACCGTCCGCCACAGTCACTTAAAGCTGGCGTTTTTACCATGGAGGTAATGGTCGACATGTTAGTATATGGATTACTCATGGCGGCTCTATGTCTTGCGTCTTTTTCAGTCGTCATGTTCGGATTTGGTGACGGCAATCTCAGCACTGGCTGCAACGACTCATTCGAAGGCTGCGAAACCGTATTCCGAGCTCGAGCAACTACCTTTGTCTGCATGACTTGGTTTTCTCTTTTTCTCGCCTGGCAAATGATTGACATGCGCCGGTCGTTCTTCCGCATGAAACCAGATTCTCCATACATTTACACGCAATGGGCTCGCGATATTTGGGCCAATAAGTTCCTCTTCTGGGCTGTCATTTTCGGATTCGTTACTATCTTTCCAATTGTCTATATTCCAGGGTTGAACCGTGTCGTTTTCAAGCATACGGGTATCTCTTGGGAATGGGGCGTGGTTGTTGTCTGTGGAATTATTTTTATTGGTGGGTGCGAGGCTTGGAAATGGGGGAAGAGAGTCTTCTTCCGCAGGCGCGCTGTCACCGGACTTAAGGGTGACTTGTCCACCAGTATCTTCGCGAAGTACAACGCTGAAGAATGTGCAACTCCTTGAAAGGATTGTTACGCTGTTGGTTGGCGTCCAGGGAACATTTGCATTTACTAGGAGTTTGGGCTCTTTAATGGTGATTAGATATTAGCGCACATCTCACAAAGAGATCATTTTTCATATCCAAAATACTATTTTAGGTTAGATCTGAATTAATTTTATGGTATGGGAACTTGTTTTCGTAAAAGAGTACTCTTGAGTCGATCTATGAGGCCGGTAAGTTGTGAGCGATTGTGCTCGACATTTAATCCCGACATTTAATCCGAACGGAATTTCCTCTTTATCAATGTGATTCACGGTACAGACAAATCAATTGAGCGTTTACAAAGCTCGAAACTTAAGACAAACCTCTAGACATATGCGAAGTCACATGACTGTGTTGCGCAAAACGTGACAATATTTGGACCCCTTCCAAACGGAGCGCCGATAGATTTCCAGGTTCCTTCTCGCATACTTGTCAGCAACATCCATATATCCTTGCTTGCCACCTTATGTCTCTTCTATCGATATTATGATTGTCTTAATCGAAGTCTAAATATACTTCTGCTCGAAGTTTTCAGATTTTCATTCCAATGTTTTGTTCAACAGCTGGCCGTCGCGTCTATCCGCACCTCGATCGCAACGAGCGGCTCTGTTCTAGGTACTTCACAGCCGACTTATCATGATACAGCCACCAAATCTACCGGCCTGGAATTGTTGGAGAGATAACGCTGCAGCGTACATCGATGAGATAGGTAGGATACCACGTCGCTAATGAGTTGCAACACACGACTTTGTGCTTACTTGTGCATCGATTGGGGTACTGCAGCGCAGACATGCGGGGATTCAGGGATGCCATTTGATAGCATCGATTGAGCTAATTTTGGTGTGGTTGATAGGCAGGCACCATGTCTGGAGCAGTACCACGAATGAGATGTTGGTTCCACGACAATTTAAGTGTTGGCGACTGCTCTACTTGTGCTTCTTCGTTTGAGAATTTTCATCTACAAGCTATCTTTGTGAGAGTATAGCTTCTTATCCTGCATTCATGTCTTCGAAAGCAAATCACGTTATCGATGAGTCGAAGCTTCATGTCACTTCGATATTCCAGAAGACGGGTGATCATGCCGTTATCGATCATGTTGCTGATAGCGACGAGGAAGTTCTTTACGCATTAGGTTACAAACAAGAGTTCAAGCGAGACTTTTCTATTTGGTCCTCGTTCTCAGTATCATTTTCCATTCTTGGGCTTCTTCCTTCTGTCGCGTCGACACTGGGTTACAATCTTGGATATAGTGGTATAGCCGGGTCGGTATGGGGATGGGTCGCCGCTGGTATCTTGATACAATTCGTTGTGCTAGCAATGGCTGAACTTTGCTCGAGTATGCCTACCGCTGGAGGTCTGTACTACGCTTCAGCTGTACTTGCACCCGATGGATGGGGCCCTTTCTTTTCCTGGGTTTGTGCTCTAGAACCCATTCCCATACAGTCGTTGACCAATACAGGTGACTGGGTGGTCAAACTTCTTGGGACTTGTGACAGGCCCTTGCTCAGTTAATTATGCGCTTGCAGCCATGATTCTAACCGCCGCACAAATCGGGAACCCAAACTACCAGGTAGAAACTTGGCACGTATATCTCACGCTTCTAGGTCTTTTGATCTTTGAAGGTTGTTTGTCGATGAATTCCACAAAATTTCTCGGAAGGATGAATTTCGTGGGCGCTATCTTCAATGTGATCGTGGTTTTCGTCTTCATTATATGGATGACAGCAGGTTCTATTCATCCATTCAACTCAAATGAGCAAGTTTGGACTTCAAAAGGAATTGTCAACGGTACAGAGTGGCCTACCGGCTTTTCGTTTCTTATGGGCTTCCTGTCTGTGATCGTGAGTTATCTCCCTTTTATAGTCGATTTTGTTATTCGGTATAGATGCGGCAAGTAATGCTGACTTCTTCTAGTGGACCATGTCTGGATACGAGTAAGTTATCATAAAAGGCATTACTAGAGAAATGCTGACTTCTTGAAAGTGCGCCATTTCACCTATCAGAAGAATGCTCAAACGCAAATATCGCGAGTCCCCGAGCTATCGTCATGACGGGACAGTTCGGTCTTTATCTTGGTTGGGCAATCATTTTAGTGATCGCATATACCGTGAATGATGTGATGGATGTTGTCGCAGGCCCATACGGCCAGCCGATGGTAAGTCTGCTCATAGATTTAGGCAAGCTCAAGCTGATCAGTAACAGGGCAGCTTATGCTTACAAGTACTCGGCCCCAGAGCCGGACTTGCTATGTTTTCACTGAACATCATTGCTCAGTTTTTCGTTGGCACTGGGTAAGTAATTCGAATTATTGTTCTAGAAAATACGGCTTGAGCTAATGATTCATCAACTTTTAGTATTACCATCAGTGCTTCCCGTGTGACTTTCGCTTACTCCCGAGACGACGCCCTCCCATTCTCTCGATGGCTTAAGATGGTCAACAAGCGCACCAAGTCTCCTGTCAACGCGGTCTGGTTCTGCCAATTAATTGGTGCTCTTCTGGGACTTCTCATGTTTGCCAGTCCTATTGCAATTGGCGCAGTCTTTAGTATTGGTGCCATTGCTCAATATACAGCTTTCATCACACCGATTGCTTTAAAATTACTTGTAGCTGGTGACAAGTTTAGACCAGGTAAGCCGATCTAATAATTCGACAGACAAGCTTCCTGTTGTACAATCGCTAATTCTGATGAAGGGCCATGGCATTTAGGCCGTTTCTCTAAACCCATCGGAATAGTGGCATGCTCTTTTGTGCTTCTCATGATCCCGGTTCTGTGCTTCCCAGCAACTACGGGAAGTGATTTGGATCGGCTCAACATGAACTACTCGTGTCTAATTTACGGTGGCTCGATGTTTCTTGCCATGATGTTTTACGCAGTAGACGCCAGGAAGTGGTTCAAAGGGCCGCGTATCAACGTTGAACACTTGCTTCATATTTCCCAACTGGAAAGCAAAGAGACATCTGAGAACACAAGTCATGAAGTTACAAAAGATTCTAAGCTGGAATAAGAAAGGAGATGCAAATCCTCGATTGGGTAAGAATATATCATGTGTTACCAATATCTGGCACTGACGATGTGAATCCGTAAGGGATAAACTTTCCACATCCTTAACAAATAGCATGCTCGGCAATTTCCATACAATACCATCATCAGAAACTTCCAAGACATATCATTATTGTACGAAATAAGGCCCAGCGCAATTGGAGTCCCTACGGTGGCCGAGGTAAGTGAGATGGTGATTAGATGTTACATAATCCGCAGTATCCGTAATTTGATTGGTCGACTCGCATTCTCGGTCGTTTCGAACATCAATAGCTTCAACTCAGCAAGTGTCGCAGTAACTTTCGAAAACGCGGCCAAAAACGCGAAATCGTTGGTCAGAACCCGCGTGGGCCATTCAAATGTCTGGGTCCTCATTTCATCTCTTAGTCATTCAAAAACTAATACATATTTTTGACCCGGTTGAGCTTTCGCATTATCTGTCTGGGGCTGTGAAGCAGAGGTTGTCCCACAACCAGGGCCAAGTTTTGCTTATAATAAGACAAGCTGCCAAAGTCTTCAGTTATGAGCCATAACTTCCAGATTTAACTTTCATTGTTTAATCCGTTTTCTTTCGTTCTAGACTTGAAAAGCTTTTAGTCGGTCATTTCAATTGACATCTCCCAATTTACTGGGGGCTTGTGTACACAATTCGTTTTAATATTTCCCGTTTTCCCACGATCCTCAGACAACAGAAATGCAGCTCAACGGCCTCCTTGTGTTGGCAATTGCAACCGCAGGCGCCTCAGCAATTGTCCCTCTTCCATCCAAAACGCCCGTTCCTACGCTTGTCCACCGCGATGAGTTATCCACAACATCGTCTACACCTTTACCAACTGGAGACTTCATTGGGACACAATTTATCACACTTCCGGGAGAGACGAATGCATACTTCACGCGCCCAGCAGAGACGATTACCTTGGCTATACCTACTTGCATCCAGACTATCGTTCCCGACAAGAATGGCTATGTCCCACCAGGAACATGCGGTTCAAATTTTGCGTACTATCCTAGTTTTTCCGCTGCTATAGCTACCACCGTCATCTTCGGGATTCTGACTGGTGTGCATATTTTCCTCGCTGCTAAATGGAAAGCTGTAAGTAAAATTGTAATCTGGGAGCTTTTTATCGTATGCTGATGTGTTTGGACAACAGACATACTGCTGGGTCCTTGTTCTGGGTTCAATATGGGAGGTTCTGGCTTTCCTATTTCGCACTATTTCGACCAAGCACCAACAAAGCTCCGGAATAGTACTGGTATCACAACTCTTTATCCTTCTAGCACCGTTGCGTAAGATACTCTCGTCTCTTCTCAAATCCCGCTAACAAAATTCAGTGATAAACGCGCACTCCTATATCACACTAGCGCGACTTCTCCAAACCTTTCACCCAGCCCAAAAACTCCTAGGAATTCGCGCACATCATCTCTCACTTATCTTCGTCTGCCTCGATATCCTTGCTTTCGCAATCCAACTCACCGGTGGATCCTGGGCTTCTCCTACTGACTCTACGGAAAAACAATTGAAGGGGATACACATTTACATGGGAGGTATTGGAATCCAACAGTTCTTCATCGTGCTCTTTGTTGGTCTTTGTATCAAATTTCATACAGAGATGGGTGTGATCGACAGGAATGTTATTGTTGAAGAAAAGGGACGATGGAAGAAATTACTCTGCGCAGTTTATGCGAGCTTGGGATTTATTACTGTAAGTACTGTCCACAATCTGCCCAGTGAAATGCTAAACTATGATATAGATCCGTATTATCTTTCGTCTTGTGCAATTTACAGCGGGAAAAGAGGGAGAAACGAACAATCTTGTCGGAAAAGAAGTATACCTTTATGTCCTAGAAGCAGTACCTATGATTCTAGCAACTTTGTGTTTCATAGTCGTACATCCTGGCCCAGTTGTAGTGTCGAAAATGCCTTCTGTATTTGGGTCGTTGCGAAATAAGTTCGGAATTGGACGTGGAACACAAGGTAAGGCGTCTGAGTTGAAAGGTCTGGATTCGGAAAGGTCGGCCTATATGGAACTGCAGAATGATGCGGCGAGAGGATTTGAGGGTCGCAGATAGATTTGATAGGTGTATGTTATCCGTATGTATATTATGAGAACACTTAATCAATTTCTCAATACTTCCACGCCCGAATTCGCCAACGACGAAGTGTAGTTTCAGCCAATCTCCAATGGCTCCGCTTATCCGATAAAACAAAATTACAAAACTCAAACCACCAGCTGATCTCATCTTCACGAAACATCCATCCAATCCTCCCTCACCCACCTCGAAACATCCTCCTCCCTGAGAAACTTACCTAATCACCCAACGACCAATCACCTCCCCATCTCATCGCACACAACGCACCCCTAATCCTCCTCGCTTAACCACAACCACCCAATGACCACGCTTCAGGATGAGGCTTAGACTCCTCCATCCCTTTATCCACGGCGGAAAAGAATTGTTTCGCACATACATGTAATGTGGGAAATCCTTGTGCGTACATGAGGTTCTGGATTTAGGTTTGTTTCGTTTCGATTGCGGCGGATTGGCGTTTGAACCCCGCGGATGGTTTGGGTGTTTGTGTGATAAGAGTAATGGTCGGCTCTTTTTTGGAGGAGGTGCGTTGAGTGTTGAATTTTGTTTCTGCGTGGACTTTTAGAGGTCATTTGACGACGAGTAAATATCAAGCTCAATAAGTGGTGAATATTCGGAGTTCACAATGGTGTCTTTCATATTGAAAGCCGATGATAGATGGCCTGGGTTCTTACGCATCACACCTTATCTCTTCTTGATCATTCTCGGGAACTCGATTGCAATGTTCGGTATACAATTTTTTTCGGGTGGAAAAGGAATATATCCCGAGGTGGATGAGAGTGATATGCATTTCACTACCGCGTAAGTCCACAATCCAATCTTAAATATTATCAATTTTACTAATAGCAGCAATAGAACCAAACTCCCCACCATACTTTCACCCAGCATCCTCAACATCTTCTTCAGCTTCCTCTCCCTCTACACACACCACCACAACATCGCCTCACCCTCCCGCACCCTCCTACTCTCCACGCTCTTCCTCCTCATCTGGATAGGCCAATTCACATTCTGGACCTCCTGCGACATCGCCTCTCCCTCAGTCGTAGCGCCCATCCAACTCAAATTCTGCGACTCCTGGCGTCCATTCGCCGAATTCGGGGAATTGAATAACGAGTGGTTGATGGCGCGATTCGTGCTCGGATGGAGCACGCTGACGTATTGGACGCTGTTGGTTAGTTTTTCGGCTGTCGCGATGTGTTGTGAGAAGCTGAGAGGAGACTTTGAGAGGTGGAGTGAGGAGGAGAGGGCGTGGAAGGCGTTGGAGGGACAGGAGGGTATGGTGGGGGAAGTGGGAGGGGATGATGAGGAAGAGGAAATCGATGAGATGGATGTTATTTTGTCTTGGAGACTTTGTACGGCTGCTGAGACGAATGGGATGGCAGTTTGAGGATTTAAAAGCGTTTTCGTGTTTTGGAGTTTTTGGGCTTTGGGGTTTGGGTTCTAGGGGAATATCGTATAGCTAGTGCAGCAAATATACGGTAGATTTTCAATTTCATTATTTCGCTTACCCATTCTTCTATGCTCCAAAACTCACCACCAAACCCATATCGCCTTTCCCTTATTAAATTTGCAACTTTCCTCAGAAAAAAAATCCACATGACCTCCAAAACCCATCCCACATCCAGTAAGCAGCCCAAAAAATGTTGGTGTACACATTTGACATAATCACCAGCACGGCCACACCCACCCTCATCCTCCCTCCCAAAACATCCTTCTAGGAGCCTCAACATGACAAGCTACGTGAGTTTTGGCTTCAATTCCAACGCGCTTAATTATTAATTGATCATGTGTCGCTTCCCAGCGACTTAAACCTACGACCAAACTTCAAAATCAACCACCAAGTTCCAACACACGGATTTGCGCCACGACTATCCCGAATCTTTGGGCTTGCACTGCGCATCCTGAGTCCATATGGCTGCAATCCGCGCGCTTACCACATCATGTTTGCATTGTTGAGATGTGAGGAGTATATACATGTCCTGCAGGGCCCCTTATTTAGTTCCGCTTCAATGACTTCCCTCATCGCAAAACCAACTCAACAAAATCGGTGATAAGATGGCAATTTTCTTCGGTGCAGATAGAAGATGGACGGGTGGTGCTCGTCATGCACCACTAGCAAACTTGCTTGTGTTGATTTTTACAATTGCTGTATTTGTCATTTCTGCCATTTTGGCGACGCAGCTGAGGAGGGCTTCGGAGGGACAAGTTGATATGGGGAAGGCATGGGAAAGTGTGACGAATACATCTTCGTGAGCTCTATTTCTGCCAGTGCATTAAGCGCAAATGCTGACGATGGTGCGGAATAGTAAAGGACTTATCGATGAGAATATCCCTGGAAAAGTGTAAGACTTCTCGTGTTTTAATTGAACAAATCAAAACCTAACCATATATCCAGTGAAATCATATTCTTCGAAGCCACCACCCCATTGATCTCCATCCTCTACGGCATCACAATGTTCTTCCTCCACTGGTTCTCAAAAGTCGGACCCATCACCTCTCTCTGCACATCGGTCATCTTCCTCACAGCCTGGATCGTCCAACTCAGCATCTGGACCTCCTGCGACTTCTCCGAGATTAGCAACAGTCACCCACTTGGCTTCTGCTACAAATGGCCCGCCATCTCAGCCGATGGAACTTCACCCCTCCAGTACACGCGATTTTCATTTGCCATGTTTTGCATCTTTGGACATGCGGCGTTGGTAGCCTTATCGGCTGTTGCGGCGCGAAGGACACAGAGAGATGGGTATACGGATCATGGTGCCGGGAGGAAGAGAGGCTTGAGTAATGATTCTAGCTTTCGAACTAGTTTGAGTTTTGATGGGGAGATGAGGGATGAGCAATGACAACGATCGATCGATTTGAATCTTGAGGAGGGCGCTCTAGGAAGGCCGCAGTGGCTGAATTCGCAGAGCGTGGTGGTTCCTTGGCTGGGTTCAAATCGGACATGAAGTCTCGGTTCAGTGATTGGAGATCGGAGTTATCAGGTGGTGTTATGGGGTTGGTTGAAACAATCAACCAAAAAAGTGATACATACTTCCTTTTGAAAATGACAGACACAGACGTGGCCTTGTAAATAGCCTGGAATTGTTTCCGTATTGTTTGGCGATAGAGTGATATACCAGTCTGGCACGCGTAGTGCGAGCCTCCTCGAACAAAGTCTCAGTAAGTCAGATACTTGATTTTATCATTACTCTAGAACCTTAATCCCACAAATCAGCTACAACCAGCCCAGGCCAGAGACCATAGGGGGAAACATTGCGCCTCCTTTCGCTGGGGGTAATTTTGAGAGCCAAGATAGAATTTGATCGCAAGAAAGTTAAACTTTATCTCTAGTGGGAAGTCTTTAGCCTACGAGACCAACTTACAAGAGAAGTGGTTTCTTATCTGTGTATATGACCACTAAGTTTGTCAGCGTACAAGAGAAGGAAAAGAGGATATGAGAAGACATTGACCCACTAGTTCGGCCAAGTGGTGGGCTTTGTAAAGACAAGAATTGCATCAAAACAAGTTGATAGAAAGCCCACAATTTGACCCTACACAAAGGAAATCCGAGAGTGGCCCGAAATATACTTATTTTCATTATCCTGGGTATCTTGACTAAATTTTCATCAACGGCGCCAGCCTGCCCCATAAACGCCCATATCGCTGCCGCATTATACTGAGTGCAAAATTAAATATTCAAACTTTTGGCTTTTTCCTAATCATACTTGACCCAAGCACATTGACTGAAGGTACCAGCTGAGTAACCGGCGTAGGGGTAGGCGCTTGCACGTCTTCAGCTCCTACTTTTCTCTTCTTTTTAATCACAATCGTATTTATAGGGGTTGCAGAAGCGACACTAGTCGCGCTCTGCTCGACCGTTCTTTCACCCACAACTGTTTGCCCCCAAACTTTTCGCATGTTGCCCGAGACCCCAGATCGTACTTCACTAGTCCATCTTTTTGAACTTGAAGTTGCCAAGTCTAGATTTGCAAAGTCCAGGCGAAGTAGCAATTCTGTATTGCGCTTGTAGTCCGTTTCGTCTACGACAACTTGACCGCGGCCTGCAGAGGGCCAGTGGTAATAGGCTGTGGTGACTGGAATATTGAATGACTGATTCTTTGTATGGGTTTTGATCTTGGGCTGCCGAGGCATAATAACACCCGTAAGCTTTTTTTTCTTCTTGGGCGTTCCATCCAGTCTGGTCCTCGCAGTTGAGGTGGCTGACTGTTGCGGCTCTACTTTGTCTCTAGCTGACGGGCTTGGCGGCTGGATTTGCGATGAAGCTGTAAATGATGTGAGGGGGGATATGAGGGGCCCGAATGATGAGTCTGGGTCGATCAATGGCATCGAATAGTCGGCATCTCGCTCAGAACCTGCTGCGGTACTCTGGCTGTCCTCCATAACGTCACTTTTCTCAAGTGTTTTCGGCTCATATTTTGGTGTAAAAACAACCCATATAAAACCCACCATTCGACCCGCTGAACACTCCTGCCGATATGCCATCATCTCCCAGAACTGATCTATCGTCCTTACACTTCTCCATTGACCGTTTTGATTATCTGCGCCATTCGTGATCTCTTCGTCCAATTCGTCTAGGTAACGCGCCTTGGGGTCGTCCGGAAAATGTGGGACAAGGCATCGTGGTGGTACATCGTCCGAATGATGTGTTATCTGCCGTAATGGGTGGCCCACCTTCCATGGTTTTCTTTGTGTTGGCGAGCGTCTAGGAATATATGCACTTGTCTCGTGGACGTCAAGTCCAGGGACGATTAAATATCCCTCCGCCTTGTCCCATTTCGCACCACTCGAGATTGAGTCTGTCCCAGTCGGATTGATTATTGGATCCAAAACCCGACACCACCAGCGGACAAGGCCTCGATCATCCAAAACATGTTTCCCTTGATATTCAATACTACCAGGAAAGAGATATTGGTCTTGCGCCCTAGCAAAGAGGGAGATGACGCTCTTGATGTTTGAGCGCGAATGATGCTGGACCAGGTAGTCCAGAAAAGTTGCACTGATGTCTTTGAGTGGTGAAGAGGTGCCTTTCGGAAGGCCCAAGAGATGGAGGTATCCCGTCGAGTCTGCCTTCGATACGAAGAATGTCGTATCGTAAGCTGTAGAATAGATTAAGATTTCAATTGCAAATATCAAAACGTCTTCAGCACCTTCTGGTGCCGAACACTTTATTGACGCCGTCAAAAAGTGGCTCTCGCAATACGTTCGATCAGGACGAGTGCCAGGGGGTGCTGAATAGATGGCCGATGTACGAGTTGGCGGGGAAGAGAGGTGATGTATTAGAAAGCTGACATCTTTTGGTAGCACTGTAGCAAGTCGTTCCAACAACGAATTAGAAGCAATGGATGATCCAGTACTAGACCGTTCGTGAGCGGCCATATTAATAAAATGGCAAAGATAAAAAGTGTATATTCAAGAATGAGAAGCAGATGAAAGGTCAGAGCGCGACTGTGATCGGGGAGACGCGATTTAGTGCAGTCTTCCCTAATGCGGACTAGCGTACGGCCCGCAAAATAGTTCATGAAGCTCGAATATCGAGCAGACGACACAGGTCGCTTTCAACCTTGGTTCTCACACAACAATCCATATATGATGGCTTCAAGGTCAACCTGCCAGTCGTTACGAAGCTCTCTACGGCAATGTCGGCCTACGTGCGAATATGCCGGTTCTATATCCTCGCGGAAGTCCTCGATACGGCAAATCTCAGCAACCGCATCTAGATTAGAAGTTGATTGGAACGCCGACAAGTCAGAGCGGCCAAGATGGTCATATACGCCGGAAGAGATGAAAGCGCCATATCCATGGAAGCCACAGAGCGCAATGAAGTCGTGGACGACGAACAGTGATCCCCAAAAGCTGGACAGGTTCTATGTGAACCTTTTAGGAGAGGGTGGAGAGTCGGTCCTTACAGATGAGATCAAATGGCTGGCCATCACACACAAAAGCTTTGATCAGGGGAGACGTGGTTTCAATGATAGATTAGCGTTTCTAGGTTAGGAGTCCAGTATTCGGATTTGAAGGACATCGTATGCTAATTATTCTCAACAGGTCGGAGGATACTCACTCTACAAGCTAACCTTGCACTCGTCAGCTCTTCAACAGCAACGCAAACGCAAACACCAAGAAATCCCAAAGACACTCGTGCCCGGTTCGAACACCCAGCGTTGAACGGACTTAAAAACCTGTCAGATGCGCCAATTGGTGAGGTTCTAACGAAAGAAAGACTCGCCACTTTGGCGAAGACGATGGGAATGGCGCAAATCATGAGATGGCAGCCAAGAATGGTATAACCAACCCAAGCTCCTTGTGGAAGTGTAACTAACAAAACATGACAGCCGGATAAGTTGGAAGCGTCCGGGATCGATGTTGTTCTGAATACGTGTTTATATGCCATAGTCGGCGCGATTGCGTTACAGCGAGGAGGAGCGTACGCATCTGAAGTTGCGAAACAGAAAATATTGAAACCGCTGGGAATTTCATAGCGGGCGATAGGGATGGTTCAGCAGGGTGTAAAATACTGTACTATATGTGTAAACCCTCGAGGTACGAGTCTGGCAAAATGTCCAAAATATACCTCAAGATTACTCTTTTTGTAATAGAGCCTTGATCAGTCACCATGGAGTTTGATTCGTTGGCGCCTTTTCGTGGCAGCGTTTGTTAAAGATTGTTTGTCAGAAGACTCATTTCTCACTGGACCATTACACCTAACTTTTAGACGTAACTCTTCGTCACTCCATAGCGGACTAGTCCCTAGCCTACTATCATAAATACCTCCACGTTGGCCAATGATAGTAACGCAGCAGCTTTTTATACCTAACTCCCTCATAACTACTCCCTTTTACCACCATGGCAGCACTCTTCGACCGAATCGCCCAGCTCGAAAACGCTGCCGAGCAAACATCGGAAAGACTGAGATACCTGGAATCATACCATCGCAGCACTCTCAAACCCTTCATCAAGAAATCCGCTCGGGCAATCAATAAACTGGAATACGTCAGTTCCATCAATGAGGCTCGTCTGGATGGTGTAGACGCGTTGTTGGGCAATCCGGAGTTTGCAGATACAGTTATGCAAAATCAAACCGAGTTTTCTAGAATCCTTGCCGAGTTACAAGAAGATGTTGACGAATTGAAAGATCAAAGAGACGGGGTGGATAAAAATCGAGAGGATCATGAAACGACCTTAGTTGTTAAGCATGTATTTCCTGCGGAAATTATGAGCGTTGGAATGGACCGAGATGGTACACATGATTCGTCTGATACCGTATATGCGGTACGTCCTTTATGACAATCATTTCCCACTCAAAGTGGCATAGATATTTGTCATAACATTAGCTAACACACCTGTATTTTATCAGACTCAATACACGGTGTTGAGAGATCGTACGCCAGTATTTTCCACCATCCAAGTAAAGTCCGGTCTCTTTTTAACGGGTCTGACACTAGGCAGCCTGTAAGTAACACCTTGCCAAAGAGGCCTTCATATCTATGAGCTTATTGGCTTACGTACCTTCACTTAACTAGGGCCATCATCAGTTTTCAATCGTTGATCAGCTGGTGTCGAAACTGATCAATAGACTTCCCACTAAAGATCCATTAAAAGTCCAAGTATCATTAGCGGTCTGTACTCGCTTTCAGGTGGTGAAGGAAAGATGATTGATTTGTTAGGGTCAATTGCATTTGTATGACACGAAAGGAATGTTTATGAAAATATAAGATTGTGATAGATAGATTTACTGAGCTTCTTTGGAATTCTGAGTTTTGCAGATGTATGGAAATGAAGCTGGATCTTTCAAAGGGGATAATTGAATTCAATAATTGCATTGCTGATTGGATTTCCCGTCAGACCAAACCTTCGTCTTTTATTTTCTCAACATCCCATCGAATTATGGTCCCGGAGTTTAAAGCAAGAAAAACAAAAGACTCCTGCTCCAGAAAGTGAGGAGGTCCCGCCTAATAAGGACTCTGCGTGTATTTTACTTCAACAACAATTAAGGAATGTTAAACTTCATCTCTTGCAACTGTTAATAGTTCTATCTTGTTTCAACCTTATTTGTGACAGCGAGTTTCGTGCTTTTATGATGTTTCACACGATACCTCTTCTACAAACAGTTGATTGAGTCGACTTAAGCTCGCTTACAGTTTTGTTTGCGAAGATGGAACCTGGCAACCTGCTGTCATGACATGAAATAATTTCAATGCTGGCATTACAAACACAACTGACTCAAATTGTAATGTCAAACTAGGACGTTTTCACTGGTCAATTAATAACTATAAAAACGTCCAACTAGCCTCCCATCTATTGGCCAGAAATCACCTTCATTACAGCCATTCATCAGCTTTAAAATAATTTACAATGATCCACAGACATACCTTCAACTTTCCCAGTCCACGCATAATGCCAGACACCGGAAATCGAAATCCCAGTTCTCCTGGTGTCATGTCAGAGCTCGGTGAATGTTTTCAGAACTTATCCCTGAATGAAAATGTTAGCCAGAGCATTGCCGACTGCCCATTCCAACTCAATGTTTCCGTGGAACATGTTGGACCTGTTCCTGAGAATTTTAGCTGCCAAGTCACTTGCACCTGGAACGACGATTCTGCACCATCTTCAAGCTCCAACCATCCAAATGTAGCGTCTTCCGAGTTGAGCGATCCACTTCCAAACCCAGGTCCATCCGACATCCCCCAACATCGCCGACGCAACCCGGACCCTGGGTTTGTTGTAAATATCCCCAGACCTCCACATTGACCTATGAACGCGAATCCACCACAAACCAGAAAGCCCCAACCAACTCGTCGTCAGTCTCCACCAAGGCAACCTCAAAGACCAAGCCCCCCAAACCTAGGAGTTTCAAGAAGATCATCGAAGATCGTCAACCCCTTGCAGGACCTCTCTTCCACCTCCCACCGGTTCCAAAAGACACACCGTTGCAACCACCAAACCAATCATCCAAACAAGGCTCTTCAAAAAAGCCAAAGACCACAAACCCATGTCCGTGAAGAAGCATTCATCACCCCGAGTGGAGCATCTGCTCCTAGGACAAGGATGGACGCAGTTCACCAGAGTCGGCACTTCAAACCCCACGAGCATGTTCCCCGACCGCGACGGAATGCCCTTCCCGATTATCCTCCGAGAATCAATTAGAAGTTAGTTGACAGACAAAGGGGTTTCGCGCTCTAAGATGGATTTCAGTAAACAATAAAAACTGTAGTAGTTTTACTCGAACCTATCAACTCGAATTCCACTTAAACGCTCTCACCTTAACAGCTCTTAAATAGAGAGCGAAATTTTCTATTTACCGAAAGCAATAGACGAAATGGATGAAATTTCATGAACTGTTTCGAGCGAGTGTCGTATCCGTCTGCTAATTATATGTCCACCACGAGTTGAGATTGTTGGGGCTGGGGGTATGATATTACGAATTTTGGTAAATTATTGGCAATGAAACAAGGGTTATTGTTACCATTTGAGTCATTCAAGAATTGCAGTATAAATACAACATTGATTCAATTCTTCAGTTATTATTATAACGTTGAAGTGGTGATCCACTCGTGTGATATTATCGGCTGTTAACGAACTGCCGCATCCGGTAGGGCTCATGCAAATATATCTCCGCAGTCACACATCACAAGCGAGGCTCCAACTACACTTCATAAATAATGTGATAAACGCCAGTGGATAATATGAAGAACGATTGTTAAGATACTAGAGGTATCATTACTGTCTAGGACTATCTAGTATCAATATCCTAATATACACCCTATCTAGACCCATTCCATTATTCCCCTGACTGACCCCCCAGACCTCGGTATACATGACTGTCCAACTGAAAGAAAGTAGTATCTAGAACATGGCAACCAGCAATCTTCTCCAGGCGGGGTACATAGCGACTTGAGCTTTGTACGCGTTGATTCTGTTCCAGTCGACTTCACGACGTCCAGTGTCAACATCAAGGTCAGCGGCGCGCCGCCATTTAGTTCCCTTCCAGAAATAACCACAAATGAAGAAGAGGAGAACAACTGGGAGAGCGAGGTACGATTTGAAGAAGTCCTCAGCCGTACCAATACCATCGACACCAAGCGGAGAGAGAGCAGTGTAGAACTGTTTAGAGAGTTAGCGCGTGTTAAATTTGGGTTTTTGGAGGAACTGACCTGAGCAATAAGCACGAGAACGATGAGAATCAGACCGGCCCAAGAGCCACCGACACCGAGGGCAGCCTTGAATGGAATCTCGTCAAGGGTGTGACCCTGAGCTTTCCATGCGGAGCGGAATCGGATGTGTGCAAGACAAATGGATCCCCAAGTGAATAGAGCAGCAAGACCAGAAAGAGCGAGGAGCCAATCGAAAACGAGAGGTCCACTACTGGCAAGACTGATGTAACCAAGGAAACCACAGACGAGGATCAAGATGGTTGATGGAAGAGGACGACCGGCACGATCGACATATGAGAAGAACTTTGGTGCATATCCTTGTTCAGCGAGGGCAGTGAGGGTACGAGATCCACCGTAGACACCCGAGTTACCAATGGAGACAACAGAAACGAGAATGATGAAGTTCATGAAGGAGTCGTAACCAGTGAGACCTGCATCTTTGGCGGCGATGACGAAGGGAGAAGCGGCAACATTGATAAATGGGTTGGCACCAAGAAGACGCTCATCGGTGGAGCTGACGAGTAAACCAACAAACATCAAACCCCTGGTTGATTGTTAGTGTTAAGATCATTGACCAGAATTCCCCGGATACTAGACTAGATTCTGGGGAATATGTATATCCTAGTTCGCGGCCCACTTACACAATGTAAAATAGCGTGATTCTCCAGAAAACTTGCTTAATAGCACCTGGAAGAGCCTTTGCTGGGTTCTCAGCTTCAGCCGCAGCTAATCCAACCAATTCAGTTCCAGAAAAGGAGAAAGCTGCAGTAACGAAAACCGAGCAGACACCCTTGAAACCGTTTTTGAAAGCTCCTGGGTCATACCACAGCCGTGCACCCCAGTATTCGCTGTAAATACCGTTACTTGGACCTCCACCACAAACTAGACATTCTGTTAGTACGTATGCTGATTATCGCTCCGAGTTGGGACGTTACCAAGGATGAGACCGATGATCATGAATGAAATGATCGCCCCAAGTTTCAGGACACTAGACCAGAATTCCTCCTCTGCATAACCGAGAGAGCCAAATACATTGATGGCGATGATGGCAACGGCAAAGAGCGTTATCCACACAGCAACGTTAACTTCATCATTCCAGTAAGCTACGGTAAACGAAGCAACAACGAGTTCGAGAGGTAATACAATGGCCCATTGGAAAACATAGTCTAGTCAGACGTTAGTCCCAACAACATTGAAATTCTCCGTAAAAGGACTACTTACTCCAACCCATGGCAAAGCCCCAAGAAGGATCGATAAACCGAGAAGAGTAGGTGTAGAATCCACCAGAGACAGGGTACATGACAGCAAGTTCGCCAAGAGCGTAGCAAACATTGAACATAGCAAAACCGATGATTGCGAAATCGATGAGAAGAGTAGCTGGTCCCTAGACTGTTGTTAGAGCTATCATCATCCAGAATGCTCCAAACACTTACACCGCGGTTAAGAGCGCTACCGGAACCAACGAAGAAACCAGCTCCAATCGAGCCACCAATGGCAATCATGTGTAAATGGCGAGGTTTCATAGTCTGGTTCAGTTGGTTGTCTGTTGCCAGAGTTCGACGCTTGAATGAAGTCGGAGTACATCCCATACGGGTCCAGAACGATTCTCGAGGAAGCTCATGGCCATGAGCACCACCAGTGTTGGTCTCATAGACTGGTGTGTCATCGCTATTCGAGCGCGTCCCTAGACCAAGGTCTTTCTCTGGAATCCCTTTAGACTCCATCTCGTTGATGGTGTGTTGGCCGATTGAAATTAATGTAAGGCTCTTGAGGGAGACAGAACACAGCGAAACAAGAGAGGGGGACCTTGCCAAATATATAGGTCGACTTCAGAGCACTGATTTGGTGTCGATACGACAGGAGGGCCTCGGTCTACCCGGCTTCGACAAGGCTGCACGTATGTGGCAACTAATCTCTATAAACTCCTATCAGAAGACGGGAGGTTATAAGGGTTAGCCATCTCTGCCAATGTCGTCTTATCAAAACCAAGACGATTGACCCAGTGTACTGAACCGAATGCTCGGAGCATGGTCTTGAGCGGGGTCAGAAGCGAGTCGTAGTTGCATTTCATGTAAAGAGAGACCACTACATGTTGGCGGTCACGCTGTCTTTTGATAAAGGAAACCCAATCATGAATTTCGATGATGACTTGGCCTCTTAGGAAAGGCAAAATGCTGTTCAAAGAAGGAAGGAGGTGAGGGTTTGCTAATACATAGAGACTTGGTTGATCTTGGTGGCTCTTGGGGCTCTCTTGGTCAACTCTTGGAACTGTTGTACCCTATCTAGCATCTTGACAATGTTACAAGCAAGATGAACACAGGTTTCTCGGTAAAAATGAATAATCACTGCAGATATTGCGACCTTCGTAACGAAAATGACAAATCTACTAAGAACAGTGATACACCGCGAATTTGTTTCATGAAAATATATATCAACCTGATGAAGCGACACAAGAAGGATGTACTTCGCAGAGGTGGATCGGCAAAGGCTAAGAAATACTAACGGAAGGCCAAGGACGGTTCAAGCGCGTGAGAAATTCGGCGGGAATGGCTCAGCCACGGACCAACCATGGCGGAGACTTGGCAGAGGGGAAACTAAGTTCACATTACCCAATAAAATATCCCAAGTTATCTCAGCTCTCCTTCTGGAAGATTGGAAGAAGATGACAAGGTCGACAATAATGATTGCAGGTAGTATTCCTAGCCGAAACTCGTAAGTTACGCAGTACCCAGTCTTATTGCCAAACTAGCATTGAAGCACGTGAGCCAACGTTTCAAGCGTACGCTTTCATAGACGATGGCGAATCTAGTAGAGATCTAGTCCATCTCTTTGAGCTTCATCGATGCCCATCTGAGAGATTCGCTCTTTGACAAGCTTGACCCAGCTACCCATGTACTTTTTTTCCTTTGCGGCATTGTGGACTCGAAATAATGCTTGTCCTACGACTTAGTCGACTCAATATCGTTGACGACGTCCCGCGCAATGTCCTTGAATATAGGGCATAGTGAGCAGTCCTTGTACTTTTCTACTAACTGCCCAGGGTCTTTGTAGTCACCACTGTTATCCACAACTTCTGACCTCCCGACGTCCAGACCGTTGATCTCTGTGCCAATAGGATATACAGGTCTTCTTCCAGTTTCCACGAGCATGATAAACTGAGGATCGATGGGAACTCTCCCTAAGAATTTCACTTTGAAGTCCATTGCCATGACCTCGCCACCGCCTTTGCTGAAAATGTTTGTGCATTCCGAGCAGTTCGGACAGACGAAACCACTCATGTTTTCCACAACGCCAATAACGTTGATTCCCGTCTTGACACAGAAATTTAACTCCTTTTTGACATCTGCCGTAGCAACTGCTTGGGGCGTCGTCACAACCACCGCGCCTGCCACTTGCCCAGGTAACGCGTTCTTCAGTAAAGTTTCTGCTAGTGATATATGCTCGTCTGATGTTCCAGGAGGAGTATCAATGAGCAGGTAATCGATCTCTCCCCAGAGAACATCGGTGAGAAACTGGCGAACCATAGCAGTCTTCTTGGGTCCACGCCAAACGACCGCATCTCCTCGTTCTCGAAGTAGAAAACCCAAGCTCATGCAAGAAAGGGAGCCGATTCCCGCAGTGGGGTTGGCTGCATGCACTGGGACTGGTATCCATCCACCTGGTGCCTGCGTGACGGTCGCAGTCTCAATTCCAAAGAGACGAGGAATCGACGGCCCAGTGAGATCGATGTCCAGAATGCCAACAGAGTGACCGGCGAGAGAAAGGGAGAGCGCAAGTTGCGTGGTGACAGAGGATTTACCTACTCCGCCCTTGCCTGAAAGGACCTGCAAAAGTTAGAGATATGTTTGGAGGTGACCGGGGGCGAGGGCAGCCATTACAAGGACGATATTTTTGACATTGTCAAGTGACATTTTCGAATTTGGGAGGGTTCTCAGTCTGAGGTGTCATGTAGCTGTCGCATCGTAGAAGAAAAGTTCTATCTAGAAGATAATTGTCGATCGGGATGGTGAAAAGGAAATTCCCTTCGATTATCAAGCATCTCCAAAGACTGGACTCTCGTCTGCTCGCGTGGATGACGCGCCTCGGTGATGGTTAATCCGGTTCCGGCGTACCCAATTCGGTGGCTCCATGAATCCCATGAATCCCGAAGCTCTGACATTACTTTGGCAACTTTCAGTCTGGCTTTGAACAAACGCTTCAACGTGGAGCTTCCACAACCACAATCGGCAATAGACCAACAATGGCAACATAGTGTAGCCCTCGATTAGTGATATTCCTGTCACGCAAAACAGGACGCGCGATACGAAGCACTGGAGGACCTAACGGCCGAGTCTCGAGGGTCTCTATGTCGACGATGAGAGACAGAGGACGGAAATGGACGATCCCTGGGGCTCTCCTTGGGCAGACGATGCAAATTTGACGCAACCGAATAAGGCGTTTGTGAAGGGAAATGACGAGCCGGACCGAACCGCTCCTCCGACTCTGAAATTCAAAGTTTCTGGCTCGAATCTAGCACAGCAGTCGAACAACCCGTTTTGGAAGGATGCCGGCGCAGAGCAGGATGATGATGGGTTTGGCAACTGGGCAGATGTTCCCGCGAACACCGGAGTTGGCTTGGACAGCGCCATCGATGGTTGGGGTGGAAACACAGGCAGTATGGGAAATAGCAGGCTCGACAAGTTGACACCGCGTAGCGATGATGGCTCTGCAGTATCGTGGGGCGACACATCTCTAGCACAAGAAAACTTTGTGGCGCGTCCCGCTCCAAGTCTGTCGATAAATGCTGCCAACGTTGTCCGTCAACCTTCACCGGATCCATGGGCTTTCAATGAGCTGAGCAGCACCCAATCGGATTCACATGACGATGGAGATCAAGAGCTTCAACAAGATGATATCAAGAACAGTGCTATGGCTATTGATCTGGATGTAAATGACAGTAAACTCGTGGACCGGGAACTACAAACCCTAACCGATAACCAAGCTGAGATTTTTTCGGATGTCAACGAAACTGTAGAGCCGGCTGTAGTCCTAGAGGACAAGCAAAATTCGACTTCAAGTGCGGAAACCCCTGAGATTCCTGAGGAGGAGGATAAACCTCTGTCAGATGCCACCATTGAACCGATAAGATCATCGATTACACAAGACGTCGCGCCGTCTTCGTCAAGACCTTCTTCTGCTCCTTCGGATGAAAGCCGACAAGACGGAAGATTCGCGGAGTCCCCACGTACCTCTTTGGACGACGAACCTAAAAGACTTCAGATGCCCCGACAGGCGTCAAAAGTGCATCAACTGGTGGAGCATTTCGATACATTGGCCAAGAGGGAAGGGACGCCAGAGTTACAAGACGGCCGTGTAAGTGCTGGTGGAGAAAGTACAACTAGCGCAAATGACAAACAAGAGGATCTAGACGATAATGAGACGTACGAACAAAAAGTGGAATCAGATAGAGCAACACAGGATGAGGACGGAAACGAGAACGAAGAAGACGACGATTTCGGGGACTTTGGTGATTTTGAGGAGGGTGATTTTGACGGCGACCAGCCAGAAGCTGCACAGATTTTCCAACAGTCAGAATCGGATCTTGTTAGTGACGAGGCAGCCAACATCAATCAAACAGATAGCCCTGCGACTTCCCCTGAGCCGGTTGAGTTCAGCCCTAATGTTGTACTGCTGAACGACATGTATCCAGACCTGGTGGCCAACCTCGTTCCTGAGAAGATCTTCATTCCAGATGTGGTTCCCCACGATTCCTTCTCGTCGGTCGAGGAACGCAAAATGTGGTATCGACTCTCGAGATATGGGCCAATGCGAAAGCACGAGTCTGGGGATGACGAGAACTATGTTCGAATAAACTGGGCAAAGTCTAGTGTCAGAGAGGAGACGCTCAAGGTGGTTGCGCGTTGGATAGAGGAGGACCGCATCAGTGGACGTGTTGTCCTTGGTGGCGGGAGCAAAGCTGGATCTATCTTCGGTTGGAATGATCCGAAATCGAAACCCGCTTCAATTGCCGCCGCATTTGCGGAAAGAAATCCAAGGAAGAAGAAGTCGTCAATAGTCAGTCTCCCCCCAACAGAAATACCAAGGGAGTGGCCAACAGGTTTGGTCCGGGACCGTTCTACCTCTAAAGGGCGTTCAGCATCCAAACCACGGCGAAGAAGTTCGGTAAAACCTGCTAAGGTTGTTGATGATATTGATTCTGGAAGAGTACCTGCTCTTACCACGCCTGTGGTGGACTTTGGTTGGAGTTCAAATGCGACTCTTGGCAACGATCAAAGAACAGCAAATCAGCCACACTCTTCCCATAATGCATCAGAGTCTACGTCTAGTTTTACGTATATGTCGGGAAATTCTTCACCTACCCCACTACAAGCTCCGACGACCAAGCGTGCTTCTTTTAAATCTCTATCCCACTCGATTACTCCTACCTCATATAATGCTGTCGCAGAAAGCAGACAACAAAATAGCATTCTACCAGTCTCCACGACAAGCTCGATACAACCGTCAAAACCCGCAGGAGTTGCTCTTGCTGCTGATGATGACTGGGGTGAGATGGTAGCTTCTCCAGTGGTTGCATCTGCACCAACGCTCCCAATTCAAGAGTCTGTTCATAAAACATTCCAAGCTGCTGATAACATTCTATCAGTCGATAAGGCTGCGGCGTCAGCAAGTATGAAAGCTGATCAAAGCCACCCTCCAAGGAGTAGCATGGACCAGATATTGATACCCACGCCTGTGAGTACTCAAACAACAAGCGGGGATCCTCCCCTTGCTTTTGCTTTTGATAGCAGCATGTCCAGCACGAAGCAAGAGGCAAGCCCACTTCCATTTCCGGATAGCAAGACAGCTGCTGCCATCTCGCAGGCAGGCAGCAGCGATCCATGGGCTTCTGCAGACTTTTCTTTCTTTGACACTGCCCCATCTATCTCGGCGCCTGCACTTGCACCTAAGCCTCAGAAAAAACCAGTCGCCGTTTCTGTACCGCCACGTAGTGGACCGACCTCGATAATGCCTGCACCGGCCATCTCGAAAACCAGGCGTTCTAAAGAAGAGATGGAGCAAGATAAGATAGTGGAAAGCATCATAAGCGGTCTTCCAGATTTGAGCTATATGTTGAAAAGATAGGTCGTGGCTTGAATTGTCCTGGGTTGGACATAGGGAACATTATGTGGGCTTGAATGGCTTAAATAAGATGGGTTGAATACGCCACGATAAAGATCACGGCAACAATATTTGCATACTTGTATTTTTAGCGGGGCATTGCTGGCGCTTGGGTGGCGTTCATGAGGCATGGATGCTCTTGGATATTGTATAATAAGTGTGGCACAAAACTAGCTTATACTGGAGTTATTTGGTGGTGGGAAAATATATACAACATGTTTAGTTTCACATTCATAAGTCTATGTTTTGTCTCCTGACACTCATCTCCTACATAGCTCGCAGATTACACATCATACCACTCCTAGCACTCGCTAACTTCTCAGCAGACATCTATTTCTAGTTTCATTCCAAATTGCGACCTACATCTCGATATATGAATTCAACTCAATTATTTAGAGTTCATCACTGGTATACCCAAGGACGATATGAATAACAAACGAAATTTTTGTTTTATGTAAGTTGACTTTCGCTAGCTCCCCTCCTCATCCAACCTCCTTTGGACCATTCAGTCATTCTTTCGCTAAAGTTCATCCTTAGGTCCTTTACCCAGCCGGCGTATCATGAACACCACCATTCGCAGTAGGACATTCCGTACTGCAGAGCACTGTGCCTTCGTCGGGGAAGTTCTTAACACAGGGGTCGGAAGGTGGGTCTTTGTCCACATCGATCCAGGCGTTTACTCCTGGTTTGTAGAAGGGCTCGATATACTCTTTCTTCATGGCGCAATTGTTCTTGTACCAGTCACAGATCACGGAGTAGATATTTAAGGTAAGTAACCATCAAGAGACAGAATTCGGTGTAGAATTTTTGATTGATGATCGTGAGTACTTACGTTCCGGACTGCATTTTTCTGCACAGTCTATAATTCTGTACAAAGTTAGCGTTTGCTTGGCTGACGTCGAGTTATTGGTTTCAGAATACAGGTGGGGTTATACTTTGTACAAGGTATATTCTTCAACGCCGGTACATTGAGAGATTAGTATTCACCATTCATCATGTAGTTCTTCCCGATCCTAACACGAGAATTAGTCAAGTCCAAGACATCATTTACTTTCTATCACTACTTAAGAGATACTTACAGCATAGTATGAGTCTGCTGTCATCCGCTGGGCACGCGAAGATAGCCCCATTCGCACCGGATGTCCCACACAACGTACCTGGCGATTTTGAATCCTTTTTACCGGGTCCTGGAGAAGCAGCTGGATTATTATTACTACTATCTCCTAAACCTCTTGTTAACTAAGTCTCGCTAGTTCGTCTTACCTACAATCTTCATCTATGCCTCTTTCTTCTTTGTCTTCTGAGCTCTTTCTCACCCCGGTTGGCCTTCCGAGTAGTATACTTCCCTTCCAAAACTTGGTTGGAGTCCTTTATGCAAGCCCCTTTTTGATTCCAATACTAGTTGGCAGGGGTTTGAGAAGTCCCAGCCATATCTGAGAGTTGCTGCTGTCTGAAAGCTTCATCAGCTTTTCTGGGGTCGATGTTACATTTGGCGTTGCGGGTCAGCCAGTTGTTCAGCTCCTGAATCTTTCAGATTTCTCTCAGCTAAAATTCGCTTTGCAGTTCCCCTTTGAGATTTTCAGTCGGTGAAACCCGCATAACAATGTAATCTCGGGCGCCCCCAACACGGCAGTAGGTGGCACAACGTCGCCGAATTGCAGTATACACACGAGGCTGCACAGTTGTTATCCCTCCTTGGCTAGCTACGAATTGCAGAAATTCCGTACCTCTCCACCTCACGCGCTCTTTCCCATGCCTCTCTTTTGCACAATGTAACTCTACCCATGCTCCCGACCTCTTCTGCATAAACATCACTACACCCATATCTTTGATGCCCATCATTTTCTGCGGACCTCAATACAAGCTCAGCTGACTTTAATCCCTTAGCTCATAAATCGCATTATCCTCTCTTACGACTGAGTGTGTTCAAAGGCCATTAACTTCTATTTTTGAAGTTGAAACAACAAATTTTCTTATCTATGGACGGGTTATCATGTGCAGCAAGTGGTATTAAATACCTCAAACTTTGCAATTCCTTTGCTAACAGTTGTAGGGATGGCCGTGATCTCACTCGCGGTACAATTAGCGGGGGGAATCATCCAGCTATACGATTTCTGGGGTTCTATTAGAGATGCGCCTTCAGAAGTCGCCGAAATGCTATCGGGCTTGAAAATGCTTTCAAATATACTCAATGAACTCGTTACTCAAAAGAATCCCAGTCAGCACGTTAGGGATGCCTTGGAACATTGCGACATGAAAGTGCAGGTCCGACTTCTTACCAGCGCATTCAATTGCTGTTTTTGCTGTTTTTGCTGTTTTTGCTGATTTTACTTAGCTTCTCCAAAGTATAGTGAGAGAATTCGAGCCAAACTTTGGCTCCAACTCCCGCAGAGTCCGAATGTGGAGCGCGTTCAGAGCTGTGCGAAAGAAACAGAAGTTGCAGCGATTCCGCGACTCACTCCAAGAGACTAAAACCACTTTATTAATTACTCTAATGCCTCACTTGTATGGCCATCTCTTATTACAGATTACAGGTTAATACTAACGTATAGTGAAGTCAAATGCCACCAGTACATATTGATGTCAAGCAATCTGAGAGGTACGACAAAGATAGTAAGCCTCACATAACATCATCATCGGCAGAAAAACCAGAATTTTCCAAGCTACCTGCGGATATACCTGCATTAGCACTTCATGCATCTGTCAAAAGCGCCCTGCAACTGGCAGCTGAAAACTATTTCCAAAGTGGTGCTTTTGCAAAGGCGATGAGCGACACAGTACATCGGGTGTCCACCATACAGACGACCTACCGACACAGCAGAGCCAGTGATGATGCAGAATATGAAAATGGGCAGTCGTGGGCGGACTCTGGCTATAGTTCTGCGAACCTGATTCAATCAATACCGCGAGGGTCCCGATCACGCATTTGCTATCGAACATCTGCAACAGGAGTTCTGTTTGGAACAATATGGTTGAGGACCACGTCGGTGCGATTAGGCTCTGGCTCTGGAAGGGGTGGGAAGGAAATTGACGTCGTTTCATCTTTCACATTTTTTCCGTCTTATTGGCTTACAAAGGCCGGGCTCAATTGTGGGATGGAAGCAAATGTCTCCACAACTCCAACTGGATGGCAGTTCAACTTCAACCCAATAAGAGCAGTCCCCGATGACTCTCCAATATTTAGCGCTTGTCGAAAAGGTAACCTTTCGGCTGTACGGTTTCTGCTGACTGAAGGGAAAGCGTCAGTCAAGGATACAAATTCCAAGGGATGGACCCCTTTGCATGTGAGCTCAACTATGAATATGGCTAGCAGCGTTTTCTAATATAAGAAGTTTGCGGCTGTGGCAGACTCACGAACCAATATACGCGTCTGCGAATACCTAATTTCAAGGGGAGCAGACAAAACAGCACTAGCATTCGAGGGCCCTTCTGAAAATGCCCTGTGAGTCAGTCAAATGCCAGAAAGACATTAACTGACATATTGTCCTTGCAATAGATCACCCGTCACGGTATTCTCGGCCACCAACAAGAAAAAATCCGCAGATCTCAAGATTGCAATGCTCCGCCTTTTCGAAGACTGCGTCGATTTGTCTGAGCCGGACAGTGAAGGTTGGACAATAGTGGGCGATCTTGTCAGCTCCTTCAATCAAGAGGACTCCTCTGTTCATTCAAACAGCATAATTTGGTTTTTGACCTCGCTTAAAACAGACTCAATGGTTGGATGGGGCCCAAAAACCCTATGGCACGGCCTCCAGCATGCCGTTCGCTCTTTTGTAGACATAGCACGAAAGAACAAGCTTGTGCAACGTCAACTTGGCCTTATTGTCGGCGGTGAATTCCCAGGGTCTTATGCAATGGCAATTGGTCATTGGGTAGCACTGCTGACTGCTGGTAAGAAACTTCTCCCGATGATAGTAACAGGTGGTTCGATCTGGCATATGGAAGGATTTGACTACGATCGGGAGTCAGAACCTGATCCTGTAGTACTTGCAAAGATGCGACCTTATATTTATACCGAGTGGTCAAAAGCTTTGAGGGCAAACCTTGAAAGAGCAGATGAGGTTTTCGACACGGTACTGGCCACGATTCTCGAAGAATTAAACTGGTCTCCAGACAAACTCAGAAGTTTGAAATTCAACAAGCACGAGCAAGAAGACCATCGACTACGCTGTTCGACTTGCAACGATGACTACAGCCTTCTCAAACTTGGTTTAGTTGAACCGAGCTGGATTGCGTTTGTTGATTGCACCGAGTTCCAACATAGGTACAACTGCACATGCCAAGAGTTCCTACAAAGTCAAGGGAGATGTTCTATGCCACCCGATATTGGAGGAGAGAGCTCACGACCCGATTCTGATTCAGAAGACGATTTTTTCTACGATGCCGGCTCCCAGCATGGGGATGTCGAAGGGAGTGCCTCCAACGACCAACCCTGGTTTTCGGAATGCAGTAAGTATATCCAGGAAATTGACAACGAAAATATCCACGATCCTTTTCAAGAGGTTGCATTACTTTTGTATCGGTGTCAAGCAAGACTATGGCTAGGGGTATATGAACCAGGACAGCGGTTTTGCGGAACGTGCTTCTTAAGAAGTGAGGGATACATGGACGAGGATGTGACAGAAAACGGGGATTTTGGGTCATCTAGGCCTAACGAGTCGTTTAATCCTAGGAAGACTTGTAATTAAGACTAAAGATATCGTATCTGTTGCATCCACGCATTTAGAGACGGGTACGTCACGCAATTTGAAAAATTAATATCACCCTGCAATATAATATTAAAAACGATATGTAGATTGATAGGCTCTTATCGACGCCGTATCCGCACAAAGAAAAGCTGGTGGCGCCTGAGTAGCGTTTACTTCACCAAAGCAACAATTGAGTGGCAAGAGGTTCTCGATACATGAACTAGCTAGTATCGTACAGGATAATTGTGAGCATTGATGTAGCATATATTTGCCTCATGGTACCCCGGGTATTACTTGATAAGATCATCATTTGCAATTAAGTTCATGAACTCATGCACGAAAAGAACTTTGGGGCTCGTATGTTACAGGTATGTGGTGGACTTTTGCATTACAGAGGTACTGAATATACTTAAAAGGATCCTGATATTTGTTCTACAACAAAAATAAAGGTCTAGTCATGAACGTCCCAAACTAGATCAGTAGATTTGAAGAGCAACCGATGTTTCATAAACGCATTAATACTTATGGCTCAAAGACCAACTTTATATAACACTTCACGCTTCCCCACTACTCATCAACCTAATCTCTCAATACGACCTATTTAGATCGCTACAAGCAAACCACTTCTTGATAAGCTTAGCTCACGATTCGTTTGGCCACTTTCATGTCGTCGACTGATCGCTTTGCGAAAGGGACAGTTTCAAGCGAAGTGCCAAAGGACACGACATCTTACTTTGAGTGACTGTCGGAGGAGTGATGGGCAGAGTTTTAAAAAGTTAGCTCTATTAGGTTATACAAGTTAGTGTCCTGTTCTTGAAAGAACAGTTCTATAGCTCAGGATTCGGAAATTCGTAGTTTTCGAAGAAAATGGCGAAAAAATTGATTCTACATCCACTAATGAGCTAAATGTAATGTAGATTAAGCATCTTATTACCCTAACACTGACCAAAGTGTCTAAAAGTATTCATGGTTTAAACACCTAACCTAGCAGCAAGACATCCAACCAAATCTCTCCTCCCATTGCCATCTACCTTATGATTCCTCTCCACCTTCCCTCTCCACATATCCACTTAATGATTCCTCTCGACCTCCCCCCTCCACATATCACCCGCAAACTCACCACCCTCCCGCATCAATCCCATAAACCCCTCATCAGCAGTCAACGTCACCGCATGCACCACCAGGAATTTACAGACCAGATCCCGCAATTCATCTACACCATCCTCGCTATACGCGTATCGTGCTAACGCAAGGATGTCGGGCGTGTTTGAGGAGTCGAGCTCGAATGTTTTGAGGGTGGTGTGGAGTTTGGAGAGGGAGAGGGCTTGGAGGGAGGGGATGAGCCAGAGGGATGAGAGGGTGTAGAGGGTTGCGTGGGAGAGGAAGGGGGTGGTGTAGGTGTGGGAGGGAAGGAAGAGGGGTGAGGGTGTGCAGAGGGGGGTGTAGGGGGTGAGGGAGGTTAGGAGGGGGTAGGTGAGGTCGTCAAAGTCGATGGGCGGTGGTGAGGGCGCTCGTGCTGATTCATAGGCTGTTGGTTCTGGTTCTACTACCGAATCGAATGAGAGGCTCGTCGTGCTTTTGCGCGTTTTCTTACTCTTCTTCGTCGATGAGAAACCCCAGCCAAATTCCTCTTCAGGAACTTCCTTACATTCTTGGGGTTCCTCCGCCGGAGCTTCTTCCTCCCAATTTATAATGCGGGGACCTTTCTTCTTCTTCCCTCTCACAGGCGTACTGCTTGAAGCAAACGCATCCTCCACCACCGGCTCAGGAGAAATGTTTCGTAATTTGGCTACAATCTTCTGAGGCTCGACAACCTCATAATCACCCAGATAAGCGAACTGCGCAAACCGCTCAAAAGTCTCCTTGCTGACATCTTTCCAACTGGTACATCCAGCTTGCGCTTCCAGCATATCACCAGTCAAGAGAGCGGCGAGCGGGTCGGAAAGTTGAGCTATGGCGGCCTGATGAATCATGAATTCTGTGGGAGTGTCATCGACATCTTCTCCGACGATGAATTTGAAGAGGCGGGAGTTGAGGATTCTGGATGTGTGAGTTAGATATGTTGTCTTGAGTTTGAAAGGAGTTAGAGGATTACTGTGAGTAAGGAAGCACCATTTTGATGGTGGCTTGAGGTTGAGAGGTGCGTATGAATGCCCAGGTGTGGTCAGAGCATTCGATGCTTTTCAGGCTCGAATGAGCATGCTCTCCTTGTCGAAGAAGGCTCTTATACCTAGGCTTGTCTTTGTTTGCTACTATTCTCAATTGCTCAAGGCGTGTCTTGAATAAAATTTAAAACCAACAGAGGAATGATGCATCGTATCGCTCTTCCTCGTGCTTCGTCTTCATTGGCGCTTCGAATGTTGGATCATGCATGTTCGCGGCTATGCAGCAAAACAAAACACTTCAAAGCTTCCTTGACAACCATCTTTTTGATTTCACGTGCAGATTCCAGCTACATAATGGATGCGATATTTTAGCTTCCTAGCTTCTCTCTTTCGTGTTGGAAAATGTAGAGTAAAATGCGTCCTCACATGTAGCTTCTTTTTCTTCTTTGCACCAGCCTCAAAACTTACCGAGAGAGGCTAATAACTTAGAGACCTAATCTTACGACGTGATGGTTCGAGATAAAGCAAAATCTCTTAGAATATTCCGAGTTTGTGAGGTTACAATCCGCAGTGGCTAGGCGGGAGCAAACGGGAGAGCCTCCGTCCGGCGAACAGGGGAAATGGCGGGGCACCTTTGGGCGAAATTTTCGAAAAATAACTCACCCAACAGCGCGAAAGCACCGCCACCAAGGATAATAATTAAAGGTAGGGTTTTCTTCCTACATAAGGTATTCGATTTCCGATTCATGGTCTCCTATTATACATTACCTACCTACTCACAATAACGTGAATAATTATTCAAGTGAGTTGTTCCAGACTAGAATTCCGTACTAAGCACTGACCACGAAATGACGTGCAGCCCACCGCACCAAAAGCACACGACAAGAAATTTTCCCTCGACCACAACACCATCAACAGTAAACACCAGCATTCGCATCTCATCCACATCGACATCTTCCAATCTGTCTGAAACGTACATCGCCTCTCCAACTTTCCGGAAGCGCCCTCGGGTTCTGCAAACCATCTTGTGTTCGCCTTCTTCCAATGAAAACCAACCTTTGAGCAGCTTCGCTCCACCGCATCTTGTCACCCAGTGTCACAGACATCCGGTTGTGGCTCTGCGAAATCAATTTTGAAATATCTCTTACTCTTGATTACTCTATGAGCACTGCGGACCTCCTTCGATTCTTGTCCAAGCCAGCAAAGTGAGTACCTCTCAACTTTCCCTATCAACCTTCCTCCGCCACTTGTCAACCACAAGAAACATCATTCAGATATTCACCCTGTATGAGGACGGTACACTGAGAAAATCGACCACATGAAACTCTTCTCAACACCTTCTGCAATTGCAAATGTGTTCTCAAAACATCGTACTAATTCAATCTGCATAGGCCTCGATAGCACCAGCCACACCCCAACACAAATACCCTCAAACCCCAAATCGCAGATAACCCTCGTCTGCTAGACCCGATATCCCTCTACGGTATCGGAATCTACAGAGCGAGGACTACAACAAAAGTCAACATTCCTTCCGTAAAGGACTTTTTCATTCCGTTGTGCACCCGACCTCCATAACGTCCCTTTAAGGCGTTCCATATATCACCTATTCTGCTGGCTCCGCCAGCACACGTTATATCCCACGGTTGTGTGGGCCTTCTCTTCTCAGGCGGGCACCGCAAGGTTCGTCTGAGTGGCAGATAGTGCTTCACTGTACTTGCCATCAAATTTGCAAACTCAAGGATAAACCTAAAATTACATACGGGCAATAAAGAAGGTACCAGAGTACTACGTAGTTATGGTCAACCTCGAAATTCCGTCTGAATATACATTCTCGCCTTCTGAAGGAACCCCTCATCTTACGATTAATCGTGAGGCTACTATTGATCTCGATAGCAGCACGGCTTTTGAAGGTTTGTCTTTCGAAATTTAGTGTCGAATTTTGTGCTAATTAAACTAGGTCCCGAGAAGCTATTGGAAGTATGGTTTGCAGCAGCACCGGATGTCCTCCCCCCAGGAGCTAAGAAGAATGGATTGAAGGCTGTACCTGCTGAAACATGGAAGGAGATGCTGGATCTTGTCAACTGCAAAGTTCTGTCAATCGTTGAGTCCGAACATGTCGACGCCTATCTCCTTTCCGAGTCGAGCATGTTTGTGTTCCCGCACAAACTTATCCTAAAGACGTGCGGCACGACTACTCTCCTACTTGGACTTCGACGCATGTTGAGAATTGCAGCCGTCGATGCTGGTTTCCCAGCACATAACAGTAGCTCTCTTGATAAGGTCAATACTGCGGCCACGCCTTACCGAGTGTTCTATAGTCGCAAGAACTTTTTGTTCCCCGATAAGCAACATGGTCCGCATCGTAGTTGGAAGGAGGAAGTCAAGTTCTTGGACAACATGTTCACCGGCGGAAGTGCTTACATGGTTGGGAAGATGAATGGTGACCACTGGTACCTCTATTTGACTACTCCCAACTCTGATCTTACCCCGCCACAAACTCCAGACAGCGAACGAGAGCCTACGGAAACCAAGATCTTGAAAATTCCGGCTAGCGAGGCTTTCGCTGTGGGACAAGGTAGTTTGAGCAATGACGACGAAACTCTCGAGGTCCTGATGACTGATCTAGAAGTCAATAACGCAAAGCAGTTCTACCTTGACCACGCGAGTGCGGTCGCGGAGGGCAAGTACGCTGCTAGAGCGATTGAAGCACGAAAGGAAGCCCATAACAGTTTGGGCGATTTGAGCAGCAATGATATGACAGCTTCACATCTGAGCGGAACCACTGTAGCAAGCACTGATGATACTTTCGATGTCTTCAGCAACACCTCCTCTGACAATGGAGCCATCACTCCTGATGACGATGTCGGTTTTCCAGAGGAGCTTTCTACCGAGGGGCATGCTTTGGGAACGGTAGTCTCCGAAGCTTGTGGTTTGTCGGACGTTTACCCATCCTCCCGCTATCCGGACGCTCGCGTTGACGCCTACCTTTTCACTCCCTGTGGATTCTCTGCAAATGGTGTCATTCCAGCTCCGGATCAGGCAGGCGCTGCAACCCATTACTTCACCGTCCACGTCACTCCTGAGCCCCAATGCTCGTACGCCTCTTTCGAGACCAACGTTCCTGGCCGCCAATCCGGACGCGAGACTGTCGAGGTCATTGAACACGTCGTGAACATTTTCAAACCCGGTCGCTTCAGTGTCACCCTCTTTGAAGCAAAGGCCAATTCGTGCGAGGTACGCGAATTGGGTCTCGGCCAGGATGCTGCGAAGCCTATTGACCACGGCAAGATTCGAAGCGCCAAGATGGATAAGATCAAGGGCTATCGTCGCGTTGACCGGATCGTACATGATTTCGATGGGTATGATCTTGTCTTCCGCTACTACGAACGTGATGATTGGGCTGCTGGTGGTGCTCCTAGATTGGGTGAGGTTGATACTTGATGGATTAAGCGAGGTTTGTGGTGTTTGCTTGATTAGATAGGGGGGTTTGGGACTGGAACGAATTTCTTTCTGTCGGCGGGTTTGAGATACGGTCTATACCTTTGAAGGTATTCCATGCTTTCTGGTGCTGGGTTTTCATCGAGTACAAGTATCGAATGTGCAGTTTGGTATCTCATGTGATCAAGGACACTCTTTTAGATAGTACACGTAACATTGCCAATCTGGCTTTGCACCATGAATCACACATAAATTGATCTTGAAGAGTGCGTGACATCTCTAGAAGAGCAGCTCTTATGTTTTGCATTAGGTAAAGCGTTGGCCTACAGACGCTGTTTCCTCTACAATATGTTCACAGCTACATTTTCAGCTACAGCAGGACCTGATCGAAGAGAACGTGATCGCGGTGTCGATGCCCAAGTGTAACAACCCACCTTGTTCACGTTGAGCTCGCACGGCAGGTGAGAATCTGAATAGGGTTTCCTGAACGAATGAGGCTGACTGGTACTTGGTGCTAGGGGCATCAGTGAGGGACTGGAGAGGCTATGGGCGTAGTTATGCAACGTCGTGACTCGTGACGGGGTGATGGGCCGGTGAGGTCGCAGGAACGCGTCCTACTTGGCCATGGATGGTGCGGAGGAGAAAAGGTCGAATGGATGGATGATGCTGTAGTGGTGGGAAGGTGTATGATGAGGGCTCACTTGAGAAGTATGAAGAGACGGTGATTGTCTATTGGAAGGAACAAACAGGATTGAAAGAGAAGAATTGTTTGTTGGAGACTGTATGAGATTGATAGTCTGTCCTACCGTTGGTTCTGAATGGGTGAGGGGATTGATTCAGGAGTTCTGAGGAGAGGAGATGTGTTGGCAGCGAGCATCTTCCTTGTCGACACACTGTGCCTAGGAATCAAGAATATTTGACACAACGAAAACTTCGAATTTGAAGGTTCGAGTGTCTGAATATGACTTCGTGATATGATGGTCTTCATCCATAGAATTTGCCGAATCCATCTGAAAAGAAATCTCTATCCCAAAGAGCGCTTTCAGAAACAGCCGGCCATGCTTCAAGATATGCCCGACGTGTGAACTTAAGAATAGATGGCCGCCGATGAGGTGAAGAGCGAAACCAAAAGCATGATCAAGTAAGAAGACCTGCACTTCAAGAAGCGCTCGTAGAGAAAAATGAATGGAAGAAAATCGTCCTGGCTGGCGACTTATAAGACTGCGGTGCTTGATATACCCATCCCATCTACCCCCATCTACCCCCATCTACCCCCATCCAAGGAGATCTCTTCCGCAAAATAGAATGGAATGCTGCATACAGGCGGGTATGAACGTGTCGAATAATGCACCGAATTAAGCACCTCGCGCATCCTCACGTCGTGGGAACACGCTCTGCCTTTATACTCGCGATTTTGCGCGTTGCTTCAACCTTTCCCCCTCTCGATCCGGAGAGGAGTTGCAGCCCCTGCATGAGCCGCCGACTTCAGTTGTCCAATGGACGCTGGAATGCGGGTTCGCATGAAGAAACTGGGACGTGGAATCGCCACCCAAGCGAGTCGGTGATTGGCGAAACGCGAGCACGACGCGGTGGGGAAGGGCCTGGCTGAGCGCGAATTTGGTCTCGCACACGCACTGCGGGTTCGCAGCCAACCAAGGAAATGCCACAGGGAGACACAGAGACAAAGGTGTGGGTGATATAGAGTGAGTGTCCCCCAGATTCGTCTCTTTCTTGTTGTGACGCTTCGTTTTCTGACTTTGATGTGGAAGGTTCAGGCGATTCATCGAGAAGAGGTAAACAATATCATAACAAGTGGATACACGCTGGATACAACACACATTGTAGTGGGATACTATTTCTCGGTCGGCATTCAGAGGATTCACGAAGAGTCGTTCGAAGAAGAGATACGATTGATCAATTGATTGACGATACCTACACTCTCGACGTCGACAGATACAAGCTCAATAAACACCATCCATCGCAATGGCCACACACATGTCTATGCCTGCCACCAGGCAACCCTTTGCACCCCTCAACAACTCCCGTCTCCAGAACCTCACGTCTCTCAAGAACCGTCAAAATGGTACTTTCTTCCCCTACACTCCCTATATCATGTTCCTAACAAGACCAGCGGTATCTTCTCCCGTGAAACGCAAAGCGACTTCATTCGAATCCGACAACGACGACAGCGAGAACGTCGACCCGATTCTCTTTCTCTCCCCAAAACGCTCCAAAGCTCAAGATGGTTCATCCAAAGACCCCTCAGCATATATTAAACCAGTCAATTTCTACCTCACCAAAGCTGCTCCATCTTCCAATGATTTCTCCTCCATCAAAAATACTCCTGTGTCACCTCAACGACGACCAATCCTCCCCGCTCGCTCCCCAGCTCCAAAAATCAACACCACCATCAAATCCACCCCCCTCTCCGCTCCAGCAGGACGCTCCCCAACAAGAAAGCGAATTGGAATCCTCAACCGCCGCAAGACAGGAAGTCCATTCACACGCATCGAACCTCCGAAATTCTCCACGCCCACCCCCTCGGGCCTCTCCTTCTCCATCGACGCAGCCCTCTCCAACACCATCTCCTCCCGCAAACCCATCACAACACCAACTCCCGTCTCCCTAAAAGACAATGCCCACCTCATCCCTACCCTCCACACCGCCGCCCCAAAAGAAAGCTGGTTCTTCGAGATCCACGAGGATACAGCCGAGGAACTAGCCACCAACCTCATGGAACACTCCACCTGCACGCTGGACATCTCGTCGGACGAGGAGAGCGCTCAACGTCTGCGTGATGATCGTGGGAAGGAGAATGTCCCGCCTATGGACGACATCTCGCAGACTCGCACGGCGATCACGTCGTCGGTTGATGTCATGGAAGAGCAGATGTCGGATCTGAAAGCCCGCATCAGAGCCCGTCGTTCCCGCGACGAGAATGCGATTGAAGTCGATCGTTCCCCGCTGGGCGATCTCGCGGCTGAGGATTTTTACGCCGCGGGGTGTGATGAGAAGAGTATTTTCGTCATTCTTCCGGATGAGACGGCTGAGGACGAGGTTCCTGTGCCTGAAGACGCTCTACCTGTTGCAGAAGACGTGGCACCGCTTACCTCCTCATTCGATTTCGTAGCCGAAGTCAAAGGGAAATCTCCGGTGCGTGAACAGCGGGTATTGGATATCGATGCCCTGATGAGAAAGGATGATGAAGTTGCGCCCAAGGCGGCGTTGCTGGAGCCGATTGAGAGGGCCGAGGAGGGGTTTGAGGTGTGGGAGAGTGGGAGTGCTAAGGACGAGGAGTTATAGTTGTGATCAACAAGGAAAGGAGTTTGCGTGGGTTCTTGTATATGTGCTTTATTTTATGTTGGTGTTCTGGGTCGGGTATCGGTATTGGGTGGTTGTTTGTTTTATTTATATATACCTAGAGTATGAAGATTAATATACTTTGCTTATAACACATTCTAGTGTTTACCTTCGCAGTTGACCTTAATGTTGTTACTTTGCTAGTACTTGGGCTACCCTACAACGAATTCTCGACGCGCCCCTTTAGGTATTTCTAAATAATAACGTTTCTAGCTATTAATTGTTATATATATATTTACTATATTAGTAGTCTAGTTTCTTATTCTTAAAGGGTTAGTTAGTTAAAAGTGTTATTAAAAAGATAAATAAACTTAAAGAGAGTAGTAAGCAATAGCTTTTTTCGATTTTAAGAATATCCGCTATACCACCTTAACCTAATATATAAGGTTTTGGCCCGGCCACTCTTTGCCTGTCCACCGCCACAGCAGCTGAGGGGATGCCTAAACACGTTCCCCTCCTACAATCTTGCCATTCCATCATTTGTTCCCATCAGTTTGAGGTATCTCTTATGCTTATGATTACTGCTTTGTGTCGATCACACCCTAATTTCAAGAAGGAAGTGTCTCTATATGGCGTCCGTAAGCATCCTGTGTTCTACTTGCAAGAATGTCTTCCGCGATCTAGAAAACCAGCCGCCCGTACTGGCAAAAGATGGTGAATTAAAGTCCCATCACACTCTATTCCTCAACTTCTATGAAGCTGTTCAGCAAGAATGTTACATATGTCTTACTGTCTGGGGATGCATGGGCGAAGAAATACAAACCGCATGGCTTAATAAAGTTGGGCTTTGGAAGGGAATGAAATATACCTTTTATGGACGGAAAAGGAAGGATGAGACCATGGTACTTGGAATCTTATGCTATAAGCACATGGATGGATTTCATCAATACACCTTCTTTACGATGGTCCCTTGCGCAGGTCAGTCAGCATTCACTATTTCAAAACTTCGCCTACCTATAGTGGCTCTTGTCCCAACATCATTAAAGGTGTCGCCAGACGATGTCTTTACAATTGCTAGGTAAGACTGTACGGAGAATACTGTCCAGAGGGTATACAATGCTTTCAGGAATTAAATTCAGCCAGATATTCAAAAAGCACTGTTCCTGGTTTCTTCCTATCTAGACATGCTAATAACCCCTTATCAGGATCAAAATCTAAAAAAAAATTCTTATTCGCCAACATCAGTCCTAGTACCTCGTCATTCGCTAGTCTCAGCCTGGCTTATCAATGGTACATCTCTTGTCGCGCCTGCCACAAACAGTGTAATCGCCTTGTGAAAAGGCCGAGGTGGATGCCCACGAGACTACTCGATATTGGGGTCGAAGGTGACGCTAACTGGAAACTGCATGTACAATCACAAGATGGCTGTATATCACCCAACTATGTAACCTTGAGCTACCGCTGGGGTTCATCACCAACTCCAATGTTGACTCAATCGACGATAACCGAATTTCGGCGTGGGAGACCTATTTGCGACCTCCCTCAAACTTTTAAGGATGCAATAGTCGTTGCACGGCGGTTCTCTATTCGGTACCTTTGGATTGATTCTCTCTGCATTGTTCAAGATTCTCAGGAAGATTGGGAGATGGAGTCGTCGATGATGCGGGATGTCTATGCAAATTCATCTTGCAATATTGCAGCGACGGCATCTGTTGATCCTCAAGGTGGACTCTTCCGGCCACGACGTCAAGTAGATGTTCAACCAGGGGTAATAAAACTAAGCACTATAAACTCTACAGAACAACCGTTCTTAGTATACGACAAATCTTACTGGGATCGCCACGTTTCTCGTTCAGTCCTTCATCGGCGTGGCTGGGTCTTTCAAGAACGTCTTCTGGCTCCCAGGGTCCTTCATTTCACCAAAACTCAAATCTTTTGGGAATGCTTCAGGGACCAAAAGTGTGAAGGATTCCCTCTCGGCACCTTTGTGGATTGGCCACTCAAAAATTTCGAAGCGTTGTTCGAGCCAAGACAGAGGCCCTTATCTCTCTTTGCCTTCAGCACGTGGAACGACCTCGTCGAGGCATACTCTAAATGTGCTCTGACGAGACCTGAGGACAAATTAGTCGCCCTCTCGGGGCTCGCACGTCTTTTTCAAGACATGACGGGAGATGAGTATCTCGCTGGGCTGTGGAGATCTCGTTTGCCGGAGTCTTTAGGTTGGCGTGTCTACACGCCGACGACCAAGTTGTCATCAGATTATCGCGCTCCCTCCTGGTCTTGGGCCTCCGTTGATGGCCAGGTTTGGCCAGGTGGAGTTGGATCCGTTGACACTCAATTGATTACCGTAAAGGAAGCGCAAGTCACGCACTCGGGCTTTGATTCAACTGGCCAGGTCTTAGACGGCTTCATAATAGTAGAAGGACTTCTAGTTCAAACTACATATCATCGTACGGGCAAAAGGGGACCAACTTGCCAACTGACGACGGCGGATGAAGAGATCTCCGCAAATGTGTGGAAAGATGCCTTAGATACTAGATTCGAGGACGGCAGCGAAATGCATTGCCTTGCCTTGAACGGCACCCCAGACTATTCAGGAGATTCGCGCTGCGGATATCGACTCATAGGGTTGATTCTAGAGCCAGTGGCAGGTCCATCCGGTGACTACGCACGCATCGGCCACTTCGACATAGACAAGATCGATGACATTGAGAAATTTGGCATCTCTGTCGATAAAGAAGATTTTTTGGTGGCGCAGATCAACCCCGATCAGCTATCCACTGTCAAAATCATCTAGATCAAGGTGATCTTTGGAACACAGGTCTGAATGCTAGACCAAGGTCATAATCGGACAGGACGAAGATAATAAACTCATAGTGCTCGATTACTAGAGATATTCCAGCTAGTCTGGGTCGCTACAAGCTTTTAGGGAAAAGGGTCTTGGCTAAATTCGCAGACTAGAGATCGCCAACTCACCACATGTTGAACTTTTCCGGGCCACAGCTTGGATCGTTTTTCGAGAAGAATATAGAAATAAGTCTGTGGGATAAATACAGTTATTTCTCTAGAATGACTGACTCTAGGCATCAAGCCTTTCAACTTTCAGGAAAGGCAAATCGGGAAGTATCGATAGGAGCAGGAATGCGTATTTCAAAGCAGAGAAATTCATCATTAGCTCGCTGACGGAGAGGCAGTTGAGCGCTGGAGTCTGCCGCTCTGTGATGGTTGAAGAGTAGCCTCTCATTTTGTAAGTTTCTTATAAACACTATTGAATAGCTTAGATGGGGGGTGATAATTGGGTTTGTAGTTTGTGCTTAGGGTGTAGAGGGTTAAGAGAAGAGGGAGGTTTTGTAAGGAAGTTTGGTAAGGATAATACAATAAGGGTTCTGATATGTCTCTATTGTGCACATATGGAATGGAAATAGAGCGGAAGTAATGTTGCACTTCTGCTCGTTCTTTGTAGTTACGATATTAAACGCAGCTTGAAATAGTGGAAGGTAGCTAGGTCCGTTACGGAGACTTTGGAGTCGCGGAAGAATATTTTGTCTCTCTTAATTAAAACTGCTCTTCGGCTCATCGCGAGTGGAACTTGAATCTAGCTTTGTATAAACATTTGGGTTCTAAGTAACCTACGCCTATCTGAACGTAGGTGAGGTGATATAGATTTGCAAGGACGGTGAGAAGAAGATAAGTTAGACGAGTGAACTATCGTTGAGATATGCTATCCATCATTAGAGCCAAAATCCATCTATCTACGCATTTAATTTCTCCCCTCCTTCAACCTCGATCTCAACTCTCTGCATCTCATTCAACAACTTCCTCCAAATTTGTGTACTCTCCTCCTCTACCACCCCTCCACCTAAAGTAGCTCGGTTCCCAATGACAATAACCCCCCTTTTCGCTCTCGTGAGCACAACATTCAACCGTCTCAGGTCCTTGAGAAACCCAATCTCACCATGCACATTACAGCGTACGGTGACGAAAATCACGATATCTGCTTCTCGACCTTGAAATCCATCGATGGAGAAGACTTCAACGTTTGGGAAGAGTGAAGCGAGAGATTTGAGGGCGAGGACTTGGGCGGTGTATGGCGTTAGGAGGGCTATTGAAGGTGATATAGGGGCTGAAGATGAGGATGGGGGGATAGTGTTGAGAAGCGTGCAGATTTTGTGGCATAATTCAGTCTGGCCTTTGTTCCGCTTGGATTTCCCGCCTAGTTCTTCAGGCGTCGCGCATTCCACGAAGAGCATTCTTTTCTCGCCCGCTGGCCAGGGAAATGCAGACGGTGGGAGCGGTCGACTGGTGTTTGGAATTCCAGTCTTAAGTTTCCCATCGTAGAACTCTCGAGAGCTGAACGCGCAGATGGAGGAGTGCATGCGGTATTGCGTGTCCAACATCACCTTCGCCACCGACCCCTCCTGGGCGTCTTTATACAACCTTTCAAACAGCGAAACATCAAAGCCTTGCAAGACAGCATGTTTTTGTACTGTAGCCCCAAGCTGGACGTGATCGCCTACCAGAATCGCTTTTCTGCACCCTTTGACGAGCGGGACGAGCGAGGCGGGTTCAGTCTGTTGGGACGCTTCGTCGACGATGACTGTGTCGAAGGTTTCGGAGCGGAGGAGGCCTAAACCGGAGCCGATGCATGTTGTGAAGATTAGGTTGCAGCGTTTTATCTGATCGCGGGCTTTGTTGAGCGCGGAGTAGCTGGTGTAGAGTTCCTTTCCCATCATGGCGTCGCAGGTGTGTTGGATGAGATCTGGGGCGACTTTGCGAACCTGATGATGTTAGGAGTGGATGAATGGTGGGACGAGACACTTACATCTGTTGATACTCGAAGTGGTCGTGGGGTTTCAGCACCAAGCAGGCTCGATTTTGCTGCCTCTTCTAAGTACTTCCTCATTACATTGTCGACTGCGTTATGAGTCGGTGCAGTAACCAAGATTCTTCGATTGCCTGACGCTTGGAGCTGTCTGATGATCTCGACGATTGTGTGCGTTTTGCCTGTGCCTGGAGGACCCCATAGGCATACTAGAGGATACTCAAGAGCGGTTTGAACAGCCTGGTTTTGACTGTCGTTCAATCTTGCAATTTTCTTATAAGCTGATATCTCGCCAGCTGAAGGGCTCAAGGTCTTGATTCCGAGGATCTCGTCCGCAATAGGACAGCAATTGTCATTCTGGGAGTAGAAATTGCGGACAGCATCAATCATCGTCTTGGACGTAACGAAAGATCCGCACTTTTTGACCTCCCAAGAACATTCTTCAAGAAACGGGGGCAGGGGATGAAAGCAAGTAAATGATGCAGAGCCTGGTTGACTTGATTTGACAAGTGCATCCATAGAATAGGGTACCGCGGTGACATTGTTACTAGGCGGGTTGGCTACTGTTAAACGAACATGGTCGGAAGCGCTAAACATGCCACTCGGTGCATCGATTCTGATTCGTGTCTCGACGACAGGGAACGTATCCGTCGCTTCACAGAATCTCAAATCTAAGAGCATTGATTCTGGTTTGTGTGATTCGTCTGCCTCATCAATGTGATCCAAGGCGATTCCGAACAGATTCCGCGCAAACCGTTGGACCGAAACCGCATTTCCCGGCAGAAGTCTTGATGTTTCTGGTTCGAGACATTCGAGAATCAAGTCCAAAGCTAGGTCGGGAGAGCGAACACACAGTGTCATGAGCTCCATCAAGTCTGAGAAGTTGTCAAAAGACATGGAGTCGATTTGTGCCAGAGCCTTTTTGAATGGCTGTAAGACGAGTTCGCCCACGGTATTTGCAGAGAGAATAGGAGCTTTGAGGATGGTGGATGAGGATTCTTGTAGGAGGTGATGAAGTTCCGAGGGGAGTTTGGCCCATGATTCTAAGCGAGAAAAGGCCGCGGACAAGAAAGGGGCTCGTTCCAAAAATGTGACCATCGACCGCAGCCGGATCATCGAGATAGCTGTGCACTCCTCGTTCGTAAAGCTTGACATAAAATATCTAAAGATATCGAAAAGCATTCCAGTCTCTGATTTTTCAAACAGCCAGCCAAAGATCTCGGTGTGCGAGTCTCCCGAGTCCATAGAATCAAACGTAGCATAATTCTTCAATTTGACGATTTGCTTGATGTATTCAGGTTCCTCGTCCCAGTCAACATCTTTCAGCTTCGGGACACTGTATTCCTTCGCATTCTTTTCAAAAAGAGGCATGACCTGATCGGTATCGACATATTCTAACCATAAATCGAGATTCAACATCGATTTCACATCTTTGTTGCTGATGACATATATCTCCTGTCGCATATTAGCACATATCTGCACACAAGTTCAGAGTTCCATACTGCTCCGAGAACACCATTTCGATTGACCCTCCCAATATGCGTTTGCAACCGTCGACTAAACTTATCCAGCGCAATACTGGCTCTGCAATCAAAATTCCGTCCACTATCAAGAGTCGCCTGTCGTCCTTTCCTCCAACCCCGAGCAGTCTCTTGGTTCCGATAACTACTATCATCCGACGCGCCTTTATTAATAAAGACCCACGTATTAGCCTTTTTCAGGTCAAACAGCTGAAACATATTGCTGTCACAATAAAGACGATAGTTTTTCTTCGTAGGAACAGCCAGACGGTATGCTGTCTCGTCGCCTTTCGAATGTGGAAAGGCAAATAGTCGGACGCGGTTATCCACTTGACACTCCTCGGCTCGTTCAACCTTTTGAGGCACGTATATTGCTAGGGTCAACCGCTCATCTACTTGGATCACAATAAGTTTCCGGTGGAAGAGTTCGAGAGATCTGGCCGCTACGTCGAGGAATGTGGCTAACCTGTCTCGAGTTGAGTCGTAGATACACTTCCATTTTAAGCCTGGGTAGTTGAGCTTAAAGGGCGCGAGTTCTCTGCTTGATAGGAGGTTGGATTGGCAGAGCGCGTTGGAGATCATGCTCGAAGCTTCGAAGCTGGGAGGGATTTGATTTAGAGTCCATGCTTTTTCTTCGGCGGTTAGAAGGTTGAGGTCGAATAAGTGCAGGAATTCTGTAAGATCAGTCTTGTTCTTTCGACACCATTTGTATGTTAATTTGATGAGCTCAAATTCTGAAATAGCCATGTTTTCCCGTGCCATCAGAAGCTCCATCGCATCGAAAGTAAAGCCGTCATAGTCGAAAGTGCTTCTCTGACGGGCTTGGATGATATCTTTTGCCTCGTTGTGCAGGATGCCAAGAATGAACGGTGGATCTAGAGGAGAGGGCTGAGGAGGGCTCTCAAGCTCGCTCGGTACTTTGATTCGATTTCCATCGACGCACATGGAAAAGAGACGATTCAATTGTTGACACTCCGGAGACATTGGACCCTTGGATCTCGCCCAGTCTAGGTAAAGATTCTTTACTCTTCCCAGTGACGCGTTCGTGTATTTTGCAAAGTAGACAAGACGATCATCATCGGTGATAGGTTTAAAGCTGACAGCTTCTTTTCCACCTGGGTATTGAGCTGCCTCGGAGACTTTTTCTGGGATGAGGTCGCTGTCCCAACAGACGAAGACTATAAAGGTTGTTAGTGGTTTTGTCAGTTAGACGGAGCAAGGCGACTCACATGTATCTCCATCCAAATCGCCTCCCGACATCAAATCAGCAGCCGGTCTCGCTCCACGTGTGGGAAACACGATGCAATCAACAAGATGCGCAAGTTCGTCTCGTTCCACAGCCTTAAACTTCTGCAAGTCCCCCGGATGCAAACACGGATTTCTCGTGACCAAAACATCCATACCTTTCAGCGTATACGGCTGACCATCTCCATCCATCGTAACTTTCACCGCGCATTCTCCTTCCTTAAGCACACCCCATGCATCACAGATGCCGAAGAGCAATCTCGACTTAGGGATTAAGATCCGACATCTCTGTTCGTCTCGCTTGTTGATCATACGGTCGTATTCGGAGTTCACGAGCTTGGTTAGAGTGGGTTGGACGGTTTCGAAGCCATCGATCAGGACTTTTTCTGCAAGCTCGGGCTTGTTTGTGTATGTAAGAAAGCGAAATGCTGATCTTGAGTCTTTCGTGGCGTCTGAGAGGAATTTAAGATGCTCCGCTTGCTTTTGGAGAAGAGTGGATTCTGGAATTCCAAGTGAGTGAAGCAAGAGTACTACTTCATCATTTAGATTACCGAACCCGTAGGGCTAGATTAAAGTATCAGGTTGGTTCTTTTGGGATTGAGGAATGGGGAACATGTTACCTTTGAATACTCAACAACCGAAAAAGAATGATCATCGCCCCCATGAAATTTCTTCATCGACTTCCTAAATTTCACCCACGTCTGTTTTTCCATGCCCGGATCTAACATGAGCACGCCTTTGTAACCACGATATCGAATCTGGAACACCGACGGTGTGTATCTGGTATTTCTAAACGCAACTCTCAAAACCCTTGAGAGCTCTCGAGCAAGGTGTTTCGAAATCAATCCACAGCCATCAGTGAAAACATAATCCTGGGCCTCAATATCCGGGATATCTTGACAACGAGATGGGTTTAGAGTCATAGCGGCTTTAGCAACCGAGAACAAGAGACCAATCCGTTTAGACTTTTTAGCTACCGTTTTCATCTTCGTAAAATCACCTAAGCTCTCGACTAACTTTGAGATTTCCGGTGGCGGCGCAGCATAGAGAAAGCATGTTCGCGACTTCAATTGACTGTTACTGTGACCGTAGAAATTGTAGTGAATATTGTTCAGCTGTATACCAGATCTGAGAAGCCTGACAATGTAGTCAGATGATTCTCGAGCTGTCGCTGGCTTGCTTCTTTGCTCCTCTGTTGGATCGGTAGTAGGTATAGGTACTCGTAGCTTGAAATCAGCAAAGGAGATGCTGATAAACTGGTCTAGACGGCCTATTATCGCGCGGTTTGGTGAGTGTTGCTGTAGTTTTAGCGTAATCTCATTTTTGGTACTGTTCGAGACCAGAGAGATGGATTTTATCAAATTGTCGTGATTAGTCTTCGACGGTGAAGGCAAATTAGGAACTTCGAATATCCAGGCCCGGTCCTCAAGCTGGATTGGATTCTGCAGCACTTGCTGAAATGATTTGAGGTTCACCTTGGCCATTTTGGTGTTTTTGAATGGGCACGGAGAGTTCCTGAGACGATGTCCGCTCTTCAGATACTGCTCGTTTTATATTGGCTAACAGACGTGCAGGATTGCTGTTGTGTAACAACCATCTGGAGAGATGATTGGAAGTGTCCATCGGTAGCGACATTAGAAGTCAATGGAACCTTAATATCTGGTGTCGAAAGTGAGGCTCAGAAAAATAGATCTCAATCACAAGAAACCACCATCATGGCCGATCTGAAACCTCCTCGCAATATCTACATCGTGGGTGCTCAAAATACCGGCAAAACGACACTTGTGAATGCCCTCGAGGCTACCTTCGCCAAGAACACTTCAGTACCGCAACCCCGAATTATCAAAGAAGTCGCACGAAACGTCTTGATAAAACACAACTTCACAGCCCAAGATATCACAACATCACCATCACGAGCTTTTCAATTACAGGAACTCATTCTGAAGGCTCAATTCGAGGCTGAACAAGAAGTGTTAGAGCGTGGGGGATGGTTTATTTCAGATAGATCGGCAGTCGATCCCATCGTTTATGCTCACAAGTATGTGAGCGAGGTAGCATCATTGCAGTTGAGGCAATCTACAGAGTGGTTGCAGTTGGAGGAACGGATGAAGAATTCTCTCGTTATTGTTTGTCAAGCTGGTGCGGATTGGCTCTTGGATGACGGAGTTCGGCTGATGCCAGAGAATCGGGAAGCTTGGATTCAGTTCGATCGAATATTTTGTAGCTGTCTGGATGAGTGGGGATTGGAGTATGATGTGGTACCCTTTACCTTGACTGATATTGATGAAAGAGTTGAGTTTGTATTGAAGCGTTGGAGGTTGAGAGGAGAGAAGGAAACAGTGTAGTGTTTAGGGGATTGAGTCGGAGTTCTCTAGTGAGAAGAAGCTTCGTAACCAAATCGCTGGAGACGCTGAGATATACTGGCTGACTTGAAAGTGTGAGTTCACGCAATTGCTTCTCTATCCGTTGCGCAACGACTTTTGTTAATTCGGTACGGACTCACAGATGGCTAACTAAATCGAAGTAGAATCATTAAATGTGTCTTTCCATCCTGTTTTGTGCGACACTTTGGTCTATACTAGTATTTTCAAATTTAAGGAATTTCATTGAAGAAAGAATCCATGGTTGCCCGTATCTCAATGTTTCTGTCTCCTTATTAGTTCAACACACGTATGACTTATCTTAGGCCGTCATTAAGGAAGGAATTGTGAACTTGTAGTTAGCAAGACCTGGATAGATCATGCTATTCCAAAATAAAGAAAGGCTGGTTGTCGTACACTTTATAGTTCACACCAGTATCTCGTTAAAAATCTTCCGCCTTTGAATGCTGGCTTGTTCTGTATAAGATCGTCCCCCATTACTTAATCACTTCATGCTGGCTTGTTCTGCATGATTTCGTTCCCTATTCTTGATCTCTGGACTACATCAATCTTGGATGTTGCATCATCCATTCAGATGCTTCCGACAACTATGTTCGAGTGCTGACCAATAAGAGCACAGCTGCTTTGGGCCAGCGTGATATGCATAGTCGTCAGGTATACGGTACTCTGGCAGCTTCCTGTTATCTAGTACATGTTTTATGGTAGCCGTCTCGCTGTTCCCCTACTTGGTCTTTTCCGCAAAATGAGAATATGGTCGACATTGCGCCAACACGAATCCTTTTGTTACTGATTGCCAGTTGGAACTCCAAGGCGAAAGATTTCTTTACAGAAGCATAAATTGCTCATCTACAAGATAAGACTGGGGGACTATCCCTTGACGAGATTGGGTAGATGCCATAATATCTGATGCGTCTCTCGGTGGTGGAATAATACGCAAGCCAACAACAGGACCGAGATACCTATAGCATCCTGCTCTATCTGCAAGTGGTCTTAAAAGATGATAGGCAGAACTCCCATATAAGGCAACTACGATATCGTCCAGGCACGCGTTTCTAGGGACCAAATAGTGCTTGGTCTCGTCATAAGGAATGCTGTGTGTCGCCAAAGCGTTTGGAAATGTGGCTGTCACGTAATGCCTTCCGGCCAAGTATTGAGTAAATTGAATGGGGATATCGTTGGGGTCCACTTCTTTGGTATAAGTCCAAGTGCCGTCGAATTGCGCTGGAAAAATGAATCTCCATTCATATGATCCCCACTTGGCGCGGTAGCCATCTGCATCAGCTCGTCGACTATCATCATAATAACTTTGAATAAAGTCCCCGAAAGTTGTCCAGCTTGGCGTCGAATGGTGCTCAATCTTGTGTTCGGAATGAAGAGATAACATACGGGAGGCAATCCTCATGCCTTTGACCTTGAGATAGCCTACTGGCATATCTTTTTGACGCCAAATATCATCCATGTTTCCAGTACTCGTCAGCAGCTTAGATCCGCTCCACGAAAGTACAAAACTATCTTTTTTGCGACCCCAATCTGTTGCCCAGGACGGGACCTCGTTGTTTTCAAGGTAAGTCCGGTCGGTAAACGCATCTAAGACTTCTAGAGACCTAGTCATTTGCATGAGGAATTTGATGACGTCCTGAAATACAAATGATACAGAAGTATCATAATATACAGGGAATTTAGATAATTGCTCCAGGTGGGTTGGTAGAGCTGTAAAGAATCTAATTGAGGGGCTTGTCAATAGACCAAGCGCTCCATAGACCCTACGAACAAAATTAGTATCTCGTTTGTTTCAACAACTCTTGAATACCCAATCAGGCAGACATAAGACAGAAGTCAACTTGGAATTTGCAACTTTGAGGTGTCATAATAGGAGCCATGAGATGGGTGTGTATTTACCTGTCCCGTTCGTCAGAAACGTCAAAAAGAGCACCCGAACGTAGGACAGATAGCCAGTGTTTAGTGAAGCTCCGAAGTTTTCCTTGCACCTGAAAATCATATCGGTCCGTTCCAGAGTGTTGGTACTCTCTTTTATATACGGAGAAGGTAGGTGGCATACTTCTCTGCCTTTTGGGGATGCTTGGCAATCGTGATGTCTGGACAAAGTCAAGTCGTTTGACTAAATCCGCGAAGCTACCGAAATCGTGATTATAATGACCTATCTGAACTGACATTCTCTTCGCCGCAAATACCTCCTGTCTTACCCACGTGCGGAAAAACCATCTCCGGCTTAGAACATCATCCAAAGCTTGTTTAATCAAGGGTTCTATAGCTTCGTCCAGGATCTGATCTCTCTGCTCCAATCTTCGACAGGCATAAAAGAATTGGCCAGATATATGACTTGGTAGTCCTAGCCAAGCCACAACATTTTCCGCTTTCTCGAAAATACGAAGCATGTTTTTCACCTGCTGAGCTTTTTCCTGCAAGTCGAGCTGATTGATACAGATACCATCACACCACAAGTACCTCTTTTTACCACCTCCTCCATCTCTTAGGTACAGCAGTGCATTGGCTAATTCTCTTGCTATCAGAAAAGCCTCTCCATTGATGGTGATTAGACAGTTCGGCGTTGGATCACCCCAGGCATATGAGAGAGCTTCATAAGCAATGGTAGTACCCGTAGCCGCCAGTCCTAGTCCAGGTCCATCTATGACATCGACAAGGATAAGTTCGCATTTAATAGGCAAAGTAATTCGTTCTTCAAAAACCACACAGTTCATCAGGAAGTATCCTTTTTCGCCTGCTTCGTTCAACCCATAGCACCATGTTTCATCCAAGCTCTCTTCTTCAGAGATAGTGCGCACTGTAGCGCTCAGCTCGTGAACTGCAATTGCCGTTGCAGCTGACATAAACTTAACCTCAGATATAACTTCTTCCTTTCGAAAACGAAGTGCACTTTCATGTGGAAATGAGTATCCATGAGGGTAGCTTTTACTCCAGTCCTCAAGAGCGATTGCTCGTCCGGAACTCTTGTTGATCGCTCCAAGAGATTTTCTGGCTGACTGACCACTAGAGCCGGGGTTTGTTTCTGGATGTAACACCAATATTCGGGTTTGCCACGATTTGAGTGGCGTGTAGGCGCATTTTGCTTTCTTCTCAGCGTCTTTTGCATTTTCCCTGGCTACAAAATGAGGCAATAATAGTTGTGGAATGTGTCGATAATCGCGAATACTGTGAAGACATGTCAATTGGTCTCTGTTCAAAGCTTTACCGTTGACGTAAGCGGAAACGCGTGCTTCGTTGGAGTGAAGGCTACCATGAGTTCGTGGAGGAGGAGGAGGAGACAATTGCGGCGTGCCGGAGTCTGCCGCTCTACGATGGAAATCACCACTCAAATTAGGGACGACCCTAAAACTCTTGGGGGCCATTGTAAACAGTTTTGAAGACAACTACTGAGGGCATAAGAGGACCGACGAAGTGTTCATGAGGTCGTCGAGGCTGAGCAGCGCAATTCCAAGGTCAGCTGAATGGCTTTTGCCGTCCAATCAAAATACCCAATCTAGGTCCAACCCACATGCTGTATTGTATGAAGAGGCAAAATGAGGCACTCAAATATCCAAAACGCACCATTTTTGACTCTGCTATAACTTTGTAAGGGCCATAAGCTCCAACAACCTGTAGCTGAAGTTTTGTCAATAGGCGACAACTGACTAGCTTTTATTAGCCAGTAAAAACTTTTTGCAGCGGTGCTTCTAATGATCTAGAATAGTGTGAAACTATCGAACATCATGAACGCAGTTCCAACGAGAATATCTGCTTATGAAGTGAGTAATAATAAGAGAACATACAGGGGACGTTAACGTGACTGAAAGGCTTGCTCATAACTCGCAGAGGACAGCTTGATTCAGCGACCACATCTTCTTCTGCAGAATAATATCACTTCTTAACAAGATCCTCCAACCACTTCGGCACTTCCGTACCCAAACCCCCAGCAACAAGCGACAAAGCAGCCGGCGCTCCCCCAATAGCACCGAAAACCCAAGAATAAGCCATCTCATGACCCTTCTGAATCGCAAATAAAGCAACATTAACCACATCCATAACAAAATTTGGATCCGTGCTAACACGCATCGCAAGCTGCTTCGTATCTTGCACCACCACAAACTCCACGCTGAGATTCTTCGTCTGCAGAGACTTGGGCACTGTGTTCTGGCATACTAGCGAGTTGCCACCAGCTAGGTTGTAAGAGACGAGAACTTGGTCAGGGTTATGGTAGGGTGGGACGGCCCAGAATCCGGCCCATTCTGGTGTTGCTACTGTGACGGAGCCGGTTTGGGCGATGGTGATTGTTTCACCCGAGTCTATCATGACTTGGCCGGCGAGCGCGAAGGTTACTTCGACGCTTGGTCCTTCGCCGGAGTCAAAGTTGCTGAGTGATGACAGTTGGCAGCCGAAGATCCTGCCGTTGTTGATATTTGGGGAGACTTCTTTCGTGAACTCTTCTTTTTGAGATGCCTACCCAACATTAGAATTTGTTGTTATTGTACTACAGGGGGATGACTTGCGGTGGAGTTTTTGGAGTATGTTGAATCAATACTCGGCCACCAGGAACCGGAATTTGGAATGTTGAATTTGTAACCAGTTCTCACCATCTTAATACCCTCAGGCAACTTTTTGACGTTCAAAGTCTGACCAACACCTCCGTAAACCATGTTGTCGGTTTTATAAGCTTTTCTAGTATACTGAAAAGGAAATTTTGAGAATCCAAGTTTACAACGCTGAAGAGATACTTATATATGCTTTCCAACAACAAATTTCCCGTTGTAGCTTTTGTTCTCGCCAATAATGGACTGGAGGAGGTATAGATTGGCTATGCCGTTCCTAACGGCAGCTGAAGTTACCAGTCTGGGTTATTGTGGGGCACTTTTGTTCTAGATGGCCGGGGGATTATCGAAAAGAGAGTTAGTCGATCCCCGCAACAACTGAGACAAAATGAAAGAAGTAATTGTCAATTATTGATTGTCAAATAATGTCGCTGCTCGCCACCGCATAGAAGTTGAGGATGCCGCACTGCAGATTGTGGCGTCCGTTTAGGTGTAGAAAGCTCCATCCCTTTTTGAAAAAAAAAGCAGCCATCAAATGTAATAGGACGAGGTACACTAGCTGAAATGTACTTGCGTGCATTAAAGTTTCCACAAATAGCGGTACAGCGGACTCCTGCTGGGTGAACGGCATTCATTCAGTAACTCGCTACATTCGCCCAGCGCTTACAGTGTTGACCGATGCCTTTCATGAAATTACTTCGAATGAATTTCATGCCTCTTTGAGTTTAGAGCCTTGATATGAAGAGGGCCAAGTAAAACGAGTCTATCGTGAATTCGAGATTTGAAAGTCATTTGAAAATAAATGGCCAGCATAAGTTGCAAGTGAGAATCGACTCTTGAAAACCCACCGAGAACGGTAGCACTTGGGATATCAACTGGATTCCCATGACATCGGTCTTCTTGGGCGCCTTGAGTTGCACGTATAAGTCGTTCGAAATGCTCGTCATTATTTGCATCTCAAATAAGCACAATTCTTTCTTCAGATAAAGAGGAAAGCATTGATTCCATCTCAGTAATTGAGGTTGTCAATTGAAATATCCCGACTCTTTCAAATTCGTTGGTTCTTGTCTCCCGAAGAATTAATCCGTGCATTTGAGGATTTAATGTAACACCAGGCAGAGGTTGCAAAGATCGAATGATGATTCCGTGGAATGGGAGGTCATATTTCTCGCCGCTCGCGATACCTTTTTCGACTGTAAGGTCATCAAATCTCAGATACGGATTTAGTAATGACTTCGCCTCCTTAAGAATGTCCCCTCTCATGCTCTCCATGGATTCTATTCGAACTTCAGATTGACTTAAGCCGCCGGGTTCCTGAACGGCAATATTACTGAAACATACACGGAATACGAATCCGTTCAGAGTCAGCCTGGCTGATAATACTTGTCCAAACGGGTCTGTACAAGCGGTTTGTATATTGTACGAGTCTAGTGTTGCGAGTGGCTGGATGACGTATTTATCTTGATGTCTGTAAATGAAGAAGTTGTTGATCCGACCATCGACAGATGCCCATGACCACGAAGGTGCCCGGTACTCAGATCCACGATATAATTTCCTAGGAGGATGCTCGAGGCGGGCTAGATGCCAAAGTAGGTTGTTGAAAATACTGGATTTCCACATTCCGGCGAGATACACGTCGTATGTCTTTGGAACCAGCTCATGCGCTCGTCTTGCAACACCTGAGAGCGCAATGAGCTTGTCCCCAGGATAAGTCAAGCTGCACGAGGAATATACTTGTATGAGATCGTCCCAATAAGTTATATTATTATTCCACGGGTTGAAGTATCCTCCATCTGAAAATATATCAGCGAAGTCCGTAGGAAAGTTCTTTGGAATAGCCTCGCATGCGAACATGTGTTCACATTCCCAGAAGACTTGAGACGGCGAGAAATGAAGAGCTCGGGGTGCTAGTATCCGTTCTTGTACAACCCATGCCCGAGACATTAGTGGTTGGGTGATGAACTGATGATGAATTGTTTCCGCAGGCGTCATCACTACAAATGATCCACCAGCAGCTTGAGGCCATAGAGGTTGCACTATCGTCGCTTCTATCATTTTTGGGTCTCTTGGAAACCAAAGTCCATGACTGGCGTCAAATGCACCTGTAGAAGCAATGTTGCAGTACGAGAAGGAGTAAACATCTGCCATGTGACTTGCCTCCAAGCGCCACTCAACAACATCATCCTGAACAATGCTGTAGTAATTAATAGTCTGTGACTGGGATTTTAATCAGTGCGCTCACCATAAAGAGTCGATCCATAGGTATTGGACGCCTAACCATCTAGTCACCTCAACGGCATCTCTGTAGGTTTTGGGGAGAGACTTCAATAGTATTGAGCTCTGAAGCGACGTCTTGTTGAATTTTTCCAGTTTCAGAAAGTCCCCTTTTCCCCAACGATGACTTAATGTCATATAATTGTTGGTTCGTGTGTTGTCAAAGTGGTCGGCGGAATTTACGAGACGTATTTGATCATCCCCAGAAAGTCCAGAGACCTGAAGAAGTCGAGTCGGCATGTAATGCCTAAAGTTCTTCCGCGTACGCCGAGATGACCGATGCTTGTGACAACAATCTGATATCCACTCTCTCATCTGTGCTCGCAGCTTTACCGAATCGGTAGAGTCTGGTAGAACGATTTGATCTGATGACAGTCCATGAGCTTCTCAAAATGTCAGCTAATTTGTCAGCGTAGGTCAAGCACCCAAGAGTCATACTCTTGGTAGGTTCTATCAATACTTCAGATATTGCAAGAAATGTACGAGCCACATTCTTTGATCCAGGTTGATCTGGACTTGTTTTGTGACCGAAGATAGTAAGTCCAAATCCTTGGCTCTCCGAGGATTTCCAGATTCTAACAGATGTAACCGGATCCACCTTGTCGGTATTTGTCGAGACAAAGAATGGAATTAAATGAATACAAATTTGACACGATGCTTCACTAGCTTTCTGCAAACTATCGAAGCTGGAATGATGTGGTAAGTAGTGGCCAGTATACGGATTACCTTGATCAAAAGTTTCTTCGCATTCTTCACAATAGTGAGAAAAGATCCTTTGGCAGGTATCGCAAAGCATTTTCAACGCTGAGTATTGCCAGTCTAATCTTATTGGGTAGCAAGGGAGATATCGTTTCGATGCCTCTCTTCTCTCCAGTGTACGTCTGAGAAGAGTCAAGCAATCTTCGAGATTTGCATAACGATGGTCAAAGACTCCTCGTGTTGCGCCGTGCTGGTAGGGTTTTGCAAAAGGACGACGACCTTTCAAAAGCCACTAGTGCAAGTGTATGGCATGACATGGCTGGGTTAAAGCATTAGAAGTAGTTCAAAGTTTCATTGCGACTCAGTAAATGCTAGAATATGTTTTGGGGAAGTAGTTGACAAGAGGCCATCGTGGGAAGATATGCAGGTCAGCGTCACGTGATGAAAAGCAGGTCTCAAAATCTTTCGCCAAGCCTTTATTATATTCAAACAACAACCATCTTTCGAAGCGCAATAAAGGGGTTGCCGATGCAAAGGGAATTGTTCTAAAGATGATACATCGAGCACGTATCTGCTGAGAATTACTGTCGTACAGGAGAACCAGAAACTATTGTATCAAGTCGTGCGCGGGTTCCAAACCGCGTCACGATTTAAGGATGGCTCCTAATACAGAATCTCATGGACAGCAGCCAGGGAATATGTCTTTTGAGACTCTCAAGTCTAATATTCAGCACACGACAACTGCAAGATTGGGAAAGCTTGGAATTTCAGGACGCAAAGATATAGAGACACCTAATTTCTTCTCAATCGGCTCTCGAGGTGTAGTGCCTCATCTGACTCCCGATGTCATCTCAGCCCACGCTCAATTCAGTGGTATACATATGGCTCTAGAGGATTGTAAGTTACAATTTTCTTTGTGAAATCATCTCAAATCTGGAGAATTTACTAATAATCAATAGTCATCGAACGAGCAACCACTGGCACACCACCCGTGATGAACGTACCAGGAGACTCTCCTCTACACACATTTACTGCTCTTCCATCCCATTTCACCACCCTCCTAGCACCCAGAAGAACGCCAGCAGTCTCCGCCCCAACCGGAAACAGCAACACCGCAATCTCAATCTTCACTTCAACCGGCTTCCAAGTCCTCCCCAACAAAGCCTACACAACCTACATCACCAAGCTCTCCCCCGACCTTGCCGTCGGTCTCGCCGACGTCCCCTACGGAACCGTCCCCGGCACCAAAAGAATCGCCAAAATGGGCGATCGAACAGAGACTTGGCTGACCGAACTCCTCGCCGCTAAACCAGAGCGTACAGCAATCTTCGCGCCAATCCTCCCCATCGACTCAAACGCCCAATCCGAATACCTAAACCATCTAGATGACATAGCCGACCGCATCCACGGCCTCGCATTCTACGACCCCAACACCCTCCCCGACATCCCCGCCACCACAGCCTTAACCCGTCTCCCCCGCCTCTCCCTCTCCGAACCGCGCTCCCCCTCTCAAATCCTCCGGCAAATAGCGCTAGGAATGGACATCTTCACCATCCCCTTCATAAACTCCGCTACCGACGCCGGAATAGCACTGGATTTCTCCTTTCCCTCCCCCAAAACCAAAAGTGAAAGCACCGCGCCTTTGCCGCTGGGAACAGACATGTGGGCTGCCACACACTCAACATCCCTCCTCCCGCTCTCAGAATCATGTACGTGTTACGCGTGCACCGCGCATCACAGGGCGTATATCCAGCATCTCCTCTCCGCGAAGGAAATGCTCGGGTGGGCGTTGCTGCAAATCCACAACCACGCCATGCTCTCCGCGTTCTTCAGCGCGATCCGGACATCGATAGCAGCGGGGACGTTTGAAGAGGATAGTGATGTGTTTGCGCGGGTGTGGGAGAGTGAGATGCCTGAGAAGACGGGACAGGGGCCGAGGGTTAGGGGGTATCATTATAAGAGTGAGGGGCCGGGGGAGGGGAAGAAGAATAAAGCTGCGTGGGGGAATTTGGGGGTGGGTGTGGATGGGGGTGAGAAGGATGCGGATGGGAAGGTTCTGGAGGGGGGTTTGGTGCCGACGGAGGGGCGGGGGAGTTGGAGGGGAAGGGGTTTGCGGAGAAGGCTGAGGGTTTATAGGGAAATGCATAGTAGAACATCATTTTAGAATATTATATGTACTAAGATACACCACTAAAATCTAACTTTCTTAATTCCTATCCGTTCAGTCGAGCTACCTCGCAGCAGTCGCATTCCCACCAACACCAGGATGCGTCGCGCCTCCCTTCGTCTTAAACCAATTCAACATCTGGAACAAACTAGCTTTGGGCACCCTCTCCATACTCGTAGCATTCAAATACTGCACCCCGAATTTAACCTGATTCCCGGAGAACCATTCGAAATTATCAAAGATCGACCACGCGAAGATACCAGTTACATTGACACCTGTTAATATCAGCAATTTGTCCCATATCTCATATCCTAAACATAAAGTTAAAGAAGGGGGTTAACGTACGATCCACAGTCTTAGCAAGCAAAATATTATCCAAAAACCCCTGATAATAATCCGACCGTCGTAGATCCCACAGGATATTCTCAAGTTTCGTTTGTTGGCCCTCAAAAGGCTCTGCGAATCCAAATTCAGAGACCACGATATCTGGCACTGTCGGGAAGAGATCCTTCGTGATGACGTTCAAGAACCTTCGGATCCCAACTGGCGTGCTGTAGAGCCAGCTCATCTCGTTATCCGCCGATGGACCAAGTGGAAAGCCGTCTGCGGCAAGTGATGAGGAACTGGCGCATTCGGGGAAGGCGGGGTGTGAAGAGTTTGCCGCGCAGGCTGCGGAGCCGCCTGACACGGCGGTGGCGAGGTAGCCTGTATATGCGTCGATAGCGAAGAAGTCGCAGGAGCCTTTGATGAGGTCTTTTTCGGCTTGGGTGAAGTTTGGGAGGAGGGAGCCGAGGGTTTCTTTGATCATGGGGGAGTAATCGCCGTCTCGCCAGCAGCCGTTGAACCAGCCTAGGACGAATTCGTAGTTGCGTGCTACGGCGTCGAGGTCTTCGGTGGAGGTGGAGTTGCCTTCGTAGTAGTTACCGGAGTTCTTGAATGTGATGCGTCCGCGTCCTTTGAATTCTTCGTGGTACCATTTTGCTACTTTGGCGTGTGCGAGGATCGTGTAGTGAGAACAGGCAATACGAGCGGAGAGTCCACCGGTGATGTTGTGATATGCGGGATAGATACCTTTGTTGTTGCCAGCTGGGTAGTATTGGTATTGCCAGTTACAGTATTGTGCTAGATATTGTTAGTATGATAATTGGCAAGTATTTTACGGCAAGACGAACGCTCGTTAAAGGTGTACCAGATTGGAACGTATGCGTCGTAACGGGTAATCACAAACTTGGCATAGTTGAAGAAGTCATCGATGATTTTAGGGTCGGTCCAAGCTCCATACGAGTTAAAAAGTGCTAGGGGAGTATCTATAATCTTTTAGAGCAGTTCAGATCAAGGCGGGTATTTGACTGACCCCAATGAAAGAGTGTGACTGCTGGTTTGATTCCGTTGCTGACCATGTTTGCAATCACATCATCATAATGTTTCACACCCTCTTGGTTCAGAGGCCCATTACCGAAAGGAAAGAATCGAGGCCTGATATGATGATTAGAAAATTAATTGAGAGCAAAATTCCAGTAAAATGAGCGGTAACTCACCATGAGAACGATGGGGAAAAGTATGGGACGCCAAGCTTAGCGAGACGAGCAAAGTCTTGCTTGTAAAGCCAGTAATGACTACCAACAATGTCACCAGTCGAGTTGTCCGAGACGGATCCGTAGTTTCTATGTGCCAGGAGGTCCCATATTGACGGTCCCTTTCCTTCATCTTTCGCAGCTCCTTCAATTTGGTAAGAACTTGCTGCGATGCCCCATACAAAGTCATTAGGCAAAGAAGCAGACTCTAAAGACGGGTCGGAGGAAGCAACCTAGTCCGTGTCAATTGAGACACAATAGTGAGAATAGAGGATGTCTTACCAGAGGGTGGAAGACTCCAGGACTCGGATATGCTGAAGGTTCTGGAGTTGGCTCGACGGTGGTTGTGATTGGACCAATTTCGATATCTCCAACCTGATTCCAAAGCATGGCAAGCTCTTCATCCGTATAAGCATAGCTTATTGTTGTCGTAGCTGCGCTGACATTGTACACTTTGGTTTGGTAACCTGCTGGTTGAGAGAAAGTCGGCGTCCCAGAACTATTCCATGCTGCCAAGGTAGCAGGAACTAACAAAGAGACAACAAGTGCGACGGACATGACTAAGAAATCGGTATCTTAATTGGAGAATACCAGGAACCGTTAAACCAATTGAGAAATAAACATGGGGAGACGCATTTTATAGCTTTGAAGCTTCAGAGAGCTCAACAAACCTCGGTGCTATTCACTGGCGAAGAAAAGAAATTCCACCACGGATAATTTAGAAAGGTAAACAATATGGAGCGAATATGCATTTTGCCTGGAGTACAGCATAGCTCGGGTGGGTCTGTTCAGGTACAAAGTGGTGAAGCTCTATGAAAAATGATGTCAATGGGATGGTAGTACAAAAGGTACATGGGTACATCGGGAGGACGTCCTCCGTGATGGAAAGAATCGCGAAGTGCAGTAGAGTGAAGGAGAAATTCCAATTGAGGCTGCTGGATAGTATAATCAAGCTTTCTCGGGAGCTTTCCAAGAGATGAGCGTTGAGAAGATCTGATGAGACATACTCGTCGCGTACCTAGGTACTCAAGTATTGTTTGTAACATGTCAACAAACTTCTTCGCTTCCCCTCTTCGTCTTCAACCCCGCACGTGTTCCCACCAGACGATCCCGGTTGATATCCCCTCTTGCCTTTCGGGGAGTAGACTTGGAAATTTGTGTTTCTTTGGTGACCTGAGATGGTTGGGAGGCAGGTGGTGTGTTTATATATGATAGAAAATGAGGTTGTTCGCTGGTGTAAAATTGAAGAAATTTTATAGGCAAGGAGTTTCTTGTTCCAACTTTTGGACTGTACTTTCCGATGGCTTGAAGTTGCCATAGATTTTGTAACAATTCTCAGAATACAGTATTTATATATGCAAGCTAAACAAAAGGTCGACAGCATGGGCATGATACTTTGGAATAACTTTGCAAGGTGGTTGTTGAATGTTGAAATTGAATACCAACCAAGGCACAAATATCAACGAAACTGAGATTGATGCTGCACGTGAAAAGTGGATTAATCACGTGATCAGTTGAATTTGTGTGGGGAACTGGGGAAGCATCCTCGCCCTCGACCTCCCACCCTCGTTATTGACATTTACAACCCGACAAACTGGTTCCTGGGAGTCAATTATCGTACTACTCAGCTTGAGTCGCAAGCACGATTACCCGCACAGATCCGATGGATATGAACTAATCAGCATCTTTGGAAGACATAACCTCGTTTCCAGCTCTTGAGCTCTTGATCGTGATGAATGTTCATCCTTCACCCACGTTCTGGGAGAATTCCGGGGCCGGTTAAGAGTTTATGTGCTGTGGCTTGCCAATACTGCGGATCACACCCATTCTGCTCAAGCCAGCCACTGTGCAGCTGATTCGAATGGAAGTGGATTGACTCGATCCACCACTGTCCGTTATTTCAGCGACGAGAGCCAGTAATTGGCTATCATCTCGCTTCAAACGCATCGCGGACTGAATGCCGACATCGCGGGGTCCAGAGCAAAATGGGCCAAGAGAGAGGAGAGCTAAGCTCCAAAAGCAAACTATCCATTGAGAAACTGTCAAGGTCAGCAACCTGCACGGCCATCTCCATTTCTGGAAATCCCCGCCATCCTCACCACACTACTTGATGGCTGCTTCTCCAAAGGCTAGAAGGGGATGAGGACGAATCAAATGTAGTTCTAGTCGCAGCGGAGACACGACAGCTACCTCCTAACTCGCCTAGTGGACGGGAACGCCCCCGAGTTCCAAATGTTTTTTGACGGATGAACATTTTGCCCCGCTGTTCACGTTCCACGGACAACATCAGCTATGGTTAGAGTTCCTGAAGCTCTGGGTTCTGGAAACAGACCAGGATAAAAAATGCTCCACACAGAAAGCCCTAATCTAGATTTCAATATATATATTTCCCCATGATTCCCCAGATCCCCAGATTTCTTTTCTCCATCTCCTGACCAGAGCAACAATTCAGCTCCAGGATCTCAACCCAATTCAAACACCTTCCAAGTTGATCTATTGCACTGAGTCAAGATGGGTTTCTTTGAGAAAGTGGAAGATAGGCCGACGCCAAAGAGCGTTTACAACTGGCGGGTCTATGCCATCGCAGCCGTCGCTGGTTCTGCGGCTGTTATGATTGGTTATGATAGGTATGCTTCAAAATCCTTGAATTGGGCCTTCTTGAGTCTTGCGACTTCAATGTTCATTATGCTGATGCTTTCCAATTAGTGCCTTCATTGGCGGAACGCTCGCTCTTCCATCATTCAAATCAGAATTCGGGTTCAACAAAATGAGTAAACACGAAGTCGATTTCCTCAGCGCAAACATTGTCTCCTGTTATCAAGCCGGTGCCTTCTTCGGCGCTCTGGCCGCCTACGCCGCCGCATTTTTTGTGGGTCGCGCACGTGGTATGGCCATATTCAGTGCTATCTTCTGTCTTGGTGCTGGATTGATGTTGGGTGCAAACAAAGAAAGAGGACTTGGTCTTATTTATGGCGGTCGTGTCCTTGCTGGCATTGGAGTTGGTGGATGCAGTAACATTGCCCCCATCTATATCTCGGAAATTTCGCCTCCTGCCATTCGTGGTGCTCTTGTCTGTATGTTTGAACTGGGATGGCAGATTGGTGGACTTGTCGGATTCTGGATCAACTACGGAATTGCAGAAACTCTCGCGCCCAGTCATTCTCAATGGATCATTCCTTTTGCTGTTCAACTCATCCCATCTGGACTTCTCCTAGCTGGATCCTTCTGGCTTCGCGAGTCCCCAAGATACTTGATGTCCAAAGGCAAACGGGAGTTGGCCATCAAGAATCTTTGCTGGATCAGACAACTTTCCGAGGATGATCTTTACATGAAAGAGGAACTTTACGCAATCGATCAAAACATTGAGCGGCAAATGGTTGATGGTGGTCTCGGCTTCTGGCAGCCATTCAAACTCTTGGCCCGCAGCAAAAGAATTCAATGGCGATTCTTCCTTGGTGGTTCCCTTTTCTTCTGGCAAAACACGTCTGGCATCAACGCAATCAACTACTATTCCCCAACTGTCTTCAAGAGCATTGGAATCGTTGGTACCAACACTGGACTTTTCACAACCGGTCTGTTCGGCGTAGTAAAAACTGTCTTCACTATTGTCTACCTTCTCTTCCTTGTCGACTCCTTTGGACGACGAAGACTTTTGATGATTGGTGCAATTGGAGGCAGTTTCTGCTTGTGGTACGTCGGAGCATACATCGCCATTGCAAAGCCAGCTCTTCACCAGAGCGCCAAATTATCGAGTGGTGGTATCTCAGCTGTCTTCTTCTTCTATGTGTGGACGGCATTCTATTCTCCAACATGGAACCCAACTCCATGGGTTCTCAACTCCGAGATGTTTGACAACAATGTTCGTGGCTTAGGTCTCGCATTTGCCGCAGCCAATAACTGGTTCTGGAACTTCATTGTCGGTATGTTATCCTCCTTCGCCTCTTCTCTCTAGCTTGACTGACATTGTATATAGCACGATTCACACCACAGATGTTTACCACCATGGGTTACGGTGTCTACTTCTTTTTCGCTTCCCTCATGATCCTTTCCGCCATATTCGTCTATTTCTTGATCCCAGAAACCAAGAACATTCCTCTTGAGGCCATCGATCGTTTGTTTGACCGCCGCCTCAAGGCAAGCCAGGCACACGCTATCGTTTGGGCCGAATTGGAACAGGAAGAGGAGGCACTCCGCGCCGGTCTCGCAGCGGGGCTGGAAAAAGAGGGTCACATGGTCTCCCAAGTAGAGGAGGTCTAGACGGCCATGCGCAGGGGAAACCATGTTTGTGATTTATTGTAGATATATATGCTCGGGGTTGTGGGGTTCAGGATATAAGATACCATTCCAAATGAATTTTAAAGTAAACATATAGATAATGAAAATCGCTCAACCAATATTGACATGAATTGTGAAGGCAATAAGTGAACATTCGAAATTAGCATCTCAGTAAAAGTGCTGTGAACAGCGCTTCCGGGGGGAAGCCTGATCGTCTTCAACGACCGCTCAGCACTTGCTGATAGGATCCTAGATGATACCACCTTCGAGAATACAGCATCATTAGTAGACAAAGTGACAGTCTCGTGGTCACGATGCGCCCCTCTGAGCCCACCTCCCAATAACTAACACAGTCTTCCCCGAAGCTCGTATATTAATTCCTCGACACCAAAAGTTTTGCCTCCAAAAAGGACATGTAGATCATAAAATGAAACGACCTCGCCATGGATCGCCGAGGTCGAGATTAACGACAGATCACCTCTTTCTCAGAACAATCCTATTGCATGACCTGTACTGACAACAAGACGTTATCAAAGCCAATTCCTCCGCCTTCCCACCATGTTTATGTGGCGAGTCGGCGAAGTTGATGTTCGTTGAGGAGGAAAGCAGTCGAGTTGCGCGTGGAAAATTTCTGAGGTCGCGAGGAATTTGTGGGGGTGAGATAGTAGGGTCTGATTGGTTGAAGCGGTGATGTAAGCGATGAGGAATTGGGCGCTTGTGATTGGTTTCTCTGGGCCGAGGGAGCTTTGCGCCGGTTGATGCCGTGTTGACGACGAGAACGTTTGATTGTGAGATCACGACGAGATACCTCTTTTTTCAACCACATCCAAACCACTCCACTCCCGATTCAAAGGGTTTGTAAGAATAATACGACAAGATGTTGGCACAGAGAGTCGCTCAGCAATCGCTGCGCAGATGTACGTACCCGTTGCCTTTCCAGACAGTCTTGAAAGACCATGATGAAGCTTCAATGGATCGAATATCATCACGATACACATGCTAATAGATATATGTTTACAGTAGCAGCAACCCCCTCCCGCAATGCAGCACTCCTCAAATTCTCACTCACCCCCACCGCAATCCTCACATCTCCTCAATTCCGGTTCGCCCCTCCACCACCTCCCTCCCTCTTTCCCACAGCAATACTAACTCGATATCTACAGACAAGTCGCAACCCAAAAAATGACCCCAACAGACTCATACCAGATCCTCGTCGAGCAACGCAAAAAACGCCCCACCTCCCCCCATCTCACCATCTACGAGCCACAAATCCCGTGGATCCTATCCGCGCTGAACAGAATCACCGGTAGTGTGCTCTCTGGCGCATTTTACATCTTCGGTAGTGCGTACCTGGTTGCGCCGCTTTTGGGCTGGAATTTGAGTTCTGTTAGTATGGCGGCGGCTTTTGGGAGTTGGTAAGTCGAATACACAGTTTGAGGGTATTAGGGGGGATGCTGATTTTTTGACGATAGGCCGGTAATTGCGAAGGTGGCTACGAAGTTGCTTCTCGCTTTCCCGTTTACGTTTCATTCGTTTAATGGATTGAGACATTTGGCGTGGGATATGGGGAAGGCGTTTAAGAATCAGACGGTTATTAAGAGTGGGTGGGCGGTTGTTGGGTTGAGTACTGTTAGTGCTTTGGCGTTGGCTCTTTTTGTTTAAGGGCGTGGCATGCGTAAGGGGAGGGGAGTATGAAGTGGTTGGAGGGAAGCGGATGTGTATATTGATATGAGATTGCATGGAAAGGAAGGTGGGAGGGGATAGAATGGAAGGTAAGGCTTGTTAGAAGGAACGAGTCTTTTTGCGCATGATGAGGTTGCATGAGAATACAATCACATTTCTGTAATATGGCATCAGCTTTATCTCGAAGAGCTATTTCTTCGCCTGGCTCAGAATTAAAATCCCGGTCCCAGCAACTCCCTCTATCTACTGTATACACTGACGAATGCTTGAAGTGCGTAGGCCAAATCGAGAGTCATAGCAGTACAATATTATATGGCCTGATATAGGTTTCTGTGACTAGATGGGCAGAGTATGGATACACAATTCTATTGCTTGCTATAACTGTCGACACTCCACCTAGCTAGAATGATGAGGTGTATATATATCAGTAAGCGTGTAGAGTCGACATAACTAAGAGAGTTTAAGATAAGACTCGTTCGCTGTTCGTGGTCGTTTTCCAAGATATCCTCTAAGGATAAGTAGACCCCTCTTAAGCGAGCCTTAAGGTTACTCGGTGGGTGCGTGATAACAGCGCACCTCAGGTACTGTACCCGAGCTCCCCACCAACAACCAACCCTCCCACGGACATTGTACTGAATACACATAACGAACTTTGGAAGTATATGGTTAAGTTTGCAAACCCCCTCACGGTTGGTGATAATCTAACTGCAGAAGAGGAGCGTAAGTGTATGGATTTTTGCGTTCTACTGGACAGCCAATAACAATGGCCGCGGCATCTCAGGCAGACAGCTGGGCAGAATGTCCCCCCCAGAATGTCGACAGCCTCATTTTTCCCACAAGATGCGGATCGTGTTAGCTCTAAATTTGCTTCTTTTCAGAACTTGCAGAGTTTCTAGCTAAGTACTCTCATTCAATCTTTGCATAGTGCTTCTTTCCCTTCATTTCCTCACAATGCAATATGGCAGAAGTGGCTGGGCTTGTCGTTGGAGCTGTTGGTGTCCTAGGGATATTTTCAGCCTGTATTGAGTGTTTCGATATCGTGGATGCGGGAAGAAATTATAGCAAAGAACTCGAACAATTGTCGGCACTGGTGAGTTGTATTTAGTCCTTGACGAAGTCGTTCGCTAACCTTTTTGTGTAGCTGGCTTTAGAACGACTTAGATTCTGCATTTGGGGACAGACAGTCGGTCTCGCTCCTCGCCATGATGGGACAAGCGCTCCCTACGATAAAATACTCGATCGTCCAGATATCAGACCAGTGGTGGAGCAGACGCTGTACAATATAAAGTCCCTGTTAGATGACGCGGGACTCGTCGTTGAAAGATACAACGCGAAGGAAGAAATTACACAGGAGTCGGCGGTTCAAATCCACAATGGCTTAGACATATTCAGAGCCTCTTACGAACAAGTCAAGTTGCGTATTCGGAAGCAGCAAACCAACGCATCAGCTTGGGAAGTGACGCGATGGGCGGTACACGATGCCAAGTCCTACAGTAACACAATATCACGTCTTCAGCAATTTGTTGATGGACTGGAAAAGGTCACTTCATCCACGCACTTGGCGGAACAGCGAGCCCTCCTGCAGGAGGAGATTGAGAATGTCTCGAATGTAGAATCCCTTGAATTACTCCGAGATGCCTCTTCTACGTATTCAGGGTCCTTGTCTGGATCGTCATTGTCTGGGAGTCGACTTCTAACTAAGCATGTTGCAGAATCTATTCTGGAGGTTCAAACACAGCGTTCTGAGTCACTTCTGCATGGCCGGAACTTGTCTGCTATCGCCACAGGTTCATACACAACAGGCTCTTCGAGTACAGATGTTCGAATACCAGGAGCGTTCCCAAAGATACGGTCCAGGAAAACCTCCATAGTTGCACCTTGTTGGGCATGCAAGGCAGAAAATCGCACCTGTTCTATGAAAAACGATGTTTTAAAAAACAATGTGGATGTCGGTAGCTGCGTCCGTTGCAGAGAAATGGGCCGTCATTGCACTCATTCATTTGGTGTCGAGACCTCGAATTATCGTTTTGACGGTGAGCCATTTACCAGTGAATATCCCCCAGACGAACTAATTGCCAGTGAGAGCGGGTTATCACCAGAAGTAGCAATACCACAAAACCAACGAATAATGAATGAAGTGACCCGAAAGGAAACGGATGCTCGGAAGCTTTGTTTTGCCAAGGGCGACGAGAATTATGGCAAAGTTCTCGCGCCTGTCAAAGAACAAGACGACACACGCTGGATCAATAATTCCGGTCAGTTTCTCACACACGCAGCAACACACTCTTCCGCCGCCAAGCGGATGTTCTTTGAACTAAGAAATATCAAGTCAGCCAAAGTACCATTTGTTAGTGCTGCTCCACTTCAAGACAGTTTGGATGTCATCTTGGCAAGTATCGAGGGACCACCAGACACTCCGTATGAAGGTGGGATTTTTTGGATCATAATACGAATATCAGAATCGGATCCTTTCGGCCCACCTGTCATGAGGTTTCAAACGAAGATCTACCATCCCAACATATCCCCGCAGGGGGATATTTGTACCGACTACTCGGACAAATGGAGATCCGTCTTGTCAGATGGTCTCCATGTCAGTGATAGCTCTGCTGTGTGGTATCCTTCCAAATCGACCGAAATCCGCTGGTCCTTAGGTGCACTTCTTGTTGCACTGTGCGGGCTGTTAGCAAGTCCTGATATTGACGATCCGTTGGTGCCCGAGATTGCAAGGACATATATCGAGGATTATGAAGGCTATTGCAAGGCTGCTCGTGATTACACTTTCCGCTACGCAACTTCGTGTCGTCCGGAGGAGGATGCTCTACGGGTCCCTGCTGGACAACAGGATCACGATCCCTGGCCTGATATGCTACGGCCAAATGCCCCATCGGTCAAGTTACCGGAGGATGATTCCGCTAGCATCCAGCAGTCATGGCGAGAGAAGTTAGAGCATCGGGAAAGCAACAGGAATCTTAACAGGTCCTGGAGCTCAATCAGTGGTTCATTACACCCACCTATTTCGAGAACCGGGGTCTTTGAGCCTATCACCCCACGACAGTCTTTTGGCGGAATGGGGTTTCTCGCTGTACCAGGTTCTATATCTGAACCACCAAGTTCGTCTATCTCAAGCTCCATTACTGTACCTTCAATCCCGGATCAGAAAATCATGTTGAATTTTAGAACAACGGCTTCCTCAGATGTCCTTTTTCCAATGGAACGACAGATCGATGCTAAATATCAAGAGGTCTCCGGCGTCATTATATGGGAGGGGATTGTGCTGCGCTTGAAATCTTTTCTCGTCGTCTCACGTTGGAAAAAAATGCGACTAGTTGTATGCTCAGACGGTCTCAAATTCCTCGAAAAAAATGGTGATCGTCTCTGTCCAGATATCCCCTTCACTAATATTTCGAAGCTTGAAAAAGGAGCTTACCGATACCAGAAGTCTTGCATAAGTGCTACGATACGAAAGTCTAAAGGAATTGAGACAATTCACTTCCAGCCTTCGGATAATGATGCTGTCCTTGATCAAACCCTCATATTGTGGGAGATTTTCAGAACCCACGTGTTGGATATCAAGGAACCATTTTATGATTTATTTGGGGACCACGGGCAGTTGAAATAAGACATAAAAGGCTGAACCCTTCCATTCATATAGTAAAATCTAGGACATTCGAGAGCCAACGTGCAGCTACGTCCACGCGGCTATGTGGCTCTTAGGTCGCCATGGCCATCTCAAAGCTTATATGGAAAGCCACGATGCCAATGTTGCCATGTTGCAATGAGCACTTGACACTCAGGATTCAAGCAAATATGGTCCGATGCCACACAATTTCATCATGACAACTTGATCATGGCGTCTTTGTCCACGGTCAGCAACAGTCGCATCCCTGCTTGCGAATTGGGCTGAACTATAAGATTACGTGATCATATTCGACTCTTAACGTATATCGCCATTAGGGTTCGGTGTCGTGCTTGAGACAATTATTGCAAAAACTTAGCAGTTCTCGAAGCTCTCCACCAGATAGTCCCGCGAGTATTGTTTGTGTTTAGCATTCTGGTCCACAAGGATACTGTAACAATACGGGGACATACAATAAAGTGTAAGAAGGTAATGGGCTGTGAAAGTAGCGAAGTAATTGTTACATCGATTACAGCGGCAAAGTCACCCTGGTACATCTTACATGGCGCTAGCCATCGTCTTTACCGATCGAGATGTCAGAAAGTTGTCGGGATTCGCGTTACACACCCTGATTGGCGCTAGAGGGGTCTTGGTATCCTACTACCAAGGGCCACGGTGAGATATGTCAGCTGTAGGAGCGTTTAATCACCACGGGCGTATGTCCTTATTTGTGTTCAGGGGTGCTGAAATGAGTGTCTGTGCCGAATTTCGCTCAGCTGCTGATTATATTCGAGGACATACTTTGTCGTCGCTGTTTTAAATAGAAGGTTCAGGACGGAAGGAATCTAGGAAGAAGCAGAAATTTTGCTTTGGAGTTTGTTTCCTTCTGTTAACGCACCGTTTGGACGAAAACATGTTTTCAGTGAACCATTTCGTAGCATGGCCGCATTTCTTTCCTCCATGGATACTATACAGCTTTGCGTTTCTTACTATTTATGTAAGTACCAAACTTTCATGACCAAATTTTCTTAATGTACTGACTGAAAGAAGTTCATTTGCGACGCAATATACAATATTTATTTCAGTCCGCTTGCAAAATATCCAGGCCCATTCCTAGCAAAGATATCCAGTCTGCCATCATTTTACTACGCTACTACTGGTTATCGTCACATTTGGATCTGGCAATGTCATCAAGTCTACGGTATAATTGGCCTCTATGCCTCATTTGCCTGCATTTGAATTGACGGAATGACTTTAGGCGATGCGTTTCGGTACCGGCCAGACGGTGTTCTTTTCATGACTTCGACCGCATACAACCAGATCTACGGAGCCAAGAAAAACAATGTCAAGAAATCGAAATTCTATAAATCGTTTCAGCGTAACAAGCATTTTCCAAACGTTCTAACTACTACGGATGAAGCTGCTCACGCGAAGACACGCAAGGTTCTGAATTCTGTCTTCTCTGCCGAGACTGTGCAGTCAGCGGAAGCTTTCATCATCAAGCATGTCGACCGGTGGTGTGAGATTGTTAGTGAAGGTTCAACAGAATGGACGGAACCGAAGAATGTCTCGGCACAGATTGACTTTATGACTTTTGATATTATGGGAGATTTGGCTTTTGGGGTAGACTTTGGGACTCAAGAGGCGGAGGAAAATCCAATGAAAGCGATTCCAGAGACCATACATGGGTTCTTGAAAAGATTGAATACGGTGATTACCCCACCACCGTCGTGGGTCTTGGAAACGATTGACTGACATGTTCCTAGATCGGGCACTCTCCCCTCCTTGGACTATTCGTGTGGTTAAAACCATTAGGTCTCGACGTCCTCCTCCAGGCCACGGCCCCAAAGAGCGTCAAAGATTACTACAAATTCCTCGACTCCAGCGTCGGTGAACGCATCAAGCAAGAAGACATCATCGCATCCCGCAAAGACGGTGACTCAAAAGACATCCGCCGAGATCTATTCCATAGTCTCTACTCCTCCAAAGACCCCGAAACCGGCGCCCCATCCTTCAGCCACGCGCACCTCCGTTCAGAAGCCTCTGTCCTGGTCGTCGCGGGCGCAGATACGACTGCAGCTGCTATGTCCGCGATTCTCTTCTATCTTACGAGGAATGAGCGCGCGTATAAGAAAGTTGAGGAGGAGGTTCGAAGTACATTCACTTCTGTAGATGAAATCCGCAGCGGCGCGAAGCTATCATCATGTCGCTACCTACGCGCTTGTATCAATGAATCTCAACGCATGTCACCTAGCGGCCTCACCGAAGCACCCCGTGAAGTCCTCAAGGGCGGACTAGAAGTTGACGGTACGTTGCTGCCCGCAGGCACAACAGTAGGATGTGCAGCCTGGGCGCTCTCGCATAGCGAAGAAGCGTACGATGACCCATGGGTTTATCGACCTGAACGCTGGATCGTTGACCCTGCTACGGGTGTCACCACGGAAGATGTAGCCAGGGCTGGGAGCTTGGTTCATCCGTTTTTGATTGGGCCGGGGAATTGTGTTGGGCAGAAGGTGGCGATGATGGAGTTGCTGATTTTTGTGGGGAGGGTGGTTTGGAGGATGGATTTGAAGGCTGGTGATGGGAAAGAGGAGACTTATGGTGGCGGGCAGAGGAACAAGGGGTGGGGAGAGAGGTATAGGGGGAGTTTTAAGGTTAGGGATGCTTATATTACGTTGAAGGATGGACCTGTTTTGAGGGTTAGGGAGAGGAGTTTGTAGGTCGTGGGGTGGCTTTGTTGTTCTTGGATTTTTATAGGGAGCTTCGAAATTCCTTTTTTCGCTCTTCTTCCTGACCTCGTCAAACATATGGTCGATTGCCACAATTCTTCGGGTACCCGTTTATTGGCCAGTCCTGTGTTGGTGCCTGTTGGGCTTCCAAGATTGACGGCGGACATCAGATGCTTGGGGTCGCTCTAACTCTGACTGAGTGGCTCTGGTTCGATACTATACAATGGGAAATTAGTCACAGTGTTTTTGAAAGTAAAGTGTATAAGACGTAAAGTATCTTGAGAGCACATACGAATGAACTAGGTTTTCTGAATTCTGGAGCCGGCCAATCCACGTCGGCAGGATCGCCAGCATATTCTTGTCCACCTCGATCAGAGAAGGACACAACTGGGATTTTTGAAGTATGCGGATCTCTGATTGGAGAGTTCCGTTCGGTGGGATCTGGAGAAGTTGTGGGTGAAGCACTAGATGTAGAGCGGCTGGAGAATTCCATGTTGAACGAGTGTAAGTCGAACAGATGCAGAGATAAGAATAAATTGAGAAATTAAGATCCAATGTACGTTGATTGATGAATAAATAAGACCACGCAGCCACTAGAGTTGAGTGTTAATTAGAGTCGAAATGATGAGATTGCTTACTATCAGAAGTAATGGTAAGAACGTGGCAGCGACGTATTTATCTAGTATTCTGGCACCATTTTGCTTGCTCAAAGCTGTGCCATTCTTGTCTACATTTTCCATCGACGATGAATTCAAAACGGCTTTCCAACAGACCGCACTTTGTGACCCGTTGGCGGCTCCCAAAAAGAAGTATCTATTATAAGCATATTTAGGTGTTTAAGACGCTCCATTTGAAGAGCCTTTTGCCATTACATATTCTATTTGAAACTGTTATTCAACTTCAGGCCGGCCTTGGGACTCATTTCGCCATGACATGGCTTCTACGCGCGTGTGCGAGCGGACGTCATATCTCCTGTATCCTTGGGCTTATCTCGCGGTAGTTCATATTTGAGAAACGTAGCGGCAAATCAGTTTAAAAATACTTGAAAGTAACCACTTTTCAAAGTCGTAGGGCGACTGCAGCCGCGCGCGAAGTACCGTTGAGAGGGCCGGTATTCCACTGGCCAGGCCTGATACTAGACCCGATCTCGTGTGGAAGATGATTAATTAGTAGTCAGATAAGTAATGTTTAAATTTGATTGCTGACATTTACATTACGGTTCAAAGTGTAGAATCAGAATTTCTCGGAAATATCTTGTCGGGAAATTGAAGTTAAGGACTGATATATGATGGCGATTTCTTCGCTTAAATGGCTCGCTTATTTGTTATTGTTGGTAACCTAACCTGGAAGTAGGCCATGAAACTGGTGGCAGGTAGGGAGCTATAAATAGCATGATTTAGGTTCTCGGGTCGCCCTAGAAGTGGCCCTGTTGATGGGGCCTCGGTTGGTCTTGAAAGGAGGTAGACTCGGTGGAGAAGCGCCAGTGATCTATCACTTCACAGCTCAAGTCCTGAGTGACGATATACAACTTTCGCTCTAACAGAACCCTCTCGCCCTTATAATAATAATAATAATACAGAAATTCTACCTAAGCACAGACGACAATGATGTCGGACACAATCAATAGGACTGACACAACCAGTACCACCGACATAACTACAACGACGGACCCAACAGCGACAATAGATGATAGCAGTCTATTTGATCTAGAATCGATAAGAGATGGCGAATATAGTGAAGAAGAATGGACCGTACTTAAAATATTCGCTCACGGAATCCAGCCTGCAATGCCGGGAGTCGCCGCAGAGGCTGCCCACCAGTTTGATATCTTGTGTCCACCGCTTGAGCAAGTCCACGAAGCAAATCACTATCTATACACTCTTTGGAATGTTATGATCACGATTGCCAGAAGTCCAGATGTAACAAGTGATATTCACGTGCAGCTCGTGGGCATTCTTCAGATTCTACGGCAGACCTCGAAAGGGGAGTTGGACGTTTATGGTGTGAGTATATATCAGGACCCATTTCCGTAGAGTTGAGCGCTGTCTAACCATATAAATTTCCAGGCAAAGCGACGTGTCTGGAGAGATTCACCCCAGCTTTCCTATGCCATGGATGCGTTTTTCAGTGGTGAGTTCTTCCTGACAATTCATACGCAAATCTAACTGTGCTCAAAAGATCCAATGCAAAATGTAGCGACATCAGTAGAACTTACACCAAGAGAAGCACTGATATGGAGGAATTTAAATTCCTTCGCTGCGCGTTGTCTTGGGGCCGACGTTGCAGGTCCTTACAGCGACGCAATGTATGCCATGCGATCAGCTCTCGAGGAAGATCTAAGCACCATCGAGACAAATATGATAAGATGTAAAGTACAGGTTGCCTGTGATTGGATCCTCCATGCCGCTAAGCCTTTTCTCTGGTGGGCACGGGAGAATATTGACTACTATGTTACGCCAGATGACCAGGAGGGACAATACATTGAAGGCGGCGCTCTGTATCATGGCCCACCCGCAATGTGCCTACAGCGCTGGGCCTTCTGGCAAGGGCGATTTGAAGAGATCGGAAAGGAAGATTCAATATTAGATGAGGAAACCAAGAATATCACTCTTGAAACCGCTCGGCTCATGAAGACTATCGAAAGCAGTATGGCGCCTACATTTTTACAATATCGGCCGGATAACAGAAGTTGGCAAAGTCGAAACCCGCAACCAGTAGTTCAGAAAATGTATCAGGATATTTAGTGAGATACCTGATTAGTTTCATAGTTCAACGAAACGTTTCGAGGTTCAATACCGCGTGGAATTCTACCAATTTACTTTTTTTCGCATCGAGCCTCATCACAAATTTCTTGTCTGTCTCCATCAGTTCCACGTTGCCGGCAATCCAGAAACGTCCCTACACTAAGTACAGACCTTCCAATTCATAATTTCGATACCTTGCTTTAGTACAAACAAGCAGGGTATATTCTATTTAAGCCCGTCAGCGTACAGAGAATCGTCTACACTAGCTTACTCGCTTGAGTCATCCCCCCAAACACCCCAGTAATTATACTAGTCGAGCAAAAAATCCGGAACCGCCGGCTCGGTCTGCTCGAAGAGCACCCCGATTCTGTCGCCTAGAGTTGCAAGCTCAACAGCCCAAGGCTCAGGCACAAACTCCTTGTTTGGGTCTGTCTTTTCATTCCAACACCAAGGCCGGTATGCAGTCGCAGGCTCATATCGACCATTTTCAAGTAGCTCTGATGTCCATTGAGTATTTCGAATGATGATGGTATGCAGATGAGATAGTGTGGGAGGAAATTCGGAGCTGGCGTCGTGGAACAGAGCGTTGAGAATCGGCGTCTGCCCATTTAAGACTTTCTCTTCCATCAAGCAGAGATGCTGGATACTTGCTGGAAGCACGTTGCCAAGATGAGAAATTGTTGGACAGTCACGTTGTGTGAGCTGGTCTTTTTCGCCCATGGCGACCTGTTCCTCGCGTCCTACCTGGCAATGAAATAAACTCATGTGCAACGCCAGAGTTTCAAGTCTCTCGAAGTCTTTCAGGGATCCAATGCATGTTTCGGACTCCTCGAGGGTCCCGCCAAATAATGAAAGCTCTTTTAACGTCCCCCGACTGTCTGCTTAACAGCTGACATTATTGTTCTACAACCTATCTGACTGTCTAGCCGGTCATAAGAGTATCGGAGTATCTCTAGGCGTGGCAGAGACAAAAGAAATTTGCGCAGTCATCGAAAATAGGTCAGTGGTTAGATCATTGTGGTTAATGGTGAGAAAGAAGATATAAGACTCTGAAACTTGATCTTTCTCGGGACTCAGCGTCAATTAGCGAGCGCGGAAACAATCGAATTGAGTGTGCCAATGATTCTGAAAACGAAAGACAGAATGGACCTACTGATGTTCTCTATAGCAGCATGAGTGCAATTCTACCTTTTTCATGTTAAACCAAAAATCATGAAGCTGTGGACTTTCGAAAGGAAATTCCGTATAATCTTCCAACAGTTCCAGACACAGCCATACCTTAAAACTCTGCAAAGTCTGGACACGCAGAAGGGGCGTGAATTTATCGACACAACCATCTCCATTCTGTAGCGACACTCCTCCGGGGCTTATAGATTGTAATTTTGATAGACCGGCGAGGGGTTGCGAATCGTCATTGGCCTGCTTAACAATCTCATGTAGCAGTCGAGACCAACTTCTAGTGCAGCTGCAAAAGCAGTGATCGTCCACTTGGTTCAACTGAGTCCATTCAGCATCTACTATACGATCTACTACGTTTGGAAGTAACGTGAGCAAGACCATAGTCGCGAACAACCCCGTTGGCCAACGGGGTTCGTACTTCAAAATCTCAGGCACCATAAGATCGAGTGCATCCTGAGCGTCAAGGCCTGATGCTTTGAGATACTTGGAGCGTTCGAGCAATGACAGTATGTTGAGGTCGTTTCGAGAGGCATCCATCGCTGCAAAAGATTGATCACGGAGTGGAAGTTGGAATGCTCCGCCTTGCAAATGTGCGTTTTGAATATGTTGCGCCACGGTTGGGTTCCCAGCAATTCTCGCAATGAGTTGCAGAGACGTGTAAATACTGTCACCGCCAGCAGCTGGCTCCAATGATTTGTCGTCGAATGTGAAGTGACGAAACTTGCATTTCAGTCTGTTGTAGTCTTTGATGTGGTTCTTCGCCGCTTCGTACAATCCACGGCACGATAGAGCCAGAGCCTGGAAGTCAATTGGGTCGGTAGAATGGACGACGAGAGACAAAATTTGGAGTGGAAGGTCAAGGAGCTTCATGATGTGTCTGTGGAACCACTATAGAGAAGCAACAAATTGGTGCAAGTTCGAAGGAGGCGAAGTTGTTCTGCAAAAGTATATTGGGAGCTTAGGCACCAACAAATGGCACACGGGGCATGAGATTAAAGGTAGTCTCGTTCTATTTGCCTGGCAGTTAACCTTAAGCACTTATGTCTCAAGTTATATCATTTTCAAATCAGTAACGAATTTGAGCATAGGCGGTTCCCCTTTCCAAGATTCTGGCCACCTATCTTCCACTTTGCGAAGCTCTGATATCCATTGATCTCGTGTTCTAGCTTTCCACTCGTCTGGTAAGAATGCCCGATTTTTCTTCTCAGCGTGGTAGTAGAAGATGACTTCCTTCAGATATCGGAACTTCAAAAGGGAGATAGTGGGAACCCACCAACTCTCGTCCCCCCATCGTCTCCAATACTGGAAGCGCTGTGACGACCAGAACTTATATGGCGGCATAGCAATATGCCCCTTGAGTACGACTGTGGTAATATCCGGTACCTGACGAGCCGCGATGAGCGTGAAACGCTTCAGTTCATGGACATTATTTTTGCTGGCAATGTTTACGGAGAGAGCAATCGTGTCAATGGCGGGATTGATAGTGATACCAGTTACGGGCGGCTCGGAACTTGATGATTTGACCAGACCCGATGTTGCGGGAATAAATGGAATGCCTCGATTGTCGTACTCGTCTTCCATAATTCTTTCATATCTAGCGATATTGGCCTGTCTGCTCTCGTGGCATGCAAATAATACCGCAGGAAGTGATGGAGCGGAACGTGAATATGGAACAGGATAGAACTTGCAATCACACCGAGGTGCGGCACCGTTGCAAGGCGTGATGACCATATGTATTGGGGGCCGCTCTGTTGTGTCTTGTATGGTTCCGTGATCATGTTCCTCGTCATCCTCTTCTTTTGTCAGTGGTCTATATACAGGCAAATTCGAGATTTCCTCTGGCGTATGAATGGACTCTTCTGGGCCTTCCGGTGCGTAGCCATTGTAGGCATTTTCATCTTGCTGATAATCGACAGAGATAGTGCGATGATGGAGATGAATCAACCGCGGCTCAAGAGCAAACTGCCATATTCTAATACGTAATTCTAGCGGAAGCTGATTGAATTTGAGAAATTGCTCCAGAGGTTTCGCGGTTTCAATATCCAGCCGATCCGTGGCGGAAGAAGGCATCATTGAGCGTAAACGAGACGCGACGGCATTGAAAATCTCCATGGCGGATGTCAGAATCGTACATATGATTTGCTTGGAGCCAAAGTTTGCAGGTCTTGAGGTCTGGAGAAGCTTGGAGCTGCAGTTCATATGATTAAGGACAGTACTAGCGAAAGCCAGAGGATATTACCACTTTATCAAAAGCCGATATAGAAGAGAAAGATGTTCGTATCCTAATACAGTCCGAAGTGCAATAAGGTGTCAGTGAGGAGTAGTCGTCTGCCTAGACGCGTATGTGACTTTCTGACGCGACTTTCAACCGAAGTAGATCTAGGACCCACTTAAATTCTCGACTATGGCTAAAATAAGGTACGGAGTACCTACGAGGATAGTCGACCACCTCACGTCTGCATCACTTGAACCACATCAACACTGGATTACACGAACATTTCGCATATGAGAATCATAACTCTGAAGCTAACAGCTGCTAATACCCACGGCCACCGTAACTATGGAAAAGGCAGCAAAGCCCACTCGGCTTTTGGATCTGATCGAATTGGTCCACAAGTTTGTCCCCTCTGATATTCGATTGTAGATAATAAGCTAATCTTTGTTTCCGTAAAGTATCCCTTTTGATTTCGACTTCAGTGCGTTATATGCGCTTTACTTGCCAAACGATCCCCGTCCACATGGCTACATGCTGCCCGAAACTGTAACAAAAATGCCATGGTCACCCGAATTCGATGTCCAGCACGAGAGTCGCTCCATTAAATTATCGGATAGCTCAAATGGCCTGGATACAGCGGCAGCATGTAACAAGGCCTTCCAGCAAGTCATCGATGATGCGATAGCAGCCAATGTTTTCCCCAGTGTGCACGGAATGCATAGTGAAATGTACAAGATAATGGGGGCAAATCAATTCATCCATCTCGAACGGTTTATGGCTCCTCTGTTTGGGATTGCTGCACGAGGAGCGCATTTAACGGCGTATGTGAACATGCCTGAGGGCATTAAGGTCTGGGTTCCACGACGTGCAGCGAATCTATTCACGTACCCGAATATGCTCGATACCACTGTTGCTGGAGGTGTCAAGTCTGACAATTCTCCATTTCAATGTATTGTGGCGGAATCCGATGAGGAAGCATCATTACCTAGAGACTTCGTGGAGAAGAATGCTCGCGCTACAGGTGTCATCACATATATGACTAAGAGTAGGGTCACACAGCTGATCAGACCAGATGTCATCTATGTGTTTGACTTGGAGCTCCCCAGTTCGATGATTCCCGTACCCAAAGATGGAGAGGTAGCGGGCTTCGAATTAATGTCGGTTGAGGAAATTAACGCAGCCATGTTCCGAGGGGAGTTTAAGCCCAACTGCAATCTGGTCATGATTGATTTCTTCGTCCGTCGTGGTATCATAACGCCGGATAACGAAGAAGATTATGTCGAGATTGCAGCTCGACTTCGCAGAAAACTTCCAGTTCCGACGACTCTAGCTCGTTAAAGGACCTACTCGTATCTTCAGAGGGGTTTGTTTCATTTTGATTTGCGGCAACACAAGTGGCAAAGTTTAAGTTTATGATACCCATTGGTTTCAACTTTCCTGCCTGGACTCGAGCATATTTCTACCGAGCCTTTAAACGCATTTAAAACCCTTGAATGAGAAAACACCTGGTACCCGTGGCCGGAGCCTTTCTAGGACTCAAAATCCAGATATGGATGGACCCACCAATTAAGGTTTGTGAGTGAGGATAGAGGAGGGCAAACTACAACTTGAAATCCGTGTCCGTCTCTGGTGATAGAGAACCATTGCGGCCAAATTATCTGAGACAGCCGTATCTGCATGAGCTCACTCACCTCGTCTAGAGCCTCTTCACTTCAGCCTTCTACCCTGTATCTTTTTTAGGAACTTTGCTCAATGAAGAGAGACATAGAATACGAACTTTAGGAACATCAATTTGTAGACGCTTAATTGTTTTCGCAATCTCGATCAGAACTTCGCATTCATCGACTTGTCGGTTGGTTTATAGTCGTAGTCGTAGGCCCCTGTCGGTGATTCAGGCCCCTAAAAATAAATAAAGCCAATGGCTTCCAACATACCAACACCCAAACTTCACTTCGCAGTCTTTCATCGACCAAGACCTGGCACAAATTCGAAGAGAATTATCAAGAATCAAGATTAGCATATCCTTTGAACGCCTCAGAAACGAAGAAGGCACCGCACCCTGTAGGATACACGGTGCTTGCAAATATCAGTTTAGGGCTTTACACTGCAATATGTCAGCCAACTTATTCCTTCTCACCTACCCGACACGAGCCTCACGCATCAACGGCACACGCACCCACTGGGCGCTTTTCATTCCATCTTCCACAACTCAAACAGTAGGGACTCTCATTCAGGTCCTCGGCACACCTTTCACTGGATACGGTCTCGAGTTCAAGCGGAATTACAACACCTCAACCATCTCGGAAAGATTCACGCAGCATCTTCTCGGAGAAATAGATGTTGAATTCGCACCGCACGAGGAAGACGTTGGAACGGCTAGCACTAGTATCGACGTCAACCCACGCAACGAAATTGAGAAGGTCGCCAAAAGAGTTGAAGTACCGGGAGTGAGCAAGGAGCCTTTGAATCCAAATGTAGTGAGTACATACGCTTTAAGAAGTACCTTGCCGCGGTAATACTAACTCTTTGTAGGGAAGGAGGTGTCAGGAATGGACAAGAGAAGTGGTTGAAGTTTTGATCACCAAGGGCATTCTCCGTGACGATTCTTGGCAGGTGCTAGATTCTGTCAAGTCATTGGAAATTCCTTCAGCAGGTGCCGTAGCCACATCTTCGGGATAAACTGGGCCGTGAGGGACTTCGATATCCTCATATACATGATTGTGTGTGGGAATCAAATGCTTCGTCAAAATGTGGTCGTCTCTCCCGGAGTTCTTACCGAGATTTCTCTCTACTAGGGCTTCTTGTTTCCGCCCTAGGCACGCACTGAATAATGTAACATCATTGAGCGACAGTTATATACGCTTACATGATTCAGTCCCACAGTCTCGTGGGACATGTGGGGGACGAGCCGAGCCTACCATCATTCATTGCCTGCCACCCACTTTTGCAGCCATGTTACCCCGAAAGCAAGCCACGCGACTGCAAAAGTTTATTTTGCGATGGCTTTTTCATTACCTATGACCAGATTTGGATCTTTCAACTACGAGAAGAATTCCATAGTCCGGGCCTTACATCTCGGGTGTAATCAATATCTCTCATCAAATATCAACTAAACAAACGAAAAGCTTCATTTGTATCATTTGACGCAATGCTTGCAAATTTCATATCGTCCATTGTAGTCCAGAGTTTCTGTCGCCATGGCACCGGGTACAGTAGCGCATTCTCGAGGAAGAACGATCCACTTTCGCCATTAGTAGATGCGAGTTTTGAGCTCTTACTTTGGAAGAAACCCTCCTGAAGCTTATGTGATTGATTGCAAAGGGTTTGTTCTAAGGACTCAAAAGGAAAGAGCTTCGACATTATATTTACCATTGAATTTTGGTTTCCATTTGGTCGTTCTCGTATTTCCATTAACTGCGTGCCACCTTAGCCAGGACTCTTTCTCTGCTTCATAGGCTCTGCCCGAGATTCAACCGTGGCTTGACACGCCGCCGGGTGCTGTCAAAGAGTGGACGGTGTGGAGTGCGGGGTGTGGGGATTGGGGATTCCTTGCCATCTCGTTACCGAGCAAAATTTATTGACTTTCTAGACTCACAAGGTACAAGCTCCATTCCCCCCTCCACCGAAAGGTGGGCAAGACGGAGCCGATTGATTTGCCATCATCATACTATCTTGAAAAGGGCCGTTTTATACCTGGAGACCATCCAGTCTTCAAGTCGACAAGATCTTGGCTTTGATGTAGATGACATGATCACTTACGGCTGTTGACCTGAAATCGACTTCCCTACGGCATCTAAGCGCTGTCTAATACGAGGCTGGTCGAAAGACGCTCTAGCCCAATGTCAACCTTATTCATAGCTGTGTAAGCTCTTGGCAAGCGGAGAAAAGAAAGATCTTGTCAGGGACCGCTCGGACAGTACAGAGCAAAGCCCCATTGATGAAATACGTCAATGACGTATAAGATCGCGGGGAAATATCAGTGTCCAATCTCCATAGGATATGTATTGGAACTGTATATTTCAGAGTGTGCTGATAAAGGTGTTCCATATGTGGTGATGGGCAACCTCGTGGGTTTATAGAAAGAAACACTGACTATACTGACATCGCTTAAAAACAGAAGGGTTTTCGCCCCGTGAAGTCGTTCGCAGGAGGTCGCTAGTCTCGCTATGCTAGAACCTAAAAACAAGTCGGTTCCAGCACGCCAACCCCCAGAACAAATGGGCCTCCCAAAAACTTTACCTCCGCCTTTGCCGTCCACTCCCCGCCTTTGTTGGGACAGATGCCAAGTATCCCCAGTAAGGCCGTTTCTCCAAAAAAAATATCAAGATGGAGTCCGAAGTTGTCCCACCAAAAGGTCGTGTCGGTCATTGAAGAGGGTATATAAGTCCTTGGCCTTCTGCGATTGGGTTTGAGATATCCAGGAACAGACAATCATATCCAATCTCAAGATGTTCACTTCGAAGGTGGTCGTTCTTCTTGCGCTTTCTCTCTTTGCGGGAGCTAACTCACAGGAGTTAATCACTGAAGACAGTAAGTACTCGCCTTCCTTCAACCTCAATAACAACTTTTGTTCTGTTGTCTATAGCTCGAATGCAAATCACAAATTTCTTGACAGTAGTATCCCTTACTTACCAATTTCATAGGCTACTTCTTTGGACAAAGTGAGCCAGTATACCCATCACCAACAATCTCTGCCGCTGGAGGATTATGGGCCGACGCTCTTAACAAGGCGCAAGCTTTTGTCGCCCAATTGACCTTAGAGGAGAAAACCAATCTCACTGGTGGAGTCCGTAATCCTGCAAATGGCTGTGGTGGAAATATTGCTGGAATTCCCCGACTCGGTTTCCCAGGTCTCTGTCTTGCGGATGCTGGGAACGGTGTGAGAGCGACTGACTTAGTCAATGCTTATTCAAGTGGAATTCACGATGGTGCTAGGTAAAGTCGACTTTCATCCAAGCTGTGTTCAATTTGCTAATCCGGAATAGTTGGAACAAGAATCTCACCTATGCGAGAGCATACCAACTTGGTGGTGAGTTCCGCCGAAAGGGTGTCAACGTTGCTCTTGGTCCACCAATGATCGGACCCGTTGGAAGAATCGCTCTTGGTGGTAGAAATTGGGAAGGTTTCAGTAACGATCCTTACCACTCTGGTATCCTCGCTGGTCTCTCGGTCACTGGTATCCAGGACCAAGGAGTTGTGGCCTGCACCAAGCACTTTATCGGTAACGAGCAAGAGACTGCACGAAACCAAATTCGTGACGCGTCTAATGTTACCATCCTTTCTTCTTCCGCAAATATCGACGATTCAACTATGCATGAGTTGTATCTCTGGCCATTCTACGATGCTGTCCACGCGGGTACTGGATCAATCATGTGCTCGTACACCAGACTTAACAACAGCTATGCTTGCCAAAATAGTAAGATGTTGAATGGTGTCTTGAAGGGCGAGCTTGGATACCAGGGTTTCGTCGTCTCTGATTGGGGTGCTCAACATGGTGGAGTGGCAAGTGCTTTGGCAGGAATGGATATGGTCATGCCTTCCGGTGCTGCTTTCTGTAAGTCTCGCTTAAAATACAGTCTCTCTATCATCACTGACTGGTACAGGGGGAGGAAATCTCACAGAAGCCGTACGAAACGGATCGATCCCAGAGGCCAGACTGGATGACATGGTTTCCAGAGTTATGGCTCCATATTTCTTCCTTGAGCAGAACTCACCATCCTACCCAGCATTGGGCATAGGAATGCCAGCCAACCCTCTTCTTCCTCACACTCTGGTTGACGCTCGAGTCGAGGAAGCTCGCCCCGTTCTTATGCAATCGGCCATTGAGGGCCATGTCTTGGTCAAGAATACCAACAATGCGCTTCCACTCAAGAAGCCTCGTGTTCTCTCCCTTTTCGGATATGATGCAGTTGCACCAGACCTAAATACCCCCGGATTCCGAGAGGTAAGCTTTTTCGCATTCAATTCCTTCGTCTCGTGTATCCAATTGAATGCTAACATGCTTCAAAATTAGTGGAGTCTGAGTCTGCAATCCAGCTACGCCCGCTTCTACGACTGCGGTTACGGTAATCTTATTCCACAAAACTGCCCACTTCCAGTTGCAATTGCAGCCAACGGTACTGTCATTACTGGAGGCGGTTCAGGTGGTGCTACTGCATCTTACATTTCCGCCCCATTCAACGCCATTCAGAATCGCGCGATGAAAGATAACACCCAACTCTACTGGGACTTCCGTAACCTCAACGCCACTGGGTTTGTTCAGGGAGAAAGCGATGCAGCTCTTGTTTTCATTAACGCCATTGCAAGTGAAGGTGCTGACCGTCCCGCCCTCCGCGACGACTTCTCGGATGCCCTTGTCCGCAACATCGCCAGCCAGAACAACAACACTATTGTCGTTATTCACAACGCTGGTATCAGACTTGTCGATCAATGGATCGAGAATCCTAACGTTACCGCCGTCATCTTCGCTCATTTACCAGGTCAAGACTCTGGTGAGGCACTTGTCAAGATTCTTTACGGCGATGTCTCCCCAAGTGGAAAACTTCCATACACCGTCGCCAAGAATGAAACCGACTACGGAGCGATCTTGAACCCAGTCATTGACTTGGGCGAGAACGGAGAGTTCTATCGCTTCCCTCAAGACAACTTTACTGAGGGTGTCTACATCGATTACCGCGCATTCGACGCCTCAAACATTGAGCCTCGTTTCGAATTCGGTTTCGGCTTGACATACTCCAACTTCTCCTTCTCCGGCTTGACTGCCAACAGCGTCGGTGCCAACTTATCAGCATTGCCAACTGGCCACATCGTTCCTGGAGGAAAGGCCGATCTCTGGGATGTCGTCGCTACTGTCACCGCGACCGTAACCAACATCGGAAAAGTAGCAGCTCAACAGGTTACACAATTATATATTGGCATTCCACAAGAAGGCCAGCCTGTCCGCCAACTCAGAGGTTTCGAGAAGATCATGATCCATCCTAACGCCACGGCAACTGTGGAATTCGAGTTGCGACGAAGAGATTTGAGTGTTTGGGATGTCACCGCTCAGGAGTGGAGATTGGTTTTGGGTGAGGATTATAATGTCTTCGTTGGTAGCTCGAGCAGAGATCTTCCTTTGACTGGGACTTTGAGGTTGTAGATTGAGAGGGTTGGTTTATGAATGTCAGGGCTTGAAAGCCGAATGGTAATGATGTAATGAATCGATGATTAGATATGAATACGATTTTCTGATACAAAACTTCGTTGTGAGAAGCCAACTTAGTTCTGATTTCTTTTCAAACAGATATGAGAGATTGTTGTTACACTGACACCAGATATAGCAGCAAGGGGATTAAAATAGCAATATGGCAATGGTTGATAAGCGAGATCACGTGCGCTTGGGGCTGTTCGCCAGCGACTATAAAATAACTTGCAAATCTAGAAGCGATAATAGAGTTAGTCTGTTTTCGTATATACGAGATTGTACGAAAAGTCCAATTAGTTTGTTATTATCCAGCTTAGTAGCTATGGCTGTTATCAAGTAACCATCTTTAGCAGGCTGCATGACATCATTGAGGCTTGGATTCCTGATTGCGCGGCTCGTACTCTCGTACATCGTACACCTTCGCCCAACCGCGTAATAGTGGTACCGCAGCAACTAAGGTTACAGGTTATTCACGTCTAAATGAGTATTGAGGCGAGTCTCTGGGTATGAATCGTGGAAGAAGCTCTCATATTTAAACTTCTTCGCCCATTCCACCAACATCACTTTTCATCTCTTCATAAATTTCTTAGCACTTTTGATACCCTTCCATTAACACAATCTATCCACAATGTCTTCCTCTCAATACCCACCCGAGAAAACAGAAGAACATCCTCCTCCCCAACCACCAAGACCAAAAGCCGCTGCAGGAGATGCTCCATACATACAACACCAATATCCTCCTATCCCAGTCCCACAATCAAGCTACGACCAGCAATATCAGTCAGTTCCTCAATCTGGCCCGGGATATCAGAATTCTTCAAATGTACCTCCACCTCAATACAACCCAATTGGAACAGAACCTCAATATCAATTCCCGCCACCACCTACTGGTGGTGGTCCACCAGGCCAACATCATCAAGAACAGTATCAGCCAACAACCTGGACACCTCAGTATGATGGACCACCTGTCATGACTCCGGCAACGGGGATAGCCACTGATGGAAATCATCATGGCAAACCTTCTGCTTGGGATAAAACTAGAAATACTAGTAAAGCAGGTTTCGACAAGCTGTGGAACGGTTTCGAGAAACTCGGAGTGCCAGTAAATAAACTCACAAATAAGATTGGCTCAGAGGCTTTCTGGCCGCAAAGCTTGGATAAGGAAAGTGATAAATGTGCACGTATTTTGAAATCATTTTGCAGTAAGTTAGCATTCTCTAGACTGTTCCCATTTCACAATTAACAATATTATAGAGGATGGATTCTACTCCGAGCGCCCAACAGACCCCTCCAGACCAAAAGACGGACCTAAAGGAAAACCAAAAGTCCTCGTCAAAATCCCAACCAAAGTAATCAAAAACGCCGTCGCCCTCGCAATCTTCACCACCATGCGCACCGGTCTCTGGGTTTCCGGCGCCGGCGGCTCAGGTGTCCTGATATCTCGTCTCCCAGACGGCAGCTGGTCACCTCCTAGCGGTCTACTTATCCACACCGCAGGCGTTGGATTCATGGCAGGCATCGATATTTACGACTGCGTACTCGTGATCAACACCCCCGAAGCCCTCGCGGCGTTCAAAAAAGTGCGACTTTCCCTCGGCGGAGAGATCTCACTTGCAGCTGGCCCGATCGGTATTGGTGGACTCGGCGAGTACGATCTGGGCGACCAGAAGAATCGCAAGCCGGTGTGGACGTATATGAAGAGTCGTGGACTCTACGCCGGAGTGCAGATAGATGGGAGTATCCTGATTGAACGCAATGATGAGAATGCGAGGTTCTATGGGGAGAGGGTGCCCGCGAGTGATATTTTGGCGGGGAAGCTGAGGAGTGTGCCGGAGAGTACGAGATTGTTGATGGAGGTGCTGAAGGAGGCGGAGGGGCAGAGGAATGTTGATCAGGGGATTCTAGGGCAGGTGCATGAGGTGCCGCCGCCGGGGGATATGTTGCTTGAGAAGGGGGCGGAGCCGACTAATGATCAGAAGGAGCAGTTTGGTGGGGTTAGGTATGGATGAGTGAGCGTGTATTGGGTAGGGGGTATATTAGAAATATTGCATACTGCGTTGAGTTATAAGATGAATGATACCCGAAAGAATTACCAAGATTTCAAACTCAATCTGAAATAAAGTATCTTATAAAATTATGACGTGAATTAAACTGAGAGCCTGGCTCTCAAGCTGTAAACGAACCCCAACATTTCAGAACAACTTTGTGTTTTCTATATCATCCTAAGCTCGAGACACAAGATATATGACGTTCAAGCAAGAGAAATAACGAAACATAACGTTTTTTCCAACTGAATAATTATCACTCAGTCCTGTATCAGAATCTGGTTTTCTGCCAGACAAACCTTTCTTGAACTCCTTCTTCACCAATAGATCATTGCAAACAAGTGTAGTTCGAAGGATATGACATAGACGCTTCAGATCTACAAAAAACAAAACTCCTCCATTAATTCACCAATTCAATTCTCAATTAATCGAATATCAATACACTTGGATAGTTCATCTATAGGTTGAAGCGAATCGTGAAAGTTTGCAACAGAAACTTAATATAAAAAGTATTGTCCTGCTAGAAGTATGGGATTCATATAGATATTTCGTTTGGCATGAAATTAAAACTCGGATTTGATTATAGAAGAAGTATGAAATACAAATGAGCGTAGTGAGTAGTGCTGTCAATAGACAGTTTGGGTGTCTGTACAATGAAAGTGATTACCACGGTTTTTCATTTTTTAACCCATCATCAATCTATGTATTCTTAATCTCTATTAATGGTAGTACAGTGGTAATTATGTAGTTGGACACCATGATTTGGGACTTTGAATGTAGCGAAAGATGAGCACCTGAACATCGAAAAATAAAATTATCGCTTGAAGGTTCACATAAAGACGAATGTTCAAAAAATGTTAACGTGGTAACACTTATATCGTGCCTTCCGTTCTCGCCTCAATATCAAAGCATATGACTCACACCCAAAACAAACACCTCCATCTCCCATCCCTACCACCTCAACTCCCGAAAACACAAGGACTCAGAACAAAACGCCCCTAAAGAGATAAGTCCACCCTAAAAGACACAAAAATGCGTTAAGTGAAGACGAGGGGATTCGAACCCCTGCGGATCTCTCCAGTAGAATACCAACAAACTGAGTTTGCTAAGCTAGGCTTGAGTCTACCGCCATAACCACTCGGCCACGTCTCCTATTGGATGATGCATTTCTGGGTCATTGTTCAATATAAAAACGAAAGTGAGGGTGTGGGGCATGAGAGAGGGCGAGGAAGGGAAGGTGAATGCGAATTTGGGATGGGTAGACACTAGTTGAAGCGCAAATTTCGCTTACCACGCATTTTTCAGATAGACCAAGTTGTATTTGTACGATTTTCAAAATTCATTGTCTTATACGACTGCATTTTCAAGACTAAACTTCTGCATAGTAAGGGTGAAAAGTACAGGAGTATATGGGGATCCTCGCTTAGCCGTCAGCCCCTATTGACCATTATATGTTCAATCTGTCGAGCTCACATAACCAAGTAGAGTCTGCAGCATTCACCAAGAAACATGTACCTGGAAGACGCAAGTAATGACAGACACGATAGCTAAATTTGACTCATGTTGCAAGATTGTGATTTTTCAAATTCTCACACGAAAACGCAATTCCGCACCCATAAGAAGACCACTACCCAAACCTCCTCACCACACTCATTTCAATCCCAAAATTCCACACAAACAAACTTCTCCACCAACACCAAGCCATGTGCACAGAAACATGCGTCATATTCACTCCCTGCGGCCATCTAAAACACGTCGCCATCCACCTCTGTCCTGGTCATCTAGGCCAGCCAAGGGATTGTCCCAATGGGAGATATAGGATCACAGAGCATGAGTATGTGGAAGCAAAGCCTGGGGAGTGTCAGGAGCATCCGGATGCGAGGTGTATTGGGCTGGTGTCTGTTGCTGGAGACTACGATGGCGGAGCGAGGCCGAGGATACATGATTGAGGAAGGGAACAAGGGGCGGGAGATGTGTAGCTTGGGCCAACGTCGCATGAGTGTCATGTTTGCGATTAATAAAGCCGTGGCGAATTCGCCCAGGATGTCGAGGCTCAAGCTCGAAAATGTGGCTTATAAAATCTTGAGATGTTGATATTCCATTCGGAGCGCCGCGTGTGGAACAAGAACTAGGGGCAGCCAGGTGCCAGGGACCACTTGAGTTGAAGGAGCTTTGATTGTTAGTACCGAGCTGGTAAAATGCGCTTGAAGCCATCGCATTAATATTGTTGTTATTAGAACGTGGATAAACCTGAATAAGCACAGTTACTTCAGTAACCTTTTGCCCTTCACGCGGAGACCAAACCGCTCGACGCCACTCTGCCGCTGAACGTGAAATAATCCAAGCTGCGCAACCGAACCGCCCTCCCTTCTCAATCTGTATCTTCGAATGGCTTCTCGTAGATGGTCTGGTAACAATGGTCCTCTTCTGGTCTCCTTCTCGGGTTTGACTGCATCCTTTGCAGGTGGGCTTAAGAACTCCCCTACTTGGTCATCCCCATTCGCTATGATCCATTGCGTTTGAATCCGTCTGGCATCTTCTATAAGCTCGCCAGCAAACATTTTGGCGATTGTCTTGACAGCTAATATAATGGGCGCGCCCACTGACTGTGAGAGTGTTTGGTTGATAATCTATTGTTTGTTAGGCACATGCCTGAGATAGTGGTGTGACACTTACTCTTCTCACTATAGGATCAAGTAGACGAGATTGTCGATAGTTTGCATATCGGTCTGTCTGAATTGGATCAAGGCCTCTAACGAGAAGCGCTTGATGTTCCTTTTCTCTCATCTTTTGTTCCGTTGTCTCAGCAGCCATCTGTATAGCTGTTGTGCCATTGCCAGCATCCTCTTCGTCTTCCAAGCTTGCGTTACTCGCTCTCCGTTTGTTGTTCTTACCCGCAGGACCTGATGTTGTTGATTGGACATCAGCAGCTGATGCATTATCATTAACTGTGCCCTTAAGCTTACGCCCTCGCTTCTTCTTTGGTTGCCCAACGCCTGCAACGCTACCGGAGACCATTGTATCTGCGCTGGGTGAGCGAGAGTATGCCGGCGTTCGTGATGCATTTTCGGGCGGGAAGGATGTTTGTCGCAAAGGGTGAGCAGAACCTGTAGATGTGGTTGACAGCATGGAAGCTTTGCGACGCTTTATCGCAGGCGCAGAGGAAGGCATATCTGTTTGTCGTCTTTTAGGTGGTTGCGGAAGCTGCGCATTAGGAGGATAAGGTGGTGAGATGGCATTGTTATAGCCGTGATTGTATGGAGGAGAAGCCATGGTGGCCGGAGTGCAGTGGATTGACGCGCACTGGTCGATTGTCTGTGATATAGAGGCAACGACACGTAGGTGGGAGATGTAAGAAGCCGAAGTGGTGTACAAAGACGAAGAGCGCTTCCCAGATGTGAATGTTCATGAAGTTGCAAGGCTGAAGCTCTCCAGCCGGGCTCCTACCAGAGGTCTGGATATTCGCACGGACTTCACAGGCGCCACAAGAAACTGGGGATGTTACCCCTGTCAAACCACAGTAGCGTCGTCATCGGGCAATCATCGGCGTTCCGAGGGAACTTTTCGACTCATTCAGCAAACAGCAAACGGAGAGAGGCTTAGGAAAGAAGTATAAGTTCATGGGACGACAACACATGGTTCAATTCAAAGACCAGAGCTCTGAGGAAGAGTCCAAAAACGACGATATGAACTCACAAAAATCTGCTTCGCCTGAGCACTCGCCTTCCAGCGGGAAAAGTAAGCGCAAATCTGACGATGAGGGGCATGGCGATGGAAGCTCGAAGAGGAAGAGAAAGTCCAAATCAGAAAAGAATTCTCAGCGCAAAGCCAATGGATCTGTGCCAAAGAGGAGGCACAGTATGAGCAAGCCTGCTCGAGATGCTCGCGATGATCCTTCTCCAACCCGGCCCAACTTGGATGTGGATGAAGTAAGATCGCCAAGTCCAGTTATCGATTTCGACGGGTTGAGCCGGCCAAGTACGAGAACGTCCATGGCTCAATTGCATTTTGTTGACTATTTATAGGCCTGGGAACCCGTGAGCGAAAAGAGGAATCGCCCGAACAAGCTGCTGCTCGTCTGCAAAAACTTTCCGGAGCTGTCAGAACAATCCTCGAATGTCTCGGCGAGGACCCAGATCGTGAAGGTCTCTTGGGCACTCCAGACCGATATGCGAAAGCAATGCTCTTTTTTACGAAAGGCTACCAAGAAAATGTTCGTGACATCGTCAACGATGCTATATTCCACGAAGGACACAACGAATTGGTGATTGTGAAAGATATTGAAGTCTTCAGTCTCTGCGAACATCATATGGTACCCTTTACAGGAAAGGTGGGCGTCCCGTAACATTGCGAAGTAAAAAGCTCTAACAATTTATACAGATGCACATTGGCTATATTCCTAACAAAGATGTCATTGGGATTTCGAAATTACCACGGATAGCAGATATGTTCTCGCGTAGGCTACAAATTCAAGAGAGACTTACAAAAGATGTTGCCCATGCAGTAATGGAAATACTCAAACCGCAGGGCGTAGCAGTAGTAATGGAATCGAGTCATCTTTGCATGGTCATGCGAGGCGTGGAAAAGACAAGCGCAACAACTATCACAAGTTGTGTACTCGGATGCATTGAGAAGAGGGAAAAGACTCGAAACGAGTTCTTCAGTCTGGTCGGACTGAATAGGCGGTAGAGATTTTGGGTGGCGGTCTTTTAGCATTTTGAGGCGTTGGATAAATGGTTTGGTTACTGCAGTCTTCAACACCAGGCACAGTCGGCGTTGGTTCTGGTCTTAACGCCATACCGTGTGGAAACAGCGTTTTATGGGTATCTATTCTTTACTCCTATTAGAATACTTGAAGGAAGTACTGTCTCTCCTGACTTACTACTACAATTTTCACGCACTTATAAAGTTGGTGACCACGTCCCGACAGTCCCAAGTTCTTTTCGAGAGCCACACTCTACCTCTTTGACAACAGTCTGTACTGCCTTCCAAAGAGTGCTTGCAACTTCTTCAACAGGATGACCGGCATCTATCACTACCATGTCTGTAGATTCCTCTTCACCTCTTACAAGTAAGCCAAGAAATACTTCTCGGACCGTCTCTTGTAATTCGCGCTTTTCGTACTTCTCTTCGCCATAACCAAGCCTCTTCTCCACCTCCTCAGCTGTGAGGTCTAAGAAGAGAACCCGATCTGGGCGAGGGAGTCCAACATCAGGTGATCTCGCCCACTGTAGAGAAAGTGTAGGATTCTTCTTTGCGGCACTGTATACCATACCGGAATAGTAATATCGATCACAAACTATAGTGTAGCCTCTGGATATCTGCTCCTTTATCCAGGCTCTGAAAATGTCAGAATTTTGTGAACGCTTCATGGCCAAAACAACCTAGGAAAGAAGGCTCTTTACATTTTCTCCCATCTATTAGCTGAAAATAACAGATGAATAGCATGATCTTCTAGATCTGTAGTATTTTGCAGATAGCTGTCTATCATTGTTCCGATTGCGGTTGTCCTATCTTTGAATAATTCTTCAGCATAGGCCCAATACTATGTAATCGGTAGGCAATAATTCTGATTTGCTTTGATTTAAAACTGACCTGGAAATCGAAGTGTTCTAACATTGTGACCTTCCGAATAGAGTTTGTCACACAGCAGTTTTACTTGGGTAGTCTTTCCGGACCGATCGAGGCCTTCCAATACAATGAATGCTCCTCTAGAAACTGGCCCTGAAGGCTGACGGAACGTGTATTGAAGGTCCTCAGAGTTCGCCATGTCTAAATCCGCAGGAATCTCAAAGAGCTCGTCTTTAGTGAGTGGTATTTTTTATTTGAATGGCTCACGGCTAGGGGCACTCACGAAGAGGAATCGCGTCTTGGGGTTGACGCGCCAGCCGAAGTGAACCCGCACCAGCTCTGGAAGCTCTGCCCGCAGACGGCAACATCACCAGAAAGACATTGCGAGCGCAAAAGACGACATCCCAAGGAACACGATATCGGATACTCACCCATACTTTTCGAATCGCCACACTCATTATCGGGGGCCGCTCTGCTGTTACTCTATTATTCTGGCGTTAAAGCCTCTTCGAAGTCACAGCGCTGGCTTTGCGACAGTCTGTACTAGCCACTCGCGGTTCCTCGAACGACACGCCCTTGGATGAAGTAGCTCAAACACGATTTTGCTGAGCAATTGATAGCTTTCCTAACGTTTCGCCGAGCTGGAGAGCCTACCGTACTTCGATTAACTTCCTGCACGACAACTCGCTCGCAGACGTCACGATGGGAACAGAACAGAAACTCGCCTGGAATCCGGACAATATACGCGATGTCGCGGAATCAGTTGGCATATCGGTATTGAATGAAGACGCAGTGCGGGCGTTATGTCAAGAAGTAGAATATCGGTTTGGCCAAGTCATAATAGAAGCAACACGATTTATGCATCAGGCAAAGCGGACGGTTTTGAGTACACAAGATATATCACAAGCATTAAGGGTATTGGATGTGGAACCTCTATATGGCTACGAATCTACGAGGCCTCTGCGATTCGGAGAAGCTTCCTTAGGTCCTGGCCAGCCGCTCTACTATATTGAAGATGAGGAAGTGGATTTTGAGAAGCTCATAAATGCGCCTTTACCCAAAGTCCCACGAGATATGTCTTTCACTGGTAATTTTAAATTTTGGCTTGATAGGATGATAGCTAACAGATGGTAGCGCATTGGCTCGCTGTCGAGGGTGTCCAACCGTCTATACCTCAAAACCCCACTACAGGAGAAGCGAGGGCTGGGGAACTTGTACCAAAGGGACCCGGAGCAAACCCAAGTCTTGCAGCTTTGGCTGGCAATGACAATGTTGCTTTCAAACCGCTGGTAAAGCATGTGCTCTCCAAGGAGCTGATATTGTTCTTCGACAAAATTCGAGCAGCTATCTTAGACGACGACCCAGATCCGGAGGTTGTATCGTTACGCGCTTCGGCATTTGCGAGCGTGCGCGCAGATCCTGGGTTACATCAGCTTGTTCCATACTTCGTCCAGTTTATCTCGGAGAAGGTCACCCACTCTCTTAACAATACATTCGTCCTACGCCAGATGATGGAACTAGCCACGGCCATGATCAACAATCCATCCCTCTTCATCAATCCTTATGTCACCGCTCTCGTGCCTCCGGTTCTCACATGCTTAGTCGGACGGAATCTCGGACCAGAACCGGCGAACAATCTTCAGGAACAATATCAACTTCGTGATCACGCTGCCTCGCTTATAGGCCAAATATCAAAGAAATATGCAGAATCGAGCATGCAGCTTAGGCCAAGGCTTACTAGAACCTGTCTTAAATACTTCCTTGATCCTTCTCGTACCCTTGGAGAACACTATGGAGCTATAAATGGGCTATCGACTATCGGTGGGCCTGAGGTCATTCGCTCAATCTTGCTTCCAAATGTGAAGCCCTTCGAATATGTCCTCACAAAAGCTATCAATGAGCATGGCGAAGCAGACGAGAACGTTCGCATGGTGATTGCTGCCCTCGTCAAAGCCATAACAGCTATTGGCGACTCCGATATCTACCTCGCGAATGGTATGAATGGTATCCAGGACAGCGAAGGAACTGAAATTGAAGAGTATCTTGGGCCCGTAGTCGGCAAACGAATTGCGCTGCTGAACGATCACAGGCTCAATAAAGCTATCTTAGAGTCCAAGGAGAAGAATGGTACAAAATGAAGCGTCCTTCCACGAAACTGGGTCATTTTATAACACACGGGCATTTTGAATTTAGCGCAGCATCAAAGGATTATCGGAGTTGGAGGGTGGTCTCGGCGCCTTTAACGGAATGGGGCAATGAAATATTTGCAGTCAATTGGGAAGATTTCCAGATGGGACTTCAATCAGTATCGGACATATACCACAAGATATTCGCAAATGAAAGATTTGTATCAGCCACAGCAGATTCTCTTTCCTTACCCTGATTCAATTCTCCATATATCTCTCCATCAATTTACTTTCTTTAGTTACCTAGGTCGGTACGTTACTACATACTCGCCCTGTCTTGCTGTCACCACGTGATTTATGCATTCGGAGAGCAGCTAACTACTCTCAAATAACCTGCATATTTGTTGCACCTCGCAGTCGTCGCCCTTTTCCAGCCACTTTTTCTGGCCGCCAGCCTTATTCTGATTCCTCAGGTTGCTCCATCGGTTGTCAGGCAGGCGTCACCTGAAAGAATGCAAACCACGAAACTACCTTGATGTCTATGGAAAGCTCTTCACTCTTCCTATCCCTGACTGTAAGAAGGATTCGCGACAGTGCTGCTGCTGGGGTTTTGTGGTTTGGAGGGGTATTTTGGGCTTGTCCTGGTTGTCCATTATTATCGTCGAAACACCTCGCGGGCTGTTTGTCCAATTTGTAATTGGGGAAGCGCACCAATGTCATCGGTAAGTTTGATCAGCTTACGTTCCTACGTGCTCTAATAGTGCATCATCTTCCTTGAACTCGGTGCTCGACTCGTTCACATGACTAATAACTTGTGGATATCATATAGTGCGAAACCTGCTGTTCAATCTTGAATGTCTTGAAAAACACCACAGACGAATGGACACAAGTTCAATTGGGAAGTCATGAGCAAGTGATGCGATTATCGACATGTGAAGATCACAAGAAACTTCTAGCCCACACGCTGCGGATCGACGATAGTATTGAACTGCCGAGGAGTTACGCCGTGACAAATTCAGCAAATGGGCATGTAATCGATATCGTGGGGCGCCGTGCCTATAACCGTGATTTGTTGGTCCACGACGTTCACCTTATTAGTGATTCACAATCATCAACTTCGATATGTAGAGGCCGGGTTCCTCATCGAGATTGGATCGATAGAAGCCTCCTTCAGGACTGGATCACCTCTTGCGAGAGACGGCATTCAAGGAAGTGTGATCAACATCTGAACACTATATCTGCGACTATTCGACCCACGTACTTGGTTGACACCTGGCTTGAATGTCTGGTCCAACCATGTGGAAGCGAGCCATACGTAGCTTTGAGCTATGTCTGGGGCGGTGCACAAGTATTTCGTACTCTGAAAGGAAACAAAGAGCTTCTAATGCGGCACCGGGCTCTTGCACCGGGAAATCGAGATGTGTTAATACCGAATACCATTCGAGATGCGATGCGATTGGTCCCTGTGCTTCATGAGAGATACCTTTGGGTTGATTCATTATGTGTACTGCAAGATGATGAAAATAAGCACTTAGAACTCCTTAACATGTCAGCGATATACGCAAATGCAACTATCACAATAGTTGCCGCCCAAGGTAGTGATGCAAATTATGGTTTGAGAGGCCTAAGTGGGATATCGCGACCCCGCTCATTGAACAAACCTGTTTACTCAATAGGACCCGCTCGTATATCTATACCAACGGTACCGCGGTCGTCTGGCAATCTAAGCCACCTCAGCACTTGGAGAACCAGAGGATGGACGTTACAAGAGGAAATATTCTCTAGGAGAAAATTAATTTTCGAGGCCGATGTCGTACGCTGGGATTGCGAGGTGGCCGTCTGGTTGGAAGATGTGAAGTCAACCGAAAGTCCACGCCAATCAAATCAATTGCCCGATCCCAGCAAAAGGAGCAAAAGGCTATTCTACCTCATCTATCCTGATGTGTATGACTTCGTGAACCTGCTGACAAACTTCAATATTCGTGAGCTCACATATCCAGAAGATGCTTTGAGCGCATTCGAAGGTTTAGCCCAAGCACTGAACCATTCGTTTTTGGGGGGGTTCATCTCTGGGCTTCCTTCAGGTTTCTTTGATATTGCACTGATTTGGAACGGCACTGACAACCTCTCTCGCCGAGTTTCGAAGTCTACGGATGGTGCACGTAGCCTTCCCAGCTGGAGTTGGGCTGGCTGGAAAGGTTCATTAAACCCGTGGATGTGGACTGAGGCAGCTGAATGGGTCAAATATTCAGACGACGCCTATTGTGGTAGCGCTGCATTTGCTACTCCTTTGACCAAATGGAGTTACAAGCAGTCCATAACCGATGTCGGCGTTTCAATACACAATGTCTGGTATGAATATCGGTCAAATTACACAGAAGGAGATCTGCCTTGTCCGTCAGGTTGGACAAGACACCCTGTATCCGAGTCGCCAAATAATGGTAGAAGCGTGAACGTAAAGCCAAAGTGGCAGTGGTTCTACAAGCACGAGTCAGTACCAGACGTAGAGTTTTGGTATCCTCTTCCCCTTGCACAGGAACCTGTCAAGCCCGCTTTGATTATTGCTCCGTTTATCTCATGCACTACGAAGAGGGCGTGGTTGGTTGTTTCTGAGCCGGCAGACACTCACTATCCTATGGTGTCACTCCGAGATGCTAGGGGGAGATGGGCTGGGACATTGCAGCCAGATGAATGTGGTGGAGTTGATGAGAGCAAGACTCAGCAGCAAAAGCTACGCGGCGCAAGATTAGAGCTCGTTGAGATTGTCACTGGATTTTCAGCAGATCATAATGCTGATTATCCCTACAAGTCTGGTATCCCACCTGAGATGATCCCTAAAATTGGAAATTTATACCACTACTACTATGTGCTATGGATCGAATGGGAGAACGGCATTGCCTATAGAAAAGGTATTGGTAAGATCTGGAAGGATATGTGGGAGGAGCAAGATCGTGAGACAATCGACCTGATCATGGGTTAACCTCAAGATAAGCAAAAGCTATTTCAAGCTACGCAAGGCTGACTTTGGAAACAACCCCGTACCTTCATCACAAGAGCGAGCTAGGACTGCCAGCTTCAAATTAGGATAATGAGAGTGAACGAAATATAAAGGGTCACCGAGGACAGAAAATGAACAGCATTGTTTCATCCCCACTGTGAGCATGCTTGTCAGCGAGTCGATTATGATTACAGCTACAGAAGCATGGTAGATATTCTTTATAGCTGAGCTACGTGTGATAGCATGTGTCATTGCATTTGGTCCTGGGGCTAAGTTATCGATTTCACCTCAGCAGTAGGCTCGACTGGATCAGAAGTGGAGCATATCGTAATCGAGACATCATTTTTTTACCTTCTATTGAAAGATTTACACAATCAAATTTGGCAAAGCAAAAGGGTATCTGTACTCCTAAAGCGCAATAGCTGCCATACAAGAGATCACAGACTGCTATATGCCAAGGGAACTTCAAAGAGATTGAGTCATCATTGATAATCTTAGGAAGTTCTCAGGACGAAGACAGGACCAAGCTCCGAGAGAACCAAGTGCCAGAGCTAAATGAATTTTCAGCACATCTCAAATGCAGGTCTTTCGTACAGCACTAGAGTGACTGGAATCTCATTAGCTTACCTTATATAACATCCTCACAATTTCAAATGTACCTCAAATACTAGCAAATCGTAGGCAAGCACTCATTTCTTGCCAACTTGTCACACAAACCGACTACTAACATCGATTACAGGATCTCAAATACTCACATACGCGCCTGAATATCGGCCATACAGTGGCACAAATTTAATCATTACTAAAGGCTGTGTATCAAATAGATTGGAACAATCCGAGGACGAAGAACTCCACCAATTATCTTCAGCAGTTGCAAGGTACCGCATGCCTTGACACCAGATCCAGCAACTCTCTGAATGCTCATCTTCCGCTGCGACGTCGAAACAATCTTCAACAAGAAATTATGATATCCATACCCTTTCCAGGTCATTTCGAGTGTCTTACCGGGCGAGCACACTGCAAGCACCATATTGGACATTGTGTAAGCCATAGAAAACAATAAAATTCCATTACGCCCACCCAAGTATTTAGTAATCACGTAGACTCGTACTGTGACAAGCTTGGGGACTACAGAGCTCTTATCAAGTAAAGATGAAAGCTGGCTTGAAAATATTGTTGGGAACTTCAGCCAACAGAATTTGTGGTTGATTTAATTACGGAAGATTTCGAAAATTAATTCTCACTTTCAAGCTCTGTATAATTCAAATGCCAATTTCAAACGTAAACTCCCTTAAATGCCTTTCAAAGACCCACAACTCCAACCCAATGTAATCAGAAGAACCCAACAGCGTTCACCTTGGTCTCCTCAAAGGATGCGCCTCGGTATTTCTAGAGGATAGTCAGCACAGCAACATAGATTGTAAGAGATTGATACTCACAAAACATATTCATCCAAATTTACAACATTCGGCTCACTGTAGAGCAGATAAAAGTATTTAAGCGTTTCCGCGAGCCAAAAAGACTCCATCTCATCCACCTTTTTGGGCATCGCGTCCATCACGTTATCGATGGCGCTGTGAGCGAGGTTCGTCTTGGTATGTGCCATGATGGATTTGAACATGTTCCACCCAGCGTTAGCCCAGTAGGGATCTGCTGTGATCCTATGTAGGATAAAGACGGATTCAATCGCTTCAGGTCTGGAGAGACAGTCAGCAATTGCGATCTCGTACCTCACACCTTTCGGGTAGGAGCAGGAACAGAAACATACCTAAGTAGATAGCGACCATCCTGGATACCAGTCATGCCAGGTGCTAATTTCTCATAGCCAATTTTGTACCGGACTCCTTCCTCATCCGCTGTTGAGTCGACTGCGTCAAGCCATTTTTGGGTGTCCCACGGACATTCGGTCTTATCTTTACAAGGTACGGCTGTGAAGGTTTCAGGCATAATACCTGAAATCGTACTCTTATAAGCCCAGACACAGCCATCAGCAAGCTTGGCTCCAATCTTGACTTCGTCTGGGCGGTTGAATATTTTACCAGCGATGGCTACCATTCCTCCTGTAAAGCATGAGAGATGCTGTAACTCTGGGTTGAGCTCAACTGCCTCTCCTGCCACTCGATTGACTGCTCCGGAAATTAGGATGTCTTCATCAGCTATGTTCATAGGTCGGAAGAACAACTCCTTCTTTGCGACCTCGATAAACTTCTCATACATTATTTTATATGACGGAGATTTTCCGCCAAGGATCATGAATTGCTGACTATGTCAGTTGATGAGTTGTTTTTACATGTAATTTAACACACCTTTGGTAGATATTCGTAAGTCGAATCTGCTAGTGCTCCTAGGGTATATAGTTCGCGAGAGCCAACATAAGGAGAAGCTAGTGCAATCGTTTGATTGATCTTTGAGGAGTCTACCATGGCTGGCCACATCCCTGGGAGACCTGTAACATCTTGCCACTTTTCCAGCTCATTCATAACTCTCTGAACTGCATCATAATATTTGGCATTTCCAGTAATCTGTGTCAAGCGTGTAAACTCCAATGTCAAAGATCCAAGAACCGCTAGCACGATACTTCGACTGGGTAAATGATCATTCGCGTCAGGATCGGTTCTGGCTGAATGTTAGCGTAGCCTACGTGGAGCAAGACCAAAACCTACGCAGACCACGTATAGTGAGGAGTAGGCATTCGATTTTCCGTATCGAATGCGGTATATAACACTTCCGCAAGCTCCACAGATTTCTCGACCAGAATTGGATACTTCCCATCCGTGAGATCCCAGGCTGCAAGCATACCCCCAAGGTGCCGAATCGTGGTTTCGAATAGATTGATCTGGCATCCCTCCTTGTGTGTAAAGTCAACATTCTTCAGCTCCGCCAAAGCTAATTCAAACTCGTCATATAGCTCCATGATCCACAGCGTATCCAACGTGTCTACCAATGTGGCCGCCCAACCGCAGAAAGGCGTTTTGAATCCGCCATTGATGGGCATCAATTCATCTTTCGCCCATGCCTCCTTCTTGTACCCTCCCCACGCATGCAAAAATGCTTCTCGAACTTCACTCAGTCGCTGTTCTCTCACCCTCTTTTCCCGCAGCGTTTCCACCACAGGAGCATGTTGTATCTTTGGTATCTTCTTCGACCCTCTTGGTAGGGGGATGTTGGACGAGACTGGGTATCGTTCTGGTCGAATAGGTATCGGAACGAAATTGAATTCGAGTTTCGAGGGGAAGAAGCTACTGTGGAAGAAGAACACGAATACAACAAGGAAAACCGTCAAGCCAATTCCTCTCACGATCTTCTTTTCAGGGCTGCGGCGTATTACTGTTGACTGCAAGCGGGAGTTAGTGTTCTACATCACTTGTCGATCCGAGCCAAGGGGTTTCCTACCAAAAAACCATCTTTGTAGCCACGCACATCTTCCTTGTCCTTATACCCCATGATCGCATTGGCTGCGAGCTTCTTGGGAATAACCTCAAATGTGTTCATACAATTGTCAATGGCGGTGGAGATCCCGCCAAGGGGGAAATGTCCAAGTGGCCATTCTGGCAAAACACTCTGGGTCGCGACTCCCTCCTCCCTTCATGGCGTTCACGCTGACAGCTCCAATCACATCGGGATGTGGGCGATCCATGGCACGTCCGAATTGGGGGTGAAACTGGGCTGTTTGGAACATCGAATTGCGGCTGAAATATGGTTCTAGGCTAGATCCGGCTAAGTGGCTTCCATTTTGGGTTTCCGCGTATTTTCTTCACCCTTTCCAGGACTCTCTAGGTCGATTCTTTTCCAAATCTCATCATCAAACCTACAAGCAATTCGAAGACGCATCAAGTAAGTTACCAAGATGTCAAGACCAACATCACCGTCAGTAGTTTCTAAGGGTTGATCTGAGATGGAGACAGTATTTCGATAGCGTGCTCGTCTAGCGGTCGATCTGGCAGGTCTAGGCCCATTGCCCCACAGGAATCGCCTCTTCCTTCACCCGCGGAGTCATTCATGATTCACAACACCAGACCAAGCCTACGACAACACCATGAAATCGATCTCAATCGACATATGAACACTTCAGATTTTTAGCGAACCCTGTTCAGATTTATCAACATATACATGACACACGATATGCTCGTGGAGGCACTCAATCTCGACTCGATAATCCAGAATCCCACGCCCCGTACAAATCAACATCTCCCATATCCTCCCAATTTAGAGTGTCATCCGCCATTTTCCAGCCCCTCAGTTTCTCCTTTGCGCCTTCCTTGATTACCGAAAATACTTCCCCGTTAGCTGTCGCTGCTACTGCGCCATATTCAACTGGATTGAATGTTGAATTAGACATTACTGAAGGATTCGCGTAGCGCCCTATCCAGTTGCCTGTGTTACCAGACCAAGAAGAGACAATTAGCCCTTTCGGACTGGGCCAAAGCATCTGGATCCATCGTACGAGACCTGTTGTCGTACTGTGATCAGATGAAGATGCTGAAAGAGGTGTGCCCGGTATCTCAGAATGGCGTACGTATGTTTGATCACTTGGGTTCCACCATGCTATTTTAGCTATCAGTACAGTCTTCTTGGATCAACTGAAGAAGCCTACCTGTCTTGTTGTCTCGCGCGGGTTTCCAAGACGCATACGAAATATTCAGAGTTTTCTTCTGGTAAAACAAATCGATTTCCATTAGACCTTGCGGCCAAGGCCGAGGGATAAGCGTCAGATCCGTTCCTTCATAAGGTTCGAGATTATTAAGCTGATTCAGACTCCACGTTCCGTCCAGAGAACTGTTTCCAGTCTGAATGAACCCGTTCTTGTCTTGGAATGCGATTATGGTTGTGTTGGAGCAATTTTCGCATTGTGCGTACAGAACAGCGAGTCCAGAACTCGGTAATACTTTGAGCTTCTCATCTACAAGCTTTCCGGGAGCCCAATTGCCTACCATACCTGCTCCAGGAATGGCTCCAGTGAAGATATGGTCGTGGAGTATGAAGTCTTCGTCGAGGTACAGTAAGCTGATCATCTACGTGTGGTCAGTCGAATTGAGATACCGAAGTGATTGTGTCTTACTCGTTTATTGGACGGGCGTGCGACCGCTGCTGCTATTGCAGACCCATTCCTTGGGAAAATTCCAAGGTGTCTCGCTCCCCATGTGCTGTTAACAGATGATACTGAGCCTTCGATCAATTCTCCTTTCTTGTCTTGATAATAAACCCTGGTTTGGTTGGTCCACTGCACGCCATCGGAGGTATCCCTCTGCGAACAGAATGAGAGCGCTGCAATTCTCCGAGGAGACGATGATTCTATCGTCGAGTTCGGCGCCGCTTGAGCGACATCGATTGAATCGTTCGATTTGATTGTGGGAGTATGACCCTCAGATGTGCTGTTTGATTTGCTTCTTAAGCCAAGAACAGCTCCAACAATTGTTACTACCACCATCATTAAGCAGATGGCGAGTCCACCAGCAAGCCATTTTCTTCGAACCCTTTGATTTGAGGTATTCAGAGACCCTTCGCCATCATCGATTAATTGTCTGGGTTGCAGGCCTTCACTCTCTGGTGTGTCGAGGTTCCCAGGTTGTGCTCCAACTTGCTTCTCAGAATCCCCAGAGAAGATAAATTTCTCATCGTCGAAGGAACTTCCAGAGCTCTCCGGTTCTGAACGCGAAGTGCCTCGGTGTAAGACATCTTGATCGGGGACTTCTAGTGTACTATAGTCCTGCAAACTAACTGCCATATTGAAAATTGATGTTGTACAGATACAAAAAGACCGGAATCAGAAAGAGACATAAATGTGCAAGATTCAGACGGAGAGAAAAAGAGCCTCGAATATCATACGTGTCATGGAAAGAAAATCATTACTTGACTGATTACCTACCTTTCTAGGTATCTAGGTAGGTATGTATACATGGAAACCACATGTTTAGGATCGGGAATAAAATTATAGAGGTGACAAATCGAGAGAGATTGGCGAAATGATGCCTGAAAATTGCCTCAACGCCCATCGCCGAAATCCTTTGCACCGCAATCAGGATTAGCAGATTATTTCGAGACAACAACGAGTGTAGTTGAATACATGCACGGCTGCGAGCTGCTTACAGACTGGCGATCGCGTTGATTATTGTTGTGCAAACGAAACAAGGCTAAGAGGGGCAAATTAAAAAGATGGACTTGAATGTCAGATTCTGAATATTGGGGTGAGTTGAAGCAGTTTCTAGACTCGAAGTAGCGACTGATAGTTTCGGGAAATGCTTCTTACTATTATATTGGGTGTCGCCAGTACCAAAGATCTCAATTCATCATTTCGCGGACACCTGCCTTTTCCTTTGTGTCTTCTATCATATCATCCACGATAGCAGCAACCTTCATGCACGATACAGCTAAGCTCTAATCTAGCCTCAAATTCTTGCTACGAATCTGATTGAAATCCAATTACCTAGCAATCGTCAAGAAGTTGAGATTTCCATGGCTTGCATTGATATTGTTGGTAGAAAGTTAAAAGTTGTATTTCGCATCGAGACATGTTCAATCTTGGTTCCTGCAAATCACATTTTCGAATATCGATATCTGTAATTCCTACCACGGATACACATTAAATGAGACAGCCATCGTAAGTTGGAATCGCCGGAGATGTCGGTGGGGCTTTCTTGGAGCTCGCGGGGCGCGGTTTCCGTTTTAGGAAATAGCCTCTTTGTCATTTATTCATTTCTACGTCTTCAGATCGCGCTCTCCAATGGAAAATCAACTTGACTTCTCTGCGGAATATAACGGGACTTCCGTCAACGAGGTGAACATACATTCGAAACGAACAATCTGATCGTCAAGAAAGCGAATTACCATCCGTCAAAAAGTCATCTCTGATCAATTAGTCGACTACGCCTGGTCAGTCTTGCTTTCTTCAGCAAGATGTACGGAGTTGTTTACCTCGATATCTACATCGACGGCGGTTGCAGAAACAACGGTAACATGGTGCGATTGGTGGAGCAGCAGCCGTATTCAAAGACGAGAGCGGAGAGACAATCAATGTTGTGACTGAATTCCTACCGCAAACCTCACGTCCGACGAATCAGATTGCCGAACTCACGGCTTTGATCCTAGCATTTGGATGAAGCTATTGATTGGGGTCATGCCAACACTTATCCCGAGGATATGTTCTCTGTCAACATCTTCTCGGATTCCAGATACGTCATCAATTGCATGGAAACATGGCTACGAAATTGGCGCAGAAATGGATGGCGAACTGCCAGTGGAAAAGTAGTCAGAAATCGAAATTTGATCAGACATGCTGACGACCTCCAAGCCGAGTTGAGATCAATTGGAGACTTAACATATAACTGGATCCCAAGAGAAGATAACGACGAGGCAGATTGGTATTGCAATGATGTTATGGGTAATAACTGTTACATGTCTGGGTTCCGACCATAAGTGGGAGCTCTTTGCTACTTGTATCTCTGCGTTTAATTGCAGTTCATTAGTAGCTTGTGGATTGGTAAATTTAGGGTTTGCAGACTCAAATGCAGTACGTTTCTCTCCAATCCGATTCAAATAGTTAATAACTCAACTTACAGAGATCATGGTTTATTTCTAGATTTGTGGAAGTGACAGAAACCCCGTTGGCTCATGTTATCCTGTCAGCCGTCTTAACGAGCGACAATTTGCATTGTGGTCGACTATTTTCACACTCAACTTCTTACGTTAGACTTTTGGAAGCGGGTCTTATTCATGAGCGCTGAATTATTTTGGAGGAATTTGTCGTCTTATATTGATGGGATACTCTCTAATGGTGGTGTCAATTCGAAATGATTCAGATCGGAAGCCTCGAACATACTGTCAAACAATCGTATAGAGAAAGCCCGGAGGCTATTTGCCCTGCAAAACTTTGCAGATGAAGTTATGGAGTTAGTCACACAACGTGTTACTACAAATACACAATTGCATTCTTCGTGTATTTCTGGCATCTAATTGTAGTACCTGAAAGGTTAGTCTCAGTCCAGGTGATCCTTCTTCCCTTAAATCTCATCACTTTCTTGCCCTAATTGGACGAAAGATCTTGTTGGAGCGGTCTTGTAATAGATAAATCACTACTCAACTAAACTATATCTAGTTTAGCCAAACTCTGGTATGTTAGTCGCTTCATCCATAGATGTATACACTCTAGCCTCCCTACAATAACTTATTTGCTACTGCCGGAGTGAGGTTCAAGGGAGAAATCCATGTAATCAATTGAGTAAATTTGTGCAAAGTCTTGGCTGATTTTATTTTTGTATCTCTTCAGATTCAACACATGTGATGAAAACTTGCTTTAGTGCATAAGTATGTGGTATCATAGGTAAACCCATCCTGAACTTGAAAGAAATCATATCTTATCTGCCGCTGCCATGAAACAAAAGCCCTGATAATTCAAACAAAAGAAACGATGAGTTTAAGTCTAGAGCTTGGATAGTCCTGGAGTTTCCGTCGACTTGAGAACTCCATCTTCCATCCCATTACCAGCCAGCTCGGTTGCTATATGTTGAAGTCCATGAAGATCTCCAGCTTTGGTGCCACGTAAAGAAACATCGACCCAGCCTTCATAGGGAGCATCTGGATGTCCATTACTGAAATCGATTACCCAAGCATCGTCTGTTGTCTCATGAATGAGAACATTTCGAAGGCTGACGCCTCCCCAGATAATGTTGCGTGCGTGTAGCTCCTGGACGGTTTCCGTAATCTGTTTGACCCATTTATCTTTCCTGGTCTGGCTGATGACGAGTGGTAGTGACCCAGTAGAACCTTCCATATCCCTGTCCCTGATTTCCTCCGAACGTTGAATCATCCCTCCGAGGTCGTCGCCAATTGAAGGTATGTAGGTAAGCAGAATCCCGACAATACCATCTGGACTGCATATCAGGCCTTTGAGCTCAGCCACTCTTGTTATTGAACTACCAGCTGACTTTTGACTTTTAATCTCTGTAAGCTTTTTGATCTCTTCTACCATGATCAACCCTTTCCCCTTTTTGGCGAGTTTTGCGATAAGTGTTTGGCCATCGATGTTCACTTTGTATACAGATCTATACAACAGACCATCAACGACTTCGAGATCCGAGACTTTGTGGCGGGGTAGCTTCATGTTCATGATCTCTGAATCTGTGAAAGGCTCGTGCTTGTCGTGGATGGGAAGGTCTTCTCGTTCGATGACTACCAGTTGTCCTTCTTTTGTAAGTAGTTGCAAATTGACTGTTTTTGGGTGCATCCACGAAGGCAAAAGTTTCCTATCGGCTGGTGAATCCATGTTTCGGGTAATAGTCTCCATCTTAGACGTGCCCACCGTCAAAACAAGTTCTTTGATTTTTTCACAAGTACGGCTGCATACTTCATCCAACAACTTTCTATCCTTTTCTTCGTCGCCATCGCACTCGGAACATCCTTGAAGCCTCGAGAGAAGCTGGCGTTCAAGGGATGTTGCTGCACCATACGCAGAAGGAGCCTCCGAGGATACCAATGTATCAAAAAGAATGTTGTTGTACTCATAAACGCAGTTGAAAGTAAAAAACTTCTTGCCAAAATTACCCCATCTCCAGGTTGCGAAGAGCCGTTCGGAGGGTATACCAAGACTAGCCATTGAATTTTGATAATAAATTTAGGCTCTAATTTCTTGTTGGCGCGGAACCGATGGGGGATCCGTCGGAAGAATCCGTTGGGGAGAAGCGTAAGTATGGAGAAGGGTGTTGAAAGATAAATCAAGGACGAGACAGTCTCAAATGCTGTTGTGAATGGATTGGGACACCAAGTATTGATACCATGAACAGAATTTGAAGGATTTACTGAAAGAGGGTGATTGATTATAACTTCAAAGGGGGAAAAAGGAGTCCACTTATTTATACTTGGACTGGGAATAATGATATCGCAGGCCAACAAAGTAGCAGAGTCTCCATGTAAGTCAAACCACACCGTTAGGTCATTTGATATGAAATTGACGCTTCAAATCGAGCCAGGAGGACGAATTACAACTTCTGTGAGTGGCGAGGTGAGTTGCCTATGTTGGTGATCACTGATCAGTGATCGCTCACCGCACTTCAAGCAACAAAAGAATGCCTTGCCAACAAATAGATGTATAACGCATTCGACAGAACACCTAAATGATAGATGGAGAGCAGTGCTCGTCTCGAGCGCACTGTTTTAAGCTCAAATTCAGCGGTTCAAGAATGTCAGGTGCAGGACAGGCCAAGGAAGACCTGCCCACGTGATCGTGATTGGAATCACTAAGACGCAGCGACTCTTCGAACGGGAAGAATGTTGGAGAGAGGCCTAGCACGTAAAATTGATCGTGCGCATCCTTGATACTCCCCTTTATCGGTGGCTGCTTATGGATGTTGATAGTAGGTATGTTGCCGTCCGACTTGAGACTCTGGTCAACCCAGCACGTGATCGTCGACCTCTTCTTCCCCATCTGAAGCTACCCCATGACAGAGGGATATTTCAAATCTAAAGGCCGCCACGGGCTGCTCGAAAACTGCGATGGCCAGTGTTTATGTTCTGTTTAGCGCCAACCCAAGTCAACTGTGGCCCGTTCAGACCAGAAAGTGTTGGTTTTAAAGTGGACCCAGGAGACCAGAACCTGGGCAAACCATTGTTCTATTATTCATAACATTGGACACAACAAGTTTTGGCAGGAATGTAATAAGATTCCGAAATTTCTGGACAGAGCGAATTTTTTGGCTACATAGGACGATGATTGTTGTCATCCGGTCCATGTCTTTGCTTTACACGATATCAAAAGAACACCAACAGGCGGCCGGACTACTTGTTGCAACACCAGCAAGCGTATCGCCCACACTTACGCCGTGGAGAACTCAACGCCACCAACATGTGCACTGAACTAGTATAGATCTGCCTCAGATATTCGTTCTATAATGAGTAAATGGCCGAGGTGGTGACCACGCTTAGGCCTACACAGCTCCTCTGAAAAGTTGGATTGCCAGTAGACCAATCCAATAAAAACGAGGGTCAAGGTGGTACCGCCTCTTTTGCTCTTCGGCTTCTTCGACATATGCGACCTTTAGAGTCCGGAAGCCTAAGGTCTGGCCTCCGACTTTTAGGTTAAGCATCTTGGAACAGGCGACATACAAGGTTAGGGCGTTCAAGTACTGCAGTTCGGTCTTATTTTAAGCTTATGGCGCTTAGGAGACCGCCAGGAATATGTTAGGGCGTGAAGGGTACTGTTTCAATAACTGATTCCTTGGATTTGAGATTCAATGACCAATGAGTTTCTCAAAGGGACAGTCCTTTCGCGATACGCCATCTCGTGCATATCAGTGTCCATAAATTCTCCTCGAACGCTAGCTTTGAAACAAGCCCAAAGCTGGGGGCCTGAGATTTCGTTTGCATGGAACTTGTTTAATAATCATTTATATTTAGCCATGGCTACAACTCAGGTATATAAACTCTCATAAATGCCATTCTGATTTCTAGACTCATGCACTTCACTTTCCAGTTTATTCCAATTCTCACATCTACACCGAAAACAACCTTTAAACTTCTTCTAAGTCACCATCTATTACGCTTACGAAGCTTTCATCAAGTATTTCAGTCACCTTCTTATATCCTTTTCAGATAATATTCCCGCTACCTTCTTCAGTATGTGTTCTCTTTGAGTTCATCCTCTCCTTCTTTGCAGCATGCTCCGTAAGGGTTATGCATAAAGAATATTTTGTGGCTCATTATGCTTACCTCTATTTACAGATCAGGCTCATCATGTGTCGTGAAATCCAAGTGATAATCATTCATTCATGTACCCACAAAACAAAGGGTGGTGTTGAAATGCTACGATGCAGTAATGGAGATTGCACTAGCGCCTTACGATCAAAGGAATATGATACTTCCCGTAGTGGTTGTGGTCAATATAACAACTCAGCATGCCAAAAGAAATAAATATACTTTTTGTCAACACAGATGTTGCTCAGAAAGCTTTGGCTACTTCCAGAACCTAGTAAGCAAAACGAGCACTTGACATAAATGCAAACCTTTTTCATACACTAACAACTTTTTAATTCAGACGTTCCAGGTAGAAGTGAGTGATTCGACATCCACTTCAGGCTCAGTGCTTTTTGGATTTAAGTTTTGGTTTCCGTGGACTACGAGTCTAATGGTTTTTGTTTGATGGATGGAATTTAAGTTTTGGTTACTGTGGACTACGAGTCTTATTTCATTTGTTTCGATGGGATGATACCCGTTTTTAAGGGAAGGGATTTCTTTTTTAAGGCAGGCTACGGCTTTCATGTTCTGCTGGACGGACAGTTAGACAAATTCACACTTCGACAGTTCGCTTGAAACCCCTTTTGACAATAATATTTTTCTATCACACAATCATTAAGGAAAATCATTCGGTTTCAGTTAGTGTAATTTGCTAGCAATATTATTTGTTCAAATAAACTCTTTTTATAGTGAAACATGTACTCTGCCACCAAGCAATGACCTTTATACATAGGTTGCTGAAGCTTTTGTGAATAGTGTTAAATGTAACCTTAAAATATAATTTCATTCACGAACTCCGTCTAGGTTGTCTGATTTTGTGAAATAAATTTCCAGCATTTTGGGTCATTTCCTTCGCGCAGAATTCTGTTTTGTAGATAGTAATGTTTGTCGACAATAATGCAATAAGGTAGGGGTTGGTTGCACTAAGCAGTCACTCGTATAGCATGTTCCTGGCGTTCAGTGAAGGAAAGGAATACCTAACCTATTTAAACTAATCATAAGTAGTGTGAGTAGAATAGAGTAGATCATGAGTAATGAGCAATTATCTTGAGTAGAGTATGAGTTGTAGCCACTACTCTACTCTACTCTACTCTACTCTACTCTACTCTACTCTACTCTACTCTACTCTACTCTACTCTACTCTACTCTACTCTACTCTACTCTACTCTACTCTACTCTACTCTACTCTACTCTACTCTACTCTACTCTACTCTACTCTACTCTACTCTACTCTACTCTACTCTACTCTACTCTACTCATTTCTTACACTGCTGGCGTTTACTCAATTTTTGAAACTTTTATCGAGCTCATGCTAAGCAACCAAAAGCCATGAAATTAATCCTTATTAAATAATTCATAAACCATAACCACTACAAGATCCTGTAAATCGAGTTGTCTGAAAGCTTAGGATGTTGTTGCTCCGGGTGCCGTGTAAAATGTCTAATTTTAAGATTATTTGTGAGAATAATGCTCAAAAGATCCAGCTACTGTAAATGTAAGGCAAGTTTAAGTACATTAGAATTAATTATGAGGAGGGAGTATTGTCAGAATACGTCTTGAGAAATAGAACGTTTCAAACTATAGTCAGTTTGTCACGTATTTCTGTCTCAAAACCAATCCAACTGTCTCCAAATCTTGTAAACAGGATCTTAAATGATGGTGTATGGAAGTATTTGTTTTTATGAATAATTCGAAATGGCAAAATATTTGCATGACGTCAATGGTGCAATTCCTAATCTACATACTGTCTTACATATCACACACGATTGAAGTTAACAAAGCTCTTTGATTTTGCTTTAACACTTCAACATGAACGCTTCACACTTGTTAAAGTTAAAACTGGTCATCAATTCTCAGCATTGCGTTTTATCTCATAAGATAGAAATCAAGGACTTTTCAGCCAGGAATTCAGGTTGATCGAGTGGTCAGCTAGTTAATAGCCCAAGAAAGTTACGAAACCTTGGAGTAATAATAAAAAAACGGCACTTTAGAAAACATATTTCTAGTCGGAAAGCACCCATGGGCCTACTTATGTAGCAACATTCTAACTACGTTCTCTTTCTAATAAATTTGCGAGTAAGATTCAAGTCTATAATTATAATTATATTTTGTCTTGGCTGACATCTAGGCATATTTTCACATCAAACAAAAGCAGTCAATTTTATAAACTCAATTCACAGCGCAGTGTTCCCCACAGTTGATATTTCGCAAGCTTACGCAAAGGAGCAAAGTAGATGATTTAGTGCTATTAATGTTAGGGGAAAACTTTTATAAGATTTATTAATCTTTTGGATCAGGTGATGGGGTCTACTCGTGAATTTTTGGAGAGATGAAAATGATATTTCGTAGAATATAAAGCGAAGTATGCAGCATTTTTTTTGATTATATATCAATGTCATTAATTAAATGAATGCAGGTAAGAATCTTACACAACTTCATTGACGGGCAACGAGAGACCTGTGAATGGGAAGTGGCGCCATGAACAATTCCAGTTGCCTAAGGGATTGGCTAAACACAAAAGGAGAGTTCAAGTCAATGGATCTCCAGAAGAGATAACAAGCTGATTTGGAGGTGAGTTGGCTTGTGATTTGACTTTTTCAATCCACATGGACATAAGTGGATTTCTTTTACGTGTGATCGTCGCAGAAAACTTTCTGTTTGAAAGAGAGCCCTACCAACTAAAATTTGTAACATTTCTTGAGAGTTCTAATGGAATGATAGGTGAGTAATCAATGCCGATGAGAACTTCATTCAAGCTCATGGTGAGTAATGAATACGAGCCAGGCGGCCACCAACGATTGGCCCTCATCACACGTGACAATGTTGATGCTAACTTCTACAACATGGCACTGCCCATTCATAAGACGATAAACATTTTGTGAAACATTGAGGCGCCTGCATTTTTAGTCTTTGTTTTTGGAAATTTGTGACTGTGATACTTCTTTTTGGCGGGGTTGGGGGGGAGGCTCATCAGACTTAATAAATTAAATGTAGCCAATAATCAAAAGGTTACCGACAAGAAGTCCTCCGATTGGAGAAAAGGCGGGGGCTTGATTTTATCGTAAGATTTGTCAGTATGGCGCACTAGTTTACGCATTGCGGTATTGTGGTTGTGGATTAATTTGGCCCACGGAGAACGTTGTGTCGAGTGATCCAGCAGCGAAGCGTATTTCTCTTATAAAAATAGCTTGTATTACATGAATAAGGACTATTTCTCTTTGGTCTCTATGAATTCTCTCCAAAAATTGAAGTTACATGGCTAAGCGCTTAAAACATTATACAAACTGCGAGTGGTGAATAGCGTGTAGGAGGTCCTGTGGTGAAGAAAGCCTAATGAAAAGCCAATTCTATCACATGAGATAGAAACCAACTAATATTAATTGAATTGTGCCGTTAGCTTGATTTCGTGGTTTAGAATGTAGTCATTAGAACCTCTTGAAACCGGTGAGTGCGGTGAGTGTATAACTTAGAGTTACTAACGACCTCTTCAAAGGCCGAATGTACTCATTCCAACTAACATTTCGTAGATCAGCAGATTATTGACTGTCTCGATTCGATTTGATATGTAACTATATAATAAATTCATAACTCATTCATTTCATCATTACGTCTTGGACTCTCTACCACCTCACCTTGCCTACGAATCATCCAATACAAGCTCACATCTTACAACTTGAGTCTATCGCAAGGGTGTATGTACTTTTAGATCACCTTCTACGTCACAGATTTCTCGAATCGTGGTCTTTGACGCAAAGGACTAAGCTTTTGATATTTGATCTCATCATGTGTTCGAGAACGCCAACAACTATTGTGTACTCTTGTGGAGACAAGAGTACTAGCTACAATATTGTGAAGTGCCCCCAAAACCAGGGATGTGGCTACCGATACACAGACAAAGCCACGATAATAGATTATGTGAATTATAGCTGTGGAAAACAAAAGGGATGCAAATTGTCGGAGACTAAAGATAAATAAATTTGTTTTATTCGAAGATTACAACCAACGGAATACCAATTCCCGATCTTATCGGCTATTTTCAGACAAACAAGGTAAGCTCTTCCTAAAAGATGTAGACGGCACCTGCTAATTTGTGCCAGTTATTTGGCACAGAGGAGGACGTGGCGCCCCGTCTGGGACTTTAGAATATACATCATGCAATTCAATTAGTTCAATCTGGCTCTACCTGTGAAAAATTTACATTGAAACCTATATCCTTTATTATCTAGTAAGTATACATATCTTGTTAATGTTCATATCTATACTGTTGGGGCTCTGTTAACATATGCTCAATATTGTGTTATGTAGTCGGCTTCTTACTTTAGACAAGGAGGTCAGGTATCCAGGAAAATAGCAGTGTAACTAAGTAGAATATAAGATCTATGGTTCTAATTCTTCTCTTGGATCTTGTATCGTTGTCTTGTTGCGAGTTTTAGCTCTTTCTAACTCTTGCTTTATCCTAGTGAAAGTTATAGGCAATAAGGGAGGATATATCCAGTGATTTTGCAGAAAACTGTGCGAGCCCGGGATGCGCAGTGACGGTCTCAGAGCAAGTTACTGTTATTGCAGCTGCCTTTCAGAATTTTTGCGCCTCCTGCTGTCAATTTCTTTACAGGTTCAGTTGATGCTGGCTGCAGGAACAGTGGAACTTTATACGGACTCAAACTTTATGGCACCTTCTGTTCTATATATAGCACTAGAATAAAATTGCAACCAACGCTTCCAGGGTTTTGCTTTTCCCACCTTGCCCTGAAATTGCCAGTTGCACCCCCAATTTGGAGGCCCCAAAACTGCAGCCACGCGACACTCGGCGTTGCTCTACCTGATATAATGGGAAGTAATAACTACTATCTTAGTTAGTGTATCTCTAGAGTACGTCGAGGGGTGGCAAATCCTAAAAGTTGATAAAAAGTCCGGAAATCGATCTCTTGTGCCACGCTTGTGTAGTTCGGCCCATCTTCACGTCATGCCAATTGTGTTGTCAGATGACCACCTAGACATATCAAAATATCGAACTGGAGCTAGCGAGACCCTATATAATGATTTACCGTAGTAAAAATAACTGGAAGGGATTAGTTAAAAAGGGTATATAAGCACTCTATTTCTACATAAAACGTAGTTTCAGAATCTAGGTTTTTTAGGTAGGAAATATTCTTTCTATAAATATAATTCATTAAAATCATACCTAGATTTATACACAGATCTATGTCGATAATTTGTTCGGAATTAATTAGTAATTATACATTGATAACTTGATTGATTAAAAAGAAAAATACATCGTCACTAACGCTTTTGGTTGTGAGATGATCAAAAATTAAAGGTTCCTTCATCATTTTAATCATCAAGGAGCCCATTCTTCATGAAAATGTGTTTCACACGATTTTGATCATTTGTGATTCGACATTGGCGTTGAAGGAGTTAATTTCACTCTCCTTATCGACTGTGAACAAGCCAATACGCCGATACTTGACTTCGTCAACTGGTTCTTGGTTCATTTCGACCAACAAGAGACATACTAAGTGAGGGCACACCACGCCTTCCTTATCATAGCCATATCGAATCGAAAATGGCACGTATACCACGCGATGGTATGTTATGGCCCGATCATCCAAGGTATCAAACAAGATTCGTACATTGAATTTTCCAGCTTCTGTACAGAAACTGACATCAATTGCAGATTCTGGATATTTCTGAATGGTCGCCGGTATGGCTCGGCATTTCAATAAAACAAAACCATCAAGAACAGCGGACATCTCATCTGGGAACTTGGTCGTAACGTCAATGTCTACAAGCTGTGCAAGAGCCTCACCCCCGGCGCTCAGAGACCCTTTCAACCGTACTTCTCCATCTACAGATGCCCAAGACCATGACGGTGCCCTGTACGATGGCCGTGGTCGAGGGGAGAAAACATCCCAGTCCAATGAAGAGTCTTGATCTGAGCTCCAGATGCCAGCTAAATACCTATCGTTGGTGTTGCCTCGAAACCGCTTGGCAATACCTGCTATGGCTAGCAATTTGTCGGAAGGATATGTCAAGTCGTAGTTAGAATACTTCCCAATCATATAGTTCCATATTTCGAGCCGATCCAGAGATACGGTTTTGTTGCCAGAGGCTTTAACTTGTGATACTTTATCCATTGACCTCTCAGAAACATGTGTGGGAATGCCTTTGGGAAAGACCTCGCACCGATGACAGCTGCGGCAATCCCAAAGCAGCTGGTTGGTGCTAAAATAAAGTACTCGCGATGCTAAATAGCGCTCTTGCAATGCCCAGCCTCTGTTTTGCAACGGGGCTTTGTAGAACTGTCGGTTCCAATATTCGCGATCAATAAGACAACAAGTACGAGACTCGGCGGAGAATAAAGAACTCTCCACCAAGCCAGGCAAAATCATTCCCATGTTTCTATTTTGGAAAAGGCTTTCATCAGGACTTGCACAATTAGAAGCGGCAACAGTACATATCGAATTCGAATACACAAGATGCATAGCTGAAGCCTCAGCATTCCAATCCTCTTCTGAGTCCTGCATAATACAGAAACAGTCGATCCAGACATATCGAATCGAAAGGTGTCTGGCGATAGATATAAAGTCGCGGAGAAGGGCAGGAAGGTCACTGATAGGACTTCCAAGGCGAAGTTCAGCGATATTAGATGACAGCAGAGTAGCTCTGCCGCCACTGTGCTTGACGCCCGGTCCCCAGCAATAGCTAAGAGTCAGGTAGTCGTGCGACGGAGATGGGGTCCCATCTTCAGATACGACGTGTAGCCTCCAATTAATCGAGTCTTTTTCACCAATGTCAATCAATCGTGTAGGATGCCAATTGCGGGATGGCGACGAAAACTGTTTACAGTGTGGGTGAGACGAAAGACACTGATGGAGCCAATCCTTTGCAGTGCTTAGTTTCACATCGTAAGAAGCATCAGCTTGAATTGCTGGAAAAACTAGCTGTTCTTGATATTTTACGCCTAAAGACCAATGGCTATCAGTACATCGTTCTCAAGGAAACACTGACAGACACGGCTTTGACTGGCTGCAAAATAGCACTTACTATCAACTGGAAAAAGAATAAAACTTGGCATAAGACTAAAGCCTATTTCGCCCGGTGCGACAACTGTCACTGCAATTTCTGCCATGTCCTTGTTGCGAATGATATCGAATTGTGCCGGGTGCCACTCGTGCGGTTCGTAACATTGAGCTGTTTCCCAGACAACTGAGCAGATAATGCACTTTTCTTCGACCGCATTGAGAAACGTTTCGCGGGTGTGCCAGTTACTCGCCATATACTCTAATGAATCCCCCGCCTCCTTCGGTCGGACAGCAGTGCTACAAATTTCACAAAGCCTAGTTTGGTAATGGAGTTCCATATTGTTGACGACAGAGCGCCCGCCACTTGGTAGAACAGCAGAATCCATGGTCCGGTTCCCTTATGACAATATCAAAATAATTCGTGGAATATGGAATTAACAGGAGGCAGATTGCCTGCCTGGCAGTCATGGTCCAACCTATCATCAACATGTCACGTGATTTAACAACAACATTGAAATCTGGAAGGCATCCCGAAGTCTGACGATTTCTTTATTTAATGTTTCATCCACTGCTTTATACTGCACCAGCATGATAGAACTCTTAGAATCAGGCATTGTTTTCAAAAGAAAGGAATCAATTGCCAAGTTTTGACACTCCAGTGTCATACGAAAGGCGCAAAGGACGCTAAGCGAGCCTCACCCCATCTTTAAAAGCAAGCTCCTTATTAGTATCCAAACGAACTATTTAATCTTTTTCGGGATCACTCATGTCTGTTTCTTCAATAGAAACATCAGCGATCTCAACATGGGATCAAAAACACCTGAAGACTACCAACAAACTCCTAACGGTAGGACTTATGAACTATTCGGTCAAGTCTACAGAAATGCTCCAGCTAATATTGCGAGATAGGTTCAAACTCTAGTGACCTTAAACCAGCAAATCCTACCGTCAATGTGTCTCAATGGGGTTCCAGCTCAGCCGACTTGGATCGGGGGATCGTTAGTGACGACGACGACGATGACGCCAACGAGGTGGTGGGTATGAGCATTCCCCTTCATAACGCTGGTGCGTTCTGACCGTACACCTCGATCATCTTCCTATATCCTTTTAATCCAGGAATTCTACTGACCAAAATCTCCTCTATAGAGAGAAAGAAAAAGAAGCGCAAGAGAACCAAGAAGAAGCAGCAGGTCGACAGCGCCCGCAAAGGCGTTGGAAAGGCCGAGCTGAAACAAAGTGACCCGCCACGCGTGTTAGTCTCGACACTCTTTCCATCACAATATCCTTCTGGTGAATTTGTGCCCTATGAAAACACCTCTCGCACCATTGATGAAGAGACACGCTACAATTCACGGCTATGGGACCCGGATTTCCTCACCGACTACCGCCAAGCTGCCGAGATTCATCGCCAAGTTCGCCGATATGCGCAAAAAGAGCTCATCAAACCTGGAGAAAGTCTTCTCTCTATTGCCGAAGGTATCGAAGAAGGTGTTCGAGCGCTTTCTGGCCACCAAGGACTAGAGAAAGGAGATGGTTTCAAGGCCAGCATGGGATTTCCGACAGGGTTGTGCTTGAACAACGTTGCTGCTCACTGGACTCCCAATCCGCGTGAGAAGGATATATTTCTCAAGGAAAGTGATGTTTTGAAAGTCGATTTCGGGGTACATGTCAATGGCCGTATCGTGGATTCGGCGTTCACGGTTGCTTTCGATCCTACGTATGATAACCTCCTTACTTCGGTTGAGGAGGCTACAAATGAGGGTATCACGGTAGGTTCTTCTCAAAACATCATGACTTAATTACGAATTTTCGTTCTGATACACCAGCAGCATGCCGGCATTGATGCCAGAATGAAAGACATAGGAGCCGCGATTCAAGAGGTGATGGAAAGTTATGAAGTCGAGATCGCAGGAAAGGTTTTTCCTATCAAGGCAATCCGAAACATTACTGGTCACGATATTCTTCGATATCATATCCATGGTGGGAAACAGATTCCCTTCATCAAGAACAATAACCGAGACAAGATGGAGGAAGGCGAGGTTTTCGCAATTGAGACTTTCGGGAGTACTGGCAAAGGATACTTGAACGACGATGTATGTTTCATATTTAATCTTCAACCTATCGGATATCTGCTTATTCCTATTTAGTTTGGAGTATATGGCTACAGCAGAAACGAGCATGTTTCAGGAGCCAACTTGCATCTTGCCTCGGCGAAAAGCTTGCTCAAAACCATCGACGAAAATTTCGGAACGATCGTCTTCTGCCGTAGATATCTTGAGCGTCTCGGGGTCAAGAATTATCATCTGGGAGTAAGTGATAATATCGGATAATGGAAATCATAAGAGAAGTATTAGCTGACGATTTTTAGATGAGAAGCTTGATCGACCACGGGATCGTAGACTCTTATGCGCCACTTGCTGACGTGAAGGGTTCATACACGGCACAATTTGAACATGTGAGTGCTTTCTATAGCGAGATTGTTTCCTGAACTAACGCTGAACTCCAGACGATTCTGATTCACAGTGGTGGAAAAGAGATAATTAGTCGTGGAGATGACTATTAGGGAACATTTTTCAATCGAGCTTCTCGTTTACACATCTTTCGCTAATATTCCGATAAACGATGCTTTCCACTTGCATGATATTCAACATATTAGCATTACTGTAGTTGGCACTTATGTTCAACAATTGCCTCTAGCTAGTAAAATTTACATTCTCAACCCTGGCTCATTTCACTTCAACCCGTTGGAATGGTGAGGTCGTTCTCATCATTTGCAAACATTAAAGGTTATTTCAGAAGTCTAGCCTCATGAGAGACCAAAGAGTAGCTTGTGGTTTTGAATAGAGGGATTTTCGTTGCCCAGATTCTGAGAGTGTTGGAGCCCTCCACAAACAACACTGACCAACCCAATTGCTGCTATAAGACATCTCTAGAAGTAGCCACAGTAGCAATACTTGATTATCTGATCTCTCATCTATTTCCTCTACATATTTGACTCCTTAAATTCATCATTTTGTTGGGCTATTAAGCTGTGCGTGACCTACAACGCCTGGCCAAACATCAGGTCCAGGAATTGCGTAAGTACCATTAAACTGCCAAATATCAATTAAAATACCCTCATCTTTTGACCCATAAAATATTTGCGCACTCTTCCCAACAGGCTCGTCATTCCCAATCCCAGTAACATTAAGATTGATGCACTGCGGATATGCTTGAGCGCCTCCCTCATTCCAAGCAACATGCAAAGCTATAATTTCGTGTCGCAAGATATACTCTCCTGATTTTAGAGTGCTTGGAATGGTTACCGTCCAACTGCTGTTGTTGTCCCTTAATAAGTCGCTGGCGTAGTATGCTGGAAATGGGGTTGAAGCAATGATACCAGCTTCTGCTATTTTGAAGAACTTCAATTCGGTCTTTTCTACGGTCGTACATGATCCATTGCATGAAGCGAGATAGTCCAAGACAGGTCCGTGGTGGCCGCTTGTCCATGGTGTTGGGTACCACTGAAGAACTATCGAGTCGCCTGCGTTGATAGGAATAGTATTTTGTCCAGGTGTTGCTCCTTTATGGCAGACAATATCAGGATCTGTGAAACTGAAGGACGGGATGAAGCCATAGTCTTCATCGAGAGGAATTGACCAGCCTGCTGAAGATGGGATCATGACATGTTGAGACTTAGGGTCGTAGTTCGGGTAACTGTGATGAGATTAACATCTTCATCATGTCAAGTCGTGAAATCGTACTATTTCTCATTGACTACGATGCCATTCACAATTCCATGACCACTAGCTCCTTCGAGAAGACTTATATTGATGGCGACAACCAATGCCGAACGAAAATTAGTTATTCGCATAATAATTTTGCGATATCTTGCGACGAGAAGCTCCAGAGAGAGGCGAAGGAGATTCCGCACGACAAACGTCAATGATGGCTTGATAGTTGAAAAATATATTGCCCCTCCGAGTTCGTACGCTATACTCGTCTCCTGATCTACTGAGAATTTATGAGCACAAGGGTCACAGTCTATTTAAGCAGCATGTTGACGATCTCAACTAGTGGATCAAAAGAATATATGAAGGCCGGATCAATTCCTTAACGAGGCCTATAGATTAAGTGTTGAGTTTTCGCCTAATAATATGCAATCTACCCAAGTAGATTATAGCCAATTAACGCCTGATGGCTGACGTAAAATCACACTCACTTTAAAACTGAACAGCCGCTGAAAATCACAGTGTTCAGAGTTAATAATCTACACGAGCGCAGTGAGCAGGTCTCTCCAAGGCATCATAAGTTTGTTCTGATCGCCCCAAACCCACTCAAATGGCAAACACAATGTCAAACTACCATCCTTGAACAGCAGGAGCAACTCCATGAGAAGCACGAGAAGCGCGTGAGGTTCTGAGGAATCTTTTCTCAAAAGTAAGCACTCGCAGACTTCTGGGCAAGGTATACCAAATAGTAATGACAACAGCACTCGCTGCCATGCACCCTCCGGTGAAAACAACTAGAAACTTGTATTTAGAAATACCATATTCTTCGATATTGACCCTCCGCAGGATGAGCGCCTGACTCACTGGTCCAACCAAGACGTTGCCGATACCTTGGAAAAACACAAGAGTTGAGTACGTTGTTACGGCTGTGGATGGATCGTCCGAAACTGCACGACCCATTCCTACCCTCATCACGCCAAACCCATACCCAAAAAAGCCGTAAAGCAAACTGAACCCTACGAGGAGCCCGAGTGATTTTGCCGTGCCCCAAAGCGCAAATGTTGCAATTGTTGCCATTATTGAGCAAGCAATAGCCAGCCCACTAACCGAGATTTTTTGGTCTGTTAACCAGCCAAAGGCAAATTGGCCAATAAGCTGCGCAAGAGACATTGTTGCCAACGCGAGAGCGCCCTGCGTGGAGCTCAACCCAATCGATGTTGCGTAAGATGGTAGATAGAGTGCTGGAAAGAATAATCCAAGTCCTTGAATTAACGTAGATATCCCATAGACGTAGAAGAGTGGCTTCTGAAGAAAATCCCAGTTGACCTTAGCGGGAGTGCTGTGTTCAGAAACTGGTAGCCGACCTTTAAATAATGGGATGAGAGGCCCGGTGAGAAGGAGCATACCAATTCCAAGTGCTCTGAGCGTTGTTTGATAGCCGTATTTTCTCAGTAAGGCGTTGATGATAAACGGTATAATAACACCAGCTGCTCCAGCGGCACTAGTAATCAGGCCAAACGCCATTCCTTTTCGAGCAACCCACCACTCATCAACCATGCTCAAGATGGGGTAGGTGAGTAGTATGAAACCAACTCCATACATCACACCTTGCGTAAGGATGAGACCAGTCACTGATGTTGTGAAGGAGCCAGCAATAAGTCCTCCTATGCATAGGGGCCAAGATAGCCAAATTTGTTGGCGACGGTATTTAGGAAATCGTCTAGTAATGGCTGCTGACAGTGGTGAGCCTAGATAGCTTAATCCTTGAGCAATGGTTCCGATTAGGGCAACATTGGAATTTCCTGCGAATTGAGGTAGTGTTGTGTAATATTCCTGGAACACGCCAAAGGATATGGGAAGACCTAAGATCTGAGTTAATGGAATGTAGTGTGGAAACAATGTAAGACGTACCCCAAAGGAGTGCTTCGAATATGAAGGCGGCAATGAGAACTCTCCAAGCAGTTATGCCACCATCCACGGGTTTCAATGACTGTACAGCGCTTTGCTCATTTTGGCTATCCAGCGTTTCTTGTCTTGGAGCTGCCGTTTGCCGATCTGACTCCCAGCGTTGGAGCGGAATCGAAGTAGGTTCCATTAGAGCGATGAAAATAATGTCTTCGGGAATGAAATTGAACGTCTTCTTTGCATTTGATAGATAAAGCTTTAGTTCAGATTGTGCCCCATTACGCCTTTGACGGGTATTGACGGCATGTTCATCGAAAATGGGGTCGAGATCAATCGAGGACCCACGAAACCAGATGTAATTAAAAAGGCGTCGCTTAGTCACGAGAACTGTATCTTGACTTGAGCTATCTTCCTCTAAGTCTGAACCGTATCCACGAAGTTCATGCTGGAAAGGCCAACGATTGCGGAGGATCCTACGAGAGGCTACGTTTGTTTGACGATGCGCGAAAATGCAGGGATGTCGACCTGTTCGATCTATCCTCCTTATGTCGCTGAGTTTATTTTCGACGATGAACTTCATCAAATGACAGATGCTAATTGATGATAGCAAGGAGCAGTCAATAATTGAATGCGATATTCGATGACAGGTTGGCAATTAGCCATCGACCCAAATTCCAAATGCATTGGTTGGATTACATAAAAACAACATGACGCTCTTTTTCCGCCGATTTCAACATGACGGTCTTATAAGTAACCCGCTGGTCATTTATTAGCTGGTCCACCAGACATTAGAAATGAAGCATCAATTACTGGGTTCCGAAATGGTTCTGTTGAAATATGAGTGGCGACAAGTGGTCGTAGGGAATGACCAGCATCAAAAGAGTCGACCGGAAAATCGCTTGGCGCAGTATTTCCCATGATTTTAGGAGCACCTTCGTTCCTGAGCGAGATTCGAAGATATCATACTCGTAAATATCGCGAAGCTCTCGAATAAGGGCTCTCAAGGCCTCTTGCAAGACTCCCTTCCTGCCTTCAAAGTGACCCCGGCTTAGCGAATATCCATCACCTACCTACACAAATACCTTCATCAAATTTTCCGGTGATAAAGTCGATGATCATGCGGTCCGCCCAGTGCTCAAGTGTGCAAGCACTTCCGCAAAAAGATTCCGATTAACGCTTGTTCCCGTTGTGGATCATTGGGGCTGGCTCCACGGTGTCACGTGTCTTTGTTTGAGGGGGACCATCTGCTTTTACCCGCCTCAGACCGAGCTAGTCAGTCATCTAGTCTCAAATAGAAAGGTATCCGACAACCACTCTCTTTTCCGATGGTTAAATGACATTCGGACAGAGGGGTCTCAGTGGGGATGATAGTTATGCGGATTATGATAGACCGCGGTTTTGGACGTCTCGCTTAGCGTTGGTGGCTATAACGTCCTAAACAATTACTCCACCTTGTTTGGTCCAAGTGGACCAATAATAATGCGGCTATCAGGAATCTCGCAAGCATCGTTCTGGACCGTCATTACGAAATAATGTTGTACAAACAAGTTATGGCCTAGGGTTGCTTCTGCTATCAAGATGAAGTGTTACTGCATACAAATTTCGGGCCTCCATTTGTGGAGCCAGTCACTTTCCTTTTATTTTATGCTACCACCGAAATCTTTGCGGATGAAGTGGTTTATCTTCAAACTGATTGATTTGCTTTGATTATGCTATAGCACACTACGGATGCCCAAAGGAATGGAGTACTCTCTAGCCAACGTGTGTTCTAACATCCGCTAGCATTGGATCAAAGTTGTGCTTATTTGCTTTTTCTAGGTCATTTTTTCGGGGTCCTAGGAGCCATACCTACCTCGATCAAGTGATAAAACGGCTCTACGGAATACGGATGAGAGGGGAATATCCAGTGGACCGAAGGAAGAAGCTCCAGCCTCGAAGAACACACAGCTCGTAAGTTGTGCGAACAGCAGGCCTCTCTTCTTTTCCTTCTCCTCGTCCCTTTCCCTCCATCATCCCCCGAATGGATCAAAATTTTCCGAATCATTGTTTCCGGTCGCGAATTAAAGCTTAACAAGTTTCTGATAGAAATATAGATTGGCGTATGACCTAGTCTCCGCAGCCATCAGCCGCTTAATGTCGAGGGCCCTGGACAGACAAGCATTACACACGCTAACATAATTTGCCTGAAACCAACATCAACCCAAAACTCGTTCGTGTTCCCTGCTCCCCCGCATTTTCTGGAATATATTCAGGTACCCCAGATCGCTCGCCGGTATTAACCGCCGGCAGATAGATTCGTTTTGCGATGCGATTCGCGAATGTTTCTGGGCAGGGAAGAGTTATGACTTCAGGGGGGAAGGTTATTTCTCTTGATGGAGAATGAGTTTTGATATAAATAAGTCGCCCAGGGCGACGGATTTCTGTTTCAGCAGCCAAGTCTTCACGGTCTTTCCACTTACTTCAACCGACTCAATCCTCGACAGCAAAGTTAGTCTTAAAAATGCGTTTTTCAGCCACTACTTTACTTCTAGCTGGTGGGGCTTTGGCAGCACCTGCCTTCCCGGACAACCTCGAATCTCGACAGAGCTGTCCTAAGGTCCATGTCTTTGGAGCTCGTGAGACAACAGCACCAGCAGGTTATGGAACTGCTGGTGTGGTAGTTAACCTCGTTCTTGGAGCATATTCAGGCTCGACCGCTGAGGCAATCGTCTACCCAGCATGTGGAGGACAATCTAGCTGCGGAGGACAATCTTATGGAAATTCTGCTCTAGCTGGGACATCAGCTGTGGCTAAAGCTGTTAATGCATACAACACCAAATGCCCAACCACACAACTTGTGCTTGTTGGATATTCACAGGTCTATTAGCCTCTTCCTCGCGACTTCAAATATACTAACGTCTCATTAGGGTGGTCAAATCATGGACAACGCCTTCTGCGGTGGAGGTGATACCAATATTGGTCTCTCAAGCACTGCAGTTCCGATCCAAGCTTCAGCCATTTCAATGATCAAGGCAGCTATCTTCATGGGCGACCCACGTTACATCAGTGGTCTCTCCTACAACGTTGGCACTTGCACAAACCACGGGGTAAGTTACAATAAAGACGTTATTTTGGAAACTTACTAACAACTCTTTAGTTTGCACCACGTCCAGCAGGGTTCCAATGCCCTTCTGCAGCAAAGGTCAAGTCATACTGCGACGCTGCAGATCCATACTGCTGTAACGGCAGCGATCAAGCTACTCATCAAGGATATGGCAACAAGTACGGACAACAAGCTCTGACCTTCATCAAGAGCAAGATCACATGAATTGTTTGAGTTACTCAAGCAACCACTCGCTTATTTTGGTTATGGGCCTTGGCAGGAGAAGACAATTTTGTACATACATTGACACTTCTTGGACATATCTTACGAAATTGTTAAATATCATGATTACGAGCATTTTTTATTTCCTTCTGCGATGTTCATTCTCAATTGCTCGTCAGTCGTGTTTGTCTGTTCTGAGCGAGTCAGCAAGAAAGTCGCTCAGGGAATTTCTAGCATAAGCGAGGCAATCGTCACTGCATCCCCGTCCTACTCACGACATGTCGCAAAGTTTGCCAGTGTCATTCAATTGACATAGTTCAAGAACTCTCGGAGTCAGGTAATACTGCTGGTGTACATCAGCTGCCAAGTTCTGTGACGACAGCCAAACTTTAACTCACGTGAGAAGCATTACAACTTAGACTTCATCTCTTTAATGCTGTTTTTCTTTAGAATAATTGCGCTTTGGTTTGATATCTCTCTCAATTACGATGGAATTAGTAAGATTGCCTTGAGAAACTTCTGAATTGATATGTACCGATTTCATGGCCCACGACTTGGGCTCCTTCGATGCCTCTATGAGCCCAGAGTCTGAAGAGTGATAACCAAAAACAGCAGAACCAGATCTTGATAGTGGGCAAAAGTTAAGCAACCTCGGTTGATCTCAATTCCTCAGCTAAAACCAGCCAAATAATGTGACCAAGAGACCGCGTTACGATCCATGACGGCAAGACCCTTAGAGGTTGCCTGGACGTGCATTAGAGGGGACGCCGAGCTATACTACGGAAGTCACGACCCAACAACCTCATGTCGCATCAAGTTCAACGACAGTTGCGCAACTCCATTTCAACAACTCAAACAATCAGCCCAAATCATTACTTATACCACGTTTGGAATTCATCGTATAAAACATATATTTCTAGGATCATAATAGTCGCCATCGGAGGTCATGAACTTCTTCAAATCACCCCGGAACAGGAATCAGAGCAAACGATTCCCCACTCGCGAGCCTGAACCCGAACGAAGAGCACCAGAGAAAAGGGCGCCGCGAGAAGTACTCACCAAGCCGAATCCCAGACAGGAGCTTCGGGTCGCGATTCCAACCGGTTCTCAGAGTACCGACAACACGATTTCGGCGGCTGATCTTAAGGATCTTCGAACGAGGAACCAGTCGCTAACTGAAGAATCTTCGATGAGTTCGCGGAAGACAGGGAGGAATACATCAAGGTTGGGAGTTGAAGATAGTATCAAGGAAGAATCGGTGGAGGAGAAACCGAAAGAGCAACCACAGCCATTGACTTCGGATTCGGACTTTGATTTAAGACCACCGCCTCGGAAAGAGACCGCCACTACTCTAGAGGTTTTATCAGACCTGTTATACTCGCAAGGTTACTTGGAGACTATTACTAGTGACCCTGCGCTTCTCGGTCGGTTTTCTGTATTTCTAAATAAATATCGGCCTGATATTGCACCATTAATTCAGCATTATCTCGAGACTCAGAAGGTCATCAAAGCGACGGCTTACGCAAATGCGGTCGCCTCTGCCTTAGGAACAAGTGATGGGAAATCTGCAAAGATGCCACCAGCTGTTGAGCTGACGGCATCCTTTCTTGTTTCGTCACGGCGGGCCTTCAATACTTTGCTGCAAGAGGCGCTTCCAGCTTGGGTCACCTACTCCTTGGTCAAAACAGCAACATCTTGTCTGAAGGCCGAAATCATGAACCAGTCAACACCGTTGACCCGCGATCTCTTGGGAGGTCTCAGTGAAATTTTCTGTATCAGCGATCCCAATCAAACCGATAACCCACTTATATATGCATCTGACGAGTTCTATCGATTGACCGGATACGGTAGAGATTTTGCGCTTGGCCAGAACTGTCGGTTCCTTCAAGGTCCAAAGACAAGACGCGAGTGTCCTCGGCGATTAAGGACAGCCATCGACAATGGAGAGGAGATCTGTGAAACTATTCTTAACTATCGGAGGGATGGTACACCATTTGTCAATGTCGTATTGCTTGCCCCACTGTATGATTCAAAAGGGCGACTAAAGTATTTCCTTGGAGCACAGGTGGATGCATCTCGCTTGGTTGAGGATGGTAGAGGTGTGGATGGATTCGACAAGTTTCTGCGGAGGAGGGAATTCGAATCAAAACAAGTCAACATAGGAGATAAGGAACCAAAGGAGAAGATCTTAGCCAAGTTGAAAGATCTTGGCAAAACTTTCGACTTGGAAGAGAGCGCGGTAGTCGAAGACAGTAGTCGGTCGAGCACTTTTGCGGCCGAAGCCCAAGTAGACATGGGTATTGGGCGTTCTTCGTATGGTGTTGGAAGGAACGTGATCTACGACGACGACGACTTGTCATCTACTGATACAGAGGATAGTGGAGGGAAGGGTGATGTTGATGAAAATGCTTGGGCGCTTTCGAGTTCCATAACCTCTGGGCGCTTGCCTGGTATTTATCAAAAGTACATTTTGATGAGGCCATATCCATCACTGAAAATGGTTTTCGTTTCACATCGGGCGAAGCGACTGGGCCAATTGACGCAGCAACCATTTCTCGCGCACATTGCTGCGCCGGCAACGACAATCTCTGGACTGAGAAGCTCACTAGAGTCGGGAAGACCGGTGTCAGCAAAAGTTTCAATCATGAGTCGGCGAGGTGCGAGCAAAGACGGCACTGTGACTGGCAGATGGTCAAAGAGGGTACATCGTCAGGAAGGAGAGATTAATCCAGCGACCATCGGCAGAACTTCTTGGATCTCAGCTACACCTCTGCTAGACAGTGAGCGTAAGATTGGAGTGTGGATGGTAGTCATTGTTGACAAACCCGGTACAGACACTAGTAGAGAACTGTCACTCGACGATTCACAAGCAGGTATGAGGCGAGCATCCGAAGTTGGGAGTTCGAGCTTTGGTCCACGTCCTACCAAAAATCCATCCTTTTCAAATCAAGAAGACGTGCCAATAAAGCCTATGCGGGTAGGCAATGTTTCGAGTCCAACCGGATCGATGCCAGACAAACCGCCACGCCTGGAAGACGATTTTGGAATCATGAAAGACGACGTGTCGGACATGCGAGAGGGAGCTGATCGCTCTTCGAAGGAGGAAGAAGACAGTTTTGAAGTAGCCGAAGCAGTAATGCAGAGGATCGAAAGAGCACAAACTGTTTCCACCATCCAGAGCAGCAAGTATGATGAAACTGACCGGTCCCCAGCTATGTCGAGAAATAGCTTTCAGATTTGTGATCCCTCTGACTTTGGGGTTGAAAATAATAAATCGGGATCGAGAACACCAATCCGTACCACTTTCGGCAAAGAAGTGGAGGCCGGTATTAAATCGTCTGCCACGTCTCCTTCTATTCAAAATATGGAGAAGAAAAGAGACGTTGGGCTACGTGCGATGGACTACATATCTAGTAGATCTCCAATAAACAAGAAAAATAAGACTGGAGGCGGTGGCGCACAGGGGAAAGGAGATGTTACCCCTAATAGCGTTGATTGAGACCATGAGAGGCGCGTTGATTGACCTTCAAATTATTAATAATTGTACATTATTGAATTCAAG